TCAGTACTTCGTTCAGTTACGTGCTCTTCCAGTTACCTCGATCTGAAGAGTTTGACCTGGAACGTCTAGCCGCGATCCATAGTTCATTTTCAGGTCGAGGACAAAGTTTTGATCGATCCGGATGAAGTGGATTAGCTACGCAGCTGCATAAAAATCGAGGGCGGTTTGGCCGAGTCGAGTTCTTGTGATTCGCGACGGCGTCTCGAGGACAATATCAGATGGTGAGCAGTGCGCAAGCAGCTGCAAAAGTTGGAGTCACTGCTGCGGATTCTCACAGGAAGAGAGTTGCGAGGCTGTAGCTCAGAAGTCAACGACCTCGCAAAAATGCAGATATCTGATGCTCATGACAAGTAATTTGAAGAACAGCGATAGAAAACTAGTATATAAAATACCACGTGCGTGCGCGCGATTTCGAAGAAAAACGCATGATTACGAGTGACACCTGTTTTCATGATTGGAAATCGAGTGAGATTCAGTACTGACTTTTCGTCGAGGAAAGAAAGCTGTTTAGACCTAATAGGAAAGAAAAGTGAGAATCGGAGAAAAGAATGGGAGGACGCTAAAAGCCGTCTTTTTCTTCAGTTCAGGCGATGGAAGAAAGAACTCGGAGCGTTGCGGATGGGCTGTGAGGAGTGCGGTAAACTTGCACGGTCGGGAGGGGTGGTCGCCGCCTTTTGGACTCATTATTGTCTGAAACGCAACGCGCCGCTCGTTTCTCTCTCCCAGCGAAACGGTTTTTGTCCAGCTTAGATTCTCTTCGGCCTACTTGCACCTGGTACCTGAACGACTTCATTTTATAAAATGATCGAAAATGAGGAAATGCGTTTTAAAATGCCATGAAGAAGAATTTGAAAAATGGATCTAATAAAGCAATAGAGATCTTTTCACGAATAATGTGAACGTGAAGTCGAAGACCGTGTTCGTTGGTTCATTTCAGCACTGCGAGGTTCACTCCAGTCTTTTTCAATTTACGTTTTCGGTTGCATGAGTTAAGTCGGGATTGAAGTTTTCTATTTTGATAGAATCAAGTGAAATATCCTCTCAAGATAAGTACAAAGCTTTTTAACGTATTTCTTGCGGAGACACGTTAAACTTGGTGTATCGCTCACTCTGCATTTTCCGATAAAATGAAGGTGCGATTGGCTTTGAGAGCTTTCAGGGTTTTTGGCGGCTCAAAGTAGGGTTTCAAAGACGGGACAAAAAAGTCTGGAAACTTTTTAAATCTTCAAATGTAGAAAGAAACGAAGAAGAGGCAGTTTCAGGCCGAGTCGAAATATCCAACCCCTGATGACCATCGACCAAGAACGTCGTCCGGCCCACACGTCAGAAGGTCTACATGGTGACACGTCACACGCGATTCAAGGGACCGCCAAAGAAGCCGATTTGCTACCAACTTCTGGTCAACAGTCGGAATCGAGGAATAACGGACTTTTCAAGCGCTGCTTACTGCCCTCACGACCATACATCAGGTCCAATGTTCACAGCTTCAAGGATGGAATGATCCTGATCATCGAGGACAGGAATACAACCTCAGTGACCAACAAACGCATATATAATGTGAATAAAGATATACCTTCAACGAAATAATCAAATCAAAATGTTTAATGTATTTTGGTTTGTTGACGACGACAAAGTAAGAAAAATTTTGCTGAAGACCACAAGATTTTTATGCTCAAAGACAACAGATCCATTCGCACAAAGAAATTGTAAAATCTACGGATGAGATCTGATCGAGTGGCTGCAAAACACAAAAATATAAAAGTAAATCAGAAAAATGAGTTTTTGCATTTGAAAAATCAGTGAGTATCTTGAAAGCACTATGTGAAAGTATTTACTGCGAATTCGTGATGAATAACGACGGCGTCAGCAACAGTCCGCTGGACGATAGGCGACAATCAAAATGTCGTGGAGTTTTATTCCTCGAATCGAGACAAAACAATCAAGTTGTAGAGTTTTACTATGCGGATGCTTGCCGAGCTTATTGCGTCAAAGATTGGATGTGCCACGAACAACGTTCTGATGTTCGATTTGGGAATAGTATGCAGCGAAATTTCGTCACTATGGACCTATACTTTGTTTTCAAAAGAATTCAAAAACATCTAAGGCATATTCGAAATTTAGGACCCGAGCTACAGAGTGAGCAACTCTCGGTTTTGGAAGGATCCAATTATCACGATCCTTGCGATATGACCCCGTGAGAGCTGAAGTTGAATGGAACCCTAAATGAACCAAATCAAATTTTCAGCTATGACATTACGTTCGCCATCATACCTTTCAATTTCGCCCAAATAGAACTCAGATATTGGCTCAAGGTTCAGGCAATGGATCAAGAAATGAACGAGTCCCAAATGATTCTCTGGCCGAAAAAAACCGAGATGGTGATTTGAAAAAACAGGGATTGAATCAAACTTTTTGAAATTTCAAGGTGTCCAACATTTTGGAGCTGGCGAGTCAGGACTTCAAGTTTGCTGCAAATGGAACGGGAAAGCTGCGACTTCTTCACGTGGGTATAAGTCGTTCGAACCGCCGCGTGTTCGGCTGCTTCAACGACGATACTTACGCGACTGAAATTCAGCAAAAGCTTTGGAATTTTTCGCACACGGTTAGTTCTGAACGTTCAGAAAAAATCTAAAAACCTCTTTGTGTGACGAAGCAAGTAGTCTGAGATCCATTCTCAGACTATTTCCCCAATTGAGCTTTAAAAAGTTATTTAGTACTATCGCGAAAGTTTCCTTCAATAGTTATTTTAGAAACAAGTTTTATGAAAACTTCTCAAACCTCTCGTGCAAGTAATCCGCAGACTTGCGACGGCTTTCAAATTCGTCGTGATCACTAATTTTTCAATTTCATTTTGCTTAGAGACAGTAACTGAGCACTCATGAATAATAAGATTTCTTTCAAGGCTATTTGGACTTCTTTTCAATTTCCTTGAAATGGCTAGTTGAGCACTAGCTTTCATTTTATTCGAGAAAAGTCTTTTGGTATTTCAAAATTTTTCAGGTCCGTATTGAAGAGATTCCTCACGACCAAGTCTACGTTGGGCCCAGCGAGGTGTCTGGTTTCAGTGTCTCATTTTTGAGAGAGAGCCGCACAACATGTTCGGCGTGCCTTTCTTGTTGAGGTTTATCAATAAAAGAGTTTTTCGTGATTAAGTGGTATTAAGTTTCAACTTTTTGAGCGGTTAAAAAGTAGCTTTTTCACATTGTAGGAGAGGTTTCTTTTGCAATTTGTTTTTAACTACGTGAAGTAAATCAAACTTTTTAAGCTGTTTAAACTTTTCAACGATTATTGATAGCCTATCAACATATTCGGAAAAACCGAAATTAGATCAGAAAGTTTGGCAATTTATCAGAAGTTAAGACTTTTTCATCTTGGGACTCTCTCAAAGTCGGAAAAGTGGAAAAACATGCCATGTTATAGTCGGAATTGATTCAAATTTGTCAAATTCATGATCGTTCTGACAGGAGATCAACCGGAAGTTTTAAGATATCTGATCAAAAGAGACTCGGACCTCGATCCGAGACAGGCTACGGACAGTGTTGGGTGTGCCTATGACCCGAATTCCGGAGGCTACAGGGTTGTTGCTCTCTCGAGACCGCTCGATCCGCTACCATGACCTCGACGCGCGCGGTGCGCTCAACTTTGGCAGAACTCGGTTTCCAGCTCGGACAGTCCAGGTCACCTTTTCCCCATTCCCCCTACCTTTGCCTCGATCATCCCAAGAAGCAATATCAGAAAAGCTTTGAAATGTCCGTCGAGATCCGTCATTGAGCTGCCCTCATTTACATCCATCTCTTTCTACTCATATTCTGTAAATGTTGTCTCACTCATATTCTGTAAATGTTGTCTCACTCATTTTTTGTAAATTTTGTCTCACTAATATTCTGTAAATGTTGTCTCACTCATATTCTGTAAATGTTCCATGATTTCCTTATTTATGGATTTCCAAATCTGATTTGGATAAAAAGTGTCAGAGATTCCCTGTTAAATTATTTAGTCAAGAACGACCCTTTTCATTTGTACTGCTAGTCTTTTGTGTAAATAGTTATTTCGTCAAACTTTTAATTTCTAAAACTGTAACAACTTCATTTATTTGAAATTTCGGTCAATGAAAATATTGAATAATCAGTTCGTTTTCACCTTTTTCCCAAAGAAAAATAAATGGATTGAAACTGTAAGTTCAGAAAACAAACGAATCAGCGTTACAAAATTATTATGATGGCTTCCTATTTTGGAAAAATCGTTCAAGTTTGATTTCGATAACTAATATGAACAGGTTTAGATGCTCCAACTTGCTGAAAATGTTGGAAATGACCTTGATTGGTTTGAAGATGATCCATATTTCTGCGTTGGTTTTGGAAAAAGGCTAGGAACTAGCAATCCTATTCTTGTTTGCACTAAGCGAGAAAACCTCGCAGTTATGGTGTTCGCACCCCTGTGCTAAGCGAAAAATAATGAAGTTTGAATATCTGACTTCTAGTATATTTGTGTGAAAAAAATAAAAATTTCGACGTTTCTGCTCCCCTCAACATTTCGTGTATCCGAAAATCAAAAAGCCGTGAAAAACTTCTGCAAATTCCATCCATTTTTCTCGCTAATTAAAAATTTTACATTAACAACCGCTTGATGAGCCAATACGCGTTCGACGTGACGGCCATTTGTATTTTTTCTTTCCTATTTTTTTATTTCAGGAGTCCGCACTTCTTTCCAGAGATTTCCACAAATTGGCTAAAAATTTAACATCAAAAATTAGGGATTCATCAAGAGTAGTCCTTTCTACGTTTATCAAAATTTTTTTTCTTCTAATTAACAAAGTTTTTTAAAACAGAAAAGGAGGTTTTCGATGGTTCACTTCAACTAGTCATAACTCATTTCAGAAAGGATTTTTTTCCCATATATCTAAAAACTAAAAAAAGAATTTTTTTGGTCTTCTGACATGAAGAAAGCTTATAAATTGAGATGTAGGATTAACATTGTGAGAGTTTCCAAAATTTTTAATTCGTTGAGATCATTTCGACATCGAGTTAAATCTAAAATACCTTCTCACTGAAAAACTTTCGAGGCTTTTGAAGAGTAGGTTCCTGAATAGTGAGAGGTAGGAGAAATTCACCAACAAAAATATCTGAAATTGTCATTTCCAACTTTTTCAGAAGTTATTTTGCAAGGTGTCACCGAAGCTAACTTTGTTTACTTCTAAATATTATTGGACTTTTTGGCTAGATCTTCTGGTTAACTTTCCCAAAACGAAAAGGTTCCAGCTTTTTTTCCACCAACAAATATAGTTTAGTTTCTCTCGGCGCAACAGTATGAATGTTAATAACGGGGAAACCACGACTTCAAAATCTACAGCCGTCACATACAAGGACGGATATTTCACTCGCGCCAATCCACTGATATCACAATAGAACTTCGGCTGATCGACCTGGAGCGCCGACGAGGGCATAGGAAGGAGAAGAAATAAAGTTTAGTTATTTGAAACTTTCCAAACTAGACTCAAATATTTAAAAAACTTGTCGACGATTTATAAAGATCATTCGCTTATATGTAAATTAGTTGCCGAAAGAAAGATTTTTTGATTTATTATCAATTGAGGTACAGTTAGGCATATTTTTTGCTATTAATAACTGTCTCAATGAATTTTTCTTTTTGTCTTATCGTGAAAAAAAGATGGAGCAAAGTCACATCTTTTATTCTGCGAGCTTTAAACGGCACAAAAATTTCACTGAACTTTTTGGAAATAAATCTATCACGAACAATTTGAAAAACAGACAACAAGCTTCAAAACTATGGACAAAAATCATGCTTCAAAAAATAAACTTCGTTTCAACTTGTTTCCCGTTTCTTGACAACTTAAAATTCCCTATCCAAATAAATCTATGTTTTTTTAAATACTATTGCCGACGGTCAAAACGCTACAACCAAGTGACACTGCGAAAATCAGTAAACACAAAAATTTCCTCGACTTTAACGGCTACGCGCTCTCTAGAAAACCGTTTTCGAACAGTTTGTGTGGCTTAAGGAACAAATACTCTATCTCTTCATGAACTCATCAATACTTTCTTTGTTTTGTGCCCTTCCCAGTTTTGCATACAGTTTTCGTATGATAATGCTGGTAGAGATTTATTCGAAAAATCGTCCCTAATTACAAGGGTTCAGTTAAACGTCGGCTTCCTTTTATTTCAATCTTTTTTTTTTGCTGGTGGTTCTCATTTTCTATCCTCCTTCTGTAAAGGAAGCTTGACGTCTTTATAGATTTCCAAGAGAAGGCAAAAATTACCGCGAAGTATTCGAAAAAGAAACAATTTAACAAAAAAAAATGAATAATCAGTGAATTTCAATCAAGGCAAAACGAAAATGCTGAACAACTAATGTGAAAACGGATAATTATAAACTGCTGATAGGAGAAAAGCGAAAGATGATATTCAGTATTGAATGTTGATATTATTTTCACTCCAGTTTTCACTGTCTCATCAGAGCAATGAAAATAGCGATGAGCGATGACATGGTCGCAAAAGTAGTGGTGCCGAAGTTGCATGGAGTATCTTCCTGAACTCATTTCAATAAACCTTCACTGTAAAACAAAATAGAAAAAAGTTAGGACCCTCATTTCACCAATATCTGGATTATACAAAAAAAACTGACTTTGGCGTTTGTGCACTGATAATGGAAGAGCTTGATGGCGTGATTGCCCGATTTCTTCAAACCGTCGACGTTTTCGCCAGAGTAGGCGCATTCGCGGACGACGACTTCATCTTCTTCGACGTTCTGGAATTTTTTTATTTTCTAAATCGTTTCTTTTCACTTTAAATAGCTTTGTGGTTTTCTGAAGTTGGTAAACGCTCAGTTAAAAAAAGCATTTTTAATGAAAATTTGCAAGTTTCAGCACCAAAAGGTTTCGAGAACTAAATAAAAATGCCTGCGTTAATAAGCGGAGTACCCCAAACCTCCGAAGTTTACAAGAAGATGTGTGGATTGTGACTTGCAAGATTTTTTTTAGTGAGCAACATTTAAATTTATAAAATGCTTTGGATTGTTGATCTCCTTTGTGAGTCACGAAGTTTCAGTGAAATAATTCATTATTTGACAGCCGCTATAAAACCTATGACATAGGTAGAACTTCTTCAAAAAAAAAAAATGAGCGTTTTTTCAAGAACAGAGAAAAATCCGTGACTTAAACTTGCCTGGATAGTTTTTCTGCATCCGATAGCTGCGGCACCTTTCATCGGCCCTTCTCCAAGAAGAGGGCAAACCTGAAAACGTTCACATAGTTTGCAGAACTTTTTCACTGAGAAATTTTTCCCTGATTTTTTTTTTGACTTTTTTGGTCATCGGTGAAATACATTTTCTAATGTTTTTTTCTTAGCAGAAAAAAAGTGATGCTCAAAGTCCTTGCCTGCTTGAACGGCGCCAGGCTTCCAACATCGTTTACAGTGCAAGACGGATTATCGTTTGAAGTACACTGGAAACAGGTGGTTTCGGCACTGAAAACATTTATTCTTCTCGACTTGAATTTAGTTTGAAAGAAAATTTTTTTATTGAAAAAATGCCAATTTTCATTTTGAAAAATATTTGATAAGCTCTCAGGAGTAGGTCTATTGACATGAAGGAAGTTACTGACTGTAAGATTCTCCCATCATTCTGGGAAAATTTTTAGTGGCCCCTATAAGGTTTTAACGTTTTAGTGGTCACTATAGTAGCCACATTCAGGGCCACTTAAGGGATTAAAAATTAGTGGACACTATAGAGGTCTAAGAGATACTAGACAACTAAAAATTTTGATGACCACTTTAGGGGTCAATGGATCAACATAACTGGTTCAATCTTTGTTTCAAAATTATCAGAATTACTGGAATGAATACTGGATGAAAAAATACTGGAGTGGCCACTGAAACGGAAAATAGGGGCCACTATAGCGGGGGGTTTAGTAGCCACTTTTGTGTCCTCTCCAAGCAGTCCTTGGCGAACCTCTATAGTGGCCACTAAACATTTTCCCAGTTTATAAAGTTTCTTTCTCAAGTTTAATTGTGTGCAATTGAAAAAAACGGTCAATTCTCGCACAGTTCAAATATTACCTCACTATGCAAAAATTTTCCTGATGCAAGATCACGTTTTTTCTTAGTATTTTTTTTTTACAAGAAAGCTCATTTTAATTTGTGGTTGCGGAATCTCCGAAGTTCGGTCAAACGTTTCACTTTTCTTTTGAGTGAATCGTGAAGGTCTCAACCTGCACAACTTCTTAGTTTTTTAAAAATAAGGGCTCAGAACCCCAAAAAAGCTTATTTTAACGCATTTTGAAGATTTTTTTTTGATTTCGACGTTTCGCCTTTCAAAAACTAGAAAGTTGCGCTTGGGCTTCCAGAATTATCATGTCCATCCAGAAATTTTCTAGTCAATTTGTAGAGAAATCCCAACTCCAAAAAAAAAGAATGACATTTTTTGTTAGCAACGTGATTGAACAATAGCGATTTGGGAAAGCTGAGACTTTCCAAAAAAATTTTTTTATTCGATTTATCAAAAAAATTCACTGAAAATTTTGCAGATGAAAAATGCTTCACATACTGAAAAAAATCTTCTAAGATTCTAATGGAATATTTTTTTGTAAAAAAACATCTTTAGGGTCTCGAATACAGCATCACTCGATCTTTTAAAAAAGGAAAAAAAAATCGAATTGAGCTCAGATGCTCGGAAATTTTGAGTTAATGCATAGGAAAACTGATGAGCTGAACATTTTCAGTTATTTGAGAGCAAATTGAGAAAACCCGTATATTCTTCTACTATTTTATCTCCGAAGTTGAGAAAACCTATCTGTAACCTTGCAAAATGATTTTTTCAAATAAAAAACCTTGGTCTTCTCAGACATGCATCTTTTGGCAGGGAAAACCCGAGAACTGGTTTTGAATGACCTCTCCACATTTTATACAGATCGTTTCTTCCCTTCGTTATCTATTTGGGTATTCCAGCAAAAAAAAACTTCTCTCCAACATTTTTTTCAAAGCGCGAGAAGGCGAAAAATAGAAAGAATCTTGATCTGAGTTCATTTTTTTAACTAACCTGATGGCGACCGCAAGAAGAGACACAAGAACTAGGTAGGAGACTGAGTTCATGTTGGCTGGCCCTGGAAATTTCTTCATTGTTTATCCAACCAAATTGAAAAGTTCCTATTCCACCAAAGAAAAGTTAACAAATGCTGAATCATCTTCAAAAAACGAACATAAAATTATAAGTACATGAAGTTTATAACGCTCAAGACGCTGAAATGAAATGGAATGTCAAAAAAATTCTGAATGGTACGATTAAAACGACTGAAGTTGAATTGAAAGACGATCAGCAGTAATCTGATAACGAAGGCGATAAAAGAAGCGTTTGACGCGCGCCCGTCGGTAAACGCTTTCAAGATAGCGTTTGCAATCTTTTCCTATTTTTACCTAATAGGAATTTTATGAACTTCGTGTATCGGAGAATATTTTTAGATCGCTACAGTTCAAATACCAAGAGGGTTCAGAAAACCATCAAATATTCTCGATGTTTCTTCGGAATGATTTCGAATCAATGTTTCTTTCCAAGTTGGTGATTAGTCGGAACTTTAAAAAATGAAAAACTTGGGAATTGAAACCAAACCATCACATTTAAAAGCTTTCATCTTTTTAAACGAATGCTTTCTTCTGGTAGGAGACAAAAATTTAGATTTTTCAAAAGTATGTCTGCCTCTTTTGGAGCTCGACCTTTTCCCTTTTTTTTGGAAGTTAGCAAAGTAATCATTTGTAATCAAGTTCATTGGGCATAAATTTCGAGTATTATCTACAAACTGTGTCAATATTCAAATTTGGAGGCTTCGTAAAGCTTTGAGAATAGCCGATAAAATACTATGAGGAAAATAATAAAGACAGATTGTGCATAAAAGTTTCTTGCATAATGCTTTTTTGAATTGTGACTGGATCTAAGTTCTCAAGTTCGCAACATTTCGAATGGAAGCAGAAGCAAAAAAGCGTTTGATGGGCAGTGGAGTGAGGAAATGGGTGCCTCGGTGGCAGCTGGACGCAAAATGCGCCTGGCAGGAAGACGACGGAGTGTGCAAACGGACGGGTTACTGGGTGGCATCGATCAATCTCCGCTCCTCACATAAAGCGTGTCTTCCGTTCTTTTCTTCTTCATTTTGGGTTACCGAAAACTGTCACACAGGCCAAACAGTCAAGTAATTGGAACGCAAAGTTCTTCTGCATTGAAAATGATACGATGTTTCTTAGCTTCGATTTATCGACAACATGAAACAAAAATCGTTATAATCATTCTTTCTCTGTAAAAACTGCCTTCATATAATTCGCTTCAAACTTACAGCAGAGAATCAGATAATAAGCAAAATGAGAAACCCCAATGGTTTCTCCAGCCGTTTGGAAGACGATTTTCCAATGAGGTGTTTATTTTAAACTACTGCCAGGAGAATAGGAACACGCCAAATACGGAGTTATATGATACAATTCGGCTGGAAAACTTTTTTAAAAAACATTTGAAAGTCATCTTCATACAAACAAAGGTTTTTGATAAGCGAAAAATTGAAAAATGAGTAAGATAAGACTTTAAAAACCAGCTGATTTCAAAATGACTTCAAATCGGTCGGTGAAGTTTAAACCTCTTCTTTCGGCTCCCAAGCTAGGTCATGTTACTTTGTTTTTGATAAATTCCTAAAAAATGAGCAGAAAAAACTTCTTATATACCAAAAATGGTCCCGAAAGTTTCAACGTATTTTTCGAAAGAAGGCACCTCCGAGTCGAAGAAAACTTTCAAAACCTGTTGAAACAAGCCACTTTAAACTCTCCTTTCTTAAAAACTGGAAAGAAAAATGGTTGAAACTTTCAAGATTATTTTTTGGTACATTGAAGAGTGCTCTGGCCAGTTTTTAGATGTTTTCCAATGACAAAGTAAAAATACTTACCTTGTCTGAACCAAAAGACTTCATGGAAAATAAGTCGTGAAGGATTGAAAACAAATAAAGTTGAATTTTAAGTTAAAATTTATACAGTTTTCAGAAAAGATTCTCTGCTAAATTATGAAAACGAAGAAGAGTTGATCGTTAGTCTTGAGATCACGTTTACCAAGAATGACTAGTAGATAATAATGCTTCTCTTTGAATAGTGAAGTTAGAAAATTGAGCGTTCAGATCAGATCAAGATCAGCTGCCTATATGAGCAGGCAGTACGGAGCCAAGCTTGTCCAGCGCTGACGGGAGTTGGATTAAATCTCAGACAAGAGTGGAAAATAAGGCTAACCATTTGAGAGGAAGAAACGAGATAATATTGAAAAAACGAACGAAAAACCAAAAAAATTAATTAAAAACCCAATTCTGATACCTAGCCTGTCAAACCTATTGTGAACGTAGGTAGCAAATATTAGGAGGATCTCAATCTACAAAACTCTTCAGTTTTCAAGAGAAATCTCTTCCAGTCGATCACACGGTTTCGCGAAAGAAAATTTCCACTTGAAAACGAAAGTAATATCAGGGTAGAAAAACTAATGAAACAAGATAAAGCTTTTTTCATTTGTGCGCTCTTCTTGGCATTCCAATTAGTCTCAAAAGATTTTAATTGATGTTAAAGTTTTCTTAAAATATGATGTTACCGGGAGCCTGCTCATGTTTTTGAGCTGACTAGGGAACTACTCGGACTCGGGTACGTGTTTTGAGTTGATACTGTGGTGGCTTATAGACCCGGGTAAGAGTACTTAAAAACAAGCAAGATTATCTACCAAACCCCATAGGCTTCTGAGAAAAACCTTTTTGAAAATGAACAGTTTAGGCTTGAAAATTATCAAATTTTTGCTTTCCTCCTTCTTTTGACTGGAAAAAAGTTTTTTAGAGTGCATTATGGCCGGATCATCCAAGGCGATTGTATTAAAATATAAAATAAGGTAAAAAGCAATATTCTGAAAATTCTCAGGCCTAATTTTTCACATTTTTCTACTAATATTTTTCTCAGTTCCCGGTCGGGTTTAGCAGATATTCTCTCTCGTTTTTCAAGTTCTCTGACTTGGGTCTATAAACCACTGAATTCTCAACTTGAAACCCGCACCCGAGTCCGAGTAGTTCCCTAGTAGTATCTGTATGGTACTAAATTTTTTTCAAATCGCCTTCCCGCGATGAGTTTGATAACAAGAGCACTGAGAAATTTTTCTCTAGTTAATTTTATTTTGCTTTTTTTTCAAGGTGGTTGGATTACATGTTGTCCTATTCCGTATAGTAATCACCATTTCCTTCTTCAAATCGAAGCTTTCTTCGTTCATTTTTTCGTAATTTTATAGTGTCCTTTTTCATGATTTATCTCGATATGCTGAAAAAAAGGTGCACATCTACAGTTTCTAAAGAAATATTCCACTAAATATAACTTTCATGGTTCTCTGCCTCCACGCCACAGATCTGTCTCCGAGCGAAATTAAAAACATTTCATTAAATCCGTTCGCTAAAAAAATTGAATTTAACCGGATATTTTAATTATTTTTCTTTCTTTCAAATTTTATGAAGTTTTGAGAAACGTTCGAAATTTCAGAAAACTGATTCAAAAAATTACAATCAAAATTTTAGAGAAACTGTTTTCAAGAACTGACAACTTGTATTTTTTTATTGATCCGTTCCTTGATTTTCCCTTCGAGTTCAATTATTCAGAGAATGAAATCAAAAGTGGTACTCCAGACTTATTTTAAAAATTTGCGACGATAAAATTTGCGACGATAAAATGCAAGTTTTTCACTGACCTATTCAAATGTTTGTAACTTGTGAGAACATAGAAAAACATGTTGATTTGAGAAATTGATGAAATTTTTCTGAAAGTTATATAGGCCATCCTGATTCGGAATCCTGATCAGCCAGAACAGCGGGTCCTCCTCTTTTTTTCTACAATTTATATTATCAAGTCGATGTTTGTCAAAACTTTTCAACAGCTTTAAAAAGATGAAGACTTTGGAAAATCCTGTAAAACCAACTATCAAAAAAAAAGAAATAGCGCAAGTTGAAATTAGAGGCTTTTCCAGAAGCAAACAGAAAAATTTGAGCACAAGAAACGTGGCTCATCTTTTAAACAAACAAACTTCCAACGAAAAGTAAAGCTAAAATCGAATTTTTTCGGGGACGTTGTGAGGAAAAGAGAATTTTTTTTTGATGTCCGGAAAACTGCAACTTCTTTCTTTTTCAATCTTTCTAAAAAATTTTCCAGATTATTTTAAAAAAGAGGATTAACTGAAAGACGTATAATCAAGTTTTATCATTCAGTAACAAAAATCCAACAAAAGTCGAATCGTTCGTTAAAAAAATGAAAGTAGAGTAGCACTTGCAATAAATGAAAGTTGAGTAGCAAATTTAAGAAAAAAACTATGACAGAAAGGAAAGCAATAAAAAAATAGGTTTATGACAATTTCCGCAATTATGTGCGGCAAGAAAAAAAGTGAAAGCTTTCAGAATCGACATGGAATCCTAGAAAAAAATTTCAAAAAAATTTAAAAAAATAACCACTAGAAAATTTATTAAAAAAACATTCAATGGGAACATAGAAGAGTGAAAAGTGCAGGAGAAGATGCGAAATCTTTGGAAATCGATGAAAATAGTCAATAAATATATAAGTTGAGATAAGTTTAGTTTTTTTCTCATTGTGAGAAAATTTCAGAAAGTTCGGACAGTTTAACTCCTATTGGAGACTGGAACAGGTGAAGAAGAAGTTCTGATGGAAGATGGTCCACTGGAGTCCGTTCCGTTTGATGAGCCTGTCGACGAAGGTGGAGGAAAGTCGAAATCACCCAGCATCGCCTGAAAAATTCCGGCTGCGTTTTTCAATAGAAAACAAAGAATAAGTCAATAATTTAGAGGACTTTCCTGAATTAGGCTGGAACGTGTTTTTGAGATTGTTAACAATCACTCAAATTACTAGAAAACTTCAGACAATAAGAAAATCTTCCCTGTGAGCCAATTTCGAGCGCATTCTCAAAACTTGTATTTTTGAACTTCCTTAGTGATTACAATACACCTCATATTATCTATAGTACTTTTTCAATGTTTTCTTTCAAAACTAGCCTTGAGCCCGACGATGTCTCCTTTCACAACCAGCAGTTGGGGGAGGTTGCGGAAGTCTTCAAGGACTTCGTAGTTTCGACAGAAGTGGACAATAACCTCAAAATTATCACTTCAAACTATATTCCAAATGCTTGTTCTAAGTTGTTCTGCAATAAAAAAGAAACCGTGAAAACCTGACGATAAAACTATTTTTCGCAAATTGCGTTGAAATTTTTGCGTTCCATAAAAAATTGAAAGCTTAATCTTGAAAGTTTTTATGAAAGTTTTTGACAAGACTGAGGTATTATTATAATTTAAACTCACCTTTTTAAGGTTTTTGTGATTAGCCAGCTCTACTACCGTCCCTCTATTGATTTTTTCCAAATCCAACTCTCGTAGATAAATGAACTGTAATATAAAACCACCATAGTTTATTTTTCTGGTCTGACAAACTTGCAACTTCGGCATCTTTCTAGCCATGTATGAGAAAAGAGTATCAGGTAGAAAAGGATAATCAACAGGTTTGTCTACCAAACAAACACGTTCAACCCGCTGTTCGAACTTCTCGAGAATCGCCATCAATGGTGCCTGAAAATTCATTCCATATTACGAGAAAGAAAACAAAATTTTTTTCTCTGCATTCTCGACAAAATTGTGAGAGTTGCTTCGAAATATCTGCAAAAACTTTCAAGCTTTTTTTATTTGGAGTACACCCTATGACGCAAGAAAGACGAGGAAGTTCCGGGAAGTTCGCATTTCCTCTCAACCAAAGCAAAAAAAAAAATGGGGCCAGCTTGAAACTCTTTTAGAGTCATTTGGGAAAAGCCCTCCCGGAATCCATTCTGAAGTCAAAAAAGGAAAAAAAAAACTTGAAAGCCTACTTGAAACAAAAACTATCTACTCCAATACTCGAAAAGAGTTTTTCTTCTTCAAAAAAGTTGCCTATTAGAGCATTTTTTCGAACAGACTCCAAAATCAGTTTTTTTCGTCAGTGTTGCAGCAGCGTTGATTAATTCAAAAACCCATGAATTTTCAATGACTCCTGAAAGAAGGAAAAAACCTACTTCATGTTCGTCGAAATGACAAGAGCAGCAGTAGATGTAGGCTACCTGCCGGTTCCAAAACACCGGCCCATCGAAACTAATGTTTACTGTCATTTTTTCGTGACCTGGAATAATGAATGATGCTTTTCTGAGCTTCTCGAGTAGATGACAAACACCTTCTCCCGAGGAAGATGATTTTGCTTTTTGGTTAAATTTTTTTCAAAGTTTTACCAGAATCCCTTTTTGATTACCCAATTCATTTTTTGAGTATCAATCAAAACATCATTTTCTCGAAAAAAAGTTTAAAGTTTTTTTCAGAAACTTCTTGAAGCGTTTTTTTCAAATGCTTTTCAAAGGGTTTTTTTAATAAAGAGTTCTGAAGGATGAAGCTTAAAACGTTTTTATTAGTAATTCCTTTTTCTGACCCGTGACTATTATCCAAATGTTCTTTGATTTGTAAATGGTTCTCGGGAAGAATTTGATCCAAGAGTTGATCAACGAAAGATGTTTACGTGCTCATCCAAGAAAATCTAATTTTTTTTCCAGACAGAAACATTTAACAAAGAACACACCCAAAGCTCCTCGATTCGGTCAACTACCGTAATCACCTTTGAAGAGCGTCAACAAAAAAGTCATTTCCCGGCTCGTCAAGCACGAACTGAGCAGAAGAAAAAGCTCGAAAATTGGCTGAGCACCGTAACCCTTTTTTTTTCCAACTTTCGCTTTATTTGGCAATTTTCCTGAGAGCACTAGTGTCTTCACAAGTCTTATAAGAGAAAACGCTCTTGATTGCAGGAAGAAACTAAAAAAAAACCTGAGCAGTGATTTTTGCGAAAGATGATGTATACCCAGACGGGCTTGTTTTCATTTCGTGACAGCTCCATGACGGTCGACACGACTTTTGTTATCTTCTACCCTAAAATATCAATCATGACTAGAAGAAATCAAGAAAAAGCGCGATTCACACAAATATGAAGAAGGAGATACGACGTGAGTACACTCTCATTGAATGTGTGACTGCTAGAAATAGATTTTCTATGGCAAAAAAACAACAGATGGGTAACATTGACCATGTAGAGTCCATCTAATAACGTTCTGTGCTAATTTAGGGACTCCATCGATACAATACTTTTCTACTTACTTACTTAGATACTTAGATGGTCCATCTTCGCTTTCGACCATTTATTGCCTTATATTGATCGAAGCGTGGACCACACATTTTTCAAAATGCATAAATTAAAGATTACTTTTTACGTTTTTTTTTGTTTTGTAAGGGGATCAGTGACTAATTATCTGCCATACTGTTTTTGATTTTTCAAATTATTTAAATAAATAGTTTATTGAATACAAAGTTGGCTTATTTTATAAACTTTTTCAGAGAAAAAAACTCGTAGCATGCATGTAAACGTTTTTTTCATGAATTAAATATCATTACCAGTCATGTTTTTAGTTCTTGATTAAACTGGAACGGAAATGAAATCTGAAATAGACGGGAAGTGGGAAAAATGATAAAGGACAGAATAGGAATGGGCAGATCTTTGTGGAGGCGGAAAAGAGGTTCCTCTCAGGGGACAACTCTGCAAATGGCAGCAGCCGATACTTTTTCTCGCCCCCAATGGCTCGTTTTTTTGCTACCTTAACTTGCGGAAACAGAGCCGCACCCTTCAGGAAGTGGTTCCAATCCCCCTGCGAAGAAAAATGAGAGAGAATCTCATAAAAATTTTTGGTGAATAGAGGAATGTAAGCCAACTTGCAGCGACTCATTACGAAGAACTCGAAAAAGATTCCCATTAGCGTGCATTTTTTTAATGTGATCATAAAATCCTCTCAAAGCGTTGAGCTGAAATTCGCATGAAAGTGATCGTAAATTTGGACACTTCAAAGTAATTGAACTTGCAATTCTGTGGAATTTGTGATAGTAGGCTGGAATACAAGGGTGCAATTGTTCGCAGGTTGCCTTGAAAAAAAAAAATCAAACAAACCTGGAACCCATGTACCTTCAAATACAATTCTCTTTAGGTAAAGGTCTTTATAAACAAATTATTGAGAAGTTGAGTGTGAATGGGAATGATCTTTTTTTAGAGGTTTTGTCTTTATTTTCTTACCCCGTTTTGAAGTGGTTATACTGTATTCGATGGAATTAGGAATCCGCTTGAGAAAAAAAAAAATTATCTCAGAAACTGCGAGGTAATTAAGTTTTGGTTAGCTTAGAAGGAAGCAAAAGTCTTTGAAAAACCGAAAAACAAGTGAGTCTCTTTTGGAACTGAGGATAAGGAAGAAGTTGGAGATTGGAAGAAAATGTGCAAGCCTTGGGGATTTTTAATTATCATCATTACTTTGCTTGATTTTGATACTGTCTGAGCTCATGGCAAAAAAGTTAAATTTCGGAGATAATTTCTTGTTTTTTTTTAATAGGATCGCTTTTCTTGATTGCCCTTTTTTATGAAATGAATTTTTGAACACAGAGTCCGTTTGAAACTGAAAATCTCCAAGCCTATGATAGGAGAATGAAACTTTAAAGTGAAGAGCCCACTTCTGAATTACAACAAACTATCGAATTTGCTCTTGGCGTCGACTTAACTCTAAAATTCATCTGCACCGCTGTGAAGAAATAAATGCGCAGCTGTACGATGAGCGTTTTGAACCGAAAGGCGATGCAAAATGGCAAATGTGCGTTGGAATCGAGTTGCAACTCGAAACTCCTCAAACAAAACTGGCGACAAACCAAAGCGTTGAGTTCAAAATATTGCACACGGAAGTATGAAAACTCCTCAAACCCCGTCTTTTCTGAAATAAGACCTTCTCTCCGAAAAACGGAAGTTGAACTTCCGTCACGGGTTTGAAACTTTCTGTTCTCTTTTGTAAAAAAAACCTTGATCAGTGATTCACCACGCTGTTTTCAGAGGGCGTTTTTCAAAGGTTCTAAAAGCCCTGGAGAAAAATGATTTTTTTTAATTCCTTTGAATAGTGAAACTCAAAAAATAATAGCCAGGTTTTATTTAGACTTTACAATACATTAAAGGGTGGGAAGAATGCTCAATTTCTAAATGAAAAAAAATTTGGAAAAAACTAATAATCCAAAGTCAAAATTGAAGTTTTTTTGGAGAAAGCTGCTTTGGAAAGAAGCTGGAAACAGGCTTGAATGCAATACAAAGAAGAGAGAAAAAAAAATTGACCAATCGGCTAGCAAAAGCCACGCACCCAAACAAAGTAAGGGGTTCGGACGAAAGTTGAGAAAAAGCCGAAGAGAGAGACTACATTTGATGAGATGCTGCGTTTCTCAGCGTGCATAAAAACGGAGAGAGCTCCTATCGACGAGCCCGACGAGCAGCTGGCTGCTTGCCGGAAAAATTTTCTCTCTGCTCTCAATAAAGCTAGCGCCTACGACATTACATCAAGTTGTTGCCTTTTTGGGCTGTCCAAAAGATTCTGACGAAAAAAAATGTTTATGGTCGCCAGTTGAAATCGTAATGAAATTCAGCAGTTTGTTTATTTTTCTTAAACATCCCTTCCGGACTTATGCCAAATGATAGACAAATGAAGATGGAGTAGATACAATAAAAAAAGTGGTCAACGTTCAAGAAGCGGGATAAATAGTCTTAAAGTAGATAGGTAAGAAAATTTCTGTAATTCGGAACTAAAAAACCTTTGAAAAAATTTCGGCACCTGTGTATCAAAATTACCGGGAATGGAAGATGTTTTAAATCAGAAAATTAGTTTTTTTTTTCATAGTCTGTTTCTAATCTTTTCTCGTTTTGCAGTCCGTTCAGTAAGACTTTGGAAATTATTATGAGAAAAACTCAAATTTTGCGCAATCACCCTGTAGTGAGGTTTCTAGTGGTTGCAGAGTTGAAGTTCTGAAAGATTGCCAAAAATTTTCAGCGAGTTAAATAAGCACTCCAGTCGTTTGCGGTCGTACAAAAAAAGATAGCATTTGGTTTAAAATATCTTTTATTTGGCTGATATAGTCGGTATAAAAAAAGTTTCAATTGAGGTTTGATAATGTGAGTTGAAGAAACAATAAATAGAACTTCACAGAGAATCTAATATCCGGGAGCAGTTCTTGGTGGAGGACAGTGAGAGCAGCCACCTTCCTCGCCGGCCTCGCCTGAAGATTCGATTCGAAGTTCAATCCTCTTTTCTTCGTTATTTGAATTATTCATACCTTGAGCTCCATTCTCGCCATCGGCGCCGGACTGACCAGGAAGTCCGTCAGTTCCACGATCTCCTGGTCCTCCTTTCGGTCCTTTTCTTCCTGAAAGATTAATTGAAGCGAAAGATATTTGCAGTTGTTTGTACCTGGCTTTCCGTCTCTTCCGGGCTGTCCATCAGGTCCAGCTGGTCCTGCTGGCCCTCGCGGTCCTCGTGGTCCAGCCGGAGCCTTTACCTCAACAACTTTACCAGGAGTACCAGGCTGACCGTCCTCTCCAGCAGGACCATCTTCTCCTGCTGGACCTTCTGGGCCTTTCTCGCCACGTTTTCCTGGCTTTCCATCTCGTCCCGGTTTCCCGTCGGGTCCAGGCTTTCCTGGTCTTCCGTTTGGTCCAGCGTTTCCTTGCTCTCCTGGTGGGCCGGCTGGACAGTCAAACTTCCACACTGGTTTTTGATGCGGTCCAGCGTCATCAGCTGGATGACCGTCTTTTCCAGGCGCTCCATTTTGTCCGTCTTTCCCAGGAGGTCCTGGAGGTCCTGCTGGTCCTGCTAGACCGACACCGCAGCTGCAACATTTTCCACCGTCTGAAGAAGCTGAGGAAGATGCGGCGGCATCGTAGTTCTGCGGAGCGTGCGAAGGACTTCCCTTTCTAGGCTTTGGACGACTAGAAGCATCAGAATCCACTGAAATTCAAAATAATCGAATTATAAAAAAATTCGCAAAAAGATTCAATTGTTTTTCTTTCCATCCATTAGTAAAATTGGATATATGCGTTTTATTCTGATTCACCATTATATCCAGTTTGTCGCTTGTTCCTCAAAGTGTACATGTTTGTCGTTTCCAACATTTTTGCCAAGTTTTTAGCGCCTTCTTTGCAAAAATCCACCTAAACAGGTCTTTGAATCACAATGAAAAAGGATATAAACTTACATCACTATTGACCGTACTCTGAATATGCTGAAGGTACGTGTAAAGACCAGGTACAAGAATTATGCAAGCGACGGCAGCGGCAGCGCTGAAAGAGATTTCTTCAAAAAGTATTCGAAAATCGGATGTTTCATTGTGTTCTAAGAAGAGAAAAATATTTCCTTGCTTTTTCAAAAGTTTTGAAAAAGGGAAAACAACCAGCAAGAATCTTTTTGAATAGAAGATTTTTAGCTTCAACGAGAGTTTTCAAATATTTTTTTTTTTTTTAGTTTATTTTTTTACATTAATTTTTTTCTTAATGCTATGTGAAGATCTGAGGGAAGGTTTATCGTAAAACTTGCACTTTCATGAATTTTCTGTTTCAAAGATATGAAATCTAAAACTCAGGCTTAAGCACGCAACTTTTAGAATCCATAGCTACAGAATTTCAAAGTTACACGAGTAGCTCTGAATCAGATTTTCGAGGGAAAATCGGAAAAATTTGATTTTAGAATAAGAAAAAGATACTTTCTGAAAAATTGAATACAATATGTATTGCTTGGAACTCAAAGCTCAAACCAACCTCACGACGATGCCGACGAAAGCGACGCGGCGAAGTTCATCTTCTTCGACGTTGCAAAGTTTTTCGTTGTCGACACGGGACGTCATTGTCTGCCAACATATATGCTTTTCTTCCGCATTTTATATTTTTGCCATGGCGCAACTTTGAGGCTAAAAAAGTGCACCGACGAGTCACGCTTTCACCCGTTCTTTTTTTCTGATAAAACCCTATTGGGAGATATGGCGCGTCTAAGGGAAAACCGCACAGATTAGCCTTCCGCTTGCGGTGTGACATCGTCCAACGTTATTTATCGTCTTATGACCAGGAAGAGATCAGATAGTCAGATTTATTCATGCAGCTCCTAGGGTTGAAAGGTTCCTTTCATGTAAAGGAATAGTTAACTTATTCAGATTTTTATATAATTTTTTTACAATTTTTTTCCATTTCATCAAAAATCTCAGGTTCAGTCGACTTTTTTTGTTTCTAGCGTAAAATCCAAACGTTTCTTCTGAAATTTGATTAAAAAAATACTCTTTATACAATCAACATCTTTTTTGCTGAAGCTTCGAGAAAATCAGTTTAACCTTATATTAGACAAGAGCACTTCTTTTCTTTATTGAGACCATGTCATTTCTTTGAAACCAGTTTCAAGTTTTTTGATCAGTTTTCTCGCATAAATTCATTTCCCACAGGTTTGAAAGCTTCATGAACATTTCAAAAGCGATAATGAGTGAAAAATTCAAAGCCTGGAAAGTCTCAACTGAAAAATCTGTTTCATCAGTTTTGCAAAAAGTAACAAAAATAATTTTTCTTGCGTTATATCTTTAAAGTTTTCATAACCCTTATTGATAGCCTCTTGAAAAAAAAAATGAAAACCCAATCAAATTTTTTGAAAATCAATAATCAAAGATGGTTTCAATGGAGCAGATCGGCTCGGATAATTCAAAAGAGCTCAATCTCCTCGACAGTCTTTTTGGCTTATTCAGAAGAGTTCTCAATATTCGAACTTTTTTTGATCTTCCATTCCAATTTGGAATCGACTCTGCCTTAGATATGCTCTCATCATTTCGTCACCAAGCTTTAGAAGGATCCTCGACTCGCTCGACAGCAACGAACTGTGAGCCAACTTACCAGCCGGACTCCTTTAACAAACTTCTTCTCTCAATCACTTGCATTCACGTGTATAATTAGTATCGGTAACTACACTCTTTTTGGTGCTAAAAATCGGATTTTTCCTCATGTCCTCATTTTTTATGTTCCAATTCTTATTTCTCGATTTTTCTACGGCGAAATGTCTTTTTGGGTGAAAAATTCGTGGATCTAAAAAAAACCATTCAGTTAAATTTTGTAAATTGAAAACTCAGCTCTTCAATATTTCTTTTTTTTAAAATAACGATGAGAGAAATATTTATTGAATACTCACACTTGTACAGACAAAGTGATGAAGCAAAATAATAAGACCAATGAGATACAATCAAAACTGAAATATGAGAAGGGTAACAAGTTGTTTTACCGGTACAACATGAGTTTGTTACCATGCCAGTGTCTCGAACGAGTTAGTAAATTTCACAATACAAGTTTAAGGCAGAAAGAGGAGTGATTGCAGTGATTGTGGATGTCAAAAAATGAACAATAGCCGTGAAGAAAATAGCAGTGTTTTATACAACAATTTCGCATGAATTGTGTTTCCTGATTGACCGTAGTTGAGCGGTAAAACTAAGCAAAGGCAAATTGAACCATATGTATAATGTGAAAGTGAAAAATCGGTCATGACATGTTCAAAAAAGCTCTCGTAGCAATTGGCTATCTTTTTCAGATTAGCAGGACGAAGTAGTCGTGGTGCCGTTTTCCGAACGGTCATTATGCAGATCGACCTGAAAAATTTTTTTCTTTGCGCGGCGGAATGGAACAAGTGCAAACGGAGATGAGAAAAATCATGGCTTGATCTGGAACCATTTCGTTTACATAAATATAAGCTCAACTAACGTTTGATGTTGTTAAAACTATGAGTTTGAAAAGAGAGATTTCGATAAACACCATTGAGATTAAAGTAGAATTGGTGCTCAACATGCACAAAGAAAATCGACCCTCAAACCAAAGTCAAATATTTCTCGAATCGTTCTTAATTTTTCAAAATCATCATGTTTATTCTGTAACTAATGAAACAACTTTTTTTTGAACGAACTTTCAACGATGGTTTTTTTCAGAGCCGGACTGAATCAAACAAAAAACCAACAGTCACTCGGTTGATGGGAGCTCTCGTAGGATAAGATGGACAGGTGGCGACGCCGGGGGGCAGCGGATACGAGGAAAAGCGCGCAGAATCTTCGACTTCTTCCGTCTCGTCGTCTTGAAATTTTTTTTTCATTTTTTGAATATTCAGAATTCATTTAAATTTTTGTTCAAATCTGCTAGCAAAACGCTTTTTGAGGATGGGAAAAGTCTTTCAAACAGGTATCTCTAAATCGGATTCCGAGAAATACTAAAAATTTGCCGTGGACCTCCTTGATATTCTGAAAATTTGATCGTATCATGCTGTAGAAATTCCGATCAATTTCTTTTCAGAATGTCAAAAAGGCCCATTTTTTCATATGTCGATATTTCATCAAATTTGTCTGCTACACGAGAAGTTTCTTGATTATCTCTCCTCCTGAAAGTCTTTATGTTTTGTTTACCTGAAAAGTCACGGAATTTCCAGGAAATATCATCAGGATCTTCTGTGTTGCGAGAGGTGTCGAAAACGTTGGAAGCGTCCACTCGGATGGTAGCTCTAACCCTGAAATTTCAAAATCCTATTTTTTTCTTATTATTAAAGTAACGCTAATTTCCAATATCGAACTCAATTTGATCCGTTTTTCAAGCACGATATTTTTTTCCTTTTCAGAATATTCATCTATCTAGGCGTTTCTTCAGTTTTAGAGCCTATGAAATATACTATAGTTAAAAAATTCATGACCTTGTTATTGAAGTTAAAATGAAACTCCAGTCTTTCATAAAAGGCGCTTTTTTATTTGGATACATGTGAAAACTATTATCTCTTTTTGTTTTTTTAAAACTAAGGAGTAACAGTAAGGTGTTCTGTGAGGAAAAATATGTCGTAACTGAGCAAAATGAAACTTACGGCGGAGGTGGAGGGGGAACTTTAGGCCTTTGAAGAGTCATGCACTGGGATTCGTTGATGACAAGGACGGAGGTGCTCCCTTCGGACTGAAACATTTTCTCATATTGGTAATATTAATGAAAAATCATTGAGGTGTACATTTTTGCCTACTTCTCTCATTAGCTTGAAAAATCGATTTTTTCAGAACGAGCCTATGTTTTCCTCAAATATATTTTGGTGAGAATCGAAAATTTTACAAGCTTCCCTATGTGCTCTGCATGTCATGCCAAAAATGACCGTTAAACTGAGGCTGGATCATCCGAGAATTTTTGTCCATACTTCAATTTTTTCTCTCCAATTGCTTTTATTGACAAGGAAAATGAAGAATATTCATGACCGTACAAACATCCAAATCTTTCAAGAAAAATATCAAAACTGACCGAATTTGGAGAAGCCAACTTCCGATGTTGATAGGGACTGGCCGCCAACATTGTGATTTGACCAGTGCCATAGGGGCTCGAGTTCTGACGACGACGTCTCTGGAGCCGCTTGAAGTTCTCGAAGCACCCGAGCATTTTGCAGGCTCCGTAGCGGTAGGTGACTAAGAAGAAACAGCAAACGAATGTGCAAATCGCGGAGACCAACAGAAAAATCTGGAAACGTTTATTAAGAGGTTTGAAAGCTTTGAAATGGAAAAAATGGAAAATGACGCCGATCGATTCCAAATCAAACGGGAATTTTCTCAGGCAAAAAATTATGACGTTTTGCAAATGTTTAGGGTTCTGGCTGACATCAAGAGCACAAACAACTTTGAATGGATAGTTACACCAAAAAATTTTTCAACTATTTTAGTTACTGTTAAATGTTGTAGAATACGTTGCCGCCGGCAAACATATAATTTGATCAGACAATGATATCTTTTTGAAACAAATTACACAATATAATAATTGCTTATTAGAAATTTTTCCATTGATCCACACAAAACTATCAGACTCTTTAGGAAAAAGTTATGAAAAAAATTAGGATGAAAATCATGTGAGAAAGAAAAAAATAGTTAAGTGAAGTCTGGCGACTACGAGCTGACGGCAACAAGTTGATCCGCCGCTGCAAGGGCGAACCATTCACTCGCAACAGTTGCTTCCGTGTTACAAAGTGCTGCCGCAGTTACTCGCATTACTATTGCGGCAATTTGGTTGGTATCGCATAAACTTCTCGTGCAGCCATTTACGAATTTTAAATTCATTTTGAAATAAAACTTCTCGAAAGCCTGATAGAGAGAACAACTTCTGGGTTGAACTCTTTGTTTCAACTGGAAAATTGAGCTTAATCCACGGCTCAGCTGGTTTAAGACTGGTTCAAAAAAAGCATGATTTTCAGAATGATTCAACAGTTAAACACCTGAAAGAATGCGTCTATACTCCACTCACCAAAAAAGCCGGGTGCATACGGTAGCGGCAGGTGTAAGGCTGGCAGTTGAAGTCAAGACAGCGGCTGGGAATACCACAATCGCACTGCTCGCCGTCTTCGACGACACTATTTCCGCATAGGGGCTCACTTCTACAACGCAAACAAATTGGAGAGAGATCACAACTGGTTATCGCCCACGCGACGACGTGCTTTTTACCTTTTTGTGTGCATTAACACGGCTAATATTGCACGCTCTGGTCAACAACTCTTGGCTAAATACTGTTAGTGCGCGCCAGACTTTTGTATTAGATCACAGTTTCAGTTGGTTTTTTCTTGCTTGGAATTCAAAAAAACATTCAAGAAAAGGGAACTCAAACGAAAAAATCCGTTACATTCTTAGCTCGACAAGGCCCAACTTGATCAACAACACGTATAGAGTTCTAGTTCGCCAAAGGCGGTTTTAAGACTTGGCTTCAAAAGTTGTTATTCAGCACACAGTCAGTTTTATCCGTGACTAAAAAAACTTTGCGTTGAAAGAAATTCAATTCCGCTTAAAAATCAGTTTCCAAAAAAGATTTTTTTCAATTTGAAAAACTGAATCGAAACGAATTTTTGAGTTCTTCTAACACTTCCGCAGACTTTTTGTAGTCCACAAAATCTGACCCAATGTGCGATGTTCACATCAGATACCTTCTAATTAAGTTTAGACCAGCATAAGCAATTGTCCAGTGGAAACTGGAAACTGATCGCCAGTCTGTATGTGTAAGGGGAAAAGTTTCAAAACGCTGCGGCAGGAGCATATGACGCTAATGAGTGACTTTTTTTTGTTTGAAAATGACTTCCATTCAAAAAATTTTGTTGAGAAATTTGAAGAAGCTCAGTATGAAGACTGACTTCAAGCAATACTGTAATGGTGATAAAGAATGAAATCATCTGAATACTGAACGTGATTAATGAGATCTGCTGAATGCATAACTTCAAAACAAAGAAGGGCAAAGTTAAAAGAAAAAAAATTCAGTACATTCTGAATTTTTTTGAAAAAGAGCAAAATGCCAAAAATTTTACGCCGCGCACCCACTGAACGTTTCGTAAGAAATTTTTCCACTCTCAGCTGTGTACTGCACTTTCTTCGTTTCTACGATTTCGCAAACACGTGGGGGGTTTCTGACAGCTTTTTTTGAATGATGAATTTGGGGACAAACGAGCTTTTTTTCTCAAAGAGTTAGTTCTCGGGCTTTTGGTTATTTGTAATGAACAAAAATTAGATTATTAATTTTTCTACTGGAAAAACAATAGTACAATAGAAAAATGGAAAAGCAGTGAAGAATCGAGTTCGATCAAAATAGGAAAAATATCGAGTTTTTGAGAACGTTTTTGAGATCAACACGCTGTGAGGCGTTTTTAGTACCGAATTCAGCGGTTAATCATTCTTGAAGATCTATAGGAAACAGGTGCAGCAACGAAAAGGGAAAACACCCATTTTTCTTCTGAAAAATTATCTCGCAAATGTGGAAGAACATGATTTTTGATGGGTCTTCATAGGAAAAATTATAAATCTCTACTTTGATGTTTTTTCGTCTTCTACATCATGGAAAGACTTGATCAAAATAGACACATATTTTGATCTACTATTTTTGAAAAACGAAATTTTCAAGAAAAAGGAAACATTACGTGAAAAGAAAAATTTTTCATATCATTTTTTAGAAATAAACATCAAAAATTCAATCAATTTACCTCGTAAAAAGAGGGTATGTAGAAAGGCACTTTTTTTTGTAGATCACGTTGACAAAGTGTTGAGCGGTACATTCGTGTGTGAATCCGCTGCAAACATAATTTTTGCTTTTTTTTAACAACAAAAAAAATCCGAAATGCCATGATTACGAATCAAAAATGAAACTCACGGTATTTTCAAACACTCTTTTTTGGTCTTCCCGTCATTTTCGTCACTGTTGGCGCATTTGCAGTTGGAAACGTACAATGTTTCATTGTCTGGCAAATGTGGGACTCCGACCAAGTGGGCTATTTCGTGGAAATAAATGGCTCCCATAGCTCGAGGCTCTTGCGGATAGAACTGAAAAACAAAGTTGGCGTTACTGATCTGTGAAAATTTGACTCATTTGATGTCATTTTTGACCGTGTTTTCTTGTTTTATGATAAGAGCTTGTTTTAAGATTTAAAAAAAACTACCGCACTGGAAAATTTTTTCCAGATAACCAGTAAAAAAAACTGAGATTCTCGTCAGGTTTTCTCTCAAAAGCCCCTCGAAAATTAGGCGTCTTATGGTGAACAAGCTCTCGCAATTAAAAGCTCCTTAGGCTGGGGCGCGTCGTCGCTGATTGAATCCACCGAACGGCAATTTCCCGCAGCACATGCATTAGTCACCCATCCGCCATCGTGAAATATGCAGCACAGCGGTTGGCACAATGAGACGTTCATGCCAGTTATAGATCTTTTCTGGCCGAAACAAGTGGGAGAGTCGAGAATTATTCAGAGCTTCGCCGATATTTCACAACGTCTTCCGCCACGTTTTCGAGCCAAAAAAAGGTTATTTCGTGATGCAGAGGTGAGTTAGGATTGGAATATAGTTCATCCTTCCCGACTTGACAAGAAAAGCGGAGAAGTTGGCGGGAGGCGTAGCGTGCGCGTACGCGGTTCTTGGCACGAGTTCAATTCAAGCGCCACCGATCATTAAAAAAGCTCGGCACCGCTTTTTTTGTATCTATTTTACTATTTTTATTTCATTAATGAGAAAAATAACAATGAATTAGAAAAGAAATTAAAAGAGCAATAGAAGAGCTCTCCAAATAATCGTTGACGGTTGATCTATCGACAAATTTCCTAGAAAAAAGAACTTACCCCGCAGAGGGACACCGATTGAGAAGTACACATGGCGTCAACATATGCAAGACCACCCGGATACTTGAAAGACATCAAAGTTGCGAAGTCGTGTGGAGGAAGCTTATGCCGTCTGCAAGTTTAAAACAATAAAAAATATTGCACAGGAATTTCACCTTTGGTCGCGATACTCAGAGAAAGATTGCAGACTGAGATCTTCGCGCATCGTTTGATAGATATCAACAACAATTATTCCGACGCTGAGTTGGTTCAAATACTGCAGAAAAATTTGATTACAAGAATTTCACAGTAAAATCGAACCAAATTGGCTTCATCAATAACTTTCATGACGTTTTCTTTGACACGAATCATATCGAAATCATAGTACTTGGTCTGAAAATCATCAAAATTTATTGCATTCACAAAGGTTCATACCGTTTTATTGTCCACAAAAACCAAATTTCGTATGAACACAGAGGTTTGACGAGGCAAAGTGGATTTGCTATAATGTGGGGCTCTGGCGCCCCACACGGCTGACCCACTTCCTACTTCGAAGCCAGCCACTTCCTAAACTCAAATTTTGTCAAGTTCAGGTATCAAAGCCAATATGTGATTTCTCCGCAATTTATGACCATTTCATTTAATTTTCAAAAAGCTACAAAGTTCTAAAAAATCTTCTTACCGTTAGAGCCATCATTGCAGCTACGATGAAGATCCATTCAAGATACATTTCTCTACTACTCGTTTGCCGAAAGACAATGCTATCACATTTCAAAGAAGAAAAATCAAGCGCTGAAATATAAAAGTTTGAATTTGTGATAAATGACGAAAGATTGTTCGATCTGGAGTTGGGAAAATATATACAAAAAAGGTCACGAAAAAATATTAGATTTTCATAATGATAAGATCAGAAATTATTTTTTTGAATGAAGAGTGTGGTCAAACTTCATAAAATCACTAGAAAATATTGATTATTCAAAAAGTTATGTATTTCCAAATATCTGAACTGTTGATTTTCCCGAAAAGTTTTAAGAGTTTTCATTGGTTCGGTTAAATGTAAATCATTTAATAAAGCTATGTAACAAAATATGGTTCAGTGGTTGTGGAATAGATTAAGGAGGTCGAAAAAGTTCGAAAAGCAAAAAAAAATTATTATTTTTTTCCAGCTTGAAGTTATCATCACCTTCATGATTTTTAATTCAAAACATGCAAAAATCGTAATTTTTTTGCGTTTTAGGAGTTTCAAGGTGCTCTTTCCTTACAAGATAGGATTTTTTTCAAGAGCCTTGATATCAGCCTAATCAATCAATTAACATCAGAATAAAGGATGTTCCGAAAAAAAAAAATGAAAAGTCAAATAAATCAATAACACTGAATTCAATAAAGAAGATTTGAATATTAGAAAGAACAAAAGGAATAGCGCCATCATGGATCAAGAGAGACTGGTACGTATAGTCGTAATGATATTCGGCGGTTTTTTTCTGCCTCGCTCACCCTCTCACGCAAAAGACCAAGAGGGGGGAAGAGAGATCGAACGGACGTCCGAGGGCGCCGGACCTCGCTGACCTTTACATCGACTTGACACATGTTGCTCAGCGGCGAATCGTTTTTTGTCGTGGGAAAAAAATCGCTGCGTACGCTTACGCAAAGATAACTTTTATGATTAGCGGAGGTGGGATTTTAGCAGGACGCGTGTGAAAATGTTCTTTCAACTGTTCCGACAATTCAAACATGGCAGGATTGTTTCAATGCGCTATACATCCTCAATCGCTGGGAAAACTTTTGAAGGCGCCAAACTCATATAAATGAAAAAAATATATTTTTTTAAACATTTTTATCTGATTGGTACCATCGACTTCTTCTACGATCGAAATGCATTCTCACGGGCTTTTTGTTAAATAAGTTGTAAACAGACTATTGAGGGTATAATCCTTATCCAGACATTTTTAAAGTGTTTCATTTATAAAAAACTTCGAATTGATTACTAAATAAACTTTCGTTGTCACAGTTTTCTGAAAAGTTAGACACTTCAGCTGCAAAATTATTGACGCGAATCTTTTTTTCGCAAAAATCTGTTCAGCTCGAAGAGGTGTTTCTATTATTCAAGGGTGAAGCAACAAAGCTTGTGGGTCTTGGCTATTGTTTGTGATACGAATGCTCTCAGAAAAATTAGAAAGCGCCAAGAAACTCGAAATAAATACACTGAAAAGGAACGTTTCAGAACGATAAACAAACTGGAATAATTTTATTATAAGATTGCTGTTTTTAGGGAAATAGCAGAAAAGAGATAAAAAGGAAAACAAATTTCACAATATCGAATCATGATCTTGAAAGCGTTTTATTAAAATGGGAAATAATGAAAATTTTATTCCGTACAGTTTTTTGCGCTGAAATTAAACGGAAGTTCTCATTTCTTTCAAAATAGAGCAGATTCGATAGACTTCAGAAAAGTAACTTTCTTTTTATAATCCAAGAGCAGTCGTTCAGATGCCGTATCCTTCTAAGGCAGCTGCTCTTCTGAAATTGGGAATGAACAAGGACGGTCGCGTGAGTGGCAAGGGACATGCTGAAACTGCCACTCTGCACTCGCCTCTTTGGCCCATGAGTAATCGAGAAGCGAGGCCGGACGTTTGGTCGCCGCAGAAACAAGCCAATGTCGTCGTTGTTAATGGGGGAGGTCTTAAAGAGGAGATATCCAGCAGGAAGGAAGAATTTCAATGCACATCTGTTGCCCGAACACTTATGATGGGCATCATACTATACTATTTCAATATTTTCAAGGTACTCATTCAACTCGAAAAAAACTCCCAAGGCGTGAAACAATATCTGATTCACGAAGTTTCCGGTTTTTCAACTTTTTAAAAAATCAGACCGGTGGCACAAATTTTTTATTGTAAAACTTCAACTTCTCGAAAAGTGGAATGCATTTTTCGATCTCTGAATTTCCTACTTCAATCTTCAAGGTAAAGATTCAAACGATAGGAAGATAGATTTGCAGAACCCTCAGAAAGTTTCAAAATTCTGTCACATTGAAGATTTTTAGTTTTCTAGGTCTTCGATGCTAAATACTGATAAATGCTTGATTTTTTCTAAAATTGAGTGGAATTAATTCATTCAAACTTCTGGAGCGAGTTTCATGAATTTCACCTTCAAAGTTTTTTTTTCCTAAATAGAAGACAAAAAAAAGAGATGCGAACAAGAAACATTGAATAAAAAGAGCATAACAACTTTTAGGCGAGCCTGGTGCCAGGTCAGATTTTCGGGGTAACAATAGGAACGCCAGATGCGATGAACAACCCGACCAAACTTGATCATCTCCAATGCAGACGACGGTTTGACAGCAGTACTTGACTTTTTCTGCAGAGAGCGACAGTTAATAGTATTTGAAAGGAGTTTCGCTAAGGCGTACCTGAAAAGCTTTCATCTTCCAAAAGAAAATCGGAAATTTATTAACTATTTCCTGTTTTTTTTTATGTCTTGCTTCAGTTGTTCGCGAAACTTTTGAAAAACTCATTCAAGCTTAAAAAGTTCGCAAAAATGAGCGAAAACCCTGCGTAGAATGAAATTTCAAAAGAAATGAACTGAAAATGGACAAGTCTGGCTTTGTTCCTGTAACAATAGAGATGCGCCAGAAGCTGTCGAGGTCAAGTGTTTGTTGACGTCTGCTGCGACAAATGACAAAAAAACACAAAAAGTTTTTCTGAAGCATAGTTGGATAAACATAAGTTTTGTTCAGAAGTTTTTCGAAAAAAAGACTTTGGAAATTTAGAACAAAAAGAATGTTGATTCGTTTAAAAAGTTTAATTATCGTTCTCTACAAAACATATGAAGCTTTTTTTCTTAAAGGTATCTCGTTAAAGATAGGTTTAAAAAAATCGTTTTTTGGAGAGGTGAATCAAAAAAACTCTAATAGTATTTTTACTGCCGAATCTTGAACGAAGTCAATAAAAAAAGAACATGAAACGCTCTTTGGACAGAAAACCGTTTTTTTCCCATTGGCGGCATGTAAATTTTGAGGAAGCTATGAAATTTTTATTTTTGCTTTTTAAATCGGTGCAAGGTTATTTTTCTTATTCACTTCAGTTATATGTTTTTCGTTATAGGCACGGATAAATTTCATTTGCAAGCTGTTATTCTCAAAGCAATCAAGGTATGAAAATAAAAGTGGACATCCGAAGAATTGTATTTATCGGCGAGAAGAAGGTCGGCAATAAGCTTTAAAATAAACCATCAGCAAGTTGTCAGCTCCGAACGCATCTGAAATCATCTAAGAATATGAATTTGCAATCTTTTCTTGAATTTTCACCTTCAAGCATCGATTTCGGTGAACTTCAACTCTGACGACAGTCGTCAGCTGCATCGTCGAGTGGATGGACCGGCGCCGTCGATGTGAACTCTTTGCGCCGCAGTTGCATGGCCGCCAGGTCCTCCGCTTTCAGTAATCTGCAGTTTTGATTTATAGTAGTTGAGAAAAAAATGAAAAGGTGACAAAACATAGGCAGTAGTGCGAAAACATAAATTTCGTTTTACATGAGTTGATTGCGGAAAAAACTAACACAGTGGTAAGTTCATGGTAAGTCGTTAAAACTCGTTCGAGCTTTAAAAAAGGGCAAGGCTCCTAATTTCTGCTTTTTCAAGTGATGTACTTTTGATTTTTGGCCCTAAAGGGCTGAAACGCGGCTCAAATGTAAATTGGAAGAACTTTTGTTAATCTGGAATCAGGATCCGTCAGATAAAATATCACCAAAAATACTTCACTTGAAACTTTATTCAAAAGAGCTATCTATCAGAAAAGAAAAAATTACGAATGCACAAAACGTTTCATCACGGAAAAAAAGTGCACAATGAAAGGGAAAAACCATGCAAGGCGCGATAAACTGGGTAGGCAGTCCGATGAGATAACTCGGAAGAGATAAAAGATGGCCAGGTTTTCTCTTGTTATATCTCAAGAAAAACTTTTTTTTCGATAAAGTTTTGCCAGGGTACGTTTTGGCGCTGAGCAGATAATTTTTCTTCCTACCGCGAAAATTTGAAATGAATTGTGCCAAGGAGTACTTCACGGAAAAGTTAGTCGTTTCATTGAAACCTAGGGGTTGGTTGTGCCGTTATCAACTTGCGAGGCTGTGGAGAAATCTGGCAAAGATGAAGATTTTTGGAAATTATAAAAATTGGCAAAATTTAGACACTTACAGATGGTTTTTTCATCGAAGATTTCATTTTTTGTTCTTCAGAGATCTTGAAAAAACTTTAACAAAGAACAGTTTGAAAAAAACCTTTGATATTTCACTGGAAATGGGTTCTTGTGCAGCAGTCCTGAAATTCTATCTGATAAAGGAAAATTTATTTTATTTACTTGTTCTCAGGAATGGCGTTCCGATAAGGTCGGTCAAGTAATGGCGGTCTGGAAAAATTCGAGACAATGACTTTTCGAAAAAGTTACATATTCACAGATGAGCTTGTAATGGACATCCTTTTCGGCGCTCCTGTTGGGGTTAACTGGAAAATTTAATTATTGGAAGTTCTTTAGATCATTTTTCACAAATTTAAAGGATGAAATACTGGATGATTTTTTTCAATTTCATCATTAAAAATCGCATGAGCAGTTGAAAAAATTTAAAGATGAGTCTCCATCTTTAGAGATTATGTGCATCCTTCACACACAAAACATAAAGCACTAAGTTGACTGAAGTGTTGAAACTATCATTTACAATTTCTCAGAGCTCGAAATATTACCTGGCTCTTCAAAATTTTCAATGAAAAAAAATTCGAACTTGTTTTTTTTTCGAAATATAGAAGAAAATCGTGAGTTTCCAAGTATTGCGAGCGGAATACGAAATTTTCGAATCAAAAAGAAACTGAAGCCGTAAGTTTTCGGGCTGCAGAATTTCCCGTAAATTTTCTGAGCCAGAAGCATGCATCAAGCAAATTCAGATTTTCAAGTGGAAAAAGAGAACGATTTTTGATTTTAAAATAAGTTTTGTATACTTTTTGGTAATCTAAAGACAATTTTACACATCACAGCTTCAAAATCACTCGAAGCCACCATGTGCGAAGAAATAGCGATAGTCGAGGATAAGCGCTGATTGAAGTAAATTGTTTCGCGAGTTTCGGTCACCGTTGTCGTTTTCTTTTCTTTGACGATCCGATCGATGTCGCCATCACGAAACTGATTTTTCAGGTCCTGAACTGAAGTCACTAAAAAAAATTATTGAACGTTCATTACGTCCATGAAGAAAAAGCTAGGCGGCTGCGCTGGTTTCCCGTCGTAGTGATGAACTTTTTGATAAGGTTGAGGAGGTTCTGCTGAAAAAACCGCAATAGTTTTCCGTCTGAAAATGAGAAAAATTCAAAGCGTCAATGTGTTTTTCCGATAATTTTCTGTTTTGCAGTTCACATGTAGATATTTTCTATCAATTTTCAAACGAAGAGTCCAAGTCACATTTTCAAATTGATCAAAAGTGAGAGGAGGAGACCAAAATTATGAAAATTTTGCTTCCAGATTTATTTTTCTTGAAGTCCTTTCGCAACAAAAAGTTCAAGTAGTTGAAGAAGAACAAAAAGAACTAGACCCTTTCTGATGACGATCTTTTTCGAAGCGTTCTGCTCTTCTTTTTCCAACTCCACTCGACGGTTATCAACGGTTTGCTGGAAAAAGCGTCAGGTAAATAGTTCACGACACGAAAAAGAAAACCTTCAACTCGTCGTCGAAGTTTGCACTGGAAGGACGTCTTTCCTTCAAAAGGGATTATGTATTAATAACCAATGAAGTGGTTCTACTTTGACTGCTAATAATTCTCAAGCCATCTTCAAAAGGGAGCTCTAGCGAAAAGCTGAAGTTTTCAAGTAAATATGAGCCTTTTCCATGAGAGTTTCTTTTTTCATTACCTTCAGGAAAAAACATGGCTGGATAGGAAATATTTTTGAAACAAAAGCATTTGAATTAGATATGAAGTTTTTCAAGACAGTTTTTTCCTGTTTTTTTTTGAAAAATTAACTTTGAACGTGTCATTCAAACTAGGAAGTCCTCGCTCGGAAATGCTCGGGCGCAAAGTTAGGCCAGATGTTTCACGCTCCTTCGACAGATACCCTTTACTCTGAAATTTAAAAAGGGGCTTTCTTAAAAATTTATATGAGCTTTGGAATTGAAAAAAAAATTTGAATTAAAGGAGAAAAATAGCATATTCTCATTAGTTTGTCGCTTCAAAAAATTTAAGCTTTTTCAGCACAGGAATAAAATTGTTCATCAATTCAATTTTTAAAAAATAATGGAGATTTGAAAAGTATGACATGATCTCAGTGACAAATTTTTGGTATTTTTGCAAACGCCACAAAACAACTCACACTTTCGATATCGATTCCCCGCTCAGCAGCAGTTGGCCGAAAAGAGATTGTCGAACATTTTTTTGGATCGCTGTCTTGGAAAAAATAAGTTGTGGCAGTTCCTAGATTAACCTAAAAAAATTATTCAGAAAAATCCTCGATTGAAAATTCTTTTTTGTCTCCACTTTTGATCTATTTGAACCAAAACCTTGCTCGCTATTATTCCTGATTTTTCGAGGTCAATAGGTGTGATTGGCCTGGACGGAGGAGCTCTCACGAAAGTTGAAATCGGACGAATTTTCTGAATCCAATCTTTTTTTCATATCACTGAAGCAACCTTACCTGGCCGTCGGGGTTTTTATTTAGGTCTATAATTTCTAAACTACGCTCTTCATCATTGTGCAAAGACATCTACAGCATAAAATAAAATGAAAGTTGAAAAAAGAAAAAGAAACAAACTGAGTATTTTTCCGCTGCTCTGAAACCGCCGGGTCCAAAGAAAAAGAATTCCGTTCATATTTTGGAATGACTCATGAACTTTTCTTTTTTTTCATTTCTTTCACGGAAACAATTTCTCGCTTTTTTTTTCCAATAGTTGGCCTACCGTTTTTCAAACTTCTATTTTTATCACGTTTTTCTCTTCAAAGATGGCTGAAAAGTTGAGAGAGTTTTTACATTTGGTGCGGAGCTTTTTATTAGAATTGGTGCTGACGACAGTCACTGCTCCTTGAAACGGCAAACCAACTTTAATTTGAGTTTTTATTCTTTCATTTTTTCAATGCTAATCCAGCAGTGCACATTTATTTTGTGCAACTATCAAATAGTTCTAGCTGAATATTGTAGCGTAACTGTAAAATTTTGTGTAAAGCATTCTATTTTTGTAGCTGCTTATATTTCGCGGTTTCCACATAGAGCACGGTTTCCGAATTTCGGCGGAAAGACATGTAGAAATCTGAGCTTTTCAAGACGCACCTGGACAAAAATGCGCAGGAGAACGAGTGAATGAATGAAAATATCATGTTTTCACCTTTTCCGAACTTTTTCTTATGGCTTCCGGATTATTGTTGAGGGAAGCTTACTTGATTTTAATTTTACTTGGAAAGTTTTCAGCTTCATCACAATTATCGAAAACCCAGGTGGAAGGAGCCCCAAAACTATAAAACTAATTTTCAGTCTCAACGGAGACTTGAACTTCCGGAAGCTCCTCAAATGGATGATCCTATGGATTTTTGTGAGTTTTCTGGAAAAATGGCTGCTCTGATTTCCAGATTTTTACCTAGAGCACGGTCTTGGGGCTCCAGCTCTAGAACTGCTGAATTCTGAGCTTGTCAAGGCGCAACTGGATGGATTACGCGCAGAAGAACAAGGCGGACGACAGTAAGACCATACAACTAGACTTTCAAACTTTTAGCTTGCCGAAGGCGGTTGTTCGTTATAGCTTCAAAAATTCTTGTTCAACGCCATTTCGATTAAATCCATGACTGAAGCAACAAAATACGTTATTGATTGATTGTTCTCCGACAAGGAGACTGAACGAGCAAAGTGGCGTGCTGATTCCAGAGGAGCGGACTCCGTAACCGATCGTGACAAATGCTGAAATAGAAGAAATCGATTGAAAGATCATAAAAATCAATTAATATCAAGTTTTTTTTTCAATTTATACCAGCAAAAATGGACTCACGCAAAGTCGATCATTATTGATGGAACAGTCCTACAAATTTTTGATCTACCTCCTTCTCGTCGGTTTACGCGCGCGAAAACCCGCGATGGCGTGGTCGAGGACCTATATTCACAACGCACGTTTGGTCATTCTGGTTCTGTCGACGTTTGTTACCCGACTCCTAGCGGAAAGACGTATTTCATCCTGCTCACATTCTGATTCTGAGATGATCACACCACTTCTGTTTGAATACGTTATTCCATTTCTTCTCAGTTTGGGGACGCTTATGGGTTTCATCGTGGCTGTGTATAATATTCCTGGTTATATGGGCAAAGATACCAAAAAATTCTTGTACATCAGTTTTTTTGCGTGAGTTTTTTTTTTGCAGCTTGCTGTGTGGTTGAAAAAGTTTGAAATTAGCCAGAGTCCTGAGGAGAAACCTGAATTTTCTAAAACGAGCATATTCAATGCATTATCAATCACTTTGAACGTTTCTCCCAGATCCCTTTTAGTTAAAAATTTTTCAGGTTTTTTTTGCTGGATCTGGCGCCTGAACTATTCACAACTACGCTATTATACCACAGAGCTTCGAATGGCTTTTCACTCAGAAATCTGAGTACTCTTGAGTATTTGGGTTGGTGTGCAGGCGTTATTATCGGACCAGGTATTTCTATTCCTTCATTTTAGTGTTCTTCATAACTATAACCGTTACCTTTTTTCCAAATTGTATCTAAAGTTGATTTGATAAAATTCAACCAACAGAAACTGAAACTTTTGAGGCGTGAAGAAACCTCTTGGCACGTTGCCCAGAATCGATAATTTCTTCGGCCCTTCAACCTCAAGATAACTATTTACAGGTGCTGTCTTGGGACTTATTTGGTATTTTTGCTGTCTCTTCACGACGATGTTCGAACAGCATGAGACGATATGCTTGAAAAACAAAAACCGCATATTTTTCGTGGTCCACTACGAGATTAGCTTTGCTTCCGTTTTCGTGTCCTCTGCACTCATCAGAAACTTCGTAATTTTTGGAGTCGAAACTGAAACTGAAGTAAGTTTTTTCAACTTCTTCCAAACTGCTCACAGTACGACGCTTTTTTGGCGGTAATTTTAATACCGCCCATTTTTGGATTCTTCTCACGTTTCTTTTCAATCAAAACTCGCAAAAAAAGTTCTCAAACATTTTTTTGGCTTTTCCACTGTTATAATAACTATTCACACAAAAAATGCAGCAATCATTTTCAAAATTTTCAAACTTCCAGGAAAACAAGGCAGCACTAATTCATGGTGGTCTGGAGATGCTTCGACTGTCTCTCTATCGCCAGTTGTTCTTCGTTTTTTGCACGATCGGAAGTATTCTCGTTGCTATACAATTCTCCACGTTTTTGATGTTCAACTACTTCGAAGCAAAGTCAAGTGGAGCTATTGGAACACTAGATTATCAGACTACGAGACTGAACTTCGTTTTGTGGACCATCAAGCAGGTATGGGTTGAAAGTTATTTAATGGTCATCGATTTATTGGTATAAAAAGTTTTTCAAAGTTTTTAGTGAGTTCGATAAAGATCCCTAAAGATAAAAAAAATTTTTAAGGTACTCATAACAGCCAGTTTCTACATCCTACCAACCTTCCTGTTCAACTTCTACCTCAGAGAAGCTCACACACTCAGTTCGACAAACTCTTATCCACATTTTTTCAACCAATTGTTTCAGCTTTGAGGGCCATTGCTGAATATATCCTCTTAGTCCAAACGGTTGTCGCTCCCTTGGTCTATCTGGCAAATCAACCATACCAGCGAAATCTCAATTCAGGTATGTTTTTTCATAAGATATCGTGGACTATAAAAAATCCTTGTTTTGCCAAAGTTTTCCTCTTGTGAGATTTAAACTGAATGGCATTACCTGATAGTGAATGAATACGTTTCTATTTTTGGTTTTCGATTGATGACAAAACAGCTCAAAGATATTCTCACCGAAGGAAGAAATTCTTATTTTCTGCCTCTTTAAAGTTTTCGAGATTCCAATAAAAAAATTTTTGATTCCACGAAACTTTTCGATGGTGTAGGTGGGCTCGTCACTCAGAGTTTTCTGATCAAGGTTCTTAGTTTTACGAATGGTTTAACACTTCATTTAAGTGAATTTGAAGCGTTTTTTTTATGTTGAAAACTTTGCTAAGTACTTGGAACAGATCCATTTTCAGTTGAAAATTTAAATTTTTTTTCCATTTTCAGTGGCTCTCGAACCTTTTCAAAAGCTCAACACTTATCTTGCCAACCGCATTGATGCGTGTTATGCGCGCCTGGCACCCAGATTCTCTACCCGGGTTGAAGACGTAGTAATTGAACTACACTGAACTACCGCTTAATATTTTGTGTAGTCGTTAAATTTTTCCCTTTTCTTTTTCTCAAAATAATTTTTTTCCATTTGAGTTGTTTGCAACAAAGTTGATTTTTTTTTTGATATTTTGAACTATTTTTATTTTTTTGTGCACTTATTTTGTTACTATGCTGTATTATGTTGCGTTTTGTGTTTGAATAAATGTTGTTTGCAGAACTTGATGTCCTTAATAAACGGTTGAAAAAAAGTAATTCAGAAGTTACGACGTCTGTGTGTGTTTTTTTCAAAAAAGATAGAAAGCCTTCAAGAATAATATGTTTCTCAGAATTTTTAATAAAATATGGTTCACTTTTGGATATCGCATAACTTCATTCAAACTTTATGTAGGCGCAAAGCGATCTTTTGTCTCTTGTTTTTCTATCTTATTTATGTCGAAAAATAAAGAGTTTAATTATTTTTTTCCACTTGAACTTTGAAAAAAACCAAGATTTTCGGTAAAAATTTGATAGGACTTCGTTTTATCGACTGCTTAAAAGGGAATAAAGAATGGAAACGGTCAAAATTTTTTCAAACTTGACCGTTTTTGAGCACCATAATCAGTAATCAGTCGGAAAAAAACTTCACCGAGTCATGAAACTTCAAAAAGAAATGTCAACCTTTCCTTTTTTTTACTATGAAGTTCAAAATTCACAGGGATGAATCTCTACCGAAAAGGAAAGCACATCGCTCATTTATCATTTAGAAATATGAAAAATTTTGTCCCTTACTCCCTAACCTAGCTCAGTTCTGATGAAGAAGGCTTTCAAGGCCCGATAAGCCCGCGTTTCGCCCTCTACTTGACTAATCCTTGCAGTAGCTCTGATAAAACGATAGCAGAAAGGTGACACTAACGTGGGTGCTGGGTGATTAGTGGCGAAATGTTTTCTTAAGATAATGATAGCCGTCTTGAGAACCGTTTTTGCTTCACAATGTCATGGGAGCAAAACATGCTGCATTTTCCGTCAAAAATTTAGGACTTTCGTTGAAAATTGGGATTTCTGCAGGTATAGTCTCTTCTCAATGAATTGCACTTCTTTAAATGAGTTTCAGAAAAAACCTTCATAAATTTTTTACCTTCTCAGCTTCTTTATGTAATGCGTTTGCTACCATGATGAGATTGAACCAACAAAGTGCATTTGACACCTTTGCTTTGTCGGCAAAAGCCAAAGGGGAAGCGGCAAGTTTTAGTGCCACTATACCGTATCGCGAGCTGATGTTTGCTCCAGCCGCAACTGTAATCGTTTCCGCGGCGCGTATGGCTTTGCGCGATAATCTCGGTCCTAGCCATGTTTTGTTTATTTTGTTGGATCTCTAAGGACCTCGCAGCGCCCAAAACACTACATCTCTCTCATGTGCGTTATTACCTTTCTGACAGTTTTTCATGAAGAGAGTATTTTCGATAACAGAGCACTTATTGGTGTCCAAATGATCTTTAAAAGCTTCAACCTGCACTGGAGAGAAAAAGTCCAAATTAAGAGCAATTCGACGAAAGCTAGTATAATAAATTGAAAAAGCAGTGCGGCGACAAACTGAGCCGAGGTGAAGACGTAGTAAAAAGGCGATTTTTGCGCCCTGATTCGGTTGTCTTGCTTTTATAATGTTATCAAGTAGACTTTATGCAACTTAAGTCTGGCTCCTGTAACAGTGAAAACCAGTCTGCAAAGTCATTTAAAGCCGCTCTGCGCAAAACGTGTGGCGAAACTGATCTCGACCGTCTGAGTGCCGCAGTCTATTGGGTGCCACAACATCTTCGAGCTGTAGCACAAGCAACGGAAGGCTTTCTTGAACATTTTGTCGATATTTTGTAGTTATAGGCTTGTAAAATGATTTTATAGAGAATCTTTTAGCTACCGGTGTTCATTAAGCGAACTGTAGCTTTTTATTTTTTTTTTGCAGTTGTGCCATAAATTTTGATAAACGTGCAGTTTGCAACGTATAAAATATCAATCTTTCCAGGTTGACTCATTTTTGAATAAATTCAAATATTTCTAGAAGTTTAAAAGAGTAACGAACCATTAAACAATTGCAACGGAGCGAAGTATGTTCACCTGAAACAAAAACAGTTTTGTAACCTATCTAGTGAAACGAGTGACGATTTTTTACAGATGAAAACTCCATTGTTCCGATTGTGATGAAACGAGCAGCTTCTTCTGAAAAATTCTGAACATCTCTGAGTGTCCAAAAAGTAAGCAATTATTGAACACCTGTTAAGCACATTTCCAAGTCTATTAGATCGAATCGAAGGACACGCGCCATGATGTCTGCCCGCAGCAAATGTCTAATCTCATACCTTTGTTTTTTTTTTATTCTTCATTACGAAATTAACCCGTGAGCGATTTGAAGAAATTCCTATAATGAAGTAATTTTTACTGAGAAAATAAAATCCAAGCTTTCGGTACGAGGAGACTCTTCTCGAATGAAAAATTCCTCTTTATTTAAGATCAGATAGAATCTTTTCTTTCAAACCTCTCGAAATTTTTCTGCAAGAGAAATGATGATAGAACCGTGAAGCAATTAGATTCACTGTCAAGATAAAATCAGCAGAAATGTTTTTCCTATTGAAAAATATTATGTGTACAGTTCCCCGAGATTCATCATTTCTAATGTTTTATAACAACATGTAAACTTCTTCGCGTTAAAATTGAGGTTTAAAAGTTTAAATTTTCTTTTCCTTTTCACTTATTGAAGTTCTGACTCGGCTCATCTGTTTTTGACAGTCAGAAGCCTCGTTTCCCGCAAAAATTCTGTTCAGTATGGTACGATATAAGTTCTTTCCCATTGAAAATATCTACCGGAATGTCGGCGATTTACTCACCGCAAGAAAAAAGAAATCTTGACTCATCACTAGCCGTAGCTCACGTGAGAAAAGTTCTCAAGCCTAGTCTATGCTCCTTTTTTGCTGCCAAAGAAGCAACAGGAGGGTATTGTTTCCAAGTTTGCACCCAGGTGTCGCGAGCGGCAAGATCAAAGCCGCCCGCATGCTTTGATGACTCCGAGTTGGCTACGCTGGGAAAACTGTACTGGAACGAGCGCACAAAAATAGATTTCCGGCAAAGAGTTCTGCTCGAAGGATTTCATTTCCAGACACAATTTCACGGCCGGTACCTCGGAATGCTATGCATTTATTTTTTGAACTTTCTTTTTTTTTGTAATCATTGAACAGAATTGAAATTTTTTCGTAAATTTGTGATTTTTTTTTCAAAAGACGAGCTTTTTTTTCTCGGAATAATTTGAAAAAAAGAAAATTGAAACTTCTTTCTTTGTTAGTGCCCAGGGAACCCTCCTACCTGAGATGAATATTTTTTTCTTGAACTTCAAATGATCCAGTACAAAAAAAAAGTTCAGTATTGCATTTTTCATTTCCACAATTAGAATCCGTAACGTATTGGTCGGTGTGGTTTCAAGCCCCCCTCTTAAACAAAGCTCCATTCGCAGGTCGAGCAATGACAAATCAAGCAATAAACGCCAGCCGCGAGAACACGTTTGATACAAAGAAGTAAAATGACGGTAGGCTGTGAGCATCGGCACGCTTTGAAGGTCCGCCAGTACCGAGTAACTGTTTGGTCTTGCTGCCAAAGCATGACGCTCCTTAAACAGCCGCCGCCTGTTTGCCAGCCAGATTAGCGCTGCCTTTTTCGCGCATGTTCCAGCTCGATGAGCTTGATAACTTTCTGTAAATCAGGTTAATATGAGTCGATTTGATAGTTCGATGATCGTCACTCATTTCCTCGTTTCCTGTTGTCTCGAGAAATTTAGTTTTTTTCTACAAAGTCTCCAAATTTCGACCAGTTTTTTATGTTACAAAACTAATGTTTTCTATATGCTCAAAACGCTATAAATGAGACCGAGGATAAATGAAGTTTTTTTTAAACATCATCTTTCCAGCAATCTAGCATGTATACGAAATTTCATTCTTTGACCTTCAGAAAACCATCTACAACATGTTTCAATCAAGGTTCTTTCTTTTCGTCTGTAATTTGATACAACGAAGACTCATTTTTAAACTTGATCTACTGCCCAAGTAACGGCTTCGATCAATGTGCTCTATTCAAAAAAAGTTGATCGGGAATGTTTATTTGGATTCATTTTTCACTTCTTGTGCTGATATGTTGAATTGTGACTAACTTTTTTTCTGTAGAAAATGACAATGACAAGATCTTCATGTTTTCTGAGAAGAACCTTCAAAAAATGTTTCACAGTTACCTGAATCAGCGAGGAACTTCGACATCTCTTATTTATTCTGTAACCCTCATCCATCTAGCTTCACTTTCCCTAGTCTTTTTCCAACTTCTGATGGGAGCGATTGACGAAAAAGGTGACCGAAAAGAGCCGCGAGAGCATTTCGCCAAATTTAACACTCTCCGCCGTCCTCACAGTCCCATAAACACTCCGTTTCCAGTCATTCATGGCACGTCGAGAACATTGCCGAAGGCGGAAACGAGAAAAGCGGACGTGGTGAGTATCTCATACGAAAAGAATTTACGACGAGCTATCAAAATGGCGCGGCTGCATACACCTCATCCGGCTACGGTACATTTATTGGGGGCGTTTTTTCGGGAAAAGAACACGGGGTTGAGCGACGGCGGAAACGTCGGAAAGCCACACTGTGCATTTTCATTGTGAAAAACCGAACCTTCCGAATATTTCTGTTATTGAAACCTTAAGCTTCATTCTTCCAATAAAAAATTACATTTGCAAACTTTAAAAATCGAGTTTTTTTAGAGGTTTTCATGAGTTTACATGTAAGCACATGAACTAAATGAAAACGGCATGGACTTCCGTCTTGAAAATATATAATGAAAGATCAGTTATAAACTTTTCTTATTGATTTTTGGGATTTTTAAAGATGCAGATTTTCAAAACGGATAGCCTTTGTCGATCGGAAAAAAAATGATTGGAATCCTCGACTTTGAAAGAAAATGAGAAAGTACCAAAAGTTAGAAAATTTTTACGTTAAAGCAGCCTTTTTGTCAGGTTCTATTCTTTGGGCAGTAAAAAAACTATATTGAAACAAAATCAGTGAAGAATTGATTGAAGCACAGATTTATGGAAAAATTCTCTCAAAAGACAAAAAAAAATTCCGATGAGATATCTTAGAAAAGAAAAAAGAAGAAAAACAAATGCTCCTTATCCATGAAGCCTCCAAGTTCCAAGTTTGGCCCTGCAGACCGCTTTCCCACAATATCTAAAGAGCCGGAAATTGACCTAGCCTCTTCGCGCGCCTGAAAAATCTACCACCACCATTGCATTTTTTGTCTAATCGTATCCTGAGCCTATGACTTTTTTGATTTTTCTTCTAAATTATTTCTCATTCGACTACTGGCAGTTACGTTATCATTAATTTTTTAAATTCAAAGTTGCTTGGTGTTTTATCTATTCCAACTTCAATTCTTCGGGAAAAGTTGAAAAAAAAGCTTTGGATTCCGTGAATAACTCAAATAACTGGATTCTACGAATAGTTTCGATTTGAATATCATTTGGAGCTGAACATTCTCAAGCAGACGGAAATGAAACTCAACTATCTCACGAATATTCTTCTTTTTTTTCCACACTGTGTGAGTTGTAGCCGCGCAGGTGTCCCTCTATGGTTCCATTTTTTTCGCTGCTGCTGCTGCGGGAGCACCCAGCTGCTTCTTTCGCACATGTTCTCATTTTTTTCAACTTTGAATCTGGTTATCTTGTTTCGTTTATGATTCAAGTATATTGTCGTATTTCATCTTTTCTAGAAACTCTCAAGAAGAGCTTGATATATTCGGCCGATTTGGTCGTTTTTTTTTTTGGTTTCCGAACTGCACTTTGAGTCATGTTCAAATTTTGGGTTCAGATTTGAACCTGAGAAAGAAAGAGATTCAACTTGATCGGGCTGCTTTTTCGCAATCTGAGCAAACGCCTATTGTAAAAGGGACATTGTTCTCTGATTTCAGCAGCCACGCTGCTTGTAAAGCGCGGTTTACCCTTGAACCTGCTGCCAACATCATCTACTTCTCATTTTTTGAATGTTTGCCTCACGCTACCAAATATATGCTTTTTGAAGAGATACACGAGTACTGATAATTTAGAGTTGTTGCATCAAAACGTGATTAAAAAGATTACCAGTCTAGTGGACGAAATCATCTCTTTAAATCATGGATTTGCTGATTTTCTTCTAGGAATTCTCTTATTTTATTAAATTTAGGATGCTCACTAGTCAGCCCAATGTAGTATGGATAAACCCCGTTACAAACTGTATTTTGATTCTACTTTTTCTTCACGTTGATAAATAGGCTCCAGTTCGAAGCACCAAAGAAAAATTGTAGATGGTACATTTTCATCAAGTTTCTAGCCTCTTCCAGCTATTTAGGAGTTTTTTAGAGAACTTTAATTTTCAAATTCAGGGACCCAATTTCGAGAACCGAACAGAAAAGATCCGCGCTTTTTAGAATTCTTCAGTGTAAATTCAGTTCGGTTTTTTGGAATTTTTAATTTTTCCAAACCAAAGCCTTGAGAAGAGGAAACCTGGCAAACTGCACTTAGCGGCGCGGATGTGTGCATAACAGTGACACCTCCTCACAAGTATCGTGTGGTATTCTGCGTGTCTCTCGCCTCATCCATGTGTCATATTCGTGTCAACAGTCCTTTTGCTGCCAAACGGCCAGGCGGCAGGCTCTTGATGTGGCTTTAACGATCTGCAAACCATACAACGGATTATCGTTTGCACAATTCCCGAGCCAGCTTTGAAACTGGAGTGATTGCTCTTGAGGATCGCTTCAGCCTTCAAATTGGGAAATCACTATATTTTCATACGCGGCTTCATTTTTGCACACTGTCAAACGTGAAATCGCAGGAACATTAACAGAGGCTTCCATCAACCTTCGTATGCTTGAAAATAACGATTCCGACTCGAAGTCGATATTCAACTATTCAAGGAATCTAAAGGAGCGCATCAGAAAAATATTATTTGAAGAAGAAATTATAGTAAAAGTTTATCTTGTATTCATTGGGTAGGAAATTCATAATTCACTATAATTTTTTATTCGCTTGTGGTTTTCAGCAGAATTTAATGAGCGTCTCTACATGACTGGCAGAGTTTTGTTCTAAAAAAGTTTGACACTTCTCTGAAAGCTTTTCTTTGTTGATAAAGAGCTTTCATTTTTGATTGCGAAGTTTATAACATGCCTGAAAGTGGCCAGTACATATTAGTGAGAAATTTAATTAGCTTCGCCTTTTAGAGTTTTTAAAACTATTATCAAAAAAAATTACGAAAAAAGATATCTGTCTTTCGAATTTTTGACAAATTGGTCTTTTTGATAGTCTGGATAGAGATACATGGATGCCCATTACCTTTGTGAATAATTTTAGGCGGAATCGATTGTCGTGAAAAATCACTACGGGCCATATTCAGTTTTAACCATGATCTTCTTTCCTAGGATTTTTTCAAAAGTAACGAGGCCTTGACCAAAATCTTCCGAGAGTGATTGGGTGAAGCAATGAAGAATTTCAAAGTGTTTGTTAAATTTGAACTATTTCGATTTTCTCTGAAGTGGTTTGCCTGCTCCACTCGACCTTACGGTACGCGATGTGCACATGACAGTGAGAGGTGATAAGACGACGTTTCGGCGTCAGTGCGATGCTCATCCGCGGCCAAATAAGGGGTTGCTTACGTGTTCCACAATGCATCGACAGCGCATCAATTCGCATAATCCGCGACCGGCCTCCGATTTGTTGTTTGAGTTTGGCGTTAGGAGCGCTGCTCTCGCCTTCTCGCAGTTCAATTCCGGTTCTCCTCACCTACCGTAGTCTGCCTCGGGAGAAAAGAGGAGAAGGAAGAAACGAAGTCATGGGCCCATTCTTCGGACTTTTTCAGTTACGGAAGAACTTTTGGTTCTTTGGGCTCTAAGAACCTTTGAACTCCATGAAAATATCAGAGAATGTAGGGCAAATTGCAGATCCTCCTAATCAATACCAATTTGTGCGTATTTCACTCAATGCGAAGAATTTTATGTCGGCGGCAGGGTGCTGCCAGCTATTGTCGCGTTTAGGTCAGCGTGACATTACCGCTTCACGTTGAATGAAAAGCGGGCCAAAAATGTTTCTTCTTGTCGGTAACCCTTTATTGGAACAGGGAGGCTAACCTACAGCTTCCTTTTAGAAAACTTTTCAAGTTTCAGAGACCAAAAAATACTAAATTATTACACATAGAGGGTGCGAATTTGTGAGAAACACCTTCAAAGTTGTTTTGAGTCAGGTGGGACATTTTCTTCCACTCAGGTTTTCAGAAAGCAATGCGAATCCTGACTATTCTACGCAAATATCTTTATTTATCAAACAAGAAAAGTCAAATTGGTACCGACATAATCATAAAAAATGAGCTAAAATTCTTCGTTTGGACTCGAGTTTTTCGTTTTCAAAGTAATAAGATGTGCATTCAAAAAGTTTTCTGATGTTTACCGACTTCGTAGAAAAATGAAATCTCTTTTTTTTATAGAAAACTTCGAAAAAACTTTTTTTAATTTGATTACCGAGGATACATAGATGTCTGCCAGCTCCACTCAATATTTTTCATTCCCTGGTCCAGCTGTCGACTTTCAGTCGAATGTGAAGCAAACCTCGATTGCCTCCACAAGACGACGCCTTGTTTCAATAATAGGAAAAAGAGAGAAAGGCGTTCCTCTTTTTCTGCCTCAAACAGGCGCGAGGTCTAACACGGATCCTTATTCAACTCACTAATTAGTGATGGCGCATTGTACTGGAGGAAATTCAAACTGCTAAGTTTTGTTTTTTTTTCCAAAAAAAAAGCCACAATACTCAGTTTTGTTGAAGGTGTTGATAGATATAGAGTTTTCTTGACTATTCACCAAACTTTTATTTTTCGTACAAAAGCATTTCTCACTTCCCCTGGAGTACTGAACAAGTATATAAAAACTCGCAAGTTTTACGGCTTCTTTCGGGTCATTTTGACTGGGCGCAGCGCGTTTTATAACAAGGTATAAAAAATCGTGCAAAAGCCATAAGGATCAAAATACTCCTAGATGTAGAAAAAAGTTACCAAGAAGTTTGTTAATGCGTTTTTTGAAAAAGAAGTTTGCTGTTTTGCAAAAAATGATTCCTAAGAAGCGATAAAGTAAACATATTCAAATTAATCCACGCCCCTTACTGTTTCTACAGTTTTTTATGACTTTTCAGTTTTGTAAGTAAGTTCCCCTGAATTTGCCTAAACCCTCTGTCATTCTTAGGAAGTGAGGTGAAGGATAAACGTGGACGGAAAGTCTTTTGAGCTCAGCAGGATCTCATCGACTCTTAATCGGACAAAGGCGGCAATAACAGCACTTGTATAAACAAATATTAACGCGCTCGCATACAACAGTATGATCTGTGCATGGCTATCATAACGGTGCGAGGAGCCGATTATACGTCGGCTTATTGAGAGCAAGCGCGCGCCAGGAAGGTCAACTCGCAGCCGCGAGAAAGTTGCCTTTTGAACTTCGGGACGACTTCTGACAGAAACTGTATCAAACTAGGAACTTTCTTCCATTCGAAGAAGCTTGTTGAAGAGGACGACAGACTGTTCAAAAAGTATGGCTTGCTTTTGAATAGCTAAAAGTAGAGTTTAATTGAAACCTTTGAAGTTTCTCGTCTTCTTTTGATCATCTTGGAAGCCGCTCCTCGTATCTCCCGAATATCAAGATGGTGAGGGAATTCCAGGAAATCGACTAACTTCCCTTCTTTGTGAAAGTATCACACATGAGCTTGTTTTACAGTAATTTACAGTTAAAAACAAAATGTAGAAATCAATAAAAAGCTTGCAAACAATATCCTGGAAGTTTTTTTTAATCAATAATATCATCACCCGTTTTAAAAACAGTAATGTCATTGAAAATGATGAAAATACTCGCACTTGAAAAATCAAGAACAAAAATTGAAACTCTGTTCAGAAGATCTTCGACTTTCACTTTACTATTCTGTGTTCTCCTTTCTTTTCTCATTCATCGACTTCTATAGGAGCATCCTCCAATTGATTTTACAAGCTTTTCCTGGCGCAATAATGGTTGATATTCAAATATTTAAGACTAAAAAGCCGTTCAATTAAGAAAAATTCAATCGTTTCTTTTTTTCATTTTTTCAACATCTTTGAAAATTCGTCTGTAGATATTTGTAAGGATCCCGAACTTCTGCGCTTACAGTGGACGCGAAGGCGTTTGGCAGTTGTTTGCTCCTCCCTATCAATTTGAGACGCTTAGCTTACTCATTTGGGTACTTAGTAGGTGTGATAACGGGGCTCTAAGCGCGTCCAGCAGCCGGATGATTTCAGAACAAACGCAAGCGATGCCTATTTTGAGTTTCAATCGCAGAAATGTCGAAATTTCGTGAAATTATTGAAATGCCGTTCAAGATAGAAACTTTTTTATTTTTATCCTTCAATGGGAAATGTGAAAATAATTACTTTTGAAACCGTAAATCAAACAAATAAAACCAACAAACTATCAATTGAAGATGCTGCCAATAAGTAAAAAAAACTGCAGTCTTCTTACCAAAATGATATGTGCAAAAATTATCTTCTTTTGTTTTTTAGCGTCGAAGTTTCGGCCTCCCTCACCGCAAGCACTTTATTAAGCAGCCCTTGTCACAGCCATTAACATTATAAGGGCCAGCACCAAAGGTGCCAAATGTAGCTCCGCTGATAATCAAAGAAGGTGTCGATTTCTCATAAAAACAGTAGATGAAAGACACCGCCGCCACTTCCTAAAGCGTTCCGCCTTTCCGCCAGAAACGTTGATATCGGCCTCCGTTACTCACGTCTCGACTAGGTACGGCTGAGGGAAACTGTTGAGTAACAAGGGTAAAAGGTATCAGAATAGACGATTTTAGAGACTCTTGATGATTTCTTTCGATTTTGGAAAATAATTACTTTTTCTGAAAAAGGGAAGTTTTCCAAACTTATAACGATTTCGTGTTTTTTGATAAAAAAAAACTAGTAAAATAATTCGATTTTAAGAAATTTTCAAATGAGAAACAATTGCAAAAAATCTAGAATCGATCACTGCACCCAAGCTTCCGTAAAATGATAATTTTGAACACCTTTTCAACCTTTTTTGCACATCATTTTTTGCTTCAGGCGTCTAAGGAGGAACATTGTTTATAGTGTTTCGAAACAGCCGTGAAACAGAGAACTACGGTTAAGCTTCCAGAGGCAGGAGTCGTATCGAGGCGAGAAGGCAAGAAGGGACGGCGACTACCGTAGGACGGGCGCCAGTGATCGGGAAGTGGGCGGGCTCTCCGGCTGCTTGCTCAGCGCCACTTTTCTCGCCTCGATTCCTTTAGTGGCAGCTCCTCCGACTTTGGCCGGCTCCGCCACCTCTTGAGCTTCTCTTTGAGCGTCGGAAGTCCCGTTTTCCGGGTTTTTCTATTTCATTTGTTCAACAAACAGTTAGAAAGCCATTGCACCTTTTTTTATCGATTATAGCGACTTTCCCGAGCATTCATTAAGTCTTTTATGTCATCATTTAGACTAAAGTGTGCTTGAAAAACTTTTTCTCGACTGATTAACTTGTATGAACTTGTTGAACGTGTTCATGTGTGTTACAGTTTCAATTTGAATAGTTAATCTCCTTTGAATTGATTTTTCTTATTCAGAATATCTTTTTTTAATTCCAGTTGTCTACATCAACCCAAATTTTTCTCAGCTTTCAGGTAGCTTTTTTTGTTTTGTTTTCATGGAAAAACTCGGAAAACACGATTCAATTTTTTTTTGCAGTTAGTCCACTCCCTGAAACTTTTCAGAAGTTTGTTTAAAATTCAATTATTCGTGTTGACAGAATCCTTTAAAAACCTTGAAGGAGGACAACCAAAACAAATTGATCAAGATTTTTCCGTTTTCCGATGATTTCATTTATTTTAGCATTAATTTCTCAGCTTCAAAAGTTTTATAAGCAGACGCAATCAAAAGACTTTCTGAATTGTAGAAAAAGAGCCAAATAGATCCTTATGACACCAGACGAAATTTTTCAGGTTTCTACCATGACTGTAATGATATGTACTTCTTTGTAGTGATTGTTGAATAACTTGGAGGATTGGAAAAAAAAAAGTCATCTTCTGAGATGTTCATATCCTGCCATATCTTCAAAAATTCTTCTGTGTCTAAATAATTAAGAATAAAATTTTCCCAAACCCCATAAGGTTAATTTTCGAATATTCGAGTCCAATAATACTTTTTGACGTTTACTTAGAAAAACTTCTTTTGGCACACTGCAAACAAGCATTTTTTTGCTGTTTCCATGCTTCTTTTGTGATGCCTTTCAACATCAGATGTCAAAAAAACCATTTAACTGCGCTTCCACCTTTTTGGTTGAATATTTGCATAGTTCGCCTGGAAAAGTTGGGCGAAAAGGCAAAATTTCAATTTTGGCAGCTTCAATTTCAATAAGTTTTTTTGGCGGAGATTTTTCTCCCGGTTACCGTAAACTTTGAAGAAACGGATGGAAACGGAGAAAAAACTCCTATAACGCTTTTCTTTTGAAAGTTTGTCTGTCGATAGGCTTCTGAGAGACTGGCTCGAAGATTTTACCGAAACAGAAGTGCAAATCGTTTCATCAAGACCCTAGCCAAGCCGATATTCTTCAAAGAGACTTGAGTACCCCCAACTGAGGTCTCAAGGCTCCACGGGAGCCCAAGTTGGTTATCCTGCTCATAATCAACCTTATTTTTCCAAAATTCGAATATTTCGTTCTTAACGATCAAGGTTTTTCTATCTTTTTCCTGTTCGAAGTTCATCTTACAAAATCCTATCGATTACATTCAGTTTGTCCTTTTGATAAAAGTGATTTGAGGTTTTCGGCTACTTGCTGAGATAATTTTGAAAGACAGCTACTGGGGTGTCATTTTTTTCATCTTTATCAGGAGTTTTTCATTGCCAGTGGCAGTCTGAGGGAGCTAAAAGCTTTCATTTTTTATCAGCATTGACTGTCGGTGCACATAAAAAAGTTGCGATGTTACATAAATAGGTTCGGCGGCTCTCTTTGATCGTCAATTTCGCGCTTCCGATTAGAAAAAAATGTCGTCACTGCTTGATTTTCAATGATCTTTCCGAGTGAATTGATTACTCAATTATATAAAAACATCAAACTCTTCAAACGCCTTCGTTTTTTTCTCACCGTGCCAGAACTTCTTCCTTTCTTGTTTTCTCTGAAAGACTTTTGAGAAAGTCGTTGATTACTTTTTTCCCGCTTAATCTTTGCGAATTTTGCTCACATTCACCATTTTACACATATTTTCAAGCGATGTTCCCGTGGCAAGCTCCAAATGGGTCCATCTTCCCGCCTCTTCTACAACAAGCTCCGCTCCTGAACTATTACATAGCCCAACAACATTTAGCCAACTTTCTAGCTCATGTTGGTTTTTTTTCATTCAAGGAGATTTTCTTCCGTATTTTTGATGACCACAAAATTTTCTTTCTAGAAAAAACTGGCGCTCCCCTCCACAGAACTGGTCAAGTCTTCGGATTCGCCTCCAGCGGAAGGAGCGAAGGCCTGCAAAAGACCGTTCGACTTTACGCACATGGCTGATTCAATTGAAACGGAGGAGCAGGAGAGGGCAAAGGTATACGGTTTTCTCGTCTTGTCAAACCATCGTCATGGCTCTCAACACGTTGTTAATTAATTTGATTGATGTTCAAAAAGTACATAACTCAAGTGAATGGCGCGATAGTGACACTTTCTTATCAATTTGAACGGCTCCGTGTTTTCTTTTTTTGAAACGAGCCTGTTTTTTGTTTTCGAGATTTAGATTCCTAATTATAAAAGTGTTTAGACTTTTTCGGAAAAAGGGATTTTAACTTTTCCTAGGAGTTTTCCGAAAATTGCCCCGAAAAAATGCTGCGAAAAAAAGGTCAACTATTGAAAAGTTATGAGCGAAATGTTCCTTAAATTTGGTTGAAAAAATGTATTCGCCCTGCCGTGGAAGGAGTTTTCATCATTTTTTTCTGTTGATCCGGTCTCTAAGAAAGTCTTTTAGTCATCAATGAAATAACTTGGAGTTGAAAAAGCTCACGAGTTGAAACGAAGTCACTTGTAGCTTTAACTGTTTGCAACTGTGCGGAATCGCAGATTTTTAGCGTTTTTAGTACGATCTCACAAAAAAAGCAAAAAAAAAAAAACACAGCGGTTTTCTGAATTGAAAAATAAAGAGTTTGATGAGATTTATCACTCATGTGGAACTCTTTGCAGGCTCCGAAGTTAGACCTCTCTCCGGCTGCTTCTACGATGATGTCTTCCATGAGCGGCTTGCCACTGACGTCGCTGCCGAGCCTTTCCGGTTTGGCGAACATGCCGCCCCTTCAGAGCATGCCGAACTACGAGCAACCATGGTATGTGTACCGATTGACCGGATTAATCAACAAAAAGTCCTCAGGTTCTTGCTCCCGAATCGTGGTCGCGTTACCGGTCGGTCCAGCAGGCCGAAGAAGGAATTCATCTGTAAATATTGTCGTCGAAACTTCACAAAGTCGTACAATTTGCTCATTCACGAAAGGTTAGTCTAGTGAAGTTATCTAAACGGCTTTCATAGAAATAATGAAAAAGGCTAGTTTATCAATTTGTGTACACAGATATCCATTGCAGAACTCACACAGATGAACGGCCGTATTCTTGTGACACCTGCGGCAAAGCCTTTCGTAGACAGGACCACTTGAGGGACCACAAGTAAGTAATTTTCGAACAGCTTGCTCGGCAAAGTTACCGTTTTTCGAAGCAGGTTTATTCATCAAAAGGACAAGCCATTCAAGTGCGACATTTGCAACAAGGGGTTCTGCCAAGCGCGCACCCTTCTTGTCCATAAAAACACACACGCCGACATGTCTCGCATCTCCCTTCCCGCCAGTTCTTTGGTACGTTTCGAGCCTCTGTCTTTCCATCAATAACACCATCCGCTAGTAGCATCGAATATATGTCAGCAAAGCTTTATGTATCTTTTTTAAGAATTGATCCAATCAAAACTAGTCTCTAAGACGTTCTAAAAGCCTAAGGTTCTCGAAAAATGAATCAGAACAAGATTCTCGATGTACAAAATCTATCAGATTTCTCATTTAAAGTCCACAGGTGCTAAAAAAAAATTCATATAAAAATTACCGTTTTTCAAACTTTTTTAATTTATCCACCAGTTGAAAACTTTTTTCGGGATGGTTTTCCTGCAATTGCAACTTCTAAATATAATATCGTCGAATGTTTTTTTCTTAAATTATGTGCTCCGATGTTCAATTTTTCAGCAAGATTATAAATTTCGCGGGAGTTTTTTTATATTGAAAATAAAGTTTGAAAAAAATAGACTTTTTTTATGTTATATTATTAAAGTTTAGTTATTAAAACGAAGTCTCCCTAGGTTTCATTTTTTTTCCGGTCCTGGAAATTGCAACTCGAACAGTTTCTTGTTCATTTAGAAGTTCGAAAAGAGGTTTCGAATGCTGGGAAATTGGCCTATTTGAATTTTTATACTATATTTACAAAAAAATGTGATTTTTTTCAAAAAAAGTTTGCGGTACAACTCTTCTTGTCAGCCTATTTTTGGAGAATAAACGAAAAAATTCAGTATTATTGAGTATCTTGCAGATGGGGTCGCCACCAATCAGCCACGAAAACAAAAGCGAAGGGAGTTTGAGCCTGACGCCGTTCTCGTCGCCTCAGCCATCGCCGTCTCCCCGAATGCAGAGTCCCTTCAACTATGTATCACAAATCTAAAAGTCAAGAGTATTCTTTCCAACTTTAATTGGGTATCTCAATGAATATAATAATAAGAGTGATAAAATATTTCGAAACTTGAAAGTACTGTAGAAAGCTATACGCCATGTTCTATTTCAAAGTGTGAGTTCTGATAATATTTTATCCATGTCATTTTTTTGAATAATTCTTTGCTTCCAAAGCAAACAGCTCTAAAGAACCAACGAGGTGTCCACAATTTGCATTTCGGCCCATTTACCTATCGATTCCACCCACTACTGTCTCATCACTTCACGGAAACTTCCCTCAAGTTTGTCTTGTCCAAAAAAATAAAACATGTTTCAAACTTTTTCATGTGACCTTGAAATATTGGTAACTTGAAAAAATTTGAAAATCTACTCTTTGAGAATTCCGACTGACGACTGACATTTTTTTTGAAGCATATATTAAAAGCCATTTCTTCTACGCAATTCTATTTTTTCTATTTATTTAAAAATAAGAGACTTGTGATACTTAGGCTTTTCTGAATAACTGAAAGCTTTATGATTTGCATTTTCGATATGAATTGTTCTCTTGATTCACTAACCCCTTCCTTGTTTCAACACGTAGAGAACCTACTTGCGTTTTTTTTCTTGTTACAAGTGTATGAAACCTGTTCCATTCGATGAGTACTGGAAAAACTTCCGTATCTCTATCCTGTAGAGTTTTATCGCTTGAAAGTGTCAATGTTGTGATTTTTTAGTTGTTGGAGCTTCCACAGTTTATTCTTTTATTTGTGATCTACAAATATTCATGACTATTTATCTCAACTGGTGAATAAAATTAATCTGAAGAGTGTAATATATGACCTGAAGGCAATGTTTTCTTTGATCGAGGATGTTCGCAGTATCAAAGTAAGAAGTTTTCCGATCTGCGCACTCTTTTCGTCATCAAAAAGGGAAAATCGAAAATCACACCGCAGCTTTTTTTTTTGAATGGTTCGCGTCTCACGTGGCGCATAAAATCGCGCCGTTTTCGTTGCTTTTCATTTTCTTGAACTCGTCTCAAGAATTGTTCGATTTTTTCGATTCCTTTCTTAATTAATAACGTAGGACATTATGGGTTATTATCTAGTATTTTTAGAAAAATTTTTTTATAAAACTGTACATCACTACTGAAATTGTAAAAATTCAGTTACAGTTTTTTTGAAAAAAATTTGATATTCATGGTTTCTTTTTTTCAGACAAGTCTAATATTCGATTGTTAAAAAAAGATTTTTGGCATTAGTGAAATTAAAAAAATTTATTAACTTATAAAATTAAAAAAACCAGAAATTATATTGAAAAGTTATATTTCAAGTCTTCAATAAGATATATTCTGGTTAGATTTTTAATTATTGAACGGGATGAAATTCCAAAATAAAGATTCAAGACAATCAATTAACCTTATTGAGAAAACGGTTTATACAAAGTTTGGCTACTGTTTTTTCAAAATCACTTAGGCTTTAAGTCATCTGAGTCAAAAACATGGTTCACTTCAAAAATCCCGGATGATAATCAAACAGAATAAATTGCCAAAAAGTAATATTTTTTTCTCAATTTGAAAAAAATGACGAACAACCCAAAAAAATGCTGTTTTTTAAAAGTTTATTAAGATCCTAAGTTTTGCAACTCAGGAAGTGTATCTTGGAGAGAAAGATTTTACTCACGACTTTCATTTTGTCGCGCAAGTAGGTTGTGGTCGGGTGGAGTTGCGAGTCTTCTTTGCGGCCTCTGCATGTTGCGCTCTTCTTTCTCACTTTTTTTGACTGTTTTTCGTCATAGAAATTTTTATCGGAGTGTTTGACAAGAAAATGGAAAAAAAGCTTAATTTTTTTATATCAATCCATTAATAGTAGATATGAGAGATGAAGTTTTTCGGTTTTTTTACCAGGTTTTCACTGTGCGTTTATGAGTTTGAAGCTGGAAACCATTTTTAAATTTTTGTATTTAGGATTACTTTTATCATTTGATCCAAAAAATTGATATTTTTCTGATCAAACACTTCGGTTTGACGGAAACGTCGAACAAGTTATTGAGAGAGGTACAATCTTATTGCGATCAAATTAGGAGAAACTTTGACGGCGCATGGCCACGAGTAGACACTGGCATCCATCATTGGCGCGCAAAAAACTGGATGTTTCCAGTGCGCAGAAGGTTTTTTCGGATGCTCCTTTCTCAGTTTGTACATACCTTGATAAAATGATTGATGACAGCCGTGTGGATCAAAGTTCCAATGCAACAGAAAACTGAGCGGAGGAAAAATAATAAGAACAGTACTTGCTATGACAAACTTTTTTCTGTATTCTGGCATAATTTTTGAAGTCGAACATAAGCAAAAATAGATCGAATCAAATTTTTCGATTTGAAAAAAAACTGATTTCCGCTCCGTAAAAAAATCGATTTATTTTTTTAAAATTTTGAGAAAACCTTTAGCAAGAATCGATTTGAAGGTGTAACAAAAAAAAATGAGAAGGCGCAAAAACTACTCGCCAAAGAAACTCTTTTCGCTACTTGGACGCTACAAGATTGATTAGGACGAACTTGTTCAGGGACACCGGCCGTACAGCTCGCAAGGTTCAAAATTAGCGGAAGGAAAAGTTTCGCTCAAAATTTTTTTACATTTCAAAGTCTCATAGTCACCGATATTTCGTGACAAAATATTGAGACTTCATTGTATTTTTTTCTTTTGCATAATTTTTCACTTCTTCCTTCTTTTTTTGAAAAACACATTTTTTTCAAGTATTTTTTTGGTACTCAATTATCTTTCGAATTTTTTTCATTCAAACTATTTGAGTGGAAAAAAACGTTGTCTTCTTATGAAAAAAAATAGTGTATGAATATCTTCTATTTTTTTGAAATTTGGTGTCCTCTTTAACTTTCCTCCCGTGGAAAGTCTTTTTTTCGGAATTTCTTTTTTGAAACATTAAATCTCTCTTTTTCCTGTCAGAAATTTTTTTATGGCTTCTCCCGATTCCGCAGTTTTTGTCTTTGAGAAAAAAATGTGGGAAAAATGCATAATTTTTCTCTTTTTCGCCCGTATAAAAACTCTCAGAAAACAAATAGGAATCATTCTTCCCCGGTCTTTCTTTTTGGCTCTATACAATATTTCATTTTATTTTTTTCTTTTTGAAGTTTTTTTATTGGTTAGTTTTTACTCTCTTTGAAGCAAGTCAGCTTTTTTTCAATAAGAAAAATAGCTTGGAAAGTAACAATGAAAAAAAGGAATAACTTTATTTCAAATAGTTTTTTTGACCAATTTATTTTTTTCGATAAAATCGACGAAATAAAATTTCATTTACTATTATATCAAAACCTTTTCAATATGAAAAGGTTTTCTGGATGAACTTTTAAACAGTAACCTCTATCGTTTGACGTCAATGTGTGTAGCAAAATTGGAAATCTCTTTCACATTCTCAACATTATTTGACCTCTTTTTCTCAAAACGTCTCGTTGGGAAACAAAAGGCCACTCCGTGAAAATGCAAATCGTTTCATGTGAAGTTCGAGCAAATATAACGAATCTATTTACATATCGCTGATCATTTTTTGAAGAAACATATTTCGATTTATTTTTTCTTTGCAGGTACAGTATGTCCTGCATCACTACCTTCTTTGGGGAAACATTGCGAAGCGTGTTCGGCAAGAACCAACGCAGCAGATTCGCTCTTAAAGACGTATGATTATTTCTTAACTAATTCATTTATTTCCATCTCAAGAAATGAAATATTTTTAATTTTTGAATACAGTTTTGATTAGCTTAAAAGTGTTTCAATAGTACTATATTCGTTAAAAAACATCAATTTTGTTCTGTTTTTTAAAACTTGAGAACTTGAAACGGGAAAGAGTCGCATTTAGAGATTGAGAGAAAGCCGACATTCCTGGTTTCAGGTGCCCGTTCTGGTTTAGGCAGAAGTTGAATATTCTGCACTTGGGTGTCGGAAAAGAACTGAACCAAGGAAAATCAAAGAATTTTCTGAATGCTCAATGCCGTAGCATGTCGTGAGACTCAAACTGTCGAGGAACTGTAGAGAATCCGAAAAAAGTTCATTTTTTCGATTTGAAACTAATTTTCAGTCGGCGTATCGGAGAAAGGAGAGGAAACGTCCGTTTGTCTGGGATACAAACATTCGACCAAAACCGACGATGGTCAAAAAAGTTCGTTCGCGCTACAGTAACCCATTCAGCGACTACATGAGCGTTCGTTTATTTCAATCATTATTTATTGAAGTGATCTTAAAGTTAAAAACTATAGATGTAACTTGAAATTTCTCAAAGAAGAACATTGGTAGCGTCAAAACATTACAATAGGTCTGGAATCTCGTCTCTCAGTGCATCTGATTTTAATCTTCATGAGCTTCACGATGAAGAGTATGAAGGGCTGAGAATGTGCAATTTTTACGTGATTTTCAACATCCTAAGGTTGATAGTTTCCCATTTCTTAGCCTCGGCAACCGTAGCCAACAAGAAAATTCCTTGATGAAATGGAAAGACTCAAGTTTTGGCCAGTAAGCTAATCTTTTCTGAAAATCATAAAATAGCTCTGCAGATTGTTAAAGAAATGAGCGTTCCGAAGAATTGGGCATGATTTCAGAGAAGAAATGCCCAGAAGAACCAAGTGATGATGCACGGCTCGTTCCTCCAGCACAAGCCTTTCCGACTCCCTCCAATCGCAGAAGTCGATGAAACATAAAGCTGAGAAAACTTGGCTCTATGAATAATATTACAAACTGGTTGATTTCTGAAGTTTTACTGTCTTTTTCGGTTGGGTTCTCATAGAAATCGAATGGCTGAGTTGAGCGAAATTTTTTCAGCGAATTACTCTGAAATAATTCTGTAATTTTATTAAAAATGGAAAAAATTTAGTTTTTTTGGTTAGTCTTTTTCTAGGGAAAACTTCTCAAAAAGTCGGAAAATGACCGAATTTTTGCTCTTTTCTTAGTGATGAAAGTGAATAGTGGGATCCTTCGAAGCTTAATTTTAACTCGGTCATTTGATTTCAATCGATTTAATAGTTCTTTTTCCGTCGAAAAATCAACTTCTCACACTGGTCTTCTAACTATTTTCCTTGGTTCTGTAGTTATGTAAGTGTATTTCACTTGAAAATAGTGATTACAAGTTTTTTATGTCATTTCGGGATGCCTTTTTTTCTGGTAAACTTTTTATGGAAGTTTTTTTTTCTTTTTGCATTATGTTATTGCATTATAAGTAGCTATCAATCTACTCAGATCCGAAATTGGGGGTCCAGGAAAAGATCTAGCGGTTATTGGTCAGAAAGAGGGCATTTATCCTTACTAAAGATTGGATTTTTATCACGAATTGAAAAAGACAGATAATCCATTAATGATTTGCCACCAATTATTTGAAAAGTTCGGTTCCCTCTCTTTTCGTATCTACTCAATTTCGCCAATTTCAAAGCGCTAATTTCATGTAAGTTACGAAGTGATTGAAATTTTATTAACACGCACGTTTAAATCTCCCGAGGACAAGGCCACAGTTTGGACAAGAATGAGTGGCGTCTTTGGAAACGTTGCAGCAGAGGATATAAAGAATCGGCCAGCAGATGAGAAAGAAGCCGACAAAGCAAATGATCCACCAGCATGCTCCAATTTGATTCTCAACGCGTGTTGTCACGGTAATCTGTTTATAAAAAATGATTTGAAACTGTCTCGATATGGGGATTCTGACTTTTTTTGATAGTTCTCATGCAGAAGAAAAAGAAAGAAAGAATTGTATTTTTTTCAAAGATTCATTGTAATTTTTTTCTTAGACAGGTTACAATAAAAAAACGATCAATAAACTCAAATTATTCTTCTCTTTCACTTTTTTTCCAAGCAAAATTATGTTTTATAACTTCTTATTTTTTTACCTTGCAACGTGGGCATTCAGCTCGTGTAGGCTTGTCGTCCGCGAAAAATCTTAAAATTTTTTTGATAGAGATGTCTCTTTTATGAAATTATTTAATTTCTCTCTTTGATTTGTGTTCCGTATTTTTCTTGTATCTTGCACATTGATACACGTTTTTAAGCTCTGACCGCCGAAAAAAAGTTCAACCAATGAGATTTTTTTACAAAAAGTAAATAATCGCTTACTTAAATAAACTTTCTTTTCCTATTTTGAAAATCCTTTTTTCGCACTGACTCATGAACGCTTTAAAATTTCGCCAAACATTAGAAAAAAAGGTTGAAAAAAATGGATAAAATTATTATTCTTAATTCTCTGTTCTTCCGATCTTATAAACGAAATTGATGTGATTTAAATACTCACTTAAATTTTTTTCAGAGACAATATGTCATAAATGAACCTTTAAAAAAATTATTTTTGAAAAATTTGAAACCCAATTTTCGGATTATCTCAGAAGATTAGCTGTCTTCAAATTTCAGTTTGAGGTTTTTTTCAAATACGTGCGTACATCTGTATTTATTTTTCCAACGAATTTTTATTGAATAATTAAAAAAACGAACTTGGTTCTGATAAGAAACGACGACGGTCGTAGTTGTCGCAGGGTTGGTTGTATAAATGACAGTCCCTGGCTGCTGAACTTGGACTCCTGCAGGGTAAATGTTGATTGGTGACTGACTGACGTTTGTGGAATACACTGGAGGCGGCCCTTGCTGCACATTTTCTGCGCCTGTACCCATTCTGCTGTAAACTTTATTTTCGCGACAAAAGGATTTTTATGAAAAAAATGCAAAAGAAAATTTGGCAAGGATTGTTAAAATGAGAAAACTGAGAGAAGCTGAATGATTTTGAAAAGTATTTTTTTGTTGTCTGAAAAGTTTATTTTACATATTCTGACCAAACTTTGGGAAAAGACAACTTTTGGAAGAAGAATCAGCCTTAACCATATATTCCTAAAAGGCTACTTTATTCATTTGAAGTTTCATTAACGCTGAGTGGAGGCCTCTGTTTACATATTCTGTTTTTTTTTCCGAAATGAGGTTTATCAAACGATGACTAATTTCGAAAGTCAAAAAGGTTTCCACTTGAAAACCCGAACTTTGAAGCGATCTTTCTTGAATGTTTCTGAAAACTAATAATATCGTCATCTCTATCTGACTAATTGTATTCATTTCAAATAAATTTTTTTAAAAAAAGTCAAGAAAAAAAGTTATAAAATGAGGAAGCAGCACATCTGAAATTAATTTTTTTAGAAGGATTCGGGCATAAAAAAAGGGTGTGAGCGATTTTCAATTTTGATAAGATAAGAAGCATGGCTTGCTCGCAAAGAGAAACTGTGATTAATTGTTTCAGCTTTGATTTGAGACATATTTTGAAATTTGGAGACTTGCAGAGATACTAGCACACATTTTTCAAACGGACTTGTTTTAAAAATTTTACTTTGTGGCGTACCATATGGAAGTTTTTTTCTAAAAAGGGGATTTCTCGAGTTTATCGTTAGATGGATTTTTACTTACAAAAATTTTTTTGCAATATTTGTATGTGCAGAACGAGGAAATTTTTGAGAATGACTTTCAGCAGTTACTTCTCAAAAAAATACTAACTGTTCCATTTGCGAATATAATGAATTTTTATAATGCAAAAAGCGTTTAAAGTTGAGAAATATTCTTTCTATTCATTTTTTATGATTATATCAATTTTAAACTGTCATAACAAATGAAAGTGCCTAGAAACATGCTCCATTGCTGAATAAAATGCTTAAAGTTTCAAAGTGGCCAAGTAAAAGTAATATTGAGTAGAAAGAAGACTTTTTTTGGCCCAAAGATTGAAATAAACATTTATTTGAATATTAAAGAAGAAGTCGAACTCACTTTAATCTTTTAAACGTATCTAATGTGGCAAGAGAATTGAGCAAGATGAACCAGAAATTGGGATTGACCTGTAGCACAGGCAACAGAATTTTCTTTGAATTTTTTTTTGTATTTTGCGATTACAAACCTGTAAAATGATTTCATAAATAACTTTCAGTTTCCGGTCGGTTTTACGCAAACGGTAGCTTTTTCCGTTTGTCGCAGTAGCTATCACACACCTTGTATAAGACCTCCGCTCTCCAGAGCACAATGAGGTTTTTTTTATTTAGCACGCTGAGTAAGTGCTGCAAGGCATGAAGTAGCCAGCGCCCTTATACCGTGGGGACTTTAACCAGAGTTCGGATCCTTTCGAAGAACTTCGTTTTTGCCGAAACCTCTTCGGAAGGAATTCATCAACATTGTTTAATTTCATAGTTTTTGATTTGAGTCGGTTGAACAAGATTTATGAAGCAAAAGTTTGATTTGGCTCGTAGACATGTTCAATAGGCCGCGCTCTGGATTTTGCTCAAGAAACTAGAGCAAATTTTTATATGCGAAATCTATTTTGATTCGTTTTCTTTCAAACTATCAGCTGTGTTAAAACACTGAGTGTAAGCTATTTAGGTTTTTTTCTCAAAAAGTCTATCAAAATTTCATTTAAAATCCAACCGACCACCATAAACGTTTTAGTCTGCTTAATTTTTTGAAAATTTCGGTCTGCATATTGAGATTTTTTGGCATTTTTTGTCGTTAAGAAACAAGAAATTGCTTTTTTTCGATCGATTTGTGTGTGACTTTTCGAAATGTGGGTTTGTTAACAAATTGTTCACAGGGTTTATCGCAACAGGAGCTTTTTGCATCACAAAAGTTTCATTTCTTTCCGAAACGCTTCTTCTTGCAACCTCCGTCGTTCTTGGGGCGAACCGGCGCTTTCAGCTCACGGTTGAAAGCTTCCGCTTGACGTTTGGCTTCGTCTTCGAGAAGTTGACGACGTTCCATTTCGATGTATTCTTGTTGTCTCTTTGCCGAGCTCTCGAAATTCTTCTCCCATTGCTCGAAAAAGAAGCGGCGATGAGCAAACCAAAGTTCGACCTTCAAATAATGAAGCTACCATAATTATGCTTTATTCGTATTCAAAGGTTTTTTCATAACTTCATTCATCAATCTGGTTATGAAATCCTTATTCTTGAATTATTAATATGCTAATTCGTTACTCATTCTAATAGGAAAATGACAAAAAAACCATGAACGCGGTGATTCCGAGTTTGTCGGCCAACTCCTGTTTCTCAGGGTTCTCGATGTATCGAGATTCGTCGAATCTGAAAAATATGGCTTTCGAACTTCTTTTAATAATTCCAACAAACCTCTTCTCTAGAGCTAATGTTTGAACTTCATTATAACTGGAGCAATGACGTGCTGGACGCAAAAAGTATTTAGAAACCGGGTCACTCATTTTTTTACCTCAATGAAATATTTAAATCTGGACATTGAACAAATAAAAAAATTTATTATTTCTTAAAACTGATTAAAATGCTGATACTCGAGAACAGAGACCCAAAAAAACAGCTTCTTTTGTATCTCCGATAAAATATGAAACTTATTTGTATTTAAAAAAAGAGGGGGTTTATAGTTGAAAAGGAGACCGAGAGCAAAAAAGGAGAATAAAAGAATGCTTCGCTGCTTCTTTTTATACCGACTGAGCAGCGGTTTTTTTTCTCCCGCAAGAGCCAGCAGTTCAATTAACGGGATATGAAATCGAAACACGCGAACTTCCCATTTAAAAAATGACTTTCTGTACCAGGAAAGTCTCTGGAAAAAACCGAATTCTCGTTAACGTGCTATTGGACACAATTTTTGCATGTCTGGCAAGTATTACAAATGTCGAAAAAAAGTGTTTCGTGAGAACCGAGCCATAAAAATTATGCATTCGCGTGATGTTCCTTACAATTATTGTATTCAAGCAATTTCAGAGCAGTCGGAAATGTAGAAAGTGTCACGAGATCGTTTGAATATGACCTTTGCGTGTTGGAACACTTTAAAAAAAGACCAAAAGTAGAGCCAATTTAAGAAATTTCGTCTGTTTCCTGTGTTTGAAATTAACTGAATAGACTTTGATAGAAATTTATTCATATATTTATTGAAGAATTTAAAATTCGATAAATTTGTAAAATTATCTCAGCGATTTTTCAGCCTTTATTCATCAATTGGAGGCTATTAAAAGACGAAGAAACTGTTCAAAATTCTTTATAGTATACACATTATATGGCCAAGGAAAAATAATCAATTTCAATTGAAGGTGTCCATGCCAATGTCGCTGATTTTCTTCCTCTTCACCAAAACTTTATATGCAGCAAACAAAAGAATTCCGAGAAGAATCAAGCCCTGAAACATATTTTGCACTTCTGAACTTTTTATCGAGAGAAAGTGAACCTCGAGAACGGCGACGACAACTGCAGCTGTATTATTTTTCTGGATAGTTGTATTCTGGTTTTCGATGCGTTGAAGAACATAAGTCACAGTGAAAAGAACATCTGCCGGTCTGTGAAAAATCGTCAATTTGAATTTTCGATGGACTTCAAAAATTTATGATGATTATTATTTGCTCAAAAAGTTGATAATGAACTGTAAGCAAAAATTGTCTCTGGGCAAAAAAAGTTCCTGAAAAATTCTCACAGCGGTCTCGGAGTAGTAGTGGACTTCCGTGTTGTTGTAGGATGTGTACTTCCTGTTGGTATAACAGTTGATTTTTTTGGAGGCTTCGCTGTTGTAGTAGTCACTAAATTACAAGGGAGTCACAAGAAAATTGGAAACCTGCACAGTTTGGCTATTATATTTCAAAAAAAAAGCAGAAATATTTTTTGGGGCTTAAAAAAGCGTCAACATCTCAAAAAAAGAAAATAAAAATTCGTTTGGGAATAACTTGAATATAATCTTACCGTTGGTTGAAAGATATTACACTTCTCCTTTCAAATTACATGAACTAATCTATTGGTCATTTGAAATAGAAGCTTCGAGAAACTAGCAAAAAAGTCGAGCAAAAAAGAGACATATAAAGAGGCTCTTCTCCATATTTTTAACGTTATTAGTGGAAAGTTTAACTTATTTCTTCGTACAACAGAAAAAGGGGTTCAAACAAATCAACTCTGAAAGCCTATTGGGAATTTTTCTGAGATTTACTCTGAACTCTGGCTCAAACTTAAAAAAACGCTCATCACTTTGGTTTGTTTTTGAAGTGTCTCAAAATTAGAAACAAAAACATTTTTCATTTCGGATTTATAGCTTTCAAATTAAATCTCAGGAAATTTGCAGTGAAAACTTAGAGCTGGACTATCTGCAGTTTTCTTGTTAGATATCGAAAAAATTTCGAATTTTTTTTCCTCAATTATTACCGTTCAAAACAACAAGCGGTACTGTAAACGTTGTTGTTTTCTGCTGACTGTGATCCGATATGTTGGGTTTGAAAGATCCTTGGAGTAAATATCCATCATTGACGTAAATGATGGTGACATTTTTCAGAAACAGGAATCAGATCGGGCTGAAAATAAGATTCTTGAAGAAAATAAAAGTCACAAAACGTTTTATGAAAAAAATTTGAAAGCAGAGTGGGAAGTTTGCAACTTGGTTTTTTTGCTTTTATAATCATTTTTTTGACGAAAATAAAAATTTTTGGGTTATTTTTTTCACGATTTTATGTGTATCAAGAGAAAAGTTTTATCAGTCCGAGAAAAAAATTTTTGAGTACAAAATTTTTTTGTTCGGACTTCCAAGGATACTCTCGAAAGAATTTTGAGGGCCTTTCTCAACAAGAATTCTCAAGAAAGCTATGAATGCTCACAATACATATTCAAACGAGATCGATTCGAAAGAGTTTTTCTTAACCTTACATCTTCCATTATATAGTAAACGTTGTTCACGGTGTTGTTGCCGGTCGACGTTAAGCAGGTCGAAGTCGTGTTCTTCTCGTTCACCTTGAAAATTCAAAAAAGTATTGGCCAAAAAAAGCTATCTGTTTTACCTTCAAGACGTAATCTTTAGCACACCTCAATGACAATTGATTTTCTTTAGTTATTTCCACTGTTGTGATCACAATGGAATCTTCAGCCACTGCAGAAAACACCAGTCCTAACGCAACTACAGGGATACACACGGCATGCATCTCTGAAAGCAATGATTGAAGCTGCAACTCTTAGGAATACATCAAATTGGGTATAGGAATTTAAAAAATGAAAAATCTCCCAGTTCTGTTTGAGGTCTAATTTTTCGTTATCGATGACACTGGTTATCATTTCTCGATCAAAGGACAGCTCATAGAAACAGTTAATGAAAAATATTACAGAGTTATGAACGGAAGGATCTTCAAATTGAAATAAAAGAGTTTTCAGACCCAACTCACTGAAGTCTTTAATTTGAAAGTCGTCAATGATTCAAAAGAAACCTTTGAGATTTGTCTTCTTTGGATCTTTTGTAGAAAACAAAATAATAAAGCGTTGGCGGGGAACTTATTACTGTTTGCCAAAGGTTCACGTAATCAATGTTTGAAAGAAGAAGAGCCGCTCCAAAATAATCTTTTTTTGCTTATCACTGTCAAGTGAATCATCAAAATTAAACACTGTGCATCAAAATCAGTATGATAAGGTTGTGATCCTGCAGAGTTTCATTAAACAATAAAGTATTGCACCATTTCCGTTGAATAGTGCGATGTCTTGGTTTTTGATTGGCCCGTAAATTATTTCAAGGTTAAAGGAAAATCAATATAAAATGAAAAAAAAACTTCTCTTTGTTTTTTATTCTTTGCGGTACGCCTCGTGCTCTTTTGAAAAAGAAACAATAACTGCTACCGTTTTTTGTTCGGAAACACACATTGCTGGTTCACTGTAATTATCAAGAAAATCTCCATAATTCTTCTCGAATTCAATTGCAATTTTTATGTAAAAACACAGTTTGAAATGCGTTTATTCAAACGAAATCTTTTCAAACATTGTCAATGATACAGTCGCCAGAACCCCAAGTGAAGACGTTGACTGCGCCACATTTGGCGATGTGGTTGATGGAAGAGAAGGGCGCCTGGCCGCCCACTGCCCCCGTGCAGGTTTTCTGTGAAACGTCTCCTTCCCAGCCCGACGGGGTTTCGTAGCCCTGAAAACAGAATAGCAAAGTGCTGTGATTATCGGAGTTTAATGGAACGTTTGAAGTAAGGTCTCAATTTATCAAGCTGTGAGAGGAAAAAAATTGTTTTTTTTTTTTTGAAGAAATTCCGCTTGCTTCATTTTTCGTGAATTGAAAAAAAAAATAATGAGAGAATTCAGATGGGATTTTGCAATTTTTCTCAGCTTGGATACGGAAACTGGATTTGTTCGCATAAAAATTGAGTTTTTCTGAGTCGAAAGGGTCTAAAACTCAAAAGCTGGTCCATCTAACGGGATTTTGATGAGTTTTTTGTTCTATTGAAATTTCAGCAAACTTATTTCGAGATTTTTTCTAGCGCACTTGAGAATGAATCGTACAAACCTTAAGTTCAAACCATCCGTTTTCGCTCTTTGTGCAATCCATTTTCAGCTGAACCATCCAATATCCTGGTCCGTATTTGTTATACGGCTGATACTCCACGGCATCCTTATCATTTGTAGAATAAGCCAATGGAGTTCCATAAGCTGATTGTCCGTCATGCGTGCCTGGAAAAAAGCCTCTGAGAACTTTGAAATTTGCTTTTAAAGGTATCCTCAGAACAAAGTTCCTCGGAAACCTTCAGGTGGTGCTTAAAAAAGAGAAAGTTCTACCTTGCGTGAACTCAGCGCCTTCGAAGTCGAGATAATTGTCTTGTTGGCTCCAAGTGAGGTATTCGTCATAAACAAAAGGCACCGTTGTAGTGTGGAACATCGGAATCGAACAAGGATCACTTGCTTGCTGGAAGGGACCACTCAAGCATTCTGAATTCGCATCAATTCGATTTTTTATCTTTTTCTAAAAATTTGGTTATTTGAAGAAAACTCACTGTTACTGTGACTAGCTCCACCGCGAATGAACACATTTTGACCGGGCTGAGTGTCTTTTTTCAAAAGGATGACTGTTGTGGAATACGATTTAGGTGGTACTGGCGGAGGGACTACGCCACCTCAAAACAAAATGGTTATCCAAAACAAAAAAAGCGACTAATTTTTACCAATTCTGGAGTTCATTGAGATGCCAACAAATGAGTTGGGATTGACCTTGATGTATGCCGAACCTGAAAGGATAACTGAAAATCTAAATGACTGATTTGACTCGCCATCAGCCCCAACGGAAATAGCTTCTCCTGCACAAGAAGTACCGGAAAGACCACCGTTGAAGTGATTGCAATAGTTTCCGGCAGGAAGAGTTGTTAGAAAATATCTGGAATAAGCTCAGATAAATAAAAATACCCTAATGAGAATGTTTGCTTATAACTAGCTCAAATACCAAAAAAACAATTCACTTTATTGAAACTGTGAGTTTTTCTCAATTTGAGGCTATTTACATTCATTTAAAGAAAGAAACTCACTTTCCCCAAGGTGAGCTCTGAGCATTTAGAGCAAAGAATCCAGTCATTTCACGAGCAAAGGCGATCCTTTGATTTTCTGTCACAACTTCAACCGCCGCTGTTCCTTGTACTGCACTTCGGAACTTAACCATTTCTCTGAAATTCCATACCTGTAACTTTCTGAAAAAAACTCCTTCTTGATTTGCAGGGAAAAATAATGAATTATTTGTTTTGAAAATGCCGATAATGGAACAAGTATGAGTAGAGAATATACAGTTTTGGAAAACCCTGAATCGTTGGCTTTGCAAAGTGGTTTTTCGCTCTTACAACATAACGCATTTTTGGCTTATGAAACAGATCTCAATGAGAAGAATCCGCTCGAATTTAGAAGTTCTCTCATGGAAATTTACGCCAGTAAGTCTTCGAAAATTAGACAAGAAAACGAGCAAATTGACTGACTCTAAGGAAAACCCAAGTTAAACTGAAAAAAAAGGTTTTAGAAAATTTTAAAAGAAACACTTCAATTTTAATACATGATCATGAAAAAACCTCGTAGAAACCCATCGATGTTCGCAGACCCAACCCGAAGATTGAGCGCAAGTATCGTCGGAGTTAAAAGTGGGAGAAGTGGTCTGAAAAGTCGAGAACGCCCTAAAAAGTCAAGAAATTCGATATTTACAGCAAATCTGTTGGAAGCGCCAGAGTTCGGCGGTCCGTGGTCGTGTTGGGTGAAGTAGAAACTGCTCATCACTCTCGGGTAGCCGTAAGGCCAGGCGAGCATGAAACCCACTGCCAACTGGTATCGATATCCGTCTTTGTAAGTGACCTGCAAAAATGGACTGCTCACTCGAATAAGAGCCGTTTTTTTGTTTAGAGAGTATGCATGAGTTTCCTCTCATTATTATCATTTCTTCCTTTTGAGTGGTAGCCCTTTATTTCCGCTCTCGTCTGCGGTTTGATCCGACAAGCGCCACACTGCTCCTACTTGAAGAAGCAGCTGATCTTTGGAATGCTCAAAACTCGTCTATCCCCTATTAAAAAAAGGAGGTGATTGTCTACGCACTGGTCTCGATCAGCGACAGTCTCGCGAACCGACAATAAACTCTTCAATTATTCCATGATTCAACAGAAAATCTTCCCTGAAGACTGAATAAATGGGCGAATTGCAATGGATCTTCTCTAGCTCTTTTTTCTGACCCATTCTAAAATTTTTTCATTTTTAAGCTGCAACTAGAATCTTTCAAAGCCCCACGTAGTATAGAACTTTACACTTTCAATTCTAAAAATAATTTTGTCGTGAAGCAGAAACATGACAAACTAACAACATAAGGCGGGTCATCACGTTGGTTGTCATGATTGTCGATGAAATTGAGCACGTCATGGTCTTCGTTGTTGCCATATCCATAACCGGGGCCCAAATTGGCCAGATTTCTGAAAAGTTTTTCTTACAACTTGTAGCGCTTCAATTACATACTTCCAGTCGTTTTGTCCCTTTGCTGCGGAAGAAACGGCAGCTCCAAAGTTGAAGTTTGTGTACCTTTAAATTATGTTTCGTCATTTTTTCTAGACAAAGATCTTATTCTGAAAGTCGAAAAGCAAGTGTATATTCAAAATCTGAAAAAAACGAAAAAAAGGCCGGAAAGTAATTATTTTTATTTTTCACCTTCCAATGGTTACATAGTCGCCGCACTTCACCGCTTCACCTCCTCTATCAATCACCTCGTGAACCACGAAAGGTCTTTGATTTGATCCGAAAATCTGTAGATCTTTAATTCTCTCAAAACAAAAATCTAATTTTACATCTTCACGCAAGTTCTTGACAGAGTTCAAGAAGGTTTCCATGTCTTCCGGCCACATGTGTTTGGATGCGTCGCATCTACAAAGAATATCATTTTTCACAGATGTTAAGGAATGAATAGTCTGTAATAAACTTTACCTGAACCCGGCGACTCCATAATCAACCAGTTTGTTCAAATAAGCCACAATTTGTTGCTGCACATAGGTACTTCCTTGATTCAAATCCAGAAGGCCAACGAGTCGACAATTTTTGACCTAGAGCACATAAGATTTGGAAGAAGTCTCCTTTATTAAAAGAAACATGCTCGGCACTGTTTTGGTAGTCGCTGCCTTGAATGTCGCCGTCACAACGAAAATCGTTGAAGTCTGTTTTTGAGTAAGGGACCTGAAAAATTGTTTTACTGTTTTTCAAAAAATGGGATATGTTAGAGTAGGATATTTTTTCCAAGAAGCAATGTAACGGATGAAATTCGAAACTGTGAAATTTTTGAACGTCATCTTATAATTCAAACCCCAGGAAAGGTTTCAACGCCGTGAGTTCCATCAAAAGAGGATGAGCCAGAAGAACTGATGCCGCCTGTTCCAGATTTTTGTCCTATTCCCACCATATGGTTCAACACGACGTCGACAATTATCCTGAAAAATTAAGAATTGAAAACGTGGAAAAACTTCCAATCACTTCAGAATTTGGTTGAGAAACGCAAGAAAAAAGGAAGGATATAGCTCGATTTTAAAAGGATATAACGGAGTGAGACTTGAACAAAAAAATTTTTTTTCCTATTTTTTACAGTTTTTCAGTTTCAAACCAGCTGTTTTTGTCTCAAGGAAAAAAGGATCCCAAATCGAAGATTATACGAAATATTTACTTTTTTGTTTGTTTGGAAACAAACGAGCAAAATACACAATAGCGAAAAAAAAAATAGAGCCGCCAGTTTTGTAGAAATTTTTTTCAAATTTTCCTGATTTTTTACCTGACTCCGACTTTATTGCACCGGTTGACCATATCCTTGAACTGGGACTCGTCTCCACTTCTGGATGTCAGAGTGTAGCTGACAGGTTGATATCTGAAGTTTCAAACCAAGAAATATTTGTTTCTCTATTTTAAATTGCATTCACCTCACCCACCACGGTAAATCATTGTTGTTATTTGCCCAAATGTGCTCCATTGGAGGAGAAATCTCAAAAAGTCCTAGTTGAAAAATTCGAAACAGTGTTCGATATACCTGCACGGCTCCATATCCATAATGTTGTAGGAAGTTCTCGCATTCGTTGGCCACATCTGTCCACTTCCACTCAAACAAGTGCACCATTGCTTGACGGTTTGCAAGTGTCTGAGTTTTGTCGTACCTGGAAAGAAGACGTTTATTCCTACCTCTGGAGTTTGAAATCTTTCAGTATATTTTATTGTCAGAATTATGATAATCAACCAACCAGTAGACGTTGTACGCCAAACATTGCGACAATAATGGAATTATTGCCCAAAGGATCATGGTTCTCAGGTCAATTTCTGAATTGAGAAATATTCAAAAAAGATGGGAAATTTGTAAAAGGCAAACATTTTTGTTGATACATAAAAGAAATTTTGTTTGAGATTAATAAGAACTTTATGTCGAGTTTGTAAGAGAGAATGTTCTTTTTCCCATTCTTCGAATTGAATTTGATAGAGAAAAGAAATCAACAAAAACATAAATCTTTGAACTTTCAACAGCTGCTTAGTTTTTTTGAGATAAATGAAGTTTGGAAAAAAATCTTGCTTTTTTTAAACGAAAAATTTAAGCTACAAATAATGGAAAAATTTTTGAAGGAAACCTCCAAACTTCATTTAAAAATGAAAAAGTATACAACGTTGTTCAAAGAAAAAACAGAGGGTTCCTTGAATTTTAAAATTTGAAATAGAATTTAGTTATATAAGCTTTTTATATGATGAACGAGAACGTAGTATGACGTCCAAAAAAAATTAATCGCCCAAGAATTTGTTTAAGTGTCTATTTCATGTCGTTAACTGATAAGACTCGGCGTTTGGGATGCAAAACGCCACGTTTCTGTTTCTTTGACGCAATCAAGTGCAAAAGATGGCTTAATTTTTTCTTGGGGAGTTCAGAAGAAAAAACTGCTTGCAATTGAAGAATTACAAAAACTGTGTGAAGTCAGGATTTTTAACTTCAAATTTTCTTTCGATTCGGCCGCTTTTGAAATTATCAGAAGATTTTTATTCAAGTTCGCCAAAGAACATTTCAAGGAGTTGTTTTGAAGAATAACTGGAGGTTTGGAGAAAAAAATGCTTCTAGGGTTCGAAAAATTTCATGAATCTAGTGAATTCACTGTTTATGGGTTACCTCGCTCCATTCAAACGGACTTCTGACCCGACTAATTTTTTCACACCTGGAAAACTTTTGAAAAAATATAAAATGAGTCTGTGATTATGATGCATAGCGCATATTATAAAATAAGAAAACAACCTAAAAATCAAAAAATAAGGTCTTTTTTCCTGAGCAGTATGAATACTACTTTTAACTCTGGCCCTGCTTATTAAAAACTTCTTGTTTTTCATTGATGCCTTTTTATTTGGGATTTTTCTTTAAAATTTTTTTCTCATTTTTATTTCATTTCCCTCGATCATCACACTTCTGCTCTTCCACTGGCTTTTTATTATCAAACAAAATTGCAAACACTTCTCGTTGAGCTTATTATTTTTTTAATAATGAGTAGAAAATGTGCAAGACTCGGAATCTGAAAGAATGGAACTTCACTAGGCTGCTCCCACATTTCCTACTAAAAAGCAAAATAAAGAAGCGCAAGGACATAAAGTTCGGTAGAGCAAATTTTCCATTCGTTTCTTTTTCTAAATGGTTGTTTTGTTACTATTATTATAAGATTTCGAAACGACGTAATCATGAATTCATCATCACACAAGCAACAGATGGCCATGGGATATCCAGAACATTCGATTAGAAAATTTGAAGCTGGAAAATCTTTTTAAAAATACCTGAGTTTTCAATTTTTTTTGTTTGTTAATTATTTATTTGAAACGACGTATTTTTTTGTGATAAAAAAATACATTTCAAGAAAAACTGTGATCAATACGAAATTTTTCTTGAAACTTAGAGAAAATAAACGACAATCTTTTTAAAGTCTTTTTTTCATTCACACAAACACATTGCAATACATGTAACCTTTCAGAAACAATGTCGGTCTTCAATATTTCTCTCTTGGGCGAATTTACCACTTTCTGCGATGCACCTTGTTCCGAAATTCAAGCATAAGGCAAGCGTGTTCATCATGAGGAAATTCGCGCTAAGTTTGCAAAATATATCAATTGACTCATCGAAACAAAACGTCAGAAAAATTTTTTGATTGAATTTTGTTTCTCGGGTGGTATAAAAACCGAAAAAAAAGGTTCAAGGGTTTTTAATGCTTGAGTTTCATTTTTGAAAGTATCAATTTCAGCGTACGTAAAAAATTTGAAAAACAATTTATCTTTTAGGATATGAGGACAATCCTAACTTTGGTCACCTTGTTAATAGCTCACACTTCTGCTTGGCCTGTAAGAGTCCGTTTTATCTGTTTAACTGAATATTTCATTTCAGATATGGATCGGAGGCATCATCAACAGAAATGAGCCTGATCAAGGTGCATGGTAAATCGAGTTTTTTTTTCATGTTGAACAATTTCAGGATTAGCTCAACCGCACTCGAATGATTCCGAGGTTACTTTTCTTCCAATAAGAGAAGTCCCTTTAGAACTATTTGATGTCCTGTATGATGTTCTCTAAAGAGTTTTATTAATATTCATAGATGAAGACACACGGTCAAAAACAGAATTAGAAAAAGCTTATTGAAAGATCTTTTATTGGGAAATTGTTGGTTTTTGTGAGAAAATATTCTTCAGGTTTTCGGTTAGTACATCATAAAGTTTTATAGACCTTTTTTTAAGCACTTACAACTTTTTGTGTAGATTGATAAATTGTCCTCAGAAAATAGGAATTTTTTTGTGAAAGTAAATAAAAATTTTCACATTTTTCAAATTTCAGACAACTGAAAAACAAGCAAAAGCAGCGGAAACGGAAAAAAAATTCAAGAGAGGTAAGTGAAAAAAAATTGCAACTTTGCAAAAATTTTAATCGAGGCTTGATTGAAAAAATGAAAAGAGAAATTCACTTATTTCAGCTGTTGAAATTATTATATAAATCCCCTTTTTTTCCAATGTTTTATTTTGGTTGTAGATGTCAAATTATCCTTGGGAGAGGTGGCATCAGGTTTATCTGAGGATTCGTTGACATCAACGTTGCAACCGCTCGAGACAAGTTCTGCAGGTATAACTTTAAAGCCTTATTTTTCTTACAATCGTGAATTAATCAGCGTCTTCGGTTGAGTCAACGACAGTTTTTAACACGGAAGTTTTATCGACGTCTCCTTTTCCCGACTCAACAACCAACATTCTGACTGATGTCTCATCATCTGAGCCGCCTTCTATTGGATTCACCGAGTCATCTACAGGTATGTTTTCTCACGAAATCATCGAGAAAAAAAAAATCATTTAAAAGGTTTACCTTCGAAAAACGATACGAAGTCTACATTAGAACCTGATGACTTCACGACATCATCTACTGACACGTTCTCAACAACACGATTGCTTACCGAAGTTGTATCCACGACACCCAGTGTTGACAGAACCACTGGAATATCTTCTACAGCTGTTCCTGCCGCATTTTCGACCGAAGCGACAATGCCCTCTACACCATCCGTTCAAATCACTTCGACTTCCGCGGACTTTTCAAGAAGAGAACTACAAACTGAAGCTCCTGAGAGCGTTCAAAGTACAACTTCGGCGTCTGATATAGCGTCGTCAACAGCTGCTCTTCCGTCTGAGGCTCGTTCTTCCAGCTTGCAAGCTTCGAAATCGACCACGGCTTCTCCTTCACCCGCTGTTTCGACAGAAGTTATCTTGTCCTCTACACCGTCCGTTGACGTCACGGCGACTTCCGCGGACTCTTCAAGAAGAGAACTACAGACTGAAGCTCCTGAAGGCGTTCCAAGCTCAACTTCGGCGTCTGACTTAGCGTCTTCAACAGCTGCTCTTCCGTCTGAGGCTCGCTCTTCCACCTTGCAAGCTTCGAAATCGACCACGGCTTCTCCATCCTCCGCACTTCCGACAGAAGCTCTCCTGACCTCTACACCGCCAGTTGACGTCCCGGCGACATCCGCGGACTCTTCAAGAAGAGAACCACCGACTGAAGCTCCTGAAAGCGTTCAAAGCTCAACTTCGGCGTCTGTCTTAGCGTCTTCAACAGCTGCTCTTCCGTCTGAGGCTCGCTCTTCCACCTTGCAAGCTTCGAAATCAACCACGGCTTCTCCTTCACCCGCACTTCCGACAGAAGCTCTCCTGACATCTACACCGCCTGTTGACGTCCCGGCGACTTCCGCGGACTCTTCAAGAAGAGAACCACAGACTGAAGCTCCTGAAGGCATTCAAAGCTCAACTTCGGCGTCTGACTTAGCGTCTTCAACAGCTGCTCTTCCGTCTGAGGCTCGCTCTTCCACCTTGCAAGCTTCGAAATCAACCACGGCTTCTCCTTCACCCGCACTTCCGACAGAAGCTCTCCTGACCTCTACACCGCCTGTTGACGTCCCGGCGACTTCCGCGGACTCTTCAAGAAGAGAACCACAGACTGAAGCTCCTGAAGACGTTCAAAGCTCAACTTCGGCGTCTGACTTAGCGTCTTCAACAGCTGCTCTTCCGTCTGAGGCTCGCTCTTCCACCTTGCAAGCTTCGAAATCAACCACGGCTTCTCCTTCACCCGCACTTCCGACAGAAGCTCTCCTGACCTCTACACCGCCTGTTGACGTCCCGGCGACTTCCGCGGACTCTTCAAGAAGAGAACCACAGACTGAAGCTCCTGAAGGCGTTCAAAGCTCAACTTCGGCGTCTGACTTAGCGTCTTCAACAGCTGCTCTTCCGTCTGAGGCTCGCTCTTCCACCTTGCAAGCTTCGAAATCAACCACGGCTTCTCCTTCACCCGCACTTCCGACAGAAGCTCTCCTGACCTCTACACCGCCTGTTGACGTCCCGGCGACTTCCGCGGACTCTTCAAGAAGAGAACCACAGACTGAAGCTCCTGAAGGCGTTCAAAGCTCAACTTCGGCGTCTGACTTAGCGTTTTCAACAGCTGCTCTTCCGTCTGAGGCTCGCTCTTCCACCTTGCAAGCTCCGAAATCGACCACGGCTTCTCCATCCTCCGCACTTCCGACAGAAGCTCTCCTGACCTCTACACCGCCAGTTGACGTCCCGGCGACTTCCGCGGACTCTTCAAGAAGAGAACCACAGACTGAAGCTCCTGAAGGCGTTCAAAGCTCAACTTCGGTGTCTGACTTAGCGTCTTCAACAGCTGCTTTCCCGTCTGAGGCTCGCTCTTCTACCTTGCAAGCTTCGAAATCGACCACGGCTTCTCCATCCTCCGCACTTCCCACAGAAGCTATCTTGTCCTCTACACCGTCAGTTGAGGCCACAACAACTTCCGCGGACACTTCAAGAAGAGAACCACAAACTGAAGCTCCTGAGAGCGTTCAAAGTACAACTTCGGCGTCTAATTTGGCATCATCAACGGCTGCTCTCCCGTCCGAGACTCGCTCTCCAACTTTGCAAGGTTCAAAATCAACCACGGCTTCTCCATCCTCCGCACTTCCGACAGAAGCTATCTTGTCCTCTACACCGTCAGTTGACGTCACGGCGACTTCCGCGGACTCTTCAAGAAGAGAACCACAAACTGAAACTCCTGAGAGCGTTCAAAGTACAACTTCGGCGTCTAATTTGGCATCGTCAACGACTGCTCTCCCGTCCGAAACTCGCTCTCCAACTTTGCAAGATTCAAAATTAACCACGGCTTCTCCTTTAAACGCTCTTCCGACCGAATCTCTCGTGACCTCTACACCAGCTATTGACGCCACAACGACTTCCGTGGATTCTTCGAGAAGAGAACTCCAAACTGAAGCTCCTGAGAGCGCTCAGAGCACAACCGCGGCATCTGATTTGACGTCAACAGCTGTGCTCTCTACAATACCTCCTAGAAACTCTTCAACGGATGTGCTCTCATCGACCATGCCTTCAAAAGACGTTACAGAATCCTCAACAGAGCCTTCAAAATCGCCTCGAATCGGTGCGCGTCCTTTTGCAGTGCCGGCGGCAGAAGCCCCTGCTCCAACTACGCCAATAAAGGATGGCGTCGTTCTCCCGGAGGGTTGGAATAATTCTGATGATTCCTGCGAATCCGGTGACTGTGACTCTTCGTGCGAATCAAGCGACTGTGATAGTTCCAGTGACGCAGATTCAGACACGTCCTATTCTGGCTATTATTGAAAATTTTTGTTGCTCTGATGTAAAGTTTTTTTAATTTTTTTGTCTGAAGTTTTTTTGTGAAAAAAAGTCTATTCTTTTGCAAAATTCAAAAAAACAAGCAAAGAGGTTTTTTTCATATATATAACATTCAAATAACAACAAACGATTTGAGACATGACCGAAACTTAGTTTCTCTTAAGCGATTCTTGCAACTCCGCTCAAAAAATCGGTTTTCGTCATTGTTTGACTTCCGCGCTCAACATCTTCCGTCACTCCAACCTGAAAAATAAAATGATTTTTATTAAAAACTCCGAAAAAAATTACCTTTCTCCTATTTTCTTTCTGTTCTGCCGGTTTGCCATCAACGACAATAATACCGCAGAGAACTACATCCTGCTCTGGCGATCGCAAAACGTATCTTAAACGAGAATAAACAGTTGGAACTGGAAAACCAGATCACCAACTTGCACTTTTCAACTTTTCCCAGTTCGACGTCGTGATGGTATTTTTCCAGGGAGTTATTGCAGCACAAAGTTGTAAGAAGAATGATAATTGGTAGCAAAATCAAAGCAATCAGTACCACGAATCCTAATAATTAAAAGTTAAAAAAGAAAATAATAAAATTCGGAAATTCCATCGAAGCATCTACGAATTTCCGACAGAAGATACGACTGAATTGAGTGAAAACAATTAAATTCGATCAAGCTTGAAGAAAATAAAGGCGCTTGTAATTTTTACCTTCATTCAATTGGCACTGACAGACAACTTGAATTCCATTGTAAATGATAAAAATCGATAGAAATACTGACCCAGCAACCAAGGCTAATGAGAGCGCTGCACACAAAACCATCCCAATCTGAAAAAAATCTTTCCTAAATTCTTCATTCATGTAGAAATATTCACCCATTTAACCAACATTATAGAGAATATAATGATCCTAGATATGTACCAGCGTAGGAAACCAAGAGGGGTTGACTAAAAGTCAATTTCGCTTTTTTGAATTCTCGGAAAGAAAACTTCTGAGTTAAAGGTGTCGTCGCCTTCCTTTTCAAACATCGATTCTCTTTCTGAAGTGCTGAAAAATCTCAGTTATCATCTCATCAGATGATCGAGCTTCTTTGTGTGAGTGATTGGAAACAAACCTTTCTTCAATCGAGTTATGGCTTCTGCGGTAATAGTCATTAAACTCGACCTTGCCCCCTTCTTTTGTTATTTTATTCTGTATGGACGTGACAGACGTTCGAATTGATGTTTTTCTTGACGACTGGAAAGCTTCGAGAAGCTGAAAAATCATCTCTGGATTTCTCTATACAGGGTGAACAGAGAAAACTAAAAAGACAAAGAGTCTTATGAAACGCATGAAAATTTGAAAACCTGTGAAGCTGTTGGTCGCTGGCTTGGGTCTACTACAAAAATGGTATCAATAAGCTCCGTCAGTTCCTTGCTTGCAGTGGGTGTCAAAGTCTGACTTGTATAGGCTAGGCTGCCGCTCTGCCAGCGCTCACAAAGCGCCTGAAAAACAAAGCTTCTGATTGAATTATAACAGTTTAAATTTGAAAAACCTACCTTATGAAGAGCATCGCCCGATAAGGAGAGAAAATGGTCTTGAAACGGCGCAAATCGCGTCACCATAGATACTACAGTACAGCCAACGGCCCTAGAGGGATTTTCAAAAATTTGAATGAAGCTTTCTCAACCAAATGTCCGCACTTGTCGTCAACACCGGAAAACTGTCGAAATCTTTGTAGGCTTCTGGAGGAGAAGAGAGCAAACCCCGTCGTGTATGAAGCCCGGAAGAAGGTAAACCGAAAAAGATTGAGTTTACCTTTTTTTTTTTCACTGGCAGTAAAGAGAAGTTTTTTATTGGAGGTTATAGGATCCATTTAGCAAAGAATATGTCAAAAAATGAATTTGAGATCTTTCTGAGAACTCTTGGACAACATTTGAAAAGTTTCGAGTTGAGAATTGAGCGGGACTTCGCTTAGATGTTCTTCGAGACCTCCTGATTACTAATGATTTTTTTATCAAATGTACATCCCGACTTGTTCCGAAGATATGGAGTCTCGAGATTGGGTAAGAGATTTTGGCCTTCACCAATAAGCTTTTGATAACTTTTTCCTCACCTTTTATCAGCATATCAGCTAGTTGTATGTCATTAGACAATGTGAGTAGCAGATTCGAAGCTAAAGAGAACAAAAAATCTTCTTATATGAAAGGAAAGCCAACTTGTAATGTTTCCATGTATTTTTCCCTTCTCGTGTAAAAATCTCAATCCACTCATTATTTGTCCGGCAAATTTCAGGGCTTGCCACTGTAACAGATGAATATATTAAATTCTTTTTTTACATAAGGTCACCTCAGGCAGCGGCCCTCTTCTCAGTTTGTCAGCGATGCTGCCAGCTGGTAGAAAGCTTCGAAAGATTGAAAGATTTTTGTCTTTGTGATAAAATCCATAAATGCTGAGAAAAGTTTGTTTTGAATCATGTCAAGAAAACCTGGCAATTCGTTTATGCCGACATTGAGAGAGAAGTTCCAACTCGTCGCAAATTTTTTCGATAGCCTGAATTTGGGAGATTTCGAAGTACAGAATGTCCTTTCACGCATGCAGACCTCAGCTGATAAGGAAGACAAATCCCATTCCACAACAGCGTATTGAGCCATTGTGGCCGAGTTGATGTATTTTCTGAGGCGTGTCAGTTTTGTCCTCTCACTAATTGTTCCTAAAATAAGACTTCTTTCAAATCCCATGTCGTTTTTAAAATTTCATTATTCAATTAATCTTCAAAAAACGGATTAGTTGAAATTTCAAAATTTTACTCTCACTGAAAAGATTTTCAATGGGGGTTCTAGAAAAAAAAGCGGAAACCTATTTGCATCATTCCTTTCATAACTGCATCGCTGAGTTTTGTGGACGAAAAATCGTGCCGGGAAATGTTTGAAGCTGTCGAAGGAGTTGGGGATGGAGCTGCGAAATTTCTAGCTTCAGCCAAGTCTGTCTGCAAAAATACATAGCAAATCAGATGAAAATAGTAGCGTGAGATCATCCGATCAAGAACTTAATGAAGTTTTGATACAAAGTACTTTAGAACGGTCTGGTTCCAAACCGGCAAAAAAACTGCGCTTTTAAGATTTGTAGATTTATCGCGTCTAAAAACTTTTTTAAGTTGCAAATCTTGATGCGAGAAAAGTTCATTAAGAGAAGCGTTATTTCGAAAGTTCGGTGTATTTTAAAAGGCCTCTGAGCAAAATTTTATCAAAATATCAACCTGGAATTTTTTGCAATTTTCTTATGAGGTTGGGCCGAATTTGCGGTAAAAAATCGAAGAAGCTACTTTCCATCTACAAATGTTGAAAGTACTCACCGCATCATTGATATCATTGTACATTCTCGTGTTGAAATTCCCAAGATTGATCCTCAACCGGCTCCTCGAAGTGTCCAAAGAAACATCCGACGTTTCTTCTTCTTCTTCATCTTCTTCTGGCTCTTCAACAATTATTTGAGGCTGAGGTCCACGTAGCATCTGCAAAAAATGAATTGAAGGAAATATTATGAACAACCAAAATTTTGTGAAAATTCTGAGCTCCTCACTATCAAAAGGAAACTTCTTATCTTTCTCATGGCTTAAAAGTCGATAACACACTTCAACTCTGATTCAATTAAAAATTAAAATGTTTGCAAGGAAATTGTTCGATCTCGAGTCAGTTTTTGATATTGGGATGTCCTTAAAACTAAATGCCTGAAGTCTTGCCTGGACGGACCCATAGTTTAGGAAAATCAGATCTCAAACTCTCGGAATAGCTTATCCGACAAAGTTCGATTAATTTTTTCAAATTTGGAATTTTCCTGTTCCGATTTTTGAGAAATACTTTTGACTTCAAAAAATAATCCGGCAGATTTTCCAAAAATTTTCAGCAACCAATTAAAAAACCTTCTTTCAAAAAACTCCTCTTAGGAGAGTTTAATCTTTAGACCGCTGTTTCCATGGATTTTTTCCATGAAAATGCTCGTTGATGCTTGAATAGCGGATTTCCTGCCAATCGTTGTCGTGCAAACGCATACTGCTTGAACCTTTTCTGAAATTTCTTCAAAAACTCAGGTGAGCATTTTCGGATTTTTTTGTATTTAATTGAAAGTAATCTCGGATCGAGTATATTAAAGTTATAACGCATCTATCGAGAAGTTGCAGAAAGTTAAAAAAACAGAAATTTACAGATTATGTTTTGACTTTCTCTAAATCGGTTTTATTTTTTGAAAAGTATTTTTTATTTGAAACTCGCAGTTCAAAATGAATAATGAGAGGCTGTTTCCAACTGTTTGGAAACTTCTCCATAATTACTTTAAACCTGACTGGTTTCAAAAAACAAACAAATGCCTGGGAACGACTTTAATAGACACAATTTCAAAGAACTGGTTTCACTCTCGCCACAAATAATGACGACACAGTTCGGGAAAGAGAAAATTTTCTCTACAATCAGTGGAATTCGGGAAAAATAATTACGCCCAAAGTTTAGGTCAGAACATTGATGATCGTGACGTAAGCAAAATTGGAGATAAAAAATAAGACTTTGTGATGTTAGAGAAATGCAAAAAGATTCAATAATGTAAAAACAGGACAAAAAACGGACCATCACAGGTCATTGTTGGAAAAGTTGTGATTAGTGATTACGGGAAAAAAGGACTTTTACACTAGGGGACGAACAGTGGAAAGCCGCCAATAGGGAAACCTGTTGATTCGACTTATAATGTCAACCCAAACAGGCGCTTCACTATTTCCTCTTTTTTCAGTTTTCAATGTGAATTATTTCTTCTCTAGAACTTCATTTCAAGCGAACGATCGAGAAATTGCCGTTGTGTAGCCTTTTTCTCGCAGTTGGTCATTTCACTTTTCTCCGAGGTATTTCCAAGTATGTCACATTCGGCCTTTTTTTTGCTATCTTTATCAATTTGTTGACTCTCTTTCTCTCTCTCTCTCTGAAAACTTTCCATCTAAGTCGTTTTTGATAAGGTTTGTTAAAACAAAGAACTTCTTATAAATTGAGCGCTTATCAAAATATTACACCCAGAATCTAACGCATAAAAAACTGGGTTCGGTTTTTCTTTCTTCAAAACTCAGCAAAGTTAACGATTTTTACAGTCAATTGTTTTGCAGTTTTCTTCCTTGCTTTTTTTATGAAACAAAACTTAAATTTTTGATAGTAACTTTTTCAAGTTCAACTAGCATTCGAAAAAAATTCAAGAATGAATTCTCAATTCAATATTTGGTCTCATTTTCTCATTCCTAAATGTTCACATTGATCATTCTTCTCCAGTATAAAAAAATGTAACTTTTTGTAAAAAAGTTTATTTTTTTGGAAGAATAAACTGGAAGAATTTCAGAACCACTTTTCCTTCTAAGCCTTTTTCCGGCCATTTTCTTTTCAAAAAAGTTTTATCGGTCACGTTTTTTGCTCTCATATCTATGGGATAAAAGAGAAAAATCCATCATTTCTAAAAGGGTACGATGGGTTCAATTTGACGCTTCGAATCATATGGAAACCATTAAAATATGTCTGATTGTGGCTGAAAAGATTTTTTCCATCTGCTCGAAATGCGTCACATGATTGAAAATAGCTTCGATTTTTTTATTACAGAAAAAGTACTTTCCACGTTCTCAAACTTTAACTTTCAAGTATTCAGAGTATCCTTTCAAAGTATAGATGGTTTTGAACGAATTCCGGTCGCTCCTTTTTCGTATTTTGTCGAATACAAAGGAAAAAAAGAGCAAAGATTGAAAAAATGGAAAATACATGGGCAATGATTTATCATTCCTCACACTATGTCACAAAAATCTAGATTCTAGAGAAACAACCTAAATTTGCAGAACTTCTTCTTCAGAAATTTTGAGACCTTCACTTACTATTGCAAAAAAGAAACAGGCGCGAATTTCAAAAAATATATTTAATCTGAAAAAAGTAACAACGGAATAAAATAAAACTTACACTTTCAGGACAGCTGAACTCTCCCACACGGAAAAGTTCTATTAATCGAAAATTGAATACAAGAAAATAGAAACATAATTATGGATTTGTTGACTTCAAAAAATGGGTGTCCTGATATGAAAAAAACAGCCGGTTGTCAATTCCCAGTTCCTTTCGAGATTTTTGATCAGTTGACAGGTTTTCTGATATTTGCAAATTGATATAAATGCCTCTTTTTAACTTTGAATCTGGTTTTCGTAAATAAAATTGAAGTCCCACAAAAAAAAATTCTGGTTTTTTTGGGTAGAAACAAAGCAATGAGAAGAGATTTTGGATAAAGATCTTCTCTTTTTTTGTTGAGTTCGTCGCTTTCAACTTCAATGTGAGTGATAACCGCAGTTATTACTTTATGGCCTCAATTTTGTTTTTCATCTCGAAAATGATGTTTCAAATGTCGCCTCACAATAATCAAAACACCTCATTGTAGCCTCTTTAATTTTTGATTGAAGCTGGTCTTTGGGTAAATCCCCAAAAAAACTCATTTTTTTATAAGGGAATAAAAAGCAATTTATTATTAACGTTGAAGTATTTGAGAATATTTCAAAATTTAATTATTGAGATTTTTTTCACAGATATATATCGACGTCAATCCTAGAAATTACAGTCTCCGAAATATCTTAAATTATTAAAACGTTTTCTTCCAATAAATCGTTCCAAGAAAGAAAAACTTCGCAGGTTGTTCTTTTTCGAGATTTTTTTGCCGTGAATAAAAAAAGTCAGTTTTTTTGAAAAAGTTTTTAGGTAGCAGCGTGAAATGATTTTTTTATGTTGTATATGTAAAAAGTTTTTTTCTTTTTCTTCAATGCGTGTAACTGTGAAATCGTATAAACCATAAATACTACTGATCTCTTTATTGGGTTGATGAAAATTCTCGGAGAAAGAAATGTGTGATCAAGATATGTTTGATCTTCAATTTTCAGTTTCATTTTGAAAAAAAGAGCAAAAAACAAATACACTGCAAGTATAAGAATCCGTCATTTTGTTGTTTCCGTCTCTCCTTTATGTTTGTCATCACCAAAAGAAGAACTTTTTCATTAATTTCGCGTTGGTGATTGTGAAAAATATGTCTGTAGCCGGTACACATACTACATTTTGCGCAATCAAAGAATGATTCCATTCTCCGACAAACTACAAAATTTTGACTAAATTGTATCTAAGGCTAGACATACTTTCCAAACTTTGAAAACATTGAAAAAAATTCTAGAGCTTTCAAAACGGATATGGAGTATTGGAAAAAAGTTCTTCTTAATAAAAATTGCCGTTTTTTATTTGTTTTTTTGTTTATTGTGAACAAAGAAAGATTAAACTGAGCTGTTTAGGATCCGTTTTTGGAAAATTGGGCGGCTGGAAATAAACCTGGAACAGTGAAAAAAAGAGTTTAGATAGGAATTTACTATATAAACTTCCCGTTTCACTCAAAGTAAGATTGATGAAAAAAATTTTTCAAGTGGGATCTGTGGTACTCCTGGATCTTTTTTTATAAGAAGTATCATCCAATACAATTCCAACCTTTATACTTTTTTATTTCGCGGTTACGTATTGCTTTTTTGTCGAAATATTAAAAAAATTTTGTTGAGACATTTTTTACGAATTTAGCGAAATAGTTCGCGTTTTCCTCATCTTTTTACCAATGTTATAACTTCGCCTTTTTTGTGTACTTGAAATTTTTTCGTTCTCTGCTCAACTATAAGTTAGTCCGACCTTTTTGTTTTGTATTTACTAATTTAACCTACCGGATCTTCGGCAAAGGACGTCTTGCCCAAACTGGGTGACGTCGAATTCAGTTGTGCGTCTGCGCATCTCACTCGGCAATACTATAAATTGTTTTTTTTTTCTTTTTCGTTTTGACAATTTTGAGTGGCCGAAAGGCGGTATTTTGTTGCGTCGTAGGGGCTGGCCCCTCCTACGCTCCAGCGTCCTTGGCCTTGCCACCCTCCTTTTTCCTATTTAAATCACCGTCAAGCGAATACTTTCTTGTAAACTCAGACAATTTTTATCTGCATTCGTGCGATTACAGTGTCATCGCTGTTCAAAAATTATAACAATTTCCGTCTTCATACAATGCCTGTCGCTCAACACAAAGCTTGGAAAGCATGCCGCAAAGGTAAGAGCTTCATAAGGATTAGATAACTTGAATTTTTCTATTTCATCTCTGAAAGAATAAAACTGGTTTATGAGTTCGACATTGTTTGCTAAATCTACGGGAAAGAAGTTATGAGTGTTTTACCATAAAAAGCCTCTGAAAGGTTTCGTGACTTTTTGAGAGCAACTGCAGGAAAAAAGTCTTTTTAAGGACAAAATAGCCCCCGAACTGACTTCAAAGTTTGAATTTTCAGGTCGAGTCCGTACATCCAGCATGGGTTCCTGCCTCTTCAAGCCGCTGAACAAAGTGGAACCGAAAAGACTCGTGCGAGTGGAGCAAGGAATGGTCGAAGGAACGGCGCTGGTGACTTCTCAAGGGAGCCAATGTGAGGTCTACCTCGGCATTCCCTACGCCAAGCCTCCCGTCGGCGAGCTCCGGTTTCAGGTTCTTTTTTCTTTCATTTGCTCGGTTATTCCAATTTTTACCTTAATAACACATTTTTCTTCTTGAAATGAAGTTTTTCCTTCCTGTCTTGACATTAAGAAAACTGAAATAGCGATTAGTTCCGCGTAGATGTACACAATCGAACTTTTTACTTGGTTTTGTTTGTGTTATTTTGTGTCTTTCGCCGACTATTGCTGTTTGTAACCAATCTTCAAAAATATACTTGACCAAAATAAGTTCGCGCAACATGGAATAAGTATTTTTGAGACTTTATTATCAGAGAACAAAATCAAGAGAAAATCACTCAACTCATGTAAAATAACAATGAGAAAAATGTTCTAGCATTCGAAATGCAGGAAGTTATGAATTTACTTTAAAATTTATGGTTATCAAAAAACTCTAGTCAAGATTCAAAGAGCACTGAATTATGAAAAAAAAAACAAAGATAAAGGAAAGATAGGTACTCCCAGAGTTTGATGAAAATTTTTCGTATTTGTTCGAAGTTTCAGCTCGCAAATAAAAAAAAGCAAAATTTCAGCGTTTAAAGTAAATAGACCATTCATCAGGAATTTGAAACACGTTCAATTTTTCCTTGAAGGTCGATTGAATGATCTTTAAACTACCACAAATAAAAGAATAAACTGAATTTTTTCCTTTTCAGAAACCTCAGCCGCCGGATTCGTGGGACGACGTTCTGAAATGCAAAAAATTTCCTTCGCGATCCGTTCAAAAGGACATGATGTGGGATAAAGTCATGTCAAGCGCCTCCCAAAGCGAAGACTGTCTGTACCTGAATGTTTTCGCCCCTGCAGTGGAGGAAGGCAACAACAAGGTTGGTCAAGAACAAAAAAAATCAACTTATCGCTAGCACTATCAAATTTTTAATCGCGATTTCAAATTCCCCTCCGAATGTGATCAATTAAAGTATCTTCATATTATAAATCGAACTTTTTTGGAAAACTTTTTTTTTTCATAAGTCAGATAGATCAGAATGCCTCGAAAGAACCCTAATAATTAAATTAAAAAGACCTAAACAAATTTCCAATTTTTTCAATTCCAGAAACACCCTGTCCTCTTCTACATCCATGGGGGAGGCTGGCTGATGGATTCCGCGGAAAAATATACGCCAAAAAATGTCTGTCGGCTGCTGGTCTCGAAAGGAATCGTGGTTGTGACGATCCATTACCGCCTGGGATACCTCGGATTCATGAGTACGGGCGACAGCGTCTGCAAAGGCAACTTCGGCCTCTGGGACATGCTGGAAGCCTTGAAATGGACCCACGCCAACATCGAAGCTTTCGGTGGAGATCCAAAGAATATCACTCTTTCTGGTCAAAGTGCCGGGGCCGCTTCTGCCGATTTGCTGTCTATTTCACCGCTAGCACGAGGTTTTTATACTTTTTCATTCAGGGAATAAAAAAAAAGTTTCAGGTTTGTTCAACAAGAAAATACTGATGGGAGGAAACTCCTACTGTCATTGGGCCACGACAAAACCTGCTGAAATCCGCGAGTACTGTAGAAGAAAGGCTATTAAACTTGGATACAAGCCGAGAGACAGTAAGCTTCGTTGCTGTTTTTTTTTTCGAAGCTTGGGTTTACAGGTTATTCCTCGACAACGGAAGAAAGCGCCGATATTTTTGACTTTTTCAAACGGCAGCCGGCTGAAAAGTAAGTTTTGACTGAAGTTTTTTTTTGTATTGAAGGACTTTTTGTATTTTTTGAAAGTTTCGTTCGTCAAACTACTCTGCGATTTATGATAGGGACATTCTGAAACCTTAGTCAGCAGAAGTTTCTCAACTTTAAAGGTTAGAGAAAATTTCCAAACGTTGATAATTTTGGTTTTCCGTAATTTTGATCTGCTTGTCTTCGAGGGCTTAAAAATTAAAAATTAAAGTTACCCTTTTGCCGAAAACTTTGCAACTTTTTTTTTGATGGCTGTACAGAATAATTTTTCAGGCTCGAAACGACAATGTTTTTCTCGAAAACGATTTTCACGAAGTGCAAATTACCGCTTGCACCGGTTATCGATGGAGAAATCCTGCCAGAGAGTTTGAGCCAACTACGCGCCAACGCACCACAGGTGCCCAGCATCGTTGGTGGCGGCGAATACGAATCCCTACTTTTTAGTTCGTTTTTTCCAAAAACTTGATCCAAAATCTTTTTTTTAAAGTTATAATCGCAATTTACAGTTGCAATCGGCCTTCTCCGCTGTTCAGCCAAGGACGTCGCCCATGCGATCGACGAAGTTTCGACGCGTAGCGGATACGCGAAATCCTTCGTTCAAAAATGTGCCCAGCAGCTTTACGGAGACTCACAAGATGTCCGGAACAATGCAAAGAAAAGAAAAAGGATGTATGTGGAGGTGAGAAGCTTCAGGCTGCATCAGGAAGAAAATACGGAATCTTTAGATGATTTCCGACATCTTTTTTAACTACGCCAATTATCGCCTGATGGATGAGCAAAAAAAGGCGGGAAACAATAATTGCTACGCTTTTTGCTTCGAACACACCAGCAAGAATGTGTGGGGATGGCTGCAGCACGTCGTTCCTTTCACCGGTTCGTCTGAAATATTTATTTCTTGCGTGCAATCGAAGTGAGTCGGCTGGTAGACAGGAAATCATCTTTCAACTACAACAAGGGAGAAGTTCATATTCAAACGAAAAACTTCATTTTTAACTTTCGGATAGTGTAGGAATTCGAACTAAAAGAGAGTTTTATTGCAGTCTAACGAATAATCCAAAAACAGGCAATTTTAGATTAATATTAAAATTCAAAAACAGTCAGCGCTCTTCCGTTCATGAAATGAATTCCCTGTCTGCGAAAAAATCTCCGTTTTCAGAAAATAAGGGTTCATTGCATCTTAATCGCCCATCAATTGAGCTCACATTAGTTTTTTTTCCCAAAAGTTTGAAGCATTGACTTACAAAAAAGAATGATTCTGAAGAATGATACTTTTTTTTTCTATTTATTAAAAAGTAGTCCGAGTAACTTTTTCAAACCTTCCATAGAGCAGCAATACTTCTTGCACCCTGATGATGCTCATGAATGATCACCTTTTCTTTATTCTGATCGTTTTCAGGAGGAACGCACACTTCCGACGTCACGTACCTCTTCGACTGTAATTATATGAACGCGCCTCTTCCGATGGATAAGCAGGATCGCGTCGTCTCCGACGTCATGACCCGATATTTCGCCCAATTCGTCAAGTCGGGGTTAGTTCGCACGATTTTTTCCATTTATTTTTTCTTCCTGTTCCAGAAATCCAAATGAAAAATCCACCAATGGAGCTGAATTGCCGCAATGGACTCCGATCCAAAACGACGACACCGAAATGAAAACTCTCTGCTTCAATTTAGAACCTCAGATGAAAACAAAAGTGAGCGTTTTTCATAGACAGAGGGAACTCGAAAGTAGTAGTTTGAAAATCTGCCAAAACTAAGGCTAGGCCAACTGACCATAATTCATGAAAAGCTGTCCAATCTATCCATTTCCATTTGAATCAAGGCTACTTAAAATTTTTCAGTCTATTCTCTCTAAAGACTGAATAATTTCTGGAAATTTCGAGGTTTCATGACTTGACTAAAATCAGAAGACAAAACATTTTTTTATGGATTTGAACTTTTGTTTCAGCTGAGAACTTTTTCTTTTGCGCAGACCTTGTGAAATTCAAAAAAAGGCTCGACTAATAACTATGAGAACTTTCAGGAATACATTCAAAGAATGCGACAACTTCAAGAAGAAAGGTCGAAAATACCGTCAATTCAAATTTCCTGAAGGATCATTCGCCGCTAGAATTATTATATGGAATTCATAATAATTTTCAATGTTTCCTCAATTTTTATGTATCATATTTTTGCAGTTTATTCACTTCACTTGGGCACAACCATCCTAGTCATTCCTCATCTTTCGTGTTTTCCCCCCGTGTTTCAAATCGATCTCTGACATTATTTGTTTTAATAAATAAATTCATCAATAAATTGAAGTAATGAGAGTTTTCTTCATCACCGAAAGAACCGGAAAGCAAGACGCTTCCAGAAAAAAATTTCCTGCAAACGCTCACTTTGAAAAATTTTTTTTTTGAAAAATTTTTTTAAAGTTCTGAATGAATAAAATGAAAAAAATGAGAATCATTATCCAAATAAGAAACTTTTTTTCAAAGTTTGAGGAAAACGAGAAACTGACAAAAAAACTCGTTTGAACAGGTCCTTCAAAGTAATCCAATAAGTTAATCTCATAAAGTCTTCATCTGCGACGAGAAAATCCTGCAAAGCGTTATTATCTCGGCTAATCTTATAAAATGCATTAGTTGAATAGGAATGAAGGTAGTCCAACATTTCGCACTTTCAAAGGAGGTTTTAGTGGAAAGTTCGAACTTCATGCAAAGAACTGATTTTTTCTTCTATTTTGAAGTCCTACACAGGGAAAGCAAAGATTATATGAACTATTCTTTGTACATATCTGAATTGAGTTTTTCTCACAAGATAAGTATTGGAAAGAAGATTCTGAAAAGACACTTTTTATATTTTTCAATATAAAAAAATATTGACAACTGGGATCTTGAATTGAAGATAATTGTAGGCTTTCTTCTCTTGATTTTTTTTTCGGATCGAAAATTTCTCTCTGATAAATTGGAACAGCACCACGGACCGGAGAATGACATCATTTATTGTTGTTGAACGTCGAATAAAATTTAGAAAATGTCTGGACCGGTTAGTCTACAATTTTGGAAGAGTGCGTCGACCCAATGTTTTTTCAATAGACTGTTTCAAAACTTTCGGGTCATTTGAGAGTAGGTCCACAGTCGTTGTGGCTGACGTCATGCACAGTTTGATAAGACTTACTAAAAAAAAGGACATGTTCCAGAAAACTGCTTCTTTTCAGAAACTGACATGAAGAACCTCGCTTTTTTCATGATGATCTAAATTTAAGAGTTTCAATTTCATAAGGCTTTTTTTCATAAGTTTCCTATTCTTTCTCTGTTCAGCCTTCACAAGGGAGGTCATTTTATTCTGCGGCTGGGATTTTCTGGAAGTTGGCCAGAACACTCCTTGATGTACTAGAAGAAAATTCAGAAAGCCTCTATCTGCACAACTCTCTAGTCTTCGATAAATAAGAGCTCAAAGCCTCCAAATAGCCTATTTTTATGGATTTTGAGGTTTCTTTGAGTTTGAAGGTTATGTTCTCGAAAACTAGAAAGTTGTGCAGGTTGCGACTTTCAGAAATTTCATTTGGTACTTCAAGAAGTTTTGAAGCCAATTTTCAAGAAATTCTCAACCACAAAGTAAAATGACCTCCCATGTCAGTTGAGATCAGCTTTTCTTTTAAATTTGTCTATAGTCTGTTCAAAAGCTCTTGCTAAAATTTCAAGGTCCTCGTATGGCACTCAGAAAACGGTTCTTCGCCTCAAGACGTTGAAGAATTCGCCTGGGCTCCTTTGGAATAGCTACGGGTTCTTTGTGCAGATTATAGTACAAAAAGCAAAAGATTAGCCCTAGAAGGGTTGAAATGTCGCCGGGTGTCGTCTTCTCTCAATTTACATAATCGCTCCAAAGAAGGAGATAATGTGCCCGGAGGAAATGAGATTTTCATCGTGTTTGCCCCGTGAAACGTGCATTTTTTTTTGTCGGGTTTAGCATTGCGAATTAGTTGTCGGAACGCTGCTGCTCGAATAGAGCAAAAGGACGCAGACTTGAAAAAAGGTCAATTTTCTTCCCAGCAGAGATATGAATCCAAAAATACGTTTCCCTAATTGAGACACGACGTCAGAGTGTGAAATTGAAGCTTGTTCTAGAGTTTCGAGTTCACGGAGTTTCCCCTCAAGTCAACTTTGCACAATCGCAGATGAAAAGAAATTTGTTGGTGTTAAATTTTTTGATCTCCAAATAGGGCATACCAATAGAAAATTTACAGCTGAAAAAATTGAGTGAGAATGAATAAAATCGCATTTCGTTTTGAGTGTACTTTACTTACCTACGTGTCTACAAGGGCCGAAAAAACTTCTTTTTTTTTCTCTAGCTCCTTGAAAAGAGAAAAAACTCGAGTATGCTTGAAAATTTGCACACAACAATGGGGAACGTTGAATAAACCTCAACTCGCCTGAAAAGAGACGTTCTTCACAGGAAAAGGGTTTGAAAAGAGCAATTGCGCTTTGTGAACAGAATAATTTATTTCTTTTCAAATGTCGAGCTCTTCTCCATTTAAACTCTGACAGGATAAAAGAGGCAATTTGAAGAAATGAATAAAAAAATAAAGAAAATAATAAAAAGTTATATAATTTTTTTCATAACTTTTTATAACTTTTTTTCGACTTGGGTAACAGACGAATTAAGCTTCTTGTAGTTTTTTTGATCATAATTTCCACAAACCAAAGCCCCGTTGAAATCAAAACAGTACTGTGCCGGACTCAAGTAAGCGCTTTGCAAAACAATGATCCGGCATTCTCCATAGTTTCATTAAAAGTTTCGTTCCTGTAGGGGACCTTTTCGCTTTTTTCGAATAGTTTAGCTTTGATCAAAAATCCCTTAAAAATCAAATCGAACTATGTTTTTGCAAATTAAAACCTCCACAAAAGAATTTTTCCTCAGACACCCTTCCAATTAAATCAAGTGGTTGAGTAGAAAACTTTTTCGATAATCATAGAATCCACTGAAAAATTCATGACGTTCTACCACTTCACCATATTAAAATTTTCCTTTTCTTTTCAATTTGCTAGTAATTTCAGCTGCTCTCAGATGGGTTTCAGAAAAAAAGGCTACTGGGAGGCGGTAATAAGCTCAAAAGAGGCGTGCCTCCGCGTGCACATCAGTTGAAAAGCGACACTCTTGGATTTTCCGTTCCTTGTTTTTCTGTTCTCCGAAAGCTTGTTCAGGGAAACTTAAGAAATCTTTTTCGTTTTTGAAACACGCGGAGGTGCGTCGAAATATTTTCTTTCAAACTAAAATCACTTCATTCGCTCAGAATATCTTCGATAGTCTCATTTCACGTTACCCTTTTTCGGAATTGACAAAGAGCTCCTTTTAAGGCTCAGTCGGAGAATGGTTTCTTCTCGTCTTCTGATTTTCTTTCTGATTGTTAGTGTCCAATCAGTCCAACCTCGAAAAAGAAAGCTTTGCGGAAGAGTTCTCGTCCAGACGCTCATCAAGGTAAGTGCGAACAAAGCAGAACCGTGATAAATTCCTATCGATGTTCTTTAGGTCTGCTCACCAGATTCGAACAGCCCACCATGCTTAGATGACAGCAAGAGCCGTTAGTTTTTTTTTGTGAAAGGCGGAAATAACATCTATTTTCGCAGAAGATGCCTCAATAGTCGACCTCTGTTGCAAGGGAACTTGCAGTGCGGATGAGATCGCCGGTTTCTGCTGCAACGAGGGTTTCCTTCTTTCAATCATATCTTCCACATATTAAGTAACTTCCAGAAGATGCGCGAAAGTTCTACGGAGACAACAAACACGCCGACGAAACCAAGAAACTCGCTGAAGACATTAAAAAAGAAGTCAGCGCCCCTTCGACGCATCACTCATAATCTATATGCAACTATTATATTATCGGACGTTCAATTCGATTATTTGTTGTATCGTCATTTTTTTCAATGAAGTGACTGTGAATTTTCTGAGGGAAGCAACGAAAGAGATATTCGAATTCAAAAGAAGAGTATTTTTGCAAGTATTTGCTGATAGGAGTTTACATTGTTTTAAAAAAGTGTTCTTTAAAATGGAAAGTTAAAATTTGACAAAAAAAATGAGAGCGAAGTGAAAGAGTTTGGAGGAAAAAGTACGGTTGTTCAGTTAACTGTGAAGTACATCAGAGGAAGTTCATTTAAGAAAAAGAGAAAGGGCAGGTTTTTTGAGATCGAGGAAGTAATGGGGGGCACTATAAGTTGCAAAAAAGGGATCAAATTGAAAATGAACTCAAGATTGAAGATCGAACCTGAGCCGGTTTGACACGATAACTTGATTGTGAATTTGATTCCAAAAAACTCTTTGATGAAGACGTTTTAACCCCTCTTTCTCGCGATCATCTTTATTTTGCTACAAGCATCAGTTTTGTCAGTTTCGATAAGAAGAAGTCTACTCCATAACCTCTCCCTAACCCCGCTGCTTCTTTTTCCAGTAGGGTGGATGTAGTTTTGCTTTCGAAACTTTAGAAATGCAGCAAAAAATGCATTGTCCAAAGTCTGTTGCAAACAATATGTATATCCAAATTCGACATCAAAAGTTTTGAAAAACACCTGCTTTTATATCAGTTCGGTTCTAGATTTTATGATAAGTTTGCCAATTTTTACTACAATACGACGTAGATGTTTCGATCCATTCGATTCACTGTTCGGCAGGTTCAAACCAGGATTTTTTTTTTCAGGACATAAATATAGAACTTCCTTTTCGAAGTTAGTTCCAAAGCCAAAGTCCATGCAACATTCTCACGATAAGTTTCTAATGTAAGTTATTTTAGTGTACGTTTTTGTAGCCTCAAAAGCTTTCGTCATGAGAAACAGTGGGGAAGTGATGATAAAAGCCTCACTTTCTACCCAAAAAAATTGGCGTTTCTGTCTGCAGAAGCTGTTGTAATGAACTCTTCCGTTTTCGATACCAACGAAGATCCAAAAATGTTTTTGATTGGACTTTTCTATAGTTTATTTGCTGCGGCAATTATTCCCCCTTACACGTTAGTAGTTTTGGTAAAATCGTTCTTCTTGCCCTCGATTTTTCTTTTATTTCAGGCAATATTAACAAGTCAAGAACTGAAATACCACACTGCCTACCGTATGATGAATCTGGTGAACTTCTGCGACATCGGCCAGGCAATATGTCATGTCTTCTCCGGCTTCTTCTTGATGTTCCCAGTTTTCAACTCTGAAGTCCAACCTTTCGTCCGAGTTCGTATTAGAGAGTTGAACTTTTTAATTATCTTTTTTCAGGTTATGGGAGCCACGGCCAATTCCTTGTGGCTCACAATGTTTCCAATCTTGACTATACTTGCCTTGAGTCGTATTTCGATAGTTTTGAGGAAAACTAATTTTGATCGCACTGGTGGCTTTGTCAAGGTTTGCGTTCTATTGAAGAGGAAAATAGGAGATGTGCATTTTTTTTCCCCAACATATTCATGAAATAGCCCTTATGTTTAAGACAAGAAAAAAATAAATATTTCTGATTATCTACTATTCACAAGCAGTTTCCTCGTCTTAACGAGGCTCTTTTCATGAAAAACTGATCGAAAAAAACTAAAGCCGGATCTGAACCGAGCAAACAAAAATTTTTATATTCATTTTTTTGTTATGTAAAAATTTGGCGAAGTGACCACAAATGAAAGTTCTTTTTCAGGTTTCGCTAACAGTTGGATTTTTTTGTATAGCTTCGCAATTTGGTGTTGGTGTTGCATTGGGCAAAATATAGAATTACAAGAGCCTGGTTGGGGTTACGATCTGGAAAAGCCAGATTCAGCAATATTGGCAAACTTGGAGCTGGTTTTATGTTTTCCCACTCTGGCACTGAATTACGTGTCATATATCATTATTTTGATCAATATTCACATCGTGAGTTTTAATAACCACAAGGATCCAAGAAAACTATTTCAGTACAAAAGGAACTTTGGATCTTCTGTCAGTTCTTCAAGACTTGAGTTTGCCATATTCACACAGTCAACAATCATGACTGTCTACATGACTACTTTGATTTTTTTGTGGCATCATGGAGGTTTAAACACGATCAGTCTCACATCATCTTATAATTTTTTCAGATTGGTTTTTCGAAATAACCGAAACAGTCGTCTTAGTGTTGAATACGGCCTGGATTGCGTTTCCTTACCTCAACCCAATTCTGTTAATGTCATTAAATATGTGAGTGTTTCTCACTTTTTTTCCGCTATATCTCGTCTGAAAAAGCGAATTAAAGGTCCATACGCGAACAAGTCATCTTCTTAGTTTTCCGCAAGTCTCTTCAGCAGCAGATTTTTTTGTGCAAAGATCTTTTGAACTCCGGCGACTCCCGTCAGATCTTCAGTATCTATTCAAAATATTGAGTGAATGAAATCACGAGAAAAATGAAAAATTTTCAAAGCGAACTATTTCTTCTCTTGTTTGAATTTTTGTAATTGTAACCTTCCTTTATTTACGTTTTGTTAGTTTGCAAATTTGAAACGCGAGTTGATTTATTTTTTTGATCATTAAGAAAGCAGCCAGTGCGAACTGAATAAAAAAACTTTTCTCGAAAGCGAAACATGATCAGTCGATTTCTTCCGAGAGTTTTTTTATGGGGATTAACATTCTCTGAGTGGGGAATATGATATACAATGATTTTAAAAAAATTAGAATCTCAAATCCCTGTGAACTCAAAACATCTGAATCTGAAACACGAAATTCCACAAAATTTGAAGATAGGAACCAGGGAAACCATCGATTGTGTAGGTGGCAAATAAAAAATTCTTGCGGAAGGAGGTCGTCAAATGAATTTTTCAAACATTTCGGGTAGCATTTAATAAATGATTAGCAAAGTGAGAAAAGTTTTATCCTTACACTCTCAAAAAAAAGACTATGAAAACTACATTTAGTCATGTGCGATACTTATACCAAAAATTCCATCTTCCGAGTTTTTCGAAGTTCAGTTGTCAGAGCAGTCTCAGAGCTGTTCCCATTAACTAACGGCAAGTAGGCGGGTCTGCAAAAAAAAAAGAACGAAGAAGTTTTTCTCAGAATAAGAAGGTGGAGCTCGAAAGGGGAGGAGCCTGGCTAGTAAGCTTTAAAAGGCGGATCTGAACAATCTGCTAGCAGTTTGTTGGAACATTTGCTCGGGTCATGCAGTTTTCAAAACTTCTCCTGTTGTTACTGGTCGCCAGCGTGCAGTCGGTGCAGGTCCGTCGCAGAAGACTCTGTGGCAGAATGCTCGTTCGCGCTCTTGTTCAGGTTTGCATACTTCAATTTTTATTTTTTAAGTCGAAATGTTCCTTCAGGTTTGCGCACAAGAAATAGATAACACAAACTGCATGAGTTCCGCGGACCCAGGTAAATGTTCATTTTCTTCTCTTAGAATCAGAATAAGTTTTGCAGTCGAAAGTTCCATTCTGGAAGCTTGCTGCATCAACCGATGCAGTGACGAGGAAATTGCTGCTTTCTGTTGCGTCCAAGGTATCCCATTGTAATAATCTGTCATAAAATGAATTTCCAGAGAAAAAAAGCCCAGAAGATGAGAAGAAAGGAGAAGAGCAGCAACCTGTCCGAGAAGCTACTGGCGATGCATCAGAACTTCCAGAAACGCAGGAGAAAAGATGAAAACTCAGCATCGGATAGTATAATAAAGGCTTGTAATTTTCCAATTGTAAAGAACAATAAACGTTTTTCTTATTTCTTCATTTCCCTTGACTTTTCATTCAAAGTTCTCTGAAGTCTAACGTAATTACCAGGAAAGGGATTCTTTTACATTCTCACGAAGTTGCAGAAATGGGATACTCCCAAGTCTACGTAACCTTTTCCGGCCTTTTGCGGAACAAAAGCTTAAAAGTTTTGTTTCAGCATTTTACAGACTAGACTGAGTTTCTTTTTTTTGTCAAGATAAACGCAAAACTGGGGTTATCATTCTCTGAGCGAAGTCAGAACACATGCTTTGACGTGCGTCCACTTTTCAACGCGTACATCGACGGACGGGCATTTGTTCAGAACATCGCAAGACTTCCGGCAGCGGCTATTTGAAATTATCTGAAGCTTGAACTTGGTGTTATGCTGGACTTATTAAATGCGAAAATGCAAGAAAATATGAATGATTTCAAAGAGAGGGTCGTTGTTGAAATTTCTAGGACATTTTCTAACTTTGAATATTCGAGTTTCTAAATGTTTCGAATTCGAATGAGGTCCGTAATTAAAGCTGCAGAGACGTCAATCCAAAGTATCTGATAAAAGAGAGTGAACCGTAGGGATGTGTGTTTCCAGTTTTGATACTTTTTTGCTTCAGTTATTTGAAACTTTCCGATTTTTCCAGTTCCGAATCTATAAAATAATCTTTCTTTCCCTTGGAGGTCAATTTTCTTGTTAAATTTTGGCTCTTCTGTTTCAGCAAAAAAAAACTTATTAATTGAAACTTTATCAAGAATTACAGCTCCGGAAGTGAGAAAGATTGTTGAGAAGCGATTTCTTTTCGTCATCGGATGTAATCAATCTGGATTCGTGCGCGAACGACGGACGGAACAGTCACTGGAAGAGTGTTGTAATAGCGTCGATTTGCTGGCTCTCGGATGAAAGAGAGATGGCTCGGCAGGCGGCCTCAACACACTTTTTTCTGCCGACTGCACTTTCAAGGTGGCCGCGGTTATAGGCTCTTCCCAAGTTCATGAAAAGAAGAGTCGAGTTCGAGAAAATAAAATCTCCTCTTCGCACCGTTTCTGACATAAGATTTCGAGTGAAAAGAGCGAACAAGTTGGCTAAAAAAGTTAACTGGGAAGAACTATTGAGAATAGGCAAATTTTCTTGTTTGGATTGCGTGGCGGAGTCTTCTTGGCAGTATTGAGGCATTTCAAGACTTTTTTTTATGACTGTTAAGGTACTAATAATTATTTTCTCAGGGAATAAGGTAAAAGTGTTAGCGAAATTTTTCGACTTCTCGCCCACTTCGGATATGTCTCAGCCGGACTATTCTTAAAATTCATACACTTATCATACAAAAAAAAACTCGTTTCCGTTGAAGTTATCACACAAAACTCACGTTCGATGAATGCAAAATTATCCTTACGTGTGACTTACTGGAAAGTTGAGCTGGTGTGAAAAATTCGTGAATATTTTCCCACATTTAGGCCCAAAACTTTTTTCAGTTCAGAAAGTGACGTGAAAATGAACTGAGTATATAGTTGTAGTTTGAAAAAAAAGGGCGAGGAAAATGCAAAAAATAAACAGAAATTTATTTTTGGAAATTGGACAAGTTGGGAAATTGTGAGAAGTCGGGAATTTTTCATTGTTTATATGACTGGTTCAGAATATGAGCGAAAACCTCATCTGCTTTTTCTTTCAGGGAAGTTCAAAAAAAAAAGAACAATAGGAAACAATAAAATAGTCTACTCTAATTTTCCCGGAAAAATTGCAAGCAATTATTAAAAGCAAAAAATATTTCTTCGCTATAAAAAGTACTCAAAAAAAAACTCAAAACTAGGTTTAGCGAAATTTTTTCCCTGAGAGCGAAGTTCAAGTAATTACTTACTTTTTGGGTTTTTTCAAGGATAATTATACTATTGTACTTTTTATGTTCCAAATTGAGAGAACTGAATTCGAAAATGCCTTTTTCAATGGGTCAATGGATAATAGACTTCCTTTCCATGTAGGTGCACGAAATGATGTGATTTCCAAATAATGGGAAGTTTCTCGCAAGGAGTTTTGGATAGAAAAGTTCCTCGTTCGTTTTTGATTGGTAATATTTGAAAAGACAAGATATCTTAGACGGGAATTTGATATTCTATACAAAATAAAAAGTTCTAAAGTTATCGTGGATTTTGACCAGCAATCGAGGTTAAAAGAACCGCCAAACGAGGTCTTCCGAGGGCTCCAACGCGACGGTTGTTTACTTCGCGTTTGCCTGCTCCTCCATTTATTCCTTCCTCATCACCTCGCGTTTTTCGATTGTCTTTTTACTGTTTTAGAGTTTTATCGTGTTTTCCAACATCTTTTCTTATTTTATAAGAACCCAACGCTTTTTGAAAAATAGAGGAAATTGTACAGTTATTCCCCAAAATGAAAATTTATATTGCTTTCTCAAAATTCCAATTAATTTTATTTTTCAGTTTAATCCAGCTCGAAATCATCCGGGATAAATTACAAACAAACGCAAAAAGAGCAATCTTCCCCCATACCCTTTTCAAAAATTCATTCAAGTAGCCCAGTTCAATTTTTCCAACAAAATCTTAAAGAACGCAAATATGTTGACGGAAAGAAGGGCACTCCCTTTTTATTTTCCGCCACTATCGATCCTGTTTGTTGGTGATAATATTTGTTTACTGACCTAAGGATAGCAGAAAGGAAAGAGAAAAAAGACAACTGCTTTTCGGAGATTTTCGGAACCTTCTTTTGCGAAAATGTTCTCTGCTGATTTCATCTCTATCTCAACTTTTAACGTCTTGAATTTGAACGAAACGTCTACAAAATCCCACTTTCTGAGTTTTTCTGTGCTGTGTTGAGGATCAAAAAATCGTTGTGAGAATGAGTGGAAATTTTTTGATTACGAAGTAATGTTTGTTTTCTCAGGTTTGGTCCTGAACAACAACAAACAAATGCAGTGAAATGATAAGAAACGCCGTTAAATTCCAAAGTTGCTTTATCATTACTTTTATCATTTTTCTATTAGTATCTAACTAACTAAAAATGTTTTGACATTCATACTTACTCTGATAATTATTTCTTGTCTCGACTTTCGTTTTTCGATGCTTCTTTGATGAACATTTGTATGAAATCAAGATACTTACAGGAAAAAAGATGGCGTCTCCACCGAAAATTGAAGAACTTTTCAAAATTGACGGTTATTTGCGTGACCACAAGGACGAGATCTGCAGACGTTACGGCGTCTTCCAGGATTATCTCAAGAAAATTGAAGAGGTTGGCGGAAAAACTTTTCAATTATGATCTAAGATAAATGAGGGAGTGAACCCTCAAACTACTACAATTTCACCAGATAATCATCTAATTTTTAGTGCGGTGGCATGGAGCATTTCACGACAGCCTACCGTCAATTTGGCATGAATGTCCAGGAAGACAACTCCATCAATTGTTTGGAATGGGCTCCGGCTGCCGATCGCTTGGCTCTTGTTGGAGACTTCAGTGAGTTTTTTACCTGAATATTTTGACCGAATCTCCGGAAAGCAGTCAAATCTCTTCAGATCAGTGGAATCAGGATTCTCACGTGTACAAGCGCGAGGAACACGGAAAATGGTCCTTGGTGATTCCTGCAAAGCCTGACGGCTCCTGCGCCATTCCTCATGGCTCCTTCCTCAAGGTACCGAGTTCATCCCTCTGGAAAAGAGAATTCGTCAAAATATTTCAGACGGCTGTGACCTATCAAGGCCAAACAAACTTCAAACTCAGTCCGTGGGCCACCTATGTAACTCGTCCCAAGAGCGACTGCGTCATTTATCATCAGGTAAACACGAATTCTGAAATAAAAAGCCAATCAACTTCATATTTTAATGTTTCAGGAATTCTACAATCCTTCAGAAACGTACAAGTTCAAGCATCAGAAGCCGAATCGTCCCGAGTCATTGAGAATTTACGAAGCTCACGTCGGTATAAGCAGCTCCGAAGGAAAAGTCAACACTTACCGCGCATTTGCCGATGAGGTCTTGCCAAGAATTCACAACCAAGGTGGGTAAATGAATTTGGTATCTTAATACGTCTGACGATTTTCATGAAGTTTTCTGAGAAAAATCTGAAATATTCCCACAAAGTAACGATTTGCAGGATACAACACAGTGCAACTGATGGCCGTCATGGAGCACGTTTACTACGCATCCTTCGGCTACCAAGTGACCAACTTTTTTGCTGCGTCGAGGTAACACCGTCATCATTTTAATACTTTAACATTTTTCAGCCGCTGCGGAACTCCAGACGATTTGAAATATCTCGTCGACAAGGCTCATTCCCTCGGCATTTTTATACTTCTCGATGTGGTAAACGGTTCTCTGTTGAACCCTAAGCGGAAAAACTTTTCTAGGTTCATTCACATGCGTCAAAAAACGTCGAAGACGGTTTGAATGAATGGGATGGCTCCAAGGCTTGTTATTTCCACGGAAACTCCCGCGGATATCACTCCTTGTGGGATTCGAGACTTTTCGACTACACTCAGTGAGTATTTGAGTCAATAGAAAATAAGAAATGAAAGTTTAGAATCGAGACTCTTCGGTTTTTGCTCTCCAATCTGCGCTGGTGGGTGGAAGAGTTTGGCTTTGATGGCTTCCGATTCGATGGAGTTACGTCGATGATTTACCATTCGCATGGAATTGGTTCGATGGATAGCTAAAACAAAGGGGAAATCGTTTTTCAGATGATTCTTTTGCCGGCGGATATCCTATGTACTTTGGTTTGAACGCTGACACGGACGCTTTGGTCTATCTAATGATCGCGAACGACTTTTTGCATAAGAAATTCCAACAAATAGTCACCATCGCTGAGGTTATTACTTTCCAAAAAAAAGTTGGAATTGAAAGATTGACCAAAGATAAAGATTGTTTACTTTTCTTAATTCTAGGAAGTTTCCGGGATGCCAGCTCTCTGCCGACCAATTGAAGAAGGTGGCCAAGGATTTGATTATCGATTGGCAATGGCAATACCTGATAAGTGGATCAAGCTCTTAAAGCATTCTCGCGATGAGGATTGGAAAATTGCAGACGTTATCCACACGCTCGAAAATCGAAGGTTTTGTTGCATCTTTTTCGAAAAAAATAGTACTTTTGCTCAGATACGCTGAGAAACACGTCGCCTATGCAGAATCGCATGACCAGGCTTTGGTAGGAGACAAAACGATTGCTTTCTGGCTGATGGACAAAGGTGATCAAAAGTGAAATTTCTTTCGCATACGCTCGCCTAATCAAGATCTAGCAAAATACTTCATTTTTCAGAAATGTACGATTTTATGTCGGTCGAATCTCCATTGACGCCAATTATCGACCGTGGAATCGCGATGCACAAGCTTATTCGGCTCATTACCTATGGTCTTGGAGGAGAAGCTTGGCTCAACTTTATCGGTGAGGGCTCCGTTAACTTCTGAACTCATGAATTCTTCTCCAGGCAATGAGTTTGGCCACCCGGAATGGTTGGACTTTCCTCGCGTTGGAAATCAAGAATCTTTCCATTATGCTCGGCGGCAGTTCAACTTGGTCGATGCAAGTTATTTGAGGTTTCAATGAAATAGAATAAAACCATCCACTTTTTAACATTTCAGATACAAGTTCCTCAACAACTGGGATCGGGAAATGAACGGGCTCGAGGAAACGTCTGGCTTTTTACACAAAGGATATGTATGAAGATTGAAAATGACTGAAATTATGAGAAAATCTAGGCGCATGTTTCCTGGACGCATGAAGACGACAAAGTTGTGGCTTTCGAACGCGGCGGTCTTGTGTTTATTTTGAACTTCCATCCCAGCAAAAGCTTTGCAGATTATACAGTTGGAGTGGAGGTCCCTGGGGAGTGAGTAGTTTTTTATTCAGATAAAAATGTCGCCGATTTGGGAAAAGTTTAAAATCCTTCGAAGCCCCTAATAATCTCCGCAATGGAAATAACCTTCCATAAACAGACGATGAGCAGTGATAAAGTTTACTTTAAATTATTCGCTAAAATTAGCAAAAATATACTCTGAAACTTTTTGGTTTTGAATTACAGAGATTTTCTTTCTTTTTTGAGTCATGGATTTTTGCGCTAGTTATGAGAAAAAATCCGCGTATTTAAATGACATCACGTTACTGAGCGCAAATAAATAATAATCCGTTTGTTATCCGATTCAAGAGTTTATGATACCTTTTTAAAAACTTCACGGCCTCAAAAAATAATTTATTTGTCGATAGGAGCCTTGAGGTCATGAATTAATCAAAACCAAACACAAATTCGACTGGAACACAGCCTCTTTTCAAACTTCTTTGAAAGAAACTTTGCTTAACTTAGCTCTCAACTCAGGTACAAAATTGCACTGAACAGTGATGACGCCGAATTTGGCGGGCACAGCCGCGTCGACAACAGCACGAAGTTTGTCACTTCTCCGGAACCGTATGCCGGCCGCGCCAACCGCATTCGAGTATACATCCCCACACGCACGGCTTTAGTCCTCAGCAAATCCAACTAATTTGATAATTTATTTTTTCTTGCTTTTCGTCTCCATAACTTTTTGTTTTTTTTTCATTTTTACTCAACCCGGTCCCTCGTACGGCTTGTTATCTTTTTCTATTGATCGGATAGTTCCATTGCCATATTTCAAGCGGGGTTTCATAGTTGCAGACATAGAGATTATTGTATGATTTATAATTATAAAATTATCGGATTAATTGTACAGTAAATGTTTTATTCATTTCATTGAATCAGTTTTTTTTTTGCACGGTGGAGAAAGATTATGAGCACTGGAAGAGAAAGTCATTTCGTTAATGAAAAAACCTAATTGCCAAGAGAAAGCTCCACAAGCTATTTCTGGAGAATTTTTTCGTCAGATTCATATACAATCAGAAAGACGAGTATGGCCAAATGGAAGATGACTTTGGTTTGTAAAAATGAACTAGTTTTTTGAAATGGAGTGTTTCTGTATACTCCATCCACTTTTTTTTCATTTCTTTTTGTTCTCGGTCTGATTTAAAAAAAAAAAATTGATTAGGAGTTATCTGTTATATTCAGCTATCTCGATTGCACAGGGAACACAATGAAGAGTCGTCGCTTTGCGTTTTCTAATTGAATCACCGGTTTAAGGCAATCGAGATGAAAAAATATAGAAGAAAGTCATTTGATATATAAAAAAAATCATACATTTGCTCTCCTTCCGTGGTTTTTTTGAAGGCTAAAGACACATCCAACTTTGTGAAAAGTAATTCCAAAGGTCAGTTCGAAAGTTATGTAGTTTTTCTCGGAGTTCTTGAAACGAGAACTTTCCTTTGAGCAGAAGTTTGGTTGCTTTGCGTGTGGTCTTTGCCTTTTAGTTTAACATTTCTTGAAGATAGTTTCCAGCTGTCGTGGTTTTAATAATCAAAAAAATTGTTGACGCAGGTTTTCTTGTTGGTGGTGCAAGCCGGGGACTTTTGCTCTTTAAACTAAGCTTCTACCAAAAACCAAGAAAAAACAAGCTCAATACCCTTTGTCAGGACCTTTTTACAGTTTCCGGACGAGTGAAAAGTGGAATATGAAAAAATTTACACAATGTCAATATTTCAAAGAAAAATTAATTTTACTGTATTTCAACTTGTTTTTTTGTCATCACGGAACTCCAGCTCTTGGCTTTGCAAATGGAAAAAGTAGAATATTTGAATTCCCGACGAATGGGTGGTAGGAAAACATCGTTGTTAGAGATTGTACTGACATTTTTTTATTCATGAACTTGTAAAGCAACTGGTGAGAAAGACAAATCAGAAACAAACTAGAATAACAGAAAATTCAACAACAGAACCGACAGAGTGAGATCGATTTCCAATAACATCGGGCTGGATCTTAGCCATTTCTTAGCAAAAAAAAAAACAAGTTAAAAATTGGCAAGAGGTGGAGAAGTTCCAATTCAATCAATCTTCAAATGAAATTAGATCAAAATCTAAAAGCAGACACGGCTCTCCTGGAGTAGGGCGGAACTCGTTGACCGCGCTGACGGCGCTCTCGTTCCTTTCCGTTAAAGTTCCTTGAACTGGGTTGCCACGGGTTGTTCTGCTGAAAAGTTCAAATGATAATTTAAAATACTCATCGGCTTATTTTGATTAGAAGCAACTTTTGAAAAACCATACCGACGAGTTTGACGCAGTCGCTGGAAAAGCCTACCGCGGAAATCGAAATTTTTGATGAGCCGAATTTCGAAACTTTAAGAATCCCTGAGAGAAAAAGACAATTCCAAAAAAATGTTCATAAATGGATAGATAATGTGAGGAAATCTTTTTAACTGTTAATTATTAATATTCATTCGAAACTATCAAATATGAATAACCTGGACGACGAAGGCTGTGATGCTTCTCCGTTTCCAGTCGGCGGTTCCGGGAGGCGAGCACTGGACCTTCCCCGATAACCAGAAAAAAACCTCGCCCGCTGAAATTGAAATTCAACTTGTTCTTGAAAAATTTTTTTCAAATGTGAGGTGAGAAAGTGTGGTTATACGGATTTTAAAAAACAGTCAGGAGAAATTCAAAAAATAAGTCTTGAATTGAACCTCGTTAAATTTCTAATTTCTAAAGAGCGGATGAAATGAGAAAGCTTGAGAAACTCGTTTTAAATTATTGATAAAAACGTTTTGATGAAACATTGAATTAGGGGTCTCATGCAAAACCGACCACGCATAGTTTATTTGAAGAAGGAGACCCCAAATTACAAGGTGGTTTCGAAATTAAAGTTACTGCATTCTTACTATCAAGTAAGTAGGGGACTAGGTAGTTTTTTGAAAAGCTAAAAAATATTCTCTCTATGAAAAAAAGTGTTCAGGATCAAAATTCAAAGTTTCTTAGAAAATATTGTTTTTCAAACTTCAACAAAAAAGTTATCATTTTCCTGTTTTGTGTAACTATGTAGGTATAGGTAAAAAACATACAGACGGAAAGGAGGACATTGCTGGTAAATCCTACCGCGGCCTCTGGTCTCCCGGTTTCCAGAATTAACGTATCTGCTTGATCCTCTGAATTCGAAACGTTAAACAAGTCAGAATTTGAAACTTTAAGAATCCTTCAGAGAAAGTGAAAATATTAAATAATGTTCATAAATGGAAAAGAAATGAGAGAAAAACTTCCAATTGAAGAAATGTTCCTTTTTTCATAAAAAATCATTTATGTTGATCCGGAACTATCAAATATGAAAAACCTAATTGACGAAGACTGGGATGCTTCTCTGTTTGCAGTTGAAGGATCCAGCAAGCGATCACTGAACCATCCCCGGTAACCGGGAAAGCGTCGCCCGCTGAAATTGAAACTCTATTTATTAAAGGCACTATCCTTTTTGGAAACATTGGGGCGCGCCGTAGCGCAACATGTTGTGTGCTTGTCTACGGTCCACAGGGTCACAAGTTCGATCCCCGCCCCGACCCAACCAAGGGGCTTAAGAAATATTGGTAGTGGGAAACCACGGCTTTATAATCCCCAGCCGTCTCACACAAGGACGGATAGGTCACTGGAGCCAGTCCACTGATATCAGGATAGAACCTCGGCTAATCGACCTAGGGCGCCGACGCCGCTCAAGCGGTACAAAGGCGTAGGAAGAAGAAGAAGATTCTTTTTTGAAACACTAGACCTATTAATTTGAGAAAATATGCAAGAAAATACTTGGACTGGTTTACTATTTTATTCATGATTGCGTGAAGTATTCGTCATATACTTTTTCTGGAAATTAGTTTTTGTATAGATGTTCGACATTTTTGCGAAGTTTTAAAGTATTTTGACCCCTTGTAGAGAAGCAACGCCCGAAAACCGCTTTGAAACGCTTCAATTGCCAGGAATGTTGATAATGCAAATAAAAACATACCGACGGAATGGAGGACCAAGCTGGAAGCGCCTACCGCGGCCTCTGGTCTCCTGGTTACCAGAGTGAACGTATCCGCTTGATCCTCTGAATTCGAAACTTTTGACGAGCCGAATTTTGAAACTTAAAGAATCCTTCAGAGAAAATAAAAATTCCAAAAAATGTTCATTAATAGATAGATAAAGTGAGGAAATCTTGCTAGTTAAGAAATATTCATCTCTTTTTCATAAAAAAATCATTTATATTGATTTGGAACTATCAAATATGAATAACCTGGACGACAAAGGCTGTGATGCTTCTCCGTTTCCAGTCAGCGGTTCCGGGAAGCGATCACTGGACCTTTCCCGATAACCGGAAAAACCTCGCCCGCTGAAATTGAAACTCAATTTATTGAAGGTCTAAATGCAAGAAAATACTTGGACTGGTTTACTATTTTATTCATGATTGCGTGAAGTATTCGTCATATACTTTTTCTGCAAATTAGTTATTGTATAGATGTTCGACATTTTTGCAAAGTTTTAAAGTATTTTGACCCCTTGCAGAGAAGCAACGCCCGTAAACCACTTTGAAACACTTTAAATGCCAGGAATGTTGATAATGCAAATAAAAACATACCGACGGAATGGAGGACCAAGCTGGAAGCGCCTACAGCGGCCTCTGGTCTCCCAGTTACCAGAGTGAACGTATCCGCTTGATCCTCTGAATTCGAAACTTCTGATAAGTCGAATTTTGATACTTTAAGAATCCTTCAGAGAAAATAAAAAAATTTCAAAAAAACTGTTCGTAAATGGATAGATAATGTGAGAATATCTTGCTTCTAAAGAAATATTCATCTTATTTCATGAAAAAATCATTTATATTGATTAGGAACTATGAAGTATGACTAACCTGGACGACGAAGGCTGTGATGCTTCTCCGTTTCCAGTCAGCGGTTCCGGGAGGCGATCACTGGACCTTTCCCGATAACCGGAAAAACCTCGCCCGCTGAAATTGGAATTGAAATGTTTATTAGTACCATCATTTTGAAGTATGACTAAGCCATTTTTCCATTTATTAAAACTCAAACTTTGAGAAAAAGAAAGGAAATGTTTCGACTGGGTTATTGATTTATAAATTCAGGCGTAGAGCTTTAAAAAAAACATGCCGGCGGATCGGAGAATTTTGTTGAAAACCCCTGTTACCGCCTCGAGTCCCACGATTCCCACGTTGGAACGGTTCCCTAGCTCTTCTGTAATCACAATTTCCAATTGAATTTCATAACTGGAGGATCTTAGCCAGTGATCGTGAATTCCTATTTCCATTATTTTCATGGTGGTCATGGGAAAAAGTCCTAAGAAGCCACACCAGTTCAGACCTACAGAAACCCGTTCGGTTTACGCCATCTCCGCTGGCGACACTAGACCATTTTCGACCATTTTTTTTCTTATTAATAAAATGAAAAAGCTATTTTCGACATTGAAAGTGAAAAAAATTACAGAAAAAACGACTCTCGACTTCTCAAAGACGGATTTCTCAAGTTGGACCATTTTTTAAGCTTTGCTCGAGTTTGCAAAAACAATTTTTTATCATTGCATGTTCTGATTGTGTTTCTCTTCAAATCGGTTTATTTTTTCGAAACAAAAACTCGTTATTAACAAGATATCGCCTGAAAACCGCGATCGGTGCATGCACAATTTAAACCTACAGTGTGCCAGACTGGATGGGCTGAACAGAATTCCAGCGGTCGTAAAATTCTTGTTGTTCCCGCGTGACACCTCTGTTTTCGTCTCTGACAACATGTCCGATAATTCTGAAAAAAAGTAAGTTGTTGGAAAAACCCACGCTTTTTTTCCGGATTTTTTTCAATTTTCGGAACTTTTTTTAAATTTGAAAGGTACCCATACTTTAAAATATATAACTCAACTACGAGAAAGCTGGCCTGAAATGAAGCTCAACGTGAGACCTGAAAGAGGAAATTGTTTTATACATCAAAATAGTTCTCCAAAGTTTATTTGAAACTCTTTTCATCGGCGATTTTTTTGTCGTTTCAATAATTGGATTTTGTTTTTTTGAACCATGGGATAATTATAATCCACTGATACAAAGAACAACATTAAAAAAACCGAACCTGTAAGGCAATCTTGTGTCTGGCGTCGTTCCTGGAGGAAGCGTTGTCCGTCTGGAGAAATATGAAATGAGAACCACTTTTTTGTTATTTTTCCAGTTTTCAATCGGTTCACGATAGAGTGGGCGAAGATTCCTCCCGAAACTTTCTAATGTCTTTAACTTATTCAGATGGAGAAAATGAATGATTTTTTTCGATCTTTATTTCTCTCTATTCTTTATTATAAAATTCAAATTTGAAAAAAACAGCTCGAAAATGTTCGAATAAATACTGAATGAAAAGCGGAATATCGTGAATTCACAGAGATTTGTAATCTGTGCTTGAAGAAAATGCAAAAAATGAAAACTTCACGCTTTTCGGGTTTCAAACAAATCATGATGTTCCAAAAACGCCATAGCCCTAGATTCGAAATAATTTACCAAATGTTCTCCGAAAAAGTAGAAAAGCTGCCCAAAAATTGAGGTTCTTGAAGATCATGTTGCTTTTTTTGAGTTTATACTTTTGTTACAACAATTAAAAACTCTCTGAAACTTCTACTCGAAGTTTTGACAAGCACCGCGTTTTTTGTGAGGATTACTGTAGCCCAAAAACCGAAAACTTTTTAACTAAAAAAAAAATCATTGAAAAAAACCTTGGGTCTACGTAGAAGTCCATCCGGGCTGCAGATCTATCAAGGGCAAAGAGCCCAACGCCCCTGAAAACATTTCAAGTCATTCAGCTTCAATATTACTAGTTTCTGAAACGTCGGATGTCTCAGTGAACATATCAGAAATAAATAGTTCAAAGATTGACGCCATGAGTATCAATAGAATGGAAAGAATAACGTTAATTTGTAAACATTTTCCGGTTTTTTTTTGTGTGGTAGGGTCGGTCAACCGGAAATAAGTTCTAACAGGAAGTAATGTGTCCGTTTCTTTATTTATATCATTTTTTTCAATTGGATCGAAAAAAAGGGAAATGGAAACTACTGTCAGTTATTTCTAGTTCAATTAAAAACATTGATCAAAACTTTCAAAATTTCTCGACTGATTTTTTTTCTAAAATTTGTCGATTAAATTTTTCCAGCATTTCGCTCAATCCATTTTTTTTTCAGATTTGAGAGAAAGCCAAGATTCTAATGTGGGAAGTTAAGAAGAAAAAAAAGATTCTACAAATAAAAACATCGAAAAGGGAACGAAAAGGAAACTAAAGATTGAGATCAAAGGAAAAAATAAATATGGCTAGAGTTAAGAACTGATGCGCAACTATATACGTGTTCAAAGGGAAACAAAAGGACCCAAGTGTTGAGAAGAGGCGTGTCAAGTAACCTCCAAAACACCCTTCTTGATAAAATAATTGTCTCTTTTGACGAGCCGAGAATCCCTCTAGCATTTGCCTGTGGAGCTCTCCAAAGGTGCAAAAAAAGTGTCGTGTAGACCTTTGTTCGAGGACTATCTTTTGAGTTGGCACCAAGACTCTAAAATTGCAGAGACCATGCTTTTCAAATCTACATTTGGCGTTTATGTCGAACTTTAGATGTACAACTTATTCTCAGCTCTCTATTTCATAGATTACAATCATCAATGTCTTGTAATCAAATCATGAAGAACTTTTCAACACAAAATTCTTATCAACTTTGGGAATGTTAATTCAAAAAGCTCGAAGTTTTCGTCTCGACTCGACTTTCTTTTTGAAGCGTGTGTTTTTTAAAAAACGAAGTGATAGCGTGCGCTAGATGAATTCAAAATTGATTGATTATGTAACTTTAAGGTTTTTTCATTCAGAAACTTCTCAAATCCCACTATTGGAGTTATTTCCACTGTCTCTCATAAAATAATCAAAAATCCCTACTGGCTCAATGGAAAACTTAATTGTTTTGTCAGCTGCAATTTTTCAAAATGAGCCGAGTTTTCAGAACTTTCCCTTTGTCGGCGTTTGTCAGAAAATTCATGAACTCAAAAGATGATCAAATAAAACAATGAAACTAAGAGAATGGCGCAACTGAGATCGTCAATCAATAAGAAAAGGTGACAAAAGAAAACTCGGGGGGAAATGGCAAGGGGCAGCTAGGAGCGTCGTGCGTTGCTCGGAGGCCTGTTTCACGCTGACCATTTTTGCCGTACCATCACAGAAAAGGCGGGAAGCGAAATAGCGTTGCAGGATGCGAGGGCCAGAGAATGGTCACGCAGACAAACTCGAGCCAAAACCCCTATCAAAACAAAATATTTCGCCAGAAACTTCGAGAAGTTCTTGAAAAAGGTCTCAAAACGGTCTTCAGATGAAATTCGTTAAAATCTTGATTAGAAAAAACGTTTTATGTTTTATAAACCAACGCTCTAAAAATAACTTGTCGATGAACTTAGAGCAAAAAAAAAACATGAATCACTCTCGAAAAAAAAAACTTGTGTTGGTGTTTTAAGACCTTCCAGTACAGCAAAAAGTGAACAATTCAAATTTTTAGGCTGCTGAAAATTTGACTAAAACCAATTTCAAATAATGGCTCAACTGGCTCAATAAGTCGATTTTTCAAAGTCAGACCAATATATTTATTTCGGCATCCTCATGAGAAAAATGAAGAGACGGAGACCATTTGAATGATTACCGAAGAACGCAGATTTGTCCAAATGAAACAGACACCTGACGCTTCCCACTGGAAGTATTACAACTATTGTGCTTCTTTAATCTGAGAAATACACAGGGAATCTTTCAATGAAAAAAGTTCTCTACTTTTCCCTCGTTTTTTGCGTTTCCATTGAATTTTCCTCTGAGAATACGCTTCAAAAAGAACTTTTTATTCATCAGAAGGCATATTTGCAACCATGGCAGAAGCGAAAGCTCATAGTAAATTATGATAATGTTCGGAAATAATAGAGATCAGAAAAAAAGAACTGGGGAACAAAGTTTACAGTAATGTGCCAAATATTAGAGTTTTTTTTTGGAAACAACGAAGTAAGTCTGACTGAAAAAAATTCAAAAACTCTTGAAGCAAAAAGAAAATTTTTTTCTAAAACGTATATATAAAATTTAAAAAAATGATTTGAAGGTCGGGTAGCAAAAAGCGAAGATGAGATTAATAATTCCCTAAAATTTAAATAAACCGAGTAGTTTGACGTATTCAACGGAGAAACCGTGCCGTGCACTTTTCAGAGTGTGTATTGATGATAAACTTCTCTAAAACGGTACATTTTCGTGTTTGAAGCTATATTTAACATGTTGAAACTAGTTTAGTTTCCTGAAATTTTGAATGAACTTGAAAAAAAGGACTTTCAGAGGGGGGTGAAGGCATCACCAAATTTGTTGATGCCCAAAATCTCGAGTGTTCTTCCTCCCGAGTGGAGTATCAGGATCGGCCGTTCTTCTTGCAGCCGAAGTCTCGTTATTGTGAATTATTCCGGCCGCTGAGTCAGTTCTGGCTCTTCCTTTGTTTACCTGTAATTATTATGTAACTTGTATAAGTGTCTCTTTTAAAAAAAACAAGAAAAAAAACTACTTCAATGGCTGAAAATTATTCCTAAAATAGTGATACTTAAAAAAAATGTTTTTCATGAAGGTTAAAGGCATTCTCACCCTGATTATAAAAAAGCGCTGCTCAAAACAGGCAAAAAAAAGATCTGTAAAAAATTACAGACGCTCGAAGCTGGCGTCAGAAAGTCCAAAAATTTTTCAGTTTTTGTTTGAAAAAAAAACCCTCGAGCTTTGACCGTTTTAGAGCGCAGATCTCCACTGTTTTTTTCCATTAAATTTTTTTGAAAATCCTTAAAAAAAGTTCTAAAACCTTCTCAAAACACAATAAAATTATAAAAATATCGGGTTTCCTTTCAATTTCGGATAAAGCTCTCTGAGATATAAAGCAAAGAACCGAAGGAGAACTGACAATCATGGGAGCCGGAGAAACATCTCGGGGACACGCCGAGAACTTCTCGCTTCGCGCGCCACCGCGTGGTGTGTTCACAACCTTCGGCGAGTGTTTCTCGAAGAAACCAGGAAAAACGACAAAGTTTGTCGGCTGCCAAACTGAAAAAAAAAACTTAATTTACGTTTCAAATTTTGGATTAATTGAGAAATGCAAGAAATCACCTGGATCTTTAAGCTCGTAATATTTATTGAGAAACTGCAAGAAGGCCTCGGAAGGTCTATCAATGGCTATGCGATCAACTTCGATGTTTTCTTCCTGGAAAAAAGATGAAGTCATGTGATGTAAATTCATATTCTTCGAAGTATAAACCAACCTTCAGCATGTATTCGAACAGCTCGTGTCCATTGCCTTTTCTCTGCTCGGATTCGGCAATGTAGAAGTCGAGAATGCATAAAGGGCGCTCCTCGTATTGGTTCTGCTTTCGATCCGTCAAATAAAGCCTTTTGTTTCCAACTTTTAACAAACCAATCAAGAGGCTTGTGTTTCTGCAAAGATGTAATATATATTCACGATTATGGTGTTTTCAAATGAAAAATAAAAACTAATGAAAGAATAATTGTAATACGGGTTGCCATAAATGTTTGCTTTTTTTTTCTTGGTGGCCAAAAGTAGACTGAACTACAGTTTTATAAGAAGGAAAACACTTCCAGAACTAACCAGGGAACGTTTTTACCCCCCGGTTGAACTTTTGCTGAAACTTTGCTGAACTGTACTTTAGGACCCCCTGATTCCAGAACAGAAAGAAAATTTCTCGCATTAGATCTCGTTTTCGAGTTATGAAGCTACAAAAGCCCGAAATAGCGCTTTTTTGGCCTAATTTGCGTATTTTGCGGACTTTGAAGCTCCATAACTCGGAAACAAGATCTATTGCGAGAAATTTTTTTCTTGATCTGCAATCAGGGGGTCCTAAAGTACACTTCAGCAAAGTTTCAGCAAAAGTTCAACCGGTGGTAAAAACGTTCCCTAGTAAAATCAATATAATATACTTAGAATCTGTTTGAAGCTCTTTGCTGGGCTGCTTCGATAAGATTAAGAAATACTTGGACGCGATGAGTGCAAATATTTTTTGAGTATTTTTTATTCAAGACTTTATGATCATCTTACTAACGAACCAATTAATTTTTTTGATTTTTTTCCTTTTTAATAGTCTTACTGTAGCCTGAAGTTGTGCATACACAGCAGCTCGCACATTGCTTTTTCCTCATCGGTTTCAGGCGGTTTTTGTGAGTAGTTTTTGCGTAGAAAATAGTTCTCGTGAAAAATACGAGTCCAATCAAATATTGTAAACTTTATTCGTTAAGAAAAGGAAGTAGTTTCTTGATTCCTCAGGAATTTTATACTTTTTTTTTTCAATTTTTCAATTTTATTCTTGCCTCAAAGAGAATTCGTTAAAAAATCGACAAAAATATCAACTTACGGCGTGTCTTCCAAGTTTTGCCACATAATATAAAGGACATGTTCTTCTTCTTGATCCAATATCTTGTTGTAAGAAGTCAACGTTCTTTTCAAACCTTGAGCCTGAAAGATTGCTCTGTTACCCTCTGTGTACCTTTTGGGTGTCGAAAAACTCACTTTTGTTGACATTTCGCCCAGTTGATCAATCGCTTTTTCAACAGCCCAATAACGTCTCGGGTTGAAGCGAAGAAGTTGGCCGCGGTCCAACCTTTGTACGGGCTTGTTCACAAAAATCGTTGAAAAATCAAATTTTATTTCCATCTGTAACATTTTTGGTAAAAATCTGAAAAAATTTCAAACGCAAGGAAATGGTTCAAGAAAAATCGCCAAAGTATAGAAAGGGGGAAGGTACTCAAGTTTCCTCTCACATGTGCAGCGATGTGAGAATCAAGCTCAAGTGTTTGAATTTCATCTTTATGAGTATTGAACTTTTCAACAACGTAAAGCTACAATGAAATTAATCTTATTGGTTTTCTCTTGATATATAGTCAACTAGAAAGGCAGCATTGAATGCTCAATGGAACGTGAACTTCGGCTCAGAAAGTTTAATCGGGCTTACAAAGTTACTGTTTCTCATCTTCGAAAAAAGGACAAAAAGTTCCATGCTTCGAGAATGAACTAACGGAATCGTAAAACAACGAGAAAAAAGAAAGAAGGGATGAATTGCAGAAAATAATGAATTTTTGATAAGACGCATCGACCCCAAAGAATAGCTTTATTTTTGCTCCTTCCAGCTAGAAAATTGAGCAAAAATTTATACAAGGCAGTTTTTAGATTCTTTGTCAAAACAGGTGAAAACGGGCAAAATTTTTCGTGTTTCCATGGGCGACAAGTGCCTTGTATATTCTTAAATAATCGTTAAACGGGCCTTTGAAAAGTTGAATTCCATTGACCGCTCTGCATTTTTTGTGTAATCAAATTTATTTTTTTCGAAAAGATTTTGAAGTCATCGATGGCACATATTTTTACGTATCTGGGCTTCATGAGAATTTTTTTTCCGAATTTTCAGAAAATTTCTAAAAGACGATGTAAATTGGTAAAAATAGTTTTTAAAAAACTCATGACCACATTTCCAAGACAAAGGTTAGAGACCTTTCGGAGCACAGAAGAAAAAGTCCGAATAAAAGTTGAATTGCAAACTTTTTGTTTTCAAAGCGAGAAAAGATCCACAAGGGCCTATAGTGAACAACAAAAAAAAGGTCAAAAGAGAAAAATCAGAAAAATGTTCCAGGAAAAGGATGAGTCACCAAATCACGGCGGGATTTGCCCTTGTTTGGTCGGAGGCCGAAGGCTATTGGAAAAAGAAAGAGGGTGCAGATGGGTAACCGAATGTTTGTTGAGCGTAGAAACTGAGAGGAATAGGCGCGACCGAGAGGCGCACGCGCGAGAAGATTGACGTGCCACCGAAAATGCCCTTCCGACGTCGTCGCCATTTATCGCTTAATTAACTGGACACAGAACACGATTCAATTTCTTTTTGAGCCCTGTCAAAGATAATTATACTTTTTTTAGTCACAATACTTTTAGATGAACCGAACTACCTTTCTGCAAGACTCAACATGCACAAAATCCCGTTTTACCAAGTAGAGATGCCTCAAAGGGGTAGATAATCGTAGAATTTATTTAAAAAGTTCTTTCGGATCATTATCTTTTTAAAAAAACTAGGGATTTGTCAAGTAGGAACGTTTAGGTTCTGAAACTAGTGCATCCAAGAAGGCCTAAACTGTTTTCTATAATTTTTTCGAACTAAAACTGATTTTCTTTTCTAGTCAAAAGATTACTCAATCAGTTCCCCAACCTCATATTTAACCAAAACACCCGAAAAAAGTTGTCTTTCGAAAATAAACAAGATAAAGCAGAAATAACGATTTTAAAAAAGAAGACTGCAGGATCTGGAATATAGGACATTAACGACTCGTCTGTGACAAAAAGAGTTTGCGCGGCGAAAAGAAATTCTTCGGGTGCTCTACTAAATTTCTTTGTCTCCACATTGCTGGACTTCATTCGCCTCTTAATACTTGAGACAAAAAATCGCAGAGATGTCTTTTGCACACTTATTTTCTGTTTTCACGGAATGAATGTGATCCGAAGTGAATAAACTACAAATTCACAACATCTTATTTCCGGTTTCTCCTTTTGAATATACGAAATAGGAAAGTGCAGCCGTCGTTTGAAGATTCCGTGCTTATAGAGACGAGAAAAGAAGTCGATAGAATGGAGCGAAGCAAGGAACGAGCAGCATTCTTTCATCTACCAATGTTGGCGTTTCCACAACGTCTTTTTTTATTTACTCAATTTTTAATATTTCGAAATGCATGAGCCTTCGAGAAAAAGCTTACAAGATCTTCCTTTGGATTTGATTTTAGTAATTTTCGGTTTGAAAGGTTTTTTTAACTTCTTTAAAATAACTAAAACGAGCGATCATTCTAAAAATAACTTTTTCTCTAGGAATTGCTGTGAAAATAGTAACTTGAAATGTAACGTGAGCCTAAATATAATTTCATCAGAAATTTTTTTCAAAATCAAAATCTTAGTTTTCAAAGTCTGGAAATTTGGTGATAATCATAACAGCAACGGTTTTTCCCGTTTTCAGGTGAATATAAATGAGGAAAATCAATCATTTGGTACTACTTTGTCTGATATTTTCAGAGGACAAAAAGTTCCGCACAGTAACCGGAAATGGTCTTCAAAACTAGAAATAAAGCTTCTTGTACTCTCAAATTCACATAGAACAAAAATCTTAGTTTTCAAAGAAGAAACCCGAAGTTTGAAACATTCATCTCCGGTGAAAAATGGAGAATTTAAAGTTGATTCACTTTTTTTCCCGCTGATTTGATGTAAACATCGACCCATTTGTTAATACTCATGAGTTCTTTTTTTCCGACAAACAGTTTTAGGACAAAAATTCTCAAAGCAATACAACTGGAAACAAATAATTTTCACATGCAAAATTAGAAGATGCAGCGAATTCGAGGCTTTCGAACTATTCCCAGCTTGATGAGAGAATGGGCCATGTCGATGAAAGCTTGATGCGTGTCCCGCGGTGTTATTCCCAGCAGAGTTTTCATCTTAAGTATTCTTTCTATTTGCCAGTTTCAAAGAATAATGAAGAAACCTTTGTGTTGTCAAATTTGACTTTTTGGCACAATCGAGGGAGAGTTGCGGCAGCTTCTTTGTCGAAAAACGAAAACAACCAAACGATTATATACGGGGCTTGAATTCTGGGGATCCAATAGCCTGAAAAGATGAATCTGCTTCATGAAACTTCATCTCAAAAGAAATTTCGAAAACGTGAAAAAAAAAATACTATTTAGCCCTCTTGACAATTTCTCTTTTAGGTAGAAGTTCAAGAAACTGACCTTGGCCTTTAAATTCCTGATTGAGCGTTCTTCCGATGTCCAAAAACCAAACCGACGGGATGTTTGTCACCTGAAACAAATTATTACTCAAAACTCTATTCATTATTGACATCACTGTAAAATTTTTTGTAGATCAGGGAAATCTTTAAATTTAGTGAGTTCATACACCCTGTTATAATAAACGAAGTTCAAAAGTTTTTTTCAAAGACCGGTGCAAAAAAAAACTTTCTGAAATTTCTAAACCGAACGATCAGAAAGAGGAACGTAAAAAAATTATTAAATATGGAAAGTTTTTGAAAAAGAGAAATCCAATAAAAAAATTTGAAGTTTGTGTAAGTCTTCTGTAGAAAAAAAGATAAAATGAACTTCAAGTTCTTAGCGAAAATCTTGACGCTCACTAGAATGCGCTGCCCATCTGATTCTGGGATTCTCATGGCGTTGATGTGAGCGAGAGTTACGTCCCTGACATCGACTGTGGCCAAGTTCAGAGGAGGACACGCCGGCATTTCTGCACTCATGAATCTGCGCATCAACTGCAAGACATGATTTAACAAACTTAAGTTCACCACTTTTTAATTAAAAATTTTGGAAACTATCCGATTTGAGAAGCCTCACCGAAATACTCGACCCTTGTTCTGTTATGTAGGCAGGTCCGAAAACGAGAGTTGGGTTGATTGTAGTCAACGAAAAACTGAAAACTAGTATTGGTTTTGGAGTTTTGAAGTTTTTTTTAATTCGTTGTTTGAACTTCAAACCTGCGCGGAGCTTCCTTCATGAAATCCCAAGCTGCTTTTTCAGCCAAAGTTTTGCTTTTGGCGTAGCAGTCGACACGAGGATCGTCAACATTTGTCCAAGATGTTTCATCAAATACTTTATCCGCAGAGTGTCCCTCTGGAAAATGAAGTTCACTTCATAAATTATGACTGCCGAACCATTGACAGCTGCGCAGCTGCTCGTTAGAACCACTTTTTTCACATTCCTGTTTCCAGCCACTGCTCGTAAAACGTTTAAAGTACCCTAAAAACTTTTCATATCTACATCAAGCTTGGAAGATTTTTTTTATTCAAGAGGTAACTATTATCATTCTACAGTAGAGGAAGTGGGTGAGTATCTTTATGGTATTTCGCCCGTAACTTTGTAAAAAAAATCATTTTGACCTGAAATTTTGACCAAAGAAATATTCTTATTTTCATTTGAAGCGCTTTCCTAATGCAGTAAAACTGACATATTTCCCACGATTCAGTACCTTTTCGAGCACCAAAAAATATAACTGAGAAAAACTTACATTGATAGCTGTTGTGATGCATTTTTCATCTGCAACTATAGGGAAAGGGGAGGCGACATGAAGAACAAAGTCACAGCCATCGACAGCGCTGAATCAACTTTCAATAAAAATAAGTTTTGAAAGTTTTTGAGATTTTTTGGTTCCCATTTTAGAAAAAAAAACAAATTTCAACTGATCAATGATTTTTTTAATTTCCTAACCTTTTCCAAGAACTCTCTTTCAAGAGGTCTGCTTCCACCAGTTCCAAAAGTCCTTTCGTGTCAAGTTGTTTGATGGGATCAACCTGTAAAAGACTGAACTAATTGATCGAATCAGTCGAAATTTCTCACTTTTTGTTTATTCGAAAGGCTTCGGACGGTTCCTCGTACTTTGTAGCCTTTTTCGATAAGTTGTTGGACACAATGACTCCCGATAAACCCTGACGCGCCAGTCACAAGAACCACTGAAAAAAAATGATTAAGAAGGAAATTGCCTGAGATTCAAAGAAAAAGACGATTACGCTGATCTCTTTTTCAAGAAAAATTGAAATTTCATCGCGGAGGAATATTTCAATAATGAAGTTAATTTTTGATGCGTTCAATTTTTTTATAAAAAAATTTATTTTTCAGATGGCGGGAAATTTTTTGCTCTTTATTAAGTTATACAGCGCTTCGAAACTAGAAAAACCTTTTTTTATTTGCAAAAAGAAGCCCACACACTTCAAGTTTTATATCTTTGCAAGAATGAAAAAGGGTAATAATATTTTTGGTGATCTGAAACCAAAAGGCCTCAAAGTGAGGGTTCACCAATTTCTTGGGCCTTTTTTCTGTCAGAATTACCCAAAGTGAAAAATATAAAAGTGGCGCACTACATGGACTTTCATAATGACAGTTGTCCCTATACATTCTCCTCTTTTTCTCACGCTTATTTCAATCAAAAAGGACTCACAGTATTTAGCAGCATCGTCGTGGGACATTCTTCGGACGTCACGTTCCACGTGAAAGTAAGGAGAAAGGGCGGCGCGGCGAACGACCCCCACAATTCGGGTCAGCCGGATTCTTTGGCTTTGCGCCGTTGTCTCGAAGTTTTTTTCCCAACCTGTTCACGTAATTCACTTGTTTCAGCCACAAAACAGAGAAAAAGAAACATTCAACATTTTTTTTTGATTGTTTTGCAGAGGTTTTATACAGCGGTACCTTCAACGCTAGAATCGGGGACGAACTTCTTGGGTTTATACAACTGACCACTTTTCTCCGATTGTGGAATTTTCAGATTGAAGTATTTTGTTAATGCTGGAGTTAATACGACATTTCGGAATTGAAGACCAAAAAAGACGTTTCAACTAGTTTTTCAACCCTGTAAGCATGGCTTTAGATTAATCTTTCTCCTTACAACATACCATAAATGTTTGACAAAAATCAAAAAAAAAAGTTTATTCAAAAAATTGGCAAAAAAAAATTGGCAAAATCTTTTCATACAATCAATAAATATTCAACAAAAGTCGATGACTTTTTGTGGAAATTCTAAACCAGTTCAGGGCCGTTTTTCTTCTCAAACACATCGTCGTCTTCATCATCAGAAAGCGAAAAGTTCTTGTTTACGATTGAGTTCGGGACCATATTCGGTGATTCCCTGGTGCGCTGGTCAGCCATTTCAGGAAGCACGAGTGGTGGTCGCTGAATATAAATGGATCGAAAAATTTCTTTTAAACAGGATTTGAAATGGTAGTGATAATCTAGATAAAAGAGGAGAAGATTTTTCGGTGGTTAATGAAAAAATTTGTTGGAACTTCGTGAAAATCTACTTCAAGATCTCTGAGGTTCGAAAAAATGTTCATCTCCGAAAAATGATTTTCCAAAAATGTTTGACTGTGGGGTTATTTTCGACCTACAATCTTGCGAATTGAAAGAAAAGTCTTGCAAAGTTTCCTCATTTTTTCTGTTTCCAAAAACTCTTCCGTTCTGATTTTGTTGATTCAAGATTAATACTAACTGAAAATGAAGAAAAAAGTTTTTCGTTCTTACCTTGTTGGCGTTTTGTGCACTTTCCCGTGTTTTCCTCTCATTTGTTCTACTTTCGAAGTACTGGTAGCAAACAAGTCCAATATGAAGTCCCCAAGCAAATACTGTTGTTATTGCGGCCAGAAAAGCCAGAGCTATACAGACTAAAAAATTTACGAAGTAAGCAAAATTTCGAGTTATTTATAACTGACAAAATTTTTCTCGTTCGAGGAATGTTCCTCCTTCGCCCAAAGTTTCCATAGCAGCCTCGGAATAGGGATAAATAATCATTGCAACTATTTTTGAAAGTCGCGATTCCCAAAGTCGTCAATGCGAGAAACTAAAAAAACATTACATTTTTGTCGATTACAGTTTTCAAAAACTTTTTGAAGAAAAAAATGAACCTAATATGGTTCATTTTTTTCCCGACTTTAACGGCGAGACGGGTAGATTGGCAGGATTAGGCGTTGCGTATGCGACGCGGCTTTTGACGGGAGCTCAAGGTCATACGCAATCAAGAAAAAAATGTAAAAAAATACTTTTTCTCATTTTTTTAATGCTCTTATTCGTTCAAGTGAATCCTTTCAAATTAATAAAAAAATTATAATTCATTTAAAAAAATAATTAGAGAAGAAGAAAAAAAGGTAGCCCGTATTTGACCTCTAGTCCCCCGCCAACAGCCGCTTCGCGTACGCAACGCTTCACACTTGCCAATCAACCAATTTCGCCTTTCAAATTGGGAAGATTTGGCTATAAAATCATTCATGTTAAAAGCGATGCACCATCGATAAGATATATGGAACCAAGAAAAGACTTTTCTCGGTGAGCAATGAAATAACCATGCAGACAATGACGAAAACTTGAACCATCTGAAATTTTTCAAATTTTCTTGAGCCTTCAAACGCCAGGAGTTCACCGTAACGAAAAGAGCTCCCCAATCCGCTTGTTCGGCGACTTCGTCTGAGAAAATGTAAAAGACGAACTCGAGAACTTCGAAAAACGTCATAATAAAGATGATTACGAGTAAGGCTATCTGTCAAAATCCTGACCGTGTCTAAGATTAAAGTTCATTTACCTTGATATGAACCAATCCGTTGAGGGTGAAAAATCTCCGGTTACCTTTATCCAGAGCGAAAACTCCTGGACGCGTCATTTTCCCCTGAAAATTGGCAACGTTCCTGGGTTGTTCAAACTTCATTCCGTTAGTTCCCTAATTCAAGTTTGCAAAAATAGTTTCCATCCTCTGAGAACAAACATAAAAATATATATCTATCATGGAATCGAAAGACCCTTGATAACTTCAAAATCAAAAAGTTTCAACATATGAGGAAAACTAAAGAAAATAATGTTGAAGTAGATGCTTTGACACTGGCCCGTTGATAAGATAGACCGATAAGAGCTCATATTGTGAAACTATTGATTTCACAGGAGTTATACCAGTTGCAAAACGGATTCGATGAGAATCAACGTAAAGGGAGAATGTTCTTGTTTGAATGTTCAGAAACAATCTTAGCTGCTCTGAAAAACTGGAAAAGTTAATAGAACCTAAAGTTAATAGAAAACTTTCCTCGTCCCCGAAAACTTTCATCGTGATCTGAAATCAGGATACCTCAAGGTTAAACTTTTTGCACTAACATTAGACTTCCGAAAAGCAACCTGAAAAGTTCATAGAAGGGATTATCATTCTTTTTTATATATGAGATTAAAGTAGATGAGGGCTAATCAATTCGTTTTTTTTTTTTCCACTCGGTAATTTTTTTAACCAATCTTAATTTTTTGTCTAATTTCAGACTCGCGAATTTGCAAATAAAACAAAACGAATGTAGTGTTTGCGTTAATCAAAGTTTTTTTTGACCTTGGCAGTCTAAAAATCATGGAATACCTTGTTTCCAATTTTCTTCCAATGCACTTTTTCACGTTTTGTGATTGCAGAACATAGAATCCCCTTCAGAAAATTCAAGATGTGGTTTGTTTCTTGTTTTTCCAGTGTGTCAGCCGCTCTTCTCAATTGATGGATCGATCAACTTGATCAAGGTTGTCCAAACCTTTTCAGTTTTCAGGACAGACACATTTTATCATTCCGAACCCAACCATCTCTGGAAAAAAAAGCGTTTCAAGTTTTCCCTGCGTGCACTTGTGCTAGGACATTGTTTGCCTTGTGGCATTTTGCTTTTCACATTTTTGAACCCGATTGAAAAAATATATCGGAGAAACATTATTTCGGCACGTGATGTCCTCAGGCGAACACCATTTGTTCCTCGCAACGCACAATTTCACAGCAATTTCGTGTCTTCCATTTTTTATCTTTTCCGCGTTCTCCAATTCAATTTTTATTCGGGTGCTTTCGAGAGAATTCTATTCTCCAAAACATGAACGTTTCAGTGTTACCTCCCAGAATTGTTCAACATCGACTATTCGAATTTCCCCTTCTTTAAACAGCCGAATTGGTTCCTTTTTTCACAAATTGGTATAGTATGGCAATGACTGTGTCACAAGTTCGTCATTCTAAATATATGCAGAAAAAACTGATAAAATTATCAGTTGAGTTGGAATAGCCGTAAAAATTTTTGTACTGGGACAATAAAACCTGGTGTTTCAATCAAAATTTCTTCTCTAGCGTATAAAAAATTTTTTAAGCACATCAAAAAAATGACGACTAAAAGAAATTTTAAAAAAAAACGGGTTCTATTAATTTACTCAAAAATAAATATATTGATGATTCGAAAATAAAAGAATTGAGGAAAATGGGTAGCTTGGGGAAAAATTTCTAAATTGCCGTGTTCTCCACGTTAAACCTAACGTATTCAGACAAAAAAAAAGACCAAAAGTTCACCCATTTGCTTAAAAAAACTTATAATGTAAATCTTGCCTTGTGCATTTTTTCAACGCGACAGGAAAAAGGATTTCCTCGCCGGAAAGCAAAACGTGCGCCCCACCGCACAACACTGCGCATCAACTCTCTTACCATTGTGATACGCAGAATGATCGGCGAGGTTTCATCATACAAAGTCCAATTTTTTTATTTTATCGATTTTATTTATCAATTTCCTGACGTTTGCATTAAATTTTACGACCTGAACTCTTTTTCTTATGTGGTTGTATCTAGATTTCTTGTCAATCCAGATTTTTGAAATTCCAGGAAATCTTAAGTTTTTTTCAAAGTATTTTTTTATTTGTTTTTCATGTTTTTTTATTTTCTTAGATTCACGAATAAAATTTTTGACATTTTTTTAAATTTTTTTACTGTTTCTCGCTATTTATACGGATTTTTAAATTATATTCTATTTCATTTTTGAAATTTATTTTTGCAGATCGCTTAAAAGCGTTTTGCTTCTGAATCCCCTCGACCGGCAGCTTCGCAAATCGAAATGTCGGACCCAAATTGGAGCTATCCGTCACAAAACAACCAGGGAGGATGGCGTTCAGGTATTCTCATTTTTATGTTTTTGATTTTTTTGTTTTTCTGATTGAAACACTTAAAAAGGATGCTTTTTTTCTAATTGGTCCAGAGCGTTTTTATTCTGAGTCAATGAAAATCGAGAAAGTTCATAGATATAAAAGTGCAAGTTGGGCAACTCTCACTTGACAAGTTTCTTCCCATGGTTTATAGTTTTTCACAGCGTTCACGAAAGCGTGGGGAAACTGAAAAAAAAACGGCAATTTTCTCTTTATTGCTACAGTAATCGAAGCTTATTTATTTCCGCTTTTTTCTTTTGCATTTTTAACGTAAGATTGTTAGTTTTTAATGATAGCTTCGTTTAGTTTCGATTTTCAAACAAAAAATAGATTCAAATTTTAATACATCATTTTCAAGAATTTTAATTCAGACCACGCGGTGAGCAAGCCAATAATGGTGGGTGGTGGTCCCGCTGGAGAACCAACGATGTCGCCGCGATCGGAATCCCTGGGACCCAGTGTCGGGGCTCTCCAAATGCAAATCGTCGACACGGTTTGCGGATCTCCTGCCTCCGCCAACACCCGATATGTACGTTTCATCTTGTTTTATTTTTCGGAATTTCAGTTTTTCTAATAGCTCCCGATGATGATTTTACCAAAAAGAGAATTTTTGAGAGAAGTTCTGTAATCAGGAAATATTCCATACGAAGTAACTTTTTCTGGAGTCAGTTTAGATTTCAATTCATGATTGAACAGGAAATAAAGAATTCTCTATGTTTTCTGAAAGCTAGAACAGTTTTTAGACCTTAAACTTGACCAGTTGCAAAGAAAATGAAATAAACCAGAATATTTTCCAGCCAACATCTGGCAGAGACAGTCGGTCGAACGAAAGAAAAGAAGAGAGACGCTTTGAAATTGGCAATACGAATGGATCTTCCCACCAATTCGGAATGCCGATCCCCATTCCGTGCGACGGCGTCCAAGGCACTCCTGATTTTCAAGTGAGTTGCAAGCTCCAAGCTTTAAAAATATTTTAGCGCGGAATCAAGACAAATGAGTTGTTTTTTTAGTCTGTCTGAGCTCTACTTTTAGAATTCAAATATAAGAAATTTTATCGCTCCATTTCTTTCACGATTCGAAAAAAGTTTAATCAAATGGCGCGTGTTTCAAATTTGTAGGTTTTTGAGATCAATTTGTCCAAGTATAATTTTTCAGCTTGAATTATTAAGACAAACTTTTCCAAAATCAAAAAGGAAAAAGTTCAGTTCATGCAATATTTTTGACCATATCACGAGTCTAATGTTCAAAATTTGCAGATGACACCGTTTCTCGTGCAAGGAGGGCATGTGATCGGCGGCTCAAACCATATTCTTGGTTCGACGCCGACTGGTCCATCAGGATTTCCTTGTGGATCATGGGGTACCGTTTATCCCTCGAACCCTATGATTTCGGGAACGCCTACCGATACATCCAATGGTTTTTTATTTCAATATTTGATTATTAAATATAAAATCCAGTTTTTGAAGTAATTAAAAATGAAGGTTCGAAAAAATTGGAAAGTGGAGTCTCGTAGTAAATTAACCAAAAGTAGTGTTTTTTTCTAATATGCACAAATAACTAGCTTAAAAAAAGCGTTCTCACTTGTAATTTTGTACGAAAAAGTCTGATCCTAACTTGATACGAAAAAAAAAGTTTTAACTAAACCTGAAAATATTTTTCTTAAATCTGAAATCTTTTAATCCAAAATAACTTCAGGTATGCCGAGGGAGAGCAACTCGAACACGATGTATTCCTCCTCTCCACCGTACAGCGTTTTCCCGAACACGCACTCGTTGCAAAACTTGTCGACGATGTTCAGCGGAATCAGTCTAGGCGGAGGTCCGCCACCTCCTTTGCCACGACCCGAACAGCAACAACCGTTTTCTAACGGTAAGCAGCAAGGTTTCGTTTTAGTTCTGGGAATTTTTTTTAAAGTTGGTAGTTGGAAAAAAGTTTTGATGATAAATTTATAAATACTAAAATTCCAGTTGACCATCTTGGAGGCAGCAATGGAGGAGGAAACTATTCGATGATGTATTACAATCCGCCAACTCCCAACAACGTCGCCGAAAGCCCGAACTTCTTCGGTAGTTTCCCTGTTGCCCATCAAAAAGTGAAACAAAAAATTGCAGGAAACGCGATGAACATGAACATGGGATCTGGTATCATTCAGCCAAGCTTTCCTCCGCGTTCTGTTTTTTCCCCGACACAGTCTCAAAATCCCCTGGCGCCAAACTATCCACCTCCACTCAATAACCGCGGAAGAAGGCCAGATGAAATGACGTCTGTCTTCCCCCTTTAATGAAGTTCATCATTATTCACTTGCAGGGATGGCTTCAGTTTCCGACCACCAGGCCCTCAAAGAAGCGTCCTTCTTGACGATTTCCGTTGCAATCGCTGCAATAACTTGCAACTGTCGGATATTCGTGGTCACGTTCTTGAGTTTGCCAAAGACCAGCACGGCTCAAGGTTTTTTTTATTTTACTTTCTCGATTTAATCCAAACAATTCAGGTTCATCCAACAAAAGTTAGAGAGATCCTCTCAGAGGGACAAGAACATGATCTTCCAGCCTGTCTTGGAGCACGCTGAGGAGCTCATGACGGATGTTTTCGGCAACTACGTTATTCAGGTTTTTCTTGATTTTATTTCTCGAGTAATGCGTAAGTTTTCAGAAGTTTTTCGAGTTTGGCACATGTGATCAACGCGCTCAACTTGTCAATGCCATTCATGGCAACGTCATGAAATTGGCGTTGCAAATGTACGGCTGCCGTGTGATACAGAAAGCGTTGGAATACGTGGAAGAAACCTACCAACTTGAAATCCTCCGTGAAATGGAGGGCCAGGTACTAAACATGAACGTTTCGTGACTATTCCAATGTGTATTAGCCGTTGAAGGTGCTTAAATGCGTGAAGGACCAGAACGGTAACCATGTGATTCAAAAAGTCATCGAACGTGTCGAGCCTCGGAAGCTTCAGTTCATCATTGACGCCTTCACGAAGACAAACGGCGAGACGGTAAGATCATTTTGGTATTTATCCTTCAAACAACAATAATCTGGAGGTGTACACATTATCGATACATCCCTATGGTTGCCGAGTCATTCAACGCGTCTTGGAGCACTGCACTGAGGACCAAAAACGACCGGTTCTTGATGCTCTTCATCAACACTTGAAGCAGCTGGTTACCGACCAGTACGGAAACTATGTTGTCCAGCATGTCATTGAGCACGGAAGCCAGGAGGACAAAGATGCGATAGTTCAAGAGGTGAGATTTTTTGGAATAGAAAATTGCGAACAAAAAAAAGTTCAAAAAAGTTTTTTTATCTTATATCTCTGTTTCAGATATCTGACGATCTATCCAAGTTTGCGACCCACAAATTCGCCTCGAACGTTATTGAGAAATGTCTAACCTACGGCTCCCATCAACAGAAGAACGTCTTAATCGACAAAGTTTGCGGTCAACCAAATGAGTGAGTCACGAATTATACTTGGTCATTAGCAAAAATAATTGAAGGCCATCCCCGCCTTTGCTCCAAATGATGAAAGATCCGTTTGCGAACTACGTCGTGCAGAAGATGTTGGACGTTGCTGACGCCCAACACCGTAAAAAGATCATGATGACAATAAAACCTCATATTGCCAACCTCAAGAAGTACAACTTCGGAAAGCACATTTTGGGTTAGTTGATTCATTTTTCGAAACGAATTTATCAGAACTGAAAAAAAACTTCTGCAAGATGATGATTTGAAAAAAAATAAAACAACTTCGAAGTAAGCATGTTCATTTTCAATGATTTTTATTTAAGACCAAGTCGGTAAAATGTTTTCTGTTTCTTATCAGATTTAAGAAAAACATGATTATTGTAGGATTTTTGGTAAAAAAGGGCATTGAATGGCATTCCAATTTTAGTGAAACTGGAGAAGTACTTCCAAAAACACCAGCCGCAAATGATGGCTCATCAACCACCGCCAATGGATCACTACGACATTCCTCTTGGCGGCGATTTCACCAACCATCGGCACATGCCAACGTTCTCTTAACTTTCCAAATTTCACTTGGAAATTTCAGTAGACTTTGAGTTTTTTTTCCGTCCAATTTCTAGTGGAGCGAAGTGTACCTTCTGCTAAAGCTTTTATCTTTGTTCATACTTTTTTCTATGTGTAATTTTTGTTGCTTCTCTGTAAAACTATTGTATTGTTTGTTGAATTTGTGGACTTCTTTTTCTATTCTTGAGATTTTGCTATTTTTGTACAGCTGTAGAGGTACAAACGATTGTCAATTACATGCGCCTTTTTGCCAATAACTGGAATATATTATCGTTGAAAGCTATTCGGCAGCTCATTTTTTTCATTTTACCCATGAAAATGGTTCATCGTTGAACTTGACTTCTCTCAACCAACCGACCGAATGATTAAGAAAGTTTTCAATCAAGCTCTTAAACTCGCACAAAAAGGGTTCTATTCTTTTTTTCTGAAAGTTCGAAAATAACCGCGAGTTTTTGAAGGTTTGATTGAATCTTTCTTATTTGGATTGTATGAACTTGATCTATAAATGCTGTGTACATCAAATGTATGATACTTCTTAGTTCCTTATTTTTTCTGATCGCATTTGGTCCTGTTGCCCAAAATGATGATTGTTCTTTGTATAATTTCATTTGAGTCACCTTTATTGCTCACCTGCACTATCGTCATACATAGCACAGCTTTTATTGCCTATCTCTTCGAGAAATTCGAAAACAGAAATGTAGCGAATCCAAGTTATCGAATTGTTTGTAATAATAATATGAAAATGGCCTCTTCTAATCATGTATAGCTGTAAATGACTTGTTATTTGGGCGTCGTGCTTTCTACACGATTCTAGTTGTTGTTTTTCTTTTTGTATTGTTTTTGTACACTAAATCCTTTCATCAATTTACTTTCGGTCGAGTTTTTGGTTTTTGAGGGCCTTGCTTGCAATGAACCGTTTTGCATGTCATTGTTCTATGTTTCAAGCTTATTTTAAATATACATTGCCGCGGTGAAAATTTTATTAACAGTTACAATTATGTACTTTTCTTTGTTTCATATCTGATCTATTGGACACTTGGGAATCATTTTTTTCTTTGAAAAAAATTAGTTTAGTGATTAAAACTGTTACTTTTTTTGTACGTCACTATTTTTTTCAATTGTACTGATTATGGTTAGAGATGGCTTTCGTTTTAGATTTATTATATTAATAAATGTTCACATTTTTTTGCTCAAAATTTCTCAGAAAATTATGTTTTGAAAGCGATGCAAATATTTATCTGTTCATCAATGAAAAAAAAAAAAAGCTAGAAAAGACGTTTAGAAAGAAATGTGGACGCTTCGGACGCTACGTTTTGCACCCCTGACAGGTTTCTTCGGAGGCGTAGGAAGCACGGAAAAAAGAGAGGATTCCAAGCGGACATGTCCTATTCAAGTACTGAAACCGGAGAAAGCCGAGAATGGAAACCTGTTCAGTCGGAAGGTTTTTTGTGTGTTCCTTATTTTGAAACTACTTCGAACCTATGAAAGTTGAGGGTATTATCACGCTTGGGGAATTAAATGAGAGAATAATTCAAAGACGTCTTTGCTTCGTTCAAGTTTTCAGCTAGTGGTCTCTGTAGAAGAATAAATTACTGATGAGCAGTTTTTTAGTTGCGTCTTGAACTTTTGGATGTTGGCGTCATTCGAATTATATTTTCCAAGCTAATTGAACTTCATTCCTGACGGAAAAATAGCACAACGATCAATTTTTTGATGATAGTTAAGCTCTGCCAGAGTGGTACCAATATAATTTGCTTTTCGTTTCTGGGAGTAGTGTTCAAAGTTTTATTAGTTTTTCTCTTTTTTTGCAGTGGTGGAATTATCACAGCATTCAATCTCTTACCTATTTGTTGCAAGGGATTGTGAAAACTAAGTTCTCAGTTAAATTTTTTCAGATCATCAACCATTTGGACAAAAACAATTTACAAATGCGCCTGTATCAATATGAGACGTGCCCATTTTGCTGCAAGGCAAGAGTCGAATAAAAATTACCTAAAATGTTTTAAATTTGAAGGTCCGCGCGTTTTTGGACTATTACGGGTTTTCGTACGACGTCGTGGAAGTGAACCCGGTGACGAGGTCACAAATCAAATTCAGCACTCAATACAAGAAGGTTTTTTTCGATTTTATGTCATTGATGGCGGAAAATAAAGTCAGATGCCATTTTTCTAATTTTCTTGTTTCGAGGTACCAATCCTGATGTGCAAGGATCACGCAATGACCGAGTCTTCTTTGATTGTCTCTCAGGTATTTTCAAAAAATGAAAAATTCACCGCATTTCCATCGATTTTCAGTTGGCCTCTTATTTGCATCGACCTGAACGTTCTTTTGACGAGATTTGCGACATGTATCCCGCCGTAGAGTCCAGTGACGACAAAGGAAAGAAAGTGGGATATTTTCCAAAGTTTGAAACTATTTCTATCAAGCTTTTATTTGCAGATTATCACTCATCCCAACAAATACTTCGTCATGATGGAGAAGATGGGATCAAGCACAGAAATGGCTCAGACTAAGTGAGTTTCTGAAACTGGATCAAATATTTTCCTTTAAAACAAAAAACCTCATTAGTCTTGAAAGTGTCGTAATTTCTTGAAAATTTTATTTCTCACAGTTTGTTTACCTAAAAACCGCACATTTGAGGACAACTTTTTTCAGAGAAGAACGTGAATGGCGCGAATGGGTAGATACATGGTTCATTCATTTGATCTCTCCAAACGTTTATCGTACCTGGGACGAGTCTCTCGAGACATTCAAATGGTTTGAACAGGTTGAGATAATAATCCTTTACAAATTAACCCTTTTTGAAAATTACAGATCGGTGACTGGCATCGAACTTTTCCTGCTTGGGAACGAGTTCTTGCCGTTTACATTGGCGCTCTAGCGATGTTCGCCCTGTCAAAAAGGCTCAAAAAAAGGTGAATTTACTGAAATATCATTTACCGGGCTTAGGAGATAGCATATGTGGAATTGGAAGCAAAATCTCTCACGATTAAAAAAAACACATTGCTGGAAACGAAGTTCGAAAATCTCCGGAGCATGATTTGTTCCAAGCCAGCGTGTAATAAAGATTTTCGCTTTTTACGTTCTTTTGAGGAGTGAGAATGTTGCTCGTTTGCGCCAGAAAATCAAAGGATACACTATTTTTGTATAATTTTTTTCTTTATAGACATGGAATAGATGACGAGCGACAAGCTATGAACGATGCTTGCGAAAAATGGGTGGAGGCGCTAGGATCACGACCTTTCATGGGAGGGACACAACCAAATTTGGCTGACTTGGTAAGTATATTTACTGTCCTTTTTACTTAATCCTAACTTAAAAAAACGTTTTTTTAGCGGTTGAATTTTTAAATTAAATTTTGTTGAAGTGTTCTTTAGGCTTCCAGATCCCAGAACAAGAAAAAAACCTGCTTTTTCGATTTATGAAGCTTCATTGTTTGTAAAAAAACGTAAGTTATGAAAAAAACTGCTATTTCAAGAATTTAAAAGCATTTTTAATTTGGAAACAGTTATATTGCGAGAAATGTTTTCTTTTTCTGTAATCAGAAGAAATCCTAAAGTACACATCAGCAAAACGTCATTAAAAATTCAACCGGAGGCCAAAAAACGTTCTCTAGTAAGATTACGCCAAAAAACAGAAAATTCAGGCTCTATTTGGTGCAATGAATTCTTTTCACGGATGTCGAACTTTCGAAGAAATTGTCTCCGGCGGAAGAATAGCCGAGTGGTGGAAAAGAATGAAGTCGGCCGTTGAGAATCACGAAGGAAGGACGGTTCTCGAAGGGCGGACCTCGAAAAAGTGATTTTTCTCTTCTTGCATAGGGCTAATTTTTTCTTCATTGCGTCGAAATATTCTAGTTCTGCTTCATATTTTTTCACGCTTTATCGCGAGTTTGCTGACTAGCGCGGGTCGTTTTATTGTTATTGCAAAAAAATAATTTTGTTGAAACAGTGTTCTAGGGTTCACCTCATTTTTTTGTAAGACACAGTTTGTTATTATATGTGTTTTTTTGAAATTTAGATAGTGATGTTGTTTTTTTATTCGAATCGTTGTTATATTGCAAAAATAAATTGTTTTATTACATATATCTTAATTTACTGTTTCGTTCAACTGCTGTAAACAGATGAAAAACTTTCAGGAAATTTTCCAGAAACAAGAAACAATTAAGAGATTTTTTTCCTGTCGATTTTCAGTCTTTCCCCACGGTTTGATCAGAATATGAGGAATAGTTTCAATCTTCTAAAAAACATTTTGAAACACTTTATTCCATTTTCTTCACAAACACCATTATTTTTTTTCGAAAATGTTTCAAAGTCAATTGACGTAAGGCAGAAGACGTGATCGTTCGGGATCTGTGAGACTTTTGAGTTGCTTTCTGTAGGACAACGTTGTGCATCCAAGAATCAGGGTGAGCAGCAAAAGAATCGCCGTGACGATGATCATGATAACTGAAACATTAAAACTACTTTTATTCTTTTTTTGAATGTTAACGAATTCTTTCGAAATGTTGAACAAAGGGTATAGTAGCAAGCGGCTTATAATATTCAAAATTGAGAAAAAACTTCAAGTTGTGACCGACTTTCAAAGATTCATACCTGTGACCATTGAAGTGGGGGATGATGTCAAGTTCTCCATGCCTTTGCATTGAGCGTACCAATCAGTTTTCAGCTTTCTGACTCCCTGAAAATCTTTCCTACAGTTGCTCGAAATTCTACACCCTCCATATAATTTAAGAGCTCCTAGGAAACATTTCAAAAATTTCGGTTTTTTGTCATATTGCAGAATATCTTTACTATGGAAAGTTTTTTTGTTGTTGGATACATGAATTATAAACATATAAAGGTTCTCACTTAAGAATCGGCTGCAGAGAAAAGAGCATTTTTTTTGTTAAATGGCGTTATTCCAATTCACATAGTTAAAAAGCCACCCCAAACTTTTCTTTATTTTTTATAGCTTCAACGTTTTTTTTTTCAGTTATTTGACACAATATCCCTCCGTGGCTGAATTAAACGGGAAAATAGCTTCAAACTACGCCGAAATCTAGTGTAAACTTTTTTCATTCGGCGAACCTTTGTGATTTCTTGTAAGTTTTCCAGGAAACACGGCTCTCCACACATCGGGGTCGTGAGTTGAGTGCGATTTTCTGCAGCTGCCATTGAGAGCCAAAACTAAAAATCAAGGCGTCTGATTTGAAAATAAAAAATAAATGGCTGACCTTGACGACTCTTCTACCATTTTGTTTATGAAGTTCAACGGCGAGATGAGATCCATAACTGGGAATTTCATCAGGATGTGCTCCCAGAGACAGTGACTTCCATAACATCACTATATTTGTGTCATGCTATAACTTTTGGGTGTTCGAGTTGTTTTTCGGAATATTTACCCCCGAAATGAAAGCTCCCTTGAAGTTTTTACGATTCATATGATCTTCCATCAAAGACAGGATGACTTCGTTGTGATACTCTGAAATAATTTGAAGTAAACCATTATAGGATGTCATATTTTATAACCGTGACCCTTGCACATAGAAAAGCAAGAGCCTAGAAAAATTCGGCTATTGGAAATTACCTCCAATAGTAGAATTTTGCATGTTGAGTACGTCGTTGTGAAGCATGAAACTGGCAGTGAGCACTTGAGGAATGTATTTTTCTGCCCAATCTGGTACTGGTAGTCTCGGGTCATTGAGTAGCCACTGAAAGCTCTAATTTTTGGAAAAAAATTTTTGAAGTTTTTTTCTTATATTGGTCTGTCAAAAATTTTTACTGAAATTCAAGCAAGTTCATTTTGAAATCTTCCACTTTATCAAAATGTTCTGCTTACTTTTGCCGTACAGTCGAGTTTGACCGCTTTAATCGACTTCCCTTACCACAATGATAGCGTTCAAACTTGAATCTTGACAAGTGACAAAACAGTGAAAAAATATTTGAAAATCTTTTGTAATTCGGGATCTAAAAACCTCGAACTGCATTTCTGCAATTCCTAAACCCGATCATTGAGAGCATATTCCGCTTTGAAACAAAAGTTGTGTTCAATGTTTCAATTACGAATTCCTAGTAGAAGGTTTCCACAGATCATCTCAAAGTGAAAACTTGAAACTCACACGACATTTGAGGGAATCAAAGATTCTGTTGATCGCAAGTGGGGTATCAAGCTGACGACCCGTCTTTTCACGAAGAAGTTGAACCATATCAGGGTACAGAGTTTCGATCTTTTTCGAGATTTCCCGATATTCTTGATTTCCGGTGAACCACTCATTGTAAGACGGGCAATCCTCTTGTACACCAATGGAAACCTGGAAAATATGTCATTCAATTCAGCTGTGTGTCCTTAATGATTCCCTCTTAATAAAAAATCTTCAACTAAGAGTTGTTCCTTCACATTAATGTTTTGTTCAAAGCCACTCACCCAATCTATCGATTCATCCGTGTGTTGGGCGATCGGCTGCCACAAAAGGTCAGAACTCCATTTCTGAGCTTCATTTGGAGGAAAAAAACCGGCGAACAACGCTTGGGCGGATGTCGAAGTTCTGTTGTCTTTTCCAGTATAGACAAATATCTGAAAACCTTTTCAAGTCCAAAAATTTTTTATAAAGTTCTCACAAATCTGAATAGTAAATACATTTTCAACCCGCTTTAATGATAAAAAAAAACCTCAGCTGGACGATAATATTCACCAAAATGATCTCCATAAAACTTTCGTAGTACTTGACCCAAGTGATATTCTTGTTGTAGGCCTCTCTGAATTTATAACAAGTTTTCAAAAAACAAGGTTCAATAACATTTGTTAACTCTCCAGGATATGCCAAATCGAGAAAGTCAAAACTTTCATTTTGTAGCCTCAAATAATGCGTCGGCAAACGTTCGCCATGACGAAACCACTGCAACATATTCAAATCAGTTCATGCCGAAAATCATAATATTTGTACAAAGAACTCAAGATTTCGCTTTTGTTTAAGATTTCGCAATTATTTGCAGTTTAAAAGCATAATTTCATTAATCATCCATTAGCCTCATAGAGCTGTTAGTGAGAAAAAGTAACGGAAAACTTCAATTTTGAGACCGAAATCTTCGTTAAATATGAATAGTCTCCGTTTTCCCGAAATTCTGTATTCTGAAGGGCACTAGGTACCGCTTTCTTAATAATAAGCAGACTTTTCGTTTGGAAGAGTTCAAAATGTGACTTAGCCAAACTTAGAAGTGTTGATTTAAACTGAGACCAATATGAAGTTTTCTTCTTTTTAATTTCGTTTAGTTACTTTCCACTAAAAACTCACAATCTGTACAAATTCCAGAGTTGGGTCTCGGTCAGCAGAGTGCAGAGAAATGAGAGAAAAGATCGCAGCAACGAGAAGGACCGAAGACATGGAAAAAGACTTGAGCACTGAGATGCGACCTTATCAATCGAGAAACTTTGTTTGTGCAGACTGTGTATGGAGGAAAATGACCGCAAAACATATCTTCATTATGCCAACTTTGTTTCATTGTGCTCTTGCTCATCTTTAAGTAAAAAAAAGAATGATTTTAGACTTTTTGATCAAAAACTTTTCAGTTATACAGTAGTTCTTCCAAAAAAAGTTTGTGAGAACGAAGAAAAATTTTTTTCATCCTCTTTTTGACGGTATAAGGACTCCAAAAGTCTTCTAGGACCTACACCTAGAAAGCGGCGAAGGATTGATCTAGGTTCGAAGCGTCTTCCTGTGGATGGAGATATGGTTTCTCGAATAAGCCAATATTCTTGGTTTTATACGAAAGGAGACAATTTAAAACGATCGGCTATACAGTTGACGAAAAGTCTGGCAAGTACCTACCGTCATGGGGAAACAAGAATTTTGTAAAAGGCGATTGTATTACACTTTCGTCATATCAAAACCAGCAAGTGGATATTGATACTTGCGTAGTACTGATTGATGATGCCCTCGATCTTATTGTGCTTCAATCGAAATCCGCCGAACTCTGCGATAAAGATTTGATTTTGGAAGCAGCTGAGCCGAAGAGAGGAATGAAATACCTTTTTTCCACTGTGCCGCCTTTGTATAAATTTAAAAACAAGAAAGTTGTTGGCAAGTTCAAAGATCTACCAAAGAAAGGATATTAAGGCTGGTCAGTTGCTTCAGGTCTTTATCAAATCTCAGATTCTTAGATCCTCCGGAATTATTAAAATGCATTTATTTAGCACGTTTTTGTTTCAAATTGTTAGCGCAATTGACCGTTTCTACCATGGATTTCGACCATATTTTTTAAAGTAGCCTATTTCGACTTTTTACTCATTTTCGAATTGATGAAAATGACACATTTTCGAAAAGTTAAGATACAAATCCAATGGAAATAAGCCTAAAAATGATTGAAAATGCGAGTATTGAGCATGCCCATCCAAAAAGGTGCGCTAAAACGGAAAAATATGTTTTATTAATATTGATGAATAACATAGAATAATACATTTGAAGTAATTGAAACATCGAAACACTGAGAATGGTTTAAGATAGAGGTTGAGACAATCTTATTTGAGGTAAATAGGGCTAGAAATTGAGGTAAGAGACCAAATGTTGGTATGATAGGTCCGCAAGTTCTTTGCAGATGGCTGAGGTGGAACGGTTGTATAAGCGTCTGAGGTCATTATTGGCTGAGTTGAATAAAAATTAGAAAAAAAAACTTCAGAGCAAAGGGATCGAAAAAGAATTTCTCAGAAATCGGCATCTTTGCTTTGCAGTTTGAAAAAGTCACACAAACACACAGTTAAATAAATAGACATGCAAGAAAGAAAAGCATATTAATATAATATGACAATAAATAGAAGTAACGGGCAAATTCGATGAACCAAGGATAAGAAGAAATTCCTGAGTTGGATGAGAGTGGGACGAACAATTTTCACTTTGATCCTAAAACAATAAAATTCTCATGGTGAAGTCTCAAATGAGGAAAGAGGTAAATGACAGAGTGGGACCGAGACAAATCTTTGGTTTTGTCAAGAAGTTCTTTTTTTTTTCATAATCAACACATCTAAAACGATTCAACAACAACGATACAACCCTGAGCTTAAAAAAGCGGTGAACCGTAAGAGAATGTGGTCAAAAACACATTTTTGAGGTTTTCCTGTAAGATATTGCGTGGCCCGTTGCCAACAAAAACGAATCTTAATGATTAATCAAGTTACAGAGACAACTAAAACAATGCTAGACAGGATGGATTTTCACAGTGGTTCTGTGAACTGATTTTTCGGATACAAGTATTTCAGCATACATTAGTCGAGAATGTGAAAGATGAAAACAAAAATTTACAAGGTTTCAAAATGGGAATGAGCCGAAAAACTTCCCGCAAAACTCCCTGCGAGAAAGAAACAGTTAAGTTGAGTTTCAACAAAAAAGTATGAATGTATTAGAGTACTAGGTAACAATACGAAAGACTATTCAATGACTAACACAAGCGTTAGGTAACACTAGAAATGCATATTTACATGATTTGGTGAGGTTAGATGGCGTTCTTTTTTTTCTTTTTTTTGGGTTTTTTTCGGGGGATTATTTTGAAGTTTCACGCGGGGCTAATGGGTGCCTCAATCGTGGGCGCTTTGGAAAAGATGAAGGTTGAAGTTCAACGGATCGGCCGCAATGAATCCGCAACGATTGCACTTGAAAGGATGCTCGTAGCCGTGATATCCCATATGAATGTGGTAGAGAGCTTGGTCCTGAAAAATGTTTCCATTAGGCCTTTTTTACTCATGAAATTTAAAAATTTTTCCCTGAAAGTGAACTCCAAGCCTTCTAATTTACAAGTTGAAAATTCGCCTTATATTTTAAGATTTGAATTTTTCCGGGAACTAACACAAAAAGTGTGAAGTTTTCTTCTCAAGTCTTGATATATCAGGATAAGAGTGTTCTCGTTAAGCTCTTTGTGAATTATTGATGGGATGGATCGATTTCTCTCATCCCTTTAAAAATTGCCTCAGAACATTTTTTGTTCCACTATTCAGAAGAGAAAAACACAGTGGCTGCGTGAAGGGAAATTTAAGAAAAGGAGCAGAAAAGGGCAAAAACGACTGAGTGTTGTCCTGAAAACGACCTCAAAGTCCCGTTTCTAGTCTTTATTTGCGTTGTGTTTTTTCCTTCGATTCTGAGAGTTCGGCTTCAAAATTAGTTGATTCTGATGAAATCCAAGATTAGTCTTCAGCAATAACAAAGAAATGAGAGCTTTCGCATCTTGACACGTTAAATCAAATGTGAAATGGAAAATATGTTATAAACTTACGTAAAAAGCTATGCGGCAGTGAACGCACTGGAAACGGAACGACTCCTGGTCACGCTTAGCCTGAAAAACACAAAGATTTGTCCGTGAACAACTATTATGAATATTTGAAACAAGAATAACATGATCGTGATTCAAGGCTTACCTGAAACACATTGAAAGCCATGCAGGCAGCAGCTTGCTGAAGAATCGAGTTGATGGTAGGATGACCCTCCGAAGTCGAAATCATTGGCTGAGGTGGCACCACGAGTGTATCAGCCACACTTGGCATCTGAACCAGTGGAAGCATCTGCGACGAGTTGCTCAGAGGTTCCGACGGCGAAATCGACGATTCTCCGTGGCTCTGAAAACATCAAAAAATCTTTCATTAAAATTTTATGCGGAATTATGTTTTTGCTTTCAAGAAAAGAAGAAAATATTGTGAGTTGTTTTTGAGGCTTTTCTGGCACTCACGTCGTCCTTTTCTTCGCTGTCGACGCTGCTGGGACTCTTTCCCTGCAGCCGCTGGCTGATTTGCTCAAGCTTGAAGGCCTTGCGCTTCTGCTGTTCTTCGCTCTCCAACGAGCCTAAATCATTCGTTTTTCAATGGATTTTTGAAGATAAAAATTGATTATTTTCCGCTTCTTTTTTTCATCAAAGCCATGAAGAGGAAAGAAAGGAAGGCCGTACCCTTTGAGCTGCTGACTGGTGAATCAGCGCAAATGCTGCTGTGCTCCATTTCATCATCCGCAGAGCGTCCAGCTTCTTGACCTTCGTCGGCTTCCTGCTCATGCTCGATGTCAGGCTCAATGTCCTGTTCATCGACATCGCCGTCGAAGTTGTCGTCCATCGAAGCGTCAATGGTTTCCTCGCTCTTCACGCTGTGACGCTCAACCATTGAAGCGACAGACGCGATCACCGACGGGATCTGAAGATTCATTTCATAAGTTTTGGAAGAGAATACTTTCAAGAAATTTTTTCAGTTAATCTCCGTACTGTCACTCAAAAACGCAATAAAAACGATTGAAACTTACTTTTTTTCAAGAAACCTTTGATCTCCAAGGTTTATTTTTTTCATAAATTCGAAACTTTTTTTTTGTTCTTGTTCATTGATAATTGTTAATGGGTTATTTTTCATTTGTTGTATCTTGCGATGTGTGAGTGAGTTTATTGAAAACGATTCGAAAAACAATCAGACAGACAGTTGGATTTTTACCTGCGACAGGCCTGAGTACAGGCTGACCATGGGCATATTTTGGTTGATGAAATGGCTCATGTTGTGACGGATCTGCTCTTCCTGAGTGGCGCACTGAACATCGCACATGGGGCATTTTGGCGGCGTTGGTGGCAGAGCGTTCAATCCCAAAAGTGGGTTCAAGCCGCCTTCCATCTGAAAATGAATGCCGTATTATTTTTCATCTCAGCTCATTCATTACCTGATGTTGTCGGAGCAAAACTTGACTAGCATAGCTGAGGCTCTGGCTGGTCACAATAGGGCCAAGAGCCAAAGAATGCGCAATCGACGTGGATGGGGTTGGAGGCTCCATCTTCAAGCTGCCAAACGCTGGGAATGATGGGATTTCCGGACGCAACTGAGTCGGAGAAGTGTCTCCTCCCTCAATTCCTTCCGGCACGCGACGATGGTTGTATTTTTTGAGATGAAGCTGGAATCAAAGTTTGTGAAAAACGGAAAAAATGAATTTTCATACTTTGAGGCTGTGGCAATATTTGGTAGCGTAGGTACAATCCATGCAGCGGAACTGGTAGTGATTCGTGTGACTTTTCATGTGCGAATTCAGCATCGACTTGTTGACGCAAGTGTAAGCGCACTTCTTGCACTGGAATGGCTTGCTTCCAATATGATTACGGTAGTGATACTCCTGAAAAGGGAAAGTTATGTGATTTAGTTTTTGAAACTGTTTACCAAGTGATGCTTGTATTCGGTGACGAAGTTGCAATGAGTGCAGTTGAGCTGCTTCTCGTTTGGAATATGAGTTCTGGCATGGGCCCATTGCTCATCTTTCGACAGAGATTGGTGACCGCACTGCTTGCACTTGAGGATTTTCACCTTGCCATTGCTGTTGCGCCGTGGTTCAGAGTTGCTAGCCTAAAAAAACAAATTGAAGAGACTTCTTGTTTATTTGAACCACCTTGTCTGGTGATTTCGTCGAGTCTCCGTGAATCACATCGCTGACAGCTCCAAGCGCAGAAGCCAAACTGAGTCCATTCTCACTCAAAAGTGAAGGATTCTCAGTGATAGCTCGGATCTGATCCAAAGCAGATGGAGCTAGTCCTCCAGATTGCAGGCTGTTGAGCAAATTTGGAGTTCCTTCCAGGTCCAGAGAAAGAGCATTTGTAAGAATGTGAGGCATGTCGCTCTGAGCGTTGGCCATCGTTGCAGCAAAATTAGCAGCGTCCACCAAAGAAGCCATAGTTGTAGATAAATTTGAAGTATCTGAGGAGACCGTCTGAGTTTGAGGTACGGGCTGAGGTGTTCCGAGAGGAATCGAAGTGATAATTGCTGTGGCGCTCGAAGTCGGAGTTGAAGTCGTTGCCGCCTGTGATGGTTCTATCTCGAGCCCAGCTTTGAGCTGCTCCTCGACTGTGTGTGACTCTCTCATGTGCTTTTTCAAGCGGCCTTCGGTCCTGCTGGTATAATCACACATAGTGCACTGATGATCTCCATGGGTGTTCATATGGCTGTTGTAGTGGAACTTCGAAGGACAAGCAAAGCCACAGATCGGGCAAACTAAAGGAGCAGCTTGTCCGTTCGTTGGTGGTGGGACGATGACAGGTCCAAGTCCAGGAGGACGAGTGAAGGCTCCAGATGGAGTGCTGAGCACTGCGGAGAGGTTCGGTGTGTTGCCACTCTCAGCCGGCAACCTCGGAACTGTTTCGATGACCGTAGGAGTTTTGAGAGGCGATTCGCTGCTGGTCGGTTCAATGTTGGAGAAGGCGCTCGAGTTACTTTGCGAAAACCCAAGAAACTTCTTTTCTGGTGAACTTTCTTCTTTGACCAGCGGAGAAATCGTACGAGCAGCGTCCAACGCAGAAGTGAAGGAGTTTTGGGAGAAGTTCAAAAGTAGACGTCTGAAAAAAGTCATTTTTTGAAAAGAACCCCGAATGATAACTCACGTTGCTGCATCAACGTCTCTTTGTGGTAAACCACCGATTCCATTGTTCGACTCATTTCCCGTGGTGTCCATGACATCGTCAGCTTCCTTTTCTTTTTCTGAAAAACAACTGTGAAACTAGCGGAATCGTGAAGTTTTGCACTTGTTGAAGATATAGCGATAAGGCTATCACGTGCATAGTTTTGAAATTCATTACTGACCTTTTCCAAAAAACAGTTTATTTGACTCAAAATGTCCTATAAACATGATTTGTTTATCTTTAGTATTATTAACAGTTCTTTTTTTTCACACTTGCCTGGCTTTGCAGATGTTGGAGTGCTTTCTTCCGAGTTATCATCGTTGGAAGCCGTACATTCGACGTCGATCGGCTCTTCAGAAGTTCGTTCCCCACGACGATCGTCATCTACTTCGCTTGGTGACTGCGAGGCCGAAACATCGTAGGAGTTTGTATGGTGCTCTCGTTCGTTTGACTCTTCCTGAACATTCTCTTATTATAAAGATGAATGAAAAATGAGAAACAAGTCGAATTTCAAAGTTTCTTTCAATAAAAGTCCAACAAACCTCTTTTGGGCTGACATAATTGGCAGAGGAAGAAATCGGAGTCTCTGAAGACTCGGCTGTCGACTGCATCGGATTCATCATGGCAGCAGTGATGGAGGCACTGCCGAACTTGGGAAGCGGCCGAGCGACGTCCCCGCTAACCTGTGCGCTTTGCCACTTGTCCCAACTACCCAATTTTTCGTTGTTATTCGCTCCCCAAGCACCTTGCCAGTCACCTCTGAAACACTTATAATTTCACTAATCTCAATAAAAAAAAAATGAAAAAACGTACCCAAACAAAGGTTTATGAAGTGTTCCAAAGTTTGGTGGAACTGGAACTCGCCAAGCGCCTTGTTGCATCGCGTGGAATGCCACCGGTGATCCTTCAGGTTGATGGGGCTGAAAATGACTGGACTGAGAAAAAAAATTCGACTGTATAGATATCTAAATGGGCAAAAATCGAGCGAGCTGTCGGTTGGCGGAAAGTATATGCAAATAAATGTCAAACAAGGTCTTGCTGAACTGCGAGGTTCTTCTCAAAAAGATTATGAAAAGTGCATTTATACAGACGATATCGCGGTTTTTTGGTCCAACCCTTCAATCACGCCATCGGAATGATAGAGCGAAATCCTCAAAAACGTCTGTGAGTGACAGTGGACAGTTGGTTTTTGGAAGTAAAAACGGTCTAGCACTGATTAGAAACGACGTTTTATGAATGACAACCTGTCATTTTAACGGACATTATGTTCGCAGTCTTACAGAAGATGATTAAAAGTCAGCGTTTTTCCATTTTTGTGGACTCTTTTTTGTTCACGGAAAACTTAAAAAAGGCAACCTTTTTTCGGTTTCAAAACGATTTTGAATTGGAATTCAAGTGTTTCCGGTGGATACACAACATAACTTGGACTGAAGAGTAATTTTTCCTAATTTACTGATCTGATGATTCTCAAGAGAATTCATTTCTTTTTTTTCCAAAAGCCATTTCAAAAGCACTCAATTTTTGCCAGAATTTAAAAAATGAGGGCCTTGGCTAGAAAATTCGAAGTGTCCTAGGAAACTACCGTAGTCCAGCAGACAGGAGCTCAAGGGGACTTGTTTTTTAGCTTGTGGTTCGTTTCTTTTCTATTTAGCATACCAACTATTTTTTTCGTCTTTCCTCCTCTCAGACACTATTTTGCTCTCAATCGAGCCTCTCTAAACGCTCCGCCCATTTTTTCTCTGCGCCCTTGTAGGTCAGGAACTGCACTAATAGTACATCATCACCATGTGTACGTCTACGCTCTGCCGTTTACAAAAAAACGCTTATTTCCCGTCAATAACTGAAATGTTTTGCTGGCCCTTTTTTTCCGTTGCTTATTGAAAAAGTTTTAGAATTTGAAGAAAAAAGTTATTTTTCAAATGAACAATATATGAATTTTCTGAACTTCTAAATTTTTTTTTCTGCAAACGAAGCGGCTAACGTCGCTCAAAACTTTTCGGCCAACGATGGTCGAAATTTCAGAAGGTTGCCATTTTTCGTGAAGATGCTTTTAATTTTATAGTTCATTGGAATATCTAGAAAACCAATACCTATTTTTCGTATTCCTTATTAAAATATTCGTTTTGGACGTCAAGAAGTTATAATGCTTGTTCTCACAAAATTTGAAAGTTCCGAGTGAAAAAAACCTTTTTAGTGATAAGCTTTTGAGGTCAATCTATTCGAGAGTATTTTTTCACATAAATATTTCTGATTTCTTCCCGTTAATTGCTCCGAAAAGGTTACTTCCAGAGAACCAAAAAAAGGGCAGCCGGATTTCATCTGTCTCTTTCTCTCTCTGCAAAAGTGTGGAGCACAAAGTTTTTGCGCACTTTCAGATCTTCAATAAAATTTTCTTCTCGTTTTTCGAGAAAAACAACTTTGTGTGCGAATGCTTAGACTATGCAGGAACGCACTTAAAGAATCAAATTTTTTTCATATTTTTTTCTTTTTAATAGTTTCGAAAGATTCGTCAAGCTACAGTCAAGGATACTGTTTCCAAAACGAGAAACATCCTCAGAATTTTAGCACCATTCAATGTGAATCTGGCATCATTCGACTTCAAAGAAATCGGCAGAAAAAACTGAAATTTTAATTTGAGACCAATAAATAACCTGGATCGGTGTGTGCGTAGGCAGATGGGCAAGCGAGTGTTGAGGGGGCCAGCCGCCTTTCTGCTCTTCGAAATGCGACATCGTGCAGCGTTCTTGTTCACCGTCGCATGTACCTCTCCTAAGACGATGTTCCTTACTGCTGCAGCCACAACCTGCAATTTTTCAGTCATTGAATCTAATTTTGAGAAGTTCGCATGAAAATGGCGTGACGGAAACGAAATTGTATAAAAGTGTTCAAAAAGTATTCATAAAAACAGGAAGGTTGATCAAAATATTCAGATAAGACTTTAGAAAAAAGAGCAGAATCATGCACTCAAAAAAAAGAATAATGGCTCCAAATTTTTCTAGAAGTAACTCAAAACATAGTTATAACATGAGGAATAAAGTGAATTTTTTTCGAAATAACCGGAAATAAAAAAAGGGAAAAACCTAGCAGAAAATAATTTCTCCAAGCCATACTTCTCATAAAAAAACAAAGATTTCATGACTAAGTTTTTTTCAAGTAGGAAAAATAATCATCGAGAAAGCATTCTGATTCAAATTTTTTTGAGTATTACTTTATTATCAATGAACAAAACTAAAATTTTTGGAAAAAAATTCAAAAAAACTACAAGAAGTGCAAAGACCCAGTTTTGGCAAAGTCAGGTCTGCAAATTTCTCAACCAGATCCCAAAAAAACAAATATTCATCCTGGTCTGCTTGAAAAAAATTTCTTGTGACGGATTTCGATGACAACTGATAGTCCTGATACTTCAAATATAAACCAAAAAAATTATTTTTAAAAAAATTCAAAATCTATAATTACTTTTTATTCATTTTTTATGGAAACGTGGCAAAACTTAAAAGTGTAAAAAACACTTCTTAAGCCGGAAAGTAAGAAGAAATGAACCAAAAAAAAAGCGGAAAAGGACGAAAAGTGCGCCAAAGAAATAGGTTGCAAGACGCGAGAGTGTGCGTAAAAATCAGAGACGATAGGAGGATCGTACAAAAAAGAGAAGTTTTTTCAAAGTCTCCACGCCCGAAACAAGAAAAAAACTTCGTTGTAGGGCGCGAGAGAGATAATGGAGAAAAATAAGAAGTTTCAGATACTGTGCAAAACGAAGAAAAAAATGAACTCAAACAGAGAAAGTGTTTGCCGGCTGCCTTGCCCAGGGTCAGGAAAAATATCTCTGCGGCTCGCTAGTTTTTACAACGTTCGAGAAGCCGAGAAAAATTTCTGGATCAGAAGAAAAACGGGAAAATTTACGAGAAATCAAACGTGCGGAAAAAAAGAAATACTATTTTAATGTTTTTCAAAAAACAAATATTTGTTTATCAGTCGTATCACTGAAGGCTTTCGAGGACTAGATCATGGAAACATACTTCTACTAGGATTTTGAAACAACCGAAGCCCTGCGAGTTTCAAACTCACGCCATTTTAAATTCTGGCACTAATCATTGAGTTTTTTTCACAAAGTTTTTTCCGGAAATTTTTAAGTCTTTTTCAAAGGCTGAAATGAATGAAATATTTTAGTTCAATCTTTTATGCGAATAATGATAACTTCCTCCAAACCTAAAAAAAGAGAAACTGTAGAAAAAGGGTCTTCAAGACGCAGTCCGAAACATTCTTTCTTTTTTTTCTCTCTCACTCGTTTGCCTTCATGACCTCGAAACCACTGGAGAAGGTTCGTTGCACTGCATCTCCCCCAATTTCGTTGCGGAACATTTGAAAAAAATCCAAAGAGAGGAGAAAACGTCTCAGTTCACGCCATTTTTTTTACGCCGCTAGTCTGAACTTCGGCAAATATTCTTAAAAACTTTATGGAAGACTATATTTTCGATCAAAAAAAATAGAAGTGTAAGTACTGCGGTAAACATTGAACTATTCTACACTGTAAATTATTCCGAAGGTTTTGGTTCAAGTTGGAAGATCCTTTATTTTTTCAAAGGAAATAATCGGCTTTATCAAAACCAAAGGACGTTTTTTCCACTAGAAGCTCACGGTGGAAAATCTTCCAGAGGCAGCTGTTTCATTCATAAAAAAGCAAGCCACTCTGGGGGTTCTCCACATAAACCTGAACGACGTTGGGTGAAAAGGAAACGGCTGAGCGGGATTACAACGCTTCTCTCTGGCCGTTTTTTGTTTCTTCGACCTCGGCTGCCCGAAAGGACGGGCGCTGAGCGTTGAAAAAACGTTTGAAACTTTTTTCCCAGTGTCTGAGTGATTACATTCATTTCCTTAACAAAGAAAAATCCTAGTGTCTTTTTTTAAATATGTGGTTCGTTTTCAAGATAAGTGGCTAATATTTTGAGTTTCATCTAAAAAATGAATGGAGTAAGAAAAATGAAGATTCTAAAACTTTTTAGCCAGTATAAACAAAATTCTACATTCTGCGTTTTTCAGGGATACATTCAAAATCAGAGAAAACGATTTTTTTCATTTTTCGTGGAAGGTTTTTTTTTGGAAAAAAGACATAATTGCCTAGCAGAAGCGAGGACGTAGCGCCAATGGCGGGCCAGATGTTTCTCTTAATGTCCTTCAAACAGAAACCGAATTCAGGAGGAAGCATGGTAATGTATCAATTGAATCGAAGAAGGCTTCGAAATTATGTAGGTTTCTTTAAAAAAAAACAAAAATGATAAAAAATGGAAGATCTCCAAAAAACTTTAAGAATTTGAATCGTGATAAACTGTTTCTGATGTAAGAATTCAAGTTACAAATAATTAAGAAGAATGAACTTGCAAATTGAAGAAAAAAAGGAAAATTAGGAAGAATCTGAAAATCTTTCAGCCTTTTTAGGAAGAACAATGGACCGAAAGAGAAGCGTTTTTCCAAAAGCGATATATGCAAATGGCAAAGAGAACAGAGGACGAAATGGGTGGAAAGAAGGAGGGAGCGGATTGGTGGCACAGCGCCAAGATCCATGCCAACAACCACCACACAACATGAAACCCCATGCATTTCACTTTTTTTGGGGCATCGAACGCTGGTTCCTCTCCGTTTTCCTCACAAGTCAAGCCTCACGCAAACCCCTCGATTTTTCTTCGAGGATTAGCAGGAAAGAAAGTCTGCTTTTTGAAGGCTATGGAGTTTCTTATTAGCTTTTGAAATAACTTCAGATATTTAAAAATGTTGGCATATTTACCCTAATTCATTATCAGATTAAAAAAAACTCACACTTTTGGCATTGTGCTCTGCACGGAAAAAAACAAGATTAATGGCTGGTTTCAGGTGTGGAGAGGCCGATGTTTGCCATAGAACCAAACGTTGACCTGACGTGCCCTTTCCATTCTCACCGGCAACTTTTACGATATATGCGCCGGCCGTAAACTGACCAGCCGGAGCCGGTGCCAAAAAAGAGCACAACGAGTTATTGTTCAAACACAAAACCTCGGAAATCACCAAATTTATGACATCCTCTAACCTTTAACGTTTGAAAAAAGTAGTGAGATTGGGTGATTTTGAATGTACGCCGGTTTGTTAGTGAGTTGTAAAAAAAAATTTCAAGATCCTGAATATAAGATTGGAGGCTTTTTTTCGCATCATCTTCTTTTCGGAAATGAAAAATTTTTACGCAGTTATAGTAAAGTTCCATTCAAAGAAAGCTTCAGCTTCGAAACTAAACTTTGGATGGATAAAACTTTTTTTGCAAGAAGAAACAAGAAACAATTGTGAAGCTATAACCCTGATTTTCACACTTTATATTGAAAAGGGATTCGAGAAAATAATTCAGCAAAAACCGAGACTACCGTAAGAAGGCACGGTTGCAGATCCGGCAGGAAAACAGACTCGAACCCATCCGAATTTCCCACTGAATGATCCTCCGTAGTGACTGGCACCGGCGACTTGTTAATGTTAATTTGGAAAGATCCATTGTTCGGATGCCGTGCCGTTTTCCGCGACCCCGAAAAAACGCAGCATCTGTAGGGAGCCCTTTGACAAATCGTTTTCAGTCGTTCTCAGACGCGTTTTGCAGACGGAAGAGTTTAAATTGAGCAAGAACGTGGAATAGATAAATTAGAGAAAACGATAAAATTTTGCTTGTTAGAAAATTTTTTCAATCGAGAAGAACCGTAGTTGTATTTTGTAATTGTCTCTGAGAGAAAAAAATGAGAGAGAAAGCATAAAGAACTGCGGCAGCGAGCGTGAAAAAAGACGCGAGGAGGAGGGACATTTTCAGCGCCTACGGTAGCCATGGCCCCACCTCTCCTTTCTCTCAACTCTAAAAGGCTTTCGGGTTTTTTGTCTTGTATTTTGTTCTTATTAAGGTGGACTTTTCCGTTTTGAAAGGGATTTTGAAAACTTGATGATTCTTCGCTGAAAGTTAATGAACGTTTTATAGGACCTTTAAAACAGCGAAGAAGCTTGAAAATGATAACTGACATTGAAAAAAAATTCTAAATTCTTGTCTTGTTGAAGAATTTTCAGAATTCAACTACAACAATATGAAGCTTTAAATATGCAGAAATCGCTGGTTTTGTGATTGGATAGAAACTGGAAACTGACAAGTCTCAAAACCAAATTTTTGTCAAGAACGCATGGGAAGTAATTTTTTGAATGTTTTTTTCAAAAATATGTACTATAGTAGTGATAATGAAGTGTTAAAGCTTCAAACCATCGTTAATTTTTGAATAAATCAGCAATTTGAGAATTCTGAATCTCCAGAATAAAAAATTTGAATAAGATGAAGTCATTCAAACTGCTGAGAGTTTTTTTTAATTTTCAAAACATCAAAATCATATTAGGAAAAATTGAAAATATAGAATGAACAAACTATGAGATCCGGGAAAGGCGGTGAAGGACAGAAGAAATAAAGGCTGTTTTTAAGTGGACCGCCACCCAAATACTATATGTTGTATCCGATCGCAAAAGGTCACCTAGGCGTTCGTTTGGAAGAAAAGAGAGGCGGAGAGAAATGGTAGGCGGAGCCGGGTGGCTCTAAAAATCGCCATTGTTGGCTAGAAACATAGTGCAACGCGTAAACAACCGCGGGTCGAGGCCGAGAGAACGCTGGAAAAAAGAGACGGTCCCGCCGGCTGGCGGATTGTTTTTCACGTGTGGCGCAGCGTCGCGCGTCGCGCACTCTCCGCGCCACCCACGCATTTTCCGACTGTGGCAGCCGTTCGGAACCGCCGGTCACTCTCCGCAGCCTGATATCTCGCATGTTTTGGCCGTTATCCCCTCCGGTCACTTGTGTCAGCAAATAGAAAACGTGATAAAAGTACCAGGCGGTCGACGAGGCAGAAGAACGAACACATGAATAGTCCTTTAACTAAGGCGTCTTCTCTTTGGTTTCAACCGCAAAGAAAGGAACTCATAACAGACTTTTTTGAAACTTTGCTGATCTCCTCTAAAGCTTCTGTTCAGAATGATCTGGAGAATAATTTTTGATAAAATGGTGATACATCACTTTCACAAGGAAAGATTGGACTTGGAATTTTGAAAATTAGTGGAAATACTTTTTAAAATCCAAGGAGACTGTTCGGAGAGATTTCGAAGAGCTAATACCTATCCCAAAGATTTTTTTCAAATAAGCTACTGGACCAATTTTTGATTTTTACCCGTTTTTAAAGCTTTTCCAGATAAACTTATTTTTCTTAGTAATTATTCTAGTTACTTCACAATCCTTTCTCTTTCTTGTGAGCATACCCTGTAACGAGAAAATGCGTGTCGAAAAATTTGTTGACCCGTTTTTCATAACTCAGAATTTTGATTATTTCTTTCAAAAAAAATCTTTCAACTTGATATTGAGGCAAAAAGAAGCAAATTCGAAAGAGCTCACTTTTTTATCATCTTTTTCTGTAGTACAAGACAGAAGATTCTGATAAGCACTCAATCAACTGACCTCTCTGTAGCTTCGCCAATCAGGAGGCAGTTTAACATAAACGTTTGGGCGCGCGATGAAACCTGAGCGTCGGGCGAACCGTTCCTGAATTCGATAAATCTTCTCTCGGGTCATTTTTAAACACGAAAAGATAAACTGAACGCACACAAGATAAATAAGTGATATAGCCGAAAATGATATAATGGAACAACAAAGAGATGGATATCAATAGATGTTACACAATTTCGATGAGTCATTTTGGAAATTAAAATAAATTCTACGCAATTTTTTTTAATGAAATGTCAGAAGACAGACGATTAGAAAAAAGATATTGCGCTCCGTAGAAGAATTTTTTTACGGCATATTTTTACAAAGTTTTTTTCTTAAAGTGTGAATTTTGAGAAAAAAAGACATTGAAAAATGATGAAATTTGTTTACAAAATTAGGCATCAAAAAGTATTACGAAAGCAAAAATTTAAAGATTTTTCCTCTTGTGATTTAATCATGCGACTGTTTTTTTCGCGAAGAAGAACATAAAAAAATCCTTTTTCAAAATTATTTTATTCGAAGGATTTCCACATAGTGGATAATGGAAATCAGAAACAATCAAACTGAACTTTATGAAAATTTCGTTAAGTTGTTTTTGACAATAATATGACTCAGTCAGCCTTTTTTTAAAACATGAAAAGATATAAAAGAAATGAAAACTGTTTTCTACCCGAAAAAGAAACGAAAGAAGAATGGGAGACCTCTTTTAGGAAAGTTTTCAAGTCGAAAGGCGAAATTATCTCAATTTTTTGGGGAGTAAAGCAAATTTTTTTGCGCACGCCGTGGCACCGATAACGGTTTTCGAAGAGATTGATTAAAACTTAGGAGCGTCGAGAGTTTTCAGTGCTGGGCCGTCTCTTTACCTCAGCACTAAAATCACTCGATTTCCAATTTCTTATCAGCAAATGTTGCCATTTTTTCTTTCACGGAAATTTTCGACGTCGAAAGAGGACTGTAGATAGTCTCAAGAGCGAATCAGAGAAAAACTGTTGAGCAAATGTCTGGTGATTTATTCCAAGCAGTTTCTAATTTGAGTTCCCAATTTATCAGAAGTTGTAGAGAGAGTTTCAAGAGAATGGAAACTTGAGAATGAGGAAGAAAAAAGAGTAAGTTTATGGAGCTTCGATGAGATAAACAGACAGAAATTTGGGAATATTTCAACTCTTCCTTTTTGAGTCTCCTATTTAGCAACTACTTAGGATGAAGCTGGGTTTTTTTTTACTTAAAATGTATTCAAAAGCCAATTTGTTTCTCGATTCTCCATAAATTAGAAAAGCTATGAACAAAGTTTGTGCAAACTGAAATTGACGCTTCCTGTCGTCGCTGACCGCTCAGCGAGCGTTTCTAAACAGACTTTGCACTCCGATGTACTGTAAATCAAACTGACACGGCTTCAATCTGTGCGAACTTTGGTTCTGCCAGGAGAAACCGTCTGCAGAGCAATCGGCAGACTTTTAGGGTAAAAAAATTTTAGTGGAGAGTATTTTTGCAGAAATGTCTGTGATGTCAGATCTGACTTTTTCAGTCTACTTTTGAAGACTTGCGCTCAGATTGTAGTCGAGAAAAAAGCGTTTGTAGCGTCTTTGAAGCGCAATGACTTGAATAAAAGACAGACTTTGGAAAAATGTTCTGTTATCTAGAGTCAGAAAGATTGGAAACCATCCTTAGAATTTTCTAACAAAATCTCCACTAACGAAAAAAAAGTCCATCTCGTTAGATAGTCGAGTCTGAACTATGATTAAAAAAAATTTTTTTTCAAGACAAATTCGAAAAAAAGTGCAGTCGGATAAGTACAACTTTGAAAAATCTCATAGAGCAAAAACCTGATTTGCGATTCAGAAGCAGGACTTCAAGCCAGGATGAGGAGATCTTCAGGAGAAGAGTTCAAGATGAGTCCCAACGAACACTCGCCGAAAACCGAACGCGTATATGCAAATGAATATTTTGCGCGCGGCGCGCAATTGTCGCCTGCCAATATGCCTGCAACCAACCAACCAGCATACACTTTTCGGAGCGAGGCACAACGGCTGGTACGGACCACAACAACAATCACTGCGAGCCACCCAGCTAGCTCTCCGGAGGTCTCCAATGAATGCCCTTTGATTGTTTTTGACCTTGCGATGAGCTTGCGCAAAAACGCCCTACGGTAGCTTGTACTTTTTCTCCGAGTCTCGAAAAAAAGGAAAAAAAAATGTTGAAAAAAGTTGAAAAGAATGTTTGAACAGGGAAAAAATTAGCAAAAAGTTCATTTCTTCCTTATTTTCAAAGTTTCAGAAGCGGGAAAAAATTTGTCTGCAGAGCGGAAAATTTTTTAAAAAATCTTCGATGTCCATTAGGACTGTGAAGTTCATCTTTCGAAGTTATTTGATCACTTTTTTCAAATTCGGACTCAAAAAAAACACGACTTTTTAATTCCCTAGAAATGTGAAAACTAACCTCGTGAGCAGAAAAATACTGTTTCGAACTTGATTTTTTGATTATCGCAAAAAAAATGTTAGAAAAAAGGCAGGATTACAAAAACACCTCGCCTTATATATCAATATTATCAGAAAAATTTTTTTAAGCTTCTTGTGGTTTGAATAAGAAACGTAAAAATAATGAACACATTTCCAGCGAACCATCAAAAATTAACTTCTCTGAATATTTTTTTGAATTTTGCCTGAAAAAAACAATACACTACGTGTACTTTTGGATTTGAAATTGTCGCCTTGGCAGAAATTAATTTCGTTTGTGCTGATTAAATTATTTTTTCTCGCAATTAATTCGTCTTTCGCTGAATACGTTTAACATTGTTATTGGTCAATTAATCAAGAAAATCTCTACTCCGCGCCAAAAACGAATCTTGAGAATTTCAAACATAAAAAAACGCAGAAAAGATGTTTTTCAAGCTACTTCTAGCGGTTCAATGAAAGCGAGAAGAAGCAATTATTATATCAGCTTCTCGGAAAATAAAAGAAGGACGAATCCTGTCTCTAAGTCTCATGGTTTTGATCAGCTGCAAAGGGAACGGTACCTTAATCCAGAGATAATTGGTTTGACCTGGTGATGCACGAACAGGTGAAAAGCTGGCGCGGTTTCACAAAAGATTGGATGGATTTTGCTCAGAAAGCTAATCACTTTGTCCTCATTAACCTCTTTAACACATCGAAAGTTAATGTTATCCATTCGAGGATTTCAAATTCTTTTTCCTGTTACCGACTATATCGAAAACCAATAATGAATCAAGCTCAGTGAATCAAACAAGAGTTTTCTTCATTATTTCCATCTTCTTTTGAAGAAAAAAAATGATTGGTAATACAGACGCATAGTCAAGAAAAAGGCGGAAACATATAAAAAGCGACAAAAGTCAATGATCCACTTACGATGAGAAAAAAACTTGCCAAAAAACTGAAATTTTGATAACGGTTGGTTGGATTCTCAGTTTTTCTCTCTTTAAGAATGGTGTTTTGACCCTTTTTTTGGAAAAAAAAATGTTCCTGACTTTTTCATTATTTTGGTTGCCCATGAATCAGATGCCTTCTTAGAATGGACTTTGCGGGAAAATTAGGTCTTGCAGAAAAGTCACAAAACGACTTCGAAGACAATAAAGCAACTTTTTGGGCATTTTTTGTTGTTGGTTGAGATGAGTGAACCAAAGAGAAGAAAAGGCAGAAAAAAATTATAAAAAAATTTGGGCGCGTTGAAACGTCCTTCAGTGTTTTTCTTCTCTTTTTTGCGAGTGCGCCATCGGATACGCAAAGAACCAAGGTCAAATGGCAAGATGGACAGGTTAGTGCCACCAAATCCCAAAAAAACGCAATAACGACAACCGTGTGGTCGCGAAAACTTTTGGGCCAGAAAAAGTCATTTAGATCGAAATTTTCTGTTTTGATGTAATCATAGGATACTTTTCCATCCTTCGATGTGGAGGTAAAAATCCTCTCATTGAAATTGATTATGCTTTTTTATTGAATACATTTCCTTGATCACATGGTTATTCGGAATAGTGGAATATTAAAAAAAGTGAGGTTTTCAAGCAAAAAACATCCGAGTTTATCTGAACCGTCTGAATTTTCGAGAAGCACAAAAATTAAGAATTAAACCAACACAAAAAAAAAACAGATTGATAATTTTGAGTAATTTTGCTTGTACTATTTCCAACAAAAAATTTAGAAAACGACGTTTAAAAAAGAAAGAAGGGCCATGATAAAAACAGTTTTGTGCAATAATTTGACGCTGCGGCATTTCATATTACAGTAAGACAGTTAAGTAGAGTAAATTATTTTTAGAACTTATTTGGAACTTCTTTTTGGAACATTCCAATTCTCGAAACATTTTTGAGCGTGATATCCCTTTTTTCATAAGTTCGCTGTCATTGTTCGGGTATTTTTCTGGTTCTGTTTGGTATCATCTATTTTTTATTGTTAGCAGTTTTTCAATCGAAAGCAAGTTCCAATTCACTTTTTCATTTGAAATAGTCCAACTATATTGTTTTGTATCGAAGGAAACCTGTAAATGAGGAAATGAAAACTGGCAGGAGTAAAAAAACATCGAAGAGTTTGAAAACTTCAAGGTCGCTTCGCGGCGTTCGCCTTTCATTGTCTAATCGGTTTCAATCTGAAACTTTGTTGGCAATAACCCAGCTGGTGGTCCGCCGCTTTTTTTTTACTCATTTTCTGTTCCTTTTTTGATCTGGCGACTTTTTGTTGTTTATGCGTTGCGAGTTGCGATGACCTTCGAAAAGATACTCATTCTCCGTCTTTTCAGGCGTTCCGTTGGCGATTATGACCGCCACGCATTGTTGCCTTTTGAGGACAAAAAAGTTGTTTATGCAGTCCGAATGCAGGTTTTCCGGGAAATAGGTTATCGAATGACGATTACATCGGTTTTGGAAATTTTTTTGATTTTTCAGAGAGTTTAAATTAGATTTCCTATTTGTAAAACCAAGAAGACAATTATAAAATTCCTGTAGAATTTCTTACATAATACAAATCGAATCTATCAAAAAAATCTAGTCTAGGAGAAAAGATCGAATCATCGAAAAAAATTTGAAAACAGAAATATCGATATATTTTTTTTGATTTATTTTTGATTTTTTCCAGATTTTTTTTGAGTTTTTAGGTCAAGTAATTATTTTGATCCATATCTGTGAGCCGTTTTCTAGGAACTCGTTTCAATACGTTCTTCTTATAACTTTGATGTCTGAAGATTTTGTGAAGAAAGGTTTCATGCTGCTTTTTTGCCGTATGAAGTTTTTTATCTCAGTTTTATACCTGAGCTCGTTTTTTTTGAGGCCAGAACTCAGAATCTCTTGCGTTTTGCGAGGAAAAAGCAAAAAAGTATAGTTTTTTCGGTTTTTTTCGTCTTTGCATTTTTTTAACTTATCTGCGTTTTTTTCTAATTGTTAATACTTTCAATTAATTTCCTAATAACAGGAATTTTTTTAGAAGTTTCATTATGAAAAAAAGCAGCCTCAATATCCTTCAGAAAGATTTTATAGTCATTTTTTCATTTTTTAAAACTAGCCCAAGTTCTTCAAAGCTGCATATTCCGATTTTTAGTCAAAAATGAAACAGGCAAAGATAAACCTTTTCTGATTTTTTGTGATGTCAGTGTGATAAAAAAGTTCTTTGTCTTGGTTTCTATCTTTGTTGCATTTTTTGAAAAAATGGCTCCACACTGCTTATCAGTCGATAGTTTTCGGTTGTTGATGGCAGATTTCCTTACCGTAGCCCAGCTCCGTATTAGCAGGTGCACACTTGATAAGCAATAGACGACGTGGACAAAACCTCGCAAAACTCCTCGATAACGTCCATAACAAGGGCAAAAAGAGGGTTTCGCGGCGGTCACTCTGAAGGCGGAGACGACGACGGCTGTCCACTGGGGAAGTGCAGTCGGGGCGTCGGTGCCAGGCACCCCTGAACGTCTTTTCTACCTTTCTCTTCTGTTCGTATCGTTGTTGTGTTGGTCAGCCGCGGCGAGAGGATCCACTGACCAGCGGAGACGCAGACACTCCACTGACCAACCAAACCCAAAACCAACGCGAAAGAGCTGCCAGCCGGAAAGAACGGCAAAACACCACGAATACGCAAAAACACTGGTTAGGGATCAAAAAAATCCGAGTCGAAAAAAAAAAGACTCAATCCAAAAAATCATCCCAAACTTCGAAAAATGTGTGTTCCTTTTTTTTCAGTGTAAAAAAAACTTGAATGCGAAAAAAAAAATTTTTTTTTACTCAAAATTCATATCTTGACCAATTTACAATCCTGTCGAGGTTTTGGTAAGATATCGGACAAAGTTTTCTAAGCTTTTTTTATGTCATAAAAACCCAAAACGGATTTTTTTTTTTTTTTTAGCTGCTTGAATTGAAAGAAAGCTTCTGACAGAACCGGAGAAAAGTCTTTTCTCAGTTTGTGGTCAAATGAGCTGGTTTTTCTACAACTTCGAGAACCGTCCAAAAATTTGCAATTATTGAAAAAAACCTCATAGCTTCAATAATTGATTTTTGAAAAACTTTGAAACACGCTTTTTTTCAAGAATTAATAAACTTTATTATCATAAGACTGGAAGAGATGACAAAATTTGAATCATAGACATTTAAGGGGTTTTTTTCTGAGATTAAAAAAAATCAAAAAACATATCTTTGCTCATGTTTTTCTTTTGTTTTTCGAAGTTTCGAGAGTTCAAGTAACATTTTTTTCCTTATTCTTGCAGTCATAAAAAACTGTCAGTTATAGAATTTTCGAAAAATTAGCTGTGAAAATTAGGCGATTTTTTTCAAAGTTGAAACTCTCTCAAAAGATTTTTGAAGTTAGAAAATTCAATTTTCAAACAGCATTTTATCCAAGTTCCATGTTAAATTGTCATTTTTCTGCTTTTTCTGCACCCTTCACAAAAAAACCACATTTTTTTATCGATATTATTGAATAATAGAGAAAAATATTCGACAAGCTCTTGTCTCAAGAGGTTGTTCATCATAGGCCGGCATTAATTAATATCTGATCAGATAATGCATCTGGCTGGCCTTGAGCCAATTTTTATCGCGCCTCGCGGGCATAATTCATAAGCCGTCGGATCGAGCAAACGGAACGGTGGGCGTGGCTTCTGAGGACACCAACCCGAACAACAACATATACGCATACAGAGAAACACAAAAAATCAATGAGCAGCCACCTTAGTGCGGAGAGATAAGCCCTGCGGCAGGACTGCGTAAACAACCGCGTAGAGGCTGGCACGGGCCGGCGCGTCGGTCACTCTCGACGCTCCCGAGTGACCATCAGCTGTGTCGAGACCCAGAGAAACGTCCTTTTGCCAACGGCTGCTTTTCGATTGGCAAAAGCGACAAACAAAACGAACACCCGTTCGCTTTCTCTCCTTGGGGGCTTGCAAAAACCAATCCAACAAAAAATGTCTAATCTGAAAAAAAAATCAAAAAATACATTGTTCAACGACAAAAAATGCGAAAATAACATACTATATTTTTTTGTTTTCTATTATGGAAAAAAAAAGACCCAGAAAACTTATCCGAGAAGCTCCCTGTTGAAATTCATCCGTTCAAGCAGTTTCCTTGGAAAAACATACAGCTGAGAAATTCGGAAGAAAAACCATAATTTAAAACATTTTTTTGTAAGAGAGCTTCTGCGAACAGAAAAAAAATTATAACGGTAAAAATCTAGAATTAAAACAAATCTATGAAAAAATCTTTTTCCAAAGCAGACCTAAGAGTTAATACACAAATAATGACTTCCATAAACCAGAATAAAACCTTATTCGAAGTGTCATGGTTTTCAAACGGAGAATTTTTCGGAAAGAGGCGGAGCAAGTGTGAAAAAAAAAACTTGGCTGCAGGGAACGCCCCTTTGAACTGAAAGTTTTGAGAAAAAGAGTTTTTTTTTCTGATAGCTCGAGAAAAACGGAAACTAGATCTGAATTTCTTCATGATAATGAGGAGCACAATGTCAATTTCTGAAGCTCTTCAGAAAGCTCTTGAGGAGTTTTTCTAGCCACCAAAATTTGAAGATACTTTACTTTTTTGACGTGAAAAGAACAAAAAGGGGAAGTTGATAAAACTCCGTACAGGTGTAATAAAGACACATAATGTCTAAAGTGCATGGAAAAATCGCCTCCAAAACCTTCATTTTTTCACTTTTTGTACAGAGAGAACTTATAATTACTCTAAACTGACATTCACGGAAAAAAACGGTTTTTTTAAAAAAATATTTTTTTCAATTGAAGTGACCAAGAGTACATGTGCACAAATTTCCACCATTCACACCATTTTTTTCCTTCCTAAGTGAATTACGGTTGGAGTGAGATGGAACTTTTGATTTTTGCAAAATTTCTAGTCCTCTAAACTGCACACAAACGGTGGAATATTATTTTACTAATCTTTCTATAAAGTATTGTTAGTTATTCGCAAAAGAAAATTTCGTTTTCTGAACAGTTAAAGCTATTCAAAAATTTCTCACAAAGGAGAACTCCATAAACGGCACAAAAGACTCACGAAATTCAGGAAAATATAAAAAGGAGAATGTATTCTGTGAGTTACATTGCTACTCAGAATGATTTCTTCCTATTTCTTGTTCCTGTTGCCTCTCGGAGTCTTCTCAGCACCTTCCAACATTTGGTTGAACCATGGGATTTGGTCTCTCAAGGAGGTAAGTTTTTGAGTGTAAACAATCTAAGGCAAGTGTTTCAAAAAAGTGAAAAAAATTTAATGAAAGAAATTTTTTTGCCTATTCCCTCACATGTTCTTTTGATCAGATCTGGCATATGGTAATTTCATCTAAAAACCTTAGATTTTTGTTGAAAGTAGACCAAAAAAATGCTTCAATAGTTTGTAGAAATTTGAAAATTACAAAGTGAGCAGTTTCTTTTCATATATGGAGATTTTTCTCAGAGATTTTTTATTTTATCTATGTTTGCAGTTTCCGCCAATTTCTTTCAAACTCTCTTTGCGGGTAGAAGTTCTCGATTTTTTTCACCATTGGATAGTTTTCATTATGAGGCATCCAACTTAATTTGGAAACTTTCAGAAGTTCGAATCGAAATAACCATTTCAACGATAAAAAAATTCAAACTTTCAAACATTTTTTTCATTTTTTTAAAACGGTACATTAAGGATGAAAATTGGGCTACACTCTCCTTTAATTTCGGAGGTGCGACGTCAACTTCTGACGGCTTCGACACAACAACGCCAAGCTACAACGATATCTGGACGGTTTGGTAGAAAATAGTTATAAAATACAAGTTCAATTACAGTCAACATACCCGCCCAACCCTTGCTATCCAAAGGCGGAAGGCTCTCATGGTGTGTTTCAAATATTGTTCTCTGGTCATGAAATTATCACAGCTGTCATGCTTCACAAAACGATAATTTTTAGAATTGAAACTGGAAAATCCTTCTTCAAAATCAGAAGCCGTGAAGGAGCCTGTGACAAGTTGGAATCTCGAATCACTCCTTCCATTCTTCTGGTTGTAAATTATTCCGAGTAAGAACTTTTTGATGATTTTTTTGCATAATTATTCGTATTTTCAGTTCGAGTAGCGTTTGTCTGAATTTTCAAGCGTTGGGGTCAGAGGAACAATGAAAATGAAGATTTAAATGTTTTTTTTTTTTCAAACAAAATAAAATGCATAGCCAATGCTCAATCTGTTGAATTTTGGTTTTTATCTGACAATCTTGTTTCAAAAGAAATGAAAAGGAAAGCTATAGAGATTCAAATATCAGCAGCCGTCTTAGAACAGGAAAGTATATTTAATAAGTTGCTGGCATGAGACAAAAATCAATTCATTCTGGCGATTTTTGAAACCATAAGAGTGACTGACAAGGAAAGTCTGAGAGATGAAAATCTGATTGCAGATCTCGTCCAATTCTCTGTGTCAGGTAGTCCTAGGTGTGAACACTGGAAGACAAAAATATTTGTCTACTAAGGGTCCGGAGAAAAATCCCGTCGACAATGTACCGGTCAATCTCAAAAACATTTGCCGCCAGAATATTCCGATTGACGGCGACCGCTGACTTTTCAGAACGAAAAAGAGAAAAACTAAAGAGCTAATGTAGTTTTGTTCTGGCTCCCGAGAAAAGCTTTTATCATGGATAAATGGGATTGATCTATTCTGCTTTTTTGTAGATATAAGGAGAAGAAATGTTTAATGATTCATTGCGATCCCAGCTTTCGAAAAACAACTGAAAAAATTATAGACCAACCCAAAATAAGCCCCAAATTTATTTCAGTCAAAATATTGAAAATACACTTGAAAAGGAAATTAACGGTGCTGGAAAGAAAAGAAACTAGGAATCGAAAATATCGACATGCGTCATAGAAGATGTTTGAAAAAAAAGCGCCACGACTACGGGTCGAAAGGTTTCGCAGCGCACAAATCGCACATTTTTTGTCTCAAACCAGCCACGAATATCCTCTACCAGCGGAGCGTCTCCTGTGTTGGCGCCAAAAAAGACCTCACGCAGTTTCGAAAAGCGTTTATAACCGTTTTTAAATTAAAGTTCGTTTTTCGTGTCTTTTTTTGATATTTGCCGAGTGGATTTCGAACTTTCGTTGGGAAAGTACATCCATCTGCTCCTTTTTTCATCATTCGGTCCTCAGTTTCAGCCTCTTCCAAGTCGAAAAAACCATAAGAAAACAGACTTCCTACCGTAAAAAAATGAATTGTTTTTTTTTTCAATAAGGGTTTAGGATGAGCCCAAATAGTCTTTTAATTTGAAGTTTGAAGGTTTTTGCAGTTTTCTAGATGACTTCTATAATGACCCCACGAGTATCTCAAAATTTTAAGCATGTAAAAGTTCTCTTTTTGGAAGGAACAGGTAATAGTTCCAAAAAAATTCTCACTGTACCAAGTTTTAATGATTTTTTTCTCTTCGAAGGGTTCTTTCATGAAAATAATAAATTTTATCTGCTGGAAAAATTTTTTTGTCTTTTTATTCTTCCAATCAGAAATAATTACTCATTATTGATAGTACTATACAGCCAAATGAAATAGTTTTTCTGCTTTGTAGGCTGGAAAAATGCTCTCTTGACCAAGGTTGTAAGAATGTCATAGAAGAAATTACTGGCCAACCAGATAGCCGAGTAAATAGTTTGCGCGAGAATAAGAAGCTTTTGAGCATTTTTGCTGTTTATGTCCCAACATCTGTTTCAACCTGACCGCGGAGCCCAACTTATAACAAAGAAGCGGCGGGAATGGTCAAAAAAGTCGCGCACATTTGTAGAAAAGGCGGCGTCTTCCCACCATTTTGCGGAAACATAAGCTAATGGTACGGCACGATTCTTTCTCATTCCTTCGTCTGCAGCGGCAGCGCGAGGTTGGCTCTCCGACCTATTGTTCCTTTTTTTCCCGATCACATTCATCCAATTTTGGTTTTTCCTTTTTGAACGTCGTCTCTTTTCCGATTTTAGACGGAAAAGATCTTTTTAGAGTAGTTCCAAAAAATATTCCACTTTGCGCTTTTAGTGGGAAAATAACAGTCTCGGCATGTAAATTTAGACTCAAATGTCATGGACGCGTGAAAAAAGAACGTCTGAGTCACGTATTGTTTGCGCGCAAGTTTCTCGAAATTATTCGTCTATCTTTCTTTTTTTGATCCGTAAGTCTCAACAGTTTTGTTCCAGAGTATTTGTAATCTTGTTCCAGATCATTCTTTGTCGTAATCTTCGAGGAAATTCATATTCGAGCTTTTCTCATCTCAATTCCTTATTCATACCAATGGAAATACAATTTTGTTGTGAAATTTGATGAAAACTTTTGATGTACTGGGAATCAAAGTCTTTTTTAGAACACATTAGTAGCTTCAAAAATAATGTATATTTTCATTTTTATTTTCTAATTTCATTTCATTAGAGCTGATAGGGCTTTAATTTTAACAAATCAGTAAGAGAAAAACCTCCGCCTCCGAAATTTTAAGCTTGAATAACTCTGTTTTGCTCAATTTTTCAAGCTTTCTGATTATCGAGATCGAGAATGTTTCCAGCAACATGTCGTCGGAATGCGATAAAGGAAAGGTTGACGAGGAACTGCGCCGAGATGACTTCAATGAAGACCTCGCGCGTGGAGTCATTCTCTGGATGAAGGTATGTTTGAATCTTGCAGTCATGCCTCGATCCTGGAAATAACTTTCAGCGGATGACGGGTATTCCTTTCTCCGATAAGGGAACCAAGGAGTATTTCACGCATGTGATGAGCGATGGAGTCGTTTTCAGCTAGTGAGTTCACCATTTCGAAGAATCAAAAAACGGCCAGTTTTAGCCTGATCCATGAACTGGAGCCCGGAGCGATCCCACGAGAGAACCCGCCGTTTGAGTTCAGCGCGAGAAAGAACATCACTCAGTTTCTGGACTTTGTCAAGAAGCACTTGCCGGAGGAGTACCTCTTCAAGGTAATTGTTTTACAGACATGGACCTAGTATTAGAGCAATGAAAATCCATGGAAATTCTTAGATAGTTCGAGTTTGATGGTCCAATAAAAAAAAATTTCTGGGGCTTTTTTCTCTGAACATGGGCAAAAAAGAAAGGGCCCATAGAAGATCCAGAAAGTTATGAAATATGAATTTTTTGACTTTTTAACTTTCGAGAATCGTTTTTTTTGACACCCGCCAAAATAAGAATGTGCTTCCAGGTCTCGGACTTGAAGGAAGGAGCCGACCCCACGCCGGTGTTGATGTGCCTGAAGGAACTGGCGATCCAGAGCGAGAAGCTCTTCAACGTCGCTGACAAGGAGCTTCTCAAAGACATCCCGGCTCTCAATAACTAAATCCAAATCGAAAATGTTCTCGAATCAGCCAAAAACGTTGTGCCGGTGTTGTATATATTATTGTTGTGGTCGATCTCACCAATGAACGCTTTGTTGTCAATGACTCCTTCATCAAAAAGAGAAGTTTATAGCCCTCTCGAAAGGAAAGCTTGCAGATACAGCTTACAGTATTTGTCAGAACAACTTTCGAAGATTTTCAAAGGGATCCCAAATAGTAGTTGTTGGTTGAATTGCAATAAGGAAAATAGTTGAACCAACTTACGAAATATCGCATCTTACTGACAGATGGTTTTTCTAAGATGGATTTCGGACCAAAAATTACTCAAAAAACTCTGAAGGTTTGAAAGCTTTTTTAGATCATCAAAATACGATTGAGAACATTTGTAGAAAACATTAAAAAGGGACTGTAAACTTCTTCATCTTTGGAAATAAACCTTTTTTTGTTCTGTGCACTTTGAGGTGTTTCACGACTTGACAGGGTTTATATCATTTATTAAGAAAAATTGAACGGAAAACAACAAAAAAACTGGAAACAACAAAAAGGCAACTTCAACAACAACTGAAAAAAAGATTTCGATCGCTAATATATTCTCACATTTTTTACAAAAGGCGCACATGAACAGCGAACGTAAAATCTATCTGAGATCAAAAACTGGATTGTTTACAATCAACTTTGAAACATTATAATGAAGTTTGTTGCAAGAAAAAAAAAGTATAAGAAATGAGCTCGATTTTTTTGACTTTTTTTGATTACATCGATTCAGAGAAGATGGCCCCTCAAACGTCGCAATCCTGAAAAAAATTCTTTGTTCATGGCTTGAATTTTTTTAGCGAACAAATATGGAGTTCTATTTTTTTGACTCTTAATCGAAATTTGAAGACTTTCTAAGGTATATTTGATCCTTAGAGGCTAAGAAAAACCTTTAAAAAAAAGCCTTAGCTTACCTAAATTTTGCCTCTCTGGACTTCCTAAAAACAGTTACTCATGAAAAGCTCAGCATTTTATCTCAATTGCCAAAAATCTTCAGTTTGTGAATTAAAAACTCTTAAACGTTTTTGATTTTTCCACTATTCTCAAATTGAAAAAAAAACCCGCCTCATAATCGATTGCAGTATTTTCTGCAATTTTCTCTATCCTCGCGCTCCTCCTTCTAGGCTCGGAGCTAACCTCAGTGACGAAGAGTTCTGCCGCTTTTTTCTGGGCAGTTTTCATTTCTTTCTCCAAATTCTTGGCCATTATTTCGGCTTTGACTTTGGCACGTTGTCTTTGTTTCTCGAGACGTTCTTTCTTTTTCTCCAGCTTCTTTTGTAAACTAGCTTCGGTTTTGCTGAAATCAAAATTTTAAGGTCAAATTGCTTTAAGCTGAAGTCAGTTATTGCCGAATCGAAAGGCGGAATGGGTTGACTGGCAAGAGTGGAGCGTTGCGTTTGCGAGGCAATTTTTCGGCAGGGAAATCGAGTATTTGGTTGGATAGAATAAAAATATAAAATACCTCTTTTTTTCTACAGAAAACCTTTTTTTATTCTCTTATTTTTAAGGTTGATTATGACCTCGATTTTTCCGCCAAAAAGCCGCGGCTCAACACTTTGCCTTTGCTTTTTCAACTCAATTCGCCTTTTTAAACCAAAAAAACAGTTGATTATAACGGAAGAAATAAATTAATTTTGCGCTTTGAAACTTTTTCAAAATCCGTTTTAATGATTTATTTCTAAAATTTGCTCAATAAGCTTTTAATAAAACCAAATAATCAAAAAAAAACTCACGCCGCGTTTCTTTCGAGTTTTGCTTCCAATCTTTTCTTCTTATTCGCTTCTCGCTTTTTCTGAAATTATCCTTTGTTGTCTTCTAATTATGAAAAACATTTTTTTATATTTTCAAGTCTCTACTGATCCATTGTTGTTATAATATTTTTATCGTTTAAAACCTACAGTTTCAAATTTGAATAAAATCATTACACAATGATCAAGTTCACAGTGTTTATTAATTTCAAGACGCCTCTTCATGAAAATTAAAGAGTTATGAATGGTTAAGATGTCTTTACTTTAAACGATTTTTTTGTGAAAAAAAATTTGTTTGACTGCAAGTTTTCTATCTAAGAAAAGCTATTTCGACGTTTTTTAAGCGAAGGAAAGTTTTTGAGGGAAAACAATATAAACTCACCACTAGTCTCACTTGCCACGGCTGCATGGTGGGATTCTGAAAACACAGTTTTTGGCTTGAAATTGACTTCAGAAACGTGAAAAAATCCGGAAATTGAAAAAATACCTCGCGGCGGACTTCTTGCTGTTCTGCATCTTTTTTCTTGATTTCTTCCAGAGTTTCATCATTCATAATGGCAGGAGAATTCAGAGTCTGAAAAATTATCGAAGATAAAAAAAAAATAAAACAATCAGGAAAAAAACCTGGCTCATTCGCTCGTAATTCAGCCTGTACTCTCGTCTGTATTTTGATCGGTGCTCATCCACTGACCTAGACGGCATGAACTGATGCATCAAATTAAAATCGACTCCGGTCACTTGAATCAACTCTGCAACATATGCTCATAATGAAATAAGAATCGAATAAGCATACTAGAAGGGGTCTATTTTTTTGTGAAAACTTTGAAAAATATTTCCTGTTCAAATAACCGTTATCCTCGAACAAATCGAGTTCATAACCTTTGGAAAAAATGAAAACTTCGAAGTTACTATACACAGGGCTTATTTTTTCAATGGCCAGTTCCTTTTCCATCAAAAATACAATGGATTGTCCTTTGGCTACCACAATAAAATAGCACAATAACAATAAAATAGCGAGGTTTTTTTCATTTCCCGAATCAAAACAGAATGAGAAATTTTTTGTTCCATGAAATCATAATATTCGGAAATTCAAATAAATTTTTCCACCGTAGCCTAAAAAAATTGGAAAAATACCACCAGACTTAAATAACATTTTTAAATTTTGACTGAAAGCAGCTCACTGTAAAACAGTTCGGTGTCTTTTTCTTCCCACTTTCTGCCGTATTTTTTCTTGATTCCCACTCGGCGCATGGCAGCTTGGAGTGGATTGTACTGAAAATTTCAAAAATTACATAAAAATATGCATTTTTCTATTTTTCCAAAATCAAACGAAATATTGCAACTCAAAAAATAGTTTTAAAAATACTGACCACTGGATATTGCAGTGCTGGATCTAAAGGAACTCCTCGTTCGTCAGTTTCCGGAGGACCTTCGTCTTGGTCCGATTCCTGAACCGCTTGAATAATTCTTGAAAGTTGAAATTTGACAAGAATAAATCGAAACTCTTCATACCTCTTCAAGTGTGATGATCTCTTTTTTGATTTCACTGGTTTCTGGTTCAGGTTGAGGGGTCGGCTCTGGCGATTCACTGAAAGGAAATTTCTCTTAATATAAAACTTCAAGAAGAATTGGACAAGAAAACGAACATCGCACGACGTTTTTTCATCAAGTCTTTAAGCTTCGTTGTTGATGTATCCACAGGCTCCAACATGTTCTTTTTCTTTCCGTAATTGAAAGCAGAGGCGAGGGTTGCTGAAAATTAGAAAAACTGAAGTGTTGATAGTCTTATCGATTTTGATGAAGAATTCAAAAAAAAAATCAAATTAATAGAGTAATAGATAACTGTAAGTTGATCAAGACCAAATTATATATATATATATATATATATTTTTTTATAATTTCACTCAGAAATATCTCTAAACTTGAATAAACTTTTTTTAAAACTTCGAAAACTATAACTGATGGAAAATTAAAAAAAAGACACTCACAAGTTTCAGAAACTTGAATTTTCGATGTTGACTCGACACCTTCAGTGTTTTTCCGGAGGAGAGTATTGCAAAATGTCAGTTCCCAGGACGGAAGCAACGTTTTTCCATAAACCGAGCACTGAAAAATAAAGTTAACGTACATTATTTGCCATTTGATCAAAGTTTTTCAAATTTGTAATCATCTCGAAAAGTTCTCAACTACTCTTCAATTTATGCTAAAAAAAGAGAAGGAATCAAAGTTTCTGGCAGTATTTTTTTCACTGGAATTGATTGAGATATTTTTAAAAACATAAATTGATGCAAAAAGTTACAAAAGAGTAATTTTTTTCTTCTGGAAGAGTACAAATAAAAAAAATTAACCTCTTTTTTGCTAGATGCACGAGTGGAACGTCTTCTACAACTTCTTTCATATCTTCTTCGTAATCTTCAGTCTCTTCATCGTCTTCGTTTTCGATTTTATTCTCAAAATCGTTAAAGTCATGACTTTCGTTTTGGTCGAAGCCATCCATTTCCTCTTCTTTTAAGTGAGATTCCATTTTCTCTGAAATGAAAACTTATCAGTGTATAAAATAAGATCAAAACAAGGTAAAAGCTTTTTTCTACTCAGGAGAAACGTCCAATTACAAAAAGGTAAAAGTTGGAACAATATATAGAAAGGAAGAAGGCTACGTGAAAAAGTACAACAATAGTTGAAGAAAGTATGAACAAATTTAAATCAAAAACTTTCTTTTTTTTTTTTGAACAAAGCAAAAAGAAAGCGGCTCAGCGTTTTTGCAAACGGTGCGCGGTTTTCACGTTTCCCCTCTCTGCACCTTCACAGGTTATGGTGGGAGTATATACTTTGCTCTCACTATGTACCCGTGAAGAAATCGCTCGAAATGCTCACATTATTATTAATTCTCAACTAATTGAGAGAAATTAAATTAGGAATGTACATTCCAACTCAAATTAACATTTCAACACAAATACCATTGTGTTTAAAAAAACAAATAACTTAAAAAAATGCACATTTTACTCAAATACAAAATACTTTTTTTTTGCAAAATAGGCACACAATCTTTTTAAAAAAAGGCGATATATTGTTTTGGATTAAGTAATCAGAAGCAAGAATAAAAAAACCAAGAAAAATACTTTTTTTCAGAACACAGTTTTTTGCGACCATGGTTGACGGCTACTCTCCGGGAGCCTTCCGGCAAGCTCGCGCGTTGACTTTCCTGCCGAGTTCTCCCGTGAGCTTTCTGAGCTATCGAGGTATATTTCGGACACTGTTCAACGAGAAAAAAATTTTACAGAGAATTTCATTCTGACACAAAAGCTTTATACTCTTTAATGCAGAGGAATAAAAAATAGTAAAATTGAAGATCAATTTCTATGAACGGAAAGAAAACGGAAAAAATACATTCAAGAAAGAAAAAAAAAGTGGACCGGCAGCACTTAAAATAAGGAACGCACATTGTGTTGTTTATAAAATGTGTTCAATAAAAAAATTTGCACGTAATTTTTTTCATGATTTTTTTCAATTCAAAGTTGGAAGTTTCTACTCAGGAAAAGCGCCTTCAAGAACTGTTCTGTCACGATTCATTGCCGGTGAAATCGGGAAACTGTCCTTCTGAAAATGAAACTCTGTTAAGAAATTTCTTCGAAAAAACGTGCTGCAGAAAAGTTTCTGGAAAATTTCTTTGCTACATGCTGACGGACTCTTTTGGATAGATCCTTTTTCTTTTTAAGTTTTCGTATCTGGGTCTATGAAGAACTAAAAAAATTTCAACTTGATCTGCAAACAATATTAGCGGTGATTTTTTGATGATATGAGAAAAAGCCAGCGACGTTTTCCGATTTTTCATATTGCTAGGGAACTTACGGCGGCGTCCGACTATTTTCTTTCCGACCTTTTCCCTTGTAATTTTTTTGGTTTATAAAAAGATCTATTAACATTTTTTCTTTTTTTCTTTGAGTTTCAAGCATAAATCAACTACCTATTTTTATAAAAAAAGTTCAGAAAAAAAGAGATTTTTTTGAGAAAAAAAGGTCGGAAAAAGTCGGAAACTTGGCAGTCGAAATGCTCCCTAGCGACAAGGAAAAAAATCTGAGAAGCCGCAGTTTCGCTGGCTTTTTTTGTACTTTCTTTTTTTAATAACTGCTTAATCAAAAATGCTTTAAAAAGTTTTTTTATCTCTGAATACTGGCTTTTTTTGCTTGAAAAAAACTGAAATAAAAGAGTTTTTTTCTTGCCGAAGCTGGTGTATTCGTAAAATCGAGACTCTTGGTACAATTTTTTCTGTTCATTCTATTCAGTTCTCAGCTTTCAGAAAAAAAAAAACACTTTCAAAAGCAATTCTATCTTTTCACTGCACTTGTATGAAAAAGTTTTGTCGGTTCTTCAGATGATAATGTTTTTGGAGAAAAAAGATAGTCAAAAATTCACAAAATTTTCTCACAAGTTTTCCGTTTTTTTCTTCAAGTTCTTACTTCGAGAGCGATCAAAAGCTGAGTTTTCGTTCATCTCGAGGGTATATTGAGCTATGTCTTGCATATATAATATTTCGTCTTGTCATTTCGCTTTGAAATGTTTCTGCAAAATTGAGTCAGCACATTTCTACAATTCAAAATTATTTATAAATAAAAAAATAAGATAACTGGTAAGTCGTTTTTAACTTATACTGAAGCGTAAACGTTGTTATTGGAGTATTTCCATAGCCTTAATGATCTTTGAACAAAGTTCATTTTTGTTTATTTTTATAAGTGTTTATTACCGATTTTTTTCTCTGAAGGTCTCGAGGTTCAAAACTACCAAAAAAATCACGGTAAAAATTTTTTTCTGAGGGCTGGAAAAGTGGAATGTAGAGAGATAAGGTTTCATTTTTTTGTTATCTTTATTATCTATAAAATAACGGTTGAAATTCAGAAAATAGGCAATCTTCAATCAAAATAGACTTGATTAAAATTTTCCCTAAAAAGTGGTTCCCAGACTAAATGGTGCTTCTAAAAGTGACCAAGTGGCTTCTTGTCAAAATCTGTCTTGAAAATACGCACAAGGTTCATGAAATCATTATGATCTTAATCTTTTGAAGATCTGATCAAAAGACGGAAGCTTATTCAAGAAAAATACACTCTTCATTCCGCCGATACGATCCGCGAACTTCACTTTGCTGTCCCAATTTCAAGCAGGGAAGGAGAAGGTGAGTATCTTCCAAACCAGAAACTCAGGAACATTTCTCGGTCTTTTACGATTTCCCGTTTCATTGCGTTAAAGCATTAACCTCATATTTTTGTTTCATGTTTCTTCCCAACATTTTATGGTTTGAGAGTGAAGAACAGTTTCAGTGATGAGATAGCAAGTCTGAGGTGAGAAAAGATTAAATTTTCAGTTTTTCAAAACTTTGCAAAGTTTCAAATTGATAAGATGTCAAAAGGAATGGCCGACAAGCTAACAACTTTATATAGCGCATTATTTGCTTTTCATTATAAGGCTGCATATTTTGATCGAGTTCCAACCTTATCTTCGCTGTCAAACAAGTGTAGTCATCAAAACGTGTTAGCCAAAAACACGGTCAAGTAGTTATGGGTACCAACAAGGCCAAATAATTTAAGGTTTTTGAATTTTCGCGTGTTATAACTTGCTGGAGAAAAATTTGGAGTTAAAGCTTGGTTTTTTTTTCAAATATACACTGTTATTTTTTTGAAACTTTTCACACTACCCTCAGCTTTTTTTCAACTTTTTTTTTCTTGTGTAATCTCTTTCGAATTCGAGATGAATGTTGATCGGAGACTTTTCCACAGTGATTTTGTTTTTGATGCTTATTTGCGACATTTTGAGTTGACTGAACGGAAAATGAGAGAAACTTGATCAATCTCATGTCTCACCGTTTTTCTTGATATTTTTGTTTTCGGTTTCAAAAAATATAATTTTATTTGTTTTGTTTTTTTTACTTCAAAGAATCCGTTACATGTAATCTTTGTCAATGATTTGAAAATAAGCAAAAAAACCGAGGTAACTATCAGATTTCTGAAAAAAATATAAGCACAAAAAGTATCCCTTTTTATTTTTTTATAACTAAAAGAAATCCAAAAAAACCTTATCGAATTCTTCCAAATACCCATGTTCCCAATATTTCTGACTTGATAGAGTTAGAATCCATTAGTTGAAATGTGACGCTTACTGTTTACATTGTCTTTCTTGCAACTTTTGCAATGGATACATCTGTCCAAATATTTGAAACATTGATGGAATCCGGATATTTCCTGAATTTACAGTAGCTGGTTCTTTTCTTGGAAAAGTCTCTATCAAGTTCAGAAAAATGGTACAATTTTTTTGGGAGACTGCTTACCGTTCATCTTTAAAATTGACTTGCTGTTTTTGAAACTTTGTGGAACCACATACTATAACTTTTATCCCAAATTTTTTTTCTAATCAAAACGGATTAAAATCCTCCAGAACTTTTAAAAAATTGGGAGGCATTTCCTTCATTTTTGTGAATTCTTTTCACGTTCTCAGAAGAAATCCATTATTGCCTTTGAAATAGCTCTGTCAGCCATGACTTTTAACCGCGACTTTTTGAGCCATATTAAATGCGATAGTTTTATTTCAAAACAAGAATTAAAAGTAAAAAGTAATTACATCAAAAATAAATTATGACCCCATACCAGAAGAAAATCTTGGAAATTTTTCTCGAAATACAGTCTCAGCTGTAAATTAACAATCTTTTTTCAGTTTCGGTCATATCAGCAAAAAATGTTCTCGTTTCTGCGATCTCAAACAGGTATGTATCTTTTCATTAAACTTATATTTTTTTCTCCTTTCAGTAGCGTATCCATTTGAAAAAAACTGTTCATTATTATCGCCCTATGTACTTTCTTTCTACTCTATGGACTGAACTTCTTCGAAACTCCCATCAAGATGTACTACTCTTGGCTGCCTTCCGAAGAATTCATCAGCCTTCAACAGAAGAAGTTTTTCCGCGAAATCTACAGTGGATCTAGCAATTTCAATTTTTCGAACGTGTCTACTACACGAGCGCCAGAAATTGTCCAGCGTAATTTTTTTTTTCATCTTCAGCTGACTTTTTTTCTTTCAGCAAAAACTCGTAATCAGGCAGCACAGAAATTTTCGCCCTACGGGAACGAAAGTGCTCTGGAATACTACCGACACTATATGAATAGTTCTTTGCAAGCTTACGACAGTAAAAAGAAAGCCTATTATTTTTATGTGGAACCGGTGAGTCAAACAGTTTCTCTTTGAAATTCAAAAGACTATTTGCAGTATCGTCCCGCAGAAGACATAACATTGTTATCAGCTTTTGAGTTTCCCGATGAAATTCATATCGTACAGTCTTCAATCAACAACGAAGGGTTTTATTCAAAAAGGAACCGAAATTATAACTGATTTTTCCAGAGCCACAGTTTATTGTCGGTATTTTGACGAGTATTCGCAAGAAATCTCGACTCCGTTCAAGTCATTTTTCTACACCAAATACGTTGTATACTGCCCAAGGATCAAGGGAACTAAAAAAGTTTCTCTTTCTCATGAGGCAGACAGCGAGCCGGAAATTCCTATACCTATGGTCGATCGCACAAATCAAGGTTTTTAGACTTTTCTTTCGAATACTGTGATCTGCTTTCAGAACCGAAGCACTTTTTTGGGGTCTGCCTTTGTCCCGTTTATGGAAATGAGCCAAAATGGTTAATGCTCACAGAGCTCATTGAGCATTACAAAATGCAGGTATTTGTCTTCTACCTTTTCTCGAATCACAACTATCGCATGCGGCGTGTGCGCGTCTTGATATACCATCACGCTTGATTTTTCGGTTTCCTCGAGCGCAAGTTGTTTAAAGTCGGGCGCTGCTAAGCGTCAAGCAATGTTCAAATTTAAGCGAAAGATCAAGATGGAATTTCCTTGATAAAATTACACAGGGTGCGACGCATTTCTACATTTACATAAGGCACATGGCTCACTATGACAAGCATATTTTGAACGATTATGTTCGAACTGGAGAAGTCGAGGTATAGCTTCTTACTTTTCGAAATTCTTAAAATGCTTCAGGTGGTCACCTTGTTAGAACGACACTGGAGGATAGGCGATTATTGGCAACACATTGGAATACAAGTAAATATTTCGAGAACTTCAATAGTTGGGACTGGAATCTTTCAGGATTGCATGCTTAGAAGTCGTGGCTTTTCGAAATGGAACGCTTTTGCAGATGTTGACGAGAGACTCACAGCTTTGAACGGCACGATTCTTCAATATTTGAAGTGATGGATTGAATTTCTTTCAGTCCAAAAAATTCCGATGAAAAACCGAAAAACTTTGGGATGCAGAAAAAACCGTTCATTTTGATGACGCCTAGAAAAAAACTTTGCAATTGAAAGACGATTTTCCCTACTGAAAGCTCCGAAGTACGGCCACTTTTGAAAACCGTCTTTTTTTTGAAAAGGCTTTTGCAATAGCTCCTGATAGCGCATCTAGACCTGAAAGAACATTGGAATAAGTTTCTGCTTCGAAAACTTCTTGAGATACTGCTTTCTCAGAAAACAGCAGAAATATTTTCTCACTTGAACAGGCTTTGCTTTTTTGACTTTTTCTCTTTTTTTTCAACATTTTTCGCTTTTTTAATTTTTGTATTTTCAGAAATATCAAAGATCCCCTGCTTGCAAGTGTAGTATTCCGCCAAAGATGGATTCTGAAAAAAACGAATCCATGCCAACGTATTATACAGATGACCGTCAGGTACTTTCTTATATTTTTTATTATTTATTGCCCCAAATAAGGTGATTGATTGGATGCCTACGAATAGATATCACAACACTTCGAGCGTCGGTGCTTATGGACATACTACGAAATGCATCGTTGACACTCAGAAGGTAGGCTTCAAGTTATCATTGTTTCTCTTACGTTACCATCTAAGTATCTAAGTAAGTATCTCTTACGTTTTTGAGAATTTCCTTTGTTTTACTATGGTTCCTAGCAAATAATTTATTTCAGTCCTTTCTAGAAAATCTTGAAACAGAAAATTTTTCAAAAATTCTGAATAATGTAGGAGATCTACAAAGAGAGTTGATCCATATCAATGTTTTCTGATTTCAGTTAAAGACAGCAGAAAAGCTCTTTTCTGCTAAAAAAGAAATATTATAGGCTTTGATCATGGGGGTCCACTACGTTCTGCTATACCATCCTGGCTACTACCAGAAATACATTGAAGCAGACGAAGGCGTCGTTAGGTAGCCTTGAGAACCCAAACAAGTTTATTAATATTTTTGAGGCACTACCGGGACGTAAATATGAGCGATTGGGGAACGCGATGGTTGAAATCCGTGGAGGCGATGGGCAATTTCTCAATGACCAATTATCCCGAAAATCTTCAGAAAGAGCTCACTTCTCGAGTTGTTTCCAGGATACGATACGTTTATAAAACAGATCATCTCAATGAAACAAAACTATCAAGGTAATCCAAATCAAATTGTATAAAAATGGGTTCTAGTCTTCATTTCCGTGTCGTATAATGTCATTCTCACACCAAAAATAGATTATTTTGCATTCATCGTTCAACGTGTATTGTTTAATTATGATAAATTCATTTATTTTGATTTTTTCAATAAATAAATCATAAGCAATAAACACTTTATTCGGGTTTTCACTGGGATTTGGTTGACTCATATGGCAACTAATAGGCACAAAAAGCCGATGAATGACAGAGAAGTGGAAAAATGCTGAAAGAAAGAATGACCAGTTTGAAAAAGAATATCACATATGGCAAGGCACCAGTGCGATCAGAAGAATTTCCCATATGTACAAAGAAAAACGCTAATAGTCTAACTAACATTATTTCAACTTATTCGTCTTTGGGTGGATTTGGTTCGGCAGGCGCGTATTGGCTCAGCTCCTTCAGAAGGTCATCGATGCTGTTGTCCTGAAAGAAAATGAGTTTATAAGGTGTAGAAAAGCGCTGATCAAATTTTGTACCTCTCAAAATTAAAAAAACACTTCAGCTAACCAAAAAAGCTACATGGTAAGAAAATCGTTTGCTTTTCTATTTGATACAGACTTTCAAAAGAAAACTCACGTCAATAACAATAAAACGCTTTTTTTCACGCGAGAATATGTAGACTTCGCCTTTGTAAATGTCGAACCACATGCCATGAACAAACAATTTCTCTGAAATAAATTCTTTGAGCTCATCAAAAAGATCGATAGAATTACTTTTTTCAAAATGTTCACTCAGAAAAGAGTGCGAAGCAATGTTAACGAGTTGTTGTAGAACATTCACCTGAAAATAAAGTTTTCATGAAAGTTGAAAAAAACTTTATAGAGAGTTTCTAATTTTCTTGAGAACAAGCCGATCTACACAAATCAAACTTTCAGGTGTCAGTAATCAATAAACCCTTTATACGAATCGTTATTTGATGGCATATAAAATACGTTTGAAAAATATATTTATTGTGGTCTGTACAGGGTGATCTCAGATAAATATCAAACATTTTTGTTGAAGACTATTGCTTATTTTCGAAAAAAAAAGTCAATCACAAACCTGAGAGAGTTTGTCTTCAACCGGCAAACGATCCATCGGATCGATAATTGCTTCAAAAGATTGATTCGGAGACATTTCGCAGTTGAAAGTCATTTTAGCAGCCCCTTTATGTAGGCGTTCGTTTAACCTGCAACACTCTCTTCTAGAATTTTGATCCTCAAAACTATTAATTTCAGCTGAAAGAGCTGTTTGAAGTTTTTCAGTGCACATCGTTCAATTTTCAAAATGTCTTTGTACAATTTTCTAACCAGAAGCATCCAATTGCATGATATGCCACTAACTTCGACTTGAAAACTTCTCAAATAATTAAAGTTGTATAATCATAAAGGAAAGCTCCAAGCTCACTTTTTGATAGATTGATAGCCGTTATTCCTAACCCATTGGTCCATTGGAGAGGAAACGTCAAAGTTTTTTGGACACTGATGAAGCCCATAAAGTGTATTGATAGCCTGAAACGCTTTTTTCCCATCACATCGAAAAAAAAGTCCAAAAAATACCTTGCAATCGCTGTGCCCACAGACGACAATATGATTGATCCCGCCTCGCTTCACAGCCAATTCTAATGCTGCGGGCTCTGTTGTAACAGAAACTTCAGAGGAAAATCCTGAGAAATTATTGGGAGTAGATGTCAAAAACGGAAAAATGAGTACCGTAGTTAGGAGCTTCAGGAATCATATTGCCGGCGTTTCTGACGACGAACATATCTCCGACTTTTGACTGAGTGAATCGAGTCGGCAGCATTCTAGAATCCATGCAGGTGAACATCACAGCTGTTGGCTGAAAATTCGGAAGCAATTCTCAAAAAGTTCTATTTCAAGTAATTGCAGTTTCTGAATCATTGTTTCTTTTTTTTTGGTGAAGTTTAATGTGAAAAAAACCTTTGGGTTATTGCGAACTTCTTCAAATTGAGCGACAAGATCTTTCTTTACTGTTTGGCGGTATTTAACCACACCTCTTAATATTTTGTCCATCTGAAAATCGGAAAAAAATTGTATAATCGTATAATCGTGGAAAAATTGTAAATATTTCAACAGTAATTAAATGATAAAACTATAATCACAAAAAAAGAGAAATTGAGCTTTACTCAAAATAAAAGCCCTCATGGAAAGGGCAGCGCGCTTTCTTCCATGTTGTGAGAAAAGCGTGCACGCTTTGCATATTCACCGTAAATTGTTTTGCAGAAATACTTCTTGTTTCTTCCAAGCGGAGATCCATTCGAAGACTGTGATGTTTTCAGAAAAAAGTATTGAAATTGGATCGAATTTTAGAAAAAGTAGAAAGTAAAGAGCTAATTCATTGAAGTGAGTCGGGCGAACAGTAGCTTCTTTTTCATGCCAGGTTAAATATCAACTTTCTGTTGGGATGTTAGTGAGGCAAAATGTATGTTACATTTTTTCCTTGCTTCGACCCGTTAGCTGATCTTTCTTCGAGTTGAGGATGAGACATTGATTGCACTTGTTCCTTAAACGTTACAGAAATATTTTTTTAGCGAAAATCGAAAACTTTTCCGTACTTGAAGTCTCGCTTTTTGAAGTATAGTAATGACTGAGGTTGAAACTCCTGAGGGTGGGAGTTTTTCAAAAAATCGTTTACAAAAATTTATGTTTGTCGTGGATTAGGGATTTCACAAAATGTGTCCAAAAAAGCTTTGGATTTCTAAAATCGTAAATCGGCAAACATCTTTTTCTGAGAAAAAAATTTTAAAGTTTCGGAGTATCTATTGAGAGCTATAAGAACAGTTTTTCTTGAGATTTCAGCTTTTTTTATCATGAAAATTGCGTAGGTTGAGTCTTTCAACTATTTTTTATCTGGTACATCAACAAACCGTCTGGCCAGTTTAACAAAATTTCCTAAAACTGCGGCTAAAAGCTTTCTAGGCTAGAAGATTTCTATTTCAAAACGAAACTTTTTGTCTTCGCTTCGTAGATGGATTTCGGATAGAACTGAACTATTTTACCTTAATTTTGAAACCCTTGAGAACTTTTTCTCAAACCGTGCCTTCTCAGAACAATTTGAAACCTGAAATTGTTTGTGAGGGGTTTTTCGAAGATATCGGTCACAATGTCCTAATTGGGCCCGCAATCCCAGGACACTACCACACATCTAGTGCGTGATTGTCACTGATATCTCCATCAAACGGCGTCATCGACGTCAGGAATCAAGAGAAGTTGCGAGTGTCTCAGAGGCCGCACGCCGAGTCGGAAAAGGGAAATCGGCTGGTGGACGAGAGGCATGCGCCCTTGGCTTTCGGGCTGCAAGACGATTCGAATGTGGGTCAGTGCCTCCGGTGTGGCCGTCGCTCGGCTATCACAACCGTCTTTTTCTTGTCTCGACCCGAGGTTCTCTTTCGGACTAAAAACATTGCTCTCAATCTTCCTACTTCTTCGACTTCACGCCTCCGATGAAGATTCGATCCTGGAAAAAAGATTGATCTCGATCTCCCACGTTGGATCCGTGCATCGTCATTATTTTTTTTCCCCATGCGAAAATTTTTTTCTCTTAGTCGGAGAAAGCAAGTCGGGAAAGCTTCTAGCCTGTCTGAAGGAATATTTCCAATTTTACTCTTGTTTCTGGGTTTATGTTTCAATCGTCTTTTATAACGCATTTCTAACCGTTCTATCAAAAAATTTCATGATAAACTCCTCGAAGGACTGCGTCAGTTGTCAGAAATCAAGCAAATATTAAAATTTTTCAAATTGGCGCAAAAAGACTTCAACACTTCTACTTTGTTTATTAATATGGCTACACTAATTACTTTTTTCCATCTGTGATTTTTGCTTCTTTGTCACAAATTTGTTGATAGAGAGAATTCAATTTTTTCTCCTTCGATAAACTTTCTTTTACTCCTTGAAAACCCGGCAGCTTTGAATATTCGTTTACAGAGAACGTCTTTTTTCCGACCTGATAGTTTCGGTAATCGACTTTTTTTCTTCATAGGGCCATGCCCTCCACACTTTCCAGTTATGGAAGGAAATTCGAAGATTATATGGTACAGGTAAGCAGTTCCCACAGCCCTTATTGAAGTATTAATGGAGAAATGTTTAGTCTTTCTACAACTACGGGTTATTTATCGCGAAACATCAATGGTGGTTCTTGATAGGACCCCTTGTCGCTACTGTTCTCTGCATTCCGGGTCTTTTCTTCCTTCAGATCAATTTGGATCTCTATCGTCTTTTTGTGCCTCTTGATGCGCCGGTACGTTACTTTGACTTATGAAGCTTGATCTTTGAGGCTCTCGTTGAAAATGTAAGAGAAAACTCCAAAAAGGCCCTCTGATTCCATTCGATAAAGAAATCATTTTAAAAAACAAGGGTAGAGTGCCTAAAAATTTGGAAAACTGATTTATTTAATCTCACATTTTCCAGGTGCGGTACGAGTTTGAAAGAACTCAGGAGTTCAACAGACTTCCGGCAGGAAACCTAGATGCGATCAGAGCTCGTTTCCGAAGAGACTTCGAATGTGTCGAGGAAGATTGCGGCTTCCCGGCCGACGTCGAAATGGATCGACTGAAACGAAACCTCTTGCTGCTGCAAGAAGACATGGTCGAGAACAACTCAACTCTCAGAGCTAAAAGAGACGCCAAGAAAATGGACGATCAGAAGCAGATGGTTGCCAAAAGGAAGCTGAGTGAGTTGAACGCCCAAAACGGAACAAAATTTTAAGTATTTTCAAAGTTCTCTCTGTCATTTTGTTCCAACATTTTAATTTACATTTAATATGACGTTTCTGAAAAATACCGAAAATTCTCGGCCGATGAAAGAGTGATATTTTTCACGGAGAACTAACATTGACCCATATTGCGAGAAAAATAACGCGGTCAGTCTTTCGGCCAACGACGTTTGGACTGATGGATTTTGAACGTCATACCAATCCATTTTTGATTGCACTACTCTCTCAGATTGGGAGAAAGATCCACAAAAGATTTTAGGACTTATCATTAAGTAGTAAGAAAAGATTAACACAACTTTGAAAGCAACTTTCCGGGTATCTTGTATGATATTTAGATTTTTTTCTACCATCTTAGAAATAAATTTAAAGTCAGAAATATGAAAAAGATTAAGGACATTTTATTTGAGACTGCAAACTTTGAAAAAAAATCAAATGACATCTTGTGACCTTCTTTTTTTCAAATGATTCTTTCTTTAAGAAAAAAACGAACTTTCATTAAAAATTTTTTTCCTCAAACTGAGTTTGAAAACAAAAATTTTGCAGTTCCTGCCAAACAAGACATCTTGCGTTTCTATGTCGTCCACAAGACATTTGAAAATCTGTTGCAATCGAAGTATTTGGGACCGCTTTTCCAGTACACAAACGAGGTCCTAAAATGAAAGTTTCTCCTCTCAAAATCGAAATTCAGATGATGAAAGTCACACACGAACATAATGGTCAAACTTATGGACTGGAAGATTTTTGCGCCAAGGAACCGGGACAGACGGTTAGAGCTTTTCAATTTTCAAAGGAAAAACGATTTGAAGGAAAAGTTCATTGGTTGATTCAAATTTTTTTTTTGAAACTGTTCATAGTTTCACAGGATTTCATCTAAATTTGATTTTCCAGGAATGTACAAATACTCTGAATCTTTGGATCAAGCACGCCGATGTTCTATTCAAAGACGGCAAAATAAAAGCGAACCCCAATTTGCAACTTTCTTACCCAGTCCTTTACCTTTTCAATCGACCCAAGGACATTGGAAACGTTAGTGAACTCAAAATTTTGATTTGTTATCGATCAATTAAGGTCATTTATGGAGTCGATGTTAAAGGAGAGAAAAACGAGATTCAAGGCGCAAGAGTTTTAACGATCCACTGGTAAGGTTAATTTGGAGATTCATTAGCCTTATTTGATATTAAGGTTCGTCAACTATCCAGCAACCTCAGAAAACAACGCCGCTTATTTCGAATACCGACAGTCTTTAAACTCTTTTTGGGACAAAATTTCTGAAAACAGCGATTTGCAGTTCATTCCTCACAAGTGAGTTTTCAAGACTTGCTCAGATGAATTCCTATTTTTCCAGTGACAAAGCCATGGACGACGAAATGCTGAAAATCATCGAGACCACAGTTCCTTTTGCGGTTCCTGCTACCATTATGCTCATGATTTTTGTCGTGTTTTCGAATTGGAGTACTCTCCGACACAAGTAAGCAAAAAACTGGTTTTTCTTTCACTCGATCGTTTTTTGAGATCTAAGCCTGTGGAAATGTACCTTGGGGTTTGGTGCATCATTTTCGCTTTGATCATCACTTTCGGAATATTTTTCGCTTGTGGAGCCAAGTTCAACCCAGTCACCTCGACCATGCCTTTCCTCATTCTGGCCATAGGTGAGTATTCGTTGAATTGACTAGAAAAAGCAATTTTTTTTGATTTTTCACAGTCCCCTATATTAGTTATTGAAAAATAGCCGGATGACATTTTGGCTGAATATTCTGAAGTCATGGGAAGTAAAAGCTTCTGAGATTAAAAGAAAATCTGAACAATGTTCCAGAAAATGTAAGAAGGGTATGATCACCAACAGATAACTCTGGAAATCGGTTTTTTTTTTTAAATATTTCAGATCTTTTCCAGATCTATTGATCTTTATGAAATTAAACCATCTGAAACACTTTGATTCAAAATAACCTGTGAGATGACTATCTTAGGAGTGGACGACGACTTCTTGATGGTGGCGGCGTGGCGCGAGTGCGACAGGAGGATATCACCAGCTCAGAGACTGGCGCTAGTTATGGGAGACGCGGGAGCCTCGATTACGGTCACCTCCTTCACCAACTTCTTCTGCTTCCTACTTGGATGGCTGATGTGCTCGACGCCGGCTGTTGCCGAATTCTGCATCATCACTTCCGTCGGAGTCATTTTTGACTACATCATGCAGGTATTCTTTAATCTGAGGAAAAAGATGGTTTTCATGATTTCGCTTTTGTTTTCTAAAGTTAAAGTAATCGTTTTTTTATTAAGAATCTTCATTGAGCAGGATAGTCCGATTATATAAGTATTATATTTCCAATTAATTTGAAAGAAGACTAGCTCAAAAAAGCGACCTCAAACTTGGTGCATTGCTAGATTTTCTGCGCCGTGTCTGCAGCCTTCAATTTTTCTTTTACCGTAAACTGGCCTTTTTTCAAGATTTTTTTTCGGGTCGCTAGTTTTTCCACTTGTCTTGTCTCGAATTCAAAAAATTTGCAGATTACTTTCTTCGCGGCCGTGTTGAAGTTCTCCGGCGATCGTGAAGAAACAGGTGGCCTGGCTTCATGTTGTTACAAGAAAAACGACGACCTTCCCCGTCCGCCAGTAGAACCCCTCCCAGAAGTGAAAATTGACTGCCAGCATCATGGAAAGAGTTCCAGCCGTATGTGAAACACATTTTCTAACTAGCCCTGGAAAATTCCGTTTCATCAAGATTGCAAGAATTTCAAATTTTCAGTTCCATACATGCACAAATGGATGCGCGACAAGCTCGCACCGTTCGTTCTGCGCAAAGAAATTCGACTCATTGGATTTGCCTTGTTCCCAATTTACACAGCCTTTGCTCTTTACGGTTGTTGCATGCTCAGGGTGAGCATTCTGGAATTTCGACCATGGTTTTTTGCTCATTTCAGGTCGATATCAGTCCAGTGAAATACATTCGAGATAACTCGCCCATTCAGACTTTTGTTGCATTAGCCGGTAGAAGCTGAGTTCATTTCAAACTTATGAAAGCCTTTTTTAGACAAGTACATCTGGGCCGACAATGTGATGCCGACCTTCCACGTTATGAATCCGCCAGATTTCCGCGATGCAGGAAATAGAGCGAAATTCAACGAATTGGTTTTCCGATTGGAGCACACTAACTTTTCTATTGGACGCGTTAGTATTTTTCTATTTTCTATTTAAAACTGAGTATGCAATTTCTAGGTATCCACCAACTTCTGGGTTTGGCAATACCAACAATACTTGAACGATTTTCCAAATATTGATTATCGCACTGATTTCTACGACCGAAAAAATCTGCGCGATTTCTTCGCTCAACTTGATTATAATCAATACAGAGGTGCGACTTTGATGATTTTTGTAGGTAAGACTCCATTTCAGACAAAGTGAAAATCCTGGATAATGCGACAAATGGCGAGCCTTGCGTTGCCGCGTTCACTTTCCAAACCTCCTTCTATGGACTTGACAGTTGGGACAAGCGACAAGGTTAGATCATATGATTGTTTCTTGATGAACGACATGTTTTCAGCCGAGCTTTTCAATTGGAGAGATATTTTGAAGGAATATCCAGAGTACGATATGTTCCTCTCTGGAATCTTCAGGTTATTTTTAATTTCAAAAAAATTTAAGACAAAAAGTTAGAAGCCTTCTTGAGATGGTTTCTTACTACGCCTCCATTTTTCATTACTTGTGGTTTTGTAAGAATGACAGTTTGAAACGGGAACTTTTCGGAGATGTACTCTTAAATTGCTTTATTTGACAACAATGGGTTTTTTTTCTCATTTTAGCTTCAGCCAGTGATGCGTCAAGAACGACAAATATCCTCCTTTTTTCACTGAAATGAAATTAGAAATGTTCTCAAGCCACATTATACGGCCAAGAAACGGATGACCTAAAATTTGTTCTTTAATTTGATTAGTAGGATCCAGAATACCATTCCACAGGGTGTCATCAATCCTTCTAATCCGAATTAAAATGAGAGCTTTGAAAAGTTCCTTCCTCTTACAGTCCCTTCCTGATCGACCAAAGACACACAATTGCCCCGTCTTCCATGCAAACAATCGGATCAGCTTTGGCAATGATGGCCTTGATTTCATTCTTCTTCCTGCCGGACGTGGTGAATATTTTCTGGATGATCTTTCTTATAGAAAAAATTTTGCAGCAATCCGTTTTCCTCATGACCTGGTCTCTTTTGTCAATTTCGATGGGAGTTTGCGGAGGATTGGCTTTATTGGGTTCAGACTTGGATTCTGTCAGGTTTAACCACCTTGAAAACAGACATATAACTTATTTTTATCAGTATGGGTTGCATTGTTATGGCTATCGGACTTGCCGTTGACTACTCCGTTCACATCTGCTACCGGTACCACCGTTCTGAATACCTCAAAGCATCAGAAAAGGTTTCCTGATCTCCCGTGTTGAATTTCTCCGTGCCCTGATCATTTCGAATTCTCAACTAAAAAAACTGAACTTGAGGTGACCGACACCCTTGCTTCTGTTGGCTGGCCAATTACCCAAGCAGTTTTATCGACAATGTTTGGCTTGGCCGTAACTTCATTTGTGCCGGCCTACCTTGTTCGCGTTTTCTTCCAAACCGTGTACCTCGTTAACATCATTGGTCGGTTTTCTTAAATGACAAAAAAACTGAAAATATGGGTTCTACTCCTATTATTTGATAGCATGAGATGTTTCAAAAATAAGAAATTTAGGACAGATTTTGATTTTTTCTTCAATAAAAAAGTTGATTTAGGAATTTTTGAAGTAACTTTTTTTGAATAATAGAATATATCGTGCGTTTCAAAATAAGTTCATTGGATGCTAATTTGGGTATTAAGTAAGCGCAAAAACCTACGTCGGAATAAACGGAGGAACCATCCTCATAATCAAAGCTGAAGATTAAAGATACTCCGGCAGCTCTGAAAACAACTCTTTTGCTTAGAATAAAATTATTGGAGGACTTTTCAATCGATTTCGTAAATAAACTGGATCTATCGGATTTCTTGCAGGCCTGCTCCATGCGTTAGTGTGGCTGCCACAGTTGATCTCGGCCTTGGATCCATGTGAACGTGTTCCGCTGCGAATCCGTCACCAATTGATGCAGAAAAAACCCATCACTTCACTTCATTAGTTCTCCTTCTGTTGCCTTTGACTCTCCTTTCCCCCGTGTGTCGTACTTGTATTTCAGAGTTCATACATAATAATAACTTCAAGAATCTTGAGACGGCTTTATATTTTCGAAAACGTTATAAAATTCAAATTAATTTATTGTTCTAATAAAAATTAAAATCACAACGCGAGGTTTGCTTGATATGTGAGGTTTGGAAAAAAAAAAATAGGATCATAAAAAACTAAGCGGCGTAAAATATTTGAATATTTGAAAAAGGATGAAAATGATCATGATCATTTCCATTTGTTAAAAGCTGAAAAACTAAATTTGTATAGGAAAAAATAAAGGAATGTGATACATTTCAAATTTCAGAGAGAAAAACAAGCTCGATGGTTTTTGATTCAAACTTGAGAAGAAGTTATTTCCAATGTTAATATAAATTGGACATTTTATTTCGGTACATATCGCATTGTCAATTTTCTGTCTTCCCCCGTCAAACAGCACGTTTTTGTTACTGCGGCAGTGACTAAAATGAAAAGATTGTTTATTGAATTTTGGAAACTGTAAACCTGTGTAAGGGTCGCAGTTTGATGAAGGCCGACGATCTTCGAAGTAACCCTGAAAAAACTTCTTCAGATCGGCTCATAAGTATTAAAAAATGTTTGATCGTTCGTTGAAACGTGTGTTTTGGAGCAGACCAATATGTCGCTACTTGAAAAAACCTCAAAAAAGTATCGATATGGACATATTCAATTTAAACGCGGCACTAAAAAAACTTTTAATTGAATAAAAAAATTCATGATTTTTTTAGGGCGGCGTCCAGTAAACTCGCAAATTTTTTTCAACTCCCTCATCATAAATTCGGGAAATTGAATAAATGAAATTTTTCTAGCAAAAAAAGTGCTCCAACATTTCATTTTGACGCATTTATTTATCTTTTTCCCGATAAAATGCTTTTTCGGCTCAAAAATAAAATCAGTGGAAAGATATGGGTGTTTTTTTGTTTCTTTTCTAAAGAAAAAGTACGAAAACAAGATTTTTTTGTGAGGTTTGCAATTTTTTTCTGAAGGTTTTTGATTTTTGCCCATAGCTTTTTGCTACGTCAGTGATCATAATAAATTCCAAGAAACAAAAAAAATTTTCTGAATAACTTACACACTGATCGTCGAAAACTTGTCGTGGAATTCGGATGCTGCACTCCCGGTTGGCAACGCCCGAAGAGAAAGCGTCGATAGTTTCTGTTTCGTGAGCCCCAGTCAGCCGTCGTTCGTTGTCTCTTCCACCTGAAAAACATCTCAAAATCAAAAAAAATCCGATTTTCTGCTTTACTTCTGCAATATAGCTTCTAGAAAAAAATTCATCAACTTTTTTTCAATTCTTTCTGTTTTCAGGAAACATATTATTTTTTTGGGAAAAAAATGTAATAAAAAAAGTCAAACTTAAAATACCGAAAACTCCTTATGGTAACCCGTTTCAAAAAAACTATAAAAAAACTTTCTTTGAAACAATTAAATAAATCAAATAAATTATTCACACTCAAAAAAAGAAAAACAATATTGACCGTGAGGATCGTAGTAGGCAATATGCTCAAGATGTACTTTTGAAAGTTTATGGATTGCTTCTTCTATTGCCCTGAAACAGGAATGTTATTGTCTTTGTCTAGAAAATCCTCCAACTTGTATCCTCGACCATCTTTGCTTGGAGTGCGCATTTCTTCTGTAGAAAAGTTGACATGGCATCCAGCTCCATTCCAGTCGCCAACAATTGGCTTCGGGTCCAGACTACACACGAGACCAAAGTCTTCGCAAACTCTGTGCAGCAAGTAACGAGCCACCCAAAGTTGGTCGCCCATTTCGATCCCTTCACACGGCCCAACTTGGAATTCCCACTGAAATCCTATGCTTTTATATGGAAAGAAATTGAAAATACCTGGGCTGGCATGGTTTCGGCGTTAGTTCCGCTGATCTTTATCCCAGCGTACATGCAAGCTTTGAAGTGTGCCTCGACGATTTCTCTGCCGTACACTTTGTCCGAACCAACTCCGCAGTAATATGGACCTGAAAATATTTCTTGAAACATGGTGATTTAAATTTTTGTGAATGGAAGAACTTTTCAAATACTTCACTTCAAAAGAATATAAGTGAGTTAAAAATAAATGACTCATTTTCTTTGCGATTGGGAATTTTTTAGAAATTGGCCAGAATACTTCTCAATGTATCTGATAAAAATTTTGAAATTTCCAACTTACACAGCTTATTGATTTTTGAAAAAAATTAAGGCTCAAAGCTCTAAAATAGTCTATTTCAACAGTTTTTAGGGTTTCTTTGCCTTTCAGGAGTCTTTTCCAAAAACTAGGAAGTTTTGCTGGTCGACCCTTTCAGAATTTTTTTTCTGGTACATCAAGGAAATTTCGAGCCAAATTCAGAAAAATCTCAACAGCAAAGTTAAATGACCATCCTTGTAAGGTAGATATTTGAAAAAAATTTCACTTGAAAGATATAGTAAAATTATAAAGACCCAAAAAATTTGGAGCTTATCAGGAAAAAAAAATCTCACTAGTAAAAATATATTTTGAACAACGGGCAAATGAATTTTTTCTCTTCACAATGCCCACTTTTCCCATTCATCATGAATTGTAACAAGCCCAAAAAAAGATTCCTATACAAAAAACAGATGCACATATAAACGCTAACCTTGTGGTGCTGGATAACCGTGTTTAGGCCAGCCGTACGGATGCTTGTCGACATCTAGCAAAGTATATTCTTGTTCCATTCCAAACCTTAAACCGGTTTTTTATAACTTTTTTAACGCCGGAAGTGAACAAATTATAAAAAATTCTAGAAAAAACCTACCACGGATGCTGGTCTTTTGCTTTTTCCATCATTTCTTTGCACATGTGTCTTGTATTATTGGCTGAAAAGATGGTTTTAAAAAAATAATTACGTTCTTCTCATCGTCTAAAAAACGTTTGGTCTATAAATGACGAAGAACTCACGATGAGGGCTGTAATCATTGTCGAGCGTTTCACAGAGAGCAATTTTATTCGGTCCAGGCCTGAAGGGATCTCGAAAAAGGGCCACTGGCTAAAGTTCAAGTTTGAAAAAATTCTTGAAAGAGGCCAATCAAACCCTTATGTAGACATCTGAGCCATCTGTTACGTTTTGTCCAGTAGCAGTGCCATCGAAATTCCAAATTGGGAGTTCTATAAATATTTAGTTAGGGATCTCAAAAATCCAATCAAAAGAAATACCCGATGGAAGTTTTGGCTCAAAGTTGAAGGTTTTGGTTTTTCCGCGCATGTTCTCGCCTGTACCATCGATCCAAACGTACATGACCTGAAATGGTCATTTAGAACTTTTTCATATTTTTTCGTACCTGAACTATTCCACTTTGATCCAAGTTTGAATAACGGTCTATGACGGACTGCATCCCGGACAGCTCTGCAAAAAATAGAATAAAGCTTAGAATAAAGAGGTTCAACTCACTTTCATACTTTCTTTTCAATCCTTTGCTGAGTCTTGACATTTTTGATTGAGTTAGCTGCAAGAAGATTATAAGAACCGACGTCAAGTAAAAAGGTAATGCGGGAGAAAGACGCACCTTCCTATTTTAGATTGTTCAATGGAGTGAAGAAACCGAGCCAATGAAACCAGATCAATGAGTGGGAATTATGCAGGACGAGGTGTTGTGACGCAAATGAGAGAGATGGGTCAGGAAACACGGGTGCAGAGAACGAGTTCAAAGAGGAGAGTGTCAAAGAGAAAAACTAACACCTGAAATGCGCGACGTTGACGCAGAAAAGTGCGACCTCCCTTTTTGGTCTCGATCAAGGTTGCTCTGTGAAAGAGGCACGGTTTGCAGAGTCCACAAGTTCATTTGCAGTGAAGTTCAAAGGCGTAGATCAAACGCGTAGTCATAAACTGGTCCTAGAAGGTTTTTTGAATGTGGAAGTCTTCTCCAAGTTCTTCTGGTTCCTTTTCTCAAGTAACAATCTATTTACTGGAAAGTTCCGCTCTATTAAAAGTTTTTTTTGTACTGGTGGGGGTTGAGCAAGATATATTTGCAATGTCGTATTCCAGTAGATGAGAACTAAGAATTTTTGAAAAACGAGACTGCGAAAAATTAGACTTTTTACAAAATGCTAGAAAAAAATTTCTTCGTGCTTTTTTTGTATTGAATCAAGCTTATTAATCAAAATTTTTGTTTTGAAAATTGTCTGTTAGAGTCACTTCATGGAAAAGAAAAATTGAAAAAATAGTTGAAAAACATCATTTCAATCTTATATTTATTTCCGGTTTTTATAAAGAGATACTAAGTTGTGAACAAAATGTAATAAAAAAATTGTTATTTCAAATATATTGATCACGGTGACTCTGTTTTCTCTTTTACTGGAACCCCTTTCAAACAACGGAACTAGAAAAAACAGAAAAAAGCAGCTTTGATTGCAAACGAAATCATCTTAAATCAATCCTTCAATCAGTTAGTCTTTATTGTTGTTTTAGTCATGGAACTAAAGACAGCCCTACCGAAAAACTTTCTTCGGCGAACTAGAAGTCCAAAAATGTAGTCGAAAGAGATGAAAGCATAATTTTACCGTCTTTTGTCTTGGTTTTCGGCGAGTAGTCTTTTCGGTTGCTTCCTGACGAGCTCAGGCGGAAACAGATCTTGTGTTGGAGTCCGGAGACCTCGCTCTAGGTAGAAATCCATAAATAAGAGCATTTACAAAAGAGAGCAGACTTTCTACAAAAAAATCTTTCTTTGTTCGGAAATTTTTTTGAATAAACCCCAAGATGTGCTTGAAAATTATGAACCGATAATTTTCAAAATCTCTTCTTCAAACCTAGAGCGGAAAATCTATCGGACGCGCGCGGCGTCGTGCTGCTGGAAAAAACGGCGGCGTGCGCACTTTTTCGGTTTCATTCTGTACTCTTCAGTCCCTGCTGATTTAAAAAAATTATCAAAAAAAGATACTAAAAAGCTTTATGCCGGTTTCTGTTTTGCTTATCGTGTTAATAAATAGTTATAGTTTTTATGATTTTTTTAAGCTACTTTTTTTAACTTTAAAAGGTCTTTATTCTGGTTACTCAAACCACATTGGCTGCACTTTGAACTTATCAAAAAAACATATTTTTAAGATAAAACCTTCTTATAAATTAAATTTGCATTGTAAGTTTATTTGGAAAGATAACCAGCTCCAGTAGCAAAATTTCACATAAAATAAACCTGAAAAAACGTTACTTGTAGTAACTAAATTTTTTTAATGAAAAATCTAAATAAATTATTTTTATTACAATTATATATAAAAAGACTTTGAGTGACCAGAATGAGCTAATAATCACAGGAAACAGTGCAAAAAAATAAATAATTTTTAAAAAAATCAAAAAAAGAAGAATTAGAAAAAAATAAATTAAGGGGAAATGAAGAGATGGGCAAGATGAAATGGATTTTTTTTCAGTTCGTTCATTTATCACCAAGGGCCAAATAGTTTAGAAGAATGTTGACGTCGTTCAAGTTGTTGTTCATAAACACCTGAAAATTTTCGATCCGTTTTAGAAGAATTCAAATGCTATCAAAACAACAGTAAAATCGTAACACGACTTTTACTTCGTTCTTTGCTGGTTTTAAAATGAAATTACTGAACACGTGTCAAGCTTTTTTTTTCGCAAATGCTCAAGGGAGAAACTTCATCAATTTCGAGCTCAATTCAAAGATGAACTATAATTCATTTATGCTCACCTTAGTTTCCCACATCAAATCAATCAAAATCTTGTCGTCCTTCTCGTCCAATTCGACATTTTGCCTCATAGACAAAGAAAACCTTAATGAATATATACTAGAATAATTTTTTGTTATCAAACCTCAAAAACAAAGATCCGAGTGCTGAGGCAAATGTTCGACTTCTTTCTACATGTGGTCCATTTGCGGATGCAAGCTGGAATAAAAAAGAGAAATTTTAAGAAGTGTGAGGAAAAACCTGTTCAATAAACAAATCTTTGAAATGCATCACAGATTTCACGACGTTGACTATCGAGTTGTTTGTACTTGTAACTGCTTTTGAAGGAGGTTGACCCGTTCCGATGGACAATACACATCCGACTTTGAAAGGTGGTTTTCCCTGGAAACCGATTATTTAATCAATCAATTATTTCTTTTGTTGTTGAGAAGTTGTCATGGCAGAAATGTATGAATATCAACATTGCTGTACAAAGTATGTCAAACATTTTAGGTGAATGATGGATATCAGAGCGAGGAATTCCCAAATTAAAGAAACTCAAGGTAAAACAAGCGTCTTAATTTTTTAATCAAATTTTCTAGGTATACAATATTTTATTTTGAATAATACATCTCTGAATAAAATATTGAAAACCCTCTGAATGTAGTTATTTATTCAATTATTAGATTCCCAGATGTTTATTTTCCAATGGATCATTAACCTGCATTTGGTTCGCAGCATTCGTGATCTGAACGTCGGTCAAAAGGTCACAGGTTGGATTGTTGGCCATTATTCCACCATCCATGTAGTTTCTTCCTCCAATCTGATAGGAAGTGAAGTACGTGGGTGCCGCACTGTAATGCTTTTTCTGTGAGGCAAGATAAGGACTTTCAAGCGAATTATATTTTCATTTTTTTCACTTGAACGATACTGTAACTCCACCTTTAAATGATCTATTTTTTGACTTTTCTTTTTGAAAAAAACGGTCGAAAGCAAGGCGCCTGAAATGAAACAAGATATTTACGTTACAGGCAAAAAAAAAAATTGGGTTTTCTGCTTGATTTACTACTTTCTCATAGTGTTTATCTGCACTTCCTGCTGAAGTTGTTTGGAAAATCAAATTTTGAAACTATGAAAAAGGTTTAATTTGTCCTTTTGATTATCTCCGCTTACTGCTGGCTTGAAAGAAAAAAACTTCACATTTTTTTCCTAAATTTTTTTGCTTACAGTATAAATACCGTACTTTTTTTGTATTGAAAAAAAATACCGAAATCACCTCGAACACCTTGCAGCCTGCCAAGCTCTGACAGGAATTTGTTCCGGGAAGCCATCATGACGGCACTCTCTTGGAATCGAATAACTCCTTAAGAGCACTAGCTCTGCCGGACAGACGTCAGCTCGACAAGTTGTAACCATCAACCTGAACGATTTCATCGATAGAGCAATAATAACTTTTTCAACATGCAGTGAAAGCGCTGATTTTTTTTTCTGAGTCTTTTTCATTCATCAAAAATATTCTCACTAGTCAGTAGTGAGCGTAAAAAATATGGACACTAATTGTGAATTTTTAAGGAGTCGTACTCTATTATTCACCTCTTCTTTGTTTTTGCAGCAATATCGCGTAGACTTTGTTCTTTCCCGAACTCCGCAATCAAGAAGGATTCCAAAGGTACGTGGTCATACAAACGGCCTCCAAAAAACACAAGATCCTGGAAGTTCCAAATTGTTTGAATAAACAAAAAACAAAAACTTTGAACCGAAAGTACATTTTGAGGCAGTAATCCACATTGCAACCATTAGCGATTGCAATTGCAATGATAGCTCCTAAAGTTTGGGGAATCGACTAAGAGGAAAAATGAGAATATTTACCAGTGCTGGTCCCTGCAATCCAATGAAACTTGCTGAGAATGTCGATGTCCTTGGAGTAACGACGTTGGAGCTCACTCAGAACCTGTATTTTATACAATTGAATCAATCCTGATAATACACTTGTTTCAAGCAACATGACTAACCATGTTATGATAAAAATTGATAAAGATAACCATTCATGGCTAGGTAGGGACAAAAAACCGCCGCTTGAATGGTTTTCTTTAGCATTTTTTGCTCAATGATCCTTATCAAAAATTGATCGCAAATTTACCTGTAGCAACACGATTCCTCTGATTCCACCTCCATCCAGACTGAGCAAATTGATCACCGATTGACTGGTGTTGGTTCTCAATTGATTCAATGCAGACATCCACATGAAATTGTTCACATCTCCTAAAACCAGAAAATTCTAATATTTCGAGCAAATTGACCTTCTATATTTTGGACACTGCGATTCTCTTTCAGAGCAATAAGATGAACGTGAATGGCCTCCGCTATTACTCTGAAGTATCGGATGAATCGGAAACTTTAGGAAACCAACTTATTCCTGGCATTAGAAGCGACGCTCTCATCGCATTTTGCGCCAAACAAAATCAAGGCCTTGACGATATCCAAATGACCTTTCTGAGTAAATCGGAAATTGTGAAACACAGATGAAGTTTACTTCTATAGCGATGTTCAAAGCTGTCTTGCCAGAACCGTTGGTTTCTTCAAGGGAAGCTCCGTACGAAATGAGAGCCACAGCTTGGGAGAGAGCTCCTCTTTCCACTGAAAATGAAGGTTCAATCGTTTCACAAAATTACGGAACCGGCACGATGTAAAGGAGTGTTGCCGTTGTCATCTTTCAAGTTAATGACGTCATCAACGTGACCGTCATGGAACAGAAGCTGATTCATGACCTGAACTATCATCCAATTGGAAAACTCGTGAAAATCGACAAAGTCCCTTTATGGAAAGTTGGACGTTTTTTAAAAGTTTAAAGAAATCTTTCACCTGGTTATCTAAGCGGAAGTGTAGAATGCAACTTCCGTTTTTGTCAGTTTTCGACAAATAATCTGGCCACTCTTTAGATAGGACTTTGATGCATCTTAAAAAAGGAAGTATTTTCTCATTTCGACTTAGAAAAAGAGTTTGATCACTTGCCTAGAGGTGTCTGTGCCATTGAAAAGTAGTCCATCAAAAGCAAAAGAAATTGGTTTTGAAAGTTGAGTGTTCTTAGGAACGATTCCTGAAGTTTTGATACTTGAGAATAACAGGAAACTTTTTTGATACTCACTCAAAACCTCTTGCAAGCAATCTGGGCGGTGTGATCGGATTGCCTGATGCAGTGGGGTCCACATTTCAAAGTCATTGTCCGTCAGTAGTGTTTGAATATCTTTTGGCTTGCCGTTAAGAATACTCTGAGAATAAAAAAGAATTGAGAAACTACTTGATAAATCGAAGTTTTTGAACAAAATTAAAGATTACTCGAATTTCTGACAGACCGGTGGGGAAAAAATAATTTACCTATTTTTTGATCAACTGACCTTGAGGATCTTGTAGTTGGTAACAGAACTGTGAAGAACGTTTTCTCCTTTCTGATTCTTTTTCGATAATGGGCAACCAGCTTCGACCAACTTCTGCACGGCAGTCGTCTGAAATTAGAAATTATTGAACTGATTAAAACAAAAAAACTTTTTTTAAAGAGCTATAATTCAATCAAAAAAACTGAAAAAAAAAAGTTATTGGGAAGTTACACGAATTTGTTATTTTGAACTTCCGGAGTTACTTCAAAAAGAAACCAGGACATTTATGTGCAGCAAAAACCCGTTATTTTTCTTTTTAATTAAAAACTCTGAAAAAAAGCGGATTTATTAGAATAAAGGAAATTTTTTTCGTATGGACAATAAAAGATTAGAAATCCGAATATAATATACTGAAACTCATTTAAAACGAGATTCAGAATATGACTTGTAAAATCCTAACAAGGAAGGTCATTTAACCTGGCGCTTCGGAACTCCCTGAAAATCGGCCAAAAAGTTTCTCGGTGCACCAAAAGTAGATTGTAAAACTCCCAATCTACACAACTTCCTAATTATTGACAAATGCGGGCTCAAATCTCAAAAATGATTTATTTCAACGGAAGATCTTCCTTGACCTTGTAAGGCCTTTTGAAAAAACTAAAAAGTTGTGCCGGTCAAGACTTTTAGAACCTTCATCCGTTAAATAAAAAAGTGTTCTGGCCAATTTTTGAAAGTTTCCATCCATTAAAATGAGTGAAAACAAGAAGAATGTAAACCAACCTGGCCACAAGCGGCGGCAACGTGAATTGGCATTTCCCCATCGGCCGAACATAGAAACATGCTGAACCAAAGAAACACATTAAAAATTATTTCCTGTACTTTGTCAAGAAAATTAAAATTTCTGATCAGAGAACGTACAATTTTTTGATGAAAAAATTTCGAGGCGTCGCTTTTTTAAAAAAAAAAGTAACATGTTGCCTAGAGACCCTTGCTTCATTGAGAGATCTTTTTTGCTGACTGACCTTTCAGGACAATTTCTTACAGAGTCGACAACGAATCCGTTCAATCCTAAAGCTGCAGCCACGTGCATCGATGACCAACTTTCATTTGTCTTCACCGTTTCCAACAGATTCTCCACGAATTCCGTTTTGTCACCTGAAAATGGTTCAACCTAAATCATATGTTCCGAAAGGGATTAATTCACCGGGAAGTTGGGAAATTTCGTCGAATGGTTTGATAACGTCGTATATGGCTAACAATCCATCAAGTTTCGGGCGTCGCATGAGAGACTGTAATTTTTTTGTAGGCTTTTGAATTCCATTGAATAAAAAACTTTGAGAAGTCAATAAAAAACTACCTTTCATAGACGCCACACCTCGTCTAAATTTGTACACTCTACGCAAAAAAAACCCAGAATACAATTCAAAAACACCTATCCTCTAAGAATGCAAGTTTACCAAAAATCAAAAAGCACACGATACCAAAAAAAAAAATTGAAAAAAACCGTTTTGATTGGGTAGCAGACCAGCGAATAGTTCTTCGATTTCAGCAAGCAGATTCCAAAGGAAGTTGTTTGAGCCACCTTCTCGAGTACATCGCTCTCATTATGAGTTTTAAACTATAAAAAGAAAGGAAAAATTAATAAAAAAATAATTTTTTTGGGCTAACCGCGTCAGGATTATCTGAAAAAAAGGTTGCCGACTGTTCTTGATATAAAGCTCATACCCTGAAAATATTTATTTAAGTATGTTAGAGCCTAAAAAACTCCTTTCAATTCATTAAACGTAGGTAGAAAAAAAAAGAGCAGCAAAGACTGGACGCGTAAAAAGATTTTCTGGGAGCCGTTAGCGCTGGAGCGCACGTTCTACGTTATGCCAAGGAGACGGTTGTCGAGTACAACGGTAAGAAACACGGATTATAATAAGAAAATGAGAGCGTACTATCAAAATATAGCGCTATAATCTGAGGGAGTAGACTTCAGGCTTGTAGTAAAATTCTATAATTAATAGTCTTAAGTCAAAAAAGATGATAAATTTAAGTTTCATTTTTTTTTTATTACACAGCTCATTGATCACACCCCGAAAAAAGAATCAAAATGTTCCAGAAGCCTGAAAAATAATAGTTTTTCAGTCTGAATTGCAAGTAGTCAGATAAAAATGGGAGTGAAATCTCAAATTCTGAAATCACAATCTTTTGTGGTAATCTGTGCGGTTAACAGTGGAGTCTGGGCTCTCTTGCAGACAATTTGAGAAATATCGTAAATATAGAAATTTATTTTTAACGAAACAACTATTTTTCATATAATATATGACAAACAATCTCTGCAAGCAATTTTTTAATGTTGAAAAAAATTTCTTCAGATTATAGTCTGTTCAGATTTTTGAATGTCAAGTGGTCGCTGAAGCTCCGCCCCCTAATAGCGCGATAAACCAATCAGAGAGCGAGCCATCCACAGAGCGTTTTTGAATGACGTCATTCTACTTGACATTCAAAATCTGAACGGACTATACCCTGGTGAGAAAGTTGAAATTTCAATATTTTTAGCTGAGTGCGAACTATGATACATAAGTTCTTCTTTTCATTCATTGTTTTTAAGAAGCCAATTCTTTGAGAGGCCAGTTCAGATTCAAGAAAAGGCCAGTTTTTCTGATTTTTTTTCAGTTTTGGTTGCCCTTGCTGGCACCGTCCGAGCAGGGAATAACTCGAATCAAATCTTTTAGTTTTGAATTCATCCAAAAAAGTTCAATTGTCTTTCAAAATGTTCAGATATTTGAAATCCTTTTGAAGACCTTTTCAGCCCTTATTCTGACTATCATCTACGACCCACAAAGTTTGAGAACTTAGGCAGCGTTGAAGCAAATGACCTGGAGGACGCTAGACATGAGTCATGATGGACCGAGCTTCGCTTCCTCTTCGAGCTACGCTACCTATAACCTGAGTAAAAAAAATCGATAAAACTCCTAGAAGATTGGGGAGATGAAACTCTACTTCTGTTCAAAACTGTTCAATTATTAGTCTGAATTAAGCAAAAAGTTCTACTAGAAAAAATTGTTTTATAACTATTTTAGACCTGTGCGAAATTCCAACAAATGAGAATCAATTTTGAAGAAGCTATGCCTGAAAAACCTTTTTAAAATACCTTTATGGCAAACTTTATTAATCAAATTCAGTTCATAATTCCCTTTTTTGTCGAAAATGTTCTTTTTTCCGCGTTCCCACGTCCTTCTGAGTAAGCAGCGCTGCTTCGACAACGTCGTCGCTGATCATAAAGGTCAGCTCCATTAGCTTCCCATCGCGAGCGAGATTTGTTACGATTCATGTTGTTGATAAGCGAAGGAACGGATGGGAAGCCATGTTTCTGCTCTGATTTTTTTCTTCTTTTTTTGTTGTTTTTTTAAACTTTCTTCTTATCAAAAAAACTGGAATAATCAACAATTTAAGAGATAGTTTTAGTTAATCTCTTCGATTCTTTTTCACGAATCATGCGCACATGATCGATAATTTCTGCTTGTGGAATTATTTTTGATTTTTTTCACAACTGAGCGGTTTTTAATTCTGATGATATGCATCTGATCAAAATTTTTTTAGTCAAATGTTCTTTTTTCAATCTAAGGATTGTTTCGCCTCAAAAAAGAAAACTTTGTAAATCATTTCAAATTTTGGACCGGCGCCTTTGTTCAACTAGTTTCATAGCGCCCCTCGATAGAAATCCAACTGAACTAAGCTTCATCTTGATGATACAACCACGAAAGATCAGCTCTAGAAAATTTCGATTTTTGGCTGAATCGTGGGAAGTTCTCCAACGAGTTAATATAATTTTCGATGAGAAACACAATCGAAGTGAAGAGTGAGCTATTCAATCATAAAATTCGAGAAATGTTCTATTTTTTTGTCGTATGCCTTTCTAGCGAATCACTGTATAGTTTCGACGACGCAGCTCCGAACAAAACTTGAATAATCGTGGGCGCCGTGATACTTTGGCCTTTTCGCCGTTGCGTAAATTTCGCGAGACTTCTGAGTCACGTCGTTAAGACAAGCGGATAGGGCACGCGAGCTGACCGTTCACCATTCGCTTCTTTTTTTTGACGTTATATTATTCGAAAGAGCGTCACGCCCCTTTCCTCTAGGATTTCTTCCCTACAGTCCGAAAATTAGATTTCGACGGAGGTTCCCACCTCTCATTTGTTTTTCTCGTCGCTCTTTCGAATAACTCCTTTTTTCAGGTACCCCGGACTTGGCTATCGATGATGCCTGAAAAACCGCCGCAACCATGTGGGATGAATACCGGCTTCACGTTGGGCTTCTGCTACAGCTCACTCTTGATCATCTTCGTTACTCTGGTCGGAGGAGTCCTGATCTACCTCGGCCGGAAGTACTATAAGTGAGTTCATTCTTTAGATGATATTTGGAAAATCAAAAAACTTCAGACGTCGCCAGCTCCGTCGACAGCTGTGGCAGAAAAAACGTTACAGCAGTGAAGTCTTCGCCGAAAACTACAGAATGAATGAACATAATCGGGTTTTTCGTTAAATACATTATTTTTCCACATTTATTATAAAATTCAAAAATATTTTTCACAAGTCTAAACTTTTTTTCAGGGCGACAATGGAAGAGAAACACAATTTTCTCGAAACTCTCAGCCTGCTCAAGTGTCATTGAGGTATAAATTTCATAATTCTAATTTATATTATTTTTGGATGGATACATACTATTTTTTCTCAAAATGAGATTGCAGTCCGAGTTCTCTCGCCTTCTACGAAGATATGCGCGCCAAGCTCAAGAGAATCTACGGGGATCCGCCTGCAACCTCATCCTTTTCTAGACATCATGAACAAGAAGGTTATTCGAAAGTCTTAGGTCCATTCAAGAGGCTCAGGGTCAATTTAATTCACGCAAAGGATGAAAAAAAGCAAAAATTTTTGCGATAAAGAGTTTATTTTTTATCTTAGAACGCCGCCACTCGTCTAGAGCTCGCCGCACCCGCACCGAGTCACCAACTAACCGCAAACCTTCGTCCCCTCGTCAATCCAGACGGGTTCCTCGTTCTACATTGAAAGCCGACGTCGAGCCTCGTCATGTTCAGAAGTTCGTTTTTTTAATCTCTATTTTTCTAATAAGTTCTGAAAAAGAACCCTTAGTAGAGCAGCATATATCTGGACTAATGTTTCAATTAAAATTCAATACTTTTTGTTGGTTTCAAAGCGAGCTGTTTCCTGTAGCAAAGTACGCCATAAATGGCTAGTTTACTCAAAAAGCGATAAAGAGGAGTTTCAAATATTGATGCGCAGTTTTTCTAATTTCAAAGAGATGCTCTTTTGATATTGGCTTAAGGAAGTGGTGTATGAACTTTATGGGTCTCTCAGTAGTTCAATAGGTATGGTCCATTAACCAATTACCTGCTGGGACCTCAGACAGCGTAGAACAAGCGCAAAGACCCACAAACTTCTGACAACAAGAATGAGCATGCTTATTTCGATTTGGCGTGAGTATCGATTTTTTCTGAAACCAATGAAGATTACAATAAGCGAGCTTTAAACGTTTTGATATATACGTATCCGACGGACAATCGTGAATTCATTTTTGATATTTTCGAAGTTTAAAGTCTGTACTGCTTCAGAAACGTGGTCCACAGCGATGGCGGCCGTTTCTATCCCAATGAGGCGAATTCTTCCATCGAACTGTCCGACACCGAAGTTGCGCGTAGCTCCCGTTCTCAGCATAGGTAAGAAAAAGCATTTTATAGTTAGCAACAGAAAATAACCGGAGGTTTTTTTTCTTTCTAAAACTCACTCTACTTCAGTTATTGCACAGAAATATATCATAAGATTTCTACGTTCTACAGAACTCGCACCCGGACCCGGAGGGCTTCTCAGGAATAGCATCACAACATACGCCGACTTCGAAAAAAGCAATAATTATCTTCATTTAATATCCTCGTGTTTCCTTATTTGATTAAGTGCCAAAGAAGTTTTTTCTACTGCGAATAATACTAAGCAGTTTGTTTTTTTCTTCTTGGCTTTGTTTACCCAATAATCGTTTCAATTTGATTTTCTACCGTTTTGTATTACCATTCCTCTCGTTCATTTCATTGTTATTAGAATGAAATAAATATTATTTTAAAATTATTTTTGAAGTCTTTGAAGTATCAATATTAAAGAAAAAAATTTCTTAAACAGTTTTTAATAAAGCCTTGGATTTCTGCAAAGAAATATGAAGTTCCCGTTTCTTTCTCTCATTCTCAAACTTCCCAAAAGCCATACGATGTAATTTTTCAACTGTTTCCGCTTCATTCTTCAACAAATAGTATATTCGAGTACAGCTCCTCGATTGGAGGATTTCTCGACTGGGTGGTCCGGCGTCGGAAATTACGGTAAGCGTCAGTTGGGCGGCGCCGAGGACGGACCGAATATCGATTGCCAGCTGCCTGGATGCTCTCTTTCGTCACGTGTCTTTTTCTCGACTGTTACTCCTATAGAAGGAAAAATGGGATCATGGAAAACAAAATATGAGTAAAGATGTGTTGAAAGTTTATTTATGAGGGATTCCACCGGAGAAGTAAAAAAGGATGAGTAACAAAGAAAACTCTTCTAAAAGAAATCTTTGTCCACTATCGATAGCTTCCAAAGTGGTTCTGAAAAAAGAGTTCAGCTTTTTCCCTTTCCAAATTTAATCACACAATCTGAAACTGAGCTTTTGGCGAACCGATAAATCCGTTACGAAATGGATTGTAGAAGGAGAAAATGAAAAAATCATTAGATTAACAAAGGAAAGAAGCATAAAAGCTGCTCTCTATGATAGAATAATTCCGTTAAACTTCAGTAAACCTTTCAGTAAATTGTCTTCGAAAGAAAGTTTGAAACACTTTATCAAATGACGGCAACTAGTGGCAGAAGAAAATGACAACCAAGAATCACAAGGATTATGAAAAATAAGACATCGGGCAGTAAAAATTTACAAACTTCACAATTAAAAGAATGATTACAAGGAAAACTGCGTACTACCCATCGGAATGACCAGTTTACTGTACTGCTTGAACTCTTCGATGAATATTTCCCGTTTTGGGTCACTGCAAAAATGAAAATGTAAATCAGCTTTCCATAAAGAGACCAACCTTTCATTTTCATCGAAACCAATATTAACGAGATCCACACGATGGTTCAAGCTTCGCAACTTTTCAAGAACCACAGATTCCATGAAACTGATCGAGCATTGATTGAAAGATAGGCATCGCGTTTCATGGGTGATGAGATTCTGTAAAAGGAATCATTATCGACGGTAGCTTGATTCCACTCTATGTCATTATGGAAATGGCCAACGGAAAGTGGACAGAAGCTGCGTGGAAGTTCGAAAAGATTTAAAAAAATACAAAAATGAAAGAAAAACTCACTGAGAAATTCTTCACGCTTTCATCATCGTCATAGCGAATATTGTCCAGTACGACTTCCTTCAAACGATTCTTTATCGTGAATTCTTCAGAGGCCACTGAAATAAGGAATCTCATTAGATAATTGTAGTTTTACACTGCACATTTATTTACTTCTTTTGGATAAGTAATTTTTTCAACTTGCTATCAAACTATTTACGAGAAAAATCATGGAATCGCAGCATTTTTGATGTTTCATCGCCCCACTATATTATGACTTGATAGTTCAAAAATGAATATAACAATTGAAACGTTTGCCGGAACCTGGGTCCAAGAATGAATAAAAAAAGGTGGGTCTTTTTGTATTAAATTGGAAATTCTCTTTTCAGCGTTAGGGAAATTACCAGTCAAAAATCCCTTCCTAATGTCTTTTCTAACTTATCTCAAAGTTCTGAGCAAATCAAAAACGAATTTAGAAGCAACTCACATACATTATAAAACTTCCAATAAATTAATAAATTCCCCCAAAGTTAAAGCTTCCATTTTTTTTTACCATACAGTACCCTTATTATTTAATGAGTTCTGTAGTTCAGGTCACTTCATCCTTGATTTATGCTATACGTTTTGTTAAAATACGTAAAGGTAATAATGACGAAAACCTAAGTGTTGCGGCCAAATTCCTATTTTTATTGTGAAGCTTTAATGAAGATACTTTTTAAAACTTCAAGAAGGAAAACAAGGTAAATATCGTAAATAAAAGACTCACTGAATTTTAAAGAATCCTCGTCTACGATGCAGTTTTGGAAGACCAGCGTGCGCACTCCATAGCAGTTTGAAGTGACAAATTGCATCAAATCTTTAGTCACCACCATCTGAATATGTTTATTGAGAAAAAGCGATCAATATAAAGAAATTACCGTGTTGTCCGAAGGAATGTGTGTCCTTTCCGTGTTGAGATTACCAATCAAGACTTTTCGAACTTCAATCATTTGAAAGCGATTTCCGAGCTGGTCCAATTTCTCCACTGAAAATTTGCAGTTTCGTAAAAAAAGTCAAGAATGGAACGTTTTTCATCGTTTTGTCTTTTTTTGGACAAGTTGATTAACTTTTTCAATGTTAATAGGAGTGAGAAAAAAAGTCACATGACATTTCTAGTCATAGAAATACAACTTACAAAGAATTGGCGGCTGTAGATTTCTTGGTGTCTTCCGCGCTCTCTGTAAAAAAAGTAATTTTTATAAGTTTATCGTGAATCTCCTAAAATATTTTTCCATACTGTTACACTTTATTTTTGAAATCTACTTGATGGAAGTTACAAGAACTTTGACTTGATACAGCCACAAAACTTGCTGGTTAAAGTTTATTAAAAGCTGCAAGATAGTGATCCTACTGACAGAAAATTGGCGTCGTTACTTGGATCAATGAATGTAAAATAATTGCAATACTGGCTTTTTTTATTGTCACTTTACTTTTTTTCAATTTTTGGAGCATTTTTCTTCTTCATTATGAAACTAACTAAAACAAAAAAACTGAACATCTTCGGAAAACTTGCTGAATGCTTTAGAAAAGTTTTTGAGTAAAATAAAAAAATGATATTAACTACCAACCGACTGCATCCTACTTTTTACGCGTCAGGCATTTCCCCGTCAGAATGACTTCGCCAAGTTTTTACATAAACCACTTCGTCGTAGCTGCCAACCTGAAGTTTTTAAAAATTATAAAAAAATTAAATTGAAAAAAATGTACCGGGAATAATATTTTGAGTTCTCCATCGGACTTCCACGGAGTGGCGCGACTGGCTGTGCAGAAACGTTGGCAAGACAGTTCGACAGAATTCCGATCCTGCAAACGATTATTTATTTTTTTCATGAGCCTAGATTGATTATTATCATGTAATTTACCCCCTCTTTATGTAAATTTTTTTGATCAAGTTTAAAGATTTACAATGAAAATGTAAACAGAACTAGATTTTCGGCCTAAATTTTTTTTTAGTAAAAGTAACCAGAAATGAATTGAGATTGGGGAAACCGTAATAAAATGGTTTACACAGGCTCGCCAGAATGTTTTGATGCGCTAACAGCAGCTCTGGCCTGAATTAAAAGGTTTGCGTCTCGGGACCTTTCTGAACCATGTCCAAGTGCTTTTTATCATCACATCGAGCTGTTGTAAACCAATTCTGAAGCTTTTTCACACACCAAAAATGCTCTTTGTCATGTGACATACATCATATCCGTACAAACTAAAGATTATGAGTTAAAGCTTCTTGAATTTAAAACCGAGTTTCCCAATAAAAACATCAAATACTTGTTCACAATCAAAAAAGCAACTGCAGCATTTTTTTTACAAGTCAAGTTCTGAAGCAAAGAACTAGTTAGCAGGGTGAACTTTAATGAGTCACAATTAAATAATTTAAAAAAAACCTGTGGATTTGTAAGCTGACGGAAAATGCATTTCAGAAGGGCTGGAGTATAGGAGACCCCCAGAGAAGCATCGACCTCGTGCAGGTTGACGCTGGTAGACGGACCGAACCACTCCATTTTGAAGATAGAAGCAAAATATCAGGCGAGCCTACGCTATACTGGACCACCCTCTACTTTTTTCTTCGAGGTAGGTCTCAACTGCCGCCGTTACGGTAGTGCGCCGGCGCGCACAAGTTACTCTCTGCGACTCTTGCTCTCTACGTGTCGTAATGTATTGATTGCTGCGGGCCTGCAGCGAGTGATTGGCCCTTCTGAATCAAACTCAATAGTTACAGGAGTTCAAAAACAATTTTTCAAATCTTTTAAAAAAATTTATCGGCAAGAGTGAAGTTGAAAATCAATAATATAAAACTCAAATTAGTCTTTCAAACAAGATGAAATTTTTGAGCGAAAAAAACTTTATATATCTTAGATTTTTGTACTGCAAACTTCTTGAATAAACAAAAAAACTTGAATTGAAAAACTCTGGAACAATCTTTTGAAAAAAAGGTAACAAGGAATCGATTAATAAGCAAGTTTTTTTGTCGCGGAAAAAAATCTGGCCGTTTTTTTATTTCTACAATTTATGAGCTTCCAAAAAGGGTTCGAGGCAAAAGAGGCCATAATAAAATAGAAAAGAATAAAAGGAATAAGAAAAGGGACGAGCTCAAAATCAGGGTGTTTTTTTAAGTAAAAAAATCTGATTCAGAGTTTGGCAAAAAGTGGTTGCAACTAAATCCTTCCTATCCGTGATTTTTTTAAATATACGTTTTCCAGAAGTAATTTAATTTACCTTAATAAACTTTTTTTTTGTTCAGCTGCCGGTTTTCGTCAAAAAATGAGAGAATCCCATTTCTCATTTTATAATTTGCATTGCGCGGTCTACACGTTGCCATGAGTCTGACATTTATTTTTTCCAACTTATCGAACAAACTAAATTGGTTCAACTTCTTTTTTATTGATCAAGTGATTACCATCAAAATCTAGCGGGAAGTGAATACCACTCATTTTTTCAAGTCCATTGTAATTCCAATGTTATCAAAACTTCACTGCAGTGCTTTTATTTTCACATTCAGCTTGAAAACTGTTACAAAAGTTTATTGTTATAGGATCTCTCATTAAAATGAGCGAAAACCCGGAACAGTTCAAAATATCACTTTTTCTTAGGTTATGCGACTTACTCCACCGTGGAGTAAAAGGACGCCGGACCACCCATACTTTTGGACCTTCCTCGTCGGATTACTGTAGGTAAACCACCTTGCAGGGAAATATTCGACTTTCTTCAATTAGCGTGCATCGACGAGTGAATTAGATTGAAATCTCAGTGAGAAAGTCGTTTTTCCTTTTTTTCTGTGCAAAACTAATATTTTTCTTCATTCAATAAGAAACTTCTGTCAATTTTTTTTTCACAAAAACTCAGTTTTTGTTTTTTTTTCATGAGTTATTAATAAATTTCGAGAATCAGAAAGACAGAAAAGAGTTTTCCTACTCCTCAGGAAGACTGCAAAAAAAGCAAAAAACTATCTGCCCCATGCCAGGCTCGAACTGGCGACCTTGGCATGTCTTAAATACTATAAGTACCACGCGCTAACCGACTGCGCCAATGGGGCGACAAGAAACGAACAGAACGGCGGCCGCCAAATTCCTCCGTTCCTTATGAATACCATCATGCAAGCGTTCTACGCCGGCACTAGTGCATCGAAGGGGGAAGGGGACTGGAAAAATTAATTTTCGGATTTTTCATGCGTCGCTTTCACATTCGTTGCTCCTCAAACATAGATCTACATCAATTTTCAAGTTGTCATTCAAATAATGGTAACAAAACACAAAATTGCAATTTTTGAGAAAAATTTTTGTGTGGAACACTGCGGTAGGAAAAAGATGGAAACGTCATTTTAAAGGAAATTCCAACAATCAGCAGTAATTTTATAGATGAACAATAACTAATGAGAGAGGTTATTTTTAATACGTTGTTATGAATAAACAACGTATTAAAAATTGAAAATGAGGTACTCGAGCTTCTTCAAGCCGATAGTGCTGTTTTGACCATGACGTCATCGATACTTTCTTCTTCAGCCGTTGGAGATCCTTTCTGAAAAAGAATGTTTTCTTCGAGCCATCAGAAGCTAAGACTAGAACTAGGTTTTGCTCTAATTGCCCCAAGCTTGAGTCTCTTCACTACAACAAAGTCAGAAAAAAAAAAAATTAACTCACGGTTTTTGCGATGAAGAAAAGAGCAGTTAATAATCCTGCAACCAGGAAAAATAGACACAGCGCAGCCGAAAGGCAAGTGATCATCGAAGGGAAATCGGCTTTCTCCATTGTAGATTCCTCAGTGGTTTTGTTGGCAAAGATTTCGGCGTTGAATTCTTCCGTTGGCTCAGAACTGTTGGACTCGATTTTTCTCAGGTCTTCCACAACTTCAGGCATCAAGCGAGGCTGTGCCGGAGTAGTCGGGAAGGTGGCGCGTGTTTCGTCAGAAGGTATTTTCTCTCTTCGTCGGAACGATCGAATGATTTTTTCTGCAAATATTTTCTTATTAAAAAGGTCCATAATCGATCTCCTACTTTCCACTTTCTCCATTCCTTCGTCGAATGTTTCAAACATTTCTTCTCTGAAAGGCGTTTTGAAGCTGAAGACGAAAAACCATGATGTCGAATCTTCGGAACAAACAGTGAACATCAATTTGCAAACTAAAAACCTTTTATGTCATATTCGCAAGTGAAATCAGTTTTATCCGTTTGGCATTGGCTTTCCGGCAGAAGTGTAGAAAGGACATCTGAGCAACCAAGGTAGTAACTCGCATCTGGAAGTTAAAACTTTAGAATTTCATTTAGGAGTGTCTAAATCGGAGATTTGATCATCCAATTCATTTTTAATCTGGTTTTTTCAAAAAAAACGCTTCGATATTTTTTGTCTAGGCATAAAGAACTTTTGAAGTTTTTTTTTTCTCAAAAAATCGAAGTTTGCGCAAGATCATTTCGAAATCCCTTTATTTTTGTTCACCGCCTAGTCGATACATCTATGACTAAACCAACAAAATAAATGATTTGATTGATTTGATTGCATTTGAAATTTCATCTATTGTCAAAAAAACCCAAAGGATCAAGTGAAATCGGCTCATTTGTTAGTGCGAGAAAAGAAAATTACCTGGGCCGCTATCACTCTGGGTTATTTCGACGCAAGCCTCATCGCAGCGAATCTAAAATATGTTTTAATTTTTTTTCACTTCCTAGCTCTTTTTTATAATGTTCTTTCGTTTTACAACTCGGCTAAATTCCATTCCATTTTGAAAAAAAAGTGAGCGCGTCAGATGGTTCAAATTTCACGTCAGCAAACATTACGTAGAAAATTGCGAATTTGCAAGGAAACAACTTTGAAAATTCTGAGTGACATGTAGTAAAAAATATCGGAACAGTCGTCCCACCTTCTCGTAGACTCTTTTTTTGCAGGACGTTCTGTTTGCGAAGATTCCTTCCGGAGCTGTACTATTTTTCCAGAATGTTTCAACAACGACCTGAAATTGTTCTTGTTGGAATGAACGATAAAAAAAAATATAACATCTGCAAACTTGTTGTCCATACAGCTGTGACAGTACTTCGGTCCTTCTTGTTCTTCTATGAAATATCCGGCGCAGGAATAAATAAGTGAGCTGAAAAACGAGTTTTTTAAATAAGTTTTCAACAGTTGTCAAAAGTTCATAAATAAACTTACCTTAAAAACAGGAAGATCAAAAGAGTAGTCGAATGTTGAGCCATCGACTGAAACAAGTAAATACAGGTCTTTTTTGAGGCAACGAATTTTAAGAGGAAAAAAGAAAATTTTGGAAAAAAGCGAAATGAAATAAACACTTGACTGAATATTGATAAAATGGATTTTTAATTCGTTTTCGTTTCGCAAGCTTTTTATTCTCACTAAAAGAAAAAAAAAATGAATTTCTGGGGTAATAAGAGAAATGAGAGACGTGGTCCTAAAAGGGCGCAGTGAAATATCTCAAACACGACGTTTGGATTTCAGGCCTAGTGAGGCCCATAAAATGGTCGCTTCTTCACAGCGCGTTGAATTTCCCCATTAAAGGACAACAAAATTAATATTTTATAGCCTGGGAAACTCTTAACTATGTTCATGGGGAGAAAACGGATTTTATATTGAAGGTTTTAAAAGGGACTCTATTTTTTTCCTTAGTAAAATCAGTCAAAAGTGCTTTTTGATGCATTGAAAAACGCTTATGAAATTCTTAATATGCCCAACGTTTGTTTCCCATAATTTTAGTTTCTCGCAGAGTTTCGAAAAAAACAAATCTTAACCATTTAGAATCCTTCCTTAACAGTTGAACTTTTGGAAGCTAAGATTTTCAAAGTATTTTCTCTGAATGGCAGCCTGAATAAAAATGAAGGATTGGAGCGTTGAAGAGTGTCGGCTCGAAAACCCAATACCAATCTTACCAGGTTGGGTTGAACGCAGCTGCAAATTTTTTGTGGAGATCCGTTCATGATGTTCTCAAAAACTTGAACCAGCGTGGTACCACGTAACACTCGGATCTTGGCTGTCCACAAAAAACCTCGAGAAAAACCACGCAGAGGCCTCCTCCGCGAGGCTTACCCAAAACAGGAGGCGTTACTGCAGCACATGTACTTTTGTCACTCACATTTGCTTGTATTCGTCTTGTAAAAGTATTCATTTGAACGGCAATGAATAACCTGTAATAATCGTGAGAATTGCAGTATCTCGCAGAGAAACATCTGAAGACTAACTTTTTTTCGATTTCTTTTTGCCGATAGGAGCACAGATTTATATAATTTTTTTCTTTGTATTCTTCATGAAAGTTTCAGATTTCGTTGCTTCCAATGTATAATCAGTATTGAAGTATCATTTAAAAAAAGTTTATTAACAAAATTGAAAATTTAGTCCGCCATAATTGAAACATAGAGCCAGAATATCAGGCCCACGAAAACACACACACCAAATTAAAATCAGCGCCAGAATGAAAATTGCCACGATTTCCATGGTTGGTCGGTTGAATACTCCATTCCACAGTCGACTACCCTGAAAAAAAAAGTTTGAAAAGGCAAATAAAGGAAAATCACTTTCAGCCGCGATCGAGATTCTGGATCGTACATTTCAAGTCTGACGTTTCGAACTTCCCTGAGATTCTGAAAATTCAAAATTATTTTCGTTTTTTTCCGATTTCAAGAAGAATACTTTTCTCCAATCTAAAATAGAAAGAATTCGAGTTTATGAAAAAAAAAGGTTACAAGGGCATGAAAAATTGCTCCAAAAGCTTGCTAATTGTCTGAAAAGCAAATCAAAAGTTTGAAACTGAGAGTTCTTACGGGCATTTTTAATCAATGAGCATGGGTACTCAAACATGATGTTTACTGACATTAATTACGGGAATTAGGACATAAATTTTCGATTTTTCATTGCACATTGGAGCAAAAAACTTTCTACAGCGGTTTGAAATGAGGCAAACACAAAAAAAGTTGAATGAAAAACTTGACGAAGCTTGAAAAAGCTCAAAAATCGATCCGAACAATCAATATTTTGAGCGAATATGTTGAAACGTTTATAATGGAACACCTTGTCGTGAGTCACGGGCAAGATCTTACGACGATTTTCCACGCCATTCCGAAAAAAAGGAGTTCTCCTTCCATGGGAAACTGTTCTTTTTCACGGAATGTTTTTATGAGGCTATGTCATTGAGAGGTGAAACAACCAAAAATACCTTGAACTCATGTTCGCATTTCTGTTTTCCTGACCTCTGGGATTATAAAAGATAACTACAAAGCTATCAGTCGGTGGAGACCTGGAGAATTTCTGGACTGCGCGCAGTACATTGAAAGCAAGCTTTTGAAACTTTATACGTGCCAAGTGAAGTCACCACTCTTGTTAATTTATCTTCCAGGATTTCTTTTCGAGTAGGAACTTCAGAACTTGAAGTCAACGGACGCTTTTTTTCTGATTTGAGGTTATTTTTTGCCGTTCTTTTTGTCAAAGTTTCCTTTGAGCCACCTGAGCAATTTTGCTCTCTTGAAGCAACCACGTTTCTTTCAGATCCGCTCGTTTCCCTTTGCACCGGAAAAGGGGAACCCTGAATGTTTTTAGGAGAGAAGCGGTTGCCTGGAGAAGCAGAGACGGCTTCATCGCGTGCACGAGAAAACGTACACTTTCATCTTCGAACTGCACTTTTTTGTTATAATATGCCGTAAACTTCTGTTGGTTTTGTTTTCGAGAAAATTTAAAAAAAGCAAAAAAGTGTTAAGATTGTTAGAGCAAAGTTGGAAGTATGAGTGAATGACATCAGAATTTTTTCAAAGTCATCAGTTTCCTTGAATTTTTTTTGTGATCAAAAAAACATCATAAATTTTTGAAAAGTTATTTGTCTTCAAAACGACCCCTAAAGTTCATTTTTAAACTAATAAATTTGGAAATTGTAGTGCCATCATGCTCTGGGTGTTTTTTTGGCTCTAGAGATTTCCACCTGAAAGCCTTTCTTCATAATAAAACTTTCAAGTAATAAAAAAATTTTCAGGTATCCAAAAACTCTTTTCATGGCAGGATACCAGCAGCAACCAATATCTGGTCAGTGTGGTCGAGTTCTATACAAAAAACGTTATCCTCGTATTTTTCCTCAATCTTGATTTCACAGTCAGCCTTTTTCTGAACAGAACATTTTAAATTTGAATCAGTGAAAAATTAAATGATTACGTTTGATTCATAAACTACATGTACAGTTCGACAGTTGAAATTAAACTTCTCAGGATTCACTGGCCATATTCCTGGTGCAAAATGGCAAGTTGGAAGCCGACCGCCCCAACCTTCTCCTTCTCAACAGCCGCGTGACGGTGTGTTTTTTTGATTGCGATTTCCAAAAAAAGTCTCTTGCAGATGTTCCAAACAATCCTCGCACCAGTCGACCTAAAGAAAACCCAACTACCGTATCATTTTCTCAGCTATTTTTTCATGAATTATTTCCTTCAGGAAGCTCAAGATGACGAAGGACCACAGGATTTCAGTGAAATGACAAATGAAGAATTGCGAGAAAGCCTACAACAAATGCAATTAGGCATGCAAAAGTTGAGAAGAGCTTTGTCCGGAAATCTTCATGGAGGTGTGGGAATAAATTTATTCTAACTAAAACTCTTGAAAGTTCAAAAAATATATGAATTTCCAAACGTTTTCATGCTTGTCGCTTGTTTTCTTTCTTGAAATTTTTTGCCTTCAGCGTCAGATGGGATGCCTCAAAGTGCCACGAACTCTGATTTTTCTCTTGGTTTCAATTCTCAAGGCATTCCAATCAGACGGGAGGCCCCTGCTTCGGTATATTAAGTTTGAACGATTCCCAAAACTTTTTGGTTTCAGGACACATCAATTCAAGTGAACAATCGTTACACCCGCTACAATGGCCAAAATGCGTCCAACGCAGCAAATCAAAGGAGCAAAAGTGTTCCAAGAAGTAAGTTTCTGGAACATTCCTTTTTTTTATCTTTGCTCCGTCTATTTTTTTTTCCAATTTGTTTATTCCATGTTATCTTCTGAAAAGTGAAGATTTTGCTTTTTATGATTTCAGAAATCGAGAAAGATCCATTCGAAGGTATCGAGGCAGGCTGGTGGAGTAAAGGCGAGGTTCAGAGAAACAAGGTTTTTTGAACTCTCTACCCTACTTTTTTCCCTAACATTTTCCTAATTTCAACCTGACTGAACGAAATCAAAGCAATTTAAGGAAAGAAGAGAAATAGCAAACAGAGGTCGTGCGGTCGCAGGTGGGGACTGGCAACAGTTACCTCCAAGTCCAGTCAGCAATAGACGGCGATACCAAGTAAGCCTTAGGGTTTCACTTGAACAAATGAAAATTTCAATCGTTTCAGGCGCAGCGAGAAATGGATGAAGACGACATCCCAACAGCCGGATACAGCGGTCATATTCAAGGTATGTCGACAATATCGTGCTTGTTAAGAAACAAAGTTCGACTGCTTCTTACTACAGACGTTTTTCAGCACCTTTTGAACTTTTGATGATACTTTTTTAAAGTGTACTTTAGAACCTCCTGATTCCGGAACAAGAGACAAAATTTCTCAGAAAACATCTTATTCCGATTTCTGAAACGTCAACTATTAAAATATAAGCACGACAAAGAAAACGCTCCTTTAAGTTTTCGAAGCGTCCTTAATCGGAAACCAGATCTCTCCTATATAAACCCTAGATTTCAAAAAAAATGGTCTGCAGAAGGAATAATTTCAGGTATGCGTCAGCTTGGCATAGGTAAACCTTTCAATGTGGCTGCCAAACAAGCTAAACAAGAATATATCGAGCGACGTAAAGCCTATAACAGAAGCCACGGTTAGTATTTAAAATAAAAAACGAGTCAAACTCAGAAAATCAGATCAAATATTCGGAGACCGGTCCGCAATACGCTTCAACGACAATCCATCTTGAACTTGTTAACTGAAATTCTATTCACCGATGATCAAGATATACGATGCATGCCACGCCGAACTTTTAGTTTGCATTTTTTTTGTCAGCTTCTGATTGTTTGGGTTACCACCATGACTTTCACAAAGCTCTGTGTTTTATGAATATCAATCTGATAAACTTGTTTTCAAATTGGGAATATTTGAGTTCTTAAAACAGACTTCGTTTTTGAATCGTTACATGGAATTTTTAATTTGAGGCGGGAAACTGTCTTATTTCACATTTAAAGTAGCCTCAAAGATCATCTGGAATATTTACACATTTTTCCGTCCAATTTGCTATTGTCTTAAATTTTTTTATGACTCGAAAATGGTTTTTTTCTAAACATTCATTTCTTTTGAAACCATCTAAAAAAATTCGGTTTTTTTCCAGTATCTTTTTTTCAGCCCTATGGATTGCTCGCAAACTTTTGCCATATATGTGAGGTTGCCGTTTCAACATACAGGTAGAATATCACAATTCTCAAATTTCATAGTATATCCAAGTTTCGTTGAGATTACCTAACTTTGATGAAATTTAGTAAAAAAAGGTTGATTTCTTTTTCGGCGGTACTGTATCATTTTGGATAGAGTGTGAAAAACGTTTATCCTGAATCCACAAAACAGAGAGAGCCAGCCTAAAAGTCAACAGGGTTGCTCTAAAAGGCCATGAACGAATGGCCGACAGGTTGCCGGTTGTCTGGAAACGGTCGGAAATGCGTCATCAACGGCGGCTTCCGGCCCGGTGTTATGCCAGACGGCGGCGACCCGGTGAGTCATGGCAAACATTTTTCATGAAGCTGGACACTTCAACCGCCGGATGACGTGAGCTTCTGCTAAATACAAAAGCCTCTGCCCGACGCTCCATCCGCATTTTCTCATTGCTTCTGGGTGAAAATCATTTTCTTTCTGGCCAGTACTTCTGTGTTTAATTTCAACCATTCTTATTTATCTCTATCAAACTTCCGTGACTATTTTTGTTTGGAAATTGGCAAACAGCTCACAAAAGGAAAAGAAGGTTTTGTATGGCTCAAATCGTGTTTTGTGCAGGTGCTTAAGACTCATCAAAACACCTGTTGTAAGAAAGCCGTCGAGAGCAAAGAAAACTGAGTACCAGTCCCTAGAACTGAAATTGGAAGTGTCAGCTTCGATATTTTCATTTGGAAAACTTTTTAAGAATGGCACTTTGTCTGAAGCTGTGATAAAAGATTAAAAGATGCTTGAAATTTTTGGATAAAAAGTTTGTTTGGTAATCTTCTTTTTTGAATATTTAGAAGGATTTGAAGTTACTCCTTGATTTTTGGAGCCTGAATTGTATACTTTACAGTTTTTTTGATTTTTTTCTTTTTCTAGACGAAGTTCTATTAGCTACAGCTTAAAAAGTCAAGTTTCATTTTTTTAGAAGTAAGTAATTTCTTCTCTGCCAATCGAATTTTTGTTTCGAAGAATTAAAAGATTGAAAAATATTATTTTTTTAAGTCTATGACTGTTGAAAAAAAACCGGTGTTATGTACCTGGAAGTTGTCTGAGCGGCGACGCTCGCCAGTCAAAACAAGAGATCATGAGGAGTCGCCGAGAAGGGCGAGCTTGATATTTTTGGCGCTCGTTCTCCTTCACCCTTCACCTCGGCGCCAAGGCGAAAAACAAACCAGAAACAGCTCGACGCAGTCGCACAAAAGCCTAAAACAATTGTGAAAATGAGCAAGGAGGCAGCGTTCAGAAATCGGAGTCGCCGGACCGATCAGCCTGACCGTTGTTTGCCGCGGGCGGCGTCTCATGCACGCCCTCAGGCCTCTCGTCTTCCTACTTGAGGGCCGGCTGTTCGAGTTCGTGTATCCGACGCACCGTTTCGGGAAGAGACGCCTTCTCCGTTCTAAACGTTTGCTCGCGGCTTTTTTTTTTGGGAAGGGCTTTTGGGACCTAGGCCTTCCTGATTTTATTTGTCGCTCCGACGACGCTGCTTGAAGGTTGGCCACTTTCTATTCTTATTTGAGATCCTATGCTGAAGCTTTTCCTTGTAGATATTTGTTTTCCTCGGTTGTATTATATGTTAAAGATTGATTATAAATCACACTTTTTTTACTATGGTACCGTTGAGAATCGTTTTTTTGCCCTATATTCAAGTGGTCTGAGATATATAAAAATTCACTCAGATTCCTTTATACAGAAAAAATCAAACATAAATATTTTTCACTTAATCCTTATCAATCGTGACTTTTATCCGATTCGAATACATAATTTTTTTCAAATTTCAACTATTTCTTTCAGAATCAGCTCAGACTATGCGCTTATTCATACCGCGATGGTCAATTTTGGTGAGTTCGACCCTTTTGAGACTGTCATAATAAAAATTTCCAGCTACCAGCGGTTTTTTTGACTGTCAAAGCAAGTCTGGAATGCGATCCAACGTCAAACGTGAAGAAAATTGACCCATCAAACCCAGAATCGTATTTGTATTGTAATTTGGAAGGGTTAGTTTGATATCATTCATTTTGCTCCTTATATTAATTCCCGAGATGCCCACAATAATTAATATTTTATAGCTCTTTCTCGAAACGAAAATGCTTGGGCGGCAAAGTTTTCAACGCGGAAACAAGCGAATGTGAGCTTCTGCGTCAGTCGGACTCTCCAGTCGACAATTTTGATGATATTTTCTCACAACCTTTCTATCAAGCTCCAGGTACAGTTTTCCTGTATTTGGAATAAAAGATCCGTTTCAGATGACCTTTGCGGATCTGGAATTCCGTTGACAATTTTATCAGCTCCTGTTGTGTGTAATCCTTCCATAAGCAGTTGTCCAGATGGTAAATTTTTGTGAATTCGTTGAATTTTTTGGAAATTCTTAGAAAAATTCTAGACTAAATAATTTTCAGGCTACGTTTGCCGTCTTTATGAACGCACAGGAACTTCCTATTGCTGTCAAAACCCATCACCAACGAGTGGATCGACCAGCAGGAGCAACGACCGTATCACCTGTGGAGAAGGAAGGACAACATTCATTGAGGTATAATATGAAAATCGAGCTTAGTTTTGTTTTTCATGCTTAAAACACACGAAGTTGAATGATAACCGTAAAACTGAAAAAAAATGGTTCATAGAAGAAAAACACTTGTTTTTTATGTGCTCGGAAAAGTTCATAAGCTCATTTCTGGTCAATATTTGCTTCGAAAAAACAGAGAAATGTGCGCGATTCCTCTTGGGTGGTCTGCTCAGTTGCCAGGGACATTTTTCTTGATCTATGAAGATTTTCTCAATCATCGTTCCATTAATGTAAACCTCCGCAATACAAACAAAACTTTCCATTTTGAAATTTGAGACGTTTTCTTTTTTTGATCACTGTCCATCGAAAGAAAAAAACTATGCCGTTTGGATTTTATTTACACAATAAAGCAGTCGGGAACGGATACGTCCTTCTTGAGATTTTATTTGGAGACTCCGCAAACATCAATTTTTTCTCAATCAAAAAGTGACGATGAAGAAAAGAAAAAACACAGAATAAATTATCGATTTTGAGCTTTCATCGGGAAAACCGCGATCTTGCGTCCTTTCCAACGCCGCGTCTTGTCCTACAGGTTTTGCGTGTACTCTCGTTTCTGGAAGTACTACTAGGTAACTTTTGTTGCTTTTTCACATAATAAAAAGCTGAAAAATCAAAGATGCTGTGCAAAGGATCTCGGCTGTCCTGCCAATTCAGCCCCTCAACTACGTCCCAACACTGCTTCTCATGTCGAATGTTCATCTCAAATGTCAGTTTTTTGTTTGGATCATTCTCTCCAACTCATTGATTCAGGCAGTGCCAACAAGGCTTCTCCTGCCTGAAAAGCACTTATCTGAACAAGAACATTTGCTGCTCGGAAAACGACGGAGAAAGCAATGGTTCATTTGTCGAAATCACTTCTCCTATTTTTGAACTCTCAGGAACTTGCCCTAATGGAGAAGAAGCTCTTGGAGGTACAACTTGCTCGGCTTCCAAATCCTGTCCTACCGGATTTGTGTGCAACAACGAAAAGTGTTGCCCATCTACTGGTGAGTCGAGAACCAGTTTTATCGAAAAATATTGGAATTTTTCGCAGGCTCATGCCCAGTTGGATCGCCTTTGGGCGGTGGACCGATGACATGCAGTGAAAAGTCGCCTTGTTCAGAAGGTTACACTTGCATCACTACCAATGGAGCTCAGTTTTGCTGTCCCTCAAAAGGTTTGCTTTCAATGATATTCTAACGCAAATTCGACTAACTTTTCAGAGAAAGTGTGCATTCAGTCGAAGAACGCCGGCGTCTCCTGCGCTTCTAATCGACCTTCTGTAACTCGTTATCATTTCGACAGAGCGACGGGTACTTGCAGATCTTTCAAATACAGGTACTTTTCCTTTTTTAATGTATTTTAATTTTCCTCTCGGAATCCAATCCCTGCAAAAAACTTCGATTTTTAAAGAGTCAAAAAGTGGAAAATAAAGTTTTTTTTTAAACTTTCGCAGTTGGTTCGTCTGGCGTTTTTTGAGCAGGGAATATGAAAAATTATGAAGGAATTGCTATCTTTCGAACTCCAACTTAACCCTCGGCTCTTGAAACAGCAAACTAACTTTTGACTTCGAAAATTTTCCTATGAAAATCTGAAGAATATTTAATCAAAAGTAGAACGCTGAAAAAAGAAGCTGGTGAATTGAGAAGTTCTGAATGAAAAAAATTTCATTTCTTAACAGAATTTTTTAAAAGAAGCTACTTACAGCCAATGCGGAGGAAACGCCAACAACTTCCACTCGTTAGAAGAATGCGAAGGATTCTGCGTAGATACGCAATGTCCCAACGGACAGGCGTTCCGCGTCGGAGCCGTCAATGCCGCCTGTGCACTCTCCTCACTCGACACATGTCCCAAGCAGCACTTCTGCCAACAGCCGCTCTTTGGCCCGAGTCCTATCTGCTGTCCGACGCCTGAGCAAACATGCAACGAGATGGTGTCCGCCGGGACGCCTTGTTTCGGCCGTTCTCTCACTTTCCAGCGGTTTTACTTCAACCCGTCTACTCAGTTAGTTTTATTGATTTGTTATGTCATTTTTTTCTAATGCGGAATTTGGAAAATTTGCCGCCGTAATGAGAACCTCACAGGACAATAGGACATTTTAGGATTTTCTGATTTCATATCATAATAAAACATTAAACAGTTTTTTAAATTTTTTTCTTCAGAAAATGTCAGCCCTTCCAATATTACGGATGCAATGGAAATGGAAACAATTTTGAATCGGCTGAACAATGCAAAAGCTTCTGTCTTCACGCTGTCGATAGCGGTGAATTTTTAAATTCAACTTGGGCCTTTTGGAAAATATCAAAAGTTCACTAGACGTTCCATTTTCAGTGTGCGGAGGACAAGCTCCTTTGATGAACCCTAACCAGGAGCTTCAAAAATGCAGTACGAATATCCCTTGCCCCAACGGCTATGAATGCAACGACGCGTCTTTCTGCTGCCCAACTTCCGGTAAGTCTGATCATTCTTTCAAGATTATCCAACCAAATGTTTCAGCGACAGCCTGCAGTGCTGTTCTTTCCAAAGGCAACTCCTGCAAAGGCTCCACCCAGCGATCGATGTGGTACTACGACAAATCTACCCAAAAATGCTCTCAATTCGTTTATAACGGTTTGAGATAAAATCTAATTTAAACAAGTATTTTTTTTTCATTCAGGTTGTGGAGGTACTCCAAACCGATTTTATTCCAAAGGAGCCTGTACGGACGCTTGCGTTCAAGCGAACCTCTTGGGAAGCTGTCCAAGAGGAATGAGTCCTTTCATTGACAATGGAGAGACCACTCCCAAGGTGAATTCTTTGCCATCAAAAAAAAAATAATAATGATAATAACAGGCCTGCACGCTCAACGTCCGAGGAACCTGTCCAAACCAAGCTTCTTGCGTTAGATCCACCACCAATCAGCCCATTTGCTGTCAGACGGTCACTGCTTGTCCTCAAAACCGTACTCCATACCTCATTCCGGGTATCCCTTTCTCAAATCATTTTTAGGTATTTTTCTTTATTTCAGGATCGAACTCTGTGGTATCTTGCAACAGCGAAGGAAATGACTGTCCTGATAATTATTCCTGTTTGGAGTCGAGGTTTTTAAATCACCACTTAAAAAAATAATAAAAAAATTATTTATTTTTTTCCAGTACTGCACCTGGATTCCACATGTGCTGCTCTTCCATTTCTTCACAAAGACCGACACGCCCAAGAAACAGCAATGTCAGTTTCAATTGAAATATTTCATCGCACACCTTTCTTCATTAGATCCGTAAGCCATACGAGCCTGATACCTTGGCTGAGCTCATCGAAAACGTTTCTCCTTGCCCACCTCACCTCGTCAGCAACGGACAAACTTGCACCGTCAACGCTCCAGGTGAGCTCGACAATTCTCCCAAAAAACGTACTTTTCCGCGTGAAATTAGATACATTGAGAAACAAATTTAGGGACATTGGCCAACAAGTTTTTAAGATTAGATAAACTTATTGCACAGCTCCATACATACAGTACTCCTTCTTGAAGATATTATATTCCTCTAAAATGTTTCAAAAAGTCTCGGAAAAAGTCGCTACTTTTTTTGAGAACGTAAAATTAATCAGAACGTCAAGGTAATTTTTTTATATTAAACTACATCAAAAAAATTTGATATTTAATGCTGATTGAAATGCAATAATTTTTAACTTTCTGATTTATCCGATCAATAAATTTCAATTTCGCCACTTCTGCTGTTTTCTGAAGAATAAGCTGATTTTCCAATAAGTATCGTAGTGCGCGTGGAGATCGTAAAACTGAACACAAGCTGTGAAAAACTGATTTTAAATTCAAAAAAAACCTCTTTTTCTAACGCCTATGTTTTACAGGAGACTGCCCATCAAGTCACGTTTGCTTCCGAGACGTTGGCTACGAGTACGGATCCTGCTGTCGAACCACTCCTCCAAAGTGCGCTTTGAAGGGTTATGTACCCGTATTCATCGAAAAAACCCAGGTGGAATATTTCTTATGCTTAATATCACCTCAAAGCCTTTTCAGGTTCAAATCTGTCAAGTAGATATTGGAGGCTGTCCGAAGGATTCTCGATGCATGACTTCGAACGTGGCAAAACTATCGATCTGCTGCAAAGTCTACACCCCACCACAGCCTGCTATAAACCGACCGAACAAAGCTGTAAGTGTATTTTTGAATCAGGGAATTGGATAAGTTTATTGATTTTCAGGGAGCCGTTTCTAACAGACAAGCCATTTGCGCCAACGGCGAAAGGGCCTTCACGACGCCAGATAACAAACTTCAAGAGTGCAATTTTGTACACAACACTTGTCCAACCGGATATCAGTGAGTTTTTTTATCGATTAACTTTTCCTTCATTACTTTATCAAATAGTAACTAAAAAAATGCTCCCTTTGGCCGCTGAATTTATCAACTCAAAATGTTTCCTAAGTTTTTCAATTATCTTCACTGGAAGACATCAGAGGTTCGACTTCTCTTTGGAAGTTCAACTTAAGAAAAATCAATTGATAAGTTGAAGGAAAATAAATAGCATTTATTACGCGCAGAACAAGTGTACGGTAATTCGAGTCCGCAAAAGGTCGATGGTGAGAAATACGAACCTTTCCTTGCGTCTCTCAATTCGGTGGTTCCCTAGGAGTTTTTCAAACGTAGATTGGATTTTCGAAGCACGAGAGAGTCAAGCCAAATAAAGAGATTACTGATCAGCCTCAAAAATTTTCGGAAGTGTTGGTAAAAAAAAGCGATTAAATAATTTGAATGATGTATCTGATAATTTTTGCTATTTTGAATCTCACAAAAATTATCACAAAAAACTTGTTTTCTGTAAATTTGATAAAAAAACACATAGATCGGACGTCGTAATTCTATCATTAGAGGATGAAGTCCACTGAGGTTGATGGAATACGAAATTTGTGGAATTCCAGATGCGAGTTCTCTTCAACGGGTCAAGCCGTATGCTGTATGAACGCGAATTCGATCCGTTGCCCGGCCGGCTCTTCTGTCTTCGAATTCGGAGGTCGCCCACTCGCCTGCCCTCCCGGAAGCAACAAATGTCCTGCCGGTTACGCCTGTCTTCCTTCTCAAAATCCGCAACACCATCTGTGCTGTTCGACGGGAATCGCCGTCACCTCACAGCCCCAGTGTGCCCGCGGCGTGGCCTTTGTTAATCCAGGTGAGAGTTTGGTGCGAAATCATCACCTTGAAACACAAAAAGTTATTATCCTTACTTTTTCGATCATATATTATTTCATTAAAAAAATCAGACTGTTTTATTAAGCTTCCAATGAGTTTGAAAAAGTTACATCACAAAAAATTTTAAAAAAAATTCAACGATTCTCAATCAAATCAAAAGAAAAAAAAAAACTTTTCATCGAAAAATGGTTTCAGCGACGAACCAACGACAATTCTGCAATCCGCATGCTAGCGACTGTCCTGCTGGATATCACTGTTTCGAATCGGACAGTCCTACGCAGTTCATCTGCTGTACCCATGGCGATTTGAACGACCGTTTCAGAGGTTATTTTTTTCTTTGACCATTTTTTTTTTACTATTTGAGAGAAAAAACTTGGAATAATTAGTAGAGTTAGGCCTCTGAAAGGGCTATAGCTTGAAATTTTTCAATATTATTTTTTTATCTAGTTGTTGGCACAGTTTTAACGGTTTTCTCTGTGTCTTTTTTAAGTTTCTCACTTCTCTTTTTCCAATCAGAAATGGCAAAGTATTATTTTAATAACTATTCTTTTTTAAAGGTTATTGCCCACCTCGCCAAGTTCCATACGTCTCACGAGACGGATTCCCACCAACATGCCACATGCAGTTGAATCCTTGTCCGACCACTGCGCCCTACATTTGCATCTACTCTCCAGAAAAGCAGGTAAGCTTTTTTTGAATAAAGATCTTAAAAAGCGCAGTTTCATATTGATGAAATAATTCTCCAATTACTTCAGGATTCTTACTGCTGCGCTCCCATCGATACCGCCGTTCGATCTTACATACCTGACAGAGCCTCTGCTTCGCCCATGAAAAAAATTGGAACAGGTTTTTCTCAGATATTTTAAATGACCTTCAAAAAAATTATCTCTAGGAGCCGATTACGGAGAACATCTTGGTTTGCCAGAAGCTCCCATTTCCAACGTGCCTGGTATGACACAAACGTTCCCAGGAGGTCCGGCAGCTCCCGGGATGGGTCCTGTCGCAATTCCTGACCCTATTCCAGGCGTTGACTCTAAACTGGTAGACTTGAATATTTGAGTTTGGTTGAGCGCTCATTTTCTTAGATTTTGCCGCCTGGCCTCGCCAACAGTCAATTGAACAACCAGCCGACCATCGAGAACAAGAATCAGCCGAGTGGAAATTTGTTCGAAAATAATGGAAATAGTGGACCTAAACTCAGTGGTCTTCCTGTTGGTGTAGTTACCCAGGTGAGCCATTTTTCGATTTAATGATAACGTCGTATAAGATAAGACTGTTAGGACTTGAATGAAAAGAAAGGAAAAAACTTTAATGGAAAGTATAAATGAAAAGGGAGAGCACCCTGCTATGAAATAAAGAACTTAACAGGAAAAATAAAGTAAGCCAAAGAAAAAAAAAAACAAATTATCGAATTTGAGGTTGGCGGCTTCACTGGATTCGGAGAGCAGTCGGGCGGATCAGGAGGCTGTCCACTGGGCTCTCGACCTCTGATGGGCATGGACCGACAAGTTGCCGAGTGCTCTCAGCAGCCTTGTCCGGAAGGATTCTCGTGCGTCTTCGCTGAGAAAGAGAACCGTTTCCAATGCTGTTCGTCGTCTTCCATCATGCTCGCCATGGGCCGACCCACTGGGGAGGCTACTCCGACGCCAACTCTCGCCAACAATCTTGAATGCCCCCCAGGATTCTTCATGATTGACGGAAAATGCCTGAAAGGTTTGTTTGTATTTTTCAAAACGCCAGCTCCGTTTAACGTCACTCTGCGTTTCGAAAAAAATATAAAAAAATTATATTAAAACTGAAACCAAAAAGTTTTTCCAAAAGCAAGAATTTCAGAGCCATATTATTATATAAGTCTTTTTCTAACTGTCAAAAAAAAGCGTTTCAAGCGCGCTCACAGACTATTTTTCAATGGAAACTATTTTTAAATGAGAGAAGAATTTTTGGCCTCTACTAGCGAGTTCAAGCACAACTGAGTTTCCAAACTTTTTTTTTTTGATTTTCGATAGTATTCTGCAAAATGAAATGTTTTCAGTACTGTTCGCTGGACAGAAAGGCTGCGTTTCCGACGATCAGTGCAGCAACAGAGAGCCTAATGCAACCTGTGACAGCGGCTATTGCATCTGTCCCACCGGAAAACCGTTGGTCCACGGTGGAAGATGTGTCGCGACTTGCCCGGAAGGCTTCGCCAACATTGCTGGACGGTACCTTCTTCAAAAGGTCGATTCAGCCCTAATTCATGCTTTTTTCTGCAGATGCTACGATCCGACAACGGTAATCTTCATGGACTCCGTCGACGAGCGAAGCAACGGAACTATCGGCGGATACTGTCTGGATACTCTCATTGAGGAGAAAAGGTATGAAATCTTCAAAAACACCTTTTGAGAAAATCGTGCTTTAGATGCAATGTCGAGCACAGCTACTGTTCTGAAAAAACGATCACTTGTCAATGCATGCCTGGTTTCGATTTAGACATGGACTTTGACAACAAGAACGACAAGGTTGGAGGGAAATATCGAAGATAAACGGAAGAGCTTTGTGTTTTAGGGTAATTGCAAGAAGAACAGCAACTCCAAGTTCTTGAACTCCGAGCTTGGAACGCCTCCGCCGGCGGACGACGAACTTTATTTCATTGACATAAGTTGGTTTTCAAATCATTTTCGAGCACTAAATATCACACCTCGCTACAAAAGCCTTCGTTTCAGGCTCCATGGGAACCGATTCCACAGGAAACGAGACAGAGAAAGCGAATGAAGATTTGACGAGATACCTCTTCCAGGCTGACGAAATGGTTCCTGTTTTCGCCTAATTATTATGATCAATCTTGGACTTTCTAATTTTTAATAATTCCTATTTATTTTTTTATTTATTCCTTGCTTTCTGTAAATAATGAGATTTTTTTCTTCAAAGATTAACTACTTATCAATAAATCGCTCAAAAATATGCTTTTTTTAACTTTTTGATTTATTCAAAACGGGAGCGTGTGATATAATGCCGACTGATCACTGTTGTCATATTATTTCTTGGAGTAGATTTTATTTATTCGATTATGCATTTTTTTGTTAATAAAGAGTTTATTAAGGAGCATGAAAAAAAAACCGGAAACAGACAACAACGAAACTCCGGAAAAAAGGCTTGAACTCCAAAAATGAGGTGGCGTTTTTCAGAGGTATTACAAATAAAGCGAAATTTTTGAAAGATTGATGTGAAAGAAAATCGGTTACTTACGTTTAATATTGAAAGAAAAAAAGTTATTTCGGGTCCACTAAGCGTTCCAATTTTTTTAATCATTGAAAGAACATAAAACAAAAACAGTAACAAAACAAAAAGTTCAAAAAAGATTAATAGAATGACATGTTATTTGAGAGTAAACCCTCAAACAAGCTGTTCGAAAGACAACGAGCGATGATATAGATGTTAAACTAAACGTAGACTTTTCAGTTTATCCGAAGAGCTAGAGCCAAGTTTTCGAAGAGGATTTCTAAGCAATAGCCGGTCCGACCTGGAAAAATGTGGTCAAAGAAAAAAAAAATTTGCAAAGAATACCCAATTTCTGATGTCGTCGGTCAGTTTTGTCTCGAAGAGAGCTTTCCAAAAATAAGAGGCGAGATCCATGTCGCCGTTCTTCTTATAAATCTTGTGCATGAAGAAGAAAACAAGAACAAATTCATTTTTCCAAATCGGATGAAGGCTGCTGTTTTCCACACAGTAAACTTTCACCAGAGATTTCATGATCTGAAACGTCAAAAATTTGGGATTTACTCGTAAAAACGTCTAGAAGCATGATTTTCTAAGAGGAAGGAATGAGGGAACACACCGCTTCACAGCCTGTGATCAGCATCTTGTAGTCGTGAATAGTCAGAAGAGGTTTGATCAGAGTGTCGAAGGCTGCAACAAGAGCCGCACAGGGCGAGAATAACTTCCGGGTCATCGACAAAACCTGGAACCGAGTTATTTGTATCGTAAAATGTTCAATGAAAAACTTGTCAAACTCACTTTGTTTTGCTCATGACACGCCATGTAGTTGAACACATAGGCGACAGTTTCTGAGAACTTGTAGGCGTTCATTCTCAACGTTTCGTACCTAATCGCGTGCGCCACCTGAGAAGAATTGAATTCGCCTATTTTTTCGATAATTCATAAAATACTGTTGTGGTAATCAATTGGTTGCAGGTGTACAGAAGCGTGTCGCCCATGAAAAAAGAACACTCGAAGTTAGATGCGACGCCTCAAATTTCCTTTTTGGATTAAAATATGAATCTACATTTGCAATTAGCAAGTTTCAAGCCAAGGCATTTTGACTCGAGATCAAGGTCAAAGTGAGGAAAGGTTTGGATTCATTGAACTAATTATGAAAAAAACTAAAATTTTATAAAAGTTTATTGAAAACAGTTACCTTCCTTTTCGAGCGTAATGCCAAACATCAATCTATGAAAAACAGAACACGCGGCAGTGCTGATTGCCATCTGAAATTCGTCTCTTTTTTTTTGCCTGCTCTTGACCCCAACTGACCGAGACGCTCTTCATTCCCGAAGACATTTCCAGAATACTGCACAAATTCAGCAGATTCTCCTCAAGCAGTTCAAGTTCTTGACCGTCTCCGGTTTTCGAGGTTTTGAGAGAGTTCAGAATGATGATCAAGAGATGCCAGCGGACCAGGCTGTTTTCGAAAGGAGGAACCTGGAAACTTTCGGCTATTGAGGAAAAAGTTATCAAAAAAAAATAGGATTTGTTTTTTCCCTGAAATGGTGAGAAATCTCACCGTCGACGACTTCACAATATCGAGATAGAGGTGAGTGAACTGATTCATAAGAAAGATATCTTCGCGACTGAGATAACCCTTAAAAAATTGTAGAAAGTTTCAAAAAAGCTCGATTCTCCTATAAACGTTTCATAAAAGGACCTACCTTAACGGAGCAAAAGTTCCGGAGCATGGCACCTGCGACGATGGTCCAAATAAGCAGATGAATTTCTTCCTGCCTTGCTCGATTATTCACGTGATTGATGACGTTGTAGATGATTTCTTGGTTGTTGCCTTTGCACCAAAATTTAATATAATTGGAAAGCAACGCCGAATATTTATAGCGAATAAGGGTCCAAAAAGCTTCTTTATGTTTCTCAGTCACGTCGATTTGCTCTTGTCTGTAAAATATTAAAAAGTTGAGCGGACTTTTTCTGCGAATTTTGTAGAGAATTTCATGATTTTCAGAGCTGAATAGGTAGAGACTGCAAAGCTCCGCCCCTTTTTTGCGAGAGAGTATTGATTTGGGATTTCGGTATTTGTGTTTGCCGTACAAACGCAATATTTTACCAAATGAAAAGAAAATTGATGGAAATATACAGAAAAATCTTCTTTTTCCATCTTCTGTACTTTCTAGTCAGTTCGGATGCGCACTAATTTTTATAGCTCCCTCAAAATCCTCCTCACAAAGCTGACTCGAAAAAAGTTTTGGTCGCAAAGCTTTAACATTAATTATTTCTTTCCGTTAGAAACTTTTGAAAATTCGTCCTAAACTCACGTGAATGTGAACAAATTAGCTTGTGGAGCAATAGTGAAAATGTGATTGTTTTCCGTCACGGGAACGTTTTCAATGCGTTCATCCTCCAGGTCGGGCCCATTGTTCTCGGAATCCATTTTGCAGGTGAAGAGGCTGAAATTCTTAAAACTGATCTCGATTTTGTAAACGTACTCTTAAAACGTTTTTAAACGATAGAAAGAACAATATAAAAGCCCTTACAGTATGGATTGACCAGGAAATCCGGCTTTTCATTGAAATTTCCATCGCCATGTCTCATCAGATAACTTTCAGTTGGGAAAGCGAAAAATTTTCGAAAATTGAGAAGAAAAGTTTTTGAATTTGAAACAGAAAAAAGAAGCAGGCGGACTTTTGAAAAGCTGCTTTTCTGCTAACTTGATAGGTTCACCTAGCGAATTTCGTCAGAAAATACCGTATAGAGTTTGAGAAAGCAAGATGAACAAAGTTTTCCAGAGAGCTATTGTAAGGATGATACAGAAGGTTCATCTTGAAAACTAAAATTTCAAAAGAAGGAGCGCAGCACCAATTTGAAACAGTGAAGGAGGAAATGTGAGCGGTACGTCGCCGAGTCTCGCCGCCGGACAATCGTTTGCCACCATAGGCGTTGCGCCATTACCGTTTTTTTTTGCGCTTTCTCATCTAGCCGCCAAAAATGTTCGGATGCAAACGTTTTGCTGGAGTAAGACGGACAAAAATTTGAATTTCCTAGCGCTATTTCTGAATCACAAAGACTGTACTTGCGAAGTTGGTAGTTACAATAAAATAAAAGTTTATGTGAGAAAGTCGGGATAGCTCTTCAAAGGATTTGCGCAACATTGGAGAATAGTAGACTCAACTGTGTTGTCAACCTGACACGTTTTGTGAAAAGGAAGAATGAAACAAAGAAAGGTTCGAAATTCGCTGGCAATTTTTTTTGAAGCTCACGGCAACTCAAACTTTTTGGAACAATCAAACAATGAACGGATGAGAAGGACGTCAAAACAAAGAGCGCGCGAAAAGAACTTGCGTACGTTTTCCCATTCACAAATGACGGTTTTCTTTCTAGTTTCGGAATAAACAACGCCTGGCAAATTGAGAGCAAGTTCTACATCTGGCAAATGTTCCAAAGGAAGATCTATGCAAAACAAGGATATTCATGATAGAGTTTTTTTGTATTTTTTTGTGATTTGGATTCAATTCCACCTGTCAGCATGGGTCAAATTTTTCGACTTGGAAAAACATACGATCAAAGCATGGAATTTTTCGATGCGAAAAAGTTTGAGAAAGATTTTTATATCAAAACTTTCTGCAAATATGGGCGCTCAAAAAATGTATTTGAGTTTCCAGTGATTATTTTTTACAAATTAACAAATTGGAAAATAGGCGGAGCGACCTTTCTGTCCCGCACAAAAACTGAAATGGAAAAAGTTGGCAGTGGGCGGAGGGACGGAACGAAGGGAAGAACGGTCCATTTCTCATTGTTGCTCCATTTCGTGGTACTACGGTAACTGCGACCTTTCCGGCTAGAGAAATGTTTGAGCTTGGAATTGGTCACGATGATATTGGAATAACATCTTCCTACTGTCTTCATTTCTGACGTGATAAAACCTCTGGGAAAAGTCAATAAAAGAAGAAGAGCAGGAAAAATATATTTCGTTTTGGTTTTTTCTAAGCTTTGTTTATGTAGAGTTTCAATGAAGAAACGACCTTTTCTTTGAGATCAAGGAGAGTTTTCTGATGCTTTAGTTTTTAATTTCCATGAATTCCACCGAAGTTATCATGTTATATAGATGATTAAGTTAATGAGGTGGGAAAATGAAGAAACTTCAACATTGCATTAATCATCTCTTGAAAGCGAGTTGATTTAATTTCAGCGAGAATAATTGGAGCACTGTCTTCTTAATGAAAGTTCGAAGGAAACTGCTTGAGATTCCAAAAAGCCAAAACTGAGAGCAAATCGGGACGATCTGTTTTTATTGACGTTTCAAACCTTTTTTTATCATCTTCATCAGAAAAAAATAAATACTAAGAAAAGTTTAAAGAAAGGATTCGTCAGAAACGCCGCCGACGAAAAGTTCGCTAGCGCAATGATAAAAATCAAAAAGGTCGTTTTTATACAGTTAAAACATTTTCATTCGGACCATCGAAGTAAAATAAGCATCCTTGCGAGTCTTTTTCAATAATAGAGAAGCTTATTTTCGGCTGTACCCAAGTCTGAAGACAAGAAGAAAAAAAAACGCTCAATCAAGGAAACTCTGAAAATTCCGATTTTTTCCCAACACACGTTCCAAAGCTTATTCTAAGCTTGCTTTTTTTTTGATCATACTCTCAATTCCGTTGGTTTTTATGTAGTTATCCACGTTCATTCTAACTTCATCCGGATTTCAACTTTCAATCGCGACGTAAACTTTTGTAATGCGGATTTGATGTAGTTTGGCTAGATAAAATTTTTTTCCAAAATGAGTTTAATTCTAGGTCGCTGGACCATCGTGGGCTTTTGGTTGTGACTGAAAGAGAAAGTTCAAAAGAGTTTCAAAACATTCTGGAACTCATCAGCTCAAAAAAATGGAGTTCATTTTACACTCAAACACTTCTCATGCAACATTTAAACCTAGAAGGTTTCTTATTTCAATTTGAACATTATTATCATTTTTTTTCGTCTACGAAATCCTTATAATTTGAAGTTGTTACTATAGCTAATTTAAGGCTGGCCTGAGCCATCGAAAAAAAGGTCATAACACGATAATGCACGAGACAGTGCTTGGCTCGTGGAGGGCGCAGACAGATCACGCCGCTTTCGCGTTCCAAGCTAGCGGTGAATCAGCTATAAAGAAGTTTATTTACGTGCGCTTGTCATATAATAATCATCAAGTTTATTTCTTCGGGCCGTACAACGTTTGTGACAAAATAACAAACGAAAAAACAAATTGAGAAGCGAAAAACTTCGGCAAACACATGAACCCAGAACAGAGGCGGGAACGTAGTCCCTGACTAGCAGGAACATAACCAATTAAGGAAAAGCAACACCTTTTAAACGTTTTTTGAAAAGTAATCGAGTTAAGAAGGTACACTAAGTGAATCTTTCATAAGTTAAAGAACAAATACAAGAGTTAAGGAATTCAGATGATTAACAGGGTTCACGAAAAATATCATTCAAGAATAACAAAGTACATTGTCCATTCTGACAAGATTCTACACATCATGAGACAAAAAAGGTATATCAGTGTTGAGCAGATTGAAAAGGACGCAAAGGGTAGAAAAAAGAGAAATTTCTATGACTTTATCAAGACTGGTTTCACTAACTATTCCAATGAAAAATGGCAAATGTTCAAAATGTTTGGTATAAAGACTGTGAGCACCATTGAAAAAGTCTGCAAATCAAAAAAAAAAGGAATAATTAGAATAAATGCTTTTGATAAGAAAACATAATTAATGCTCACATTAATTTTGCTCAGTTTTCCAATAACTGTGAATGAAAACCGTACGATACAGGTAACAACTTTATGCAAATTAAAAGATTCTAACAGGAAAAATATCGGAAATAGCCCGCTAAGTTCATAAAAAAGCACATTTTGGTTTCCATCGCTCAGGTTGAATTCGCAATACTTTTCTTGGCAGCGACAATCAAGTAATAAAGAGAAGCTAAGGGCTTTGCGGTTCTAAGGAACGGATGAGTCAGAAGTTGGTTTGCGGACCAGCGATTGTCGACGCAGACTTCGAGGGCCGAGTCGATGAAATCCTGTAGGAAGACTCTTTTAATTATTCAAAATAGGCTAGTGGATTCTGAGGACATTTCTCAGAAAATCAAAAAAACAACAACTTTTTTGATCATGGGTTGATAATTTTTCACTATTCAAACTAAATGGATGTGCCATAACTTTCTTTATTGGCTTCGAAGTGATGCGAAATAAAATTAAATGAATATAGTCTGTGTGCCACGACTTGAAATTTCACGGAACGACATTCCGCTGTGCCGCTGCGCGCCTTTGCGAACCTTGGTCGCGTTTTAATTTTAATTTTCTTTTATTGAGGTACTCTTCTTTCATGTGCTCCCACAGCAATAACAATCATTTGAAAGCGTGACCTAAATTCGAAAGACGCTTTGCGAACGCACGCAGAGGAACAGCGGAATGTCGTTCCGTGAAATTCCAAGTCGTGGCACACAGACTATACATTACCAGTTCAAAAGCAAAACCTACAGTTTTTTTTCTGCATTATTTTCGTTTTTTCAATCGTCTTTAAGTACCTAAAAGGACTTTACCGACTGCTGTGATTTTGCCTAACTTCTAAAGGCTTCATTAAAAAACTACCTTGAAATGGTTGGTCAAGCTGTCACGGCCGGGAAAATCGGGTTTTCCATTTGTAGCAATCAGATAAATGGCCTGAAATTGGAAAACTGACACTTAGAAGAAAAAAAAATAAAAACAAAACGCACCCTCAAAGGATTTTCGTTGAGGTAAGGCGGCTCGCCTTCCACCATTTCGATGGCCATGATGCCCAGCGACCAAACATCGACCTTCGGTCCGTATTGCTTTCTGGTTACAACTTCTGGCGCCATCTTTAAAGTATTCAAAAATTATCGAAGGAAGATTTGAATACGACATACCCAATAAGGAGTTCCGACCATTGTTGTGCGCTTGCTTTGTTCAGGGGAAATTTGAGCGCAGAAACCAAAATCAGCTGAAAATTGAGTTTTTATCAGGCTAGAAAATTTATTTTCTTTTCATGATATAAGCCACAAAATAGTTAGACTATGAGTTCGAGTTTTACCCAAAACTCACTTAATTTGACTGATCCATCCATTCCCAGCAGAATATTGTCGGATTTGATGTCCCGGTGGATCACATGACGGCTGTGGAGAAATTCGAGAGCTTGAAGGACCTGCAATTTTTTATTGTCAGTGTATGAGTTGAATTTGAAAAAAGGAAACCTCTCGACAAACGGCCGCAATCATGCCTTCTTCCATCTGACACTCCGTCACGACGTCAGTGAGTGACCCGCCAGCCAGGTATTCCATAACGACCTGAAATACTTTCTTTCTCATGAAGTTCAAATCGTTCAGAAAGCTTACCCAAAGTTCTTCCCCAACTAGGTAGGAATCCAGGTAATTGACAATGTTGGCGTGCTTATTCTCGCGCATCACGAGGATTTCATTGATGATCAGCTCCTTCTTTGGTTGGTCCTGGAAAAACTATTTTCTCAATAAAACTGGCAAGGATACATGAGATTCATACACTTATTGCTTGTGATGATTTTTATTAGGAATTTCCCCATTGTGAGAGAAATTTGTGAGAAAAAGTGAGGTTACGAACATCTTTGTAATTTTACGCTGTGGGTTAGCGGTGAATGGAGTATCATTCAATTTCTCTTTTTTTCATGGGAAAATTCTCGAGTTATAATTTTTATTCAAAAATCTATGCAGTTATTTTTTTCTGTTGAATTGGATCAAAAATTACCCAGTAAAAAAACTTTTTTTATTCCAGGCCGTTTTTTTACAAGAAATTACCTTCAAGTTCATCTGTTTAATAGCAACTTCTGCCCCGGTACTCATCTCGATAGCCGTGAACACAGATCCCGAAGCACTGAATTCAAGGAATGAATTTTTCACAATATTAAGTTGTAAAATTACCCCGATCCGATCTTATCGACTTTTTTGTACTTCCTGTCGGGATTGCCGATAGTGACGATGGTTCGCAGTTTTGCAAGAACCTGACAAAATAATTTCTCTTCTCAGTTCAAAATTGAGAAAAACCTCGGCATCTGTCATCTTTCGTTTTCCTTTGGCGTTTCTTGACTGCACGCCAAATTTACCCTGAGAAAGGTCTGGAATTCTTTCTTCTTCTTCTTTCGGCTTGGTGTACTGGAAAGGAAGGATCTTTTATGAGGTGAAGGGTACGGTAACTCACAATACTAAGCGTTCTGGCCGGTCGGTCAGGAATCGGGGGAGGAACGGTTTCGGCTGGATCCTCGTTGGGCACCGGAGGAGGAGCATAGTTCTGAAGTTGAATGGGTAATTTTCAATTTCAATAAGAGTTGGGCGTTTTCTAGAAGATCTATTTTGACTGTGGATTCCTTAATAAGCTGTGAAACTCGAACTTGTCCGTAATGATGTTTTATATTCGTGATCATCATAAGAAAAATTGCATGAGTCGGGATTTTTTTTGAAGCTGTGTGTCATAATCACAAAAAAAAACTGACCGGTGGCATGCTTGTGCGGTTTTCATTGACGTTTGGCTTGTATGGAGCGTTCACGGGATGGCCATAAGTGTTCGTACGAGGCAGCGATGGCGCCGTCGGTTTGGTGCCGTTCTTGTCTGGAATCCTTCTCATAAACATGTTTCAAGTTAAAGGGTAGTTTTTGGTTTTAAACTTGGAAGCTCAAAATACTACTGAATTTTGGGATGAGAATGAATGAAAATATTTTTTGTTCTCCTATAAGAAAAGTTTGTTTTTTCTAGAACGATAAATGTATTCATTGTTTGCCCAAAAAACTAATTCTCCATTTCAAGAATATGTGGTTTGAAAGAGATGAACACAACAACATGTCGAGTTGCCTTCCTACATTTTATTTAGTCATTTTTTCACTATTTGAAAGGTGAGAGAGGCAGAGAAGGAGGTGGGACGCGTAGCGTGTGCGTAAGCGGTTCTTGGCACAAGTTCAATTCAACCGCTGGTGAAAATTTGGAGAGTTCCTTTATTGCTTTTTCCATTCTTGTTTAAGTTTTCTACTGATTTCATTATCACTCGCGGATCAAAAATAGTAGAATAGATAAAAAAAAATAGTGACCTAGCATTCTAAATAGTCAGTAGCTCTTGAACTTGAATAGAGCCAAGAACCGCGTATCGCTCAATTTTCTGCCTCCTCGCTTTTCATGTCGAGAAGTAATGACCACAACCATCAAAATTAGGAGATGCCCAAACAGCAATTAATCTCATTTGACTCCGGTTTCATTGAGGTAAGTTTTAACGTCTGTTTTTACATAATTAATTACCATAAAAAGTAGGCTGAGAAGAAGCGTGGCTAAAGGAAGAAGCACTGTGAAGCGGCGTCAGGTTGTGACTCTGATGTGGAAGAGAAGACGTGCTGTAGCTCGAGCAGTTCTTCATTCCCGTCGACGCTGCCCACGGCCGAGCCGGAGCATCGTCTATAAACACTGAACACTGTTGTTAAACTGTCAACATACTCGAGTTTCTTGGGAAAGAACTTTTTCTCGTGTTCTTCACTCACGATAGCTCGTGTGATGTTCGAAGGCACTTACTGGGAAGTTTTTCAGAGTTCTTTTTCGGTTATTTTTTAACCAAACAGGCTCGATTTTTTTTAAAATCATGATAAGTTGTAATCTGGTTGAATTTTTTTTTCTGATATTAGTAATCAATTTCGAAAAATTTTATGAAAATTCGATTAGCTACAGCTTTTTCTTCATTTCCAGAAGGAGATTAACGCGCCCTGATTGAGCAATGAGTTACACTCATTGTGAAGAATTGTGTTACCGAACTTGAAATGACTTTTTTTCAAAAATCTATGAAAATTCTAAAACCCCTACACTCAAATGAAAACCTACGATTTCCAAATTTCTCTGCTTTTTTTCTATTAAATTTCCTTTTCAATAAAAATTGAAAAAAATGACGGTCAAGGTTTCTCCCTTGAAGGTAGTTTTTTTGTAACAGCTCATGACAAAACTACAGGTTCAAACATTTGAAAAAAACCTTGCAAAAAAAGACTAATCTGCTCGAATGAATAAATAAAATATCAAGAAGCACTCACTCATATCATACTGGAGCCATTTCTGGCCACTGGGTTCTCCTTGAGTATAATACTTCAAAGCGTCGAGGACGGCTTGAGGATTCTGCTGTTGTTCTTGCTTGGAAATTTGCGAATCTGTGAGAAGTCTTGCCCAAGCTTCTGGCATCCCCTGTAACAATAAAATGCTCAAATTCGCAAATGAAACAATGTTTAGAGGGAAGCTATTGATATTTTTTCATATTTGATTCCTATTTTCATCACGGTTTCAATAAGGTTTTGCTTACTTATTAATATGGGATGACTCAAATCTTGATAATAAAGAACCCACCGTAAATTCACCGGTAGAGGGATCGTAACCAACATGAACGGTGTGTTCGAAATTGCTGGGCTTGGAGATTATTGGTTTTTCCGTATTCTCTTTCTTCTCTTTGTTCTCTGAAAAATATTAAAAACTAGTTATGCCAAGAAAAAAAAACACACTTTTAAGAAATGGGTTCGACATCGTTTTCTTCTTTTTCACAGCTTCTGGTGGCTCTTTCGGCAGCGGCTTCAATCCAACGACCTGAATTTAATTCTTTTATGGAAGACAACTGCGAAGATTTGAAAAATGAGAATGCTCCACATGTGTGTGGGAGGGCAAATAAGAAAATGACAGAAACATGAGAAGAATCTCCTCCTACAACCATCAAAAAATTTGTTTCATTTTCGAAACCAATAATGATGACTCAGCCCTTTCAAGATCATTGGAATAATCTGATTTGATTTTCACGGCCATTAGTTATGACTCAACTCTCTCACGATCATACGCTTGAAATGATATTGAATCCTTGAACAGAGAAACAGAAAAATTCTATATTTAGGAATGATGACAGTAATCAAAAAATTGACAGAAATAGTTCTGGAAAACGCAGGAAAAAAACCAAGTGGATAGAAAAACGGTCATTCAGTAAGTGTTGCGAATTTTTTCTCGATTCGACAGTTAAATACCCGCAATTTCACGCCAAGCGTAGGAGCAGAAAACATTTTTGCAAAACGTGACCATATTAAGAAGTAAGGAGAATTCGAGGAAAAACGAGACAAACCTGCTGATCGCGATTGGCGGCGCTACTGAACCGAATAGGCGGAGCTGGAGGTTTTTCATCAAGCGACGAAATGCTCCGCATTTCCAATTTCCCCTCTGAAATGAACTCTTAGATGGAAACTGTTTGAAAGTTGAGGAAATTAAGAAGTCACTGACCTAAACTATTTTCTTTGGCCCGTTTAAATGTCGTTTATATACAAGACACCGTTGGTTCAACCTGAAAAAAACTAGACATTAGTGACTTTTAATGAGAAAAAAAACAAGAAAAAAACAATGAAACGAAGAAAGTTTTTCAATCTTTCAAATGAAAGTAGAGTTTTTTTGATTATTTGTTTAGAATTTTTTTCTCGCGTCTGTGAGGTATTTCAAAGATCTTTTTCGGTCCACAAAGTTGCCAAAATTATTAGAAAAACATTCAAAAAAATTGCCGTCATACAGGAAATAATCGCTGCTCATTTCGAAAATTGGCTGTCAAATAAAAGCAACATCACTGGAATCGCGAGAAATTGAAAGTTTTCATCGATTGAAAATGAAAACAACACCAAATTTAGCGAAAATCAAATTTTATATTCTAAGTTTCAAAGCGAAAATTTACCCTAAAAAAACATTGGATTTTTTGCCCGTTGATAAAAATGGGTAAAGGACTGATTTTGTAACTGGAGCCAATCTTGCTCGTCAAGAAAATTCGTTTCTCATTTTGAAGAAAATATGAAAAAAGTTGAAGCTTGGTAGAACTGGGAGAAATGACGCCGTCTGATTGCGAAATTTCTCTCTGGAGGCAGAAGAAGCGCCCGTGGACCTGGGATTAGTCTATAGCGCGCAAGTTCGACGAGAGTGCTCGTCTTTTCTTTTATCGCGACGGGTAAAGAAAAAAGGGGTAAAGCCCCTATGAGCCGGAAATTGTCATATTTGAACATTTTCAAATCAGTGAGAGCATGGTCAAATTATTTTGTATCCTAAGATCTCAAAACTGCTTGGAAAATTCTTCCAGTTTTTTTTAAATTTTTTTCAGAGTGGCAAAGCTTTCTTGAGCTCTTAGAATGGAATATTCAGCATTCATGTTTGATAAAAAAATTGGAAAAAAAATATGATAATCAATTTTTGATTGAAAAAACAGCTTAACAGGGATTTAGCTTGAAATTATTATCTGAGCACTGGAAAAGCGTACTACAAAGTTTCATATTCAAAATGACCTGGTTTTCATCAAAAACTTCAAAACTGAAAATATTCAGGAAAAAAACGTGCTGTTTTCCAACCATTGGCAAAAAAGATGCATTTGAAAACAATGGCATCGAGAGTGGAACGAATTCTTTGCAAAATGAATGGGAAACTGCTTGGAAAAGCTTTTTATCAGAAAAATAGTGGCGAAAAAATCATTTTCTGGTTTTTTGGAACAATTACTAGAACAGCAGCAAAAACAAATTAGCAAAGAAAAAGTTTTTGCGCCTTTTCTCAAAGTATAGACAAAATGCAACCCTATTTTTGCTGGAAATATTTAACAACTTCAAAAGCCAAAATTAAAAATATTCTAGACCTATTCAATTGGTAGAAGTTTGAATTCTGACTGTTTAAAATGAAAGAATAGTTTCGAAAAATGAAATACTCCTTGCAAAAAACGAGGTACCATATTTACACCAAAACGCAGATCTTATCAAGCTTATCAAACAATAAAAAAATTTGTTGAGTTGAAACTGCCGAAAAAAAAATTCTCACAATGTGAGTCTCATCTTGCAGGAAAAAAGTGGTCTTTTCAAAAAAAAAAATGCTTACAAACATCGCGGTGGTGAAAAAAAGCAGTATTTCTTCTATGATCCTATGAAAGTATTAAAAAGTAATGCGTATTTCGATCCGAAAAAGCCTGAATTTGGAATGTTCGAACCAAAATAAGTTCATGAGTCAACTCAAAGCTGACAAGTTTCACAAAACTGTAGGAATCTATTCTGATAGTTCAAAATAAGCCGAAAACTTTGAGAATAGACTAATCTGACATGCACGTGAATGCAAACCAAGTTCAATCGGAATAAAAACGATAGACTTGTGATAAGGGAGGGTGATATGGATCTGAAGATAGTGGATAGACCGACTGGCGGAGAGTCCAAGTGTTAACGGAGAGCGGAGAGTGGTAGTGCAAGGAACGCGGCCCGATACAATCAATCAATAGCCGTACCTCCCACCCAGTACACATTGGTCGAGTCGGAATAAGAGCGGTCTGGCCAATCCACTGAGAGCGGAGGTCTCTTTCTTCGTTCGCGCGCTCGTTTCTTTCTTCTTTTTGCTTCTAGGCGCCTCTCGCCTTGCTGGCCACCAAGTGCGTCACGGGAAAACGGGAAAAGAAAGATTCGAAAAAAAAGAAAACAGCTTGTCGGCTCGTGCGGATGGACATTTGAAGCGCGACGTCAAAAAAACGAGTTTCCTTTTTGGTCTCTTGAATTTCTTCGGGTCAGCTGGCCCAAAATAAATTTCATACTGAAGTGGTTCTTCAAGCTATAAGATAAGCAAAAATTCAAAGAGAAAAAGTGAAAATATTCATTGAAGTCTCACTATAATTTCGTGATTATTTAAAAAGTGTAACCACATTGGCCGTTGAAAAAAAATTGATACAAAGACCACTAAGAGTTATTTTTTTCGCCTATTTTTTTATATTGTGTGAAGAATTTAGAAAAAAATATTGTCTCAAACCATTTGAATGAGCAATACGACGGTGCCCCTTGAAAAACCGACTTGTTATTGCGATTTTTACGGAAGCTATAGCTATCAGTTATCAGTTGGGGGAAGAAGCAATTTGTTCTCTATTTAACGCCGACTAAAAAAATATACTCCTTACCGCCTTGAAACACGTTTTCTAGTGAAGATTATTTTACCATAAAAACAGAAACCAAAAAAGTTTCAGTAAAACCTTATAAACGTATCAATTAAAAAAAGAATAAATAAGCAAAAATCAAAAACAAAGTCGTGGAAAAAAAGTTTCAGGAATAAGATGATTTTCCACAAAAATAATCTCCAAGCGTGGAGGCGATTGAAGTAATTCGAAGGAAAATTGAAACGCGGTTTGTTGCAAAGGCAATCGGGAGGCCTATGAAATCTACAGTTAACCCAATAAAAATGTTTTTCATGTCTTGCTAGCCGCTAAGTGCCGCATGGGAAAAAGAAAAAAATTTCGAAAAAGATGAAGTTTTTTGGTTTGTACAGATGGATGTTCAAAAGCAATGGCGCTAGGTAAACTGTTCTGTAATTTATAAACTGATTTTGTACTGATGAGTTTGAAATGAGCTTGACAGCGCGATAAATCCGAGATCTTGGGAAAATTATGAGCTACTTCAAAAAAATTATTTTCTACTTTTTTTCGAGATTACAGAGCTCAGGCTTAAATGAGGGTCATTTGTAAAAATCACGGAAAATGGCTAAATAAGGTGATTCCTATGAGATAAGCTTTGAGTTACGGTGTGAAAACTCAGTATCAGCACAAACAAAAAATATGATAAAAAAGTGTTGATCAAAACAGAAAATGAGAAATGAGGTGAGAAAAAGATTTTCAGTGGCAGTCCATTTATAATAAAAATTATGGAATTAAAGGAATTTGGGGCATTATTTTATACAGGCGCAGCGATACCCTCAGGAGCCAAAAATATCTATTCGAAGAAAATTAGGCCAAAAAATACACTGAAAATCGTTAGTTTATAGATGAACAAAAGTTGTCATTTGCATCTTTTGAGCGATAGCAAACCAACAGAAAAAAGCAAAAAAATCAAGCCACCTAGGGGACTCGAACCCCTGACCGTTAGATTAAAAGTCTAACGCTCTACCAACTGAGCTAAGGAGGCTCCGGCCACAACCCGGCAGCGTCGGGATATTCTCCTCGAAGAGAGGGGACAACATACGCAGCGTGTTTCTTCGCACGCTGCCGTGGAAACATTATTAAAATTTTGATGTCTACTTCTAAAACTCGAAAAAAATTTTTATATTATCACCGAAAAAAATGAAAAAAATTCGATTAAATCTTAAATATCATCAAAAAGGTGGAATATAATTCTAAATCTCATTAATGAAAATAAAGAAACCGAAAGAACCAGAGAAAAAAACTCGAGCTTTGTGAAATTTTTTTGATATCAGACGCACAACAGAAAAAAATAAAATAAAAAAAGTGTTTGAACTGTACTCGATTGTAAATTTATAGAGGGAGAATGGGTGGAGATAAAAAAATTCATTTTTTTCAAAAAAAGAGAAGTGAAAGATTCACTTTTTTTCCCTGATAGCTGAACAAAAACAGATTTTGGAGTTAGGAACAACAGAGAGTCTGCTTATACTCGCCGCGACGTTTACCAAAGTCTTCGAGCTTTTGATGTTTATTTGGGAAGAATACACACTGAGCAGCTGGATGTTGGGCCAGCAATGAGGTTTGCGAGCCAATGAACACTCGCTTCATGCTGATTACCCCGAACTTATGGATCATAAGACTTTTATGAGTACATCCAATGAAACTTCATGACCCAAACTTTTTTTTATAATGGTTGGATTACAAAACTACTTCATCCCCTCAATTTTTTCTCCCACTTTGCGGTTTGCATTCATTGACAAAGTTTTTTCTGCCATTTTTAATAGTTATAGAAACAAGTCTGAAAGATACGAAAATTAAAATACTTCAAAAGGCTTCAGTGGTGCTTTTAGTAAATCAAAAGCTTTTTCAAATGAACGGCCGCTCACCTTGAAACTCGAAGAACTGATATGGAGATTTTGTTGATTTCAGATTTTAGGCTGTAACTTACTAGAAAAAAGAGCTATCAAACATATTTTTTTGGTATGGAGAACTAGATCCATATGAAACAGTTGTAGAAAGTTAGACGGTATTTGGTCAATTCCTGAAAAAGTCATGACAACAGTAAAATTGTATATCTTACAGCGCGGTACTGCAGCGCAAAACAAAAACAAGAAAATTCTTGTTCGAAAAGGAAAATTGAGTTATAGGCTCATTTAAAGAAGGTAAGATGTCTAACCAAAGGTTACCATTTAAAAAAACACTCGGTTTTGGAAAAAATTTTCGACCAGATCGCTTGAAATAATTTCAAACTTTTTCTTAAAACTTCACAATTTCCTAGTCTGTGTTTACAGCACGCAAAAATGCTCTGAAACGCACTTAGAAAGGACCGGTTGCTGGAATGCAAGACGCGATGAATCATAGCTAACGGTGTGAAAAGAGCCTAAGAGTGTCATAAACGCTTTACTATAAAATAAACGTGAATAGAACCAAAAGTGCGAAAATAAAAAACATTTGCTTCTCAGAATAATATAAAAAGCAGGGTTGTTAAAATTTCAATCTCAAGAAGATTTCTTAACAAGAAGCAAAAGATACCGACGCCTCCAGAAAAAATGAATCATCTGCAAACAGCTGATAGCGTCGAAAACGACCTTATCTGGACAAAAAACATGCATGACCCATACAGTTTGAATTATCCACGCAATAGTTTCAAAAATGCGATCTTTACCTCAAAATGTTTTTTTCATCTCTTGTATGACGAATTTAATCAAATTCAAACTTTTAGATGGGGAAATGGTTAGGTATGAACGTTCAAGGTGTTAAATTAAATATCTCACCAGCAAGCATTGGAAAATTCACCTGAAATGGGGCAGAGTGCTCACTAAAGACTATTTGGAAGTGAAATAAATCAAAAATTCATTTTCAAGATATTTATTTGTGTCTGATCTACACTAAATTAAAGTTTGATTCACATCATTCTCGGGGCAAGAAGAAAAAAAAGCAAACAGAAAACCTTTTGACGATTACTATGGAAATTCGGTGTTTTTTCCTTATGTGAGGAGTCGAACGCAGACTTTGAATACATGAGAGATGACCCGATTTTGAAAAGTTTTCGGTATTCATCTCACACTGGGTAACGATCTTCCTTGAATTGAGAATTGAGGCATTGTCGATTGGTTTGCTTTACTTTTCTAATAAAAAAAAACTTAATGAACCGTTCAGGCAACCGGGAAAAAGCTCGTCAAAACTTTCCCAGATAGTATAAAACCGTGCTAGGTTAGCCACAGCACCGTCCGTATTTTGATCTTGGTTCAAGTCCAATTTTTCAAAATTTGATTGATAAAAACTACTTTTTGAAATTGTTCAATCTTTCCAAATGCTAATGGAAACTCTCCAACTTTATAAAAGTATGCAAAAAATGAAGTTATAAGCCTGCAAAATTAATATCTGCAAAAATATCTTCGAACCATGGTCCCATAGTCAGTGTACAAAACCACTATCCCTACACCTCTCTGCCAATTGATGGTCGGAAGTCCCAAACGCGAAAAGTATTCGTTCTCTAAAGTTTTTCGATCATAATTTATCTGAGATCAAGTGACCTAATAAACGATTTAATCTTTCTATAAAGAACGGAGTTTCATGTTGCCTTTTAAGCTCATACTTTTAACACAACAATTAAACAAGCCTCTGGGACTATTAGTTGAGAAATTGACAGGCTCCGCCCCTTTTGAGGATTACTGTAGCCAAAAAAATTTAAATTTTTTTCTCTGTGCTCCAATTCAAATGAAACTTTTTTTGAACGAAAGCCAGTAACAGAATTAATTTTTTTAGATTCTAACTTTTTATTTGAATATTTTTTTCCCACCGAAAAAAATTTATTTTTCATCAAAAAAATCGTGCCTATAATAACAGATTAATCAAAAATTTTTTTAGAATCATCAACTGAAAAAAATATCGAAAGATCAAAGCTCAATTTGCAAAACAACGTAATCGAGAACAAAAAACCGTTGATGAAGAACAAATGACGACTGAAACAGGAAATGCGATTCGGAAATAGATGGAAACAACAGGTCCAATGGGCATCTGGGAACAGACCGATTGGTCAGGACGACGACTTCACAACAACCTTTGCTTTTGCAATCATCTCCGTTCACCGACTGATTGCCCTATTTCACAGATAAATGTCATTCCGTCATCCTTTGCGGCTTGGATGGCGAGTGGCAATGATGAATTTTGTCGGAACACGTTTTACTCAGTCTTTCAATGACCACCTTCTGTAAATCTTGATCCTTTGATAGTAAATATGTTCGTCTTTTTGAACTTCCTAGTAAATAGCTCCTCCAGGTGTTTTCTCCTATTTTATTTTCTTCTTGAAAAACTTCCCTAAACAACTTTGTCCTTGAAGAGAAATAAGATTAAAAGGTTCCTCCTTTCTGTTGTAAATAAGGTGTTGTTGGTAATTTGTAACCCTAAACATAATCACGCGGCAAATCACCAATTCTCTCTTTCTCCAAGTTCTTTTTGTTTCGCACAACTCTCCTCTTTGAACTTCATTTCGTAAAAAAAGAAATAAAGTGTTCATTCATTTTTTTATATTTAGTTAATCAATTTCTTGCAGGAAAAATGGTGGTGCCCTTGTTTTTTGTAGCCCTTGGATTTGTAGTTACTACCTCCATATTCGTTTTGAGATGGTATGCGAATGGATCTCTGGCTAAATTCGTTCAAGTCACAAGAAGAGATTTATTGTGAGTGCTCTATCAGGAATTTTATTTATTTTAGGTTTTACAGAGGATTGAGCTTGCTTGTCAAAATACGGTATCGGTTTTGGAAAGCGTCAAAAGCTAATGAAGGAATCAACGAAATCTTCCTTCGAACGGTTTCAAAAAATAGAGACAAGGTTTTACTTCAAATATTTTGGAAAAAGATTAAATTGACTCTCTTTGATGAGTCCTTGAGCTCAAGTTTTACAGATAGCAGTATTTGACATTTCTTTGAACAAATCAACAACTTTCGAAGAACTCAACAGGTTGGCGTGTCAGTACGCCAATTTACTGAAGGTGAGTAAAATTGAAGAGCACAAAACATATAAGATCCTCTCAATTTAAAGTTCAATTGCCCAGAAAAAAACCATGGTCGCACGTAGAATGGCTCATTAATTGACAGTTGAAAGCTTGTTTCGAGGACTTGCGATAACCCTGTGTGCAAACCGTTTCGGGTCTGGCATTCTTATGCAGCTGAGCCATTCAACGCGCGACGTTGGGCTTTTAAATTGTAGCAAACGAAACTTTTTTAACATTAATTTTGGTCGAAAAAATTGATTTTTAGAATAATGGCGTCACTAATCGCGACGTTGTTGCGATCATGATGGACAATGGGGTTAATTTTGTTGCCGCCTGGCTGGGAGCTGCCAAAGTCTGTCATCTCAAAAAAAACAGCTCTTATGATGAAAAAATTCAGCTTGGAGCAGTCTCGGCTTGGATAAACACGAATTTGAAGGAAGAAGCTTTAGCGCACTCTCTTGACGTTGTGAAAGCGAAATTTATCATTTGTGATTGTTATTATGAAAAACGTGGGTGATCTTGTTCATACTGAGCTTAGAAATAGATTTTTTTTCAGTTCCAAGCTTTTCTGTTAAGTTTTATCTACTTTTCAATAAATTAGACTCACATCGAGTAAACTACTAATCAGATTATTTTTTTATTTCCTTCTTAACGAATTCGTTTTCAGGTATAGCCGAATGCCCAACCAATCAGAAATCCATCATCTTCTCACATTCAGACCATTTATGTACATCACCCCTAGGTCTCATCAATGAATTCCCAGACACCGAACCGATTGCCGCAGCGAAAGCTACGTTCCGAGGTAAGAATATTCGTGTGAAGTATCACATTTTTTGCAGATCCTCTCTGCTACATTTACACGTCTGGAACCACTGGTCTACCTAAGGCTGCAGTTATTAAACACTACAGGTTTTTCAAAAATTTGATAGTACAAAAACATTATTTAGATACTTTTACGTAGCCACCGCCTCCATCGCAGCTTTCGGAGTGAAGCCGTCAAAAGATGTGTTATATCTTTGTCTTCCCATGTATCACACCTCGGCCGGAGTTTTAGGTTCGAAAACTTCATTTTGAGGAGGAATTCATGCATTCAGGAATTGGGCAAACAGTTGTGTATGGACAAACGGTCGTCATCCGTAAAAAGTTCTCTGCTTCCAACTTTTGGAAGGATTGTTGCAAATACGACTGTACGGTATGTATCTGCATACTTTAAGGAAATTTATCATTGTCTTATACAGATTTCTCAATACATCGGCGAGTTGTTGCGTTATATTTTATTAGCTCCGCCTTGTGAAGAAGAAGCCCAACACAGTGTACGGTTACTCATAGGAAATGGGCTGAGGTTTTTTTTGCTTCTCTTGCTTTTTATTTTTTATTTTGCAGACCAGCAATATGGCGCGAGTTTCAAAAGCGGTTTAAAATTAGACAGATTGGAGAGTTTTATGGCTCCACGGAAGGAACTTCTAACCTTGGTTTTAAAATTCGTGCAAAGTAAAGACCTCATATTTTTTCAGTGAACATAGATGGGAAAGAAGGATCTTGTGGCTTCATGCCAACTATAAAATGTTTCCATAGACTCTATCCCGTCCGATTACTCAAAGTGGAAGAGGACACCGGCGAATTGATTCGAAATGAGAAAGGCTACTGTATTCCTGTTAAACCAGGTAATGCTTGAGATAAGGTAGAGAATTTGACTTTTCTCAGGTCAATCCGGGGCATTGGCTTGCGCAATCAGAAAGAACAACCTTCTCCTTAATTTTGAAGGCTATATGGATAAAGCAGAAACGGCGAGGAAAATAATTGAGAATCCGTTTCCGGGAACTGACGCCATGTTTTTATCAGGTCCTTTTTAATAAAAAATTTCACAAAAAAGTCTCTTCCAGGAGATATTTTGTATTGGGATCGAATGGGCTATTTTTATTTTAAAGATCGGATTGGCGACACATTCAGGTTATTTTCGGGATTTTCCCAAAGGTTGAACATACCTATTTTAAAGATGGAAGGGAGAAAATGTTTCAACCACGGAAGTAGAAACAACTCTCCAAAAACATAAAGAAATCGTTGATGCTTGTGTTTTCGGAGTTGAGATTCCAGGTATGATTGAAAATGTTTTGATTCATTGAACAAAAGTTGGGATTCAGAATGTGAAGGCCGTGCTGGAATGGCGTCAATCCTTCCCAGTCCAAAAGCTGACCTGAAAGATCTCTTGAAAGATATAGCTGAGAAATTCAGCAAAAGTTTGCCTCCGTATGCCATTCCTGTCTTCATACGCATTTTGACAGCAGATATCGATAAAACAGGTTGAAAAACTTCGAAGAAATGTAATTATTCTTTTTCACTTTCAGGAACCTTCAAAATCAAGAAAAGAGAACAACAAAGGTTGTCCTTCAACCCTCAAGAATCTTCTTCCGTTTACGTGTTTGACAGAGAAAACAACGATTACAAACCGTTAACTCCTGAATATCAGCAAAAAATAATGGCCTCAGAAGTCAAATTTTGATGATTATTTTGCCCTTTCAAATCAAATCTAGGAAAAATTAGAAATATGTCTTACATATGCAATCTTTTGTAGTTTTTAGGCTCAGCTCTCATTTATTTTTCAAAACTGCATTTCACCTTTGTAAATAAACTTTTTTTACGGTTGATCCCGTTTCACTGTTTAGAATTCTCATTGCAATGAATAGAAAGAAAAATGCGAGCAGAGAGATCTACAGATAAGAAATGCGCACTCAGAGACCAAAAAAGGCAATTTTTCACCTGTACAATCATCCAATTTATTTAAGAAGCTTTCCAAATTACTGAACTCAATTTGGGCATTTTACTAATCTCAAAGCCTTCAGCAGTCCAAACCATTGCAAAAAACTTTTATCCGACCATTTTTCAGTCCGAAAAGAACAGATACACTCGGAGGCGCATTATTTTGGCGGGAATTTCGGCGAGAGGGTGCAGACGAAAAGTAGAAAAGGCCAGGCGCGCCGCGGCTCGCGTCGCGGTCAGGAGTCTGCCGTCCGCGTGTTGCCTTGTCTCAAATAACCGCTCTTTTTTTTTCTTGACTTGTTATTATCTATCTGTTAAACGTATTTTAAAATTTTTCTTTCTCTTTTTTAGTAGTATATTTGCTTCATGAACTTTCCGGTTTTCTCAAAGAAATTTATTTTTTTGCTTCTGAAATATTCTAAGCCGACTTATATACACATTTATTTTTTCAGTAGAACTTCTGGTTTTATTTTTCAGGAATGTCGAGTGACGTCATTATAGACGGAACAATAATTGATGAGGCGATAATGGATGAATCTCAAATTATCGAACAAGAAGAAGGTGAGGTCTTCGTGTTCTTTTTTTCTAAGAAAAAAATGAATATAAATATTCAAAAATTTTTTTGATTTTCAAGTTTTCGTGAAACTTGATTTAATGAATTTGTTTTTTTAAATTTTTATCTGAAATTTTAGTTTAATCAAAAAAACTTGCAGATATCCCACATGATGGCCATATTGAAGAAGACGTTGAAGATGATCTTCATCATGAAATGAGACATCTCAGTCATCAAGAAGACGTCATGGAGGCTTCTCATCATAAAAATCACGTCTCTACCATACACTACGTCGAAGAAGAAGAAGAATACGAAGAAGACGTAGATGATTACGAAGTCATTGATGATCCTCATAATGCCGCTCACTATAAAAAGGTTTGTTTTGTTTTTATTGTTTCAAGCTTTATTTTTCAATATTGTATAGTTGTTGTAAATTTTCAGCACTGCTTTTTAAGATTTAAAAAATTTGAGATGAGATGAAAAAACGTCAACTTTTTGAAAAAAAATGATCCTTGAGAATTTTGCTTGATTCTTGTTAATTTCTTTTAAAGTGGAAAAATTCAGAAGGCCCTCTATCACACGATTCATACGGAAGAGTCAAGTTCAATGCAAATGAACAGCGGTCATCCTTTTATCACGACTTACAAGCATTCTTCCCCGAGCTACGTTGTTCCAAGTTCGCCAGTGCATTATTCGGATCAAGTAGTTGCTCGATATCGTATTTATTCATATTCAACTTATTCCAGCCAAAACATCTCTCCTATGGCCGTCAGCAGTCATATTCTAGAAGAGGTACTTTTTCAACGTTTTTTTCTGATTACCTTACAATGAGGCTTTTTTGTTGTAGCGCCACCTATGCAGTCCAAACATCAACAACAATTGATGGCCAACTGGCAACGAGATCAAAAACGGTTTTTTTTAATATTCAACCTTATCAATGCTTCGCATTTTTAGGAGAATGGATATTCTTGAAATAATGGACGCCCTGCCGCCGCAATACCACGATAGGTACCGAAGAATGTTCGCAAAGCAGGGGGTTTTGCTCGACGACAAGCCGAAGTCTCATTATTTGAAAGAAGATGTAAATTTTAAGAAAGTCATTAATATCCAATCCCTTTAAAGTTACAGTTCGCCAAACGGCGCAGCACCAGTCAAGTCCGTTCAGGATCTGAACAGTGAGCTTTTGTATATCATTTCACTTACGAAAACAATACGTTTCAGATTTAAAGCCTACGGAGTTCCAATAAAAAGCAAATACCGAGCACTCATGGAGGTGGGTGAAAAAAGAAACAATGTTGAGGGAAAATTTCTGTTTTTAGAAGGTGAGCAAGGGGTACCCTGCAGTAGAAGAAGATTACGAAGTGAGTTGGGAACTTCGATGAAACTTTTTATTGGAACTTTTCAGGCGATACTGGAAGAAAAGGAAGAGATTATCAAGCAACCCACTGCTCGAATGAACAACATGCGGAGAAAATACGATGTATTATCTATTTCCACAATTTCTTTGGATGATTTTTTGCGTTATAGGAGAATCTACGGTACTGCGTGGGCTGCAAGATGGAGCTTAGAAGGTCTGTGTACTACCATCACGCAAGAATGATCCGAGAACACGGCGCCTGCAATCTCTTCACACCTCAACGATTTCCCTGCAATGTGGTGAGATCATGAAAATCTCGAACTTTTTCAAACTCTTTGAAATTAAGTGCGATGAAAGGCTGGGAACACTGGAAAAACTGTGTAGTCATCTGGAACAAATTCACGGTGCACCGACAAAAATCAAAACCAAAATTTTCGATGACGAGGAAGGATTTCAGGTAAAAGGCTTAAAAAGTAATTCAAAAATTATGTCTGCAGGCTTTCCGATTAGAACTTGAAGGGCGTGGTGGAAACTTCCGTATGGCTCGAGGAAACAAGAAGAATAAGGTAAAATTTTCCAACCATTTTTAAAGATTAAAGGTTTTTTATTCAGAAAGGTGTCGTGCAATACTTCCGCTGCAATAGGACTTTGACTCAGCCAAAAACGGAGGAAGAACTGCCTTCAAAAGCGTACGCAAAGCCGGTAGTTTTTATCGACTTGTTCTTTCGAAATAAAAACATTTGTGAAGGTCCGAAAAAGAGGAGAGCTGTTCGAGCGACCTTATGGAGTGAAGCAGATTATTCGAACAGAACAGTCTTGCACAGCTTTTTTCATCAAAGCTTTTCTGCCTGATGGGTTTGTTCTGTCAAGGGCAAGTCCATCCCAATAATTTCTTTCAGAAGAATTGAAGTGCGTTACTGTGATTTCCATCTCCATGAGGATGAACGTCTCCGATTGCCAGAGCCAGTGAGAGAACGAATATTAGAGATGTCTCAAAAGAATCTGCCTCATGCCGTTATTATCATGGTGATCAAAGGTTAGGTCTCCATGTCATGTTTTCGAAAAAGAAGACTTTTTCAGAAGAGATCCATCAATACGCCAAACGGGGTTCTGCCAATGAAAGACGAATCAACGACATCAAAGCACAAGACGTCCGTCAAATCTTGGCTGCCTACCATCGTCAAGAAAGAAGTTTGGAAAATGTTCTCTCACAGTTGCAAATTAGAATTTCAGACGCTAAAAAGAATCCGGCTATAAAACCTCGGAAAAGACGGGGACTTGCAGCTTTGAACCCAACTTTGGAGTTTGATCAGAAAACTTTGGATGAAGGTGAGAGATCAACTTTTTATCGAGAAAGCCCTACTCTGAAGCTGAGATTTTTTCAAGAAACGTATAAAGATCTTGAAAACGCCTAATGTGAAGATGATAAAAAAATTTGAGTAATTTCAAAAAAATTTTTACATTACGCAAATTTTTCCAATTTCTAATTTCGAAAAAAATTCTTTTTTTCAGATGCGAAAGCGAAAAATTTCGGACGAAAACCAGTCAACTTCGCAGCTCACAGAAACTGAAAAAGCGTTGCAAGGCCGTTTTTTTGAGAAGAACAGGGAAGCAATTCTGGGTGAACTGCAGGAGCGCGAAAAAAACTTGATACCGAGAAACGGTTTTTCATTTTTTTGTCTTTTCATTTTGCCTGTGGTTTCAGCGTCGTTTTCGAATGCATTCGTGAGAGGGTTATATATCTCCAGAAATTTTTCAAAGTAATAAACTTTGAGAGAATTAATGGTTAAAAGGAAATATTCAGGAGTTCGACCCGTCTTCCTACCAGAAGCCTGATGAACTGGTTTTCAACTCGCTTTTTGCTTCTGTTAACGCGGTTTGAAGATTTTCAGAACTATTTCGAAAATAATTTATTTTTTCTAGTTAGTCACTGATTTGAAACCGCCGAAGAAAGTCAATAAATTGCTCGATTACGATTTGGCGCACAATGCAGAAGAAGTTGACACAACTCATTTCGGCTACGAGCCAGAAAACTACATTTTGGATGAGTAAGTTTCATTGAATGACGGATAAACTTCATGGATAAAACTTGTCAGTGACGACGATTTGGATGAACAACAAGGAGGCGTTCCAGTCACCTACGACGTCATAGTGGACGGATATCAGTACATGCCGGAAACTGACAATGGGGAATCTGTGGTCGTTTACTACGACACTCAAGTCTCGGCAAAAGATCAAGAAATGGCTCATTCGGCTGCCTCTCCGCTGCCAGAAGCGGAAACGAGTTACTCCGCAGAGACCACAGCAGAGATCGATCCTTCACATGAAATCCCGTCGTCTTCGCACGAAGAGGCGCCTGAAACTACTTATGAAACCGTGCAGCAAACTGAGGAGGTTCGTTTAAGCACTAACCTTTAGATACAATAATAAATCTTTCAGCTCAATGAGGTAGAAGTTGTTGATACGCCCAAAGAGTACGAAGTGTACGAGGAACATCAAACAAGGAACATCAAATCGCTTCCTGATGGCTCCGGATATGTGCTGGACGACGGTGGAATGCTCACGGAAGTGGCCTATGAAGTGGAGCCAGAAGCGGAGCCGACCGCGGAACCACTGCCGGAGTTGGTCGTCAGTGTCCCAGAGTCTACAACAGAGAAGCAAACTCGCAAAAATGCTCGTGGAAAAGGCCTCCTTTCCGCAAACCAAGCATCGGCCAAGCCGAAGTACCCTGTCGCTCTTATTAAACAAGTGAGTTTTTTTTCTGCAAGACCAAAAAGCTTTACTGCTTGTGAAGGCTGCGTAACTTTAATTTTTACATCTAGTTTCTCGTAGTTTTGAACCTGTCTGTGATCTACTTTTGTTCTTATCTAATTGTTCGCTTTTTAATGAACTTTGGATGAACTTGAACTTCGAAAACCTCTGGAAGAAAAAAATATCTATAAAAAGTTTCAGAGAGTGCCTCATCAAACTTCCTTCGTCCTCTACTCACCAAGAGGCCGCAAACGCAGACAAAACGGAACCCGAGCGACGCAAGTACAGGAGACAGAAGAGTTCGAAAAGGCTGCGCCGCCGCCGGAAGAACAGCAGAACGAGCCCTTGGAAGCGGCGCCGGCCCCAGAGGAAAACGATCCAGCCGTTGACAGTGAAACTGAACCGCCGAAGGCAAAACGAACTCGATCAGGCAGAATAGTCAAGGCCAAACAACTGGCTGATTATGAATAATACTAACTCTTGTAAACCTGAAAATTTATTTTTTTTTTTGATTGCCCTATAAATTTTATTTTCAAATGAAAATGTACCCTATAATTATTTATAATGATATGATATGTTCTCGTTTGCGTAAAATGCCAACTGAATATTTATTCTTCGCTCTCATTATTGTTATTCCCATCACGAACTTGCTGGTACTTGAAGTCCCAGAAATAAATTCAGTTCATGTCATCAAGGTATTTAACCAATCTTATACAGCTTAAAATATTAGTTCAAATATTTACTTACAGTTTTACGATTATCAACGTATTAAGTTTGTAGAAAAAAACGCTGAATCTTGAGAATCCTGAAAAATTAACTACTGATCACTACGAGTAACTTTTTGTGGCAATTTCTCCAAAAAAACCTCCTCAGTTCCAATTCATGAATCTATTAATTATTTTTTTGTTGAAGTCCAAATCTCACTCTTTCTTTTTTTATTTCTGATTTTTTTAATCACTCGTCTCTTATTATTATGATCAATATTTGATTGTATTATGTTGATCATATCTTCATTCTGTCCCAGACATTTTTAAAAAAATATGCAAGAAACTTGAAATGTTTAGTTCCAGATAAACTTCTGTTATACACGTGATTCCCAGAAATTATAATAAATAAATTGTTTGGATTTGAAGTTATTGAAGATACGAAATCGGTACAGAAATGTACAAATACTCTGTAAAGTGATTTTTTTCAAAGGAAAAAAACCTGTCAGTGATAAAGGTTGACATTGTTTTGGCTTCTATAAATGAACTTTTTTTCATATATTTAATTGCTTGAGTTTTTTTCATCAGAGGCCAAACTATGAGTCATTTTTATTTTTTGAAATGAGGCAACATTTAAGAAAGTTTTCAAGAGAAAACTGAACTGTTGCAAAAAGGGACTCATAATTTGTTTTTTTGTCTCAACAATTAATAGAACGATTTGTTCTTTATCAATTATCTCAAGATTTGTTCCGTTTCGTTCTCTTTGATGTTCTTCGGAAGGAATTATTTGCATTCATTCGTGATATTTGTCGGGAAAAAAATAAACAATCCTGAAATCGCAAAAACCGTAGTTATTGAGCCAATAAGACTTATTAAAACGGAAAAATGACTTCATTAGACAGTTGAACAAAATCACTGAACATTTCAAATTACGAATTTTTAAGAAATATCAAACTTTCACAAAAGAAAACTTCAAAGCTAAGCGAAAAACAGAGCAATTCTCTCGAATTCCTTCGAAGTATGACTTTGCAAAGAACTGTGAAATTAATGAAATTCATACTCATTAGATTTGTTTTTAACCAGAATTCTTACGGTTTAGTAGTTTTTGTCTCCTACGGGAATTCGAAAGATGTTTTCCCGCCAAAACATCGTTTCAAACACTGGGGAAAGACAGGCACGCCTGGCCGCAAAATGGGTCCCGCGTGGAAAACAGTGATGACTGTAATACTGGCGTCCCTTTCCAGTTGTATCGTGCGCCTCTCGTCAGTCCCAAAATTCTGCCCACTCGTCCGCTGCTCCTGATCTTCCTGCTTTTTTCGTCGATTTTCTTTTATTTTTGTTCAAACTTGAACAAACACGTCCCTTTGTCACCAAGAATGGTTCCGTTTTAGGCGGATGTGCAACGAGTGCGTGAAATATACGTACCCGTAGCCCATTCGTCCCAAACTGCCGATTCGCCTTTTCCCTGTACCTCAGCTTCGACTAACAACACACAAAAGAGTTTTGTGCATCAGTTTTCTAATCAAAGTGAAAACTCTGTTGAATTTTTTTCTTCGAAAAATGAAGAATTTGTGAAATTACTAATAAATGATTGAACAAATCGCGACTGATTTCTCACAGCGATAAGGCAAAGCAGATAGCGCTTTTACTACAACTTTTTCTAATCAACTGGTATTTTTTTGTGAAATATTTAAAAAAAGTTTAATTTCTACAATTTTTTTATGATGACCAACAGTCGAATTTTTGCAGATCATTACAGGAGACTTTAAAGAAGATACTGCTTTTACAATATTTTGAAATCAACATGTGGCTGATGGTTTTCTTTGTCATATTTTCTCGGGAAACTATGAATAAAACTTGATAGTGTCTTGTTCACAAACTTTAACGAGAGCGGATAAAAAAGGACAGAAAGCGCAAGATTACCGAATTGAGGTCCCTAATGTGGAAAGTTTGCTTCTGGACAATATTGAATTACAATCGAAGAAAAAACGATTTTTTTTGGACCTTCACACAGACTCTTTGCGCAGATCATCAAAACTTGTGAATGAACTTCTCAACTTCATAAATCTTCCAGCATAGAAGGAAATCGTTTATGTTTCGATTCGTGTCTCGAAATTTTGCAAAATTATAGGAAATTAAACATGAAAAATAAAAAGAGGTCGAAGCAGAGCTCTGTCAAGTCTTGTCGTGAAGTCGGTTCAGGTCGGCTGCAAGTGAATCGGGGTGCATATAAACCTTCAGCATGGCATTATTGTTACGCGGTCCGGAGCCGGTATAAGTTGCCCCTTCTTCCGCCTTATACCCGGGTTTCAACTTGACCGCGTTTTTTTGCGGGACGTGAATTATTTATTCAGTATTTTTTTAGAATGAATGTACTCGACTTGGCTGTAAGTAAAAAAATATTTAAAAAAATACATTCGGCTCAGAGTGTAACGTTTTTTTGCTAAAGCCCTGAAACCGTGGTTTCAATGGAAGCCCGAAATGTGAAGAACTACAGAAAACATATGATTTCACACGAAACAAACCCAACATGTTGAAAAAATCAATTTTCATGAATGGAAACAGATTTTTAAAGTTTGAAAAAACTGAGCTTTAAGGCATTCCACCCTGCAATATAATTTATTTGCAATTTATTGGCAGAAAGTTGAAAAAAATGACCTTCACCTCGTCTTGTCATCAAGCCGGTTCAGGTCGGGTGCAAGTTGATCGAGGGATATATAAACCCTTAGCGTGGTAAGATTGTCGCGTGGTCCGGAGCCGGTATATGTTGCCCCTAAGTATGCCTTATAACCGGGTTTCAACTTGACCACGTTTTTGCGTGTCGTGAATCAAAATTCTTTGTTTACTCTGAATGTAATTGAAAGTGAGCGAAAGTGTTGGAATATATCGGTTAACTTTTTTTGATATAATAGAAGCTCAAACGTGTAGTCGGAAAAATTGAAAAAATGATCTTACGGTCCTTCGGCTCGTTCTTCTCCTCGTAGCTCATCCTGTGGCGACTTGACAAGGATTTAGCGGATTGGTAAATGAAATCCAGATCTTGATAGAAGCCTCAAACTGTTATGAAGTAAAAAAATTAAAAGATTTTGAACAGAAAATTTTGAAATTATCCGTTTTCAAAAGATGGAATAATGTTTCAAACAGTTGAAAATGCTCAACCGTTTATCTTAAGGCATTTCTTACTGCAGAATCAAAGAATTTTTTTACAAGTTAATGGCTAAACGTTGAAAAAAAGACCTTCACCTTGTCTTGTCATCAAGTCGGTTCAGGTCGGGTGCAGTTAAACGGAGGGTATATTAACCCTCAGCGTGGTAAGATCGTCGCGTGGTCCGGAGCCGGTATATGTTGCCCCTGCTACCGCCTTATAACCGGGTTTCAACTTGACCACGTTTTTGCGGAAAGTGAAAAGAAAAATTTTGAAATATAAGCTTTCTGAAAATGGCAAAAAGCTGTGATGAATAAGTTGTTTTGTGCAATAGCGCTCCTTTAAAATTTTCTATTTTTATTAAACTTAATTCTAATGCAATATTTCATCTTTTGAATTGAGGTCTACTTCAAAAACTCATATTTAAATATGTATTATAAAAAAGTAGAAAAATTTAGTGGTTTCCTTGAAAAAAACTGTTCCTTGCAAAACTACCCAAGATAAATATAAAAAAACATTGAAACTTTTCGAAAATATGAAAACCGTCGAAAAGAAAAAAAACATCAGTTAATTGGAAAATCTAGTTTTGCTGTAATCTGATCAGCCGTTTCAAGATGTCAAAAACTCGGATGAGTACATTTTTATTTCCCGTCCGAAAGCTTTTCATCGAACTTATTCTATATCACGCTCGAAAACAATCGAATTTATGTTAAACACAGAAAAAAAAAAATGAACAGAGATGATCAAAATGCGTTCGGAACGGATATCCGCCGGTTAGTCTCGTCGCCAAGTTGGTTTAGGTCGGGTGCAAGTTGATCGGGGGGTATATAAACCCTTAGCGTGGTAAGATCGTCGCGTGGTCCGGAGCCGGTATATGTTGCCCCTACTACTGCCTTATAACCGGGTTTCAACTTGACCACGCTTTTGCCAAAAAAAATTTTAATTCAGAAAAAAATAAGATTGAATTTCGGAACAAAAATTGGCGTATATTTTTTTCTTTTTGAGTCGGATTTTTTTCTACTAAATTTTTTTGAAAGCTCCAAATTGATTCTAATGACGTGCAGTCCGAAAAAAAATTTTATATGCTTGTTCGGCCACTACTGCGATACGTATTCCAAATTTTTGCTACTACAAGTGGCACTTGTCTACCGTAACCCGGGTAAAGTGAGAGAAGATGGCTCTAGAGTTATGTCCGTATTTCTGATGATGGGTTATGGTTCCATGCTGTAACTTAATTTTACGATTACCTTCTTATGAAAATTCTCAAGTCGTTTTCAAGTATGAAAAATTTAAATGGAACTGCATTAAAAAAAAATTCGAAAACGGATGAAAAATTACTTTTTTATCGGAGATTTTTTTTTCTCTTGTCGCAAAAGCGTGGTCAAATTAGCCCGGTTATAAGGCGGCGGCAGGGGCAACATATACCGGCTCCGGACCACGCGACGATCTTACCACGCTAAGGGTTTATATACCCCCCGATCAACTTGCACCCGACCTGAACCGACTTGATCACAAGACTGACCGGCTTATATCCGTTATCAACTTTTTGTGATTAGTCAAATTGTTATTTTACTTTATCTGCAGTTAAAAATGTTTATCAGTAACCAAGGGAAGGATTTTATCTGAAATTCCAATTTTTTTTTTCAATGACTTGTTCAAAGAAAAATGGAAACGATTTTTTTGGAAAAAATTTGGCCACATTCCGATTGGACTTTTTTTCGTAGCGGAGAAAAAAACTCCGAGCAAAGAACAACTTTGATTGATCCAAAAAAAATTTTTTATTTTTTTCAAATAAATAAGAGAATGGCTAAATGGTCTTCATTTATTCAATGTATATACCAAAAAGGGTTTATACAATCAATTTTTAATTATATTTATGCAAAAAAAGCGTGGTCAAGTTGAAACCCGGTTATAAGGCGGCAGCAGGGGCAACATATACCGGCTCCGGACCACGCGATGATCTTACCACGCTGAGGGTTTATATATCCCCCCATCAACATGCACCCGACTAGAACCGACTTGACAGAAGACGAGGCGGAGCCTTCAGGATTTTTTCTCACTTTTGTTTCTTTTTCTGATTACGGGAAAAAACTGTCAGAGCTAAGATGAATGCTAAAATTTCTATCATTTTCCTAAGTCTTTGTACCGCTTGAGTGGCGTTGCCTTTTTTGGAATTTGTCATCTTTAGAAAAAAAAAAACGTTTTTAGCCAATCCGATCGATTTTTATTCTGCAACGAAGAAGTAACTCCTCTCACAAGGGTAATTTCTAAAGAAATCTAAAATTAGATCCTCCAAGTACATTTGTCATTTTGTACGGCCAACTGTTCCGATATTTTCCGGCTCTTGAAAACGAACAGTTGTTTCATTCCTCGAGAATGAATAAAGTGGTTCCCAAAGCCCTACACTAAAAAAATAAAAAAATTTGAGAAGTATGGAGATTCCGGAGAATCCAGAGAAGCAAGGTTCAACGCGTTCTTACTTCCTGAAACTGAAATAAGTGATCAATTACTTCAATTAACAGGAAACTTATTTAACCTGTTAAAAAGAGAAAAAGGGCTCCACTCCGTCTTGTCGCCAAGTCGGTTCAGGTCGGGTGCAAGTTGATCGGGGGGTATATAAACCCTTAGCGTGGTAAGATCGTCGCGTGGTCCGGAGCCGGTATATGTTGCCCCTGCTATCGCCTTATAACCGGGTTTCAACTTGACCACGCTTTTGCCGAAAAATTCAATAAATTCAGAAAAAAACAAATTTTTTTAACTGTTTTTTTATTTTTGCGTAAACATGTTTGAAAGAGCCCAAAAAAATTTGCGGTAAAAAAATTATGAATCATTCAGGTTCTCATTTATTTATTTGGTAATCCTCTTCATTTTCGAAAGATTGGTAGGTTATAAAAAAATAAATCGAGGTGAGTTGTTTTTGTTTATTGAGATTTTTGATCCAGCCTGAAGCTTTAAAATTGAAGATAAGCCTAAAAGGAAGCAATGAAACAATGATATGATTCGCTTGCAAAGAAAAATCATAAGGATTGTGAATTCGATTCTCTTAAAATAAGTTGCAGGAATATATGTCAATTGATCCACTTGAATAAAGTTAAAAATTGAAAATATATCTAGCCTGGGACAATAATAACTTGAAAAATTGAAAAAAAATTGATACCCATCAAATAGAAGCCATTCAAACAGTATTTTCTCTCGAACTCTCCCGAAGCGCGATACATCAGTTTTGCGTCGCACGCATGATAGAAAAACAGGCGGACGCCCTACATGGCCTTGCGAAGCAAGTTTGTCAACGTTCAGCACGATGGCCGAGTGGTTAAGGCGGTGGACTTAAGTTCCCCTGGTTGTAAGACCGCGTGGGTTCGAACCCCACTCGTGCTAAAAAAATTTTTGTTTTTTTATTGAAACATAATAATTTTTTTACACAGGTTGTTATATTTTTTTGAGAACTTTAAAAAAATAAAACTATTTAAGTCATGAAACCAAACCTCAATTTTAATCCTCCTACCAATTTTTTAACTCACAGGAAAATACTGCCCAAAAACGATCTCAGCATAATATTTGATCAGTCTATGCATTTTCTGGATAGTTTTCCGACTTTTTGAGGAGCTTCTTATGAATTTTTGTCACATTTTCCTATTTCCGCATTTATTCAGTTTTCAAAGAAGATGAACTGCTGAATCAGGGGTTAATAGAAGAGTCGTCAGTTCGCAAACTGTCGTTGGTCAAGATTGGCGCTTAGGACATCACTTCTTTTTTGGTAAAGTAGTAGATTTTCGAGCATTCCAACAACCAGCTGCTTCTCCATGTAGGTATTGTACGGCGATCAGCATGTCCAGAGCTTGAGGGCGTCGGATTAAATCTCAGACGAGAGCGGAAGGAAGACCTACCACTATCGAGGTAGAAATTAGTCCCCCATATTTTTCTGAATCTCTAAACACTTTTTATGTATTTCAGGTGAACTTGCCCTTATTGGAAAGTCAATAACCAATTTTCGAACGGCTTACAGAAAATTTGTAGGCTGATGACTTTTTCCTCAACCCTGTCGATTCTCTTTTTATTGTAACTAGTTTTTTGTTAGTAATAAATCTCTCGCCAGAAAATCTTTTCTCGTTGCCTGCGGACACAACAATGGAGAATTGTTTTTCCAGAGATTGACAAAAAAAAAAGAATAAATTTTTGTAAAACCAATTTTTCAAAGAATTGTAGACGTTTGAAATGATAAAGTGTTATTTTGAAAAAATAGCAAATGATTAAGCTAGATGAGATCGCCAAAAAGGTCTTTTGAAGTTTTCATGGGCAATTTATAAACAACCGTTCTTAAAATAATAAGTTTAAGTAGTTGAAAATACAGTGCGACATTGAGTATGTCGGTTTGCGCCGCCGTGTAAACAACCAATGCTGTGCGATAGAGCGAAAATGTTCGCCGCGATCAGTTTTGGATATACGTGAGACGTCTCATTTCTATTTCTTTATTATGCTTGTTGTGCAAATTGGAGAAGCGGAAAATGTTTCAAAACAAAAAATCGTGTTTATTGACGCCGAAGTTGCTCCAAAACAGTATTAATTTATGTTTTGGTGCAATATTCCGTTGTTTCATAGCAATTTTCGTTTTGTCCAATGAACATGCCTTTTGTTTTTTATTTGTTTGAAAAAACAATAAACTAGGGATCTTTTTTGAATACTTTCATACAAGTTCATTGTTTCTTACAATGAGGTAATCCTCAATAGATTTTTCCACTGTCTTTGAACAACGTTTTTCATGCCGTTTCAGTAAGCAAACAATCTTTTTTTTGCAGGTTTCAAACTTTGAGAAAAGAATATGGATCTCTTGTCTGCTCTGAAAGCCAACGAAAAGGGTACGCTTTTTTAATTTCTTAATATCTGTTATAATGAATGTTTTTTATGCATTTGAGCGAACTTTCAAGTCTCACGTTTGTGCAGAAAAATTAAAAAATAATTTCAGAGGAATATCGTTGTACGAGATGCGGCGTCACCTACACGCACTTGGCTTCCTTAAACCGTCACCACCACACTGCTCATGGAAATGACCATTATTGTAAAATCTGCAATGCCAAAGTCCCAAGTATGTTTTTACTTTTTATCGATAATGGTTTTTCTTGCGTAAGAGGCAAACTAATGAAATTTCCTACCTATACTGATTTGATCAAAAATGCAAAAAAACTTCTTTCAGGTACCGAATCCGTGAAAAAGCACATGGCGGTGAAACATGGGTTGAAGAAGGCTATCACTTGCAGCTGCTGCAACTGGACTTTTCCTGATAAAAGGGTTGGATTTTCTTTTTGTCACAAAGTTTTCTTTTTTCTATAAGTATGAACATTTCCAAGTTGAAATTTTTAAAAAAAGTAGAACCTATTACGGAAACATGGAAGCCTATCGATGGCATTTAGGTAAAAAAAGTAAGATGCCAGCGTTAAGAATAAATGAATATAAAAAAATTTGTTTTTTTGGTATCTGTGAAAATTTTTGCGATAGAACAGAAAGCAATGCAAGGTCTTTGTACCAAACTTCCGGCTTCTTCAAAGTTTTTTTAACTTTTCGATAATCTTTTTATTCATTTTCAAATAACTTTTCAGGAAATGACGGCTCATGCGATTAGTCTCGGACAAGGCGGACATCCTGGCGTGGCGATTGTGATTGCTGTCAGCAGTCAGAAACCAGGTAATTAACTTTTCAGTATAAATAAAAGCAAAGACTTTTTTCTTTCCCTCAAAAACTGTTTCTTCAAGGCTTCAATTCATTTTTAGGATCTCTTCACCAAGGTCGTGGCGTTGGACCTTTTCCAAATCTGAGAAACGCTGAACAGATCACGAAACAAATCGAAGGAGTTGATAAAAATTCGACTGAAAAAAAGATTGGGAGGTGGCCAAGCTTAATAAGCCGGTTTGTTATTGTTTGTTATAAACAAGAAAAACAAATTGATGAGGAAAATAGTTCGAGATTTTTTCGAAAACTTTCATCAGCCATTTTGACAGTACTAATCAAGTTAAGGAGAAGAAAAGAACTCTGGAATTTTTACAGAAACCTCGTGCGCAAAGCGATTACGGTCCAGGAGGTGTCAAGAAGCAGAAATTACCAAATGGATCCGCTGTTGTCACTGAAAAGGTGGTCGATCGCGGCAATAATCGATCAAGTTTTTTTTTTTCAGATTGCTCGCTTGGTTGGCGTTTTTTCGCCAACTCGGTCCTTGACGACCACGGAGTCTGTTCTTTTGGATACGCTGTACGGAGATGTAAGTTTTTAAAGTAAAAACTATCTTCCAGTTTTTATTACAATATGAATGTCTTTCACAATTAGTTCATTTTGAATAAATTTCGAGTCAGCGAGGACTCGAAGGTGAAAGTTCAATACTAAAAAAAGGTGGTATTTCGGAATTTACGAGACATTTTTTCAGAAATCCCCAGATGCTAAGTTTGCTGATTTTGGCTTGGAAAGCGTCAAAGAAGAGCCGACGGATGAAGAAGGGTCTGACGTGGAAGCTGCCGATTCGGATGTCTCTTCTGGCGAAGATTACGAGTCGGACAAAGACGAGGTGCAGAAACAGATCGCCCAATTCCAATATGCGGAAGAAGTCGATCCTTCGGACGACAAGAAAGACAAGGACTACGAATATGTTAGCGATTCTGTGAGTTTTTAGTGATGTCAAGGTTGGAAAGACGAACTTGTATTTTCATACCAGTCTCATTTCGAAGATGTTCTTAGAGGCTGTAGAAGGGTTCAACGATTTTGTTTCAGGACGAAGACGACGACGATGCGTACAACAACGCTGTCCCAGTCGGTTCCTTCGGAAGAAAAAAAGAAAAATATTTGGTTAGCAACCCTCAAAGGTTACATTGATTCAATTTTTTCAGACTCGTACGTCTAACCAGAATGTGAAGAACTAGTACCTCCAAGCTCGGATCGGCCGGAAACTTTGCTCCATAATCGTATCATTTGGCCTCCTCCTTCGATCGATTTCCTGTATTATAAATTATCAGTAGATTGAAATTCATCTACATCGACCAGTTTTATTTTAAAATTTCTTGTCAGATATCTTCCACTTCTTTTGATGTTTGTGCAGAACTCGTCCCCTTACTACAAGACTTTTTTGTAAACGAGTGTCTGAACTTGAAGGCTACATCTCAGAGCGGACCAAGCACATTTTCATATAATTTTCCTGCTTTTTGCGACGTTTACCATCTCTTTTGCTGTTTGTACAGAATTCCTTTCCTTCTTCTGTAGACGGGTTTCTGACTCCAATGCAACATCTCAGAGTGGACCAAGCACATTTTTGTGTGATTTTCCCGCTGTACTCGACATGTTTTCTTTTCTAACTAGTTATCAAGTTTCGATAAGCTCCCAGTGGTAAATAAAAATAAAAATGTTTGTACTTATTTTTCTAGCTTAAACCAACAAAGAGAACGTAGAATTTACTGCGAATCAATGCTCCTAGAAAATGATTCTCCATTCTTGGGACAAAATGGATGTGGGCACTCTATCTTTCTCATACCAGAAAGAGTCGTGTGTCAAAAAAATCTATTTAGAGTTTGCTCATCTTATGAATTATAATTCTCTAACCACTTATTGAAACACAGTCGATTAATGAACTTTCAAAAGCGTTTCTGAGTCATTGAGACAGAGACGGAAGAAAAAAAAATTGAGTGACCTCAGAGCCTCGAGCATGTGCAAATTTAATATGCAAAATAAAAATGTTTCGAAAAAATGCTCTTAAAAGAAAAGGTTTCTCAGTATGTTGGAACACAAGTCATAGCAAACTTTTGTGTTTTCGTGTGAAGATTCTTCAAAATTAGTTCAGCATCAGAAAAATTGAAAAACTAATAAATTTTCCAGTTCTGGCGTTAGAATCAAAGCAAAAAAATGCGTTTTTCGCAAGCTCTAAAATGTCTCTTTTTTTACTATAATTGAACAATTTTAAGACAGTTTTTCCTTTATTTTTTTGTAATGTATTGATTTTCAATAATTGTCCAGTTTTGGCGTTAGAATCAAAGTGTTTGACAAGAAAAAAAAATAGAAGCTGGAGAACGGTTATTGTTGAACGAAAAGGAATGATCAAAAAATAGATAAAACCAAGAAATTAGGGAAATTTCTACAGCACAAACGGAAATTTGGATAGTTTTTTCCAGGTGCACGGCTACAGGAATGACTTCTCACCAGGTCTCAAAAAGCGCAAATTATTGGATGGACCCGCTCTAACCAGAGGAACTTTCTCTGAGCATTAATCTGAAATTTTTCAAACTTTTCTTTCGACTGCAGTGTCAGTTCGTTTGCCCAAACTTCATGCAGATTTGAGTTCTACAAAGTTTCAACGCATAGAAAATAAAATTTTGTTTCGCATTGCATTGGTACAATTTTATTCAAGGCAGCCCCGTCAAAATGAAGTCAAAGTGACCAGAAGTACCAGTTATTTATACATTCATTAAAAGAACAAATTTTTTTAATCTTGAGAAACGAATTGAACAGAGACAAATAAGAGTAAATGGAAAGGTATGTTCAATGTTTTGTTAAGTTAAAAATTAGCTTGAGGCTCTTCTGTAATTCGAAAATAAATTATATCGAAAAAATTGACTTGTACGGGAGAAAGTTTCTTGCAAATGTTGTGAATATTGACCAGCATCCAAATTGGGTGACCTACGGAGCCGCGCCAATCGAGGTGTTTCGCGGGCATCGACGCGACGGTTCGCTTCGCCTTTGCAGGACATTCGTTTGCCTTTTATCCCGTCGCATTCTCAGAAGACGAACGGCACACCAGCGTTCGCGGTCTCGCTCTAAAACCATGGATAATCCGGCATTGGGTTTTTCTCTTCAATTTCACTGTACTTTTTGATGGAGACTTCGAGCGCTGGGTTGCCGTTTAGCTGAGTTGCTTTTTTTTATCGTTTCCATTCGTACTTTTAGGCTCTCAAGAAAAAAGTTTTTCAATGGTTTAGTTTGAAGAGTCCTAAATGATTCGAAAATGCTTTTCAGCTCGTTCAATTTTTTAGAAATAGTGAGAACCTGAAATTGTGTAAAAATGTATATGTCAAAACGAATGATTGCTCAGCAAGGATGACGTACGGTGCATTCTGCTTTTTTGCACTTTGGTACGTAACTGGAGTTTGCGCCGTGAAGTTTTGGTGCTTTTTTGGTATTGAACTGGTGCCGCACGCTAAGAGCACTGATTTACACAAATTCACCAAGAAGTCAGCAAAATTGCACGGTGCAGACCCCAATTACGCACCAAAGTGCAAAAAAGGAGAATGCACCATGCGCCATCCTTGATGAGACATTCTTGAATCTTATGTTTTCAAGGTGTTGTTTGGCACGAAACATGCGCTACCATCGTTGGCGATTCTGCCTCACGGATGAAAGTAAGAGTTTTATTTATATATTGCTTCACCTATACCGCCAAGAAATTTTTTTGAACCAGTCTATCAATTCTTTTCAGTTCACACGAACGAAAATAAGACAATCTATTTCAGACACTTACATATGCAATCACTGCCCGGCCACTTTTGAAATGTTGCGTTACTTAGATGAACACAAGATAAAGAAGCACAGAATATCTACAAGTTGTGTGGACCTGTCTATTCCTGGTAAACTTTTTTTTTTGAAAAATAAAATAAACTTTAATTATTTGAAAATTAGTGAAGTTGAGTGATTCCCTGTTTGGAGTGTCTTCATCGTTTCTCTCTTTACAGAGTCGCTGAAGGAAACTTGGCGGGAGCATTTCCAAAGATATCCTCCTACGCAAGGACAAGTAAGTTTCCACGATCTTAACTCTGCTTGAAATGAAATGATTTTTCTATAACAGGAGAAAAAAATAGTCTTCATGGATGAGCTATTATTTTTATAGTTTCTTACTAGGGAACTTCGCGAAGTCGTATTTGCAAATCGAGTTCAAATTTTTAGTGGTTCATAGACCGAAGTCAGAATAATTAGAAACAAGAAAAAAATATCTGCTTAACTAATAGAGAGATGAGAAAAAAATTTATAGAAAAATGTGCAGATTAGGCCTGAAAGTTTTCAGAATACTGCTTTTTATCTTATTTTATGTTTTGATACAATCGCCTTGAATGATCCGGCTAAACACTAAAAAACTTTTCTCCAGCCAAAAAAGAACAAGAAAAGCAGAAATTTGCGGGAGATTGCGTAGTTTCCTATTTAGAAGAACGAACAGTTTTTTCTGTGTTTATTTGCTCACGGAAACAAAATTCAAGCCGGAAAAAATAGTTACATTTTGAGTGACTGCGTACGATTGCATTGCGTAAGATATAAGTTGAAAAGTATGTTGTTGTGCGTCACAGTGCCAGCCATTATGCTTGTGCGCACATCAAAGTTATGACCGTAATCAGTTCATTTTTTCCAGGATCTCGCCACTTTCAATTTTAATTTTGGACAAAAGAACGGCAACGAGACCTCTGAGCCATCTTCTTCAGCGGATACTGAGAAGAAAGGAAATCAACGCCATCCCTTGGTTTGATTTTTTCCAATAAAGCTACTTGCATAGTAAAAACGCGAATTGCAAAAGTCAAACAAAATTTGGGAAAAGAATTGAATGTTCCTCATAAATGATCAACACTTTTCAACTTTTACAGAAGCGAACTCAGAAAAATAAGGAGCGAGGAGGGGTCAAAAAGCAAAAAATGTCGAATGGGGCTGCTGCGGTCCCGGATCAGGTATTTGATCTCAGTAGGTATTAAAAAAATATTCGTCTCAGATCGCTATTTCGTTAAAGGCTCCGCGACCAACTCGGTCCTCATTCCCCATAAATTATGCTCACAGGGAAAAACTTCATGGAGAAGTGAGTTTTCAGTAAAAAAAAATCTCTCAGATTCTATTTCAATATGAAAGTTTTTCACGAAAATAGCCTGTTTTGAATAAATTTCGAGTCGAATGATACTTGCAGGTGAGCGTTCAACATTATAAAAGGCGCTACTTAGGAAATTAAAAGGGATTTTTTCAGGAATACCCTGCTACTAAATATGATGATCCTGGATTAGAAAGAGTCGAAGATGGGGAGACGGATGAAGAATGGTCTGACGTGGAAGCTGCCGATTCGGATGTCTCTTCTGGCGAAGATTACGAGTCGGACAAAGACGAGGTGCAGAAACAGATCGCCCAATTCCAATATGCGGAAGAAGTCGATCCTTCGGACGACAAGAAAGACAAGGACTACGAATATGTTAGCGATTCTGTGAGTTTTTAGTGATGTCAAGGTTGGAAAGACGAACTTGTATTTTCATACCAGTCTCATTTCGAAGATGTTCTTAGAGGCTGTAGAAGGGTTCAACGATTTTGTTTCAGGACGAAGACGACGACGATGCGTACAACAACGCTGTCCCAGTCGGTTCCTTCGGAAGAAAAAGAAAATATTTGGTTAGCAACCTCAAAGGTTACATTGATTCAATTTTTTCAGACTCGTACGTCTAACCAGAATGTGAAGAACTAGTACCTCCAAGCTCGGATCGGCCGGAAACTTTGCTCCATAATCGTATCATTTGGCCTCCTCCTTCGATCGATTTCCTGTATTATAAATTATCAGTAGATTGAAATTCATCTACATCGACCAGTTTTATTTTAAAATTTCTTGTCAGATATCTTCCACTTCTTTTGATGTTTGTGCAGAACTCGTCCCCTTACTACAAGACTTTTTTTGTAAACGAGTGTCTGAACTTGAAGGCTACATCTCAGAGCGGACCAAGCACATTTTTCATATAATTTTTCCTGCTTTTTGCGACGTTTACCATCTCTTTTGCTGTTTGTACAGAATTCCTTTCCTTCTTCTGTAGACGGGTTTCTGACTCCAATGCAACATCTCAGAGTGGACCAAGCACATTTTTGTGTGATTTTCCCGCTGTACTCGACATGTTTTCTTTTCTAACTAGTTATCAAGTTTCGATAAGCTCCCAGTGGTAAATAAAAATAAAAATGTTTGTACTTATTTTCCTAGCTTAAACCAACAAAGAAAACGTAGAATTTACTGCGTATCAATGCTCCTAGAAAATGATTTTTCATTCTTGGGACAAAATGGATGTGGACATTCTATTTTTTTCATCGCAGCTATCAGAAGGAGTCGTGTGTTAAAGAACTCTATCACAGTTCACTTTTCTTGTGAATTATATTTTCTGTGCAGTGAACAGCCGACAAATGAACAAAAACCAACCAGTTTCATGATTACACCGGTTCCACAAAGATTGCTTGATTATTTTCAGTACAAATATAGAGAGTTTTATTCTTAGCAAAAAAGGCTGAAGGGTGCTAGAAGTAATTTCATAGAGTTTCGAAACTTTTTGTGGTTTCACATGCCACCAAATACCAGAATGGGCAAAAGGCGCTTTTTAGGAAGACTCTAGTTTGCTCTAGGGCGGGTAAATGGTCCATTCCTCGACGTCTCTCGCCTTTTTCGAATCTTCTGTGCTTCTTTTTCTGGCTATCACGCCTACTCACTGAGATCAGCGCGAGATATCAGAACCAGAGCAGCCTCCTTATCTGCAGGTCTTTGTGTTTACTTTTTTCTTTTTGCCACAATATCATTGGTCGTATTTGCTTTTTTTTTCTACTTAAACTCAGCCTGATTATTCATGTTATAAAGAAAATTTTCCATTCGTGTAGGACTGTGTACTCTGGAAATTTTAACAGATTTCGCAATATCCTTTTTTTCAAAGTTCGAAAGAAAAAAATGGGAATTTTCCAATCATGATTCAAAGCAAATTTTTTAAGAAAAATAATAGTATAAAAGAGCTTTTAAAAGTTTTGAGTAGCGATCATTTCTCAAGCGATCATCTCATCAAAAAGACTTGATAAAATAACGAATAAGAAAAGATGTCACAAAGAATAGATTCGTAAAAAATAAAGATGTTTCATGCAAATTTTGTGAGTATTGACCAGCATCCAAATCGGATGACCCACGGAGCCGCGCAAATTGAGGTGTTTTGTGAGATTCGAACGCGTCAGTTGTTTTTATCGCGGTTGCCGGGCATTTGTTCGCCTCTCATTCCTTCGCATCCTCAAACAATGAACGGCGTTCGCGGTCTCGCATTGAAACCTTGAAAAATCCGCCATCGGGTTTCCCTCTTCAATTTCACTGTACTTTTTGATGGAGACTTTGCGCGCTGGCTTACCGTTTACTTGAGTGGCTCTATTATGTTCCGTTTGAAAATTAAACGACATGATTCTTGAAGTAGCCAACGAGCTCAACGAACTTTTCGGGAAATCACTATTTTTTGCTTCTTCTAACATTTATCATTGCGCAGTTATTATTCCATAGTGAGTACATTTTTTTATGGCGCTCTCTTTTATGATATAGCAAAATTTGGCTCAAAAATTTACACAGAACGGCAAATCAATCTTACGCAAATTTTTCCTTTCTTTTTACTCAAAAAAATAACTTTTTTTATCTGTTTTTAAAAAGGGCATTAGTATTTTGGGATCTTCTTTCTTTTTGTACTGTTCGTTTTCTCAGTCACATTACAAAAAGTTTGATTCAGCCATGTCGACAAGAAAAACACGTTTTGATCGCTATAACGAACGCGTGAACGAAGAGGGTGAGAATTTGAATTTCCGAATGTGAAAAAAGACAGAGAGAAGGAGTCGCCAACGTTTCTTCAATTTTTACCTAAGCAAACAGTAATAAGACAATCAAATTTAGTGAGAAATATCTGCACCCAATTTACGCAGACTTTTGAGTTTAACAGTTATTGGGATTTCTTTTATTACTGTTTCTTTTTTATCGGTGTACTTACGAAATCAGCCAGCATGATCTGTAGTGCTCTATGGCTATTTTTTCAACAAACTCAAAACTTCGCTCGTAAAGAAACTGTCTAAAAACCAACAACATATCAAAAGAAAAGCCTTGATAGAGTCAAACTTATTAAAGTTCAAAGTTTGTGATGTGGAACTAAAAAAGTTTGTATTGGTCAAAAAAGATTTGTTTTGAAGTTTCTGGACCACATAAAAAATCACTTATTGATGAATTAAAATTATTAAAAATTTGAACTGTAAAACTTTGATAACTTTCTTACAACCGAACAAGTTAAATCATACTTTTGCAGCGACGAAAAAACGGAAGAAGTCTATAGAAAGTGTTCCAAAAACCAAGGTAAAGTTTTCATGCTCTATTTTTCCATCAGAAATGCTTTTTTTCAGAAAAGTCGTACGGATTTCAAACCTCAAAAAGCCATCTAAACATGAGGTATTTAGACGCAAAAAAACTTTATTGCAACAATAGTTTCTTCTGAGATCAAAAAAATGACAGAAATTTTTCAAATGGTTTCATTTGACAAATGTAATATTAAATTTGAATTGATTATAAACAGTTTCGCAGTTATAACGGTTTTTTTCAAAATGTAAAAAGCCGGTACCTTATCGTAAAATCAGCACTCATCTAAGCAATACTCTCAATTGTTTTTTTTTTCAGCTCTTCCTGGAGTCCTTCAGAAAGAGCCAAGAGGAATACGGAGTTTTGCGAGAAAGGCTTATGAGAGGAGGCAAAACGTATCACGAATTCGCATATGAGTCAATGGAAAAAAAATGTGTAAGTCTCTTATTTCTCAAGATTAATATTGAAAATTTTCAAAAGTAAAAATTTTTCAATGGGTTGGCACATGGGTCATAGACCTTTTTGATGTTTTTTGTGTTATTACGCTTCAAAGTTATATCTTTATTGAATTTGAGTCAATCGAAAAAACGCTGGTTTTTCCCCAAAAAGAATTCACGTCTTTTGAGAAATTATATCACAAAATAACTTTTTCAGAATGATCAGCTGCTCAATCACTACAAAAGCCTCGACACAGACGAAAGATGCGAATTTTTGGGCTTAATCAATATGGACGAGCGCAGGCTGTTATTTCGAGGCGTGAGTGATTCTGTTTTTTCGTGTAAATTGAACTCTTAAAAAAACACAAACTTCTTTTCTCACGATAAATTAAAATCAAATATTGAATATTTTTGAGTTTCTCATTAAAATTTTTTCAGCTACACGACAAGCTGAATGCTCTACAGTTTGAGAAAAGAAAATTGAAAAGAGACGGAATGGACGCCGATAAACGAGACGTTTCTGCTGGAAACACTTACGACCTCCTTAATCAAAAGGTTGTAACATCTGATAATCAAAATCAAGAAATTTTATTTTAAAGAAAAGCTGACAACCTGTGAAAGCGGTGTCAATGCTTTTTTTCCATTGCCTGTCAGGGGAAAATAGATGAACGGGTTTTCTTCAAAAATTGTCGTGTTTGCAAGAAAAATGGAGTTCAAGTCAACCATTTTACGCTAAGAGACTCTTCGAATGGAAAACTTTCCTTTTCAGTTTCATATCATACATTTATTTTTTCAGATAGCCGAAATTCGTGACTACCACGATCGCCTTGGTTCGGAATGTCAACGCGTTTTCCTGTGCGTGCTCAAAGAAGATGAACGAGAAGATGTCTTCCCAGAGGTACATAATTTCGTTATTTCAATTTTTCCATAGTTTTTCAAACTTTTATGGGCAAAAGTGAAAAATGTTTATCGAACAGTCGAAAACTTGTTTTCCGTACAAGGAAACATTTGAAATTTTCGCAGTTAATTCGAACACATTCATAGTTCAATTTGAACTCTAATTTGTCATTCACGAGAAATCAAGACCAGAATTTGAATAATTCTGGTAACTACGATAAAAAAATATTGCTGGTTAAAAGAAAATGAAAAAAATTAAATAATGAAATAGCAGAAAAAAAGCAATAAAAAAACCAATAATGGTTGCCGTAATCAAAGCCTTTTGTCGGTGTTTTTTTATGCGACGACTCTTCAAAATTAGTTCTGGATCTGAATATTTAACTTCAAAATAATCAGCCTCAGTGAAAAATAATCACAAAACAATTTTTTCGATCATTTCTCAACAAAACGTTCTAGATGACAAAAAAGAAGAATTGCGCCGCGGACAAAGAGAAGCTACCTAAAAAAGGGACAAAAGCTTCTGGCAATCGTGGTCGCACGGAGGAAAATGCTCCTCACAAATATGACTCTGTAAGTTTTTCCCAGCTTCAAGTTCATCATAATTCGAGTGCTCTGATACATTTTCAAATTGTCAAATTTACGAAAAAAACTTTCAAAGTATAAAATTGATCGAAAATAGAAAACTCCAAAATAATTATGCATTTATCGTGGCCAGCATCTTATTAGAAACTTCAAAGGCGACGTAACTTCCATACTGAAAACTGAAAACGGACCTTAGCCTAAGTATGCATTGATTCTGTTTGATAAAACAAACAAATCTCAATTTTTTCTTGCACAAAAAAAATTGATTGGCGACTTTTGCAGGACGACGATATCCAGTTCCTGGGAATTTTTCCTACCCGTCATTGACTCGATCACTTTTTCAAAGGCTGGGATTTACCAGGAACACAAATGAAACTTCGCTTCGTATGACTTAATTTTTTTTTCCGATTTCCCTTTTTCTTTTCGTACATTAATAAAACGCACGGTGAAGATTTTTTTAATTTTTTTTTTATTCTAATTTCTCTCTGTTTTTTTATTTTATCATGACATCATGGCCTAAAAATAAACTTTGAGAATCCAGGAACTCAAGACTCGGCTTATAGCTTTACATAATTCATAATACGTGTTTGTTCATTGTATTTTTGAAGTCGCCTTTGATACTTTTCCTTGATTCCGTTTTTGTCATATGTTACGTTTTAGATACCTGTTATAAAATATTTCCAAAACTTTTTGTTTTTTTATCTCAACGAAACTAAATGATTCTTGATAACAGTTGAGCAGAATCGTTGAACTAAAACTGTCAACGTGAAAAAAACAAGCACGAAAAATTTTTTTGCGAAAAAAATCGAGGTTTTGATAAGAAGGAATTTTTTTCAAAAAAATTTTTTTAAAGTTCACAAAAAAATGCAATGAATAGGCCTAACCAAATAGTTAGATTGAGGTGAAAAATTCTGAAGTATTTTTCTCCATTGACCTCAGGTCCACTTGTTTCCTTCTGCGGGCGCCGTGCATTCACTTTTTTTGGACGAATCTGTTTTTGAATCATGTTTTAATTCAATAAAGTAGTACTCGTAATCTTGAAGCCATCAGTTATAAAAAAATGTTTTTGGTTGGAAATCGTCTCGGAAGTTTATCTTTATAAACACTTCCTGAGATTGGGCAAAACTGTATTCTCTTCAAGTTCCTAATTTTAAATTCATTCAAATGAGTTTTTTTCTGCTGATAGTTAACAACTTCAAACAATCATAACAAGTAAATTGCTCAACTTTATTTTTGGCCAGCGCTTACTCTTTGCTGGAAAGATAGATAGTTTTTAGTTGTGAATTCAGAAAACTTTTGAGGTTTTTTATTTCTTGCTAACTTTTTATTGTCTCGAACGGAACTGTTTCTTGGTCTCTTCCTTTTTAATATCTCAGAAAAAAACCTATAAGCGTTGTCTATTTCCGGGCAAACCGAAAAAAATTGATTCGAACAGTCAAACTCAAATAAAACATCCGAGAGAAAATTTTGCGCACAGTCAACTGAACCGCAATCATAAAAAAATGAGAATAAATTTTTATTTTTCCTGCGAAAAAAATTTTAATTTTTTTAAATTACAGGAAGGCACAACCGATGACTTTTTGTAGTTTTTTTCACGCATTTTATGCTCATTCGTTCTTAAAAAAATATTAATTTTTATGAATGGTAAATACAGTGCGACAAGGAGTATGTTGTTTTGTGCCGTCGTGCGGGCGGTTTTTTTGAAAGCTCGAAAATGTCTCTCTTTTTAGTTTTTTTCAATTCGTTAAGAATTACTGAATTTTGAAAAAAATTTTCAGGAAAACCGGCTACAAGGATGACTGCTCAGCATTTTTCAAGAAGCGCAATTTATTGGATGGATTCTTTTGACCTGAGGTATTTTTTCAATGTCTTCATAGATAACATTATTTTTTCAGCGCGATCGTTCAATTCAAATGTTTCTCAACGTTTCCTACGGCTACAGTGTTCGTTAGTGACTACAATTAATGCACTAGTGAGTTTTTTTAATAGTTTTCAACGTATAAAAAAATAAAATATTAGTTATTATTGCATTGATACATTTTTTTATCTAAGACGGCCAAAGTAACGTCAAAGTGACTAGAAATGTATTTTTACTATTGCAAATCCAATAAAAAACCTTGTTTTCAAAACATGATTCAAACTTCAATGGTACAGAAAAATAAATAAAAACTAAATAGAAACGTCGAAAAATGATTTGCTTTTATCCAACCGAACTAATCAGAGGCAAAAAGACCTTTGTGTAGTTTCATGAAAAGCGTATTGCTGTTTGAAATAATCAAATGATTATAATCCTGAGATATCTTTCTAAGCACAAGCAATGTTTAAAAATTTTTCAGAAGCGCAATTACGATGGAGACGGTTCTCTCAACTCCAAAAAGCAAACATTTTCGGATTACATTTTCGGATTATTGCCGAAAAGATGGTTCCGTTGTTGCAGTGAGGAAATTTGTCCATAAAATTATTAAAGATTCATCAGGTTGGCCACTTTATTTTTGCTTTCTCGCCCAAATAATTTCTTCTTACAACGACTGAATTTGTTCTCCCAACCATAGGGTGGGCAGCCGTGAGATCGACGCAATTTTGAAAGTTTCAAAAATAAATTCATTCCGCAATTAATTCTTTTTCAAAACAAACTCTAACAATAAGATTTTTTTGGACAATACTTATGTTCAAAATTCCAAAAAAGCAGAAAAAAAGTCGGTATTTTTTCAAATTTTACAGAGTCATGTTCAGAAATTGGACAACTTCGTTGCTCGCGAAATTCGTCTGGTCGGAGACAATGAAAATAAATTGGACGATGAAACGAATGGCCTGAATTTTTTTCATGAAGAAAAATATGAATTGACGTCGGAGCAAAAACAATGCCAGTTCGCCAGCGATCTATTTGGATATGACGAGGAGCCTAAGAGGAATCACAATTATCATGACTCTGACAAATAATTAAGTGAGTTTCTTCCCTTTTTTTGAATTTTACATTTATCCTGTTTCGTTCAAGTTGAAACCCTCTTTTACAAAAAATGTTTGCCAGGGTGACTTGATGTTGCAGTGGCGGCGATCGGTGGGAAACGCATATAGTCTGTTCAGATTTTGAATGTCAAGCAGCGTCAGTTTTTAACTCCTTGCGCCCCTGCTGGCACAGTGCTTTTTTTTTTTGAAAAACCATAGCGCACAACAATGACACTTTTATATTAACACATTTTTTTGATCTTTTTTGATCTAAGCGTTAGAAAAAAACCAAAAAAATGCAGCGTTATTAAATGATCATTGTCACGCTCAATAAAAGATCAACGCAAAAAGATACTGCGCCAGCAGTGGCAAAGTTAGCTGTTTGAAATTCAAAATTTGAATAGACTATAGGAGTATTGGGACAAAAAACTAAAAGATCTGAAAAAAACGGTCCGCATGAGATTTTTTGTTTTCCATGAAGAGCGGCGTCACTGCCACAACGACCTACCTCAGCATACGTGCGTTTTTTGCAATTATTTTTGGGAAAATTTGTAACAAAGTATGGGAGATTATAGTCGTTTTTACGCAAAAAAAATCCAGCGTTGGCAGGACATAAAGAAAATGTATTTATGGAAGTTTCAAAAGAGATAACCATGATAAGGGTTATTGAAAACGCGATACTTGTTTTTTGAGCTACATATTCAAAAGTCGAGTTGAGACTTTTTTTTTGTTTTTTGAGAGAGTAACTGAACGCTCTCACATGGAAAAAAAAACGGACTTCTCACTGTTGTTTCAAACTTGCTAACATTTTTTATTCCTGGGTGCAAATTTTCAAGAGATGGTTTTATTTTTATAGGACTTTATGCGCTCAACGGAAATTTTATGGTACTAAATAATTTTATTTCAGGGTCGAGAATACATAACTTCGTCTTGAAGCTCGATGGAGCTCAAATTTTTTTGATTTGTTAACAGTTCTCTTTCTTTTTATTGATATGCTCGTTTTGTAAAATGTTTTAAATGCTGATTACGTTATCATCACGCACATTTTTTCTTATTTGTAAAAATTTGTTCGATTGTGATTTTCTAATGTAAACATTTTTAACTCAAATTGAAAATTTTTCTGTTTTGCTCAGATTTTGATGTTTGTTATTGTTTTTTTCTGACAAAAATAAATAATAATTTCACCAAACAGTCTCTTTGTGAGCAACGAAAAAACATGAACAAGCTGGGGATCAGTGTTTTTTTGTAAGCAAGTATTCTTTCTTCCTGAGGCCGCTTTACTCCGCTTGCACTGCCATCCTAATCACAGCTATCAGGAGCACTCTCATGTCAATAATTGATTTGAGAACAGCGCGCTTATCATACGAAGTATTTTTTTCTCTTCGCTTGACTGAAAGAGTCGGGAAATGAACAGAAAGCCATCTACGGTGTGACTGCACGGATTCAACGGAGTGTGAACTTTTGATTTTTCCACAGCAAAGGATTTGTCTACAGGTTCGTGAAGTACCATTTTAAGATTAAAGCGAAATCACTGCAGCGAGGTCCGGATTAATTCTACAGTGTTTTGTTAACCTTGTCAAGAAAATTTTCAAATACCGTATCATACCATTAAAGAGAACATTTTCAGAGCATTTATAATGGTCAGAAGTGAGGATGGTTTGAAGTTGAAAATTAAAACCGCAAGAATTTTTTGGACGTTCTCATAGACCATTTTTTTTTTGTTCTTTACAGACGCAAAATCTCAGCCAAAAATTGATCTCAAAACTTTTTATTCCTGGAAGTTCACGTAGCTGGCTCAAGGAGCATGGATGTACGCGTCTCAATTCTCACTTCTTTGACGATCTCATTCGTTCCATAGGAATCGTTCAGACTGTAAAAATGCGCGTGGTTCTATTCTCACACTGATTTTCTAGAAATCCAATGCATGTGAACACTCCTTCGATTGTTTGGTATCGACCACTCGGTGGCTGCAAAGCGCCAGATAAACAATAAATGGGATTCTTATGACCGGGTGGCGAAAAAATGCAAATTTTTTTATCAGTGTGCGCTCGCCTCAATCCAAAAAAAAATCATTTTTTACGACGGACTGATGTGAAAAAGGAGAGTCTTCCTTTTTCTTGTGCGCCTGGCACTTGCAACTTTGGACTCGGCGCGAGTTTTGGGGGAGGCGCCGAGCGACAGTCTCCGTTCCATTTCAAAGGGCTCTCGGTGACTTGCAATTCTGTCTTTTACAGTATGTCGTCTTCCAACTCGAGCACCAGTGTATGGGACATGCCTGCACATGAAACTCTTCTTGGCCAAGTCACCATTGTCCTCGCCTGTGCCTCGATCACCATTTTGTACAGGGTTATCCACCGCGTCATTGTGAGTTCATAAACCTTTTTTAGCTCTCCTTTGGTTGTAACATTTTTTTGAATTTCTGAATTTTTATTCAAGAAAATTTGCGAGATTTACGAGTGGGCTCTGAAGAATTTTTACAATTTTTTTTCTCAAATTGGGGGTGCTGCTCTTTTAAACTTCAGTACAGAAAAAGATCCTAACGTCTTTTTTTCAGCCCCGTATTTGGGAACACCATGTTCGGAACAGACGCGCAAACGCTCGCCCACGCCGTAACCGCCGTAAATAACTTTATAATACGAAACTCTGAGCATCCTTGTATTTTTGTTGAAATGCCGTAGACTTTTTTCATATTGAGCGATGATTGTTATCAAATTTTGATTTTTCGTCTGAAGTAAACACTTTTCAAATTGAAGTTGAAACTGTTGAAACTACCGTTCATTTTCTTGAGAAAGAGTAAACAGAAGTTAGACACTTTCTGTAAGAATTTTGTGGTCCGTCTGATCTTGGGAAAAATCTTGAAAGTTCGCAAGATTTGAATCGACTTGAAAAAGCTGATTTTAATGTGAAGTTTGGAGTTTACCACAGAACTGTTTCTGATAATTTATTTAAAACCTTTCACAGTCGCCGATTGCGTCTCAATTCCAAATTAGCGAGTATTTCGTTCGAAGCCCGATTCTGCGTTTAAAGTGAACTTCGGAAAATCTTCAAAACTGAAAGTTCGCGCAAAGGATGTGGCGTGGCTAGGAAAGATCTTCATCTAGACCGGGAAAGATATTCTTCCTTTAGAAAGCGTCTCAGCGAGTTTATAAGAAATTTCGAACTTGCACGTGAGATACTTCCGTGATTACAAAATAAGCGAAAAGGCTTTTTATAACATTATTTTTCAACAAATTACAAAAAGGTAAATTTGAAAGAAAAAAACCAAGTTATTCTGACTTCTATTTATTAACCTTTAGCGGCCTTACAGTAATCTCCAAAGCGCAAAGAAATTGGATTTTTGCAGACTCGAACGTAGCCATCCCAGTTTGCAACTCGAGTGTTCTGTAAGAACAGAAAAAGTTGCCTGAGGAGATTCCAGAACAATCGAAACGATTTGAATTGATGGCTGGGCTGTCTCTACTTCTGGCGCGGACGACCGCCTCCTTCTCAACTTTTTTCTGCGTGCGCTCGGACGCAATTCAAATTTTCTCACTGTTTATGGCGTTCGAGGGCGAGCCGTCGACGAACTCGAATCCTCGGGTGTCCAAGAAACGCCTGCATCAATCGATATCATCCTGGCCGAAATGCCAAAAAAGCCCTTCGCGCCTTTTGTTTCCGACGGCGCCACAGTCTGCAACCATCAATAATCTTCTCGGTGTAAAACAGTTCTTTTTTTCCGTGGCGTCCGAAAACCCAATGCCCTTATATACGTCAATTACTCTGCCTCGTTCCACCTGATGCGTGACCCTTTCCAAGTTGGAATAACTGTTTTCTTGTTGATATAGTTTACATTTCAAAATTCAGACCTTGAAAAAGATTTTCCTTTTTTTGACAAAACAAGATAGTTTAAAAAAAGATTTCGATCAAGAAAAAAAAATAGCCTCATTTTCTTACTTGTTATCAATCATTTTCAAGCCTTTTTCTGCGATTATGAGTAAATACTCATTCAGTGCGTCCAGATGGCGGAAAGTCCGGGCCTGGTCAAGTTCCTCGACAGGTTCGGGTTGGTCGATCTTGGCTGGAACGTCATCGACTTACTCAGCCGTCCGATTTTCCCAGATCTCAGTAAGTTTATTTCTTACAACTTTTTATATAAGAACGTCTAACCTTTCAATACTGATTGAAAATGATAAAAAAGGGTTAAAAAACCAGTTAAAATGGAGCTCTTGCCTATGGACACTTCTGAAAGTTTTTCCAGACTTTTTATCTTCTGAAAAGCTGTCTAGGAAGATGCAGCGTATGAAAATGAGTAAGCGAAATTATTGAACTTAAATTCGAAAGTTTTTTTTTGATCCCTAGTTTGCCTTGAGTTCGAACGTATTTTATATAGCCTCTCTAAAAAAAGCTGAGGATTCTGGGTGAAAGGTTCCATTTCATCACATCTTCTCGGTTCTGCAATGTTTATGATGAGAAAAGCTTTGTATGAACCTTCCGCTGACCTCGCGGCACGCTTTCTTTTGACTGTTGCTCGTGAGAAACACATCTGGGACATCTCCTTTTGTGTTTGGCAAGCGTCTCACACATGTGGAAAATAATTTGTCTGTTCCGTACTTTTGGAATTTTTTGAGAAGCATCGAAAAATGATGATCGCAGACATTAACTTCGAGATGATACGGCAAATTCCCCGATGAATGTAAAAATAAACCAATTTTTTCCTGACACGCCTTTTAGACGAAAATGTCGGAAAAGAAGTTTCCGCGGAATTCCTTCATCTTGTGTAATATTTTTTACCCGAAAAAAAAGTGGGAGACCTATGCCTCTAAATTTTTGTTTTTTGGAATGACCAGCTTTCATATTAATGATAGTGTTTGAAAATGCGAGAAAGAGAAGATCAAGGCGTTTTTCTCTCAATTTTGAAAAATAAAGACGCCTTCTTAAGAGTACCAACATTAAGAATAAATCATTATACCAGCAATGAAGGGGTATTTCGTAAAAATACATAGCTCATCATCATCATCGATTTTTCAGGCAAGGGCGACAAAATCGCTGGCTCGCTGGTGGTTCTGATACAGGCGGTGATGATCGCCTTGCTGCAACATTGCAGCAAGGCGATCACGCAAGACTTCATCATCTACTGCATAGGCTTAATGGGTTTCGCCATGGTTCTCCTCATCACCAGAGGACGTCTCGGCATCTGGTTGATCCTGTGCATCTCCTTCGTCGACATTCGTCACATGATTGGAGTTGTCGCTGCTAGCGAGTTCAACTTCCATTCCGCCCTGTACGCCTACCTGTCCACCATCATCGTGTCGGTCATTGCTGTGTGCGCTCTCTCCGACTTCGAGCTCCTTCCTGGCTAATAATAATCTCAAGGAATACGTCCATAAGCTTTGTTACTTGTCTGAATAATCTAATAAAAAAATCTTTTTCAAAGCTATTTCATATTTTTGACCGAATAATAACCGAAAAGGCAGTGTGAAAAAAACCTAAAAAAATTGTGAATTTGAGAAATTACTGATACAGCGCTTCCTTAAAAAGCAACTTTCTTGGAGTTTCCCGAAATAACTGTATCTTCAGTACTTTGAAAAATTATTCGGAAACTTGACATTTTCCATCACAACTTTTTTCAAATGAGACAAATAGTTTTATTCAGTTCAAGTTTATCAAAATAAGGGATTTTTCAAAATACGGAAAGTGGATATTGATTTGAAAAAACAAAAAAATGAAAAAAAAAATAAAGTTGCAATCAGCAAAGGTTCAAATTAGCTGTCGACAGCGAGACTTCTTCATGAAGAGCCAAGTTCTTTCGGGATCTCACATCTTCTCAGGATTTTCCACGTAACTTATTTAATGATACCTTATCAGTTCAAACTTGAGAGAAAAATTTACGCGAAAAAATTCAAGTGGGATTACAAATTACAAAAAAAAATTCCAATAAAAAAAAGGGCAATCAAGAAGACGATATTGAGAGGGACTACGGTTATGTTAGAACATCAATTATTTTAGAGATAGTCTTTTTTTCCATTTAAGAGATCGTGCAAGCACATCTGGCGGACTGGACGTTTTCGACTTGTTCGTCGTCTTTCTCGATGGCGGAAGCGATAGCGGCTTTGAATAATTCGGTAACTGCCACCTGCAAAACGAACTGCCCGTGTGTTGCTTTAAAGATGCAGAAAAAAAATAATACTTTGGTGAGAGCCGAGCACTCGAAGTACCCGATCGCCCCGAGCTCGTGGGCAAGCTGCTCGCCCTCAGCTTCGGCCACAGGACGCAAACGGTTCTTCGCGAGCTTCTCAACAGTGTCCAAGTCGTTTCGAAGATCCACCTAAAACATTAATAGCGCTCTGGAAAGATGACTCAACGTTTTTGCCATTGAAAGAGAATTATTTTTTTTTTTTTGCATTAATGTTGCGTGCGGTCGCAGGGCGGTTGCAAACTTTGTCCTATTTGCGAGAAGCTGACTTTTTTTTTGAAAGTTACGAAATACTGCATTTCAGCTAAACCCGGCCCGAATACAGTGTACCCAAATGAAATAGAAAACAAACTTGAGTGCCAACGATGAAGATTCGAGCTTTTGGGCAGTGCTTCTTGACCTCCGGAACAAACTGAAAAATTCAACGGTCAAGGGCAATTTTTGAAAAATTTGATGAGAAAAAAGGAAACTTCATCGAGGTTTTATAAAATACGCCTCTGCAGGTGTTTTGATGAAAATCCCCGTTTTTTAATGAAAATTTGAGCAATTGTCATTTTACTAGCTTAAAATCATCTCAACTAAGTCTGGAAATAAAAAAAAATGTTCGTTTTGTCAAAAAACAATTCTGAAAAAATTAGAGAAATAAAGAAGAGTTTAGATTTGGTTATTTTTCAATTTGAAAGGTGCCTGATGATCTTACCTTGTCTTTGATCTTGTGGAAGCTTTCCGGAGACACAATTGAAAAACAAATCAAGAAGATGTCGGTATTGGGATAAGAAAGAGGACGCAGCTTTCCATATTTGTCCTGGCCGGATGTATCGAACAAACTGAGCTTGTAGGGAACGTTGCCGGCGGAAACGTTCAACTGGAGCTTTTGATTGATTTTATACAAAATAAGAAAAAAAAAACACACCGAGTAAGAATCGAAAACGGTAGGGACGTACACCTTGGGAACGCAACCTTTGCTGTAAGCCATCAGAAGAGACGTTTTTCCTACACCTTCTTCTCCGAGAAAGACGAACTTCATTCTAAATTATCAAGCGGAAATGTCGGAAGAAGAAACACGAGCGAGCAAGGAGCGAATGGAAAGTGAAGTGAGAAATACTGTGCGTGAACTAAGCTGGCCGCTCTATTTATACTGAAGCAAAAAAAAAGAGGAATACATTTTTGCAAATCTTTCAACGATAGACAGAAACATTGATGACGCATTTACGCTGATCTTGCGGATAAGAAAAGATAGTTTATACAAATTCTCCTCGCATGGCCTGTACAAACTGTTGCTCTCTAAGCTGTCTAGGAAAAAAAAAGATTTTTGTGTTTTGATTCATCGAATCCTGGTGAACAAAAGACATTTATTCCAAGATGACTAAGCAAAAATATCGAAAAACATGAGCTAGCCATAGATGAAAATAACCAATATCGTAGCTTGAAAATTATCGAATATTCAAAGAATGGCGAAATATGACCAATGTTATGTTGATCGACTTTCGGATGCTATAGACTAGACTGCATTTTATTCACATTTATGTAATGTAAATATTTGCTGTTGAAAAATTTTATTCAAAATGGTCGCAATTCAATAATCAAAAAGTTTGATTCTCCATTGATAAATATTCGCGAAGATATACCAGGGTTCCATACTTGAACGCGCGTGCCCACGCTCAAACGTATGATTTGGAAGCTTTTAAAAGCCGCCCTTCACAAATATGTTGCACGATTTCTGGAAAATTTTCGTAAGTTGTTCTTTCAGCGCATTTGCAGTTTCGTGCTTGTTTGAAATGTTCTCACGAATATCAAACCGTCTCCCTATGAACGGAAAGAAGCCTGTCGAAACATTTTGGATCTGTGATTACTATTACTTTCATCCTTCTCATGAAGTTTCAGTTCACAGAATAAACGCAGTTTCGGAAACTTTTAGAAAGATTAAATTCCTTACGAGGAAATTTCGACCAAAGTCGCGTTTTTTCAGTTCTTTTCCGACGGTACAGTAACTATTGGAGGTGACCTCACTTGTCAAACATAAAGGACATCTGTGCCTTTTACAGTATTCCTGTGGAGCGGGCAATTTTTGTTCCCTCGTAGTTGCCTGTCGACTCTCGTCCTTTGCTATCGCTCTACCCGTCGTTTGGTGAAAAAGATTCAGTGCACATCATGCGCGGTATTCTGATTTTTTTGCTGAACATTTTTGCCCTTCTTGTGACGGCAGTTGGCAAAAAGCGACCATTCGGGATAATATAATTTTTTTAAAAAAATTTTTTTCAAGTCTTTCTGTGAGATTTTTTTATCAATCCACGTTCGATTTCTATTAGTCAGGTTTATTTTTTTCATTCCCATTCTAAACGCTATTGATTCCGAAAAAAATCAGTTATAACTGTCAGCAGATAACTACGATCTTTTGACCTAATAAATTCGCTGCTCTTCTTTTGAACCATTTTGAACGCTATCGTGGCTTTCTGAGACACCGACAAGCAACGTTTTAAAAAAAAAACGAACGAAGTAATCAAAAGAAATAGTTTTTTTGAATTCGATTTTCATTAGAAAACTCCGAACCTATTTTTTTACACATGAAAAAAACTTTATTCACGCTTTTACACAAAAATTTGAAAAATTTATTTTTATTTCATATTAGTTACGTTTTTATAAGACAGTGATGAACAGCGTGGATGGTTCCGGGTAAGACGAGAAGCAACGAAAGACAGATGTTGATACAGACGGCTTTGCTGCACTGCTTGTCCTTGTACCAGACTGCCAGAGGCTGAAATCAGAAGGCTTCTTCAAAAATCTTCCAATTTTTTTCAGAGAACAATCAAGTTTCTACATGACTTCACTGATACAAGCTTGATTTCATTTTGAAAAAGTCGAACTCAATCCTAAAGAGTAGAACACTAAGAGTCAAAGAGAAAACCAGACCGGTAGGAGAATAATCAGTAGAACAATGACGATCTTATCAGATTCAGTTAGTGTCGCCATTTTCAGTTGAACACAGCTGCCCGGTCTCACAAAATGTTAGAATTCGCCTTGTCGAGGAGAAACGTAGGAAAATATATAATATTTTTCAACAGATGTATCAGGAGGCGTTTGAGCGAAGAAGGCATGAGTCACTTTCATTTCGCCTCGCTTCTGAAGACAAACTTTGCATTCACCGTGATGAGTTTTTTTATTTTTTTGAACCGTGCTCTTTTGAAAAAGACTTTTTTTGAGATTAATTGAGGTTTGTTTGAAAAAAACAGTTTATTCAAGTCCCAACGACAATAATCCTCAACAAGTAGGATAATAAGAAAAAAAAAACTACAGTAAGTTCTTGGGATCGGAGAACTTTTTTTACGTTTACGAACAGGTCAATCACAAAGTGATGGAAACGTTGTTTCAGATAAACGACGACAAAAAAAAACACACGAATTCCTCGAGTAGACCCTCGCAATCTCCGAGAAATAACCATATAGAGAATGTACTACAAGATAATTTTTATTCAACAAATCAACAATGTTTTGAGAGTGAAGCAAGAAAGACAAGATCAAATCTTTAAAAACTAAAACACAGAATATCAGGAAAAAGCGAATTGTCCGTTCGTTTTCAATACTCAAGGAAAACTTTATTTTACTTTTGATAGGGTCGGATTTCCCTATTCAATGGAAAGACATCGAAAGAAAAACGCAAGGGACGCCTTCGCCGCCGAAAAAGACGACGAAGTCTTCGTTGAAAATTTCGACGTCGTGGTAGCGAGCGTAGTGTTCGACGACAGTTATACCGTTCATGGTACACCGGCCGGCATTAAAGAACTGCGGCCAGATTTCACGCTGAGTGAAATTTCTTCCGGTGACGTTGTCCCAGAAGAGTCGAATTCTACGATCACCAAATATTCTGAAACACGAATTTTTGAAAATTTTGTTTATGAGACAGTACTGGGCGAATTTCTATTAATACAAAAATATCAGAATGACTGTCAAAATGAGAATGAACTCATAACGACACGCAGTTTTAATGGGCAAGAGCTTATTTTCATGTCTAAAAAAAATTCCTTGAACATAGAAATCTCAAAGTGCTATAATTTTTGATACCCAAGTAAAATCAACAAGAAAAAGTGAGAAATTTTCTTTTCAGAAGTGATTAATAAAAAAACTCACGCGTGGGGCTCGTGCTCGAGGATGTAGAAACCAAAAGTGCAAACTCGCGTGCCGATGGGGATCAGACCATGATTTGGGGTGATTGGTGGAACGTGCCGCAGATTTCGCAGATCGCGAAGACGAAAATTTATGTCTTCGTTCATCGATCTGTAAAAATTTTGTTCTGGCCGGGAAAATGTTGGTACAGTTGAAATCGTATTTTCAAACTTTTTTGATTCAAGAAAAAAAACTTTGAAAGACCAATTTTTCTTTTTTCAATTTCTTCTAGCCCTGAGTTACTGTAGCAAGGTTATACTAAGTTTTTTCAATCATGGAAACGAAATTCCAAAAAAAAAACTAACCAAGAAGTGGAGAAGACGACTTCACTCGAAGAGGTCCAAGAGCCGACTGCACATGTGGGAGCCGACTTCTTTTTTGTTTTTTTGCCACCTTATCCGTCCCAAAAGCGTACCGTCGCATTGTCTTCCGACCAGATGTCTGTGCGCATTTTGCGATAGTTTACAAAAAAATCCCAGCTCAACAATTGTCGCAGTTGCTTTGGACAAAAGCTATGTGAGAAACAAAACAGCGGAAAAGTCGTGCAGAATGAAAATGAACACACTTGATATGTTGTAAAAAAATTGAAACTTTTCTCTTTCATCATCTTTCTATAATGAAAAGCAGTCTGTCGAGAAATGATCAAGCATTTCGTCATCAATGTCAGGTTCTGGAAACTTTGGTCAACATTTACATTATCCATTGAAAGAGTCGATCAAGTTCCTTTCCGGAAATCAAAATTTCCTCTTATTTTCTTGTGTAATAATGCATGTTTTGATTACAGTACCGTCAGACAAGATACGAATAAAAAAAAATTTTTGCTCATAACTTTCTTTTATGAAGTTTAATCTTTCTGAAATTTCCTGGGGTCGTAAGGTTTGTCATTTGTAACACTCTAATGAATGAGCCCGCAAGTTTCTAAAAAATTAAGCTTCATAGGAGCAAAAACATTTTTCGTTTTTTTTTTTGACGACACTGTATATGAGACACAAAAAGTTGTAAAATTTTTCCTTTTTTTTGTTTCCAACTCTTCACGGCATACATTTTATTGCAGTCTAAGTCCATACTACGGTAACAGTTAAAAAAAAGCATTTTCAAGTTAGGAGCAAGGAAGGTAGATAAAATGATATAAATGATTGAGATAAACCAGCATAGAAAGTAGAGAAAAAGGAGAGCGTCATGGTTTCCAATGGTAAAACAATCATATTAAAAACGGTACAATTAAAGCGCAATATGCAACCCTCCGAGGTGGAAAATCAAATACATGATAACAGCGACATCGTAGGAAAAAAGGAAAATTGCCATGAAAATCCCAAGAAGTGAAGAAAACCGAACATAAAACATATAAAAATACACAATCTAGCCGTAGAAAAAAAATTGTCGTAAAAATTCTGAAAAGTGGACCAAACCGGCATCCGAAAATGAAAAATTCAAATGAACCGTACAAATTTCAACCCAAAAAAGTGTCTCTTTGAAAAAAATGAGATGAAAAGACAATGGTCGGAAAAAAAACAGTCGTCAAGCACATGAAAATAATGCCATAATATCGAATCGAATAATCCATTGAAAAGGTGGACGGCAAGGCGTAAGACGCGTGTGGAAAGGGTTTGAACAGTGAGTGGGAGAAGCTGAAATGAACTATCATCGAAAACTACAGTAACGGAAAAGTTTGAGTATTTTTTTGATTTTTTGTCCGTAACTTTTTATAATACAATCATTCTGACCCGAAGTTTCAACCCCTTAAGTAAACGGATGTTATTGACAATTTGATATATCCGTTGCTCATTTTATGCTACAATTTTTTCTGAGTAAGGAAAAAGAAAGCATTTCCTTCAGATTTGAGAGAATAGTTAACTTCCAAATTGTTGAGAGCGTCCATTTAAAATCAAATTATCATCAAAACTGAGATGTACGGCTACAGCTTGTTCAATATGTTACTGCCACCTTATTGTTCTGAAATAGCTCTTTTCGAATAGTATCTTTCCTTTCATTTGCAGCATCACCTGGGCGGGACGGAAGTTTGAACATAGAGCGATGTCGAGTCGGAATTGATTGTCCATGGCCTTGCGACCATCGATAGAGGATCTCTAATAAAGTAGATGTTTTCTTTGTAGGGAAAAAATAAGGTAAAAAAGAAGATACTTTCAAGACTTACGCGAACCAAACAGAAGCAGCGATGGAAACAAGATGATGAGTAAAATCGATCGATACGTTATCGATCAGTCTTGACGGGACAAGATGTGTGAAATAGGAACTCTGAAATCGATTCTCAAAAAATTTTATTGTCTCTGATACTTAAAAATTAAAGGAAAAAAAGAAACTTGCAAGACTTACTCGAACCAAGCAGAAGCAACGTTGGAAACAAGATGATGAGTAAAACCGATCGATACGGTATCGATCAGTCTTGACGGGACAAGATGTGTGAAATAGGAGCTCTGAAATTGATTTTTCAAAACATTTATTAAATTTGAAACTTACAAGGTTTTTGAAACTTGTGTCCACACGGCTGTATGATTGGGTCAAAGAAAAGGAAGCTGAAAAACCAATCTTTTTTTGGGTTTTATTTGATTTTCAAGGAAAACAGAATTTTTTTGATAGAAAACTTACATTCTTTCAAAACGGTTCTATACGACACATTGAGCCATTTTTTAATCACATAATCACATGTATTTGTACTTGATATTCATGAAAAGCAGCAACCTGATCATTTTTTTGGTGATAACTTTTTCACTTTCTAACGTTCTTGGCGAAAAAAACGTCTTTTTGTAATTCGGAATAGGATTGGCAGGGAACGACCTAGAAAAACGACATGTTACAGTTATACTATTTTGCTTGAAGTTTATATGAAGTTTTTTTCGAAAAAGGAAACTCACCGTTATTCAACATGAGAAAGGCAAGTCAGATAAAAAAGAAGAAAAAAAGTTGGGAGAGAGAAGCACAGGCGATCGAATGAGTAGCATTTTTGTTTTAGTAGGGATCTCGACGGGATCTGAAAGTTTATTTTTTGATGAAAAAGATGGTCTTTGTTTAATTAATTTTCGGAAAATACTAAGAACTGAATCCATTATCTTGAAGAAACTTGCACAAAAAAGGTTTGAGGGACGAAAAATGGGAATGGAGCGTTAATTAATTGAATTGAATTAAATTTTTTTGATAACAGTTATCAATTATTTTTTTTTGATTTGAGAGTTTGAAGTTGAGCTCATCAAAAAACTGATTCAATGCTCATTTTTGCAGACTCTACGGTAAACCGTCACCAAAGTTTTTTTTTTGAACGGATTTTGTTTTTTTTATTTGAATTGAGTTATCAACAAAAAGGAATAGAAAACTCACAGTCGCCAACTGCTGAAGTAGTCGTCGACCGAGGTGAACGCATCTTGCCGATGAATCTCGTCCAGGATCCTTCTCCAGTGTGGTAACTCTATCAAGTCGGCTTCAGAGCCAACAATGAAAACGGCTTCTTTGGCCCGGCTCATGGCGACGTTGATGCGTTTCGGACACCCGAGGAATTCGCTTGGATGAGCCTCTTCGCCAGACCGAGTCGTCAGAATTATGACGACGTCGAATTCTCGACCTTGGCATGAGTCTACTGTTCCAGTGAAGACAGGGAGATATGCGTCGCAACACACCTGGAGCAAATCTGCTTGTCCGCGGTAAAGAGCCAAGATTGCCACTTTCGCCTTTGGATCTTCATCGCCGATTCTCGCCGCCAGCTCCAAGGCGAATCTCATCTCGTCGGGACATACTCTCGTGTATCCTCGCAACCAAGATTCGTAGTCATGGTCCACAAAGGTAACGTGAAACTCCCGGTTTGGCCACATTCCAAAACGCTTGATGAAGAAACTCTGGTAGTATCTATCCTTCACGGACCACAATCGATCGTCATAAAAGTTTTTCGACAACATCTGCGTGATGTCTGGAGGGCATCTGAAGACGCCATTGAACTCGACACGTGGAACTGTGCCCAATCTTTCCAGATCCTCCAAGATCTCTCCAATCGCCAATTTTTCGATCAACTGCGGTGTTTCGATCGGAGAAAAGGGGGGCAGTTGATTTTTATCTCCGACCAAGGAGAACTGTGCGCTTGGGAAGAGATTGAGCAAAGCGATGAACTCCGAGAGCTTGAGCTGACTGCTCTCATCGATCTGGACGGACATCACTCGCTCGGCATGGGAACGCCAAACATTGCAGAAATGAGCCAAAGCGGTCCCGATCGTCGCGCAAATTCTTCCAGTGTTAGAGAGTTCCAAAAATACGTCGATTGTCCGCATCGGATCCGCAGCCGGCCATTGTTTCGCCACCATTCTCCTTACGTACTTGCTTCTCAGCTCGTTGTATCGGAAAGCTTTTCGACTTTGCAAGTAGCCAAGAACTACTTCATTTTTGCGAAAATCAATGACCGGGTATTCCTTATTGAAAAACCTCGTGTCAAGTTTTGTCAAGTATTCATGGAAAACTTCTACGATGACTTCTGGACTATCGTAAAATGTTTTTGATGCGTCCGGTACCATCTTTCTGTTATTTTCGGTTATGAGCCGTAACAGGGGACGGCTGTGGTCGTCTTCGATGTCGGACGACATCCACGTCAAGTTGGCTGTCGCGTAGTTGGTCGCTGCCAGCATAAGATGGAGACCGTCGTCCATCTGAGCGCGTCGGTCCGCGGCGACGGCGATAGTCAAAGACTTCCCACAACCGAAGCTGCTGCTTCCGATGAGCGCCTTCGCTCCTTTCAAAAATGTGTCGACATAAACTGCTTGCTCTCTCGTCAGCTCCACGGTTTTTTTTCTTTTTATCACCGTAATAACTTCTGGGTCTTCGTTTATTTGAAAATCGTAAGCTCTACCAGCAAAAAGAGCACGCGTCCAAATCGACAAGGCGTCGTCTTCTTTGACTTTTTCGAATGCAGCAAGTTTCTGGTGAATCCAATAATTTGTTACGGGGTCCTGCCTTTGATCGACTTGCTGGATGAGGACCTCCGGCTTGTGACTTTCGAAGAAATCCTCATTCAGCTCATACTGATCTTTAGACAGTCTGATTTCCACTGGCAATAACAAGAGTTTCCATGATTCCGAAACTACGCCAACCAGTTTCACCGGCCCAGGTAAAGTCACGTGGACTTTTTTGCCGCAAGTCCACGCGCTTGCTTGAGGTATCCCAGCGCTCGAGAACAAATCGACGCTAAGAGTTGAGTCGAGAGGATTCCTGGTCACCCGCACGCTGGATAGGTAGGCATAACTGTCTTGAAGTCTTGCGTCGATCGCCGTCAGAGCAGGCTGGGAAAATTGCATGCCTTTAAAAAGAGCAAACAGGCCCTTCTCGAAACTTTCCGACGTAAAAACATTCTGAATGTTTTTGAAAGCATTTTCAGCTGCCTCACTTCTTTCCCAGACGCGAATGAGATTGATGGGAAGCGTCGGAAAAGATCCCATATCCGAGAGTTTTGCTTGGATTATCCTGCAAAAGCCTAGTTAATGTGGGCGATTAAAATGTTCTAGTTTTTTTTTTCTCTTTTGTTTGTACTTTGGAACTTGAAAACTCGAAAGCATTAGGTTGTCAAGAAACGGATTTCGTTTTTCAATGGTTGACTTCAAACTGTCATAACCCGTTTTGGAAGGCGTTTTTTTGACTGACTTTGAAACCTTGACTATGAGAAAACTTTTTATAATAAAAATAAATGACCGACGTGTCTAAATTTTTCTAAACGCATGAATTAATCAAGGTCTTTTTGACATCATGTTGAATTGAAGAGCATTTCTCACTTATAAAGTTTCAAGGTTTTTTAAAAAGTAAGTAAATTAATAATAGAGTCAGATGATCAACATAAAAAAATGATCAAAATTCTTTTTTTTCCAACTTTTCAGAAGGTTTTTTTCCTAAGTAACTTTCGAAGCAAAAGCTTGAATTTTTTTCCTTCTGGTTATTTTTCGATTCATTTCCTATATTTTATGCTAGATTTTTCGGCTCCCTCCTGTCAAATGGCAAATTAATGGCTTCTGTTTTATTATTAGATGAAATTCAGCTGGCTAAAATTATGTGAACCAGTCTCAAATGACCAAAAAGTCGACAAAATCAATTCTTTTGGTGGATTTACCCGTGGAATTTTTTTGAAGTCTATTGAAAAGTAACTGATCTGTCGCTGCAGCCTGTTGAAGGACTTCCACTTATCATGTTCGTTTTTGATTTGCTTAAAAGTATGTGATGTTCGTTGAGTAACTGATGGAAAAATTTTCCTGCAGACTTCGAGATTTCAAAATTGTCATTTTTATGCGCTGAATGGTCCCTCGGCATTTGTGTGATTGTCCGTTATTAATATATGAGATAAATTTTTTTGATTTTTATAAGTCTTGTGAATGCTTAATTACCAGGCTGTCCAATAATTCTTGTCCGAAAATTTTCAAAACTCTATAATTTTCTTTAGAAGTGGTATAATATCAGGCAAGTGTAAGAACCTTCTAGAAGGTTCTCCAGTGTTTCACGTTAGGGGTATATAAGGCGCAGTCGCAGCGTCTGACTACCAGTAGAAGCTAAAATGGACAAAGGTCAAATTCGTACGTTCGTGTACTACGAGCTGCTGCTGGGCAACGACACGGGGACCGGGGTCGCCAACATCTGCAGAGCGTGTAAGGAGGACGCAGTGTCCCAACGCTCACTCAGGCGCCGGTTCAATCGTTTCGAGAGCGGCGACACGAGCCTCAAGGACAGGGAGCCCAACGGAAGGAATTGTACAGTGGATGATGACGAAATCCGTCGCTGTATCAAGGAGAAGCCGGAAGCCACCACCCGTGAACTGGCGACGACGCTCGGCTGCAGCTAGTCCACCATCCACAGTTGACTCAACTTACTCGGCTACCCCAAAGTTCTGGCCCGTGTGATATCCACCGTCTGATGGACGCCAACAAGCAGAGCCGCGTGGCCGTCGTCGGTCCCTCCTCCTTCATCCGCACGCAAGGAGTTTCTCGAGGACCTGGTCACGGAAGATAAGACCTGGGTCCTCTACGACAACGACGCCCGCCGTGCCGTCTGGATCCCGCGCGAAGAAGAGCCGCCGACAGCGCCGAAAGCCGACCTGCTCCCGCTGAAGATATTACTCTGCTGCTGGTGGGCCGCCAAGAACTGCTGTACTTCGAGCTGCTCCCGCAAGGCAGGACGGTCACCGCCTCCATCTAGACCAATCAGCTCAAAAAACAAGCCGCCGCCATCCGAGAAAAGCGTCCCCGACAGGCCTCGGTTCATCATCAGCACGACACCGCGCGCCCCCACGTGGGGAAGGAGACACAGCAGAAGTTAGCGACGCTCGGCTGGGAGACGGTTTCCCATCCGCCGTGTTCCTCAGACCTCGCTCCCTCCGATTACCACTTGTTCCGCCCGCTCGAGCACCGTTTGGCTGGAAGAAAATTCATCAACTACGACAGCCTAAAATCCGACTTGGCGGACTTCTTCGAGTCGCAGCCCCCGGAGTTCTGGGCGAAGGGCGTCGGCGACCTGCTCAATCGATGGGTCACTGTCGTAAATAACTGTGGTGATTATATTGTTGAATAGACTTGTTTTTCAACGAGGTTAAAAAAAATTTAAAAATGGTGAAATTTTCGGACAAGAATTATTGGACAGCCTGGTACAAGGTATTCTCAGAGGTGCAATCATCAAAACTTTGAAATAGTTAACGACAGTGAGACATTTTGAAAAAGAAGAAAACTGTTGCACACATTTTGAACACATTAAGCGGTCCGAATAGCTCTGCCATAGTGTCTGAACTTGAACAAAGAAATAATGCAAAATCGCCACTTTTTATGCGAATTTTGATCGGCAAAAAAAATTCACTCGATTGTTTTTGAGAAAATATTTAACATACAATTTTGAGAAAAGACATCAAGCTTCAAAATGATATATAACACTCTAAAAATCGAAACAAATTTTTTTCTTTCCAAACTCCTTGTCAAAGTTGAAGCATCAATAAACGAAACCCGTTTTTTTGACAATCTAATATTCAGAACATTTTTGGACTTATTGCAGTCGAACAAATTAAAAAAATGAAATTAAGAATTCTTTATTAAAATTGAAAATCAACCTTATGTTTTCGGGATCGCGGTAATGTGTCGTCAGTCTTTCACAATGCTCCAGAGGCACAAGAACCGAAACTTCGAATACTTGATCCATCTTAAAATCCGCCGGAAACTGGTCGAGTTTGCCATGAACCAGACGTGTTTTATTTTCTCCAGTGAGCAAAATTGTGCCTTTTTTTTTGTCGACCTGAAAAACTCGGACTTTTTTGAACACATAAATGTATTAATCCATATCTGTTAATTAATAAAGAGCCTTTTTATGATTTTTCTGGTTCTACTCGTTTAACCAAGTCTTTCTAATTTTGTAAAAAAATTAGTTAAAGGATGAAGAATGAAAAGAATAGAAATTTAAATAAATCCCTCATGATTGTTTTATTGTTTTTCAACTCCGAGCAGAGGAATCCGTAATCATATTTTGTTGTTTCATATTTGAATTCAATTGGAAAAACTCACTTCCAGTGGTGCTGCCAATATCTGTTCGATATTCCGATGGACGAGTCCAAATTTTCTCACGGACCAGCTTGGCGCGAAATCGTCCTTGAAGGTCGAAATGGGATCGACTTCCAAAATACGGCTCCTAACGCATGTAGGGGTCATTGTAAAGACGAGTACAACATCTCCGACGTAGTAGTTCTCCAGGCGGACTCGACCTTCATTCAAAACGTCCGTGGCTTCTGGGGTGAGTTTTACAACTTTCAAGTCGTGACGATCTTCTGCAGCCATCTCTCTGTGAACTGCACACAGCAGTAAATCGGTTTTCCTTCTTTTTACTATGTAGTACAGTCCCGAGATTTCTTCGGGTCTCGTTTCGAAACACTTTAGTAGATCCGTCTGTTTTGCGTCTGTGCCGATAGGAAAACTGTATTCGTTCAGGGACTTGAGAGTTTCTTGTCGAAACGCGTGGACGTCGTGAAGGCTCACACGGCTCACTAATTTCGATACGATTCCTTCTTCTTGCTGGTTCCGGTTCTTCACATCATTCATATAATCGCATCGTACTTTTGAAAACACGTATTGAGTGTATGGATGCTCCTCTTGGACCAAATGCCGATGTTTCAATGGGAGAATGTTTTTGAGCGCTGTCGCTGCAGTAGAATCTGAAAAAAAGAAACCTTTTTCAATTGAAATTTGATAAATATACCAAGCATCTGGTTGGGTCGAGTTACTTCATCAAAAGAAGAGGTTCGAGCCTGAAAAGAAAAATTTGAATTAGCAGATAAAAAAATTTTTTTGATTTTTTTAAGAGTCTTATAAATGTTGCATATTCAAAATTATAATGTTATTTTTTTGATTCTATTAAGGCGAAGGCTGCAGCTCCGTACATTTGGTTTTTCAATAACTGTCCACAAAATTTGCATAGGAATAGCTTTCTTCGGCTGGTGCGAATTTCCGAATTATTTAATTTGGAGGATTTCAAATACAGTTATGGCTGAAAAATTTATTATAAGAAAAAAATTCAGTTTTTTTAAATTAAAAAAATCTTTGCTTCTAATCAAAATATTGAATTTGTTGCACTTAAGTGAGGAAGAAAAAAAACTCAGCGAACTTCTAGCGTCATTTTTTTGATGATATCTGTTAACTCGACAATTTTCGACCGTCTGAAGCAAAAAGAAGAAAAAACGATACCTCCATGCTCATTTCATCGAAGAGCTTGAAGCTTCACCGCTAATCGCTGCGAAAGACTGAAAGTTAAAATTGAAGTTCAAGAAGTTTTCACGAGCCACTTCAAAAAAAGGGAAAAGGTTTGAGATGTTATTTCAAATGAAATGATGAACTTTGACAATAAAAAAATCAATTATTTTTTTCATTCAAGAATTCATCCGAAAATCAACTTTTCTGAGAAAGCTACAGATGCGAGGAGATAATCGGTCAACTGAGAGCAGCCCGGAAAAAATGGATTGTAGCGATGCGATCAGCATGAAAAAAAGAAAGGAGGATTTCAGTGGAAAGGCAGGATAATTTGATAAATGGCTCTCAGCAACAGCGGACAAACCAGAGGACGTTAAGTGCAAAAAAAACTCTGTCTTGAACAAATTTTCTCAATATTTTTCCAGCTATTCTCGAAACCTCTTAACGAAAACCATGAAACCGTTACCCTAGATAAAAAAAAGTTGTTCGATTCGAACACCTTAAAATTAAAAAGATTCTCAAAAGTTTTATTGACTACCAGCTACCAGAAATCTTCTTTCTGACAAAGCAACTAACAAACCTCAAAGAACTTGGGGAATCCTCGAATTTTGACATTAAGGCATTTTTTTTCTTTTTTGACAGTTTTTTCTTAATCCAATGGAAGGATTAAATCCATAATTTTAAAAACTGTCTCTTAGTTTTCTTTTCCCATACAAACAAGCTTCAAACTTTTCTTTTTTTTTTAAACATTTTTTTAAATTTTTTTCAGCTGAATTTTCAAGTTTTTGTACTTGCTAAACAACTTTATAAACTAACTTTATTGAAAAAAAGGAAAGTTAAAATTTGAAGAACTTGGAAACTTAAATGATCGCTATAAGAATTCTTTTTCCTTTTTGATGTCCACTCAAATGGGTCCTAAGCCTTGTCTGAGTGATTGGTCTAGGTCAGAGAAAACAACTGTTTTTTCTCTTTTTTTGGAAGCGCGAGTTATCTCTTCAAAAAAGCAACTTGTGCGCGGCGTTTTTGCATACGCAAAGCAAAAAGGGCGTGGCCTAGCTCAAAATCTTTTTTTTTTCAAAAACAGACACTTTTGTCCGCTTTTATTTATTTTGAATAACTTATTTAAATAAATGAAACGCTCCAGATTATCGTATTGTACGATCGAGCGTGACAAACGCTGAAAAGAAAGGAAAATGAAAAATTCACTACGTTATCATACTTCTGGAAATCCCTCCTAGCAACGAAACTTCTTTTACCTTGAATCAAAGCTATGATGACTACTAGTTTTAGTCAGAGAAATGAATGAAGTTACTGATTGCTGGGATTTGGTTTGGAAATGTCTCAATAAATATAATTTGAAACAAAAAAATTGAAGTTTTTGTAACAAATTTATAAGAGACTTTTTGAAAAACCCAAGGAACAAAAATCTTCAGACATTTTTATCATGGTAAAAGAAAAAAGGCAGCTTTCAAAACAATTCGATGTTGGAAAAGAAAACGCTACGTTTCATTCAATCGGAAATTCTGAAAAACAAAATCTGTGTCCGAAAAAACCGTGATAAAAAAAATCAGAGAGGCAACCGATTGGAGTCGTAGTATGAGCGTCTAGCGAAGACACCGTGTCTTGAGCACTCGACCTATTGCGTGCCATTTGCGACCTCGTGTCGCGTTGTAGGAAAAAAATGTACCCTTCAAATCTCGGAATATTTTTCTTATCGCATAACTCACTTTGTACATTTTACACAATTATTCAGTCTTCAGAGAATATTCTCGGCTGAATCATAGAATTACTGAAAAGTTTGTCTGTTTCCAAACTGTCGTTGATCAAAAACGGCGAGTAGATTACATCGTATTTCTTGTGATAGTGGTAGCCGAATGCTAATCGTTCCGACAATCGATTGCATCTTTATGTAGGAACAGTACGGCGCCCAGTTTGTCCAGGGATGGCAGACTTCGGATTAAATCTCAGGCGATATCGGATACCTAATGTAAAGTACGCGAAGTTCTACGAGGCGACAAAAACCATCAAAAATACTTTTTTTTTATAGACAGACGTTTTCTGAGGACCGTATAAGATTTTAAGTCACTCTTGAACTATTTTTTTAAGTTCAAATATATGAAAAAAGCGAAGAAAAAAACATCTCTGAGACCACAATCGGTTATTCGCGAAGGAAACTTGGAAGACCAAAATTTTATCTTTATCTCCTGCACATTTGTTTATAATGCTTTCAATTTTTTTGATCAATTAGGATATTGATTTTTTTCAGAGAAAGTATTGATCCTTTTGGAGAAACTTTCGAATTCTCACCTTTTCCGTCTCTTTGGGTCTAATTAAGTGTTTCTTGTATTTCGGACAATGCTTCACATCCGTTCCTCTTTTTTTACATCCATAAATAATATTCCCCCAGATTTTCATTAATTTCTGCACTGCGAGTTGAATATTTTTATTCCAAAACAATTACCCAAGTTTTGATAAAAATAACGCAAACGGCGATCCCATAGTCCTCCTTCTGATTTTGAAATTTTGAAAAGTTCCCTTTTAAAATTATTTTCAGTAAAATGGAAAAATTTTTTGTATTTTTTTTAACAAGACTCGAAAGCAGAAAACTGGATAGTAAAGAAATAAAAAAGAAATGGAGAAAAAGAAATCGCGCGTTTGTGTGGGATGGCTGGCCATGGGAAAATCATTATGCAATAAATGCTTCGTTTTTCGAACGATACAACTTTAGGGATTGCGTTTCTCGAGCAGCTTGCTGATGATGTTGCCGCCTTCGGAACTCTTTCTGTCGGCTTCCGAAGAAGTTTGGTGCATCGTCCTCGATTCATTGGAAGAGGCGCTGAATACAAAGTTTTTCCCAATCGATTCTCGTCAAAAGCAAACCTCGACGTGATGACAGTAACTTGATGTTGCTGTTGAACTTCAGACTCCCGTCCGAAAAGATACCCAAGCGTTCGTTGAGGATTTTCCCCGATGAAGAAAGTCGGTTTTCTCACCGGAGTGTAAACCATCGTTTCTAGAAAAAAGTTTTTAAAAAAGATTCTTACTTAAAACTTTGAAAAATGCAGACTACAGATCAGAGCAAAAAAGGAAAAACTGCGAAAAACGTCTTCCCAGAGACGATAGACGTTATGGCTGTGAGATACAAATGATTGACAAGGAAAAATGGAAAATTGAAAAAAGAGAATGCCTGTTCTTGAGAAGAATGATACGAAATGCCCAGGGTAGTGCTTTTATAGGCAAAATCCAATCCGTGAGTCACAAATATTCGTGTGTTCTGAATTTTATGGATTTTTCTCCAAATCGGCAGAATTTCCCTTGATAGTTTTGATTACAGTTAGAAGAACGAACAAAAAAGCACTTAGCCTGATTGACATACATTTCCGATGTCTTCTTCTCCAAGGGAACAGTGTAACTTCAATTCATTGTAGACGCTGTAACGAACGATTCGAACTGAAAACTTAAAAAAATTACTTTTCAGAAGCTTGAAGAAATGGAAGCTTCGATATTCTCAAATAAAAGGGAAGAACTTTTTGGTCAATATTGTGTGAAACACTGGAAAACGGTTGGTCAAAAAATTGTCGCCAAAATTGATATGTTGAACATTCGGCGGGCGGTCTCACATTAGGAGTTCCTTGATTTATTTTTACTGCCTATTTGTTTTTTTTTCTGCGGTCTCATTACACTGTGATCAACGATGGTTTTGATGTACAAGCTAAATTGAAATGCAGCTTGGATAACAATTTTATTTGATGAAGAAATTTTTATCTGAAAAATGTATCCAGGCATAGAAAGTCAAAAATCTCGATGCAAGACAAATTGAGAAGGAAATATTATAAATTCCGAGGCTCTGTATCTTTCCAATAAGACATCGAGAACAGCTCTTCATAGAGCTTCTGACAAGCCTCAAAAATTGATATTTCCTTTTTTTACGGCATAGCTAATAAACGCAAGATACAATTTTTCATCCTTGACTTTTTTCAACTTTCTGAGTCAAATACTAGTTTAAAACTCAATCATGTGGGTTCCACATCTCAAAAAGCGCAAGAAAACGGAAAAAAAAGTCACGTAGCCAGATTCTTCTCCGGCTGTTCTTCAATTATATGCTGCGTTGCTCAATTTGTCGTCAAACGGAGAAAAAATTATTACAATTTATTTATTACTGAAATCGTCCATTTATATTCCAAGATGTACATAATCTACAAGGAGCTTATAATGATAGGGGAAAATTGAATATTGCTTATACAATTATAAAAAAAGGCAATAATGGGGGAGCCAACATAATAAAATGCATTGAAAATATCTTTAAAATTACAAAGTTATTGCCAATTTCAGGATTTCAAAACCTAGCTCTTGAAGGGACAAAAAAATGGCCAGAACGACTTTCGTCGGGAGTTCAGAATTCATGGACGTACATTGGCATTCTTTCCTTGGTCTTTTTGTCCAAAAGAGGCGGAACGGTATAGTCATCCAACTCTTTGACCAACTGACGAACGAACTTAGTAGCGTGGTTTGCAGCGAACTTGGCGACATCCAGAACTTCGTCGTGAGTTACTTCAGCGGCGTTGTCAGCGTCCAGGTTTCCGCTGGAATTTTCAAAGTTTAGATTGAACTCGAACTGTTGAAAAAAAAAGGGAATTGAAGTTAGTTTTTCATTCGATTACATATATTTGCAATTGTCTAGAGGAAAAAGGATTTTTGGTGGTTGATAGAAACATTTCACGGAGTTTATCGGTTGTTGGATGATACTAATTGGGAGGTAAACTGACCAAGCAAAAATTTGACATAGAAAGCTTTCCTTCGGTAGCATCCTAACATTCTCGCCTCTCGAGAAAAATGGCAATTTTTTTTCGCCTGCTTTCAGCTTTTCGCTAGTTTCAATAACTCCTACATGTTTGTGATGAGAGAGAAGCCAACGACTCTGATTCCACACTGACGAGCGACAGTGACCTCGTGGCAAGTCGACATGCCCAAAGCGTCCGCGCCAACTGTCTTGTACAGCATGACCTTAAAATTTCTACGATTAAGAATTATTTGAAAAGAAACGAAAGCCATGTTATCTTATAAAATAATCTTGAGCCCATAAAAAAGATGATATTTCTGCAAAGGAAACGAATCAACGAAACCTCAGCAGGAGACTCGTACTGAGGACCTCCAGACATCACGTAAATTCCTTCGTGGAGCTTCAAGTCGATGTCCTTAGCAACCTTCTTGGCAAGCGTCCTGAAAAATTACGACAAATAAGCTCGCCTTATTTGATCATGAATAACTGACCTCAAAGATTTGTCATATGCGCTGTGCATGGAAACAAAACAATTTCCAAAATGAGGATCCTTCAGTTTGACGATCGGAGAGTATCCAGCAAGGCCTGGGAGAAAGATTTGATCCTGGAAAAACAGATATTTCCCAGGCTTGAAGTTGTAGAGAATTTTGGATACCAAGAAGGTATGTGGACTTTGATCGTACCTTTATGAGCATGAGATCTCCAAACTCGAAGTTTCGATTGATCGCTCCAGCGGCGTTTGAAACGATAAGAGTTTGCACTCCCAACAAGTGCATGATCCTCACAGGCATCGAACACTGAAAGAAAGGAAGGATGGTAAATTTTGCTGTCTGCTGGAAGCTGTAATGTTCAATGAACAAGGCAAGATTGTTTGAATTTGTCCTCGCATATATTTAAATTTTACACGGGCATTTGAAACTTTAGTGTAAAGAATCGAATTTTTCCTATTTTTGCATGTTTGAAGACCTTTTCTAAAAAACTATACTTTCGGGCATATAGCAACCATCAGGAATTTTTATCTGAAGTTTTCGAGTGTAGTTAAGAAAAAAATCATTTCAAATTTGAAACCCAAAAAAACTCTTTTTGTAGGTTCAAAAATAATAATTTGAAACGGAGAATACCGTAATTAATAAAGATAGAAGCACTACTTCAAAACTAAACCAGGGTAAGGTCCATGTTGTACTCGTAAGGATGGAAGCGACCCAGCATGCACATGATTTTTTTGCCTTCGAGTTCTCCAAAGGCGAGCGCTGCGGTGTGTCCAGGAACTGAAAAGCAATTAAAATATGATAAATCCTCTTGAATTAAGTCTGTATCAACTTTTGAATGAAATTCTTGTCGTGTTTTTGGAAAACATAAGAATTCAATCAGAGGACCCTACGGTTGATTTTAAATCTCAAAGAGTTTACCTTCAGCTCTAGGGAAGCCGGGAATTTGCGAATAAGGCACGATGATGGCCTTTTCCAGCTGTTCTCCAATTGGGGTGAGTCCTGATCCACAAATGATTCCGATTTCAGGTTTGAATTCTCCTATTTGTAGTTTGATCGCTTTTGCGACGGCTACGTTGTCCATGAAATTGCTGGCACTAAAAAACTTCACTTCAAAAAAAAAAATCAGCTTGAAAAAACTTTCTTGAAAAATATTTTCCTAGTGACAGTGAATCAATTCGGAAATCTTTTTGCTATTCTAAATTAAAAATTCGAAAAATCTTCAATTAATTTTTTTGTGATAGTTAAAATGTAACTCACTCAATCTTGAGCTCCAGAAGCTCTTGGAGAGTAAGTGGTTCAGTTCCCTTCTCAGCAACCATCTTTTGAAGAAGTTATTAGGGTCGTAAACTGAAAAAAATGAAAGAATCATCTGACGAAAAGGTCAGAGAAAGCGGAAACGTTTCAATCGAAAATAATGAAAGAAAGGAAGAAAAAATGAAGCGACCGGGCGATTCTCCGCCAAACGACCACACTGATAAGCGTCATCGGTAGATGATAGGTGATAAGCGATAGGGGAGGGCACGGTTTGTGGTCCTGGTTGTTGATGAGCGCTTCCACCCGAGGCCGTGATTGGCACAAGAATCGCTTATCTCACACAGAAGCCGCTACTGAGTAGCACCGGCGATATTTATTTATTTAATTACTGTTTTTGTGATTCACACAGTGAAAGAGTGGGTCAAAATCGACCAAAATTCATATCGATACTTCATTGGAAAAATTTCCAGCTTTTTTTTCTCAGACGACCAAAAAAACAGAATCGCGAGGAACTAGACCAAATTTTAAAAAAAAGAGCTAAATTGAAACAAATATAGAAGAATTTCCATGGCATTTTCTTCTTGTTCGAGAAAAAGTTTTTCACTGAAGACAAAGAATATTAGTGGCTAGTATAGATGTTTCCTTCAAACGACTTGACCTTCCTAATGTTTGTAATTTTCAGCTCAAACGATTTTCGAATGGGCGAAGGCGACATTGAGAGGAAAAAAAAATGAAAATAGAATACTGCAAGTTTTTGATCGCTGGAAGATTTGAGCTGGTGGACGTTTTTCAAACTTTTTCAATTCAACTTCAACTTTCAAAATATCTCCCGAACAGTCGAGGTAACACTTGGAACGATTAACTATGCGTTCACTAAAAATATTTCGAAGTCCGGACGGAAGAACTTCGTCTCTACTCTTCTCGCCGTGTTTCAAAACTGCAAAAAGGTATGACCAGTCAATCATAAACTTTATTTATTGAGCAAACCTCCGAGACTCGACGTACATGGGACGACTCCTTCTGAATTTATGTTGTAAAGTTCACACAGAATGGCAAATTTTTCCAAGAACGGGAAGGAACTGCGAGGAGACGGTGGCGCCGAGAACGGTGGCGAGTGATAATTCAATCAACCACCGCCTTTTATTGGGATGATTTACACCCTTCACCTGTGCTTATCTTGGTTTTCAGCTACCAGAAAGGTAAAATACCACGTATAATTCCCAAAAAAAACGGACACTAAAGCGATGGGCTGTCCTACGTTAACGGACCTTGCTGATACGGTGTACTTCTTCTTATCAGCAAAAATAGTCAGTTTCGTCTAATTGAGGTGGCCGAGTCGTACGGCGATGGCTTCGCTTCTTAAGTTTCATCAAATTTATTTATTAAACTTCAGGGTTAGATTTGATGAAAAAAATTTTTATAGAAAAAAATTTGACGATTTTTTTAGTTCCGTGAATTTTCTCCTTGAAAAGTTTTTTTCTTCCAAGAAGTATATCGGGTGTTTTAGAAACACAATTTCTGAATTTCTCAGCATAAATTCTATAACTTCGCTGTTCAGGCGACATCCAAAAATAGTCGTCGCGCGTGTGTTCGTGATCATGTGCTATATTCCCATTTATCGTTTGTTTCCTCATTTTAATAATTTTTCTTGTTCTTTTTAAATGAACGTTAAAAATGATTTCCGTAGAGGGAAGAACGCTCCCTGGCTACAACGTAAATATGTTTAGGACATTTATCACTACCAACGGCAGAAAAATACTTCAGAAGAACTCATTCGCCTCGACAGCTTCTTCGGCTTGTCCAAACAGGCTCTCACTCTTTGAACTTCTTTACTCTGTCATTCCGATTCGGAGCCAACTCTGCTCTAGATGTGATCACAACATTTCGCCGACCAGCTTTAGAAGGATCCTCGACAGCAACGACGTTTACGCAAACGTTCCGGCCAGACTCCTCTAGGAAAATCTTATCTCAATCACTCTAATAAGTGTATAATTAGTCCAGGTAAGTTGTGACTCTAAATGCGGTCAAAAATAAACTTTTGTGAAAAAGAAAACCTTTGATTTGCAAGAAAAAAATTTTGACTTCAAAAGCGACTACTTTTAGTCGACTTTTATCGCAAAGAGCGGAAAAAAAAAAATGGAAAATATCAAAGTTCGAAGAGATGCGCTATTAATTAGCGCCTTCAGTCGTATGACTTTCTTTTTTCTTGTCAGGAGAATAGCAGGAAGGGAACTAGGCACATCCTATAATCGGAAGTAACATACCGATGTTCGAATTATCGATGAAATCGCAATCAGTAACAACGCAGAAACCCGAGTTTTGATGGAGAAAAATTCTTAGTTAGAAGTCAGGTCATGTTTGTCGACAAACTCACAAACTTTCACTTCGTCTAAAACCAAAAAAAAGTTTGAATCAGTCCCGATCCTTTTTTAAATGTTTAACTTTTTCATGGCTGTAAAATGAACCAGATCATTCAAAGAAAGATGTAAAAGAAAACGATTTTCGATTAATTCCAACGGAACTCGCTACTTTGAACGTTTGAACTCTAGCCTACACGTCAAAGGGCTATTTTTTCTGCCACAAGCTGTCGTTGAAACGGTTTGTGCTTCTGCCTTACGCTCGTACTGATAAGATTGGAACGTATTCGACGAAGTTCTTTTTTATCAGATTTCTTTGTCTCGTGTATCATTGTTTTCCACAATCTTTGTAAGCGCGGGGCCAGGTTGCACCATTTGCCTCAGTGCTGGAAATTTTTATTTCCTCTGATAACGCTAAGCGGATTATAATATCGAAACGGCAGTTATTTGGCTTGACAATCAGAAAAATAAGTTGATTTCAATATTAATAGTTGAGGAATTAATTGACAATAAATATTTTTTCTCAAATTGTTTAAATATTTTTTTATTTGAAGGGAAGTTTATTTTCTTTCTTTTTATAGTTTAAAGTTCCAGTAATCAGCAAATGTGAAACTTGTGCTCCAGCTTTTTTTGCAACAACCGAAGACGAACGGAAAAAAATCACTTTTTCTTGAAAATACAAAAAAATTCCAATTCCAACGCTTCAGAAAAATTTTTGCTCAGGAGTTAATCCAAAACAATCACGGTACAACTAAAAACGTATTTTGGTATCTTATTTTATTCTTCGATTGTTAACTTCCGAAACAAAAAACCCTCTCAGTACCGGTGAACGTCATGAAATCCTGTTTCGTGAAAATTAACTTCACATCAGATTATGTGAAATTCACGTTACATCAGATAACATGATTCTAAGTAAAATCAGCAATTTTTTTAGGCTACCACCTACAAAATGTCCTCGATTCCATCAATCATTTGTCCGCTGAAAAGTCGTTTCGGGGAATGATAATAAATTTGCCCCAGTGGGAAGAAAAAAGAATATTGATCGTAGCGCCCTCTTTGATACAAAAAAGGTCTGGAAGTTTAGAATGATAACAAAATAACTGCGCCTTTTGATTGATAACGCGAACCGAAGAGAATCACGTGGAACCTTTATCATGAGACGACGTCTCTACTCGCCGAGCGCTGCGCTTTTTTGCGAAAGGGTTTCGTTGAAATGAAGATCGTGGCTACAGCGCACACAAAAATCGTTTCCAAGTTAGTTTCTATCGGTCCAGAAAGCCTCGAAATGTTGAGTAAGGGTGGAAATCGACATGAAGCTGAAAAAGACGACGGTGGCTTTTCTGACACATTTCCGCCGTATATCGTAGAGAGTATTTCATTCTATCGTGTTGATGGAGCTTGAAGTTATACCCTTAGAAGAATGGTCCATTCATCAAAAACTTGCATAATTTTGAAAACAGCTCATTTAGAATGATCTCGATGAAGCATAGTTTTTAAATAAAATCAGCCCTTTATTTCCTCTGATACAAAGTTTTTACAGAACAAATAATTTTGACTCTTTCAATGATTTTCTTTTTGAATGGAAGAATACACATAATTTTTAAACGTTTCAAGTCTTTTTAATTTTTTCGACTCCCACGTGTAGAACCGAAAATTCATTTTACATTTGTTTATAACATAAAAGCAAAAATTACAAAATAAGCACCATAACCCGACATTCAAAATAAGAGAATTCGAGAGTTGATATTTGATATCAACTCACCAGTTTGAAAAAAAAAACTTTGTACACTCAGCGTCTATCATTTTGATTCTTAAGACTTTAACCTGCTCAGACAAAAAAAAAGCTCGATTCTCGGTACCTAAAAAATGTTCTATTGAAACTCCCGTGATATAGCCGACAAATAATAATTGGCAGAAGGAACGAAATTAAATTGGAATACAAGAAAAGTTAAATAACAATTTGCGAAAATGAAAACTCATACAACAGCTACATACAAAAACAAAATGATTATTTTAAAATTTACAGTGCAACCGCAAAATTCTCACCGGACATAATGATCAGAAAATATTTGTGGAAGAAGAGTTTCAATCAGAATCTTCCATTAGAGTTGCCTTCGAAGGTGCTCTGCCCACCAAAGGACGGCCATCTTTGTCCAGGTACAGCGCTAGTCCTTGGCTTTCCGGAACGTAGGAGGCGTCGGATAGCCGACTTTCGGCTAAAACTCGGTCTATCACTCCGCCAGCATCGATTCTGAAAATTTTTTTTGCTTTTAAAGTGAGAAGGATCATGATCAAATCTCAACTAATAGTGAGGCTTCTCATAAAGACTGAGTTTATTAAATTCGGTTCGGAAACTTGCAAATGACTGAATATTCCAGCAAAATTAAAATGTTGGATTGAGCTCCTTTTTTGTAAGTTGATTCAAATAAAATACTTTTCATAGAAACTTTGATGAAATTTTTGAAAATTGTTAAATTGTGTATACAATACAACGTTTCGAACCATTTTTTTGACCAGGAAGAAAAAGTTAATCGTTTTGTCAATTTCGAGCGCCTGTCAAACTCAGGAGGCGGAATATATTTAAAAAAACTTTCCAAATGTTTGGCGCACTTTTTTTAAGTTGGGATGCAGGGTTTTCTTAAGAATTTTACTTTTTCTTGATTTTTTGACTAAAGGATCAAGAAACTAACTAGACCTTTAACTTTGCCACGTCCTTATCTATCTCCTCTCAACTTTTGCCCTTTTGTTGGCGCACAAAGAAGAGAAGAGCTTTGTGAGTTTGAGCGTTCATTAGATCATTTATGGTCCGACTTTTATCATCAAATTGGTTCATCGAACAACACCAGGCATTTTTCGACAGAGTGGACTTTTGATTGAAAAAGGGGACTTTTCCCACTGACTGAAAAAGGAAAATTTAGCCTCAAAATTGAAAACCTTGTGCTCTGGATTTTCTGAGCCGATCGGTCTTGGCTGAATCTTCGCAGGGCGTTGGAAGAAGACGGATTGGCTATGGATGAACTCGTGGTCCGTCTTGGATCTGTTTGATCAGGCGAGACGTCTTCCATCACCAGAGAACTGCTTGCCACCGACCCGCTTTCGCCTATAAATTCAGTTGTTAGTGTTCAAAAAAGGATCTAGGTTTACCTGGTGGATGATCGTGACCAACTGTTCTGAAAGTGACATGTGAGGAGCCTTCTTCGGAGTTATGCTCAGTTGCATCTGTTGCCCGGAAGGCCTCCGGATTCAGAGAACCGTCTTCGATTCCACCAACGACTGTTGCCCGAGGTCTGAAAAAAATCAAGTCTGGCACTCTTTCAAGAAACAACAATTAGTCTGGAAAATAGTTTCATTTTTGAAAGCTCAGTTTTTCATAAAAAAACAATTGGTCATAAAAATTAATGAAGGGTTTTTTGGCTAGTTTTTTTCTGTCTACCGAGTGATCAAAAAGTTTTTAAACTTGAACTTTCACTCTTTTTCTCAAAAAAATTTAATCATTTTTTTGCCTCTGCCTATATTTGATGATTTCCCAGGGTCAAAGTTAATTATAGAACTTTTTATTTGAGACAGTCACAAATTATTGAGTAGTTTACAATTGCTTCAAAACTTCAAATCTAAGAAAAAAAGCAAGCAAAAAAATAGTCGTTTCCAAATGAAAAAAATCTAGGCTGATAAAACTGAAAAAAAGACAATGCTTTTTCTCCAAAAATTTTTTACTACACACTTTGTTTTACAAGTTATTCATTTATCGGACTTTTTTTGTTCTTTGCATATCTCCTTTTTTATTCAAATAAATGATTTTTTTTCACAAAATTTTGAATTTCTCTCTCCGGCTAACACTTCGAAAACTAAAAAAAACGAACACTCTGAAAAAAAGGGATCAGCGCTCTGATGACACATTGTGACCTTCACGAGAACTTTCGAATTGTCCAATCTTTGGTTGGTCGTGTAGCCGTTGAGAAGATAAGATCTTGTCATGCCTGCAAAATAAAACGTTTCAAAGCGAGACTTTTTGATTTTAAAGAGAATTGAGAAATTCGCCAACCTTCGACACCAGAAGCAGCGAATTCGGAAAGATTGATGTCGACATATCCAAGTTTATAAAAGGTCTTCCCTCCTTTCTGTTCCTGAAAAAAAAAGAACTCAATTGAGATCAGTCCAATCAAAATCAAAAACCTTTCTGATTGATATCCGGCATAAACACTTTTCCAGAGTACCAGTGGATTGTTCGCAAGCAATCCGACAAGCGAATTCCGATCGATGGGACCAGGAAGCACCATGGTTGACCACCTGAAAACAGTTGTAGAGAGAGAGAAAAACCATTTCTTGTTTGGAAACTCCAGATTTAGAACTTTGAAAAAGTAAAAAGAAAATCAAGTGAAACAAACCTCAACCCGTTCCGTACTGTCTTCGAACGAGCCACCATCTAGTAATCGAATTTTTGAAAAGACAACTGCGTTCACTAGAGGAACGTCGCTCAAATTACAAACCTTAAAATAAAATAATTTTCTCGGACCCAATAAAAAAAAACTTACTTGCAAATCGACAGTGAATTTGACTCCTTTCCGTTTCATAAAGGCCATTTTATTCCATAACCATCCTATAATGAAAGCGCGTCCTGAAAATATCGGCAATGAAGCACAAAATAAAATAAAAATTGAATGAAAATGGGAAAGAGAGATCCGAGTCAACAGAAAAACTCCGCCAAATGAAATCTATGTGCAGCAAAACGAAAATCTGCAGAAATAAAATGGGAAAATTAGATTTCCGGGCAGGAAAATATATTTCTAACTTCAATATTTCTGATTCCTATGGGAATACATTTTCGAAGCATAAAGACTTTTGGAAGAATTTTTGGAGAGTTTTTTTCTGACGTTCTCGTTTTTTTCAAAGTCTGTTTTTTTAACTTCAAATCTTATATATTTTTATATAGGCACTTTTTCATGGTTTTAAAACAAATAAAAACGGAAAAAGACAATAAGAACACAAGTGAAAGAAGAAAAGAGCTAGTCGAAACATAGAAATGGAGGATCAACTTTTGGAATTGAAACCGAAATCACTGCCTTACCTTGTATGGTTTAGGAGCTTGTGCGCTCTATTGTTAGACATTTGAAAAAAAGAGGCGGCAAAGCTAAAAAAAGTTTATAACCTAATTTTTTTAAGGTTTTTTTACTGCGTGAAATATTTTTTCGTAAATAATTTCGAGAAAGAAACGAAGATTCCGAATATTTTTGCTTTCTCATGGTGACCTCATAAACCAGCTTAGGTTTTTTTCAAATAAGTTTTATTATTGTATTTCACAAGCTTTACATTTTGAAACGCTTAAATTTGACCGATTTTTGCAAAGAACAAGAGAGGAACTGCTCAGAAACGAGAGAAGTTCAAAAAGAGAGAGAAAATGCCTTTTTGGGGACAGGGCACTAAAGGTCGGAGGGTCGTGTAAACGTTGCAGGTATCCGCCGTCTGCCCATCGATTTTCCTCGTTTTTTTATGCGTTTCAGAAGTCCTACTTGGTTCATATCACGAGAAATTTGATTTTCTAAAGAGCCATTAACAAAAAAGGATCATATTCTTTGCAGCTAGGCAATTGCTTGACCGAGTATTTTTTTGCAGTTAGAAGTTACACCTTCTCCTAAAACACTTCCAAAAGAAAATTTTTTTTTTGATTTATTCTTAGTTCGAAAAATAGTTTAAACATTTTGGGTGATGTTATTTGAAACCTAAAGGAGCTCTGCTAATTTTTTCAATCCAAAATCTCTTAATTAGTTATTTTCCACTAGGTCTGACACTCCGTGTGACGATATTTAGATCTCCTCCACGAGCGCAATATTTTTTTGCATGACACAAATTGAATATGGCTTCAAGCTTTTTCGTAAATGTACTGTTACTTGTCAAATCTCCCAGCTTACAAAAAAAAAATCTTATAGCGTCGTTTCCAAAAATCGTCAAAAAAAATAAAATAAAATCACTGGAACGAAGACGTTGAACATAAAATCAACATCTTCGTTCCAGTGAGTAAAAAGGTAGGAAAAGAGTCCAACAACAGAGAAAATTGGAAATGGCCGGAGCAGACGTTCCAATTTTCCGTCGGCTGCAGCCCCATTGCAGCTGTTCGTTTTTGTTGTTTAGTTTTTCTTGACTATACGAATGCAAGTTCTGAATATGCTTTGTCGAAAAATATCAAAAAAAATTTCAGAAGCACAAAAAAAAGAAAACAACTTTTTTTGCCTGAAAAGTTCGATTTATCATTCGCTTTAATAAGCTTCTGATTGTTTTTCTATTTATTCTAAAAATTTTAAGATCATTTCAAAAAAAGCAAGATTGCTGCATATTTCGATTTGGTGTAAAGTGTTCCTATTCCCTAACATCTGAAGAAATTCAACCAACCTTTCATTTCTGACAGCCGTGAGTCAATCAGCAACAAGAAAATAGCGATTCCTCGGGCTGCTTGTTGTTGCAGACTTTAATTTGATACTGAAATTGAAAATAAACAAATTGCAAGACCAGAGAAGATCGAAACGTGTGATAAAAATTCGCGGTTATCAATGCAAATAAGAATAGAACGATTTGTACGATTGGACGAGCAAAAAAGTTACGTGTTACTCATACATTGGAGAGACCAATTTGTGCTTCACTATCGCTGAGAAAAGAGTTTTTGCAATAGAGGAAGAAACTATGAGAAAAACTGAGTCATTGGAAGAACTGAATTCGAAAGTTGCACTCGGTAAATAAAATTTTCCCGCCGCCTTCGGAAAGCAAACAAATCAAGCTTGACTTTTTTCCAGAGTCTAAGTTACACGGTCCTAGCCGTCATTAGCTAATTTTATACTAAATACAGTTTTTTCGTTGTCACGGAAAAATGTACGTTTTTTCTCAAATATTTCCCCCAAACGTTGAAATTAGTATATCGTACACTTTCGAAAGAGCTGTGATAGGAACTTTTGATAACTCTGATGGTTTCAAAAATGAACATCTACCTATTAGCTCAGAGCTTCATTTTGGTCAGAGAGTCTTCCCAATGGGGATTAACATCACTGCTTACGCAAATTGAGCCGATACAAAATGGTTTCTATTTTGTTGACGTGTAAATTCCTATGAAGGAAATACGCATATTATTATCGAAATGCCATTCATTCATATTCTTATTTTTGTTTTTCTCGTCTAGAAAACAACATGATCATTCTTCAAAGAAACGTGGACCACTTAATATTTAAATTCCAGAGCGCATATTTTTTTTGCAAAGCAACGGGAAAGTTATCACAGCATGAAAATGAAATTTGATTTTATAAGCTATGGAAAGAAATTTTTTCCAATTCAGGTATTTGTTTGAAAGATAGGAAAGTCGGAGTTCTAGTCTGTGTGAAATACTATGAATTGGAAAAAAGGGTTATTTCCAACCGATTACTTCAGCAAGAACTACATATTTACAGGCCTCCCGAAAATTCAAGCTCAATTTTTTTTATTTTCTCCGCAATTTTTTCAAAATACTCCAACATAAAAAAATGAGAAAAATCATCAAAATATTCATATAAGAAAAGAAAAAAATCACCAAGTTCAGGCTTTGACCAGCGTAAAAGCTGGAAGGACGTGCTCGTTGGAAGAGCATTTTCGCGGCGGCGGATCGTCGCGTCCCCAAGAGGAACTTGAGCTCTTGGAAACGGAAAACATTGGCAAACACGCCGGTTTTGCCAATAAATTCCTTGACGCTAAAAATGAGTAATACATATGTCGACAGGAGAACCCTGAGTTTTTCGCAAAACTCCTTTGGGTCTTCACAAAGTTATGCAAAATTTAGTTGATGAGAGGCTCTGAAAAATCGAGCTCTTGTTTTGAAAATAAACGGTGCCCATTTATTCATCTTGATATATGATAGCAGTTTACGTCTGTGAAGTAAAATACATTTTGATTCAGCCTTCCTCTCAATTGGCCTTATATCAAAATAGCATAAACCTTGAATATAAAAAAAGTTTCAAGGTTTTTTTCCGTGATGATTTGAATTTAACTTTCTGAAATGGTTTTTTTGAAAGCATTTTCGAGTGTTTTTTTTTCAAACAACTAAAAGGGATTTAACTATCAGATCAAGGTTAAGATATAATATCCGCAAAAAGATCTGAAATGTTCAAATCAAAAAAATATTTGTGAAAAACTAGCTCGAAGGCCTGAAGAGAAGAACAAGAAAGAAGGCTGGATTTTACCTTTTTGGAAAAAGAAAAAAGGATGGAAATTTCCGGCTGCTCAACCCGTTATTTCATTTAAAATTAATCAAATTCAACCGCGAATTTATTGCTTTAAAATTGGGATTGCAAAACCGCGTTTTTCAGCTTTTTGTTGATAAAATGCTTTCCTTTCGAAACAACATTTTTCGCCGCTTATTCACATTTCATGCAAAAGAAGCATTTTTTCCACGAGCTCAAAATTAACCAAAAAAGGGAATGTGAAAATAATGAGCAACGTGAGTAAGTCTCCGAGAAAAAACAGGAACTCAGCGTTGCTGCGAGGCTTCCATGTTGTCAAGGCTCTGTTTGCTCAGCGTTCGTTTACAAAATCAGCTGCACTTCCGCAAGTCGGTTTCGAAGAAGGATGGAGAAAGTTTCGGAAAATATTCCAAGTAGTCCACATTTGATAACTTATAAAAAAATCAAATGAAAAACTGGTCAGAAAGAAATAAGCCGAGTCTTTCGAAATGATGGACAAAGTTCTTTGGAACTTTGCATACATTAAAAAAGTTCCAATCGCAAAAATAATCCGAATTTGTTTGCGAACACTCGTTTGCACTTCAAACTAAACGAAATGAACAAAATACCTCTGCTTTGAAAGGGTTTGTTAAACTGGAAATGAATAAACCAGAATGTTTTCAGAGTAGTTCTGTGGCTGCATTTCGGCTTATCTTATGGATAGTTTCGCTTAGCTCAACTTATCGCGAGCTGCTTTTTGGTCTACTTCCCTCTCAGGTGTATTAAAGAATCCTCGTCGGCTTAGCTGCCGAAGGTGGACTCTCTCAATACACAGATTTCGGGGTCCTTGCAGACATGTTTGGGCATGTATTCAGAGGAGTTTTTGGAATATTTCTGCTCAAAGTTCACAGAACAGCATTACTCACATAAATCCACAAATACGCTGATAACAACGTGGCGGACCATTCGAACATCAACAATTTGTTTTATCAGTGCTAATTGATCAAAACTTTTCATTTCAAGCCATGCTTTTCCTGAAAATAGCTGGCTTCTGCCTTCTATTTCTTTTAGGAGGTGAGTTATTAAGTTTGAATGCCCATCAAGTAGATTTTAAGCTTATGCTGGTAAACCATGTAATTTGAAAACCTTCCAACCGAATTTCTCCGTCTGCGTCTGCAACGAAAACTACTGCGATGAGATCGACCCTCTGGGTTCGCCGTCAAAAGGCGAAGCTGTCATCTACTATTCCTCGCAGAGCGGGAAAAGACTGGAAAGGTCCACGACTACTGGTTCCTCCAATAAACCAGGTCTGTTGAGAATCAGAAAGAATTTTTCACATTTTTGTTTCTAATCGGTTGGTTTTTCTTTCAAACATCGCGATAAGAAATGATAATAGAACTTTTGCTGCAAAGCTCAGGATGATCAGTTTTTGGTTTTAGCTCAAAAAACTTTCTCAAGGATTGTTCATCAGTTCAAAAAAAAAGAGTTACCCTTGTAGCCCTTCAAAGTGCTTCTATAAGTGATTCACGGCTGGCTTGAGCCATCGAAAAAAGGGTCCTGACACGATAATGCACGAGATAGCGCCTGGCTTGTGGAGAGCGCAGACACGTCACGCCCCTTTAGAGTCCCAAGCTAACTTTGAAACTACTATTTGGATAAATAAAACCAAGTCGACGAATCGTGATAAAGGCAAACCGCCTAGAAAAAAAAAATAATTTTTACTTTCTACCCATATCAGATGGCTTCCACGCTACTCTGGACACCAACAACAAGCATCAGAAAATGCTGGGATTCGGCGGAGCTTTTACTGACGCCGCGGGGATCAACTTACAAAAAATGCCGTCTGCTCTTGCCGATCAAATAATCAATCAATATTACAGTAGTGATGGTAAGCATCCCATCTTTCGATTCGATAAAAAAAAACCTGGTTAGGAATCGGCTACACTTTCGGACGCGTTCCCATGGCCAGCACCGATTTTTCAACTCGCGTTTATAGTTACAACGACATTTCGAATGACTTCAACTTACAGAATTTCAATCTGACTCATGAGGATTTCGCATACAAAGTTGGAAGAAAAAAACTTAAAGTAACTGATTTTCGATTTTGGAGATCCCTTACATGAAGACTGCCATGAAAGCCAACAATCAAGTGAAGTTCATTGGATCGCCGTGGAGTGCGCCAGGATGGATGAAGAACAGTGGAAATATGGTCGGCGGCGGTGTTCTGAAAGGAGAATTCAATGGGATCTACTACAACACATACGCTCAATATTTTGTAAAGTGAGACTGATTCAAATTATTCCAAGCAAAGAAAAGCAAGAAGCCATTCTTCAGATTCTTGACAGAATATCAGAAAGTCGGGCTTCCTTTCTGGGCGGTCACCGTTCAAAATGAACCTAACACCGGCTCCTCGACGACTTGGCCCTGGCAAACACAGTACTACACTGCAGAAATGGAAAGGTGGAGCTTGTAGAAATATTAAACAAAATACGAGTTTAGAGATTTCGTCAAAAAGCTGCTGGGACCAGCTTTGAAGACTTCAGCCGCTGGACGAAATGTTGGTATCATCGTGAGTGATGACAACCGGAAAAACTTACCTTCGTGGGGAGATACGGTAGGTTGTCTTTCGAAAAATAATCCAATGTTTTCTCATGCAGATTTTTGGTGATTCGGATGCTGCCAAGTATGTTACTGGTATTGGTGTTCACTGGTATGAAGACGGACAAGTGAGTTTTTTTTATTTTCATTTTGCGACGAGAAAAAAACTGCCAGGGTTGCAAATTTTTTTATTATTTTGAGAAATATGTATGCACGTCGGGATAGAAAATTACAAATCTCATATTCTCGGCCGAGGACCTATCATAATATCCGTGGACTGACCCAAGTGAAATATCCGTCTTTGTGCAGGACGGCTGAGGATTTTGAAGCCTTGGTTTCCCACTACCAACAGTTCTTAAACCCCTTGGTTGGGTCTCGGTGGAGATCGAACTTCTGACCCTGTAGACCGTAGACAGGCACACAATCTGTTGCGCTAGGCGTGCCGCAAATGATAATCTACCTTCGATCTTTCAGACGCCAGCTTCAGTTCTCACTACGACTCACAATCGTCATCCCGATAAATTTATCTTGGCAACTGAGGTTTCATCGATGGATTTCCAATATTTAATCCAAAATTGCGGATATAGGCATGCTGCGGCTACCGAAAAGACGGACTAGGAGAGTGGTTTGCCGCTCAGTTGATAACCGACGACATGATGACGGCGAGTTTTCTAACCAGAATGAAAATTTTAGAGTTTCTTCTAAAATCTCAAATATAAAGTTTTTTTTCAGGATTTCCAAAACTACGTGGCAGGGTGGGTGGATTGGAACCTAGTGCTGGACATGTCGGGAGGGCCGACCTGGGTCAACAACAACGTCAAAGCCTCGATTATCGTCAATCCTGACAAGAAGGAATATTACAAGGCTCCATTGTGGCACCATATGGGTCATTTCAGGTATGGAAAAAAGAACTGTTTTTTGCTTCAATTTTTCTTTAAAGCAATGGCTTTTTTTTTTTGAATTCTCTTAGAGTTTTTAGTGTCACAACGTAGGAAAGAAAATCCCAATGTTGTTGAGGAGGGCGAAATTTTTGACAAAATCTTTTTGGTCTTTCAGACATTACAATAGCCGTTATTGATTATTGCTTTTTTCAAAAAATTGTGCAGCTCATTTGGAGAAAATTTCTGAGTCTCAAGAAAGTTCATCAAAAATAGAAAATGGTTTTTATGCTAGCAAAAAAAGTTAATGAATCATATTTTTTGCTTTTCCTGAAGTTTCATATAAGCTCCTTTTGATTTCTAACTTTCAGCAAGTTTGTGCCCCCTGGTTCCTTCCGTATCTCGCACTCCACCGACGCAAACGGCGACTTGAACATGGTCGCTTTCTTGGATCCGCAAGGCAGAAGAGTTGTCGTCGTCATCAACAAAAACGATGTTCAAATTTTCAACCAAAAAAACCAAGCCAATCATTGTTTGCAGGTTGTCGGACAGAAACTTTCCGTCTTCGACAATGGAAAATACTTTACCGCCAATCTCGAGCCTTATTCTTTGGCCACAATCATCATTCCATAATGCGACTCCGGTTAAACTCAAACTGTTTAGCAGAAAAAAAGCCTTCAAATGAATAAAAAAAGTACAAAAAAATTCTTCATTTGAAAAAAATTGTTAGCACATCAAAAAAATATGTGTTCGATTCATCTGACGAGAAATCACTGGCTGGTTTATAATATTAGAAAATCACGGAATGGCATCTTGAGGAGAAAAATAAGGCTTATTGAATGAACTACATAGAAATTTCAAATATAACAAAAGAAAACCCGAGAAAAAAACTCAAAAGGAAATAAGATCATCTACAGGCTTGGCGGCTTCACTTGAGCTAGCCCCGACAAATTCTCCAAAAGGATCTTCATTGACTTCGCCGTTTGTTTCAAAGCAAGCAAAGTTTTCGATCGGCGGTGGTGCTTTTGAAAATTCCGGTCCCTGAAGAATGAAGACTTCGTCGAATTCAGGTGGGGCCATTGGCAGATCTCCAGCATCTTCTAGAAGTATATCAAATAGTTTTGCATTCTTATGGCAATTTTTAAAAGGAAGTTGTAAATTGACCAACCGGTAAAACCCATCAAATCCTTTTTGTTGGAGTCAAAGTGAACTATTTCGTGGTCGCGGGGAAGAATTCTACTTTCAGATGGAACGCCGATCTAAAAAATCAACTTTTTTGGTTTTTAACTCTAGAGTTTTGAAACTTCTTTTATTGCTGTCCAACCTCCGGGAGCAGGAGAATAACGCTTCCGCAGTTCTCGATGAACGCGTTGGAAAGTTTGAGCTAAATTTCAACCTGATTAGTTTTTTTATTGATCCGAAACATCCTATTTATAGTTATTTGTAACTTTTATAAAACACCTTTGCAATTTTGGAAAAAGAAAAAACAGAACGGCCGCGTAAACTTTTCAAATGGCTCATAAATTTTTGCTACTTTATCTCCGAAAATAAAAAACTATTTTTTTTGTACTTTGTGTTTTATTTTTCATGAAATCCTTCCATAAAAACGTTGTTTTAGCATTTGCTGCTCCAGCACGGAATCAGAAGGAAATAAAAGGAAAAAATAAAAACAAACTTAGACTTTGCTCAGTGTGGCACAATGTTCTGGGAAACTGCAGCTTCAGCCTTTCACCCGTGGGACCTTGAGAGAAATAAACTGCACATCTGAAAAATACGATTTTCTCAATAACAGACAAAAAGGACGTTTTTTATTGAATTTTGAAAAAAGGAGATTTTATGAAAAAACTCGTCAAATAAAAAAAACCAACCTCGCTTTAGCCAAATCTTGTCGGCCAGCAAATGGATAGTTCAACAGATAAATTTTCCTGTTGTTGGAATTGATCACAGACGCGTTTATATAAAATTCTAGAACCTGAAAAAAAAACGTTCTGCTGTTCTATTAATGAAAAAGACACTGAAAAACGCACCCGACACATTTTACCCGTCTGGCTATTTTTTGCGTAAATCACAAATAAAGATTCATGAGGCGCAATGAATTCACCGTCAAAGATAACATTCTGGGAGTTTCTGAAAAAAGTACCGAATATTATATGTTGTATTACAATACCTTTGAACAGAGGTTTGAGTCGTTTCAAAGCTTTTTATATGAAACGATGTGCAGAGAAAAGTTGTCTAAAAAAACTCTATTTGTAATATTTAATATTTTTTTATCTCATACCGTATTGATTCGTTTCGAAGCCATCGATTACGACACGACTGACCAGCAATCGTTTTTTTCTTGTACGGCTGCCTAATTATATACTTTTTTTCAAAAAGAAAAAAACTCTAAGAAAGTTTACATTTTCGTCATTTCTGGTGAAGAAACGCTTCCATAATTGGATGAAAACAGAACTTTGCACAGTTCTGCTCTTCAAGGCGTCTGGGATCTTTGTGTTGACAAGTTGAATAGGGTCCTCAACGGCACTGGAGGCCAATAATATTACTTTTGCAGCATTTCCCGCAATCACTGAAACACTATTTATTTTACAGGTTAGTTAGAAAATCGTTCTATTTCAAATAATTTGATTGTTTGGAAAATTTTTCAATACTACATTGAAAAAATTGAAATTTTTTTTTGTAATGATAATTTAATAGGAAAAACACATATTAAAACTCACGAGAGTTTCCAAAAATAAGAATTTTTGCGTCTGGCGGAACATTGCCGTTGATGTAACTCAGAATCTGCAACCAAGACTTTTCTATCTGAAATAGTGCCTTTTTCACCTCTTGGTAACCACGGATGTCCAAAAAATTGTGAAATCGTATGTTTGAAATGATCCCAGTTTCAAAATCTTTTAAAAGGCTGAAACAAAAGATTTATGCAAAAATTTGTAAACAAACGTTTCTGAGAAGTTTAAAATCAAAAACTGTTGATTAGCTTCACGAACGAACTGCAACAGGCTGGCAGAGGCCTGCAAAAAAAAATTCAGTAGAGATTTATAAACATTAAATCAAACATTTCGAATGCCTTCCGCTGAATCGTGTGCGATGAGTGCCAAATAAACGCGATCCGTCAAAAATCTCACAATTAAAGATTTATCTTCGTAGTCCTATATCAAAATCATTTTTCGGGAAGTTGGAATAATACTCACTTTCATGGACGAGGTAGAGGAAACAGGAAGAACCGGCTTGAGCTGTGAAATTCCATCGGTTAATTTTTTCCGCATCACTTTCATCATGTCCCAGGAGGCTGTTTCCGTTCTTTGGTCGTTCTGAATAGTTATTCTATAAATTTTTCATTTTTCAATAAAACTGTTTTAAGGAAGCCTCACGCTTTTATTTTGGCGCCTTAATTATAATACATTCAAATGTCGTTTTGAGAGTATTGCTCAGTAACGTCTCAACTAGCATTGTGCAAACTATGACAGCTTCTCCTATTATTTCAAACCAATACATTAAAAATATAATAATTACCAGTTTCTTCTCTTCATCTTGTTTAACCAGTTGCTGAACAAGTGTGGTCAACACTCCATCTGGTCTAGAGACTAAACTTTTTATCTCTTCTGCGATGTTGATAGCCGTTGGACGTTCATCTGGATTTGGTACAAGACAGTTGCCTAAATTTAAATCTCCTTTTTTGTGAGAAATTGCTTTTTCCAAAAATTTCTGAGATGGTTTGGGTTGTTTTGGAAACTCCAAACCGATAAACTCACTTATTATCTGCTTCAGCGGCAACGTGTTATTCAGCATCGTTTGTGGGAACCGGTATTTGGCATTCACAATCGCCAAGATTCCTCCATCAAACGGATGTTCGTTGTAACAGAGGAAAAAGAAGAAACAGCCGAGGCCCTATAAAAAAATTTGATAAATTCTACTCAGTCAAAAGTTCGAACCCAAACGTCCTGCTTTGTACCAATTGGAAATGGTGAAATCGAGAACATATCGCAAACTTCAGGTGTTCTTGTCAGAGGCGTTGTGTGCTTTTTGGATCTGAAAAAGAGCAAGATTATCATGGAAAATTATTTTTCTGGTCGAAGGGCGACTTTTCTCTTTCTTTTTTCAATGGTTTAGAGATACTAAACTTCCACTAAATTTTAAATTTAATTACAAAAAAATTCCAATAAAAGCTCCAAAGATTTTTTTTAGTTGTTTTTTTAGTAAGCAGAAAATGGCTTCAAAAAAATTTACTCCACAAAAAAACAAACTTCTTCTTGAGCCAAAGACCTGGCCGAGTTGCTCATTTTCTCAACGTCAATGGATTCAGAAGTAGCACTGCCAAAGTCGCATATCTTGACGACGCCTTCAGATGTAATCAGAACGTTTTCCGATTTGACATCACGGTGAGTGATGTTCAATTCGTGGAGACAGGCGATCGCCATAGTTGTTTGATAGCCAATGCGATAAATGTCTTCGTCGCTCAGCAGATTCCGATAATCTCTGAGTACATTCGCCAAACAGACTGAAAAAATTTTCATAAAAAAACTGGTCTATAAATAAATATTTTACACACATTTTCCCAACTCAAGAACCAGCTTGTGTTGATGAACTCCAGTTGGCAGCTTTTGAGAGTCATAAGCCAGCATTTTTGCGATGTATAAGCAAGAAGACTAAAATTTGAAACAGTTTCATTTAAAGTATTAAATGAGGACACCAAACCTTGGAAATTTTTTTGCAGAGTGGCGGCTTCTTTTTCTGATGTCCTTTTTCGGTATCAGAAGTACTTGATAACATAACTTTTATCGCAACTTGCTGCTTCGAAGAAACTTCTACTGCTTTGAATACAGTGCCAAATCCGCCTAAAGATGAAATTTTTTTGAAAAATGTATATAATCACTCTTTTTCTTCTTTTTTTGAACTTTTTTTGAAAACGAGGGTTTTCAAGCCAGATGCAAGCAGATGTTTGAAAATTCAAAAAAAAAAACCACCTAATCAAAAAAAAAAAAATGTTGCTCACCTGTGCCCAAAACTTCGGTGACTTTGAAAGAACGCTTGGATGCCTCAATCGTGTCGCCAGGTGCATAAAGCTGATCTGATCCTTCTTTTGCCCTGTCGACGACAAAATTCAAGGCGTCCATCGCCCGCCATAGAGCCATCTTCAAACAAAAAAACTTAAAACTTGAGGAAAATTGAAAAGCTTGGTAACACAATCACGTGAAACGAAGAAAAAAACAGCTTGTCAGAGAAAAACATTTTTATTACGTTTATTCCATTCTCTTTTTTTCAATTTTATCTTCACAAAAAAACTAATGAGCGTTCAACTAAACATATTTCTGCACCGAAATTGACACATTTGAAAGAAAAAAATAATCAATATTAAGCTTAAAACAATAGGTTTAAAAAAACTGATGTCTAACCGAGAAACGAAAAAGAGAAAGGAAAGTGTGGACCGCTGATAATCCACCTGGATAAGTTCTCAAATTGCAGACGTCTTTGCGTTTCAGTACACTGCACAAAACTGAGAATTTTTTCACAAGTAAAAAAAAATTTTTTGTGAGTAAGCTGAATTTTCTCGCTTTTAAAATCATCTGATAAAATTTTTTTGCAACGAAAAAGAAAAGAGCACACACGATTAGTTTTTATGAAGCCTTTTACAAATAAGAAATTTCAAATTTTAATACAGTATGTGAAAAACTTTTTTTGACGAAGACATAGTTTATTTGAGCTATCTTATTTTTAAGCTTGACTAAAAAAACTTTCACTCAATCTGTAAAACATAGTTTTCACAACTGGCACAGTTGTTCCCTTTTTTTAACTCCTAACATTGTTTTGAGTTCAAAAACTTGAAATTTTTTGGAAGCTTAGACATTAAAACACAATGAACTTTCAGCAAAGTAAAAGAAAATTTAAAAAAAACGAATTGAATCCTTCACTTTTTGAGTTCAGAGTCATGGAACAACTAGGTTTTAAACATAATCGGTATGAGGTGGAATGTGCACTCCCATATCTTTTTTTCTGTTTATGATTCAAATGGGAGCTGATCAAATGTCTCGCGAGAGGAAATTGGCCCCTTGTTGGAGAGGAAAAAAAGGGCATATCTATTTTTTTGGAAACAGATTACTGTATGAAGATTCATAGGAAATTGACATCCTTTACATAAAAATGATAGAAGATTTTTTTTTTCCAGTTTGCGTCAGTTTTGTGCCTGCGCCTTCAACGCTTCTCTGCGCTGAAATTCATCGATATCTCGACCTGCAGCTGCTATTAAAACGTGCAGCCGGAATAATGTTCCACGTGGGGGTCTAAAGTCGACACATGTATATCAACGACACATCAGCTTGCGGGCGGCTGCGACGCGGCTCGTTCCTCTGAAGGAAGGCTTCAGGACTTCTCTGAAACCTGAAAGCGTTGCGCAAGCTTCTTTTCACTTTCTGCGTCACTTTTTGCGCCATTCATCCTTGAATAACGCAGCGCTCAGCTTGTTGTTCGTACGCTATTACGCTGCTTCTGCGCCCACATGTTTTGGGAGATGATGAACCCGATAAATTCGACTAGAGTGTGATATTTCTCTTATTCGAAAAAGACCTCATACTTTTCTAGTCCAGTTTACTGTAAGAGTATTCATTCAACTCGAAAAAATGACTTTTTGTAAAAATTCAAGAAGAAATGCTTCGTTTTATCCAAACTTCAAGGTTAATTACTTTTTTCTGACGTAGTTATCCACGCATCACTCGCTTGTTTTGTCAAGAGAGGGCCAAAAATCAACTATTAGTGCAAACAACCCAGCCCACTGTTTTATTGTTCTTCGCTCATACAAATTTTTTTGCTTTTTTCGTTTTTCAGCCTTATAGAAAAATGCTTTGTTTTGTCGAAGTTACCGGGGAAAGGTTTCTAAAAGTTGATTTTGGAGTTTTATGAAGATATGTTTCCTTAGGAGTGTGCTCTAAAAAGCGCTGACTTTTGAAGTTGAATTATTCTCATCAATCGAACATTTCAAAGTTTTTAAAAAGTGATGATATAAAGATTTTGATCCAAACTTTTTACAAACTGACTCCAACAAGCGAATAAGGAACAACTAGCTTTTTCCTCTCATTTCGTCAAATAATTTTTTTAATTTACTATTCGAGAGCCCTAACACATGAAAAAATGAATAATGCAAAAAACTGTCTCAAAATAGCGCATTTGAACCAGGCATCTGTCTTGAAGGCCCTTTTTTTAGCCGCCGGCTACAAACGCAAACGAATCGTGACCGTTGGTATGTCGATTTGTTGACATTGAGGCAGCATAACGTCCGAGAATTGCTCCTCGCTGCTGGACAATTTTTCAACGTCCTTGTTTCAACTATTTTTTATGATTTAGGACCGTTTTGTCGATCTTTTGAAAATTGTTTGAGATCATCAGATGTACTTGTTTTTTTTAAATTTGATTGAGAAGGCTAACCAGATTATTTATATTATTTTTGAGATATGACTTTGTTAGATTGTGAAAAAAATGCTAAAATGGATGAAAAGAAAATTCGGAAAGGTTTTTGATGAGTTTTTTTCCATTATTTTTAAATTATAACTTTTAAGCGATTCTATTTTTGTTTTTTTCTAGTTGCAAGTCGTCTTTTTAAAAAAAAAACGAAAAAATTTATTTATTCCATTTTTAAACGGTTTCTAAAAAAGAATAGTAAAATTATCGCGTAAAACTTTCAGTGAAATACCTCTGATCCTGATAGTTTATTTTTTCGATTTTATCGTGAATTTCAGTACAATTGAGTTTTTTTCAGCATTTAGTTGGACTTCAAAAACAAAAACTGCAGTGAAACATAATCTGCGAGTAGATCATTGATATTTTGGAGGGAAATCCGTGGAATGTCGTCAAGTCCGCGGCACGCCCCGCATACACCGTGCCGTGTGCAACGTCACTCCAACTCTGCATTTTTAACACAATCGTTTGCCCCAAAACACGTATAACTTATCACGCTCTCTGTGAGCTCGTGTTATCTGGATTGATCCTCTTTAAATTACACTTCCGTTTCAATTATCTTTCATATCTTGCCGATGAAGCGGACATTTTAGCTTTTTTTCAAATTGACTAAGCCAGTAATTGGGTTTTTTATATTTGCTCAATAATTCCATTGTCATCCTTGAATGATCTTCACATCCTTCAAAGAAAAGCAATTTTGCCGCCGCAAACTTTTTTCATTTCTCGATGTTTTTGTTTCACTTTTTCTTATTTTTCATTTCAGTAATACCAATGGACCAATTTCGAGCAGCCGGTCCGCAGCGCGAGATTTTCTCAACGGCAGAAGACTTTGCTGATGATGTGAGTTTTTAAAAATCCAAGTGCTTATTTTGTGCATTAGAATTTACTTGACATCAATACCAGTCAAGACAAATTTCTCCCAATAAGGAAACGTTTTCCAGGTTTTCCGTCGCACTCGAACCTATTTGCCGCACATCGCTCGTCTGTGCCTCGTCTCAACTTTCCTTGAAGATGGAATTCGCATGTGGTTCCAATGGGATGACCAGAAACAGTTTATGCAGGTACCTAGTAATATTCAACATAATTTTTATTTATGAGGAAAAAAATCTTATTTTTATTTCAATCAACTTTTATAAAAAATCCAGCGCTACACTTGGGAACAAAAAAAAATGTAGCCCGCTTCATTAGAACAAAGGCTTTCACGAGAAAATCAATAATTGGAACCTTCATGACCGCTTTGTTGCTTAATTGAAAAAGGCAAGATAAATAGAAGGTTTTAAAGCAGAAAAAGTGTTTCAACATTTTCGTGAGCTCTATCAGGTTCAGAAAAAAACCCCAGCAAAAATAAAAGTTGAAAAAGCGAATTATAAAGTTCAAAAACGCGTGAAACTACAACAGTTAGAACTAGTCTCTAAGTAAAAGGATTGAAACATTATTATACTTTGAACTCAATATTTTACATTTTCAACATAAAGAGCTATTAATGTCAAAGCCTTCTCGATCCTACGCCGCAAACAGAGCCCAGCTCATCAATTAGGCGTTGTAAAGTTGTTGCCGACGAGCCGTTCTGTCGTGTGTTGCACTTTGCTCGGTTTTAATATCCTCAACGAGATGACCCTTCTTTCACACCATGCTAAAAGTAACTGTAAACATGATTTATTATCCACTTGATAAATTACAGAAAATTTTTTTTCAACATGAAGTTCCGAGGTTTGTGGTGTAGTTTGGATGAGAGGCTTATTTTTTGGGCTCTGATAAGACCTCAAAGAATTTTTTTTTATCTAGTCTGACATTCGCATTTCGCGATAATAAGGCGCTTTCGCGGTGAACGTCAATCAATGAACATAATTATCAAATTTACGATTTCATGGAAAAAGTTTCTGGGGAAACGAATGAACTCTCATGAAACAAGAAATGAATTGCTTCAACCAATTTGAGTTTTTTCCAGGAGTCGTGGTCTTGCGGATGGTTCCTAGCAACTTTGTTCGTTATTTACAACTTCTTTGGTCAATTCATACCGGTGATCATGATTATGCTCCGAAAAAAGGTATGCTCAAATAAAATCAAGGCTTTTGCAATGAAAAAGTCAAGATTATAAAACTTTGATGGCAGCTTCTTTTGTAGAGAGAAAGAAAAAAATATTGGTTGAATTTTTTTCCGAGGCTTGTTTTTAGATAAAAAAAGCATTGAAAAAAATGTCGCATTTGTGGTAACCTTTTTGAACTTTTTTTCAAAATAAATGATCTGAAATGAGCTGGTGCTAAAAAATCTCATATTTTCAGGTTGTGATTGCTTGTGCTATTCTCGGAAGTATTGTCATCCTTCAAACGATCGCTTACCACATTCTATGGGATCTCAAATTCCTGGCTAGGTAATTTTTACGCTAGAACATTTTTTTTCATAAATGCTTCGTTTAGAAACATTGCTGTTGGCGGAGGTCTCGTTTTGTTGTTGGCCGAAACTCAAGAGGAGAAGAATTCGCTGTTCGCTGGAGTCCCAACCATGGGAGACACTAACAAGGTTGAATTTTCAGACAGTTAAAAAAAATCATTTTGTCGCATCGATGGATTAGAAAATGATGGAAAGTGTGAAAAAAATGAATCGAACAACCAAAAAGAAAAAAAACGTTCAAAATTTCAGATGAAATAATATTTTCAAATGTTAGGTGTTTCATGGAAGACATTTTCAGCCCAAGTCGTACATGCTTTTGGCCGGACGCGTCTTGCTCGTCTTCATGTTCATGTCCCTGATGCACTTCGAGATGAGCTTCATGCAGGTATTTCAAGACTTTTTTTAGTACCACTAAATTCAATTTCTTTGAGGTGATCGAAATCGTTGTCGGCTTCGGTTTGATGACTCTCGTGACGATTGGCTACAAAACTAAGCTTTCGGCCATGGCTCTCGTCACGTGGCTCTTTGGTCTGAACCTCTGGCTCAACGCTTGGTACTTTTTCAGATAGAAAATCTCATTGCAAAGGAGCTTTTTTCAGGTGGAACGTCCCCTCTGACCGCTTCTACCGTGACTTCATGAAGTACGACTTTTTCCAGACTATGTCGGTCATTGGAGGTAATTTCTGAAATAGAAGCTCAATCCTAAAAAGGGAACTTGTAGGTCTTCTATTGGTGATTGCCTATGGACCGGGTGGAGTTTCTGTGGACGACTACAAGAAGCGTTGGTAAAACGTGGACGTCAACGGAATTCAACTTATTAATCCTTAACTATCTATATCTATCAAGTTTTTTAGTCAACTTATCATCAAGACCATTTTTTGATTCTGTTTTTGTGGGTAATTTTCTTCTTCCTCCTTTGCATTTTGGTTCTCCTTGCTTCTTCCCTATTTTCTGTTCTTGTCTGTCTTCACACCGAGGGTGTCTTTTTCCTGCGTCAAATCTAATCGTCATTGCTGTGGTTTTATCAATCTAATCTGACATTACTATATGCGTTATTTAATTATTTTCGGTTCCTTTGTTTGTAGTATTGAGTAAATTCTTTTGTCTGTTCAAAATTGATGAGCCATTTGCACGGTTTACCGTTAATAGTGTACGTTCGTCAAAATTTTGGCTGAAAACATTTTTCTTGTATTTGAAAGAGGATGTCATTTCAAAATATCAGAAAGGCTTGTTAGAAATGAGCAATGGGTTTATAAATTCATAACTCAATCTCAACTTAGGGTTCGAAACAGTCATTCACTTTTTGCAAAAACGTTGATGACCGATTTTACTTGCAATTAGAGCTCTTTTCGGGTGTACCCATTTTTTCAGGTTTTGTAGCGAGATAAGTTACGAAAAATGACATATACTCTTTTTTTATCTTCGCAAGACTTCTGTCCTTTGTTTGGCCTACTTATGACAATCAATCGACTTTTGATAGAGCAAGAAACTGGCCAAGAGAAACCTACCCCTGGATTTCTGATCAGTTTCAAACAAGCAGCTAAGCCAAAACGGAAGAAAAGGCAATTATTTATTAGAAATATTACAAGAAAAGTGAATTAAAAGTTATATATATACAGCGCAATAAAGCTAGGCAGGAAAGAGAGAAATCCGTAAGAAACTAAGGCGGGAAGTAACCAGAAGAAGAAACAAAAAAAACCACACAATGTTAGAATAAATTCTTTTTGGGGAAAATGAAGGATATGTCGTTAATTTTCTTGGCACCCGAAACTGGCTCGCAAACGAAGAAGGTCGGCGCGCCACCCGTGTATTTCTCCTGAAGAAAACGTCATCAGCCCGAATGACTTTGAAACAGGGAAATCGAGAAAGTAAAATTTTGGAGTATATTAAAAAAAAATGATGATCGTCTCTTCCTTGCCAACTTTGAGAAAAAGGTCTGACGTGTGATGAGTTTTTTTTTTCGAAATGAAAGCAAAAACTCACGAGAATGGCTTTCTTGAGTGGTTGGACAAATGACGGCTTGACCAAAGTGATTGTGCAGCCTCCGAATCCGCCGCCAAACATTCTCGACCCAAAGACACCCTCTTGCTTGAGAGCAATGTCGACCAGTTGGTCGAGTTCCTCACAAGATACTTGGTATTTGTCTCTGAAAATAATTAGAGTTAGAAATTAATATTTTTTGGAACACTATTTATTTAGTCAAACTTTTTGAGTTATCATTCATGATGAAAACGTTTTTTTTAGCAAATAGTTTGTGCGCATTAGCTAAAAAAAGGCTCTCAGATTCTTTCCAAGAATGATGGAACCGTAATAACGTATCATATCATCTTCTCTTTTTATTTTTTTGGCTGTTAAGATGAACTTGTAGACTTCAAAAAAATGTATTCCCTCTTTAAGTCACGATGCATTTTTTTCCTTTCAAAACTTTTTTTATTTTTTTATCATTATAAAAATTGCAACCGGAAGTTGAAGGCTGAATATTGATACTAAAAAAATCTTCTGAAATATTTTTTTATCTTTCTTTGAACCTTTCATAAAAATTTTTTTACCCTTTTTCTTTACTAGATATTTGGATCAAAAATAATATTGTAAATTCCTTTCTTGATTAACTTTCTGCATATCTACCTCAAAGAGATGTGGCTTTCCGTCATCAGCTCGCCGAAATACTTGACGTTGTTGTCGAGGAGAGCGATCGTAGCTGTTTCTGTTCGCTTGATTTCATCAATCTGAAAGAAGGCTAAAGTTACCATAAGAAAAGCTGATAATTAAAAAATGTCCAGTGGTTCAAGATTGGAAAAATATCGAATTTTGGAAGAGAAAGAAAGATCTCACCACATGCTCCGAATATTGAACCATGGTTTCATTTCCAGTAGCGCGGATTTGGTCCATTTTTTCATCATTGACGTCTCTCCACGAAAGTGCGTCGCAACTAAAACCCGGTTTTCCTTTGATACAATGTCCTTTAAGTGAGGTATTGACTAAAATACGAGTACATCCAATCATCACATCTACAAAACACTTCGGAAAACCTCATTTCCTCAAAATTATTACCTCAACTTTCTAGTTTACATACGTTTTGAGAGCTTTGTCCACGACTTCTCGTCGTTTCGCGTACTCTCCGTTGCCCAACTCGTGTTTCACTCCGCTGTTCGTGACCAGAAAAATTGCCGAATCCATGAAGAGGGCCGGGATCAGCTCGTATTGCAACGATCTGGAATATCCAAAAATAGAATTCAAATTTTTGAGTCAGAAAACTTTTTTTAGGTTTTCCTGTTCTGCCGGTTTGATAACTGCCAGACAAAACCCCAGAATAAGCATTTTAAAACTGGTCCTCGGACTATTCTTACCAATTTCAAACTCACATCAATTTTTTCAGTCTTAAAAAAACTCACCGACAGTCGATCCTCAAAGCGCATCCATTATAAGCCAAAGTAACGACGAACTGGTCCATGATTCCGCAAGGCACATGAGCGAATCGGTGTTCGGCTTCCCGACACAACAAGGCAATATCCAAAGGTTTTCTAGCTTCTGAAAGATTTTGATTGTTTCTCAAGAAAAATGTTCAACAAGTCTCAATTCAATTGAAATTACCACAAAATAAAAAAAAACAAAAATTAATTTGAGCGGGAAATAAACTCTCGCCTAACTGCGACAGTTTGGAGAAGTTCTGAATAAACTAACCAACATCAGAGTCGAAATTGGCGAGAAACTTGTACGTAGCAAGTTCCAGAGCAGCAGAACTACTCATGCCACTTCCCGGAGGAAGCTGAAAAATGAACTTTTCCTTTTTGAAAAATGAACATTTTTTACATTTGAATGGACTACGATATTGAAGCATTTGCGACAGCTTGCCAGGGTCATCACTCCGTGGATATAAGACGCCCAAAATGCGACCTGTAAGTCTTTTCTCACTGCTTTTTATCAATTTTTTGTTCTTTGTTTTGAAAGAGTGGAGATACTATGCTCTCTATTTGTTCTCAGTAGAAACACAACCGTAAATCTTTGCTGGTGTGATCAGAAAATTCGAAATTATTTCATACTGATCTTAACACACGTTATCTGAGAAATGCGATGAACAGTATGGACATTTTGCTTTTTTTGAGCTCATACTTTCCTCGCAGCAACAAAACAAGTCTTTGAAACTTTTCGATTAGGCTTTGACAGGCTCCGCCCCTCTGAGGATTACTGTAGCCTCAATACGAAAAAAGAAACCTTATTATTTTCTCCGTAGTCGGAAACGAATGAAAAGTAGCTTAAGATAGAAAAAAGAAGCCAAAATTAATATTTTCTGTATTGAAACTCCTGACCTTCACCTGTCTTTTACTCTAAAATTGACTCATGAAATACAACCACTAACACCAAAAACTTCGAGTTCAATAATTTTCGAAAACCCACGTTTCGAGCATCCTTGTATGGTGCTGTAATCCTCGCCTTCTCTTTTTTGTATGAGGAATAAATTTGCGTCTCGCCACAATCTTCATCCACATAAACACCCAGAACGACGACGTAAAAAGGCACGGCCTGAAATTAATTCATTCGATGAAAAACAGGAAATACGGGCGGCAGGAAATTAGAACATTCTATCTTGGCTTCTGCATGTGGACGTCTGAAGTAGGCATACAAATTTTTCGAATAGGACTAAATTTGAGCATGAGAAGGGAACAGTAAAGCAAGAACTATCGTCAGAAGAAGAATTTCCGGCTTTTGCTTGCCGAACTCAGGTTGCTAAATAAAATTTTTAAAAACTTTTCCGCCTGTTTCCCACGTTTTTTTTGTAAGAAAATCACAAGTCCTTCAAAATCTTGTACGAAACTAGTTTTAAAGCTCTCACAAGGATCAGCTTTTTTGCAAAGTTGATAGTATCGAATGATTTGTTCAGGGATTGCAGTGTCGCCCGGAGAACTTGCTCAACACCCCGATGTTTCAAAATTTTCTCCTAGCAATCCTCGACACTCAAAAAAACGTGTGAAAATGTTGTTTTCCAAACAAAAAGGAATAAATTTACGACTTTCGAATTTTCAAAACTTTCTCAGAAGTTCAAATGTTTGGAAAACATCTTGAAATGTTTATGATGTAGTCGTTTCCCAGGATGAATTTGAAATCCAATTTTCTTGTTGTTGACCGAATGATTCTTATCATTTCGAACATGAGAGAATGATCGGCTGTTGACAATCAAAAACCTGTTTGTTCTTCTAAAAATAGACAAGTTCAAGTCAGTTTTGAACTTTCGAGCCCAATTTTCGAGTAAAAAGATATATCTCAGACTGGAACAACCGAATTGAACCACTGCCGGTTGAAACTAAAAAAGGTTTTTTTTTTCAATTTTTACCATCGGCAGAACGATTCCATCACAGTAGTCAACGTGCTCTCCTATCAGATTGACCCGTCCAGGTGCGATTCCGGCTCTAATCATAGTAGGCTCGACATCCTTATCAAACTGCTCTTTGTAGATTTCGAAGGCCTCTCTAAAAGTTTGAGATCAAAAAAACAATAGCTTCAGCTTCTAGAGGACAGGAAAACGGGAAAAAGGGCACATTAACTAACCTAATCAGAGAAAGTTTGGTTTGGGCGACTTCCCGCGTATCGTCGCGTTCAGGCGGAGGAAGACGAGGCGCAATGTCCAACCTACCCGTTTCGTCGCTTAACATGCTGAAAATGAAGAAAAATTGAAAGAAAAACATCGACGAGATTTTCTCGTTCCCGTGTAAAACGATGAATGTGAACTAGGAAAAATCCTCGAGAAATGACAAAAAAAAAACGAAAAAAGTGAAAGAGAATTGGAGCACAGTCTTCTTGGAACTCTTTTTTTCCAATCAGAAGAAGAAAGAAGAATACAACAAATTAGAACCAAATGTCCCAAAGTGAATGGCGCAAAGAGAACGGCTGCAGGAGGAGGTCAACGCGCATCGTCAAAAACTGCAGAGATGCCAGTTTTTATGCACTCTTTTAAATTCAAACGTTTCGAAAGGTGCATTTAACTTTGACAGAACGAAATGGTTTCTGGGAAAATGTTCTCAAAAGCTGTCAAAAAAAAAGATTTTATGATATATAAATTGTGAAATGGGCGAAAAAAATTCCCAACAAACAAAAAACGCCCTCTCTGAAAAACTTTTTTCTTCATTTCCAACCATAAAAAAACGTGATATAAAAATTTTAAGATTTTTTTGATAAACTAGTTTTTCTCCAACAATAAGAAAAACGAAGAAAAAAATCGAAATCTAAGAGTGAAACTTGAAATCAATTGGAGAAACTTAGAACAAATCATAAAAAAATTAATATTTAGAAAAAAATCATAAAAAAAATTAATATTTAGAACAAATCATAAAAAAATTAATATTTAGAAAAAAAGTTCGTCAAAACCACAGATACACCCAAAAAGAGTAATTATAAAAAGTTTTTGTACTTATTTTGAACTTACTTCGGAACTATCAGTTATTTCTGTTGAATAACCAGATTGAGAAAAAAAGAAAAGATTAGATAAAACTGCAAAGCCGTGTATATAGCCTCTCAGTCTAGAACACCTTCATTTGCCGCCAAACAAACCGAAACACCCGTTTGCCCTCGATTCGCGAGCCCAAGTCTCCCATCCGCGCGTCTTATCGCGTTCGCTCTGCGCCGTCTGCTTATCTTGACGTCATTCATTTTTTGAGTGATATGTGGACTATCGCGAGCATGAACTCTCTTTCCCCTTACTGTTTTTTTTTACTCAGTTAGACAGCTGTCGTGCCCACGGAGCAGTATTGAAACATTTCAAACAAAAAATGAATCTTGGAAGGACGTGAAAACAAGGCCAAAACTCGTGGAAGGAAGGAAAAAGCGTTATTTACTGCAGGAACGGCGCAAAGCACGTGCGAAAAAGCAGCTCACAGCGTCATATTTCTTCATAGCTCATGTATTAGATTTTCTAGGTTCGAGGATATCCCCAACTTCATCGTATTGGCGAAAAAAATAGAGTTCCGGTTTTTCCTGCCAACGAGAAGCCAAAGCCTCGATATTTCAATTTATAAAGCTTTTATTGGGAAAAATGAAAGTTTCTTGTCTCTTTTTCCGGTTTAATTCATAAACTAACAGCTTCAAAGTTAGGGAGAAAAGCAAAGATGCGGAAAAGAAAGAAAAAAAGAAAGCTTTTTCATGAGGAGACGTCATTAGGAACGAAGACTATTGCACTTCAAAACGTTAACCTTTTTCATTATCTTCCATTTATTTACCTACTCCAATTACGCTTGTGTGCTGAATTTCTGAATTAGAAGGACAAAAAATCGAGATGGAGACGCGGAGAAGAAGAAAGGGAGCAAGCTCATTTGTAGGAGGCGCCATTATTGAACGTTAATACTGAAGAAAAACAGCAAGCAAAATGAGGCTTGCATCTCGCACTCACATGCACAGCATAACGCAGAACCGAATTATGTGTGCTCTGTAAATTTTGCGCCAAGGCGGATGAAAAAGTGGCACGAGAGAGCAATGAAACTCATTTACTGGCGGCTCTTTCTGCGCAAAGAAGCACCAAACCCCCGACGTTTCTAATCAACGATTTTTTGTCTCTTCGTCGAAATTTTCCAACAAGTACTTGATAACCTAGCGAAAAAGGTCATTCCCTGCGAACTCTGTTGGAGTATCTCTTCTGAGCGTTTTACTAGGTTTATTCACGAAAAAGAGAACCGGAGAAAAATTTTGAAAAACAAGCGAAAAAATATTGCTTCTGAAAAAGCCTGGAAATGAAGAAACAGAGGGGAGCGCAACCAAAAAACCATAAACACGCAATAAGAGGACACGAAAACAGATGACATCGATCAATAATCTTGATCTGTTTACATGCATGAGCTACTTGAAAAAGTCGCTTTTCAAAAATGCAAAACGAAAAAAGAAAAACTTAAAAAATTCAAAATTGCAGTTAAGAAAAACATCGAAAAAACCGAAAAAATTTTGCGCTTCACTTCAATGTCCGAGTTGGTTCCAGGTTTGAAGCGTTCGGGAAGGTTGAAAAACAATTTCGAATTCCAAATCTAACACTCTCAAAAACAAGCAATGCACTCCGATCATCGAAAACTTCTCCATTTTCTTATGTTACCAAACCGGAAATGACCTGCTTGCTGATTGAAACAAGAGAAAAACATTTGAGAAAAAGCAGAACGAGAAAACTCAAGTTCAACACGTCCGAGGAGAGAAAGAGCTTTTTTTTTGTTCTTTCGTCAGAGAGCAGTTGCAGTTACAACGAATAAAAAAAAAGGAAGATCAGAAAAAGCTATTATTTTTGTTATTAAATATACAGACTCTGAAAATTTGAGATAGAAAGGTCGAAAAGATTCTGAGCGTTGTTTTTGAATCCAAAGAATACGTTTAATTTACACATTGGGCACAGCAGCTGTTGAAAATCACGGGTTCCGCTTTCCTTCAAACCTTCGAATCGGCTTGAAATAATACCTGGAAGGCTGTGAAAAAAAATCTGAGCGAAGAAAGCATGAGAAATGATTAATCACACGAAATACGACACGTGTTCATTAAAGCAATAAATTGGAAATATGGAACGAATTGATCTCAGAACGTGCTAAAATCGTGGACGCATGATCGGCGTGCACAACATGCAGAGTGGCGGCGATTTCGAGCAATTATCGAGCCATTTGAATGGACTTTGATGAAAAGGAAAGTAAAAATTTTCAAAATGTCTCAATGTAATGGTTTTTGAGGCTTTTCTATTTGGAATATGAATCCCAATAAAAAGGCATGTTCAAGACAGTGCTAGGGCGGCTGGTGGCCGGTCAATATTGCGCCTTCAGTTTCGGAGCTAGGACAATTTTTTAAACTTTTTCTTTTTTTGCAGTTTGTTAAGAGCTTATTTCTCGAGGTTACAAGGTAAGTTACATCACAAAAAGTACACAAGTTTTCATTTTATTATCCAAAAACCTAGCTTGATTACCGTAATACGACCGGCCGCCTTGAACATGTGTGTAAAAACAGGACCATACCTCAGCCAGTCGTTTAGAACATATGTACAGTCTAAATTGACCAAAAACCTTAAAAACCGAATGGAAATTTAGTGTGTTTTACCAGTATGACGGGTGAAAAAAAGTAAAAAGTAAATATGAAAAAAAGACATTGTTATGACAAGATTTTTTTCAGGATTTTTCGAAATTTTTTTAGTGGAAATAAATTTATAGATGAGATGATATTATATCGCGCAGCCGTTTCGGGTCCCAAAAACGGACGGCGTAGAGGGTGACCCATCGTCAGCATTTTACCCTCTTGCTTTAAATCAAAGACAGCCTAAATGAGAAAAATCAAAAATTTTCAATCTCAAAGCTTGGTTTTGAGGTTTCATGGATCTCCTGACATTCCTGATTCGGATGCAAAGAGGTCAGCGAAGTTGCTTTTTTTTCACAAGAGATAGGTTCAATATTTAAAAAAACAAACTTGAGATTAATCTGTAAGAAAAGAGATTTGAAATGCAAGAAATAATCTTATGGAAATTTTTTTCAAGTCAGCAAGGAAATATAATTTCTTTTTTTGTGTTTTGGAATTTTTTTGAAAATTCAGTCAGAATTCTCTTCAATGTACCAGAGAAATATCCTGAAAGTCTCAACCTTCTCAACTTTCTAGTTTTACAGTATGGATCTCAAAAACTCAGAGAAAACTCTTAAGATCTGTAAAAATAGTTGAACTGGAAGCTTTGAGCCCATATTTCTCAAGACCTAGAAAGTTCTGCAGGATGAGATGAGACTTTGAGGTTGATTTTATGATCCATCAATGAGCGTTATAGTCAGTTTTCAAAAAATTCTCAACCTTAAAGCAAAATGACCTTACTTGTAGATTTGGAAGTTATTACTTTATTAAAAATCTGAGCACGCATTTTTTATCGCAAATCTAAAGGCCACTCTCGAGCTGGTATTCATTCGAAATCAACGGGAAAATCCTCGTGAAACTAACATAATTTTGAAAATAGGTCGCATGATGAGTTGAAAATGAGCTGCTTAGACTCTCAGGGCTCGACTTATTTTTTTGTTATAGAAAAATGTAATTTACAAGGATAAAAGTTTGAAACCGGTTTTGAGTCTCCCAAAGCAATAAGAAAAATTTATGCAGAGCATCAAAAAGGTAGTTCTCTTTTTTTCTTTTCTTTCAGACAAGGTTCTCCATAACCCTCAGAAATTCAGATTACTTTCTTTTGAATAGACTTTTGAATTTGACAAAATTTTTTACAAGTTTCGTTGTTAGTGAGATTAGGCGCGCCGTAGCGCAACAGGTCGTGTGCCTGTCTACGGCTCACAGGGTCACAAGTTCGATCCCCGCCCCGACCCAACCAAGGGGTTTAAAGGCATAGGGGCAGTAAAAAACGGGGTTTCAGGTGAAAGCAGTATCTTATATAGTTTTTCTTTGCAACTCCAACGGTGTACTCAAAAAATCTACTGATGTGACTAATTTTGAAGAAAAACGCGATTTTACTTTCCCGCCTTTAATTTTGAAAAATGCTTTGGATCGGTCCACGGACAAATGTTTACAGTAGCCGTGCACGCGATGTTGCGGACGTCTCAATAGACTCGCATTTTGTGGGAAATAACCGGATGGCTTCTTCAAATTAAGGGTTTTTTCTCTGAAAAATCGATTAAGAAAACAGAAAACACACCGTGATAATGAAGAAAACACAAATAATCGTTATCCCAATCGAAACCTGTGTAAAATCATCATTTTTTACCAGAAAAGCATTTTTGCGATCAAAGTTTGCAAATTATACATGAATAAAAAGCTTTTGTGAAGAAAAGAACTTTGGTGACAAAAGAAAAAATTGAAAATTGAAAGAAAAGAAGAAAAAAGCGAAAATCCGGAATATGGCGAAGCCTGTTGTCCATAGAGCAACTTTACTGCAAAGCGCCCTTTCCGCGGGAACTCAAACTTTCCTCTCTCCGACTTTGAATTATTTTTTCTCCAAAACTAGAAAGTTTGGTACATTTCCAAGTTCACGGTTCGATTTGCAATGAAAAGCTCTTCAAAGTACTGCTTTGAACTGAAACACCGTTTTTTACTGCCCATATGCCTTTAAGAAATGTTGGTAGTGGGAAACCACGTCTTCATAATCCCCAGCCGTCCCACACAAGGACGGATAGGTCACTTGGTATAGATATCAGGATAGGACCTCGGCTAATCGACCTCGGGCGCCGACGCCGCTCAAGCGGTATAAAGGCGTAAGAAGAAGAAGAAGTCTTTTGCCGAAACTTTGTCAAAAATTTTGTGAGAGATATGAAGATAAAAAAATCCCATTAACATTCGATTATCAGAAAAATTACTGAAAAATGATGAAAGAAAACGAAAACGAAACTATTATGTATAACTTCTGCAGGCCCCTATTTGGTACTTTATGTCGTTCGACAAATCTTGTTTTGTACACTTTTTTAGGTCCAAATACCCAAAAAAGTTGGACTATACTTGGATTTGAACGATGTATAAAAGGAAATTTCAATTTAGGGTCGTGAATTTTTCGATATTTGGTTATAATATTCTTAGACGTTTGAAAAAATATTCTGAAAGTCAACGTGCTCAAGTTTACAGTTTTTTAGAAACTAGGGCTCCAAGCTCCGAAATAGCCTATTTCACGGATTTAAAGGGTTTTCGCTTTTTTTCAGGTGTTCTTTCTCAAAAACTAGGAAGTTGTGCGGATTTTCAGCATTCATAAAAATAGAAATACTTTTTTTCAAAAACACAATTTTATTTTATGTGCACTTGTTCAGTAATCTGATTGTTAGAATCATGTGAATACCGCACGATTGCTGGCAGCCAATTTGAAAAAAAAGCACACAGAAATTGGAGAAATCGAGACAAATTTGTGGCATTTGATGATGCCACTCTCAGCGGTCAAGCGCCGGTCGCGCCGGCTCACAGTTCTCTTTTTTCAGTTCTTGAAATTTATAAATTTGAGTTTTTTGATATTTTTCGAAGCTTCTCTTTGGATTCGAGAGAACAATTACTAAATAGAGGAGTTAGTTTTCAAAAAATACTTTGAACATAAAACAGCCTTTTCGATTAGATTTTATAAAACATCAACAATTGCTTGTTTATCGTAACAAACACCGTAGTTCTTGCGCTTCGCGAAATCAAAGTCTATAGCAAACATTTTGGAACAAGCCATACGTCATGTAAACTCCACTGTGTTCAGCAGTCAACCCAAGAACTCCAAAATACAGAGAAAAGTCAGTGACAAAATACTTTTTCCAGAACGCCATTTTTCACCGAGTTTCCTCAGCTAATCGAAGTTACAGACGGCAAGGTCAATGTTTCCATTAGTCACAACTTTTAAGAACCTTATTCAGAAAAATCTCAAGAAGAGATGATTTTCTTTCACGCTCCCAACATTTAGGATTACATTTCTTTCAAGTTAATAATTTTTTTAGAAACGATTCTGATTTGTAAAAGTTGGCTAGAAATTTCAGGAGAACATCCGTATTACTGATAATTTATTCCAACGTTCAAAAAAAAAAGTCTACGCCTTTTTTAAATGATATTTCAAATCTTGAACATGTCCTATTTTCCATTGAGTCATTCTTGTTTTTCCTCGACAAACCTTGTATACTTCTCCATTATTTTTGCCAAACACTCACTGTTTGAACAATCTTTCAAGAAAACCATTGCCCAACATTTTACGCGGACGAGCATGGGAACTCGGAAGAGATGAAAACCGTTCCCAGGCTCTAAATTTCGCGTCCATTCCGGCGGTTTGTTATTGCTCCCCCAAACATGCGATTCAAAAAATGTTGTTTTGCGCCTGTTTCTTCCATCTTTCCTCATCCAAAGCAGCTTTCGTCTCTCGCAGATGTCTTTGTCCGAGTAAACCACAAAATTTTACGGTCTCTTAGCTGAGCGCTCGGCGCCGTACGTAGCTCTTTTTGTCCTTTGAAAAGGTGCCCGTCCCCCTACAGCTTGCCATTCAGTGCCGGCCTTTTGATCTGGCATTCTCATTCTTCGCTCAACTTTCCTACTTCTTCTTTGTTTCTATTTCGCGCGCTTCGATTCTTCCAAACTTATTCCAAATTTCAGACTGCAATGAGGAGCCACAAACTTTCTCCTTCCCGCTTCATCATGACAAAGTTTTTCTTTCTAGCTTTCTCTGAACATAAGATAATTTCTGCAGAGCTTTCTTTGTCACTGTTTTCTTCCTTGGCTACCTGATGATCGGCGAGACGAAAGCCTACCCGAACGTCTTGGCTAAACGGAACTCGGAACCGATCAACCTGTCGGCAGATGGAGTTCTCGAGTGTCCCCACTGTACTGACATGCAAGTTTTTGAAGTGAGTGATCGAATATACTTTTAGTTCATGTGAGTTAAACGTTTCAGCGTCTCACGGGAATCAATCCCGAAGCAGTTTTCGCTCCACCGTGTACTGAGTCGGACCCTTCGAAGTATCCCAAGGTATGATTTTTATAATTGAAAAGTAGTGAAACACAATTTTTCAGATCTTCTGCTCCACGTGTCTCATTGTAGAGTACATTGTCGATGGGACCTATGGTTTGAACGGTCATCATTCAAAATAAGAAGCTTCGAATTTCCAGTTCACATGCATCGCGGCTGCAACGAGCAAATTCAAAACACTACTGCGGGACAGAAAGTCAGTCCTTTCGTGGATGATGTGTTCGATCCACGAGAGGCCTACAAAGTATCAAGATGGGACTCGAATCGTGAGTTTTTCACTTTTTCCTTAAACATGGAAATCATCTATAACTTTACAGATGACGACTGGATCTTCACCGTCTACCGAATGAAAAATGGGCATCCGAAGACTTTCTGCCAGGAAACGCCGGGAGAGTTCATCTGCGGGGACGTGCAGAGCGCTCCTGCCGTGCCACCGATGGCGGACCCTTTTGCTGACGACGTCTCCGAAGATTCATACGAAGTGATCGATCCTTGTGGAGCTGAACTCGACCCCAACGAGTTCCTCCTCTCCTCATGCTGATCAGTGTCAAAAGGACTAAAAAAGGCTGCGCTGATCTCTTTTTGTGCTTGTTTTGCCCCGGTTCATACTCTTGCCTTTGCCCCCGTGAACTTGCCTTTGTCCCCCCGTGAACTTGCCTCTTCACCCCGTTGTTTGTCGATACTGTCCCATTGAATTAATTTACTCGGCTTGTTCTTAACTTTTTGATCATTAGAAAATTCTTCTGAGTTTTAAATGCACAAAATCCCCATTACTCCAACCCCCCCCCCCTCACGCCTTCCTAAATCTGATTTCTGTTCTCGTGCATTCATCTTGAAGTCGTGCTCAATATTCCTACTTAATGCTTGTTTTTTTCTGCTTGAATAAAATTCAGAGAGCCGAACGTTTACAACAGCAAAAAAACAGCATGGCAGATAATACTCACATAACAATGCAACAGCAAGACTTTTTCTCTTCCTTCACTTCTGGAACCGGTGTGACGGCGACCTCTTGATAGACCGGGCGCCTGGAAAAATCAATTTAAATTCGAATTTGAGGCAGTGGAAGCTACGAAAATCGTAATGAACTCCTCGAAGTTCAAAAGAAAAAATATTATTAAAGTGGAAACAAGACTCACATTTCAACAGGAGTGCTCCTGTTGCTGTTATGAGGAACCCGTGCGTTTGAGCCCAAGAAGTACCGCTGGGTGATCGTGATTATGGAGCTCGTCGACGTCCAGCCGCTCGAAACGTTCGGGAAGTCGAGTTCAGCGCTTCTCAGGCTGAGACGTTCCTGTTTATTAGCCTCATTCGAGTCCGAGTTCGTAGCCGCGTCGCCCATTTCAAAGCCTCAAAAATACAGTTCAGCCGTATTCAGCGTAACTATTAAGGCGCGCAACGGAGAGAGGCGAATTCGATTTTGTGCAATCAATATCTCTGAGAAAGTTGGCTGGTAACGCTTTTCTGTCCAAATCAAATGATTCGTTCAGATTTATAAGTATTCAGAAATATTTGTTATTAGGAATTTTTTTAAATATGGAAATTTTTTTAAATTTAGACAAGATGAATAGAAATAAAAAAAAGAAGACGCGAAACAGCGAGCCGTGAGAAAAAAGAATGGACCGTTCACAAAAATGAGACGCCAACAGAGGGCGCAGAAAAGCGGAATAATGTGCTGAATCATAAAACCACGTGAGATGAGTCCTGAGATTGTCACGAAACAAAAAGATAACTTTTTTTCTCATTTTTGAATTTTGACAAGACTTATTAGTTCAATTCTTTGAATGGATGTGTAATATAATGGATAAATCTTCTTTTTTTTTGAGAAAGGAGGTTTGAGTATAAATATTGCGGCTCCATATTTTCTCATCTTATATAGAAAAAGAGGTTTAATGAAAAGAAGAGAAACTGAACAATTATGAATCAAAAAGCTTTTTTTAACAGAAATAACAAGATCACAATGCGAATAATCAATTTTTTTTTTGTTTCTAACTTTATATGAATCGATACCTCGTTGTTATGATTTACAAAGATTTCTGTTTTCTAAGAAAACAAGTGTTCAATATCGAAGACTGGGAAACCAAATGGGCTTGAAAAAAACATGGATTTCCACATACAGGCAAGCCCGTTGATCAGCGATGCGTCAGCTTCTACAACGATTCTTGGTCGATAAGTCCCATATGTTTCTATTTCATCAGATAGAGTGATATTATTGACAAACATTACTTTGTAAGTGTCCATGTTATGTTTCACATCTACAAAAAATTTTCAGTTTTGAAATTTCTTTGTCCGAGATGCTCCAAAAAAAAATTTACTATCTTCATTCAATTCTCTTGTCATTTCGATAATATCTGGATTCAAAACTCCATCTACCGCCAAAACATCGAATTTTAATTGAAAGTTAAACATATTTTTTGGACTTTCATGAAAGCCTACACAGCTTCTAAAAAGAGTCGAAAATTTTGATTTTGAACCTTTTACTGACAACTTAAACGATTTTGTTGATGAACATTTATTCGAAAAAATTCAAGCAACTATTTATTCTCTGAGATTTTTTTATTCAAAATAACTTTTTCGAGCGAATTTTGAGCGGACTTCATTGCGACTGGCTTCGCAACCGTTTCCAATGCACTGACGTTGGATTGCGTCTTCTGATGCCACTTTTCTGTTATAAACCAAGCCGAAAACGGCTCCGCTGTCTATGAACAATTTGGTCCAATTGAAAGTCCACGTATATTCCGATGTACGATAGTCCTGAACACAAAAAAAAGTTGAAAGCAATGACAATGGACTTCTCGAAGCTTATTGAGAAAAAAAGACCTGTGGAAAAGCATGATGATAGTTGTGACCTCCTTCCCCGACAGCAGTAACTGTTGTCCAAATATTCTCAACAGCAGAAATCTTCTGATCATATGGCTTCCAACCGACCCTGCAGCTCATTAGTTTTTACATCAATGTTCTTTATGAAGTTACCAATGAGAAACGCTATTCACACACCAAGTGACATTCAAAGTGAAACAGTAGCGGAAAATGGCTGCCGTATAAAACGCAATAAGTGCATTTTCGCCCCAAAGATAAACTGGAACTACTGTTGGTAGTATGAAGCAGAACAACAGAACCAGAGGGATGTAGTTTCTGAATTATTCTCTTGATATAATAAAATATCGCTTTGGTGCCAACTTTCTCTGGAAAATCAAGATCGGATCACTGTACAAGTCGGAAAGATCTAACTTTGCTCCTTTTTCTTTTACCTGAAAAACCTTTGATGAGATGATTCAAACCGAGTTTTATGTTTTCTTTCCACCACCTGCGGATGTTTTTTGAGCAATAACCAGCCGATGTGCGCAAAAAAATAGCCGCGGCTGGTGGAATGCGGGTCAGCGTCGGTGTCTGTCCATTTATGATGACATCTGTGGTCTCGCGCCCATTCGATTATGTCATTCTGTGAGCAAATCTTTCCGACCGAAATGTGTAGAAAAGAAACCTGAAGCGCAACATTATTCATCAACATCAGCAATAATCTCATTGGCCAGCGGGCTTTGTAAGACCTAAAAAACAGAGAAGAAGTAAAAAAAAAAGCGTTGTACGAATATCAAAATAAAAAAATTGGGTGAGTGGGTAACGAACAAAAAAGAAATATAGAAAAATGTAGAAGAAATAATAACACGACAATTTTTTTAAAAACTTCAGCGCGCTTTTTAAATAGTTCAATCTGATAAAAAAACGACTTCGAACGTAAAAACGGTTTTTGTATTAAGCAACAGCTTAACAATAACGCTGGAAAGTCGAATAGAGTCCAAAAAAAAGTTTGAAATAAAAGAAAATGCAAAAAGTTCATCGTCCTTGAGTCAAAAAAAAAGAACCTGTGGGACCAAAGTCGGTGAGCTCCAGCAGTGACTCCTACGCTGCCAACGACGTGAAGGTACAAAACTGCATAAAAACTTGTGAATTATTTTTCTCAATGTTTACCCCAGAAAACGGTGGTCCATTTAGCAGAGAGCAATAGTTGGTAAGCACCAATCAGAGCTCCAAAATGGAGGGCTGAGAAAAGGACGATGTTCCGGTACACATACTCCGGAGTGAAACTTATCTGCAGGTGAGTTTACTTCTAGAAAATTAGATATTATTTAGCAGAGTACTCACCGAATGACTTTCGACTTTCAACTTTTCGATTTCGTCCAGTTCAGGAGTCAAAAACTGACAGTTTTGCAGGTTTTCTGACTTCTTCGAGTTGGATTGGGGTTCCACCCGCACCGTCATCTTTTCCTATAATGCCAAAATGTAATAATCACAGCTTCGCGTGAGATGAGTACACTTCAAATGCAAAAAAAAAAAGGAAATTTTATGAAAACTCGACTCAAAAAGCTTCTTTATTTGAAAAATTGACAAACCACTTCCAATTTTTTTATTGAAAAAAATAGAAGGCATTAGGATCTCCTACTAGAAAATATTTCGCTGACAATAAATTGGAAGACTTCAAAATTTTTAATCTGCAACCAAGTCCTTGAATAAGAGGCAAAAAATTGTGCAATGGTATTTGTTTTTCTTTTTCACGGGGGTCTATAGAGTGCGATCGCTCAAAGTTTTACCCATTGTCTGCGTCTCTTGACTTTCTTTGCTGATTTTTTCTTCAATTTTAGGGTTTTTAGTACTTTTTTTTGCTCCTATCGGAGACAAGCTTCGATAATAAAATAAAAGAAACTGAGCGCTTGATTTAATTTTTGAAAGTGCATTGAAGATTTGATCTTTTATACGCATCTTCAAGATTTATCTTTGGCGGTTACGACAAATAAAAAATAGTTTTCCTTTTTCAGACACTTTTTATTCAGATCGCTCCATTCAATTCAATCCAAATAGTCATGGGCACAGTATTTATTCTGGAAAAAAGCCATTTTTATCGGTAGATCTGAAGCCAGTTTGCAGAACAACTAGCCAAGTATTGTGGACTAGGGTTCGAGGCGTTTGGCCTAGTTTGGATGCTGGATCAAGAGGCGTTGGCGCGCAATAACGCATAATTCATAGTAGCCATGATTCTCTTCCCTTTTATCTTTTTAACTATTCTATTGCCCTCAGTTTTCGCTTTGAAACCCAAACCGTCACTTCTGAAGAAAAACGTCGAGAACAGTGTGACGTGCGATTTTTCAATTCATAGGGCCGGGCCTCATGGACCTGTTATTTCTGGTGAGTTTTGAAACTAATTTGCGAACGGGATACTGTGTCGTTCTTGAAATCTAGACGAAGCTTTTATTATGAATTCTGACCTGCTTCTGAATCAGAAATTTCAAGTATCAGATTGTAAAGAGTTGATCTATCAGTCAAAATTCGATTTCCGTTCTAAAAACAACTAAATACATACATTTAATGTCTCAATTAACAAGAAAATGAAAAAAAAATTCTTATTTTTCCCTAAATAAATCATTAAGGTTATTTCAACAAAGTTATCTTTATTGGGCTCAGATTCAAAATAAAATTTGTTTCTGCAGGGACATCGCTAGATGACGAGCTTTACTATAAAATCTCTTGCAAGCCTCTGGCGGGCCATTGTTTGCAAGTGATCAACTGCACACTGAGCTCTGATGAGCCTGGATTCAGACCATTTCCCATTATCGACGACAACGGATGCAGTTTGGATGATTCGCTCTACAAAAATGTTCAGGTTGGTATTTTTGAAAATAGGCCTTCTAGTTCAACATGATTGGATATCAAATGTAATTGTTTTAAAAAACTTGATGCTTCCACTAAGAACTCTGGTTATTTTTTGTAAACCTGAATTTTCGATTGATTCCAGTACCGAACTGACTTCGAAGCTGGCATCTACAACCCCTATCCTATCCGGTTCCGCACGACGTCTTCAAAATCCGTCGTGCTCTTCTGTGTTACGAGCGTCGTCCCGCTAGAAGACAATGTTTGCACACGACGTTCATGCCAATAAGTGGGCACGTCTTCTTAAAATTTGAACCACTTTTCGGTTTTACTGAATAAACCTTGAAATTCCTTGCCTTCTTCATCCTTGAGTGTTCTAGAAAGGCGAACAATTTGGAGAACACGCGATCCGAAAACGGTTGCGCTGGTGAATATTCAAATAATATTTCCGACTAACTGGTTTGCCGCCGCTTCAACAAAACGCCTGTATAGCAGTCATATCGTCAATTTTTTTATCGAGATTTTTCAGAACCGTTGGAATTTGAGGTAGAAAGAAAAAAATGATTTTTCTGGATATTAAAATTCTTTTTTTGTCGATTGTTGTTTCGCTTCTTTTCGTGGCAACTTTCAATGGATTTTTTTATTGAAGAATTGAAGAAGTTTTAACTTATCTTCAATTGCAAGAAAGAAACGTTTAACGGTAACGAGAGGCAAAAAAATAAACCTCGTAAAAGGTCTAAAAAACACCAGCTTCAAGGTCCTCGAAGCTTTTTTCCATTTTTTTTTGAACAGGCTTTTGGTCTTTTTTTGCCAACTTTTTTGGAGAAGATTTAAAAGTTCTTAAAGGTTTGCTTAATTTTGATAGGATTCCAGAGACTTCTAAAAAAAATTAATTAGCGCAGATCTAGGCTAGTATTAATAAGCCCTTGAGGCCTATCGCGGGTTTTTGAATCGAATTCCTTTCAAATCAATGACCTTCTGCTCTTCACACCTCTCCCAATCCACTACTCACTCCAGTGTGATCTTTTTATCATTCAATCAGTGGGAACCTCAGCTTGAAAAAGAAAAAAAGAACAGTTAGTGGGATAAATGTGCGCGAAATAATGGAGACATGACTAGTGATGGCCGGTTCTGGAACTGTCTTCTTGTCTGACAGGCGCTCCCTCACGCCTGAACTATTTCCGCTCTTCGCGCAACTTGTCCCACATCTACATTTATCCTCCCAAAGGCCGCTGAAACCGCTCTACTGTACTTCGGAGACTTTTTCAAAATCTCAATTGCCCATTTTTTTCACAGTTGTTTTTGAAATTTGTAGGGGTTTAGAAGGTATCGGGGATTAAATTTTTCATTTTTGCTCGCTTGGAAAAAAATCATTTTTTTATGAAATTCTTATCAGACTTTTTTTCAGACTTCTCTATTTGATTTTTTTTAAAGTGTGATTCGAATTTTTGCTGGACAACAATGAAATCTCCTTAAAGAACTAGAAAGTTTTTTTCAAGTTTCAAGAACTAAATCAAATTCTGTAAGGAGCTAAATACAGCCTTCAAAAAGGTCTCAGGCTAAAGACAACCTTCAAAAACGAGTCGAATGGACTATTCAAAAAACTTTAGCCTTTATCACTGGTAAACGAAAAAGGGAGAAGTCTCGAGAGTTTTTTTTTATCAAATCTTGTTTAGAATCTTCCCTATCATTCTTATAAGGTACCTTCATGCATTTTGGGCTATAAAAAGTTCGGATCGATCTAATTTTCATACCTCCAGAACATTTTAAAATTACTGATAAACTTCGTATTTCATTGTGAATAATCATCTGACAACCTCGAACATCAAAAACTAGCAAAAATCCTTTTTGTAGAGTAGGAAGCAACGCGGGCAATTAGCGTCTAGGGGAGAGTTTTGTGATTGTTGTTTCGAGCGTCCCAAAACTAGCACCAGGCGATTGTTTCATGCGGAGAAAGCCGTTGCGTAATCCAGTCAGAGAATCGACCTCGAAGATTCGATCCAAACGCAACGCTTATCAAGTTGAGTCATTCTTATGATATCATTTTGTTAACGATTTCTATCATCTTCCCGATCAGGCCTAATTCAAATTCTCATTTTGTTTCAATCAAGTTCTTGAGACGTAAGTAGTTTTTAGAACCGCTGTTTTATTTAACGCTTGTCGCTTCATTTTTTTTGAGAATTGTGAAAAAAAATTTTTTCGCATTAGAAACTGTAGAATCATATAAATTAGTTTTCATCTTGATTTTTGCGATTTACTCTCTTTCGATTTAGTTTTGAAATTTGAAATAATTATTTCGATGCGTTCACTTCATGGGATATCAACTTCCTTGAATTCTATCATCATTCCAATGACTTATCACGGTTTTTCTTTTTTTTTATGTTTTTCCAAAAAAGTTTCCGGTGAAAATCGATGAAAACCCAGCTTGGAGGTCTTAAATTCATTTCGAATATTTTCAAGGTTTTGGGCGTTTTTTATTGATAAGATCATGAAATACTGTAATATTGCAAGGTAGAAGTTAGTTGAAGCGCGAAGGGTAAAAAAGTTTGCTAAAGATTTTTTTGAAGAAATAGAAAATTCAGATTATTTCATTTTCCGTTCATTGAAATTTTTATAAATTTTTATCTCTTGGATGTAGCAATTCATTTGCTGACCTTCTTTTTTTATGGTTTGTCGCGATTCTTTACCAATTGAGGACACTGGAAAGTTAACATTTGGAGAGAAAGGTGATTTGAGATCAGCTATTTTTAGCATGAAAGTAAACGGTTTCGCTCCTCCAAAACGTTTCTTCGAATTGAAAATGTTTTCTTTTTGTGTAACCTATGAAAGCTTTTCGGTTCGTGTTGCTGATGGACTTTTCTCGATGTTTTCTTAACTTTCATTTCTGACCGGTCATCGTTCTCGCTTTCTGTAAACGTTTGTGACTACAGATTTTTAGATTTCAGATTTATGAGGTACCTCTTTCTGCTCACCTTTTTAGTAGTACCTTCCTCCTCAGCAGCCGAGAGGGTGAAACGGCAACGTGAGTTAAATTCTGATAGTTATTGGAAGTTTTTCAATTTTTTGATTTACTCAATGGAGACTACGGACTTTCAAACATCTGTCTTTTTGAGATTTGAGACCAAAAAAATACCAAGATTAAAATGGAAAAAGGAAAAAAAGTTTTTCAGTATCGATCGATGATTTGATATCCGGAGCACTGAGTCTGGTTCGACCGATATTCGACACTTCTAAGCCGATACAAAATGACTTCATGTTGAAAAAACCAGTAAATTTTTGCTTTAAACTATCAAGATAAACTCAAATTTCTGCAACTAGAACTTCAGGACGCTCCAACGCAAGACGATATGAGAGACACGTCGATTTTGGGATCGCGTGGTCTTACGGCGCTGGACGACTTGCCGCTTTGCAAAGGCAATAGCGGGTAAACCATCGAGATCAATCTTTCCCAACTACTTCGTTCAGAATATGTCGATTCATCTCTTGTTCGGCTGAGAACTTCAAAAAAGATCCAACTTTCGGTAACATCCAATTGGCAGCGCAAGTTTTGGGCGACGCCAAATTGCGTAAAGCGATCAGTGGGTGCGTTTCTGTAATCATTTTACCGATAGATTCAAGTCATTTCACTTAGAACTGGGTAACTCAATAAAACTAGATTAATGAATTAACTCACTGAACTTTAATTTCGAGTTCTCAAACCGCCTTTTTTTGATATTTTTGCTATTTTGAGAAGATATTTTTTCAGAAAGTTATCGAGCATATGTCAAGCTCTAAACACAGTTTCTAGGGATTCAATAGAGAAAAAAATTATATTTATAAGAAAAAAACCTTCTTATAAGTTTTTTTATTTGAGTTTTTTTGGTTTAACAGTGATGCTGACAATTATATATGAAATATTATCGAATATTGAATCAATCAATTATTCAAGAAATCCGGAGACAGTGGCCGCCGTGTGCAAAGAACAAGGAATGGACGACGCCCAGTGCAAACTTTTCTCCAAAGGCTTCCAGTTCATTGATAAGCGAGAAAACTCTTGAGCGATCCTAGTTTGACTTGGAAATTTTCAGATTCATCACAACTATCGAAAAGCCATCAGATGGATCCACGAAACCGGAAAACAAACCATTAGTTGCAACGACGACCCCGACTGTTCCCGAGGCTCCTCTAATGGATGAGCCTATGACGAAAATGACTGTTGGAGATTCACCGGTATTCTTTGAAAGTTTTCATGTTTTTTTTCTGAAATTCTGATTGCAGAGCTGGAGTGATTATGATATGCTTCCGCCGGCGTCACCGGCAGCTCCTGGAAGCTCTAACTCGAAATCTCTGGGTTCAAAGACCTGGAGCACCAATCCGGAGACAAGTCTCTTTCTGGTGTACGTTTAGAAAAAAAATTGATGAATTTTCAGGACCACTCCAACCTCTGGAAATCCGGAACGATCTCGTTTCAAGCTGGACGCCAGTCCCATTATTCGCACCTCCAACTGTTCCTCCAACTCCTCCTTTGGCTTTCAAAATGGTCCCATCTCTAATAATGCCTCCCATTCAACTCCCTTCTTTGGAGAATGGCATTTTCTTCTCAACTGACAAATTTCCTTTCAGTATCAAGGTGAGAGAATATTACATTCTGTACAAATTTAAGCAAGAGCTCATGAGATCTTAAAATGGAAAATCAGTTCATTCATATTCGTCACAGGAAGACAATTCGATAAGACGCTTGAGACGCGGAGCTGACTACTACGACCAACTGGAAACTTCTTCGAAAGGTAGTCCGAGTTTTTGTCTAAGAACAAGAATTTCAGTCATTCGAAAATGTTTGGTTCGCTTGATGGAAAACTTATTTTTCAAAAAGTTCAAAGAAATACTTGGGTTTATTATTTTCCGTGTATAAAAAACTTCAGTTTTTTCTCGGTGTAATGCCAAATAATCCTGATTTATTTCAGCATCAAAAAAGTCTTCAAAGATGACTGAGACTGGAGACGACTACTACGGCGGACTGGAGCAAGAAAGCGCGGAAGACAAAAATGGCGAGAAATCAGGCGTTTTGAAACAATGCGTTCACCTACTCGGACTTGGAGTTTGAAAACTTCTAAAGACTAAAATTCCATCCACAACAAGCGGAAGTTTTTTTAGAATAAAGTATAACATGTATTGTCCTTTTCTCGGTCACTTTTTCTTTTAAAACTCATGTTATCCATTTCTAAGCGGGTTGTTTTTCAATGTAAATGAATTTTTCGATCAATATTTATTCAAAATCAACACAAAACTTAATCAATCATAGAAACAACATGAAGAAATACAAAGGAAATAATGAATAAACAGTGATAAATGAAAATAACACGAATAGAAAGAATAAACGACTACACCACAGACTCGACGGTCGCAACACTGATGTTGTTCACTTCTTCGAGTTCGATATCGCCTACTTCGTGAACGTCTGGAGAGGGATTGATGAGCCGACATACAATGCAAGCTCGCAGAAAAAGAGCTGGAACACCTGAAATTGCTCTGTCCATGGTGAGAAAGTGTGTGACAAAGAAACTCACAGAATATCACGGATATCAGATAAGCTCGGTAAGACTCATATGTCAATAGAAGAACGATGATACCAGCGCTTCCGTGAAGAACGAGAGCTTGTTGCGCGATTCTATTCAGATCTGAACGTTAATAATAATGGGATCTGAGAAAAATGAAAATTTCAAACCAGGATGGTAAATGGCAAAAAACATGCAGAACTGGAAAAATAACATCGGGGCGAAGTAGAGCAAGATGGTGACCGACACCTTAAAATGCTAGTTGAAACATCAAAAGTTTTTTCCTTGAGATGGAAAAAAGTTTTTCGCGCATTCCTTAGTTTTCAAATTTTTTTTTTGATTTCATGAATTGTCAGAATGGGTCCTTCAAACTTTTTCAAAACCGAACCTGTGCTGCCGTTCGGTAGACTAAACGCTGCAATCTTTCGGTCATTTCCTGGTTCAGTCTTGAGCTCCACAGAGCTATTTCTCTGTTATAGTGCATCAAGAGCACTGCCACTTGAATTATGATGGCCAAACTTGCGCTGAAACCCGCGACAGCGAACAACTTCTCACTGAGCGTTGCCTTGCCGAGCTTATCCATGTCAATTTCGATCATGGTGCAGTTGGCGTCCTGAAAAAATTATATGAAAACGGGTGTCATTTTCATTAAGATTCTAAGAATTTGTAGGGCGCACTTTGGGTTTTCGTAAAAGTTTCGTCCAATAATGTTCTGAATGTCTTCTTTTCTGTTTCTGAATGTTTTTCATAACGACGTTTCGAAGGGCTTTTCGAAAACATATTTGGGAGATAGAAATATTTAAATTGGTGGAAACTTTCTCAGATCTGACAATCATGAACAAATCAAAAACTCACTTCTGTTATAACGCTCTCGCCCGATAAACTTTCGTGATCCAAGATGACCGGAACGGCAAAAAGGAGAGCAATGATAAACTGAGAGTTCAGCACGTAGAACTTCTTTTTCTCATCGAAAAGCCAAGCCTCACAATTCACCATCATTTGGCTCGTGTAGCGGGAGTGAAAGAAGTGTAAAAGCATCACGCAACCCACTGAACAAGTTGTTATTTCTAACGCTTTTGACAGAAGGAAATAGATTAATTTTATGAACATATATTTTGCTCTTCTTTTTTTTGAGTTTTTTTTCAGAAAAAAAATTCATCATAAAATGATAAAATGGCAAAAAAGTCACCTGGTCCAACCACAGAGCCCAAGGCCCAATCGATATGCAAAGAAGCACCGCAAAACCTCAAAATCCCCATCGAAAAGCCGATCGAAGATTCGTGGTAAAACACAGGTGTTGAAAAAATTTGTGTGTTCATCAAGAGATACCTGAAAAGTTTAATTTGCACAAGGATTTTAGTTTAAGTGTGTTGGAGACCTCGGTATCTAGAAAAAATTCAAAACTCACGCAACAAGACAGAAGTACAAGTATCTCTTCGATTTGTCATCAGTTTGGCTCTCCGAATGAAAAAACACACTCCAGACGGCAAAGAAAAACAGTATGATATTGAGAATAAAGGGGACGTAGAACCATAAATTGTGCAAAATAGAGCAGTCCATTTGAATTATAGAAGGAAAATTGAATGGAGCGGAGACTTTTCTGATCAGCAAGAAAGAATAAGAAGAACCCGAGCTGTCGGAGTTTTCTCGTAGGATCGATTGCCGTTCGAGTTATGGGACCTCGACCGCGCACAATATCGACCCGAAAGAAGTAGATCAAAATTTTGTTTGTCTGTCCTAATATCCATGGACGACTTGTTAGTCTGTTTTTGCTAAAAAAAAAGTTTGCGAGTAGAAAAAAAATATGATAAAATGAAAAGTTTGTTTGAACAATTGCATGATATCTTCATCATTTAAATTGAAACATGAGAAAATGAGACGGAAGCTCATATCGTCCAATGAAAGTAGCATTTCACCCTGTTAACAGCGGAGAGCCCAAGTTCAACATAAGTAAGCCACCAGAATAACTTTTCTTGCCAACTTTTTCAGTGGAATTTGCTTTAAAAAACTTGTGAAAATTTTTTTTTTGATCGAATTGCAGTTGCTGTTTGCTCACATTTCTAACCGTTTTGTTTACCGAAAAACGCCCTCTGTTTTGATTGATTTGATTTTTTTTCCAGTTATCGGACGGGTTCATCTTTACATCCTTTTTTTTCACCAGAACTCATTCCTCAATCGAGCAAAATTATTGCCTACAAAGCTTATTGCTCACTTCTTAAATTTTTTTGGAAGGTTGAAATTTTTAGCACTGCCAGCAGTAGAATTTCCAACCATTTCCGTTCCAGAACTTTTCGACTTAAGGAACTGCCATAAAAGAATTTCAAAATGGTTTTTTGGGCATAACTTCTCTTAAAATGGTCCGAATGTCTTAACACTAAGAAAAATTTTGGAATTATCAGTTTTTCGTGTTTGATAACAACTTTGAAAAACAAGTCGTCCATTTTGCGTTACAAAAACAATACTTTCTACGGATCAACTAACACTTTTTGATGGTCCTTAATAACTTCCTTCCAGAAATTTTTTTGGAAGCCATCTTGAAATCATTTGGCCACTGTGAAGTTTCTGAAACTCTCGTTTTGATTTTATCAATATTTTATTTTGTAAACGTAAGTTCAAAGTTTTCAGGATCTTTTTGTTCTGACCGAAAAAATTGACTACGGGCCAAGTTACGATTCTTTGAAGTTTTCCTCAAAAAATGACAGTCCACAATGAGAGCCTTAGTAAAATATACAGTTCCGTTAAAAACAAAAAAAAAACGGATTTGGTCATAAATATCTTGTATGAAAACTTTCTGAAACTTTCTGGAGCTGTGATGACTGTTATTTGGAATACTCTGGAATTTTAGCCCGCAGAATAAAAAACCGCAACTTTAGAGAGTTAAAGAAAGATTGAGCTTCATACAAGGAAATTGTAAGTAAAATAATTCTTCAAATTTTTCCGACGGTACTGAATGTAATTGAAAAAAGAATCAAAGCTTCAGGTCTGCTTATTCATTATCTCATCAGTAATTTTGGCACGTGAAGATTCCAGTTGAAATTACATTGATCCTGATAATGAAGAAATATTTTTTTCTCTCTCTGGCTTTTCTTCAACTTCTCAGTATCATCTCTTTTCATAATCCTTTTTTTGGAGATTATAAAAACATTGAAAACCACATTTATTCAGGGTAATTAAAATAATCAAAAATAGCAAAGAAATAAGGGCATACGATGAAAAATAAATAGACAGTAGTAATTGAAAAATAACAATTAAGAATAAATCAAATTTAATTTTCAGAGGGCAAGTAATGAACGACTACACAAATGACTTGGCAGTAGCTGAACTGTCGTTGCTGATTCACCTTCGCTCAGTTGCAACGTTTTCGATTCGGTTGGATCGGAATCCTCTTTTTAGAACGGCAATCAAAGCTCCAATTGGGCTGAACAGGCACATGAAGGGCGACCCAATAGGTTTCAGGATATCTGAAAGTCGGAAAATTCGTCGGTGATAAAAGAAAAAGAAACTCACGGGTATAGACGATTATCGAGTAGTTATGAGCGAAAAGGAAGGAAATCATGCCAACAGTTCCATGAAACAATTGAATCCAAAACGCAATATTGTTCAATTCTGTAAATAATCTGGTAATCAAAAGCGATGAGAAAATGTTATGACCAGGTTTGTAGATTGAAAAGAACGAGCAGAGCTGGAGAAATAACATCGGTATGAAAAAGAAAACCACGTCACCCAGCATCTAGAAAATGATGATGAAAATATTTGTTTGAGTTTTTACGTTTTATTCCATTGCCAATTTTTTCAAACTAGATTATTCATGAGTATCCTTTTTAATTCACAATTTTTTTATATAAAATAGTTGCAATCAACTTTAATATGTCAAAACACTCAATTCATCCATTTACAAATTTATTTCATTTTTGCTATAATTTTGGGAGAATCTTGAAGCCCAACAAATAAATAGTTCCCAGAAAAAAATTCGTTCGAACCTGCACCGCGGAGTAATAAAGTTGCTTCTTTCTGAATGCCGCAGACACCGGCATTTCAGTAGCATTATGCATAGCTCGGGTACGGTACATGCGTATCCAGATATATATCATGTTTATTAAGTAGATGTCCGAGGCAAGGAATTCGCCAACAGCAAACGTCGAGCTGTAGTGCGACGGTTCTTCGAGCATTTTCACGTAAACTCCCATTGGCTTCAGAAAGGCTCCCTGGAAGTTGCTTGAAAATGATTCTCCTATTCATATTCGAGAGAAATCTACAGTAATAAATGTATGAACAAAACAAATACCATTTCAGATACCTTTTTTTCAGCTCATTTCCAAACATTCAACAAACTTACTTCACTTGTACCGTTTCGACACGATTCCAAAAAAAAATTAACGGTCACAGGAGCCGCCAAGAGGATAGAGAGAAGAAACAGAGAGCCGTACATCAAGATATATTCATTTTTTTTCTCCATCCTCATTTCCTCGCCCACTAGCGAGGCTTTCACGTACTTACTACGGTAGTAGCCAATAAGCAACATGCAACCACCTGAACTTCAAGATTAATCTCAATCCGCTACGAGGAGCGAGAAAAAAAGTTGGAAAAAATGAACATTAAGTCACCTGGTCTTATCAAGTAACCTAAAAGCCAATCGATGTGCAGAGGGACGCCGAAAACCCTCAGAAGCCCCATCGAAAAGTCGATCGAAGATTCATGGTAAAATATAGGTGCTGAGAATATTCTTGGCGCAAGATCCATCATGAGGTATCTGGAATTCATTCAGCTTATATAATTGTAGGAGAGTGAAATTAAATTTCAAATGATAATCTAAAAATTTTTCTAAAGTTTCAAAGCCCAAAATTTTTTGTGATATTAGTTCTTCTATTTCAGTTGAGAACTTCGCCAACTTTCAAAAAATTTACAGATTTTATAAAAGTACTCACCCAAAAAGACAACGATACATATTTGTTTTCAGCGTAGCATTCAAAGTAGAGAGCGTGTGACATTTCATGCACCAGATGGAAAGGAAGAACGTCGCCAAACTGAGAGCGGTTAGACCGTAGAAAGAATTAAAAAACAAGGAGTTTTGCATCCCTAAAATCGTAGTGAAGAATTAAATATTATTTCGCGAAAAATATAGCAGAAAGGTGTCGACAGAACCACAATGACCAAAAGTGCGTTGTGAATATAGGTCCTCGACCACGCCATCGCGGGTTTTCGCGCGCATCAACCGAGGAGAAGGAGGTAGATCAAAAATTTGTAGGCCTGTTCTATCAATAGTAATGGACTCCACGTGAGTCATTTTTTGTTGAAAAAAAAATTCGAGAAAGCATAACTTCACTGTTTTTTATTACTTCTTAATCGATTTAAAGAAAAAAAAAAACTAAAAAAAGTTCAGTAAATCAATTTAAACAAAAGTTTGTAGGTCTGCCCTATAAGGAAATATCGACGATATCGACGTGTGTCTCAGTCTGCTAAGAAAACGGCAATTAACAAAAAAAGGAAAAACATCTTTGTTCAATAGTTATCTTGCTCATAAAAGGTTTAACGTTACAAAGATAAGCGATATAATTTATATACCAACCTTATTACAATCAACATTAAGCGTGAATAAACCTGAAGTTTAAAATTTTCGTCTTGGGCAGGGTTTATAGATAATGGCAGAAAAGTTCACAACTGGTGAATTTTCAAGATATAACAAAAACTCAATATCGAAGATCTGAAATAAAAGAAACATTTTTTTACAATCTTTTCCTCCAGTCGTTTTCACAGATCAGTTGTTAGCTTTATTTGATTGTTTTGATGTTTTATTTTTCGTATTGTCATGCAGATTGCGGAATGGCGAATAAAATTTGAAATGAAAAAAAAAAATGAAATGAATTCTCTCAAAGAGCGAAAATGACTGAAATTTCAAACAGTACTCTGGATTTTTGAAATTTAACATTTATTCCGTCTTTAAACTAATGTTGCTGTGTCTGCTGATTTACGGATTATTTAAAAAGATATTTGTCAGTTCACGCAACTGTCGCTCATCTTTCACCAAGAACGGCTTGTAGATCATCTCGCCAACGGGGTCTCAATCGTCCAACTTCACGCGTTTTTACCCATTTCACGATTTCCTAGGCCGAAGTGTCTTCTTCCGTAGTAATTTTCTTTGCGAAAAGCTATTTTTTTTTTCATAGCTTGTGATAGAACTTGGTGCAATTTTCTTTTTCTATCGAGCAATACTCATTTGAGCATTCAATGCACCACTTTTCGCTGTGCCGTTGCCAGAAGGTCCTTCTATTTCTTCTTTGGAGTCCTAGTTTTAAACTCAAAAAGACATTTTCTTACTTTTTTTGAATTATATGAATTATTTGTTCAGCGGAGATTTTTTTAGATGCGGCGAGAGAAATTGAATGATAAATTAAAAACACTCCAATTTTTGACCCTCCATAATAATTATAAGGCAAAAATTTTGGTAAAAAAACAATATAATTTCTGAAATCTTGCCTTTTAAAAATTCCTCTTGAATTTCGCAAAGTTCCGTAAAAAAACGTTTATCCAAACACAGTACGCAACATATACAAATATAATAACAAAATAAGGGAACAAAATTGATTCAAAAATAACAAAATGAAAAACCGACTTTCGTAAAAAAAGCAGTCATGAGAAAAAGGAAATAAATTTTTTAAAAAGGTTGTTACGTCTCGAACCCGGTTGGATCGGAATTTAGTGAGCAGTCTCTTGAAACACGCTTGGAGCCGGTGGGAGAGACTTATGTAAAGCGCTCGAAAAGGTTCGAGAAACACTGAAAATGTGATAATATTTGGTTTTGAATCTTTTCTACAACTAAGAGCTTTGATCAGGAAACTCAGATTGATGTGCCTTTTTATTTACATCGTCGGAAAATTAAACGGAATAATCAAGGGAAGTTTTATTACAACCTCCAAAAATATGGAAAGGCGGAAAATATTAATTTTTTTCAAACTGCTTTTTTTCTCTACCGAAAATCAAGTATATTTTATTATTAAACAATATAATACAAAACAATAAAAATCTAAAAAAAAGTCCAGATCTTTAGCAAAGTAATAATTCTCGCCCAAGTCCAACATGTTTTTTGAATGAAAAACGTACGTGAGTTGAGTTTTCGCTGGTAGAGTTGATGTGATAGAAAGACCAGAGGGGCGACGACAGCTTGGACTAACAGTATGCTTTTAGCGATAACACTCCAATCTGAAACAATAAGATTAAAAAAAATTAAAAAAATGCCGAACTAAATGTGTGAGCTTCGCGTAGAGATAGGTTGAACAGGGAAATCGGTAGAAAGTAAAAAGAGGCTGTTTGGAATACCTTAAAAAAATTTTCAGGATTAGAAAGTGTTATTGAGGAGAAGAAGATATTTTTTGTTGAAATGCCATTTTCAGATTGTTAAGAACTCTAAAAACTATTCCGACTAACAAATCGATAGCTTTTTAACAACGTTCAATCTTTACCTGCACTGTGGTCAAACGAATAAAGTCCGATTCAGAAATCTGGTTTTCGTGTTCTCCAATTGCTCCACTTGACAATAATTCGTGGTAGTTCAACACCAAAAACAGTGCAAATTGTATTGAAACGAGGGCGATTCCAAAGAAGCAGACAGCGAAGAACACTTGGTGATAGAAAGACGGATGAAATTTCTCCACTTCACCATCAATTAGTATAACTGTGTTTTCCTGGAAATGATTCATTCAAAAAAGTTTAGAATTGATAAAGCTGATTGAACTTACTTCTACTTCGCCAAAAACCACGGAGTTTCTGAAAAGTGCAGAAAGCCCGAAAATGACCATGAAGATAATCTCATAGCCGACCACCAAAAACATGTGGTTTTTCCTGTTCAAGCACACTCTCACATTTTGTTCGCACATCGACTTGAATAAAGACCAATACAACCAGGTAAATCCCACGGCAGCTCCTGTAAATAGTTGTCTTGGGGATGAGTCGGATGAAATTCTTGATTTCGTGTTCCTAGTTCCTAGGCTACGTGTGGAAAAATGTTCTCTCGCCAGAAACAGTCTCGTTTCTGTGGATAGTTGTTTTTGTCGAATTAACTTTAACGTATGTTTTTCAAGAACAAGACATAGTTATAATTTTAAAAAAACACAAGAATGAACAAAATAAAGGAACCTGGACCGATAATAGCACCTGCACACCATCCGAGATACTCAAAAATACCCAGATTCCCAATCGAAAAGCCTTTCGAAGCTTCGTGGTAAAAAATCGTAGTTGTAAAAAGTTCAGGCGCTAGATCCATCACAAAAAACCTGAAAAACTTGATGAGCTTGTATAGTTCATCACGTTTAATAATGTTATGAATCTGCTCAAATTTTTGGGAAATTCAATTTTTCATCTGAACCCATTCGGCCCAAAATCATACGTGGCTAATTTCAAAAAAAATTTTTGCAAGAAAAAACTCACGCCAAGAGAGTGGTGTAGAGGTATCTCTTGGTATCTCTGCTATCGTACATTTTCAATTTACGCACAACCATGATTGAAACAATAAGCGACGCCGAACTGACAAAATAGGGAATAACGCACTCAATCAGTAATATCAAGATCATTTCAGAATCAAAATGTGAGCAGGATGAAATACGTCTTTCAGCTAGGATTTGGGTAACAAACGTCGATACAACCTGAATGACCAAAAGTGCGTTGTGAATATAGGTCTTCGACCACGCTATTGCGGGTTTTCGCGCGCACAAACCGACGAGAAGGAGGTAGATCAAAAATTTGTAGGCCTGTTCCCATAGTGATGGACTCCACGTGAGTCATTTTTTGTTGAAAAAAAAATTTGGGAAAAAACATAACTTAACTGTTTTTTTATTATTTCCTAATCGGTTTGAAAAAAAAACTTTAAAAAAAGTGTTTTTCACATATTTACGAGTTAGAGGAAAATATAACGTCGCCGGAAGATGATGTCATTAATTGGTTTACGTAATAATGTTTTTGAAATATTTGGGGTTGAATGTTTGTTGCAAAGACGTCGAATACATCACTAAGAATAACTGCCGAGATAAACGCGAGACACTGGCGGTACATTGACGAGCTCGCAAACATCTCGCTTTTTTTCTCGCGCCGGTCTCGCATTTTTCTGGGCGCCAGCTCGCACTTTTCTAGGCGCGAGCTCGCATTTCTCTCGCAATTTGAAAATTTCCGAAATGCAAGATAAATGCGAGGTCGCGCCGAGAAAAATGCGAGGTCGCGCCGAGAAAAATGCGAGATCGCGCCTAGAAAAAAGCGACATTTTTGCGAGTTCGTCAATGTACTGCCACCGACCTCGCGTTTATCTCGTCAGTTATTCTAAGTGATGTTATACCATCCATACAGAACAATATAAACTTGCTCTCACCAATCCAAATGATTTTTTACCATTGGGCTCTTGTCCACCCGAGATGCTCTTTCGTCCATTTTACTCTCGTTTTCTTATTTTTGTCGAAAATGAAAGTTTCATGACGGGTCACCATTTAGTTGGCTCTTGGTACCATTTATGCTGCCTCTCTTTTTTCCACTCTGTTTCTGAGTCTTTAAAATCGCAGAAAAAAATGAAAAGCTCAATTCATTTTCAAATTCAATTTATTCAGTCTTCAGAGTGAGATGAAGATAATCTCTGCTGAATCATGGTATAATCGAAGAGTTAGTCGTCGGCGCGGGTTACGGTTCAAAATAGTTGTCCAATAAGTCCCGGCGTGACAGCTAGCGTTGGGAAATAATGTTGGCTCATTGGTAGTACCAGCGAATAAACTGCTTCACCAAAAGCTCGATAAAGGGTCTCTTTTTTTTTTTGCTTTACTGCGGCTTTTTTTTGAGTCTCTCTCTTTTAGTTATCCACCATTTCGACTTTGTCCTGATATTTCCTGACCAAAGAACATTCTCAGAGATTCAAAAAGTTTACTAAATTTCAAGCTCACGTCTAACTCAAACCATAACGTCTAACTCAAACCATAACGCCGTGTATTTCTTTTCTTTCGATTAAAAGGCGAAAGTCATGTAAATTTTTGAATGGAATAGGATTTATTTGAGCGCAATTATTTCTCTCGTTTTTTTAAACCCATACCTTGCTGATCACTAGCTTTATGAATTTTGCAAATATTTTTCTCGCAAAAAAATTATTATTATCTCATTTCATCACGTCGACTAGTCGGTCCCATTGCCGCTCTCTCATGGGATGATATTCCGACGCCCGTCAGCCCCGGACAAGCTGGACGCCGTACTGTTCCAACATGGTGAAGCAGTTTATTCGCTGGTACTACCAACGGGCCCACATTATTTCCCGACACTAGCTGTTACGCCGGGACGTATTGGACAACGATTGTGGACCGTAGCCCGCGCCGACGACTAACTCTTCGATTATACCATGATTCAGCAGAAATTTTCTTCATCTTACTCTGAAGACTGAATAAATTGAATTGAATTGAAGATAATGCTTCAAAATCGAAGCCATATCTGAAAAAGCTTCCAAATTTCAAAGCCCTCAGTATCTAAGGAACTCAGGAAGTTGTCGTATAACAGACCGTCAACGTGAACGTGTGTCCTCAAATAAAACAAGAAATACATTTTGAATTTTTGCTGGCAAAAAACTTGCAGATAAATGCACTTGAAAAAAACGACTTGATGTGAACCAGTCCTTCAGACGTGTTGGTTTCGTCTTGTCGGCTTACTTGGATTGTTTTCTAACAGGATGAAAACGTTCGATTTGAAAGAAGATCCAATCATCGTCCGTTTTTAGTTTCAAATGCTTCAACCTTATTTTCCTATCACAAGAAAATAAGAAATTAAGTTCTGTCTTTTTTCGACGCGATAGAGAAATGGAAGATCATTTTTATTCAAACATACGTCCAATCAAATAGTAACACAAATATAATAAAAATGATGAGAAAAATATTAACAAAAATATAAAATACAATGATAAGAAATAGATAGCAGATCAACAGAAAACCATAAACAAAATCAACTTGGTTGAAGACGAAATAAAATGTAAATGAGGTTTACATGGGACAAAATTTCAAAAGGGAAATGTAGGACAAATACAACTTGGTTGCAGAAAATAAGAGAAGACAAGTTTCGGATGGGACCAACTTTAACAGGGATTGACCACAACGGGGGAGGCGCCTATTACAGTGATAACATTGGCTGCCCTTGCATTTCCTTCTCTCATTTCGATTCCGGTTTCTTCGTAGGTATTTTCACGAGGTGTGAATCGGCCCAGAAGCCTCACGATGCATCTTCGGAAGAGGCTGAACAGACGAAAAAAACACACTCGAAGAGACTTGAAGATACACAGGAAACACGACCAAATCCATTTGGGGATTGCTGAAATTTCAAAATTGTTCAACGAAAACTGTTTTTGCTGTGACAGTGATAATCTACCATTTTTGAATTCAGCGGGTGTGAGTCCTTTTGAATTTAATCAAAATTTTGCTCACACAATCTCTTGATTGATTATAAATATTGACTAGTGAGCAGAAACTTTATGAAATAAATAATAGTTGTCAAGAAATGTCGACTTCTAATAAGAAATGAAAGCATCGACGAATAAGTTTATCATAAATCAGCTTAAAAATCACTTAAATCAAGAATAATTATACACCAGATTATATTGGGATGAAAGTGGTTTATTTCCCTAGTATTGACGACATTTTTGATTTTATGGCAAGAAATATACTTTACAAGGCTGAAACACTTTTCATATCTTACGAAAACAAAGAAAAAAACGTACAGGTGAAAAAGAGGGCTAACTGCTCCCGGAAAAAAGGTTGAGCGCCTACAAAAACGAGAATGGAGACGGCTCCTTGGATCACCAAGACTTGCGACAGCAAGTTATTCAAAACTGAAAATTATCGAAATGAAAGATAGAAAGAGTGTCATACTAGGCTCGTAGATTCTATAGAACATGCGGTATTGGAAAACCAGCACAGGGATGAAGTAAAAGATGAACAGCATGACTATCTGTAAAAAGTTCAGTTTTTTGTTGGAGTAGTTTAATTTTTTTGTTCTGGAACTTCAAAATTTTTTTATAATTCTGATCCCGAAACATTTTCTCTAGAGAAAAATAAATTTATAAAACGTTCTTGGCTTCTAGCATTTGCCTCGAGTTTTTTGTTTGTTCATAACTCCAGATTATGGTTCTCAGTTCTTGACCATATAAAATCCCTTATCATGTGTGAGAAGTGTTTCCATGGAAATAGATTTCATGACTTTCCGATATATTTTGTATGGAATACTTCCTCTCAAAAAAGCGCAAGCAATCTTCAAAGTTTCAAAATTTGATCGTGTTCATCAAAGTCTGAATTCGTACCTGCATGGCGACGCCTAATGCAAACAGAAGCGCACTTGTCATCGTCCTTCCTTGAAGGGAATCGCTCCACGAGTAGAACGCATAGGAGCCGTGTAGAAATAAGGCTACCATTTGCGTCATTACGGAGATCGTTGCGGCGAAACCGGCGATAGCGAGGATTTCGTTGTAGAACGAGAACTCAATAAGTTTCTTCCGATCAATTTGCATCACCATGTGATTATCCACCTGAATCGCAGAATTAGTTACGTTTCGTCTAGGAGTTCCATCCGGAGTTCAAAAAAATATTCTTCACCCCTTTCTATCTCGACTTTGCTTTGAAACTTTAAAACCTTTTGGAGAACCAAAAATTCCAGCTCCGGTTTATACTTTTTACTCCCTAATGACTGAATGAACAGAAAAAATCAGAAATCCCACAAGGAAGGCAATTTTTAGGTGTGAGTTTTCGGAAAATTGTCTGTGGAACCAAAAAATTTGCGACAAAGAATCGTGTAAACTCACTTTAGTTATAACCTTTCCATCCAACCCGAAATAATTGAATATGACCGGGGCACAAAAACACAGAGCCGCACAAAGCTGAAGACCGAACACACAGAGCCTCGGTTGGCCCTCGACAAGCCAAGCTCTCGTATTTCTGTTCAAGGCTCGCATGTAAGAATAGTGCATGTGGCGCAGAACGAACACGCAAGCAACTGAAAGAATACATTTCAATGGAAAGAAGAAAGTTTCATCATTTATCCCTATCTCAGGACAAAAATATGCCAGAAGTCGACATCGCTAAAACTATGAAATTGGGATGCGGCTGTTTTCCAACTGCATAATCTTACTGATTGATTACGAGAGCTCTGTCTCACTCCTTTCGACTATACTCTATATATTTTAAGTATGAGTAAAAGTGAGTTCTTTTTCATTGTAGACACTGAAAATTGTCAAAAAACGCTACTTGGTCCAATCACAGAGCCTAAAGCCCAATCGATATGCAGAGGAACGTGTGCATAACTCGGAAGGCCTCTTCCAAAGATGACCGTAGTTTCTTTGTAGTACAAAGGTGCAGAGAATGTTTGAGGTGCCAGAATCATTGCCAGGTATCTAAATAAACTCAATTGAGAAATTTGCGTGCTCGATAAGAATACGGAATTTTTCTCGAAAAACGATTTTTTGTTTTTCTCAAAACTGGATGCACATTTTTTTACGTCTGGCAATTTATAGAAAGTTACTCACGCTAGAGTACAGATGATTATGTTGTATTTCGTCTCTTTGTCCATCTTGGGTTTTGGTCCAAAGAGGAAGCACAATAGCGTAACGATAAACGTCACAATACCAATAGCGATAGGGCCTATGATCATCACGTACGGGAAAGCTTGGAAATCCATCTCGGGATCTGAAAAGAGATATCGTTAGAAGAAGGTATGAAGCGAGAAGACGTCTAAGTAGGCAAAACTAACGAAAAAGTGTTTTGATAACAACTCGCCTCTCGCGATGCGGGTCCTCGAAGGCGCGGAGGCCGCGTTTTGGCGCTCACAAAATTGCCCAAAAGAAGGCAGATCAAAAAGTTGTGCGCCTGCTCGGCACACTGTCGTCGACATCGCATCGGACTCACTTTTTCTGAAAAAAAGAAATAGTTGACAAATTGGAGGAATATGAAGCGATTTAATGACGAGTATTCAGGGAACCCAAACTTTGATGAATTTTAACTGCATTTAGAAAAAAATATTTATATCAATCGAGAGAGAGAGATTTACTTTTTGAGGTTTTTTTCCGCTTTTTTTGAATACGATATTGATATACGAACGATTCTTTTTCTTTTGATGCTTTCTAAAAAGTCACAGCTTTCGTACCGATTACTGTCAATTTAACATTAGAATCATATTAATTGATTGGCAGATTAAAAAGTCATTGCGGTTTCTATTTATGTTTCGAGAATTTCTGACTACAGTAGGAAACTTCAGGAAGATAATTTTTTTACTAAAAAAATAAAACATTCAATCAGTGAAATTGTAGGAAAGCAGTCCTAGACCTCGTACAAAATGCGATCTCTTACTTGAAGGAAACTAATTAAACTACTGTAGAGGAAGAGGACGAGGATACAATGAATAGAATATCAATTTGAAAGTCTTGAAAATATTTAACAAGAGGAAGCAATTTATTTTTGACAACAAAACTTTTGGAAATCGCTTGTGAAAAGTAAAGACACGAAACTTCAGAGATGATTTAATCAAATGATCTTTGACAGTATTAGAAAAATTGGGAGACTTCCAGGGACAACGCAATTTTAAAAGTTTTGATTTTCATGAGTTCTACCTAAACTATAAAAGAGCTATAATCATTTTTTTTTAGAAATTACATGAAATACTCGTTGTTCTTTTTATAATGAGCTTGCGCTTTTTTTTCATGAAAGCTTTACTTCAGGACTATGAGGAGAACAGGTACTGCATTTTCCAAGTGGGCACTCTTCATTTTATTCTCCTACTACAGTTCGACCAGTCTCCTCGTGGATCCCGATTGGAGCTCATTGCTCAGCTTCTAGCTATCGTACTTTCATCTCAGTTTTCTTCCGATATTAGTCAAAAAAAGGAAAACCCAAACTTCCTCACTTCACAACGATCTTGATCAGGTTTCTTTTTTTTTGCATAATTTTTCATCCGTACAAACTCAGAAAACTCAGCGTCTTTGTTCTAATATCTTTAGAACTAGAACTTCACTCTTTGCAAGCTCATTAATTATAAATTCCGTTTGCAGTAACGTATCACGAGCATCATTAAAGCTCCTTCGGTAACCTGAAAGGATAATCTCTTCTGTCTATTCTCCTCCCACAGCTCGAACCGCCAACCAGTCTCACGGTGGTCTCCAAATGAGGTTTTTCGTTCTCCGTTTGGCTACCGTATTTGCGTTCCCGCTGACTGCCGCAAATCAGCAAACCGACGATCTATGGATTCCCAAATTATTTAACTTCACAGTAGTTCGGGTCATTTTTTTTTTCTTGTATTCTTATAGCGTTTAGTTGATGGAATCAAAAATGAAAAAAAGTTGGTGATTCAGGATGTTGACGCATTCATGGTCGACGGCACCGTGAGCTTTTTGAGAGATGTTAAGCTATCGTACGGCATTTTCGTGACAGTCATAATAGCATTGTTCACATTTACCCTCTCTTTGGGCGCTTTTTATGGAGCTTTGAAAATAACACTAGCTGCCTGCAAATCCTTAGGATCCCACTATCCACAACTTTGGCCCAGTGCTTTGTGGGTTTTCCTATCCTTCTGTCTCTTGGTGAGTTCCAATGGAAATTATGAAAAGCAGTCCTTTTTCAGTACTTCGTCCTTTTTTCATCCGCTTTCATCTTATTGTTCGCCCTCCATGAGACAAACGGTTGGGGAGTTTTTATTTTGAAAGTTCAACTCCATCAAATTTTTTTTTCAGCGGATGTGAAGATTTTCGTTCGACACATCTTTGTGTGGTTTTTCGAATACATCGTCATTGGAATAACCCTCAGCGTTGTCTACAAAAGAGCTCAAGTACCAGAATCTGATAATTCAGTCATTCCATTTTGAGGCGGAAAAAATTCTTGATGATTCCTTTTTCTAATGTTTTCGTCCCTTACAACTATGCAGTAGCAAATTTTTTTATTGATTTTTTTGAATCATCAAATTTTTAAACAATGTTTTTTTCCGTTCATTTATTTGTAAAAAAATTTTTTTCATGATATTCATGTTTCGATAAAGCTTGAGCACAAAAATTGTTTTTGAACACAAATCATTTGAAGAGCAAAAGGCAAACATGAAACTTCTTTCGAAGACACGCCTCCACTGAAGGTACGCCTATTCTCGAAAAAAAAACCACTCTGAACATCTTTCTAACAACCATCAACTTTTTTGCTATTTTCAGGTATCCGACCATGTCCCATACCCGATATGACTTTAGTTCGGAGTACGAAGCGAGGGTTGATTCAAGATTCATAGTGCATCTTATAAAACTCCTTCAAATCTCAACGTTGGCGTCAACTGGAGGCAAAATCTTCTTTCCCATCGCTCGCCGTATGAAAAAAGATCAAAATGCCACTTCTTTCGAATTCGCAATCTTCGTGATCGTCCATACTTTGGAGGTAATAGAAGCAAAAGTAAAAATGTTGGAGCTTTTTTTTCAGGCAACATTCATCCATGCGTCTTCTTGTGAAATCTGGAGCCTGATGATAGAACTGGAAGATGACTATTTCAGTGAGTTTTAAAAAGATATCATCAAAAAGGCTGTAATTTCCAGTTTCGGAAGGCTTCTACTCGACTCTGCTGGATTTTATCTCTTTTTTGCTCCTCATCGCCTTCCACGACTACCTTCGAGCAGCCTATGAAAAACTTTTCTGAAAACTTTTTGAGTTTCGAATAAATTCCTTAATAAACGAATTTGAAATGATTGATGCAATACAAGAAAAACACAAAGAAACAAAAAAATTACGATTCTTTATTGATGTTTGACAAAAGATCATCATTCGCCAAGCTTTTCTATTTCTGCATGAATATTTGAGGCCTCGGAATAAAAACAAAATAGAAACTTTTTCGAAAAGAAACTTTGAAGTTTGGGAGGCTACTGGATTGTAATGGCGAGTTTTCAACACTAGAAAAATTAATGATTGACTTCATAGAAGACCAGGAAGACCGAGAGCCACAGGCATAGTTGAAGGCCTTGCTTATGTTTTTGCACATTTAAATTTTTTTTATGTGAGAATATCGTTCCATAAATATTTAGAGAAATTTTTTTTCAAACTTTTTTCCGTGAATCGATCGGATCGCAGTACTTCTTGCGTTGTTGCGCATATTTGTTTTTTTTTTCATCGAAAGCGGCAAAAATATTTTTTAAAAATCTGCAAAAAGCCACCGTATATGAAAAATGGATTCTTTGATGTTGGTGCTGTGAAAAAAAGACCAGCGAAAACGGTGACTTTTCCGATTTTTTCATATTATTAGGGAACTTTCCGACGGCCCCTTTTTCCGCCGAATCTTTTTCCGACTTTTTTTTTCGATGAGCTTTTCGTTTTGATTCTTCCTATATGAAGTAGGTGGTTTATTCATGATTAAAACACAAAAGGAATGGGAAAAAATATGTTAATAGATTTTTTATAAACCGAAAAATATAAGGGAAAAAAGTCAGAAAAAGATTCGGCGGAAAGGTGGCCGTCGGAAAGTTCCCTAGCGATATGAAAAAATCGGAAAAGTCGCCGTTCAAATCTTTGCTGGTCTTTTTTTCATACCACCTTAATGCTACATATGGGGATCTGAGGCACACAATTTCTGACAAATCGGATTCTAGGAATCCGAAAATTCAAGGATGGAAAGTTTAAAAAGTCATGAATGCTCAGCTTTTTATAGTTTAGGGTAAAGATTTGAGGTTGAATGGTACTCCAAGTGCGACCTTCAACTTCAAACCAAGTCGATCGCTTTTTAGCTGTCCCTAGAATCGAGCGAGTCTTGTCAATCGGGGTGGAAACAGTAAAGTCGCTGCTTTTAAAGCAGACCGCTATTATTCAAGCTACGTCTTGCAACCTGTACTTTTTGAACTCTCGGGGTAGCCAGGTCAATGGTATGAGAGGTGCAAAGGTTGCCGCAAACCTCACTTCCCAAATATCCAGAGTTTCATTTCTCGTAACTTTTTCCCTGGTATAAATTATTCCATGCTCTAAAGAATCGACTTTTAGATGCGAAAGGTTTATTACCGTCTCCTCGGCAGCCTATTATCTACTCAATTATCTACGTGCGCAAACGTTCGATAATCTCCGACTGAGAGCTTATGAGGAGGTGACTCTTCGACTAATTACTTTTTTCTGAGGAGACGGTACCATTCACCTCACTTCTCTCGTAGTTTAAAAATTTCCATAGTGTGAGGTCGAGCCTAGAAAAATGCAAAACCCGGGCGAGGACAGAGCGAGCTGGTTTGTCAATGTACTGTCAGCAACCTCGCGTTTATCTCGGCACTTATTTTTAGTGTAATTCTCAAATTGCAAAAAAGACCGATTCATATAGTCATCTTTTCCAGATTTTAAAGGCGAGGAGTCGGAAAAGGGAGCGGGATGCGTAGCGTGCGCGTTCGCGGCTCTTGGCGCGAGTTTACTTCAACCGCGACTGTATGCGACCGAGCTTTTTAAGTAGTCGGTGGCGTTTAAATTGAACTCGTGCTAAGAACCGGGTACGCACAGGCTTCCTCGCCACTCAAGTCGGGAAATATTGACTATAATATTGATTAGCTAAGTGATGAAAAGAAGATTCTGTTTATCAATCAGGACTCACTATAGTGAGTCATCCTTTTGCTGTCTCTATCTCCCTCCCTCCGTTTTGGGCTCCGACATTCAGCGTGGGCAGTAACCTTGGTAATACAAAATAAATGTCAAAGCCACATCCAGTGTGAACGTTTCCGTCATTCCTGTTTACCTCCTAGAAGGCCTCCTTTGAATTATTTTCATTTTTCTAAAAAGAAAGAATAATCTCATTTTTTTTTCAGCGCCGAGAATGAACTGCAAAACGGATGATGTTGATTCAGGCTATATTCTTCAGTTTACAGCGGCTTTCGTATTTTTATTCGTTTGCAATCTGTTTCTGTGCGTAGCTGTTGCTTACTTGATAAACCACTCATTCTTTACGTTTTACGATAAAGTATCCAGCGTTCTAAAAAAATATTTTGGGAATACGTGTATTGCCTTCACTATGGGTACACTGTTTCTTGCAATGATGGTAAAATCTGACCGAAAGGAAACAATGCAATATTAATCTCAGATTTGCGTCAGTTTCGTCTGGTTCTTCATTTTCCAAGCCTCAATGACGCTCATCCCCGGAAAAGAAGAATGCAAGGGTAAAAAAAAATTTATGAAACTTTCAATACTTCTGCAGCTGAAAAGTCAATATTCATTTTGCAGGAAACTCGACTTTTGTCGTGACAGTCGTCATTTCATGTACTTCAATTGTCGTCCTTCTTGTACTGATCGCCTACGTTTTCAAAAAAATTGCCCTCATAATTAAACCAATTTCCCTGATCTGATTTGGAAAACGAATAAACTCATTCCTACTTTTTCCCTTCGGAGGTAACAAAAAAATGTTCATGCCGGCAAAAAAAAAAACGTTTGCACACTGCAAAAAGAATCCCTAATCTGATCTAAAGCTTGTAGATCAGCTTTTGAGTTTTAAGAAGTTGTGAGAGCTCCTTTTGACCAAGAGAACCTTTGAAAAAGATCCTCTAAATATAACTGTCGAGTCTGGCGTGAGAGAAATGCGGTGGTTGGTGTGGTACATTGACAAACTCGCAAGCGTATTGCTGCGAAAACTGAGCATTGCGAAAATGCGATTTTGTTCGAATTTACAGGAGAACATTGGATAAGAATCCATCATAGAAAAAACTGAACATTTCTCAATCGTAATCGGAAATCTGAGTTTTCGAAAGAAAAATGGCTAGTTGATTTTTTTCTAAAACATCAACGCTTTATCCAATGACGGAAAAATTATAAGCTTAAAAAGAAGTAAATAAAAGAAACTACAGGTACAAGTTGACAAGTTTATTCAGTCTTCAGAAAAAAACTCTGCTGAATCAAGAAATAAATGAAGAGTTGATCGTCGTTTTGTAGGATCAAGTTAACCAAAAAAATGTAGGAATTTAGGAATAAAATAATAAAAAAATAAAAAAATAATATATATAGGTATGTATATATATATATACAGTACCGATCCATAAATAAATCAACCCTTAGGTTTTTTTGCCATAACACTTTTTTTAAAGTTAGGGGATCCCAATGAAATTTGGATATTTTATGAACACCGGTATATCAAACTGTCCCACAGCTTTTCAGACCATGAAAAAATTAATCTTTATTGAATTTTCGAAAAAGTCCGGTTTTTTGCAACGTCGGGTAACCTGCGTGAAAATGACACATAAACCAAACGAATCTCGAAGATATCGATATAAATGTCAAAAGGAGGTTCAATATGTTGTAACAGCGTTCTTTGAATCGATGACATCTCGGCATCTTCGCGGCAGACTGTCGGTGATCTTGTCGATGCAAGCCTGATCGATCTTCTTCCATTCTTCTTGGAGTTGCGGGAATTTTTCAGCCACACTTGATGTTTTTTTGTATGCCAGTCGTCTCTTCAGTTCTTCCCACATGATTTCGATGATTTTGAGGTCCGGACTTCGGCTTGGCCAGTCGAGACGACACATTTTTCTGCAGCCGAACCACTTGCAGACGTCCTTGGATTGCTGGTTGGGGTCATTCTCGGAAAATGAGAGCCCGGGCGTGAACTCGACGTTCAAATGGAAGCACCTTCTTTTCAAGGAAATCCTTGTACATATTCCGATCTATGTCGCCCACGATCCGGTGCAGAGGACACATGCCAAGAGCGCAGAAACAGCCCCTAACAAGGGCGATCCTCATCCAGGCTTAATCGTCGGAAGTTGATTTTTGGGGTCGAATATTTTGTTGAGAAGACGTCGAATCCATGTCTTTCCATCTTTGCGAACAATAAAAACTTACTCTCATCATTCCAAATAATTTTTTTTCATCGGGCTCTTGACAACCCGAGATGCTTTTTCGTTCATTTTACTCTAGTTTTTTTAACTCTTGTCTTAAATGAAAAGTTTCTTGACTGGTCGACGACCAAACAGTCCGGCGGACCTCGCGCGACCTTTTAAAGTTGAACTTGGATACATTCGGTGAAGAAGGGGACATGGTTTCATGGGAAATTCGCCGGGCAGAGAATCTTGGGGTGTTACTGAAAGTGCGCAAACTATTCCTGTTCGTCAGAAAATCCGCAAATCGAGGCTTTTTAGCTTGAAGAGCTTTAGAAAAACGGAAAGTCGACATTTTTTGCTCATCTCCATCGCAAGATCAGAAGGTTCAACTTCACAGGTGTCATAAAGAACTCGGAAGTATGACGATCTTTCCATAGTACTTCCAGAAAACATGCTGATTGGAAAAATCCCAACAAATTTTTGGGTTTGTAGTTTTTTGGCAAAGAGACGCGTCGCAAACGCAACGCTTCACTGTTGCCAACTACCCATCTGGTCTTTCATGTTGGGAAAAGTTAACTATACTGTAATATAAAAAGAGGAAAACAGTTTTTGATTGCTGTCCTACTGTACCTTGTCCTCGAGTTAGAAAAAAATCGGTTCGTTTAATCGATCAGCTAGCTTGTGAAAAAAAACTGGTATTGATTGATGATTGATATGATTGATAATTCATCCGTTTTATACTAGGCTAGTTAAATCTACATTTTTTCTATTTTGCGTTCCGACATTTAGCGTGGGCAGTTACCTTGGTAATACAAAATGAATTTTGAAGCCTATTCAAGCGTGAAAATTCTCGTCATACCTGGTTTCCTCTTAGAACGACTCATTCTCTTTAAGAGCTCTAGAAGAGGTTTAACTCTTCTCGAGCTCTGAAAGAGAATTGATCAAACGTTTTTCAGGGCCGATAATGAACTGCACGGAGAGGCTCGAGGTCAAGTCTGCTTATGATTTCTTACAGTATACTTTTGTTCTGTTCGTGCTCAACACGTCCATAGGAATACCTATCGCTATCTCGATATATTACCTGTTTCTTGGTTCCTACAAGGAATGCATTGAAGCTTTGCATCAACGTTTGGGACTAAGTCGCGCTATCTGGATTATGCGTGCTCTGTTTCCCCTCATATTGGTGATATGAAAGAGTATATAAAGGCCAACTGGAGCTTTTCAGTTTGGCGCGGGGGTCATCTATTACAAGCTGACCGACATGCCCAGAAAGCTTATCTTCGAAGATAAAAAGCCACCATGCAAAAGTAATTTAACGACCTAAATACCTCAAGAATTCTACGATTGAATCAATTTTGTTCACTTATTCATATTACAGGTGCTTTCAATTTTCTACTGTTTGTGTTCACTCATGCTCCTTCTATGCTTGCTGTTTCTAAACTGGTCGACGCCGCCTGGGAAAAAATGAAACCATCCGTCAACCCCGTTTGATCTCTCAAGATAAATAAATCTTTTTTGCGGTTTCTGTTTGAGGGACATGGAAAAAGTTCGAACGGATACAAGAAGGATTACCGCAAAGAGAGCACGTTTTATGGATTCGAGTCACAACATTTAAAAAATTCCCTTCGGTGAAAAAAACTCTGGCTCGCTCGATTCCGAAGGCCAAAAAAAGAAAAGCTAAAAACTTCCTTCGATTCTCAGAAGCGAACACTTGTCAACAGTCATAACTTTGAAACAGGCTTATCATAAAAGCATATTTTCTATTGACCTAATACTCTTTTCATGAAATTAAGACAAGTCGTCAACCATAGTCTTTCCTGAAATCACACAAAAAGCAAATATCAATCTCCGATAAGAAAAATTTGTTTTGAACAGCAATTGCAGCGTTCTTTCATTTTTTGTCCTTTCTTAAGGCTAGAAGTTCAAATCTGTTCAAAGTTCTGCTTCTTCCTGCAAAAGCTTACAGTTCCGTGAGTCAACCAATGAGCCGAGCATCCGCCCATTTATGCTTCTCTGAAGCTCCTGCGCAACCAATGTTCCATCAAGCTTGCACGTTCATTATTGACAGAATCGAAGGCAATGGAAAACTTCCTTTGAAGCTTGGTTACTAGGATACTGCGCGGAAACTTGTGTCCGGAATAATTTGAAACTTTTGCGATCAATTATCCTGAAATGGAGAATTCCGAAAAAATATATGATGCTGAACAGATCAGAATTCAAGAGAATACCTTTCTCAAGAAGCTTTGAAATATTTAAAAACCCTGCTTTTCAGCAGGATGAAACTGCTAGGATCTTCTGAGTCTGGAATTTTAGGAATGAATCGATTGGAATGCAGAATTCTCCGAAATATTGATTTTTTTTTTATCAAAAAAGAAGGATAAAAGTTTTATCATAAACTTTTAAAACGACATCAAGGTCTTGTTGAATACGACTAACAGGTACCGGCACAGATAAAAATACCAAGCAAAGAATTATCACCACGAGAAATTATATTACTTTGCTAGTGAAATGAGGACGCCTATCAGTCAATTGTTTATCCGTCAATAATTTATTTTATTGTTGAGAAATGGATGTTATCGACTGGGCGCTCAACAAGAACGTCTAAGTTATAACAAACAACCGCCTTCGGCAAACTAGAAGTTCAAATGTGTAGTCCAAAGAGTTGAGAGCATGGTCCTACAGTCCTTCGTTGGGTTCTTCTAGCCTATCCAGTTGCGCCGTAACAAGCCCAGAAAACAGATGATGTTGTATGTGGAAACCGTGCTCCGGGTGGATACCTCAAAATGAGAGCAACAACTTCGGGTGAAGACTTTACATGTAATCGTAATGTTCATCAAAATATTTAACCGTCAACTTTTCCCACCGACGTCAAACGGAAGTTGAATTTTACGCCGTCAACAAAATGTTCTCAATTCAAAGGTTTTTCAGTTTCATAAAGTTCAGTGTTTGGTCGAGAACGAACGGCTTTGGAGGAATATGAGTCTGAACTCTAGGTTTCGCCATAACAGCTAAGTTTGGTAAACAACTGATTATTCGCATAAAGAAGACCTTACATAACGCATTGTGACACTATATTTAAGAAAACATAATTCATTTCTACTTTTCAAAGCAAGAAAAGGTGGCTCTGAACTTGAAAAAAAAATTATAAGACTTTTTTCTTTATGTTTATTAAACCGGCTTCAAAAGATTTTTTAAATCTTTACTTGGGAGGTCATTTTATTCTGCGATTGCGACTTTTCTGAAATTCGGCCAGAACATTTCTCATTGTACCGGATGAAGATTCTGAAAGTCACAACCTGCACAACTCTCTATTTTTCGAAAAATAAGGCCTTAAAGTCTCGAAATGACCTGTTTTAACGGATTTTTATTTTTCTTTGGCTTTGAAGTGTTCTTTCTCGCAAACTAGACTTTTTTGCAGATTCCACCTGCCCGAATCTTTAATTGGTACATCAAGGAGTTATTTTGGTTAACTTTTGTGAAAACCCTAACTGTTATGGGTTTTTTAGAAATCGGAACAAGCCGAATCTTTTCTTGAAGTTTTCGAGAAATGTCGAAAAGCAGTCGGGATCTCAGCCAACCCCAGTATTTACACTTTCAGAACTACAGCAGAAAAAAAGAACAGTTATTGTTTGTGTGGTCAGTACTTTCCATTGTCTTGATTATTTTCTCGAACTTCGTAGCTGAAAGCTCACGGAACAGGACAAAAGATTCTTGATCTTTTCATTTTTTTGTTCCTTCGAAAAACTCGATAACATTGAAACGAAATTAACTAAAAAAGCGTTTTCTATCAACCTCTTAATTGATGAGTCTTGTTCTCTCCATCTTTCATCCTGCATTTCCCATGGTAACACTTACGAAACATTAGTTGCTCTCGAAATCCTTCAGTGTTTCAAATTTCGACTTCAAGTTCGAATTCAGTGTAAGATTGAAAAAATCGGCTTTTCATCGCAATACTTGCCTTCCAGAGAATAATTTAGGAATGAATTTGAAAATTTCACACATAATGCTAGTGTTTCGAAAAAAATATTACTCAAAACTGGATGTTTCAGAGATTTTTTCTCATGAATTAGCTTTTCAAAAAGCCGCAATCCAGAGATTCTCTAGGACAATCTTAAGAATTCTTAAGAACTTTTGGAACAATACGTATGGTTCATGTACCTGATGGATTTTATACTGTTCTCATCAGACTTTCATTTTCTCTCTTTCTCTTCTCATAACACCGTTGAATGCTGAAGTTTTGATGTTCTTCTTCTCGATCACTACAAGACCCACTCATGTTTGAAAATTGCCGAATGCCTGAGAAAAGGTGCGAAGAAACGCCCCTTTTTTGAGAAGCACTCGATTGAATAAACATGTCTGGAGGAAAGAGCACAGGAAGAATTACTTTCCGCTAATATGAGCGCTTACAGAAGTCCAACCCCTTCAAAAAGGGAACGCCTTTCATTCTGAGCTTCTTGGGAGCTTATGAAAGCTTTCCTACAGTATCCTTTTTCATTAGGCTTTGTGTGAGAGTCCACAAAAATTTAAGTTCTTAACAAATGTGTAGCTTATTAGACAAAGACTTCTTAGATGAAAATGTTGCGAATCTCCTCCAGCTTCCGAAACTCTCCTATGATTTTTTAGAGAGCTCAACTCAGCATGAACATCACTGGAAGCGATGCGCCACCCTGCGTCCAGAACGAGCAACGGGCTCTGTTACTGTTCAAATGTGCTTCATACGTTTTGGGATCTATTAGCATCTCTACTCAAATCGCTGGAATTGTTGCAGTCCAGCGTTCTCAAGAAAAAATCCTTCAGATGAAAGAGAAAATTTCTACAATGGCTTACATGGCTGCGTAAGTGTTCGAGTTCTCGGGAAACATTTTGAGAAACTTGATCAACCGTTTACAGAGAAGCCTTGATGAACTTCATATTTGCCATCGTTCTGACACCGTTTGTCTACGCTCCTGGTTTTGGATTCGCTTTTCTGGGGCTTGCCAGCTGGATGGGAATGCCCTCTCAAGTTCAAGCGTTCGTGGGCGCAGCCCTACCAGGTTAGAGATAATAGTTACTTGGAATCATTCCTTTACAGCTCTGATGTTGGTCAAACCGATAGTTTTCGAGAAACGACTGATTGAGTTATATGACCGGAAAAAAAATTGGGTGGTTTTTCTAATTGTCTGGTCCATTATCAGAATTTTGTTTGCCGCTGCTTTTCTTCAGCCTCTCGCATTAATTCCTCCACCTCTCGAATCAGCTAAGCTTCATGTGATTGAGGTGAAGCATAGTCAATGATGACCTCAAACTCGAAGTTCTCAAATTCAGGGGCTCGGGTGCTCACCGCCACTCATTCATACCAAGGACGTGATTCTGTTCAACATGTACGACTCCTATCTAGCCATCCTTCTTACAGCAGCGTTCTTCGCCTGCGAGTTCGTCTTCATAATGGGTTGCTTATGCGTCAAGTATCGGTACAAATTTTGCGGTCATCCACCTATTTTGTCGATAGACACTAAAAACAATCGCAAAAAACTTTGGAAACAGATATACGTTCAAGTGAGTTTTCTGGGATCTTTCAGTAACTGAGCTCAGTTGTTCCAGATGACCGTTTCATTCGCAACACACGTTTTGCCAATTGTTGCAATGGCCATGAGTTCGTATGTGTACAGTTGGTTGACCTTCTGTGAGTTCTTTCTACTTTCAGAGTTTTCATTCTCGAAATTTCAGATTTCGTAGGAGTGGCTACGCTTTTGCTGATGTGCTACGGAGCTTTCTCCACAGCGTCGGTCATTCTGCCAAGATATCGCTATCGTTCAATTTTTTTCTTCTGCTGCAGCAAAAGTTTGTAGACGCATGTTCAAAGACAAAACCTTTTTTACAGAGCAAAATGTGAACGCAGTTTCCCCGATTCTGAACTCGAGGAAAGACGCGCGCAGCAGTCTCTATTGATCGTGCGCCTACCGAATCAGAAAAAAAAGAACCATTGTTCTTGTCTTTGTATTTTTGTTTCCGTATTTTTGTTCAATTATTTTCCTTTTATCTCCCCATAAAAGATCAGTAACCATTCGAATATTGTCTAAATTTTGTTTTCATTGTTGTAAGTGGAGGGTCGAGTGAAAAGGACCTTTTAAACCTTGTTTCAAATGAACCCCTTCCATTATTTTTGAATAGTTTATTGAATCCAGTATCCAGTTGCTCACAGGAATATATTCCCCTTCCTGTCAAATGCTCGCATATCTCCCAATATTCTTTGACCCTGTAGCTGTTCGAAAAATACTCAGAAACATGATTTCTCCCGAAAGATCAGACTCAAACTGAGTGACGATTTCAGTTTCTTGAAATTATCTTATTTGGTGTAGCTTGAATTCTGTACTCAGTAGGTTACCTGCACATAGTTAACTTCCCACAACCATCCCCTCTACCTTCTGCGTGGGAACTTTCTTTTAATGGAAATATGTATAGATAATGAAAAAAACAATAAAAAAAAAAAAAATCAAAAATATAATGAATAATCAAAAAAATTTTAAAAAAAATAAAAAGTCTAAAAAAAAAGATTGTTTTCCCGTTAATACTGTCAAAATATTTTTTTAATGCAGCCCACGTTTATTTAATCCCATCTGCACCGATTGTAATATGTATTGTACTCCTCTATTTTCAACTACTGTTAAGTCTTTTTTTGATCAGTTTTCAAGTTTATTAGCTCCAAATCTTACCTATTTCCCATATTCTTATTTATTTGTTTTTACCGGAATAAAGTAGAGAATCGAAAAAAATTGTCTGAAAACAAATGAACAAAAGAAAGACTGTGCGATCTCGTTTTCCGCATCGAAATATAAAAAACTTAAGGAATTCCTTTCATAATTACACAGTTCCACAGCTTTTAAGATGATTGAAACTCAAAAGGCTTGAACACGAAATAGTTTCACGCCATTCGCTAGCGACCTGGCTGATATTATTCATCTGTGTCAAATTTTCAAACGTTCCATTGCACTTTTGGTTGAATGTTCCGACTACCAGAAGGTTACCCAAACGTAATCGAAGTTTCATTTTGTCGAAAAATTTCACAGCGTTCTTAATAAAATTTCTTTTCTTCCGCTGCTTTCGGAGCGAATATCGTTCACCACCTCTCATGGCAACAGCAAAACTGGCCGAATGGGAGAGAAAGAGAGCGCAGAGAAAAAGAGACGTAGCAACGGGCTGGCAACGGCTGCCCTCAATCGTACCATGCAGTTAATAAAGCTGGGAATGTTTCGTGCTCGGCGTTATTTCAAACCGGAAGATGACTAACAATTAATACTGGTAAAAAGGTCAAAAATCTGCAGAAACATCCAGAATAACTCTGTTTTCAGTCTTGAATAACAAGAGATGATCCTTCAATGTTTAGAATGGATGACGCTCCCATTTGCTGACATCCGATGGGAAATTGAGATAGATTCGAATAATTGGCGGTTCATAGGGTTGAGATCGGATATATGAGAAATAATAATTCATCATTTCGAATGAATTTTTTCCCATCAGTCGACAGAAATATTTTGTAACTACAGTCTCACAGATAAAAGACTGTTATTCTGGGAGGAACAGCGTATTTTTGAAGCCATCCAAAGCTCGTAAGAAGTTTCATGGCATTCTTCTCAATTTTTGAAAAAAAGTTATGTCTCAGAATCCATTTTGAAGTGTTTTTAATGATTTTTTTACTGTATTTCATCGATTTTTTTCTCCAATTAATTTTTAAATTAAAAAAATATCCTGTTGATTAAGTAAGTGTATATTTACATTCTGTAATTCCCATCAGCCCTTTTATCCGACTGAGTTTGAAGTTTTGCTCATTTTTATCTGTCTGGAAAACCAAAAAAAGTTTTCTCGTTTTCATCGATAACAGATAAAATTGTTTTGCACAATAGAACACACTTTGAACTTCTGATTACGCTGTCTGTTTCAAATTTCTTCGAAAACAGAATTCGTATTTGACCTTTGTTCGAGTAAACAGAGCGTCTCAGGTGCTCGTGAGCTTCATTATGGTGCTCAGCTTCAGCCAGCGCGCTGTCCCGCCCATCTCTTTTTCTCTGCGCTCTCTTTCTCTCTCATTCTGCCAAATTGGAACCGCCATGAGAGGTTGTGCACGATAATGCTCTGATAGCAGCAACGGAACAAATGTAATTTTATTAAGAAGGTCGTGAAATTTTTTCTCAAAAATAAATTCTTGGATACATTTCCCCATCCCTTTGGCATTCAAAACATTCAACGAAATGTTCAATAAATCATTTTTTTAAATCATATAAAATGAACAATGTGACCAGCGGGTCTGCTGCTGGAATTGTATTTCAGAAAGAGTCCGTATTAGAAGCGGTTTTGGCTTTGGCCGTCCATAGAAGTAAAATTATGCAATTTTGATGGCGGCATTCTTCAAACTTGCAGCAAGTCAAACGACTTGAAAATTCAGGCATAAAATGAAAAAAGCAAAATTTTCAAACCTACCAAGAAAAAAAATCAAAAAATATTCTTCGCGCTGAAAACTGATTGAGCTGGGCTTAGATTAGAGGGACTCAGGTCACAAAAATCACAAAACAGAACTTTAAAGTGCAAGTTGATATCCAGAGAATAGAGACGAAGTAAGAATATAAAATACTTACCTAATAAAAAGAGAAGAAAGTTTGATTTCTCACAAGACACTTCCCAGTTCTTAAGAATTAAATTTAAAAAAAAGTCGGAATCTAATGAAATTTGAATAAAAAAAGACTTGAAACCATTTTTTTCAAACAGAGTTTTTAAATGTCTTCTGTGGCTGGCTGAAGACTAAACATGTCATTAACATAGATTTGGATATTGAAATCGATATTTATTAGCTTTTTTTAGAAAATAAAAAAACTCAAATATAGAGTCAAAACCTTTGGCGAAAATATCACGTGGCTACGTCAATTCCAAGTGCATCCCTGCCCACTCATTTTGCGCCACAAAATCGACCAAACACGTCAGATTGTGGGATCTGACCTATATTATTGGAAAAAATTCTTATAAAATTAGGAGAAGCAAAAAGATGACCGAACAAGTTGTTTTCTCCAAACCATCGCCGTTGGTTGAAGTGAACAAAAAGTCTCATGTTCGAATTTGTTTTTACTTTTTCGAAAATTAGGGAAATTGAATAAACTGCGAATTTTTAAAATTTCCAACCACTTCTTTTGAAAAAAGCTCACAAAAACTGACAAAAAATGTTCAGCCACCTAGGGGACTCGAACCCCTGACCGTTAGATTAAAAGTCTAACGCTCTACCAACTGAGCTAAGGAGGCTCCGGCAGCCGTGTTCCATCTTTATATGGTGTGTGTTGCACGTGAATGCCTTCTATTTGTAGGATACAGAAAAGCCATTTTTTTAGAGAAAAATTTGTAAAAATTTCGACAAAATCTTGATAAACTGAAAAAAAGTTTTATTTTTTTGATATCATTTACATTTTTTAAATTTTTTAGTTTACATTGTTTTGCGGTTTTTATTGTTTATTTTCTGGTTTGATTTTTATTTTTTCTTTTTCTTCCTCTTTTTTTGTCATAATTTTTTATGATCTTCTTGTATTTTGTAATTTTTCTTTGTAAAAAAATTCAGGCTTGACGATCTAGAAGTGTAACAGCGAAAAGTACAAGTTTTTAGAATTTTTTCATTCTTTTTCTGATTTCCCTAGTATAGCGCTCTCGCAAATATCAGGCGCTCGTCGCTCATCTTTTCTTAGGATGGCTATTCTGTTCTGATAATTGCCATGGCGCACCTGGCAACAGGATCTCAAAGAGAGCCGCTCAAATTACCGTAGTCTTGCGTATTTGATTCTTGACGAGTATTCCGATGCCTTTTCTCAACAAAAAAGGATTTTCTTTCACTTGTTTTAATGACTGGAAGAATATTTAGAAAAAAAATAATAGAGGTGAAGCCAATTTTTTATTCCAACAATTCCCGAGGGATGGACAAATAGGCGAGCTTCAGAAAGACAAAAAAGTGACCTTTTAAAAGCTAGAAATGAACATCACGACTTAGCTCCTGAGCTAGGATTCAACGTTCCTCGATATTTGATAATAATTATAACGGAACATTCGTTTGAACATTTTTGATTTTATTTTTGACATTCTTCTCCAATTTTGCTTTCCTAGTTTTTCTCTGCTTCAGCAGCCCATGAAAACTTTTTTATTTTTTTCTACTTTTCTGAAATTTTCGATGAGCTCGCCTTTAGTCAGTCTTTTGTGACTCATTTTTATTCTTGTGATCATTCACAAAATTAAGAAAGTTGGCTTTTCGAGTAAGAAAGACACGAAATTATAGTTTTCACTGCAATAAAGAAGGCTTTGAGATTGTTTATATTGTTGGTATCAAACAACGAAAAAAATTCTCAACTTTTTTCAACTTTTCGCTCCGAATACTGCCATTGTCAGGAACCATTCCCTATGAAAGCTTGGCGTCATAGTGAGTCTGTTAAGTTCCTGAGGCTTCCTTGTTTTTGGAAGGAACTGTATATTTCTCTTGGTATTGTCTGTTTTTCCGACTTGAAAATTTTGCGTTCAGAATTTTTTTTCCGTTTCCTTGTACACTTCGTGGGTTTCGAATTTTGTTACTACATTCATTCAGATTCAGTACATTGGAAATACAGCTCTAGATCACGGGGTAATCAAAAAACATTGATAACGAGGGGATTTGTAAAATGATTTTTTTTTTGGATTTTCTGATTTTTTGTTTTTTTTTTATTTTTTATTCCGTTTTTTGAAAAGAGTAGTTGTTGTTGCAGAATATGTTATAAAATATTTAGATAAAAAAAAATTAGAGTTACAAATATAATGCAGAAAACTTTTTTTCACGATGGATTGGATTAAAAAAATATTGATGAGACAAGATGAGATTACGAAACCGGAAATTGCGGTTCAAAATGGATATTTTAGAGAATTGAGGTGTCGAAGCCAATGCCCATGGTTTCTTCGTATGTCGGTGGAAAGTCGTAGTGAGTGGACGGCTGTGGCGATTCGACTGCGTTCATTTCCAGATCGTTTCCTTCTCTTACGGGCTGTTCATGGAATATTTTCAGGCTCCAGCTCTCTGAAAATTCATGATTGGTTGGAAAGTTCTTTGAATTTTCTTCTGAAAAATGATAAAAGTCACGGTTGGGGAAGCTAATTCCGAAAGGAACGTAGAAGAGAGAAAACGGTCCATGGAGCATGATCAGGATTGTTGCAAAACGTGACGCTCCTGCAAAAACACCTTCCTTCTTCAAAAAATCCTTCATTCCACCTGGCGAATATGAACCGACGAGAATGATGAGCCCAAGCAGACAAATTGGAAAAGTCCAGAAAACGGTGTGCAAGAAAACCTCAAAAGTATGTTCATTTACCGGGCGAAAATAAAAAAAAACCTGGATGCTCAAGGCGAATAGATGCACAAAGTTTTGCATGTGCACATCATTGCTTCCCATTTCCCACTTACGGGACTCTCGGCAAACTCGGTACAAATAGTATATCGGCTGAGCGTTGTCAAAGATGGTGAAAGCTACTGTGAACCAAAAGTAAAGGCCCATTTCGTTGATGAGAAAGATTGCATCTTTCGGAAAGCCGCCCGACAAGAAACAACCCATTTCCTGGAAAAGTTCGATGTAACTAAATTCTAACGGAATTTTGGCATTTACCTGACTTGCATTCGGCAAAGTTTTTCCGTGTGACCAGGTGCGTCCGAGAGCAAATATGACTTCCAAAAATGATGAGATCAAAAAACAGCTCAGTAAGAAAGATCGTAATTTAGATAGTTTGTTCGATTTCCATGGGCTCTGAATTTCAATCCGGTATTTATACTCCATTAGGGTGATCGTAATTCCGTTCGCAACTGAAATATATTTCCAATTATATGTGAATGAACAGGATCGACATATTCGACAGCACTTACAGGGAAAAGGAATGAAGAACAGAGCAGTGAAAACTCCGAAGCCGTCAAACGAGCCGAAAGTTCCGAGAAGTCCCAAACACTTGTAAGCAATGACCGGAAAGTAGAAAACTGGTCTTAGCACGAGACAGAGTATGAAGTTGAGAAGAATTACCCTGAAATAGGGTTTGTGAGGTACAAAGAAGCGGCTTTTTAGCTGAATTCCAAGGATTCACTTTGAGCTTCATCTTTTATTGAATCAAAACATTATTATTTTCGAGAAACTTTTCTAGGATTGGATTCAACTCACATCCCGATATATCCAATCATATATCCGCGAAGCAGCGGCTTTTCCACTGATTTCCAAGGAAAAAGGATGAGGATCACGAGAGCTGTGAGGCAAGTGAAGAAGAAGATGTAGACCGCCGTGGTCGAGTACGAATTCTCTGACGGGCTCGAAATCGCACAAGTCTCCAACAAAAGCGCTGTTTCATTCCTTCTCAGAACTGTATAAAATCTGGTTGCTAGAGTTTTGTGTAACTAAAAACCTTGAAGAGCACGATACGGCATGAGTTTTTCCAGAACTCTGAGAGCTACTTCTTTGAGACCCATCTTCTCGACTACCCAAGTCTGAAAAAATCGGAAGGATTCTAATAACTCGAACAGGAATGAAGCCAAGATTGGATCGTTCCGGAAAAAAATAGACACTTTTCCTATGAAAATAAATCCAGTAAAGGCACACTAATGGTTATTAAAAGAAAATTCAAAGAGAAGAAGAGGAAGTTAGAAAGTCTGTAGGATTCGAATGAGCAAGCTGCGGGGAATCTCACATTTTATAGGGAGTCTTGGTTATTGAAGCGGAAAATTGGTTACCGTTTCTTCCGAATACGCCCACTGAGATGACTCCTCACTAGCTGGCTTTTTTTGTGAACAAAAAATAAACCGCTAATAAAACTAATTGAAACTTGTGACTCGTCTATAGCCGGGATTAAACGGACTTTCATTAGCCAATCAAATTTTGTAATTTGCGTGAGAAAAGAAAAAAAGTTTATTCTGGGATATTCAAGCTTTTTTATGGACAACTTTACCTAACTTGAAAGGCAAAAATGAATTGATTGGCTAGCGTGAGGACGCGATGCGGCTTTTGCGATAAACTCGAAGTCATAGTAAAGGTAGCAAAGAAAAGTTTATTCATTATTTTTATAACTTGGGCGCGTCGTAGCGCAACAGGTTGTGTGCCTGTCTACGGTTCACAGGGTCACAAGATTGATCCCCGTCTCGACCCAACCAAGGGGTCTAAGAAATGTTGGTAGTGGGAAACCACGGCTTCATAATCCCCAGCCGTCACATACAAGGACGGATATATCATGAGAGCCAGTCCACTGATATCAGGATAGGACCTCGGCTAATCGACTTGCGGCGCCGACGCCGCTTAAGCGGTACAAAGGCGTAGGAAGAAGCAGAAGAAGAATTTACTAGATGAGTACCGTATTTTTTTTGAAATCGTTCTGAGTCATTCAGAATTTTTGATGTAACCATTTGAACTTTGAAAAACTTGAGAAGAATCTTAAAATTTATCAATCGACTCCGGTCGAGAAAAAAAATTCGAGTGATCATCCTAAAATAAAGTGTTCACTCAGAGGAAGAGTACCTCAACATCATTTCTTCTCGTAAGAGAGGAAACTATGTAAACTCGTACTCGCGGATGAAGTTCAAATTTTGGTGGTTTCAATACCGAAATGAGAACTCTTGGAAACAGGAAATATTATCTGCTAAACGCAAAAAGGTACTGAGAAAAAACTTGTAACTGAATCATTCAAGGATGTTTCGCCTAAGTCTATGAACCACTAATTTTTAAACTCAATCGGCAAATTCGAGTTCGCGTAGTTCCCTAGTTACTCCCTAGTTAATTGAGAATTTGATGACACTTTAAAAAAAAAGCTGTTTTGATTCGATAAGTTAATGCATATGCACTTTTTTCGAATTGGTCGAGTTTAGAAACCTCCTCTTCTCCACATTGTCTGACAAACTATAAGGGGCCAAAACTAAACCAAGTGGTTCAGAGTCAGGTTTTTCAAAAGAAGCACGTTGGAAATGCTTATTAAATTTTCAACCCATCCTTTTTGCACTCCACATGTCGCTGGAAATCAATCAAATATTTCTTCATTTTGTTGTAAAACCAAAAAACCTCACTAGGGAACGTTCCCCCCGGTTGAACTTTTGCTGGAACTTTGCTGAAGTGTACTTCAGGACCCTCTGATCCCATAACAGAAAGAAAATTTCTTGCAATAGATCTCTTTTTCGAGTTAGGACACTTCTAAAGCTCAAAATGGTGCTTTTTTGGCCTAATTCGCGTATTTTGCACACTTTGAAGTGTCCTAACTTAAAAACAAGATCTATTGCGAGAAATTTTTTTCTTGATCTGGGATGAGGAGGTCCTAAAGTACACTTCAGCAAAGTTTCAGCAAAAGTTCAACCGGGTGGTTAGAAATGTTTCTTGGTCAGGTAAAGGTATGAAATATTTCCCCCTGTTCATCCCGATCATTTTTCGATGTTTTTGATCCTCAGAATGAGTGATAATTCACACAATTCAGACGATCGTCCGGACCAAAACGTTTTTATTTGATAAAATTCTGTGGAACATTTGATTTCCTCCGTTTTGTGCACACTTCCGACGTCAATAGACAAGATATCCAGACTCCATGCCCTAATTGAGCAGGAAAACTGGGATTGCGAAATGTCGGCCTGTCTGGCCACATTGTAGCGTTCAGCGCCTGCAGACGCGCCGCCACGCCTCTCTTTTTCTCTGCGCTCTGCTACTCTCTCACTCTGCTGACTCGCCCTGCCATGGCGTACACGATATTTGCGCCGAGTAAGACAACCAAAACGCAATTTTATTAAGAACGCAAGGAAAAAAATTGGTTTAAATTATTGATAAATGAATTCCTCTACTCCTCAGGCATCTGAAACATTCAAATTTGTGGTTGTAGACTTGGGATATTTGACTTGGGAGGCAATAATAACATCAACTCGATAGAAACATTTGAGAAAATTTTATTTTTTCAGTGTTCAAGCTCTTAAGATTATTTTTGAAGGTTTGCTGAAATTTTTCGAAACCAAAATCGAGGCAAAAAAGACAATTGTTTTGTCAGAAAAAAGGGGAAAATGACTCGACGGTAGAGCGTTAGATTTTTAATCTAATGGTCAGGGGATCGCAACCCCGGGGAGGCGAATTCTTTTGTACTCATCAGTTTTAGTTTTAGATCTTCGGAGAGATCTTGCAATTTAATCACAAATCCCCGAATTTTGAATGATGAAAATGTTTCTCGTGACCGTGACATTGAAGCACTTTTGGCAAAGTTTTTTCAAATTTAAAAATAGCTCCGAAGTAATTTTTTCTTTTTGTTCAAGAAAACTACATTAAATATGAAAAACGTCAAGATGAAGGCATCCAGAACTCTTATATTTTTAAAATTCGCCTGTAGTTTTTGAGAGAATTGGTACTGAACTCGAGGCACAAATAGATGTGTGGATGTGTGCTAAATAAGATTGGAAAAAAACCTAGAACAGTTTTTTTCTTCGAATGATCGCATTCTTACAACCGCAACCTTTATGGAAAAAATTCGGTTATGCTACTACTGTATATCTCACTTTTCAAGGTTTTGAATTTTTCTCTTTTTTCACGTAAAGAAATGTGGGACAGCTTGTAAAATAATGTCATCGGGTTTGCAGCTAAATTTTATTTTCCTGAGGACCGGAAAGAAAATAAAAATAACAAAAGAATTCGCCTCCCCGGGGATGCGATCCCCTGACCATTAGAATAATATTCTAACGCTCTACCGTCGAGCCAAGGAGGCTCCGGCAGCTTTGCTTCCCCCTTTCCTGGTCTATGCGAGGTTAGCGAAACTATGCAGTAGAGAAACGGCCTGGGAACTTTTCAGTTTACTCTTTGCCTCCGTCATGTCCCAAAAGCCTTCAAAAAAAAACTTTACGTATATTTTTCATCTGCACGAAACAAATAATCCCCAAAGTATACTCAGAACCTTCGATTGAGTTTTCTGCAAACTTTTTTTAATTATATCATTAAAGCATTATCTTTTTTCTTGCATTCATTTCACTCAATACTGGAAGTTTTGTTTGAATAAATTTAGTCACTGAAATTTTTTTCAAGAAGAAAAATGAAGTCGAATGAATTTTTCAAAGTTCTAGAACGTTCTGCAAAAATCGAGCTCGCTTCTTATTTTTTTTCTTAGAATGGATATTTTTCTCGTTAATTGTCATGACGGACCGGGCGAAAGAATCTCAAAAAAAAACTCGAATCACCGTATTCTTACGCTTTTTTTCTCATAAATTTTTTTCCCGGTTTGAAAAAAAAAATTTGTTGAATTCAAAAATTTGTAACCTTGAATATTTTACTGCCTAGAAAGAGCAGTACTGAAATTTGAGTTCGTTTCAGAACTGATCTATGGATAACCAACTTGGAGATGTCACTATTGCCTTCTTCAGAGCAATTCAAAGTTTGAAATCAACTTGCTCAGCTTTTTTCTCTTCAAAGAAAAATAAGAAAAAGTTCAAAATCAAACCTTTTTGCTTCAACTTTTTCATCGAAAGTTATAAGTTGAACTACATTTATTATACAGCAGTCACCGAGAAGGTGATTGTTGAAAAGTTTTTTTTCCACTCAAGAAAATGTATGATGGCTGATATGCCACCAACATGCAATGCGACGTCGTGCACGATGATGTGTTTGCGGCTATCGTTTTATTGTGTCGATTTGCGTGCCCCTTTGTTTTTTTTTATTCAAGTTCTCAAATCACCTCATAAATGGGCTTTTTTACTCTTGTTGCCGAACACCTAACGTATCAAAAAAGGTTGAACCTTCCACGTTCACAAGAAAAAATACAATTTCATCTTATTTAAAAAATATAATTTCTTCCTATTGAGACACTTTAGAGCACGCGCATAAAATTAAAATAACTTCCAATGACTCTAAAAAAATTACTTTAAAGTTTATCGGTTTCTGGAACAAAATCAAATTAGAGAAATTTTTCAAAACGTTCGCAAATACTGCAAAAAACTGCTCGGCGAGATTTCCGATTGTGGAGGAAAGAAACTGTCGTCACACGACGCCACTTTGCATACTGACGCCAAAGTTGTAAAAGACATTCGGAAACAGCGTCCTCGTATAATATTTTCTGATAACTTGTCTTGTCCATGTTCTGTTCGAAATTCACTCATACATTGGCTAATCATACTGAATTTTTGTTCACGTGTTTTTTTTTCCTTCAAAAAATTTTATCGATAAAACAAAAAAAAATCGAATGATATCTGCATTTTTCCGTCACTTTTGGTAATACCAACACACCCGTTATTTTGGAAATAGTGAAGGTCAAGTTAGAACTCTTTTGAAACCAGTTGAGGTCTTTCACTTTCCCAAAAAGAGATATTCTAATTTGATGTTGGGAATGCGCTGAAAATTGGCTGAGACTTTCTCTGATATATTGAATTGAGATTCTGATAATTTTTAGAAGAGATACAAAAGTATAGTGATGCAACATGTGAACTGATTTTGATGATACTATCAAAGTTTGATGTATTTTTTATGCTTGCGCAAAATCGGAATGGTGGACATCGGCCTTCTATTTTTTCTATGGTTTTAAAGGCTCAAGAAAAGATGTTTAAAGCCTGTTTTTTTAGAGTATCTGCGACACAGACACATTCAGGTCAATTTATGTCTCTCCAAGTGAAACAGGAAAACCGAAATGTTTATGAGTTGAATCATTCAGTTACTTTTTCGAGTTTACTCGGCTATGACCCATTATAAAGTCGAGCCTCATTCGCTGGAGCCTCTTCGTGTCAATTTTCCAACGGTTAACTGTGCAAAACCACGCCCTCTTCTGCGCTCATTAATTGGGCCGCGGCAGCGTTTCGAGAAGAGCTTATCGATTGCCCGATGGACGAATTAGCACAAAATGATAAACAGCTACTCTTCGAGAACTACGCCAAGCAGGGGTCGACAGATCATCTGTTTCAAAAAACATTTTTTTGGGTTCTTTATTAGAGAAAATAATCGAAATACAATAAAAATACAATAAAAAGTTTGATTCGAGTAATGAAAATTAAATAAGAAACAGGGATTACATGTGGATTACATTTTTTTTGGTTTTTGTATTTTTTCAAATTTTTTTGTGTTTTTTTAAATTTTTAGAACCCAAAAAAAATGCATAGATGATTGAATTAAGGAGCAGGATCATTGGCCGTGGCGACGATGGCCTCTTCGTATGAAGGCGGCAGAGTTTCGGGCAGCCGGCCCATCGCAAGGTACTCGTCCAGGTACTCTTGGAGATCTTCTTCGGTCAGCTCCTCACCTCGCACGTTGAGCAAGTTGTCTTGAATTCGAAGTTTAAAAGATTGAATCAAGTCAGAAATGAAACTGTACCTCTGATAATAAAGTAGTACCGCGCTTTGGGGTAGACGATGCCAACGGCAAGATAAAGGATAGAAACAGGCCCATGGAGCATGATCAGGGTCGTGGCAACGTACATGGTGTCTGGAAGAAGTCTTCTGTATTTGGAAAAATCGGGCTATCACCTGGAGAGTAGGGGCCGACAAGAAGAATGAAGGTCATGATCGTGATTGGCGCAGCCCAGAAAATGGTATGCAGGAGGATCTTAAAAAATCGTTTTTCCCTTTCCGGACCAAAGGAAAACCGACCTGAATGTTGAAGATAACCAGGTGACCAATGTTTCTTCTGAGAATGAAGCGGTGTTCCGTACCCAAGTTTTGGACGATTCGGCTAGCACGGTAGAGGAGCCACAACGGCACGAAGTTTTGATAGGAAATGTAGAACACGCTGAACCAAAAGTAGAAGCCCCGCTGGTTGTTGAGGAAGATGACGTCCTTCGGGATCTGTCCCGTCATATTACAGCCGATTTCCTTGAAATTTCGCGTAATCACTTCGAACCAATTTCTTCAAACTCACTTCAATACCAACCTGCTTCATTCGCTCAGGTGTCGAGAATTCGCCGTAAAATAGGAGTTGCACAACCGTCGCAATTATGTAAGCGATCATCACGTAGCATCGCAAGTAGTTCTTTTTCAGGTTCCCGTTGCTTCTGCTGAACGTCACCACCCGGAATTTTTCTTCGAAGGTCGTGATCATGACTTCGTTGATAACTGCAAAAATTATCATTCTTCTTGTTTTTTTCTCTCTCGAAAAAAGCAGTTTAACTTACTGGGCAAAGCGAGAAAGCCCACTGCAGGAAGACACGCAAGTTTTTCGAGTATATTGAAGTGTTTGAAGATGCCCAAGGATCGGAAAGCATGGGAAGGGAAGTAGAATACGGGTCGGAAGGCCATGCACATGTAGACGTTAAAGTTGAAGATCCTGCAATTTTTCAAATTCATTTTTTTCGAATTAGCAAAAACAACAGAGCTGAATAAGTCGCACTCAATACGCTCATGAAGATATAGTAACTCTTTGATATTATTCAGAAATTCTTGACAACTTTTGAAAGGAACTCACATGATCACGTGGGAAGTGATCTGTCTCAGAAGCCACGGGTCTTTGACGGACTTCCAAGGAAAAACGAAGATGACCACAAGCGCGGCAACGATCGTCAGAGACAGGGCGAAGATGGTTGCTGACGTATACATATCTTCCGTGATGCTCGGCTTGGCACACATTCCGATCACCTCGGTCGTCACATTGACGGCTGAAAAATCTTTTTTAATTTTCAAAAAAAAAATCTTTTTTAATTTGTAGAGTTCAGAACCTTTCGTGACTTGCGAATGGAGTGATGGTTTCCCAACAGCAACCACTTCCCCGAACATTTTGCTCAGTTCACCAAGTCTGAAACAGGCTCAACTTGATCGAGAACAACTCAAACTCCGACGAGAGAATTGAGTTTGATTTTTAGTAGCTCATAGAATTAGGTAGGACTCCTTGGAAACAGAAAAGATTATGCGCTCAACCCCATAGGCTTCTGAGAAAAAGGTTTTCGAAGAAATCGAATAAAAGCACTGTACGCGCCTGGACGTTTTTTTTTCTCGCTGAGGAGGGCAGGCGAAGTGGTTAAAAGGTCAGTTTTTCTAATCGTTTTGAATGAGTTCGTTTACTGTCTAGTACACATTTTTTTGCACTTCTCTCAAATTGAAAAATTTTTTTAAAGTCTCAAAGTGATGAAAAAAAGCATTTTTTTCTTCCAATTCATTATCAAAAAAATGCGCTAAGTAAAAAAAGTATTATTCGGTACAACTTTATGCTTTTTCAACTTTTTAGGATTCGTGAGATTTTTTTCTCAATTTTTTTAAATACGAGAGACTATGTTGATAAATATCACTAATTTTTTTGAATATATATGTTACTTTTCATTCAGAAAAAAATGCAAAAAAAGGTTTGCACCCAACAGGAACCGAACCTATTCAGAAGAGTTCATTGCGCCACCACTTCGGTGAGAAAAGAAGGTCCAGGCTCGGATAGGACTACAACTTTTCAACTTGAGACTAGTCTCCGAGTTCGAGTAGTTCCCTAGCTAGATAAGACATGGAGACGGCGAAGACTTTCTTTTAAAAAGAGAAAAGTCGCTCTTTTTGCCTTTTTCTGTGCTTCCCACGGTTTAACGCATTATAAAAAGGGGAATGGAGATGGTGGAAATTCACGTGCAAATTTTTTTTTTTTTGCAAAAAATCACTGATTGGTTTAAGGGAAAGGAAAAAGATTCGAGTGTTGAGACCCATAAAAGTTTTGAAATTTTTCCATTAAAATATTGAAAATCGAAAAGAGAGCTGTGTGAAGATCGAGAAAGGATGATAATTGAAATAAACGATTCGAAATGAATACGTGGCGCGTTGGGAAAATGGTCTGAGCGTCGTGGAGAAAAATCCACCCACGCGTGATTGATCGAAATTTTTACAGTGCTGCCCTGGCGAGCAGAGAAAACCAGGAAAAACGTTCTTAACTCAAAAAAGTCAATGAAAAAAATTGAAATCAAATTTCTTGAATACGATCTTTTTCTATAACATAAGAATGTTAACTATCATGAGCTTAATGGATAGTTTTTGGAGTTTTGAATTACTTGCTCGATTTTTAGAGGCTTTAAACGTAAGTTTTAGAAATCCACCAACGTGTGATTAATAGAAATTTGTACAATTTTGCGTTGGCGAAAGAAGGAAATCATAAAACTAATTCTTAACTTGAAAACTCTGATTGTAAATTGCGGTCTCAATTTTTCTTTTTTATCGCCCATTAAGATTAACTACAGTGGAAAGTGCAATGGATTTTGAAGTTTTAAATGACTTGCAAGATTTTAAAAAGTTTTGAGCTTGAGGTTCTAAACTCATAGAATAAGAACTGGAAAAAAGGTTGACTGGATGAATCCATGAAAAAAAAGTAACTCAAGGAGAGTTGGCGTGACAAAAAGAAAAGGGCAGAGTTTCCAGAAACAGAAAGTTTGAATCGAAAAATTGTGACCAGCCATTCGTTTTTATGGGTATATATACGGCAGCTGCAAAAGTGTTTAGAGTGCTCTGAGAACTATTCGAAACTATCCGTGCCCCTCCCCTTACGCCCACTGTTTTTGAAACTTCTAGGAATGATCGAAGACCAAATTTCATTTGGATATTTGAAGAAACTAAAGAGAAAAAAATTGCAAAGAATAGCTTATGGATCAAGGAAATCAGCTTTTGATAATTTTCTGGTTGGGTTACGGTTTTTTGAAAGAAAAGCATGCCTAAGATCTGGCCAGAGAAGAAAGAGAACTTTTTTGACAGATTGAGTCTAAGCTTTGATGGTTTTTTGGTTTGAGAAAGATTGCAGCGGGCGACAGGCGATATAGACGAATCTTCTTGCTACAAACTCGTCAAAGTCTCGCTGCCATATCCAATCCTTTCACAAATTTCAAAACATTTTTTTCGCTTTGATTTTGTTTTTTATGATGAAATGTCTCAACTTCAGAGCGATATAGCGCATGATTTTTGCGTGGTCGCAGCGAGAACCGAGCGATAATTCTTGCGGTTCCCCGCGACATAGCGCTGCTCTCGTCGCGATGTAGTTCATAATATTGGGTGTTGCACATGGCGAAAATTTTCAAAAAAAAAAAACTGTTTCGAGTATGAAAAAACGTCATTACCGCGCACTTTCGAAAGGGTTTCTGATAACACCTCAGGAGGCTCAGAAAACGAATTTTTTTGTTCCTGATGGCTTTCAGTCAGTTCCAAACCATCAAATTTTGAACAGCTTGATTAATATACTGGTCCTGAGATTTCAAAAAATTGCATCGACTTTAAACTACTTTCCAGACGTTTTGAAACTATGAGCCAACTTGATCCGGAATGTAGAATTCTTTCGCTCAATAGGGGCTTTAGTGGGCAGGAAACCGAAAATTGTGTAAAAATTCAATTTTGAAAAATAGAAACTTTGACCCCGATCAGGAACTGTATATATTTTTACTCCGAAAACCCTTTGCGTTCGATGATTTCTCATTCAAATAAATGTGCGTGGTCAATCTTGAAAACTCAATTAATACCCAAAATAGAAGTTCTCACTATTAAGGCCGACAGAGTTTTTTTTGGATAGTTGTAGACTTTTTTTCAAATTTTTTTAAATAGCTCTTCAGAGTTCAAATTTTCTTCTAAAAAGTGGGTTTAACAACGAAATATTCAATTTCTCGTTTCGTTGTCTTGATCCCAACTTTCGTTCCAAGCAAGCAAATTTCATTTGCTTCTGGCATTGAGCTAGCTGATACCTATTGAAAATCCGTGGAAAGTTTCGAAAAATTGGAAGCATTCAAAAATATTCATGCCCAGAAGACCACTTCGAAGTATCTTTAAGATTAGTACCGTAGCTTTTCCAATAACGCGAGTTTTTGGGTATATTTGTAACAGTGATGCTAATTGTTGAGGAAGTTCAGGCCAGTTTCATGTATGTGCTCTACTTTTCCGCCTGAAGTTCGTTGTAACGAACTTTTGCGAGCTCCGCAATTTCCACCGAAAAAAATCGACAAAATTCAGAGAAAAATGGTTTCTTGCAGAATTTTGAATGAAACAAGATCGGCGAAAACCGTCTTCCTCTGTAGACATACACGTCGAGATCTTTCTTTGCTCGCTTCTTTCACACATACTAATCACTCACTTTCCTCCGTGGTACTGCATATTCTTGGGAGAGCAAACAATTCTGTTTGGCGCTGTTCTGATGTCAAATCGAATTTAGGATCTAAGAAACCAACCGTACAAACAAAATATTCCATGGATTCAAAATGATGTTAAGTGATTTCTCTGCATATTCGACAAACAAACAAACGAAATCTAATTAAAATCGTATCGAAAGTTTTCGTAACAGAAACTTGGGAGAATGGAAAGCACGCCACGAAGGAGAAAAATAAAATGACAGTGATGAAATGGTTTTGAAGAAAAGAAGAGCGCAACCGTCAAAAAAAAGCTTTTAGCTTTTATCCACAGTTTAAAACCGCCTTTCTTTTTTTGTTATCTTTTTTAAACAGACGTTTTAAGAAAGCTCCTGTTTTCCTTTTCCCGTCGAAGAGAAAGGTTGCTGGATTGAAGGACCTTGCCAGATGGATGGAAATAAGAAATTTGAGAAAAATCTTGATATTTTTTTAATAACATGGTCACTGAATGAACACAATAATATTTAAAACAGAGATGCTGAAAAAGAAGAACTTTTGTATTCGTAGAGGTCTTATTTTTTTTATTTTTGAAAAATGTCAAGTTTGGCACTAAGCAGAGATTTTTTGTTAGGCAGTTTTTTTAGGTTGGCTGTAAATTATTATACACATTTATTTCAATTTTTCAAAGAAAAATTCTCTGCTGGATCATAGAATAATTGAAGACTTCTCCTCAGTTCGCGAAACTGTCGTCGATCAAGAAGTGGAGCATCATTTCTTTATTGGTCGAGATTTGTGACCGTTCCGACGATCAGTTACTTTTCCATGTAGGAACTGTATAGGGCCCAGTTTTTCCGGAGATTGCGGGTTTCGGATGAAATCTCAGACGAGAACGGAAAAGAAGATCGACCACTCGGGAGGTAGAAATGAGATGAAAATCATTAAACTCATTGTAAGATTCGGAATTAAAAAAATAAGCTTTTCAGCGGACGGCTCAAAATCTTTAAAAAAAATTCTCTAATGGCACAAAAGTATACCTAACATCTACAAGAAATTTTTTTATAGTTTTCATTTAAAAAAACTCTAAAACGATGATTATCAAAACTATCCTTTTTTCCGGAAATAACCGACTTGCCATCAGTTCAAATCTTCCGTGTCACATTTCACTTCGGTTCTTGTTGGTTTTTTCGAATTGTTTGTAGATCTATCGATATGAAAGATTTTGTAGTGCATTTTCCGAAAAAAGACACGCCGTAGTGCCAGCTCACCGTTAACATTGGAAAAAAGCTCTTGTATACATTTTTGAGATGGATTCTCTCTCCTCCGGTTCAATGCTCTCGAAACTGTTAAGACGTATTTCGCAGCATTCGATGTTTTGCAATGCAGGTGGAAGGCGGAAAGGTTTGTTTCTGTCCAGGTTTCCCAACTTTCCACCTATCGAGCGTAGGTTTCTTTTATCAAACTTTTCACTAAAAGCCTGTTTTTCAGATGTCTAATGGATTTCGGGTTCTTCTCGGATGTTTGGTCTTCGTCACTCTCTTCGTGCTCGCCGTAGTGCTGACCCTTTTGACGTCTTCGCCCTCCACGTCTTACGACAGGTGTTTTATAGGGGATTTAACTGTTTCAAACGCGATTTAAGTTCAGAAAGAACGATCATTCGCTCTTGCCTTTGATTGTCAAGAGTCCTGCTCTGAAGAAGCTGCACACCTCTGGAGATCTCTTCTGCTGGGTTCAAACTTCAAAACAATATCACGACACTCGCGTGAGATGATTCAAGTTTTCTTAGTCATCATTTTTGATGAAAATCTAAAAAAAGTTTGTTATCATTAAAAAAATTTCTGGTCTTACTGTAATCCCGATTTCATGGAAGCATGCCTTTGCAAATAGATGATTCAAGTTTTCTTAGTCATCATTTTTGATTAAAATCTGAAAAAAGTTTGTTATCATCAAAAACATTCCTGGTCTTACTGTAATCCCGATTTTATGGAAGCATGCGTTTGGAAAGAGCAAAAATTATTTCCGCTCCGCTGGGTTTCTCAATAATTAAATAACACATTACGGTATTCTGAGTCATATGCGTGGGCAATGTTGTTCACTCTGTCCCACGCTTAATAGAATAATCTTTGCAGAAAAGGTCGTACGAATTTCGAACTCTTGTCGAAAAAAATAATTTTTTTTTGCAGGAAAAAAAATAATTTTTTTGCAGCGTTTTTTCTAAGAATGAGCATGATTTTTTTTTAGTTCGAGGAGATTATTTTTTTCAATACAGAGTTTCGATTTTGGAAAACTTGAAGCTTGAGTGCAAGTTTGGCTTGCGCCCTATTTTGGGACAAGATCTCAGAAAAGGCTGAAGCTTAGACGCAAACTTTGAGTTTAGGTTGACGCTCAGTTTTCAAGTGCTGTACTGCACTATCGGCTGGAAATTCAAGATGACTTTTGAAAACAAGTAAATTGAACAAGTTGAGAACTTCGGAAAGTGTTCTATCAAACTGTCAAGAAGTTTGGGCCTTTCTTAAAAGTTAGCAAAGCTGAATTTCGCGGCTAAGTATCTGAAAAGTTACTTCCAATAAACATAGAGGAAAAAAAAAAGTTTTCCAGGCACTCGCAATAAGCGAAACATGGATAAGACGGTGCACGCACGGCCAACTGTTCACATCAGAGCCTTTCGAAGACGATAACATTCCATACTCGACAGTTTTCGCCGGTGAAAGCTCTCTTTCCACCAGATTTTTTGAGAGAGCAAGTTTCAGGCATCCCGGACGAGTATTCCAACTTGTTTTACAAAAGCCGTTATGCTTTCCATTACATTTACCAACACATCTCAAAAGATTTCAGATGGTATCTCAAAGTCAGTTTTCTTTTTGCTTCCAAGTTTTTTTTTTGATTTTTCAGGCCGATGATGATACCTATGTGATTGTAGAACACCTGACTAACTATTTATTGACGTTGGATCATGATAAGCCTTATTTTCTCGGATACGTCTTGAAACCGTACCTGGTGATTATGAAAACCATTAGAAAGCATCAAAATGACTGTTCTATTCAGGACCGCGGATACAATGCTGGCGGAGCCGGCTATGTTTTATCTCGCGCGGCTCTTAAAATTTTCAGCGAACAGCTCTATCCGAACGAAACGCTCTGTCCTGATAACATCTACGAGGACGTCGGGATCGCAAAGTTTATTTTTGTCGTTTTTACACTTTTCTCTCAAAACCTTTTCAGCTGCCTAGCGAACGTTGGTATTTTCCCTGGAGACACGAGAAACAGTAAAGGACAGAATCGCTTCAATGCTTTCAGTCCGGCCGATGTCTTCCATCAGAAAAGTGGTGAAGCCGATTGGAGATACTACCCTGAGAAATCGGTGAGAATAGACAAATAAACGAAACTTCTCAAGCCTTTAAAAAATCAAATTCTAAAAAAAACTTTGAAAATATTTAGTTTCTTTCTCACTAGGGAATAACTCGGACTCGGATACGCGTTTCGAGTTGAAACTTTGGTGACTTATAGACCCGGGTAAGAGTACTCGAAAACAAGAGAGATCATTTGCTAAACCCCATAGGCTTCTGAGAAAAACCTTTTTGAAAATGAGAATTTTAGGCTTAAAAATTATCAAATTTTTGCTTAAACCTTTTTTTAAACTTTCAACTTTCAGGGTTACGATGCTTTCGCGAGAGACTTCATCAGTTTCCACAAGCTGGCTCCCGATGAGATCCGTCTGTTCGACATCCTCCTTTACCGGACCGAATAAAAGATTTCGGTGAATTTTACTTGTAATCTGGAGTCCAAAAATTTTTTTCAGGTCGGGGAAAAGTTGCTGAATTTTCTCTGCCAACACGAATTTTCCCTTGTACTCGTCGCACATAAAATTTTTCTCACAATTCAGCTGTTGTCCTGAAGAAATGAATAAACCTTAAAACTCGCACGTTAGTATTTAGCCTCAGGTATTCAACAATGAACTGATGCTTCCGCCTATTTTATTACACTAGAAACATTCTGTTCAGAGTTTCTCCGACGATCATGAAAATGATTCATATTTTCGGACAAGGAAGTAGTTCTGCAACCATTCTTGTCAGTTCGAGTAGTAATTTTTTATACATATAAATTGTCTGAGAACTGACCTTGAGAGAAAGGGAAAAATCTACCCCTCTCGACGTATTAATCAGACTATCAAGCGCAATACCTGCCGGTTGTAGATAATCAAGAAAAATTCCCCAAAAAATCTCATTACAGGAACTGTTTCTAATGTTGCCCGAAATGTTACGCAATGAAAAAGCCATTCAAGAACAAGGAACCCAGTTTGCCGCTAACCTCCATTTTTGGAAGGTGAAAACTTCACAGAACACAAATGACCTTTTTGAGAGGAACAAAAAAGGAAAAAGTTGCCTCTGATGTTGTCTGGAAACTGGAATTAGGTTTCGAATTCACACTCTTTAGATAAACGGTATTTGATAAAAAAATCTTTTTTTGGAATTTTTGAAAAGAAAATACGTAAACGAAAACAAACCATATATATTTCATAGTTAATCGGGAGATTTTTTTAAGCGTTGTTATTAAATCGACCTCTCAGAAAGTTAATAAATGCCTACTAGGGAACTATGCAAACTTGTACTTGCGGATCGAGCTCCAAATTTTGTGGTTTATAGACCTACGTCAGGGTACTTGAAAGCAAGGAAGATTCTCTGCTAAACCCAAGAAGGCATGGAGAAAAAACGTTTTCTTGGTGATTCTTGTAGCCGAATCATCCAAGGCAACCGTGTTGAGTGAAAGATTAAAATAAAAAAAATTATTTTAAAATTTTCAAGCCTAATCTGCCCATTCTAAATCAGATTTTTCTAGATACTTCATCGGGTTCAGAAGATAATCTTCTTTGTTTTTAAGTATCCTGACCTAGGTCTATAAACTACCGAAGTTTGAACTCGATCCACGAATACAAGGTTCTTATCAAATTGACCTCTCAGGAAGTGAATAAATGCCCACTTGGGAACTATGCGAACTCTCTGTAAGTGAAGTCTCTATAATTTTTACGATTCATGAGAAGTTCTTTAGAGCTATTACAGTTATTCCATGGAAATAATTTGATAAAGATCCAAGGAAAAATACACTTCTCCTTCAAAGTATCAAAACCTATAGACAAATTTAATCGATTTTTTTTTATCAACCATCACAAAGGGAAGCTTTGAATAAAATTTGAATTACTTCCTGCTTCATAATCTTCATTTATTACTATTTGAAGCTTCTAGAAGTCGTAAAAAATAACAGTCCCAACGAATTATATTTGAAAGCCTTTGAATAGTGTTTTTGCCTGTGTTTTTATTCTTCACTTGCCTTCAATTCATTGCGTTTCAAACCTTCTTTCTCATTTTAATTTTATTGAGAAAATGAGAAAGCCAACAACAGAAAGATGCCGTTTTGGGCGGAATTCAAAGGAACAAAACAACCAGAGTGACCTCGGACCATGATCAAGGTAAACTCGTTAAGAAGGCCCATGGATGGCTTTTCTCTCGAATGAACTGAAATTGCCGAAAAAACAGTGTAAAGTTCGAGACTTTCCATTTCGCGAATGATTTTCTCTTCCGCCTTCTGGCCGTTTCAAGCCGCCGCCCCTTTCTACAACGGCAACCTATAAAAGAGACAGAAAACGAGGAAAATTCACTGACCAGGACCGGCCGGCGTTCTGCAGTCAAGGTAACTTCCTCGTTAAGTTCGCCGCAATTTTTAGAACAACTTCCAGTTTTTCAAAACATTTTTTTCAAATAGTTTTCTTTTCCAATTTCAAAACGGCACCTTTCCAGATGACCAACGATGATTCAAAAGAAGTTGCCTACGAGACGGAGAGTCTGAGGAAATTAGCGTTCTTCGGTCAGTTTGAAATCAGATCGAGCTTTTATTTCAAGTGAATTGTTCAGGAATCGCAGTTTCGACGATTGCGACGTTGACCGCCATCGTGGCTGTTCCTATGTTGTACAACTACATGCAGCATGTTCAGTCGTCTCTCCAATCCGAGGTTTTTTTTTTTTAATTTTCAATAGGTTCCAAAGACACACAAGACATACAATTAATCAAAAATTTCAGGTTGAGTTCTGCAGACATCGATCCAACGGACTCTGGGACGAATACAATCGCGTGAGTTGCACGCTACTACAAGATTTTGGCAAATGAAGAGTTTCAGTTCCAAGACGTCGCTGGAGTAGAAGGCCGAATCAAGCGATCAACCTACCAACGACACGCTGGAGTCGTCGGACAACATGCGGCCCGCCCAGTTGCCCGCAGACAAGCTGAAGGAAGCTGCTGCTCGTGCGGCGTCGGATCTGCTGGACCTCCTGGCGCTCCCGGTCAGGACGGAAACCCAGGAAACGACGGTCAGCCAGGTGCTCCCGGCGCTCCAGGACCCGACTCTGGAGACAGCAACTCTAACAACGCTCCAGAATTCTGCTTCGACTGCCCACCTGGTAAAAATTTTGATATCTTGACATCTAAAAACGTCTAACATTACCTCATATTGATATTTTGCAGGACCAGCCGGACCAGCTGGTCGTCCTGGTCCAAAAGGATCTCCAGGATCACCAGGCGCTCCAGGATCTGGAGGAGGTTATGCTCGCCCAGGACCACCAGGACCAGCCGGACCACCAGGAGCTCCCGGAGCACCAGGACAGTCCGGAGCTCCAGGACAGCCCGGAGCACCAGGACAAATCCGCGACGTTCCCGGCACTCCAGGTCCAGCTGGACCCCCTGGACAGCCTGGCCCAGCTGGAGCTCCAGGACAGCCAGGAGCTCCAGGCTTCTCACGCCCAGGAGCGCCAGGACCAGCCGGAGACGCCGGAGCGCCAGGAGCGCCTGGACAGCCCGGAGCACCAGGTCAGCCAGGAGACGACGGAGATTCCGGAAACTCTGGCAGCTGCGACCACTGCCCACCACCACGCACTGCCCCTGGATATTAATTCATTTTGTAAAAAAAAAAATCAATCAAGGCCTATTTTATTTGGTTCAATGTATCCAAATTTTCCGCTCGCTTTGCTTTTTGCACTGCCTTTTGTACAGTGGTCCCCACGAGAGAGCACCGCGTACATATAGTTTCGATTGTAGCTTTCAATTCAAAAAAGAAAAATAAACTTTTCTGCAATGAACTTTGAAAACAGAACAAAGAACATTTACATGGTCAATAAAACTGCAAATGAAGCAATCAACAATGAAAAATTTTGCTACATAGCCTTAATTGTCGTTTGTTCCTTATAAATGCCTATAAACGTAGTTTAATCCAAAACTTGGTTTAAATATTTTTGAAAGAACAACCTTAATAATATCAAAAAAAGAAAAAAATTAGAAATGTTTAAACACATCGAAAGGTTTTTTTGGGTGTTCCATTAACTGAACATTTTTTATATCTCTGCATTTTTGTGCCGTTTTCAAACTACATACTACAATAAAGCTACAAAAACATACCGAAATTGAGACGTATTGACTTTCGTCCATCGCTTTCGTTGCTTGTCTATCCATAAAACCGGTTTTTCCTTTTTACAGAGCAAATCTGTCTTCTTCGTAGCCTTTCGGGTCCCGACAACATCTGAAAAACTTTCAGTGGATAAAAGTGTAACAGAGTCGCGTCTGGCGCTCCTTAACGTCTCTAAAAAATTTGATCGAAAATTATCGAAGAATGGGAAGAGAAACAATGAGAAAAAAATTGAAAGCTTTTTGCAAAAAATTTAATCAACGATAATTTGAATGAAAAAATCGAAAAAAATTTCTAACCTCATTTAAATGCTTTATATAACAAACCTAAGTATGCTAAAAAAAACTTTTAATTCTCATCTTTCACTGTAAAATTTAGCTGATTCTGCCTCACCAATTTGGACAATTTGTTTCGAATTACTTGAAGTTTATTTTGTTTTTTCAAGCTATCTGCAAATTTTTCATGTAGTTCTAGAGCTTTTTTTAATATCTAGGAGACTTTGTAAGAAAATTAAGCTCAGATCCCCTTATAACAATGGAAAAAAAGGAAAAGAAAGAAAATCTCATAAAAAACTTTTACTGTTCCTGATAAAATAAATTCAATGGTATTGATGCAAAAACTTATGCTGTTCAGGGTACATAGGAAACAAAAAAAAAGAATAATAATTTTGATGGAAAAGTTTAAAGAATAAAAAAAGTTATTTTTACAATATTCTAAATTACCGTTCACTTTTCGAGTATGCAACCTCGAGAAAGAGTGTCTTCAGAAAACGCTTTCTTAGGCGAGCAAAAGGTGCGCACTTTTTGTGCAATATTTACGCTCATTTTGCTGCTCAGGATTTTTTTTGCTCTTTCGTTCTCAAACGCCCAATATTTAGTACTTCTGAATGAACAGTACAGTTTTCCCGGTCTCATTTACAAATTCTGAACGTCCTTCTGCACAAATTGTATTATTTAGGGCATGGAAAACAGTATATCAGCGTTTGAAAGTTTGAAAGAACATATAAAAGTCTAGAAAAATTGCTTTAAAAAATATTGATCCATTTTCTTTTTTTTTTGCAGGCTTAGAATTTCTGTTTTTGCAATAGTTGTTTTTTCCGATATTATTCCATACAAGTTTAATTTCATTTGTATTGATAGTCGAATAAATTTCAAAATTAATGGCAAAGCATGAACTATAACCATCTTATCGCTAATTTCATGCCAACGCCAAATTTCTCCTATCAAAGTGAGGTTTGTTGAAAATTTGCTGCCCAGCAGTTCATTTGACTCAATATAAATAATGGCTTTTTTTTTTGCTATGTGAGGCTTTAGAAATCGTCTTTGTCTTCAAAACTGCATTGAGGCTTTTATAACCTTCTATAAAAAGAATCAGAAACTGAACCTTCTCCACTGTTTTTTTTTTATTTATTTCGCTGCTCTCTCGCTGTCGTTTTCTTATTTCAAAATGTTTTCCTAAAATTTCAGAAATGCACTGCTTTCTGGTTTTTGAATGATTCTGAAGAAAAGATGTCAAAATGGCGGAGTTAGTCGTCAAAACTATAAAACAGCTAGAATCACCAGACGTCAATGTTTCGGAGGAAGCTCGACAAACTCTTCTTGTCCAGATATCTTACGGTAATCAAGGACAACTCGATTTTTTCAAAGATTTGCAACATTTCCAGGGTCTGGCGTCACGAAACTTGTGGAGTATTACATTGAAACCAAGTCAGAGAAAGCAGTTGATTTACTTCAAAAAGTCCAAGAACCTCATGATGAAGTGAGTTTTTTTTTCAGGTCTACCCAAATTAATTTAAATTTTTTTTTAACTCCACTAGAGATTCTATTTTACAGGATCTCTTGAACTGTCTCGAACACTTTATCAAGTCAAAGGGCTCAAAATCAGCAATTGCCATTATTTTGTTAGGTAGGGTTTTTTTCAAATAGTAGCCCATATCGTATTTTTTGTAGGCCAAATTGTTCAACAAGCTCCGAGTTGGACTCCGAAAATTTCTTCTCATTCTATTTTTCGGCTGATACTGTCGTTCGTGCAAGAAACTTCGGTATGTTGAAACTTCAATTCAGAATAGTATTGATTTTTTAGCACGATGGCAAGGCCGAAAACTGTGTTTCTGGAATTCTGATGCTGTGCATTTTGCTCCCTCATTGCAGCGGCCTGAACTATCCGATACTCGCTATTATTTTCAACACATTCATTGCTGTGTGCAATTTTTTGAGAAAACAAGTGAGGAAAATTTTATAATTCTTGAAACTAAAATAAAATAACCTGGAAACAAAATAGACTTTCAGAACAACTCGAAAAGATTTCTTCTTTTTTGCTGGAGTGGTAACATCTGATTAATATGTGTTCTGATTCTTACCTTTTCTTCTCAAGTATCTTTCTCGAAAATGTCCAAATTCTATGTTCTCTATTGTTTTTTTGTTATTTTTTTCATGATTTACAACAGAAGAAGGGATTTTACTCGAAACTGAAGCAAAAAAATACTAAACGTAATGAAGAGAAATTTTGGGTGATTGGGGGTTTGTCTTTCAAATTTCGAGCAAAAATTCTTTTTGTTTTCGCGTAAACCTTTCTTTTATCAGAAGATTTTCAGTACCGTGATGTATCTGCAATGGACTTTGACGACGACAGAAAAAGAGGGAATCGAGAAAGAGAAGCGATAACAGCTAGCCATTTATCGTGGGCAACTCGCGAATTTTTCCATATCCTTTATGGGATTTATCCACAAAACTTTGTCTATTTCTTGAAGTGAGTTTTATTATATTCTGTAATCTGTGACATTTTATTTTTTTCCAGGCAATATTTTGGACGGGATGGGAACGCCGAGCGTTCAGTTGTACTTCACATTGTTTTAAATCCGCTACTTTCCAGCGTACGACTTCATCCGAATCTTCTCATCATGACGCGAGAAAAAGAAATATCAAAATCGCGGTAAGTGATCCTCTCTCATTTTTTATTCACATATTCTCTAAAGATAAAAAGTAATCTTCGCAGATGGATGCAAAGAGAACCACACGACTTTCTTCATGAAAGTACAAATGTGGTTATTGGAGCGCTACCACCGCCGATGTACAACTACAAACTGAGTACGTTCTCGAAATATTGGACTTTCGTACTTTTTGGATTTGCAGTAGATACAATAGAAGAAGAAGTGGAAGATTCGGCACAATGGACCAGTTTATTGAGTGACCGTTCAGGGGTGCAAAAACGACCAAAGATGAAAAAAAAATATAGTTTGAAAGATTTCTTAACTTTTGATTGATCAATAATTTCAGAAGAAGAAGAGCTGGATTTGGCAATTGAAATGACTCCAGAAGCCACAGATGATCTGATCGCAGACACGTTTTCTTTGATGTCGGGAATGTGTGGCCCTTCGACTTTGGTCAAAAAGAAAGTTTCCTGTCCCAATGGAAATTCTTCAGGAACATTCGGGCTGCCAAAAAAATTTCATCGGTTTATTTTTTTCTTTCAGTTTTAGAACTTCAGATAAAAAAATTTTCAAAAAAAATCAATGGATACATAGTTATGTTTTTTTTTGGCTTTTCAAAAAAATTGAACAAATTTTTCAAATAAAGAGAAAATTCTCAAACCCAAAATTTTACAGAAACGTCACAGTCTCATCTCAGAGGCAACCAATGCTGCTCCATTAGAAACGTCTAACAGAAGCATCGTTAACCGGCTTTATAAACAGCTTGAAAGGTATATCGATCGTTTCAAAAATAAGCTTACATCTTCGATTCAGGGAACAGAAGAAAGAAAACTTAGAGCTTTCCAAGGAAGCCGGTGCAATCGAAATTCTCAAGCCTGATGGAGAGCTCGGAGAGATGCAACTGGTAAGATTTTGAAAATAGCCCTTTTAAGGCTGATTGTGGCAGAGATTTGAAAAAATGTCGCTGATAGGGAAAAATATTAGAAAGTGTGTCTTATATTGAAAACTGAAGAGTGCGCCGAAAAGCTTTTTTTGCATCTTCTTTCTCGAATTGTTTCCAGATCTAAATAAATGTTTATAATTCATTTTGATTATGCTTGAAATAATAGACGAAGATGCTTCACACATTCCCACTAATAATGTCAATAGTCGTCCTTCTTCAGAGAGAAGGACAGTCACCACCCTCAGGAGTTTCCATTGCTGAAGACGCTTTGGCTGACCTCGTCGAACCTTTGACAGTACCGCAAGAATACTACGACGACTCCCCGTCGGATTGGGACGAAAGCCCGGCAGCCGCGACCCCAGATTTACAAAGAAACACGGATTCTCCAGCGAGCTCTGTTTTTTCGGATGCTTCCGACAGTATTGTGTGCAGCCGACCTTTTGATCTGGCCCCGTTTTCGGATCGACTTCCTACAAGTAGCAGTAGTCCGCCACCTAAGATCCAAGGAAGAATCATTTTCGGAATGGAGGAAGTTCATCCAAAGAAGTTGAAAGTGGAAATCGTAAAGGTTTGTTGAATGAAATTTACAAAAAAAAGCGCATTAAATTTGTAATTACAATTTCATTGTGCGATGTTTTCTTTGTTATACAGAAAAGTGGAGTAAAACGTTTGCCAGAAGTTTATTAAAGAAAAAATCCATTCAACACTTTTGCCACTTTTCCCATCAATGTTTTCAGCCTGTGCTTGTGAAACCGTCGTATAAGCCCGGAAATAGTCTGAGGAAAATTCTGCCGCCCAAAGACTTTGTTTTTCCGAAGCTTGTTCCGGTGAGACTCTTCGAGAGGTCAAAACCTTTTGACGTGTTTTGTTCAGAAAGAGCCGCAAACAGAAAGACAGAAGTCAGAAGAGCTCACAATTCAAGAAGAACCGCCGAAAGCAGAAGGAGTCGAAGAGAATAAAGAAGAAGTCGAACAAGATTGGAAGCAAAGACAGAAATCCTTGCTTGCTGCTGCGAAGGCGGCTCGCGTGACTTTGAGAAACCGCGCGGCGACTGATTCGATCATCAACTCGATCGCCAGCGAGACTTCTGCATTTATGAGGTTTGAATCGGAAAGATCTGCTACGTTGTTTGAAAAAAACACATCCAGCATGATCCACGATATGTCTGGGAACAGTTTGTCTTTCATAAATCTATGAATGAAAACAAAATTGCCAACTTTTTCAAGGTCCCCCCAAAAAATTTGTAAAGATTATATTTGAGATAGAGAACTTTTGATGGATATATTATTTTTTTATGCATATGCTGCTTGATTGCTATTAATTTTTTAAAACTTTTTCTCCGAGTCCTTAAGAAATTTTCTATAAACGACGTTTTAAAAGTTTTTTTTTTCTGATTCAAAATGATTTTTATTCGGCTTTTTGAATACTGTGTACATACTGTGAAGTTTAGTAGATAGTCTTCAGAACATCCATGCTTTAACAGAAACTTTTTTTCAGCACCGAAAAACTGGATGGATCTCCCACTTCAAGTACTGCCGACGTTTTGCTTGGTGTTCAAGTGAATGAATAATATTAATTGTAAAAGTTTTTTTTCTTCAAGGGCTCTACAACATCTGAAAACCAGTTTTCGTTTGAGCCGCAACAAAGAAACAGGCTGTCATTCACAACTCTCATAAATCGGTTGAACAAGTCGAGATTCTCCTACGAAAATCCAGCCCGAACCGCGGAAGAAATTCGGGACCACCGACTGAAAATCTTCTCTCCGAAACTGTAATTTTATCTACCGCTTTGGTAGTTCATGATGAGAATTTTCAGACCAAAGTCAGGTTCCTGTCCAGATCTTTCGAAATACGAAGATGTCAATATCAAAAAAGAGGATTTGAAACTGAAACCTGAGCTTGTCAATCAAGTGTCGGTGATCACATCGGAGAAGTTGACGGACAAGTTTCCTTACCTCACACTCATCAATAACAACAATGATGAGATCTGTGCGTTAATAATGATTCAGTGTATCAATAATTTTGATAATTTCAGATGTTTCTTTCGAGAAACAGCTGGAAAAAAGAAATGAGAACAGGAAAGGGATGTACATGCGAAAAAGCATGGTGAGTGAGAAATTTGAATTTCATTTTAAAAACTTTGTTTTCAAGGAATTCCACAACTGTCTGAAAGATCTCGGGATGGCGGATCGGTTACCTGGTAGAATTTACGACGACATGTCCCAAATTATTCAGGGGCTATCCGTGGACAAACAAGTATTCTGATTTTTTTTTAAATCGGTAAATGGAAATTTTAGCGCGACATTCTCCGAGCACGGTTGAATCTTGTGAACCAACATCTTCTCTACGAACAAAGTTGCCGCTTGCTGCATTCCAACCGCAACAGACGTCTTTTTGGACGTCTGAAACAGCAATCAGTACATTCGAGTAAATGTGTAGAATTTATTTTGATTTTTCAGGTTTCCGAAGCTGAGTATGTGTCCTTGAAACAAACCATTTACGTTCTCATGAATGAGAGGTTCAACTTTTTTTATCATTAAAAATCTTCGCCACCGGGGAATTTTCAGGAAAGAGCTGGTCTACTCCTTAGAGAACATGAGAAAAGAAAACATCGAGAAAGAACAAGAATTGGTGGATTTGTACGACAAGGAGATAAACAGGATAAGAAAGGCTGAAGAACGTTCTGAAGAACTGGCAGAAGAGCTGAGAAAAATGCAATTCAAGTGGCAGGCACAGGAGCAGTATTTTAAAGGATTGGGAAATGTGATTTTGTCTTTTTTTCCAGAAAATTTTGAATTTTTCAGCTCGAAATACTCAACCGGAAAACGATCGATCAAGAAGTAGAGATTTCGTTATTGAAAAAGCAAATCGGCAAATATGAGGTTGCGAAATATTCCTTAAACATTTGATTTTTGAGAATTCAGATCATGATCGAATCCATGTACAAAGCACAGCGAGAAAATCAGGCCCTGAAAGACAAGGTGGGAATCAACCAAAGAAAAAACTCATTTAAAAAGATGGGGAAATTGAGAAAATTGTGTGAAGAACTGTGTTGGAAAAAATGAAAATGATCCCGTTGGTCTTGAAAATTTTTCTGATAATGTTCAGAGTTCATTCTTAATATGACTTTTTTCACGTCGGTTCGGGTTGAAAAAACACAAAAAAGTTCCCAGTTTTATCCGACAAAAAATGACACGTTGTTCGTTCCCCAACTTTCCACGTGTATTCACTACAAAATATAAGTTTTCCTTCAGATCAAGCAGTTACGAGCTCAAACTCTCGCTAAACACGATTGTCATTCTCATCTCGAAATCGAGGCCCTGAACAATCAATTGGAAAAAGCTCGAGCCGATCTGATTCATTGGAAAAACTTGTGTGACCAGACCGCGTATGTTTTTTTATACTTGAATTCATTATTATTATTACTGTTTTAAGCACCGCTCTGGAATGTACCGAAGAAGATTTGAAAATGGAAAGAGACAAAGCTGCTCAATTGCACAACGATTTGTGTGAAACGACCAGGGTACTTGCGTTTTTCATATCAAAAATTTTAAAAATTTTGAGAATGAGAATTGTTGACTTTTTAGCAAAGCGATTGTATACTCGACTCGATGGAATACCGAATCAAGGCGCACGAAACTGTCAGAACGAAAAAAATGAGGACGTCATGAACTTGATGTACTCCAAGATTGAGGTTAGCGCTTTTTCTAGTTTTGCGTAGTTCATGTGGTTTATCCGGAATATTTCGCTGGAATGTTCAAAACTTCAAAAAGTTTAATTAATTTGAGTGTCAAGTCGTTGGCGTTAAACTTACTTCAAAACACTTTGTTAATCCACTGAGAATTTTTAATTATTGAAGAGATTTTGAAAATAAAAAAGCAGAAAAACTTTAAAGTTCAGTCTAATGAAAAAAAGTTCTTGCAGCAACTTTCGACGAATCGTCGCTGTTGGCGAGGAATTATTGATCCCAAGAACGATCAACCCGAATTGAATCCTCCGGAGTCCGACGAAAGCGATGTCGAACCAAGTCGCCTCACTTATTCGTAGTGAGAAATTGATATTTTTTTCTCTTATCTTCAGCTTAAACTCAATTTCTTTTGACTTGAAATGCGTGATGGGTAGGCTGAAAAGAGTGACCCGATGCCCACGCGACGCGCCTTTTGTGCAGGAAATCAAGCCCGAAAAAAAGCCACTATAAATTTTTAGATAAGTTTTTATGTTATGGAAAAGGTTCAGATGAACGAATAAAATTTTAAAAAAATATATGAAACACTGACCTGAACTGTCCCGCCAAAAAGCCGCGTCGCACACGCAACGCATCACTCATGCCAATCTAATTATTTCGCTTTTGAGCCTAGAAAACTTGACGATAACATTATGAAGCTTTTCACGATTGGCCAAATAAGTTCTGCGACATATTTTTTGACCCAAGCCTCCGAATGTCTAATGCTGATCTTGATTTTTCTTTTTCAACCTTTTTCTTTGCAGTTTCGACGAAATCCATCGCGATCCATATGGTGCTTTTCGCTGCGGTTTCTCGATTAAAAACGAGTTCCCCGCGGAAGGGCCTCGTAAAGTGCAGCGGAAAAGGTCCCTATCGCCAGAAGAGGTCCCGCTCGCCCAGCCGTACGCAAATCTTCCAGCCGATTCTGAGCTTCCGGGTATCCTGAAAAAGTATCGCAGACGACAAAATGGCCGGAAGCGTCGTGTTCCACAATCCAAGCGCAATCTTATGCCAGAAGTCACTAAAACTCAAATTGGTCGCACCAAAAGTCTGCCTAACATCAACCGTCCCACGCCCAACGTCATTCAATTGACTCCCGTCGAGGCCTACTACGCCTATTCCATCGAACAGAAGCCGAAAAGATCAATTTCTTGCGATGGTTACTTTGTCTACGACACGGATTTCCCTCTCGGGTTCGTTTTATTTAACTCGTTACTTTTCGGCGACATATAAAAGTACAGTTCTATCAAAAAATTCATCTGATAATTACGAAATTTATCGAAATGCAAAACAAAAATTTTTTTCCTGGGCGATAATTGAAACCGGATTATTGTCTAGCTAGTTCCTGTGAAGAAATTTTTTTTTTTCAATTTTTTTATAATGCAATTAATCATTTTCTAAAATCTTTTTTGTTGGAATGTAACAATTTCCTACCTATTTCTCGAGCTTTGAACAAAAATTTTGCATAAAAAATTGCAAAAATCCTTTACGAGGTTTGAGCTTACAAATTCAAGATTTTTTGACGTTAAGACAAAAAATGCAAAAGATCAATATTACAGAATGCTCGGGAGAATCCGGAAATTGCTTTTGCCTCAATTTAAATGAAATCGTTCCCCTTCATGATATGGTTATATTTTTCCAAATCCTTCACTTCATTTAAAAAATGTTGTTCCAAAAATCAGCCCAAACTAGCTTTCTACTCAAATCTGGTGCATGAAGGTAAAGAAAAAAGAAGCAAAGAGAAGTGGAAAACAATGTCGTAGATTACTAGTTCCCAAGCGGTCAGCTTTGAAAGATGATGTGGACATTATTCAAGTCATGTCATCGCGTAATAAAGCGAGTGTTTCCTTTTCAGGTTCTGGGAGGACGGATCTCTGCGCGACCAGATTTGCTCGGAAACTCAGAGGCAGTGGGTCGACAACATCTGGGAATACGCCTCGTTGAATCCGAATATCGCGCAGCCTAATGAAGATTACATCTCCATAGAAGACTTAGTCAAGGAGTACGAGCTTCGGCCGATCGTTCTGTCAGTTCCCTTTTTGGTTCCAAAATGTTGATTTTTTATTTTTCTACTCGCGAAATTCTAACAGAGATATCCCATCATTTTTTTTTTCAAGTTTCATTATCACCTAGTTGCGTTTCTATTTTGATTTAAAAACTAGAGGCAGGCTTTTCGTAATTTTTTCCGGGAACCAGAAGCTGGAATAAGTTGCTGATAAACTCGAAAACCTTGAAAAAAAAAAATTTATTTTCACCCTGCGGACGTTGTAGTGATAGAAGGGCCTTTTTATTTATTTTTTTTGTCAAATAGTTCAAAACTTGAAGAACCTTCAAGATTACCTAGAACTCGGGAAACAATGAATCCAAAAAAAGCTTGTTAGCAAGACATTTCATAGTGCAAAGTCTCAGAAAAAAGGTACTATCATACAAAAAAAGTTTTCAGACCTAGAGACAAAACGGGAGAAAGACAATCAAATCGTCCGAGCTCTCAAGAGGTTTTTCCATGGCTGTTTCCACCGAGAGGCTTCGACGAGGAGATGCGTCGCATCATCGTCCCCAAACGAAAGAAACCTGACTACGTCATGTTTCCAGATAGTCCAATATTATGTTCCATGGTAATGCCCGGTCCATCTGACGCTGAACGTGATTCCGATAAATGCAGAGATGAAGATGAAAACTAAGTTTTTCCCTTTTTTTAAATATTTCCTTGTAGATTTTTAGAAAAACAGAGTTTATATTATTTTTATTTTTTTCAAGAAACACTCCATCATGTTAATCTTTCGAGCTTGCTCCCCAATCGAAACCAATTTTTTTCTCTGTAATCATTGTAAATACATACTTATCAGTTCATCCAAAACTTCAACTTGCTTTAACCTGTTTTAGTGATTTGAAGAGGCAAATATTCCCAAACTGGTAAATCTATCATTTTTTGTTTTGTAAATACTTTTATTCATCACGCTTGCTGGTTCAATTTTTCATTTTTTTTTTCAGGGCCCCTTTCCATAGCATTTCCAATAAAACTACAATTGCTTACTGCTTGGGTCAATACATATTTAGCAGATTCTATAGCAGGTTTTCATTTTTACTCAGTTCAAACATTATCGTGAAACAGTGATCAAATTTTTTACCATTTACCTCGTTCATTTTTTTTGAGTCTTTTTGTGATAAAATCAATAAATATTCTTCAAGAACATGTTTTTGATTGTTTTTAATACAGCTGTTTGCAAGGAAGATCTCCTCAGTTAATGATTCGTCTTTTTTTTGTCATGGGAAAACCTTCAGTTTGCTACAAATTTCATCAACAAGTAAAAGTGAGTTTTTATTGACTGATATTTTCATCAGATCGCCGAAACGGCGTTCAGTTGCGTGGGTCCGGAAAAATGCAGCTGATGTTTTGGTTTTGAATGTTTAAATGAAGGTCTTTCGATACCGGAAAAATCTTGAATAAATGCATTCTATATATTCTAAGCCACATTTATTTTCTGAACTTTTCGCCGACAGTTAGAAAAGACTCCAGAACATCTCTCTCACTGTTATTCTTCGCTCTTCCTTTAGTTAAACACTGGAAAAATATCCTCAAACGTGTACAATGCATTCACTTGCAATTGGTCTCGCAATTTCCTCAGCCGGCAGTTATTTACGCGCAATGTGCAGGAAGAAATGTAGGAAGTATTTTGAAAAAGGGAGCAAAAGGTGTCTGGAAGTAGGCCAAAACGGATCGCAACTTCCGAGGAAAGAGATACGGATCAGACGAAGCCCGGACGGTTGTACACTTCCTTCCTTCTCGACGAGTACGGATAATCGGTGGCTTCCTACTGGAGCCGGCCGGCGGCCTCGCTACGTTACATATCGCGGGGCATGGCATGTCATTCTTGGCGAATGCTGGCATCCAGGCACGTCGCTCCGTTCCGAGTGAACACCTCACTAGTTTCTTATTCACAATTCAGTGGTCGCGCTTTGCTTTGCCCTTTCTCTTTCCAAATGCACTAATTTCTATTTGCATACTGTTAACTGGAATCAAAAGTTTTTTATTGAAAAATAGTTTTGAGTTAAAGGTTGAAGTTTTCGATGAAGAAGTTAAGTGAGATAAGATCATAGTTAATTCTCCAGTCTCTTGCTGCAGCTTCAGAACTAATCCAGCCTCTTGCTGCAGCTTCAGAAATCGTAAAGATGGTTTTTTTTGACGGTAAAACTCAGCCTTGGTGCTTTTCGAAAACATCGTGTCACAGATTTGGCACGTTCTGAGGCCCCATAAACTCACAAAAATATATTTTGAGCCATTAGAAAATCGAGCTCAGTGTGAGTTGAAATGGAAGAAAATTACTGGATTCATGTCTTTTCCCCAGAAAGGCTTGTGATATGATAACTTCAAAGTTATGACTCTAAAATTTGAGAAGCTCGAATTTCTGACTTTCAGTTACAGTTCCCTAAAGAGAGATGAAGGATAATGAAAAAAAAAACTGTCATTAATCGAAACCTTAATTTAATGCGGTTGAGCTTTTTGAGCTTCTAGGAAATAGGGATAAATTTAAACCAGGTCTCTGGAGACTGTGACAATCATCTTAACTTTCAAAAAAAAAATTTCCGGACACAGTTGAACTGAACTTATGACTCAACCTAAAATGATACAGGCAAATCTCTTTTTCAGTGTTTCCTGAATGTCCTTGAAGTAAAAAATGATGAAAGAATCAGTCCTGAAGTCCGTTGATAGAGTGCGCCAACCTAATTGTATTTCAATGCTCTTTGTAGTTCCGTTATTATAATTTTCGTCAGAATAAAAAAAAAATTTCAGGTTCTTTGCTTCTCTCGGGCGGCTTTCAAACTAGCGATACTAGAAAAATGGAGGACGAGGTAAGGGTTTAACAAAAAATTGGAAACTTTGTCGTAGTATTTTCACTCTGAGTTTAACAGTTTCACAGTAGACCCTCGATTTATTTTTTGATAGCAAAAAAACCATTGTTTAAAGATCGTCGACGCGCTCGACTCCGATCTGTATGATCGAATGAGTTACTTGAACCTGATGAATCGGGGAGAGGATCGGAAACGTCAGCGAATCGGGAAATTCCGCGATGAGTTAGTTATTTTTCTTATGTTTGGCTTTTCGGACTGATCATAAAAAAACAATCCGATTCCAAACCATTCTTTCCTCTTTTAGAAACTTTGATATGGATTTTTAAATTGCGTGACAAACTCTGAAATAAATGGCTGATCTCATTGTTCTCAGCAATTGAAGCATTTTTGGAACTACTGTACGAAAATATCCGAAGAAAGCTTGTTTGTTTGATGGATTAAGTAGGCGACATCCGGCCTCCTGGAAAAACCTTTTGTTATTGCAATTTAGTGGACCTTTCGAATAATTGCTTATTTTTCCGTTGCTTTCGACCTTCGACCTGGTCCAGCTCTACAAATAGTTTCTCATTCTTGGCTTTTATACACATTGCTCTACATTTGAAAAAAAATGGCATTTTCCGGTTTGATTATCACCTTTTTATCTTCCATCTACGCAACAATTTCAATTAAATCAATTTGTTCGATAGTGATACATTTGATAAAAATTCACTATCATTTTTTTCAATTTTTTTCTGAATGATCCTTTTTACTTTTTGAGCTACTTTCCATGAAAAAAATGATTTCTCAGCTTCAGAAAAAATAAATTATTTGCACTGCTGTCATTCAAGAAAGTACAGAGGTCAAACTTCAAGTTGCATCTTGCCCCAGAAAAAAGTCTCTGGAAAATTCTTTTAAACAACCTATTTCAATAAGAGAGCTGCTGAAATCTGAATTCGACCGAGCGAAAATTTGGCTGAATCACGGTTCGACGAACCGCGTGCCGCCTGGTGTCTTGTCGAAAACTCAAGAGCTTTTCTGAATTTCTCCTTATTTTCCCCAATAATATTTCCTTGTTGGGAGTTTGATCAGGATGCAAAGTTTGATTTTGATTACAGCGTAGAAGTGATCAGAAAGTTTTGGAATGAAAAAAAGATAGAAAATAGCTGAAAAAAGACTTTTGATAATGTTCGCACAGGTAGAGTCATTTCGATTCCAATTTTCAGTGTTTTGTGACTTTTGAAAAAGGCAAAGAATACGCTATGAGCAAGACGAGGTCGATCGTAAAGGCTGCTCAAAAAAACTTTGTATTGGAAGCTAATTTTTTAAACGCCCAATCTGCCAAAATCACCCTTTTACAGCAAGACAAAATTATCCATATTATTTTTTTGATTGCAGTTTCAAAAATTCTTTTTCCAAAAAGAGAAATCATGTTTTCGAGAGCGTGTACTGGAGAAGCTCAAATCTTGATAATTTCAACTCTGCCAGAACTAAAAAAATCCCTGAAAAAAATAAAATAGTTGTTTTTGGTGTGCTGACAGCATTTTGAACCAGGATTTCTTAGAGGCTTCTCGGCAAAAAATATCGCAGCAGGAGGTCGTCGGAAGTAATAATTGCCCGGGTTTCTGGTGGCCGACCACACCGGCATCCGTTCACCCAATCTACCTCATTCTTTCAGCATATTCTTTTTTCCCACTGACAGTTTTTATCGCACTATGATTGACATGTCCATTCTGACTACTTTTTTTTGTTTCTAGCATGATTTGGAGAAAAAAGGATAAGAGATTTCGGTTCAAGATTGGAGATTTAAGGGAGGGCGCAAGGGAGAAGAAAATTTTTTTTGCGAGACCTTAACAATACTTGAAGTTCTAATTTAGAGTTATCAAAAACTCCAACAATGAATGATTCATTTTCCAAGCCTTTGGGTTTGTTTTACATTTGATTTTTTCCTCAAATTATTTTTTATTTCTAAACTCTTCATATGGCTCAAATTTTTTTAGAATGAGGTAAATTTTTTTGTTTAAAAAAACTTTCTCAAAACTGTTTCAGAAAAAAATTTGAGAAAGAGGACTGAATATCATTTTTCATTCTCCTGGCTCAGTTCAGCAACTCTTCGAAAATCGAGGTGGAACTAGGACTTTTGGTCTTTCTGAATTTTTCCCTCAATACTTATTTCACTGTTGTTGATACTTCCTATGTGTTTCTCATTGTATTTTATTATTGAACTCAAAGCCATGTGAAATCTTCTTGAAATCTGGCTTCAAAGAACTTAACTTTTGATGATCTGAAGCTCTACTAAGCAACCCTAAGCTTCCCAAAGAGAAGCATAGCTCCACAACCACCTTCTCCGTCAACCCAACTCCAGTTACCAATCAATTGTCAACTTTCGACCTTTTGAAGAGACATAATACGAGTTTTGGACAGAAATCGGAAAAGAACAATGGCAAAAGTGGCTGTTTCCGGAGCCTAAGCCACCAATCTGCTCCCAAGGCGGTTTTAATGCCTCAAAAGGAGGGCGTCACCTCGCTCGAGTGCTTCTCGGCCCCCGCATCCAGTAGTCGATCCGCCAAACTTTTTGCCTCTCGAACACCTTGACTCTACTTTTTTCTCCATGCTGGTTCGATAATTCTTTCGACCTGGGCTGCAACTGCTGCTGAACAACTGTGTTCCAATACTCAATGCCCTGCCAACTATGAGACGCAAGGCGTACGGCTCGATTCGAAGATAAAACTGGACCTACTCATGGAAAAAGATTTGACCGAGGAATCAATCACAGCTTTTCCTAGGAGAAAAAAAGCTGAATCAAAAGAAAAATAGCAAAACGCTCACTTCAAACAAGAAGTCCAACTTATCTGCTCAACGATGTCTCGAACCACTCGATCCTCTTCGAAAAAACCCTATCGACCTGTACAGCAGCAGTTCTCCAGCTCAGATGAGGATATTCCTTCTTACAATGACGTTGGTGAGTCAAACTCAACAAATTCCCAACTTTTTTCAACGGAAATTCAAACATTTCAATATTTCGATTGCTGACTAAGTTACAGTAACTTGAATAAATTTCGAGCAAAACGACTGATTTTCCGGATTAACGAGCAATAATTTTTTTGTCGTGGGCGCCAAGGAAGGAGAAAATGGGCGGCACATTTAGACTAAGAAAGGCATAAAGCATAGTTCCGCATAGAAAATTGGCGCTCGACACTGTGTTCACCTTCATTTTCGTTCATTTTTTTCATTTGCTATTTGTTGGATTTGAACGCTTTCCGAGAAGCTCGTGTTTTTCAAGAATTTAAAATTTTTTTTGTATTGTTTTTTTCATTTTTTTCTCAAAGAATTTATTGAAAAAAAGATTATTTCAATCATTTTTTTCACTAGCGTGGAAAGCTTAAAAAAACATCAAATATTTCTAAACCACCCGCTAAACTTTTCGTATAAAGATTGATAGAAAAACAGTTATCCTGTGTATAGCGCAATCGTCCTCCTCAAGCGGATTCTTCCCTCCGCTCAGCGCCAAAGCCGTTTCTTGGATCGACATGGACGAGTACACGATTTTGCCAAGCCCCGACGAGGCGCCCTTTGACCTCAGCGACGACGAATTCGCCACGGCAGCCGCCAGCCGCAAAAGAGTTGCTCGACGCCTACTCGCGCGACAGCAGCAACAGCAGCAGCAGCAAAAAGGACTGCGCCCAACTTCTCACTCAATGTATGACATTGACCGCGACCGGGACTTCGATTTCGACATGAGGTTTTCATGAAACTATCTCGGATCTTAATTGCTGATCTCTATTTCCACTTCAGTAGCTTTTTTGTTCTTTGTTCTCTTTCTCTTTGATTGGAGTCAATGCTCACCAACATTAATTTCAATCGGAATCGAACGATAAAAACAAACGAAAGAACGTTAAATTGTGCGGAAACTTGGAAAAAGGGGCTCATAAAACAGGACAGAAAAACTTGAATGCGTGAAGAAAAATGGGAAAAATTAACGACCTCAAAAGAGAATTCTAGCCTTTCAAGAACTTGGAAAACGACGACTTCACCATTTTGTATCCTCCCGGTTCTCTAACTCTTTTTTTTTCATTTTTGAGCTCTTCTTTTTTCAAAGCCTGATGTTCAGCTCTGACGCACCGTCACCGCGTGCAGAGGCTTCTGAGGTGATGGCTTCTCCGCCGGATCCCGATATCAAGGTTTTTTTTAAAATTTTTCAGAAGTTAAAAATTACAAAAAAAAAGTGAAAAAGAGCATAATGGACATGACGAATGATTTCAGAGGTACTGGGATAATAGTCTAGACATCAACGACCTCAGTGGACATGACTTCACCGTCTTCAAACATTTGCAAGGAATGTTAGGAATTGAAGTAGGTTAAAGATGTACGGAAGAATGAAAGTATTTTGATTTCAGAACATTTCTTTTGATACCTTGTCTCGTTTCAACATCCGCGGGCATACGGATTCTTATGGTCAGCCGGCCATTTTGTTCCCGCGATATCGCGGCATGACTTCTCGTCTGCGTGTTCCGATGGGGCTGAAGCTGATCCGAAAAGTCGGCGATCGCATGGAAAAAGAGAACTACCCACTTCCTGATGAAACCTCGTCAGTTTTATAACTCAATTCTCAATTCGAACGGTTGTTCAGTCATTTCGATAGCAAACAAGAAATTTTCCAGTGTGCGCCAAAAGTTCAGCGGTGTCTTTGGTCTTCATATGGGCACTTTGTCTGACCGCGCGGTAGTTCTGACAACAAATGAACGCGACGCGATGGCGATCTACGAGGCGACAAAGGCACTCGTCTACGCTTTGCCGCATGGCGAGCATCTGGATCCTTTGGTCCTTCCTTATTTGGAAGACTTTGACAAGATCTACCTCTGGTTTCCTGCTCAACACGTCGCATTTGCCAAAGACTGGGGATCTGCTCTGAACGCTCCTCGCTGTTTCCTGGTCAAGTTGGTTTTTTTTTATTGTATAAAGACCGAGATAAAAAGGCGGAAAAACGGCAATTTGAATACCATTAAGCGTGATTTGTCTACATTACTCAAAATAACTTGAATTTTTTAGAAATGAAGAAAGACCAATTGAACTGGTACGCAATGGAGATCAGCGGATGATCCGCAGTGCTTTAAGCAACTCGGTTAGCTCGCAAAAAATGGAACTTCATAGAAAATATCCATAACTCAGGTGGTCCGAATGCGTGAAAAAGGCTTCCGCTCTCTCACCGATTTGGACATTCGTGAAGGAGTTCGCGCTGATCTGATCAACAGTTCGAATCGCGTCATAGGCTTCGCTCAGGTCTGCTAGGAATCCGAATAGAATTGCATGAAGAAGTCGTCTAAATGTCAGAACAAAAAATTTCTCGTGGTTTTTCGGTAAGAAATCTGATAAGAATATTTTTAAGTGGAAGCGGTTTGGTGTTCTCAACAAGTATCTTGGAGGCCTCCGACCTGGAGAACTGACAGTTCTGACTGGAGGCACAGGAAACGGAAAAACCACGTTCCTATGCGAGTATTCTCTGGATCTCTTCACTCAAGGGGTTCGTTTGCGAAACTAATTTTTGTCGTTCTTGTTAAAAAATTTTTTGTAAGTGTGCTGTAAAAGTATAAAAACAGTGACAGCATTTTCTTTCATTTTGTTATTCGAAAATTAATCCTTTTAGCGTATGAAGTTCAATCAAAATATACTGAACGAGTCGAAAATGAATCTTGAATTTTTTGCATAAATTTATTCAAGCTTTCAAATTTTCAGGTGCGGACACTTTTTTGCAGTTTTGAGATGCCAGAAAAGAAGATTCTACACTGGATGTTGGTTCAATATGCTGGGTAAGCCTTTTTTCTCCTTTCGTTAAGTTCTCAAAAAATTTTTAGTTCAAAACATGAAACCATTCTCGAAATTGAAGTAATGCATGGGATGAATTCAGTTAGAAATAAAGTTCATGAAAAAAATTTCAAGCTCACAGAGAAGCTGTATTTCATTGAGTTTGAAGTCAAAATTGAAATGATTTTTGCTAAACTACAGTCCATCGCATCTGCGAAGCCTCGCGCGCACCAATTCTTATAGAAACGGCATCAAGTAAGCCTGTTATTCAATTTGCTTCTAGTTTTTGTCTGTCACACTGTGTCTTGTTCTAGAAGCTCAATTCACCGCACCTGCTCTGAAATTGATTCAATATCAGAGTTTCTCAACGCACACATGTTTTTTCGATAATTTGAAATGGTATCCTGAGAAATTCCAACAAAAGAGAGACTTCTCTTCTCCCATTTCTTTAGAGTCACTATTAAGGCAGCAGACAGTAGTGTTTTAAAATTCGCCTTCGTCAATTAATAGGGCGATCAGAGAATAAAAAGTTCTATTACTTATTACTTTTGACAGCTTGATCCGCCTGATTGCGGCATATCAATCTGAGCAAGAAGCGACCGGAGGCTACTCTCATTTTTATGCTCCTGACTCACACTGGTTTCCGCCAGACGACCAGACAGATCCCTTGAAGTCCGGGGCGGCAAAAAGAGAATTCAAAGTTTTCAATGTTTTTTTGGCAGTCAAAAAACGACATCTCTTCGTGTCAAGCTGTGTAACATGGAATAGATTTGTCCTAACTTTTCGAGCTTCACGTCCTCAGAAAATTCCCAAACTTGTGATAAAAAGAAACACTCTGAGATATGTTTAAAAAATGAGACCAGCTTCATAATTTATCACATGATGTACCGAAATAGAAATTAAAAAAAGATGAACTGTACATTTCGATCACTTTTCTGCACTGCATTCGAATTGACACCCCATTTGTGCGCGAGGGCTTCGTGTGCTTTGACATAATCGCTTACTGTAACTTGTCACATTCGCGCATTCCAACATAGCTTCACAAGACCGGCTATTTTTAGTTTTTCGCTTTTTTGCAGGTTGCCGCTGCATCGTGTCGAGTACAGCAACGCGATAAACTCCTGGTTGGATCGTTTTGAAAGGAGCAGCGCTGCCCTGACAATGATGGATTCGGAGGAGTTCTGCGATAAGACTGTCAATGAGATAGCTCGCGTAAGATCTACTTGAATAATCTATCGCAAAAGTTGGGCTCAAAACTACTAATATTTATAATGACATTCTGCTTCCATTTTAAAATTGAGCGTTTAGGCTATTCGACACCACGTTGAGAACAGTGGAATCCAGCACATTGTTATCGACAACCTCCAATTTTTGATCAACCAAGGGGTCATGACGGATGAAAAGTCCAGCGGACTCGATCGCTTCCACTTACAAGTGAGTTGCTTCTTTCATTGTAGAGATCCAGATGAAAATGGAAAATGATCTCAGGACCGTTTTGTGGGTCACATGCGTCAACTTGCCTCGCAGTCCCAGGTCCACGTCACCATGGTGGTTCATCCGAGAAAAACTGACGTTTAACCTTCAGAAATTTCTCTGATTAAACATTTCAATGCAGGGTGACGCTGAGATAGACGTTCAACACTTTGGAGGTTCTGCCAGAGTCACTCAAGAAGCTGACAACGTCCTGGCCATCCAGAGGAAGCGGGATGATCGCGATCGATCCAAGTTCCGCAAGTTCCTTTATGTGGGTTTTGAATCTTAAGCATTTTTTGAATTTTTCAGAAATTGTCCAGTTTGTCTTCAAAGTAGATGTTTGGCAAATAAGTTGTCAATGTCAATTTTGGCGCCAATTCAAAAATTGTTGGAACTCTTAAGTTTGTTGGACCACTTGATTGATAATCTAGTCGATTAACGTCAATTTAAATTTTATTGAATGCGTTCTTTCAAAAAATATATGCAAGATACATGAAAATTCAAAATTTCTCACAAATATGGCTTACCTTGTTACCAATTTTTGATCAAAAAAAAATTTTGAAAAACCCCTTAGATCTTGAAAAACCGCTACTTCGGCCGTCGAGTGGAGACCGACACTTTGGAAATGATCTTCAACCCGTCAACCTACACGCATACAATTGCAGAATATCCCAAGTAATGAAAAAAGAAACCAGTTAAATCGCTTCTTGTCAATTTATCGCTCTGTGAAACTTTCACTGTATTAAATGTTCTGAAATGTATTCTCTGTTGTTCCTTATTCTCCAATCTCTGTTTTTCGTGGCCAAAATTTTTTTATAAGAGAACTCCTGACATTTTTAGTTTTTTTTTAAATCTATTTCATAATTTTTTTTTCATTTTGCCTTTGCATAAAAAAATGTTTGCTTTTAGGTTGAACATTCGCTTACGAATTTTTCGCACTGTCTTTCCTTCTTTTCAAGATCTCATTTTCATCTTTTTTTCGAGCTGAATAAAAAAAGTAGTTAATATTACACGCGAAAAAAATAATATTTTTTTCACGTCATAAATTACAACTCAGAAAAAGTGGAACAGTTAACAAAAAAATAAATTTTTGTTTTTCTGCATTTTTTTCGGAACGAAGCTCTGATCACGTGAGTAGCCAATTAACTGTGCAAGAGGGTCTTCTTCCGCTCTTCTTATTTTCAGGCAGCTTTGTTTTAATTCGATATCTTGAGCTTGAAAATATATTTTCATTGTTTCGAAAAAAGACCAAAAAATCAGCTTCCTGTGTTCAGTTGAACAAATTAAAACATTGCTGTTTTCTTTTTTTGCATGGTTTTTATACTACTAGTAGAACCATGAACTTCAAACTTACCATCGAGAAAAATCAAAGAAATAAAAAAACGTGATCTGAAATCTCTCATAATAAAACAAAAAAATGCCGTGGAAGAAAATGAGCCGTACAAAATATTTTTATTTGTCCTTTTAAAACTCATAACTTTCAATAAACCTTTTTAAATAAAAATAAATTTGGTCCAAAAAAAATATTGCATAAGAAATATTACATGTAAGTCAAATTTCCATTCGACACAATCACAATTGCCTTTTTATTTCTCAATTAATTTTTCATTATATTGAGCTTATATTGCCTTTCTTGGTGGAGCTGTGGCAGGCCTTACCCGGATTTGTGGCTGAAACAGTAAAGATATTTTTAATTATCTTTCGAGAAATCTGGAAAAAAGTAAAGACGTACAATTGCTGTGTAGTCACAATGTTCATGGTCGTTATTGTCGCTGCCGACGGCGGCAACGGTCAGACCAAGTAGGATGATTATTCTGAAGGTTTTAGTTTATTTTCCATAGGAAAGCCTGGTTTTTAGGAGCGCCAGAGTGGTTTCTTTTAGGACAAACGGAGTCTTTTGTAGGCTCTTCTTTGGGGACCACTTTATCCCCCTTAAAAGTACTAAGTTTAAAGAAGAGGTCTTTAGAGTGGGTTTAAATAGCCGAAAAGTCGTTTATTATTGAGAACTTACAAGAAAAAGCACTTGGATGCGAAAAACTCAATGAAGTTGAAATCAAAAATTCAGCAGAGGTGTAATTGATCCAATTTTTAAGTTTTAACAAACAGTTTGAATTCCTATAAGGATCACTGATTTCGAAAATGCCTATAGGGAACACTTGAGCTTTAGGAACTCAGAGACAAACCCTAATTCTCTTAGGAGATGACCTAAACTTTATCCCTACAGGAAGCATTTCTTCGTCCCAAATAGGGCTTTTTCTTGCTCTAACCCCTGTAGGAACCTATCCGGCGTTCCTAAGTTGCTCCGAATTCTTGCCCAAATAGACTTAATATTTATTTGAGCTCAATGAGAATCTAACTCCAATAATTAAAAAAAAACTTTAAGTAGTGTTTCCAGTTTAAGTACCCATTAATAACTGGCTTGAAATATAAAAAAATTGACATTTTCAGAACCTTAAAGGCCAACAAGAGTTCTGGAAAAAGCCTTCAAAATATCATTCAAGCTATTTTTTTAAGTTTCTTTCAAAGTGTTCTAAAATTCTTCGGGTTAACGAATATTCAATTAATGTTTTTCTGTTTGAACGTGATATATAAAGATATTTTTTTCCTACAGATTACTACTGGCTTCTGAGAAAAAAAGGTTTTGAGTATCCTTATAAATGATTTAAAAACATATTTTTTTGATCCGTTCTTAGTTTTTGACAGAGAAGTGAATTGACCTCTTTTTGATGTAGAGATTTTTTTGCAAGTTCAAAAAAAATACTTATATTTATTATATTACGTTAGAAAAGTCAAATTTTTTTATGGAATTGGAGTTTGTATTTAACGAAAAACACTTCGAGCTGTTGAAAATGTTTGAAAGAGATTTCGAACAAAAACTCAGAAAAAAATCACATTTGAAAACTTAAAAAAACGGCTGTAAAAAGAAATTATTGGCCGTACGGCATAATTTTTGCTAAAAAAAATTCAGATAAATTTCCGATGAAATAAATTCTTTGATATGTTTTTTTTTGGCAAAAAACCGTTCCAAATGCTAAAAAGGTACTAAATGCCCCAAAACTTCTTTTGTCATCGTGGCTTCGCAAAAACTTTGAGCGATTCTCAAGAGCAACTTGGCACTCCTCACTCGTCCTAATGGCCCCCGTTGCGGCACAAAGTAGTCCGCTTGGCTGAATCAAATTTATGTGACTGCTCTTGATGTGAGCACAAAACGTGAAAGCAGGTGCTTTTTTTCACCAGGGTGTGCTGAGATTGCAGGTAACCTTCTCGCAGAAAAGTGCGACCTTTTGCAAATTAAAAAGGGCTTCTTTCAGATTTTTTTTGTATGGAAAGGTTTTCAGCGTTTGGAACAAAAATCTTTTTGACCTTCAAAAATAAAAATCTGACCTGAAACATTTCAACAGGCCTTTTTCAGACTTAAATTAAAACAAAAAAACAGATTTTTTTGAAAAATTTTCTAGATAATCATAGCTTATCGAATTATTTTTGGAATGTGCAAACAAACGGTCTTAAACTACAGAAACCTTAAAAAAATTATCGAACTTTAAAGAGAATTCGCGAATTTTTGGTCGTGTTTTTCGTTTATTATCAGTGGAGCGCGCTTTTCTTTTGCATGAAAAAGTTACTTCTCAGAATAATTCCAGACTGAGCTTTATTTTCTATTTTTTTCAATCTTAAATTTTTCTCTGGAAAAAAATTGTTTATAATTTTTTCCATTTCCCAGAATCTTAAAGAATTTTCATTTTTTTAAAGCTAGATATATTCTTTTCGGGACTAAAATCTTTGAAAATGAGTATTCTTTTTTCATCAATTCTGCCTATTTTCGAATCTTTCGAACGATTGAGCAAATAATAGAACCACCCACAGAGCAGTCTCGTTTCGGCCAAACGGCTGGGCGGGCAATTGAGAAAAGTAGCCACTTTGGCAACGAAAAAGGTAGCATTTGCAGTGTGCAGTGACTTGTTGAATAATGCACAAAAGGCTTGGCGAAAACTCGTAAAAAGCTCTCTAAGATACGAGTGGGTTTTTGAGAGAAAATACACCTCAAGCGGAAAAAAATGACGCGATTTCGTCTGCTTCACTTCCTCACGTTTAGTTGCATTTTTTAGCGGATAACTACTGTCTTTGTTAAACTTTGAAATTTTCTCAAGAGTGCTCGTTTCTGAGCACCTAGTCTATGCAACTAGACAGAAGAAGGATGTCAGGAAGCCTTGAAACCCTTTCTGATAGTCGAAAATGCATAAATAATCCAGTCAGAGCGTCCCGAGCTAATTTCCGTTCGTGTTCGAGTAGCATTTAATATCGGAAATATTATGAGCAAAACGCTTCATCGTATATTTCCCCAACTTGTTCAACTTTTTCTTTGGAAATAATGAAAAGTGAAGAGGCGTAGAAAGAAACAGAAAACTGGGTTAGTTTTCGATTTCTGTTCAAAGTTATGTTCTAATGAAAATAGCTAAAAAAAATGTGAAAGCTCATGAAGAATATGCGCAGGGAAAGTTTGAAGCAAAATGAAAAAAAAAATTAGTAAAAATCTTTTTTGTCCCATAAATAGGAAATTTAATGGATGAAACCTGAAAATTGACTTACATGCCGAGGGCGAGAAGAAACGGCTGGTTGAAGCCCAATTGAGAGACGACGGCTCCCATCACATTTCAAAGTTACTCATCAAGTCCTGAAAATGATATATTTTTTTGATTAAAATTATAACTCTGCGAGCGAAAAACGAAAATAAGTAAAATACATAAATTTCCTAATTCAGAAGTTTTGGAGAGCAGTAATACAATCAATTTGAGCAAAAAAAAATCAAAGAATTGTTTGAAAGGTATAAAGAAAAGACAAAATTTCCGAGCCGAGATCAAAAACCGAATAAAGTCTGAAGCGAATAACTGGGAAAGAATGCGATAGAATATCACATCGGAAAACGTGCGAGATATTTGATACATCCAATACGATAGTCAGATGAAACCCAAGAAAACAAAACAAGCCAAAAAAACAAGAATAGGGCCTTGAACAGTTATCAATAATTTTGTCAATCAATGCAGCTTAAAATAAAATCCATTTGCTCAATATTCGACTAAACAGTTGAAAAAGACGGCGGCGATCATCAAAATTTACGATGATTTAGCCTGCCGCATGGCATTTTGTGTAAACGGGGTGTCGAATTACAGCCTGGTTTCCGTTGATCTGAGAGCTCCGTGAAGGTCCATCGAATGGAAAAAAAACAACACAGATGATGTCGGGCCTATATTATTGCCTTTTCCGATGCTGCCAAGGGGATTATTCAAGTAATGGACTCGATTTCCTGATATATAATCACTGCAGAAGAGAAAACTCGGAACTCACGTCCTTCTTGTGTCTTTTTAACTGTTTGAATCTAAAAAACTAGCAGCATCATTTTATTTTTTAGTGATAACTATTCACCTCAATGCAAATACTATTCAAAAGACACAGTAGTCCGATTTGTGATGCATCCTTGGGTCACAGATCTCAAAAACGGTTCTCGGACTTTTTTTTTTCGGAAAGATGCATATTTTTGAATAAAAACTTTCACCGGATTAGGCTGTACAGGGTTATTTGAGGTATCAGACAAAAAACCGGTAAATAGTATTTGAAAATTTCTTTGGAGAGAAGAAGGGGAATGAGCACGCCTCCTGACTCTTTCTGAAAACACCTACTGTAAAAGTTGAGAGGTTCGGAAAATATTTGCGGTGAATAATTTATTCTTAGTCAAACGAGTTTCTTTTTTTCAGAAGCTGATATCAAACGCTTCAAAGCTTCCAAAGAAGGAAAACAATTTTTTGTTTAAAATCATCATTTTTTGCAAACTCACTCAACTGAAGCCGAACTTTTGTTCAAATGATGACTCGAAAAGAAGTAAAAGAAATCATCGACAGAAAAAAACAGTAGAATAGCCACAAGGGAAAATGAGCCAGTGAATAACAAAAAAGGCTTCCCTTTGACACTCCTGACGTGGAATCATCTAGAAAGCCCCAAAACAACAACTCGAAAAGCCTGAAAGGCATTTTCAAAAAAATAAATGAATTAGAAAAAAATAATTTGGAAGTAGTTTTGGATTTCAGCGGAGGGCTCAAAGAGATGCCAGAGACACTGATTCTTATTCACTCGCCGCCGAATAAGCCAATTACGCGCAGGGGGCACAATCGAGTTTGGGGGCGCGAAAAGTCGACGAGGAAATTCTCAGAGGCATCTGCAAAATGCTTCAAATCACAGGTTTCCTTTCTTTTCATGGAAAGGTGAGCCTGAAATTTGATTTTATACTCTTGGAAAAAAAGAAAGTACTGGAAAAATGTACTAGAAACGATCAAATTTGAGAACTTGGTGATAGCGATCCAGAAGGCTGGGATTCGTTCGAGGTTTAGAGGAAATCCTTCATATTTTCTTCTTTGGTCTCTCGAATGGAAGCTCAATTTTTGTCGTCACGGCAGAAATTTATTTTCCGCCCAGTTCAGACTTTTTGACTTGAAAAAAATGCGTAAGTATTTATTATCAAAACCATTCTCTAGACCGTTGAACAACTTTTCAACTTTTTCTGTGACTTTCAAATCCTTTACATTAACAGCAGCAATCGGATCCCAATCAAAAGCGCAAGGATAAGTAATGAGCAAAATCGAAACATGAATGAATAGGATTTGAGGAGTTTAAGCTCAAAACAAATTCCTTCTGTAAAAAAAATTCAGTGGTTTCTATGTAAAATCATTAAGCACCGACTGAATTTATAATCTAGTGTTTTGTGAGAGCAAACACTAGACCCAAATATTTGACCAACGAGAGAAAATTGGGCAACAGGCGTTTGAGTAACAAAATGCATGCATATATTCATCACAAGGCACGGGGATATCGAGAAAAACTGAGAGGCTCGCCCTACAAGTCATTATATTTTACGCATGAGAGCAGGAAAAGGTAACTACCGTGAAATCATTCCACGAGAATGCAAAAATATTTCACGAAAATTTCTAATCAAAAAGAAATCACCTGGCGATGCATTCCAAAAAGGATATTTTTTCTTTCGCTGCTTCTATAACTTCCGAAAATCACTAAAAATTGGTAGAGAATCGGAAATTTTGTTAGACCTCCGAATACCTCAAGTTTCAGAATAGCCCATCCTCCGGCTTTTCGCGGTTTTCAAACTTATACTGCTCTGAGCAACATATGTAAAAAAAAATTTCTTTTTGATGAATAAAGCTTTTTGAGAAGCACCGAAAGACATGTAAAAGCCTGTTTAATGATAAGAACGGGTTTTTTTTGAAATCTAACATGAAAAGGAAATGAAAATGAGGATGAAAAAGGACTTTTGCTTTTGCCGACGACGTGTTGCTCATGCGTAATCGTGCGTGCGGGTGCGCCCGAGCGAGGGATGTGGGGAGGCTACTTCAGATGACAGCTTAATAACACCTTCCTCTGCCAATTATAACGAAGCTAATCTCCAAAATAATAAGCTTCTCACCAAGTCCAGCAAGAAGTTTTCCGCGATTATTTTCAAACAACAAGCAAATATGTTTATAGCAACGAAAAGTTAATAGGAAGTTGTTGCTACACGGAGAAGCCAAGGTGTTTCAAATCTGAGAGGAAAAGGCAAGAGACGTGCGCTCGGATGCAAATTGCAAGTCTTTTCGGCTTTTCTCCAAATCCTCTCAACTTGAAGTATCCGGAAAGTGAAAAAATGAGGGAAAACGTCCGAACGAAGAAAGAAAAGAAGATGGCGCAATTGTTTTTTTTTCTCAAAATTTTGCACTTATTGCTTCTCGCTTTCCCATTTGAAATCGTAACTCAGAAACAGCGCCTAATTGCTGGTTGCACAACCGAGCTGTTTTTTATTCAGCTCAAGACAATTTCTCACCTGGAGTTTTTTTTTTAGAAAAAAAGTTGATGTGGAACCTTTCTTCTGAACGTTTACCAAGGATAGTTTATTCAGCTTTAAGATTCGGAAAAACACATGAAGAAGCAGTACAACAGGAACATTCAAGTAGGATGATAAAAAAAGAAAAAAAGTTTTTTTGATAGGGCTTAATGATTTCATAATGGGATAAATCAGAAATTCGAGTAGATGTCAAGAAATCTTTAAAGAAGAAAAAGAAAAATTTTTTTTTTGATTTTTTGATTTTTTATTTTTTTTTGATTTTTTAATTTTTCTGTTTTTTTTTTGAAATGAATTAAATTTGCGCAAAGTTGTATAAGGTCAAAAATTTTAGCCATTGATAGGATTTTGATGAGATGATTATAAATGATGGAATAAATGATGGATAGAAAAAAGAGAAAAAAAAGAGGTTGGTTTGAAATAGTACAATGATCGAACTAATTGAAGCAATAACAAGACAAAATGTACGTTTAAAGAAAACTGGGTAAAATTTGAAGAAAACGGGGTAAATTGGAAAAAATCATCTTTTTTCAGATTAGCGATATTTTAATTGCAACACTCAAAGATTAGGGTATTTGTAAAGTTTTTCATTACTTTGTCGGAAACGTGATGAATTGATAAGGATATCAACTGGTGGGGAAGGTCTCGTCGTTGTGGCGGATGTTGAGGTTCTTGATGCGGACGAGGAAATTCTCCGGCGGGCTGGTGATTCCTCCTTCGCTGCGGTTCAAAGAAGGCAGAGGCTCAGCTGTAAAATTATTGTGAAAATATATATTCGATACCAAATGATTACTCGGGTCCGAGTAGAAGAAGAAGTTCTGGATCAGGCTGCAGAAGAAGACGTAGAGCTCGTTTTCGGCAATTTTCTGTCCGATGCACTTGCGCGGTCCCAAACCAAAAGGCACCAAGTGTCTGTTCGGCATGTAGGCGCCGTTTTCCTCGTCGAAGAATCTGAGAATCAAACTTTAAACAGCTCTCAAATCACTAGCTGAGAGAAAAAAATTACAGAAAGTTATAAAAATCTTTCATTTCCAATTTTCTCTAATAATTTCATGGAAAGCCTCTTTTAATATTGCTAGCGGTAAATGCCTTTTTGATCACCTCTGCGGACGGAAGTCATAGGGACTGGGGAACAGCTTATCGTCGTGCAAAATACTCGTCAATGCGATCAAAATCTCCGTTCCCTGTTCGATTTCGTAGCGTCCAAGACGGAAATGTCGTGTGGCACTGAATTAAGTTTCATCGAGAAATCAGGCTGACTGAAAAAACGTATGAGGTATGGCAAGGGGAAGGACATTGGAAAGGCGTTGAATCTCGTCCAAACAGGCGTTTACGTAAGGCGTTTCTTTGCGCTGATCAATTTCGGGCTGACCGACTCCGTATACCTGAGAATTACAGAAATTTCCTACTACTATTTCCAGTGGTTAAAGTAAATTTTTCCAATTGTCATTGGAAGTTTCTCAATTTTGTGAAAGGCCCCTTCGAAATTTGTCAAAAATAAACTTAGTTCACTATAATTTTGTTGATATGTTTGATCTCAAACTAGTTATTTTCAACTAGTCATTGTGACTTCACAAAAGTCGCATAAAATTTTTTCTAACCTTGACGATTTCTTCGTGGCAACGCTTCTGAACTTCAGGATTGCGAATCATGTAGATCAAGCCCCAAAGAAGCGTAGTTGTGGTAGTTTCCATGCCGCCGGTCCACAAGTCTCCACAGATCAGAAGAACAGCCAACTCTCTTAAAGTTCCCGGAAGGTTTGATTTTATCGTTATAGAAGTCACGTGAAAGTCTCCGGGTCTTCCTCCATTTTCTCCAGAAGAAAGTCCATTAAGTCGCGCGGCGATCCATCAGTCCGAGTCTCTCTGTGTTCATTCAAATGCTTTCGGAACCTGAAATTTTAAGATTTTTTTCAGCTTTTCAACTGTGTGAGCTAGTGAGTAAAGTTTGTCAAAATGTTCTGTCAAAAAACGTTTTTTCCTCACCATTCCTGAAGGTCGTAGCCCGCATTGTGATAGTTTCGCAAAGCCGGATTGTATTTGATTGGCAAATTCTGGAGAATTTGATTGCTGTTGACCAAGAACATTTCCGGGGACATGACCTGGTAATAGTGGAAAAAATAATCATTCATTTTTTAAATTCGAACCAGCTTGACTACAGCTTTTATGTTGTCCCTAGCCGTTCTGAACTCGGGATCATCGTATTCGTACCGACGTCCAATCGTTATTTCTTGGATGACGTTGGCGACAGCGACGCTGAGAGCATGAGTGATGTCGACAGCTTTCTGTAGAAACTTCTGTCAGCACTTCAAAATAAATGTTTGTGCCTTGGCTTTCGATAATTCGAAGAATTCCTTCTCGAGTTGGATGCATTGGTTGTGGATTTCGGCTGTGAGAGTGCCGTGTCTCCCATAAATACCAGTTCGCCTGAAAACTCTCAAGATGGACAAAAATCAAAGATCTTGAAATTTTCTATGTACGTCAAGAAACGATGGGTAAAAGCGCGAATTTTGAGCCATTTCTCGCCCTGAGACAAGATGAGACCATCCCCATTGACTGCGTCTTTCGTGAAGTAAGTGAACTGGAAAGAATGGCTCCGACCGTTGGAAGAAGATCCTGAGAAAGTTTTCAATGTATTTTAGGAAAAAGTTTCTTCATTGCAGTATTTGAATTTTTTGAGTAAAATTAATTCATTTATTCTGAAGAATTGCTACTGGAGCTTTTCCAAGAAGTATATGATTGACCGAAATCAAACAGTTTTTCGTTAGAAACAAGGTTGAAACCTATAACAGCAAAAATTTGTAACTCGATGTACTAAAACGCCTAAATCGAATTTTCAATTTATCGGCTCAGAGCTCAAAAAACGGTACACTCTGAGCACAGATTTTCTGACTTCTTCGAAAAAAAAATCTTAATTTTTTAAAACTCATTCCTTTTTACCGTTTGTCACAGCCACTTCATACGCGTACTTAAAGCTGGTGACGACCACGACCGGCACTGAAACCATGTGTCATATTCCCCTTTTTCACACCACAAACTCGGCAGATAAACTGTGAAAATGTCGCCGTACAACTTCCGGTAGCGATTGAGCAGCTTCTCGGGATGATTGATATCAAGCTGCAATAATTATAGCCATCGCTATCATCAGGAACGCGGACACCATTTCTCAAGCTATTTCCTGTTGCTGCGGCCGGGTTACGGTAGGCGGATGGCCATCTGCGTATCTAAGAATTTATGAGTCTTTATGGTTAAGGTGTATATCAATCGATAGGTAATGCAATTTTAGAAACTTGGTATGTATTGAAAAAGTTCCAATTTGCAGTACTTGTCGATAGATATGCAACTTGCCCATAAAAACTCATCAAATCTTAGATGCGCAGGTGGCCACCTACCTACCGTAACTTGGCTACAGTAAGAGGGAATGGCTCAAAAACTTGTGCCCGTACTTCTGATGATGGGATAGTCACATTGATTAGAATTTAATCAAACTCAAAAAATATTTTAGAGACAGTGTGTAAAGAAGTCTGCTGTTTATATGATAAAAGAAAAGTAACTAACCAGTTGAGCGTGTCCAAAAATTGGAATCGGTATGGGTCCCGGCGGCATCTGGGCCATATTGATGATCCAGCAAGACAGGTGATGGATCTCGAAGGTGACGATCACGCCGGCCAGGAAGGGACTTTCCAGCTTCTTGTAGGCCAACATCGCCATGATCACTATCACGTGGTGGAAGCAGACGTACAAGAAGAACTCGATGGTGAAGACTTCTTTGACCTTCATCGCTGAAAATCGATAGAGTCAGGAAAAGGAAAAAGACAGTCCCAGTGCAGAAGAAAAACGACAAGAAAGTTCGGACAGACGCCTTTGATTTCGCGGCATTCAGTTTTGAAAAGGCAAGAAGAGCGAAAGGAAAGATCCATGGTGATTCAACGCCTTCCGTGCCAGAACTGCGTACAGCGCCGTGGCGAGAACACACTGGCAGGCACGAATGCCCCGGCGTGGGAATTCAATCCTTGTTATGGCTCTTCGACTTTTTTGATCAACGATTCAAATCGCCCATATCGTTGTTCTTCATGGTCATTAAAGTTGAAGAGCGGAGAAGAAGGAAAAAGAGATGGTGCAGCTGTCATTTTGAGCTCCGAAACGAATAGCTTCTATGGATGATCATATTGTATTTCGGGGCGAGATTACTGAAGTGTTGATCATCTAATCAACTGCAGGTAACTCTCAAAAAAATCTGAAAAATGTTCCAAAATGGGTTTAAAGATTCTTACATAATGAGTCATACAAGTGAGACTTACCCAAAATTTTGAGATTTTTTCAGATAACATTTCAGTAGCGAAACGAAGATTCCTTACAGTCGCTTCTTGCGCAGTCTTTTCAAACTTCATACAATAAATAAAAAAGACTCAGAAACCTTTTTTTCCGATTTTTAACCTGTTTCCCCTGTTTCAGCTATTTTAAACCACACTGAAGATATTGTTTGTCAAAATTTCAATCAACTATTCACAAAGAATTTTCATTGACTTTGCAGTGAATCCGATATTTCGACTAGAATTCCCATGTTACAAAGATCTTTGTCCAAAGTTGAATAACAACAGAGTCTTCCAGAATTCTCACAGAAGACGTCGGATCGTTCCACGGTAAATATTTTTACAACTTTGTTGATCAGTTTTTTGTTATTCAAATTCGGCTGAGCATCAAGACAAAATCTAATTGTTTTTTGTGATCGAGTGGAAAATATTTTGTCGATCTGTCAAAATACCGCGATCGGTGTTGTGAGAAAGCTCAAAAAACGAACATTTCTACGATGTACGGGAACATCAGAATTTTAGTTGGATTTTTCCATGCCGTCGATAATTTACATTTTTTTCACTTTCATGTGAAACAACGGTCGGAAATAGAATATTTTTTTGAAACGAAATCACTTTAAATTTTGTTTGAGAAATTTAATAATTTGAAGGGAAACAGGAAAAAAAGTGTGAGAAGATATGAAAAGAGCCTCTTTTCTCTTTCAGATTATTTTTTTACCATTATTAAACGATCTGATTTATACAAAACGCAAAAGTATTTCTAACTTTTCTGCTCACAGCTATAGCCTAAGTTAAACTTGGAAAATTCTCTATGTTTAACTTAGGCTATAGCTGTGAGCAGAAAACCTTAAACTTTGAAAATTAGAATGTCCATGTCGAGATTCGAAACATCATTTTTTTCCGAAAAGTCAAATCTTAATCTGAAACTAATAGAGAAGAACCATCCATATCATTTGGGATTGATGGATTTACTTTTCAGTTGTTTTCAAATGTTCCTTCATTGGAATTTTGAATGCGTCCAGTTGTTTATACATCAAAAAGGTCAGCCAGATGTCTTCACAGTTTTTAAGCCGCGGCCACAAAGAAAAGAAGATGAGTCGCGCGAAAAAGTGTTTTTGGGCGCTTTTGTTCGGAGCCTTATTCGATCCCACATCCGTCTCATGAGCTGAAATAAACAAAAGCAGCTGCTTCTAACCGTCCACAACGTTGAAAAAAAAAACAGTTTCTAAAAGTACACAATTTTTGAAAAGCAAGGTGTTTTAAAACTTACAGAAATCTCTACAGAATTTGAAAAGAAGCTTTAAACTCGATTTTTTCACATTAGCCCCAAGCTCACGAGATTTGAATTCCGAAGAAGAGAAATTCAAAGTTTCCTGCTTTCTATAACTTTAAAGAGAAAAGTCTACGAACGTTTCCCGATTCTATGTATTTCATCTTTCTTCACCGTATAAAGAATGGGTGGAATCGGTTGGAGAATTTGAAAACGAATTCCCAAGCTGTTGCGCAACAGCACCTTTTTTTTAGCCTTTTGTCGGCGTTTGCTGACGAGGGCGCAACAACGTTCCCAGTCGGTTCATCAAAGCTTGAGCTTGTGAGAAAACCACCCACATCCGTTTGCCATATTTGTGAAAAAGAAAATTTGAAAATCGCATTTTCGGCTAAAATGGAATATAAGAATATTGTTTTGAGATTCACGGTTTTTTTGCCCTTATTAAGTTTAGAAACTGACCCACATCCATAAAATAAAAGTTCATTCGAATAAGACAACAATAAAACATGAGAAAGTTAATACTTGGTGAGGCTGTTTGATTTACTCTGACTTTTCAAAAAAAACAGCTAAGAATTGTTGGAGACAAAAAATTATTTCTTAGTGGTGGAAATTTTGATGAAGTGGTCGTTCATTTTTTCATAATCGCCGGGCTGCTCGAAGACAACATCGAAGAAATGCATTTCTCTGATTTCAATGTCACGCTTACAGAAGCATTCGACAAAGTCAGAGGTTATGAAAGTCTGACAAAAAAGTAGACGCTCAACTTCTAACAAATGCAAAAGGAAGTAGGTAGCAGAAGCTGCCAGGATGAGGTAATGATTATCATTCAAGTTGGTTCCAGAAAATAAGATGTCCCGATTGAATCTTATGTCAGTTAGGTATCGATTATTCGAAGACTTGCATTGTCCGTAGTTGTCCGTGAGTCTCAAAGAAAAAGTCTCAATTGCGCTTCGTTCAGGTCTCAAGCAGAAAATCTTCGCTCCCCGGACTTCTTTCACCAGGAGAAGCGAAGAGCTGAGAAAAGACAAGCCGTCGGCCGGCATGACCTGAAAATTATCTCTATTTTCAACCTATGAAAAACTTTTATCACTCAAAATTCTAAATTTTCATCAGCAGTAAATATCCTTTTTGATTCCATATTTTCAAAACAAATGAGAGCTTGAGTGTAGAACTCTTGATGAATGAAGTCTAATGGGAAGAACCGACCGTTTTATCTTTGAAGCTGGAAAACACTGGAACTTTCGATTGCATCGGTCCGTCCAGAGAGCTGCTGTGAATGAAGAAGCCATAGCTCTCTCCAAAAATGACTCGGTCGCAAGTTTGGCGGTGAAGGGCGACGGCGAAAATCGGGAAATTCTGATAGGCCGCTTCTTGATCGAACTTCATTGCGTAGATTTTTCGGTAAAGCTTTTCGAAATAGTAAGCGCATTTGTACGGCGACTTCATGATGGAATCATTTATGAAGTCTTTCAACAGGAGAAAACGGTTTCGAGCAGGTCCTCTAATCAACTTTTGCTCGATCTCGTCAAGTTTCTGAAAAATTCAAAAAATTTAATTCAAGAAAACATCAAGCAGCCAACCTCATTTTTTTCTAGCTTTTGTTCAACTTGACACAAATGCAAAAAAGTCGAGTGCGTAAAAGGCATTTGCTTCTCTGCCGCAGTGAAAATGACCTGATAGAGGCAGAAATAAAATTCTGGCTCAGACCATGGTTTTTCGCCGATTAAACTATCTGGAGGGCTCCATTGCCATTGGGTTTTTTGGAGAGAATGAACGGGCGCCATCTGAAAGAAAATAGAATTTTTGTTTTTAAGAAAATTTTCCCGAAAGCCAGAGAAATAAAAATGGTTATTAAGGTTCATATTTCAGATAATTGAAAAACTTCAAAATAAAGTAGGTGGGAGTACCTTTTCTCAATTTTCAAGTCGTCTCTTTTCATTGAAAAAGTCACATTGATTCAATTTTTTTTTCTGACTTTTGTAAGTTTTTTTGTGCAACGAAATGATCTTCGCCAGCCAACATTTCTAGCCCACAGGCATACGCTTACGAGAAAGCTTCTTTGTGAACGAACCAGCGGCTGACCTCAAAAAGATCCCGCCTCCTGCGCGGACACGCGGTTCACCTCAACATACGGTCCTTCTCAAGAAGCTCCAGCATGCCGATCAACATTTCTTTCTGGAGAAAAAAGCCTGATGCTTCCCTTCTTGGAGCTTTTCCATGGAAAACGCCTCGCTACTATTTCATGGTCGTTTCGGCTGTCAACGTCGGGATGGAGGGCGGACTTTTGCCGTTTTCCAGCATCGAGGGCTTCTGCCAAAAATGTGAAGTTATCGACAAGGCTGTGGGAGAAATGGTATTTTTCTTCCATTATTGACCGATGACCACTAATTTAATTATTTCAGCAAAGTCCGTATGCCACCGTCACAATGCCAGATAGCGATATTTGCTTCCAACCTGCACATTTTCAGATGGCTCTGGAATATTACATAGCTCAGAACCCGGAGAGATTCCGCTTCTCTTTGAACGAAGCCATTCTTTTGGGGCATTTCCTTTTTCAGTGGGAATCGGAGGAATTCCTATTTTTTCGTTCTTACTCTCGAAAAATATTTGTAGTTACAAGTTTTTTGTTGAGAATCATGGATTGTATGTTGAGTGCATGTCAGGGGCTGTCAGCTCCAAGCTCCCCATTTTTCATAATCTCAAGAATCATGTGGTTTTCCCTGTCAAACCTGTTCATTTTTTGAATTTCGAGCTTACTCTACCCGCTCCGATAAGATTTTTGGCAATGTCACCTCCGATCTTCTCGAAAGCTCTTGAACAGAACTCTTTCGCTATCGATCCTAGTAGTTTTCTCTTTATCAGTCTGACAAGCTGTGAGCACATCCATTTTAGTGGCACCAACCTTGGCCGTGCATTCTTGCCTCTCACTAGCGCGTATCTGGCCATTTTCATGAAGGTTGCGAAAGTTCGTGTCGTTTGTTTTGAGCAGGTTTATATCTCCCATGAGTTCGCGCAAGGTTACGGTCTTTTGAATTTCTCTTACGAAGCCTTGCAATTTAACCAATGCATTTTCCAGCATATGCCAGATCACTTATTCATGCATTTGCACTTTTTGATGCACAAAATAAGCTCTTAGATTTCGAACTTTCTTTGTTGTTCTTTTCATTTTTTTTGAATTATTATTGTTTAAAATTGTTCTGTATCTGTTGTTATTTTTTCATTGTTATGAAGTTTTGCATAAAAGATTCCAAAAATTTCGTTTCGTTGAATCATCAAAAATCAATCAGACTGGAAAATTAGAAGCATAGTTGGTAGTAGCTCAATATTCGTTGAAATTGAAGCAACACCATCTCCAATAAATTAAATTTCAAGAATTCACGTTTTTCCATCGAAAAAAAGTCAAAGAGAAACGAATATTTAATGTTAATTTGAAAAATCATGTTTTTTCTCAGAAAGAACTATCTGTTCAAATTCTGTGGAACGTTAATAAGAAGTAGTTAAGTAAGTCTTCAAAAGTCGCTTTCATTTTGATTTATTGCTCTATTTTTTATTGTAGGAAAAAACATTTTCTGGTCAAAAATGGCATGAGATGCTTGTCGAATAAAACTTGGGGTCATTACTGATTTTTTTTTACAACACGGAAATTTTCGCAAATCGACTTTTGTTGCTTTTTGGAGAGCAGTCTTCTTCTTCTTCCTACGCTTTTGTACCACTTGAGCCGTGTCGGCACCCCAAGTCGATTAGCGGAAATCCTATCCTGATCAGTAATAATCAGTGGACTGGCTCTAGTGACATATCCGTCCTTGTGTGTGACGGCTGGGGATTTTGAAGCCGTGGTTTCCCACTACCAACATTTCTTAGACCCCTTGGTTGGGTCGAGGCGAGGGTCAAACTTGTGACCCTGTGGACCGTAGACAGGCGCACAACCTGTTGCGCTACGGCGCGCCCCGCGTTTATCTCAGAGTTGTTTATTTTTGTTCTAAACTTCTGTCATTATGTTTCGCAAAGCTCTAACGACTAACAGAAAGTTACTTTTTGCCCAAGAACGGTCTCTAATAAGACGCGGAGAGCCAAGCCAGATGAGATCCTCTCTCAAAACTTTTGATTTATTAAACCGGATACACTAGGAAAAAAATAGATGAAATCGTTCCAATAAGCTTCCACCATTAAAACGCTTTGAAACAAGAAAAAATATACTTGGACGGGTTTTGAAAATTTTTCCAAACTAATCCACCTTTTCTACAACATAGTGAAAAGGAGTGATAGCGATATTATTATCCGACAACGGAAATGAAACAGAAAAAACAAGTAAGAAATAAAAAAAAATGATAGTCAAGGGATAGAAAAGAGGACGCGAATGAACGGATTGAAAAAAGAAGAAGGACTGACAGCAGGTGTGAGAAAAAACAGCCGACTGTAATATGAGTAAAAGGGTTGGGATATGGAGAGCATTTAAAGGATCTGCACAGTCTTCTTACCGTTTCCAGTGGCGACAAAGCTCACGCGTTTCAGATGTCGTATTAATCGGAGTAATGGGCCAGGTCGAGCAAATCTTCTCTTTTTAGTTTCCGAAAAGCGAAATCGAAGAAAGAAAGAGCTTTGAATATCAAGTGTACTGTATTCTGTGTGAGAATGATTGCTTTCGACTTGTTAGTGTTGAAGTGAAGAAAGGAGATTTATCAGAAAAGTCTATAACGCACGAGGAAAATCAGCAAAAATGAAAAAAAAAACCAAGAAAAAACGGATATTTCATTATTGTCCGTGATCCTAAGGGGAAGAAAACTGGGGGCTGAATGATTTAAAAGCCCCCTGTTTTTAAGTTTGATTTTTTTCAACTTCGGCTGCTTCCTCACTTCTTTTTGAGGACCATACACGAGCAACTCTTTCTTTTCGAGAAAAGTACGAATTCGTACTCCTTCCTAAGCCTTTTTGCTCGCTGTACGTTCACCAGTTTATTTCCAAATAAATAATTCGGAAAAAGAGTAAAAAAAATTAGATAAATTTGTTTGAGGGGACGATCCATTTTTTATTTTCCAGATGGAGAATCAAAACGAACCTAAATAAACAAAATTGAAAAAAAAAATTTTTTTGTCTGTTTATTTGTCGCTTTAACTTAAATTGAAGGTATAATTTAAACGCTCAGGTATTAATTTATGATCATGTTAATTCAGAGTGTATTTTTTTAAACTTCTACTGAATTTATCCTAAAAATTCACAAAATTGTCAATTTTCGTGGAGTCGAAGTTTTTTCTTTCCAATTTTCCGATACAACGTTGCTCAGACTTCAGGAAAATTCTCTTTTGAATCACGGAATAAATGAAGAACTGTTGCAAAGTCGCTTTGACCTCCGACTTGTAGATCATATTTTCCTTCTTTGGATGATAACGTTCGGAAGATGATCATTTCAACGATCCATGGTTTTTTGCTTTTCTCTTCAATTTTTTCAAGACAATCTGTCCCAAATAATTGGACAAAGATAAGTTCACCTTCTTTCTTTTTTGGAGCTTTCTATATTTAGCCGATTCCCCAAATGTGTGCGTATCCCGAGCTCCCGATAAAGATACAGCTGGATGTGACGACAACCTGGGAGAATCTGGGAGGCAGGTCCTCGTTTGTTTGTATGCAAACGACTGCGAGATCACGCGTATGAGGTCGCGAAACGTCAAAGCGAAGAACACCTTTATAAGACCCGGATCCAGAGCAGCACCGAATTTGCTCCAGCTTCTGAACTCATTCTTTTTACTCAGATAAGATGTATAAAGCCTTGCTCGTGGCTTCTTTGATTGTCGTTGCCTATGGTGAGTGTTTCTTTTTGTTATTTGGTCGTGTTCGATTTGATAAGAACTGTTTTTTTTTTCATCGGGTCTCGAAGAATTAGTTCATTCAATAGATGAACTCAAATTGTAAGCAAAATAATCAAAGTAGTATGATCTACTGACTAAACTCTGACAAATCTAACTATGTGGTACATTGGTCGGAAAAAAATTGAAAACTATAAGTTTTTCATGTTTTTTTAAATACTGGGCTATTAGGGGCTTGATAATAATATTTATTCTTCGAAATAAGATTATTCATCGACATTTTTCAATGAAAAAAATCAGTTCATTTTCAAAAAAATATCATTAAAAAAAGTTGATTGATGTGATCAGATGTTCAGAAAAATTTAGAAGATTTTTTATGATCTAAGAAAAATGCGGAAAAATTGGACATTTCAAATAATCAGCCTGTATATCCACTGAAATTTTTCATTCAGCTAAAATCGATAATCAATGGCGAGATTCTCGAATCATGTATTTTCTCATTTCTTTTTTTTGGAAAATTGCCTATCAATGAAAATTTTCATCCCCAGACGTTTCGGCGACAAGATCTCGATACATGAAAAATGACACCACAAGAAAGAATCGACGCCGTCATCCGACCAGCCGCGTATCGATCAACCTTCCAGAGAAAGTTCATGAGAGGAACTCCTATAAGTTTGAAAATAGTAGAAAGAAATTCTGACAAACCAAATTTGTAGCGAAAATGCCAAATCCTAGCGGCCGGAAAATGACTGCCTTGGACTCTTCGCGACCTCTTCCTTGTTGCAAAGACGAGTCTGGCGGCTCAATCTGTCGTACCATGAAAAATCACGACGCTAAGGGTTTTGCCAATAAGTAATTTCTAGTTCACTTTCTTTAATATCTGGTTAAATTCAGGTGTAATTTGGAACCTGATTTTTCTTTGGTCGTTTGCTGCAAATCTTGCGGAGAGCTTGGTATTGGATATCGTGAACGAGCCCAACTGTTAGCATCAGAATTTTGACTTTTACTTTTTCTCATCGCTTCAGGTTTTTCTTGGGACAAAATAACTCGACCAATTGCTTCGACCGCATGAGCCCCACCTACTGCAGTAAATTTGAAAAGAGCAGTGATGCTTGGAGCAACAAGAGGTGTGAATTCTTTTGAAGATTTTCTAAGCCAATCTAAGTTCAGATGGTCATGTGACGCCTCTCATTTCCGACTGGGATTTCGCGTGTGCAGAGCGACTTGCGGATTCTGTTCTATCGACTGGAAAAATGCCCCAGAACCAGTGAAATGCGGATGATTCTGTTGTTGAAACTGTTGTAAAAGTATAATTTGATATTCAAAAAATGTTCGTATCTCCTATTAAATGTGCCTCAGATTTTTATTTTTGTTGAATAAATAGTTATGATACCCTATTTTTTTTTTCAGTACAAACAATCATCGAATTGATACTGAAACATCCGCAGGCACATCTCTGAGTGATCAGAAAAATGCTACCTTCAAAAATTTGGAACTTGTCGAAAATGTTCGTCAAAAACTTGACATCGGAGCAAAAAATTCCTAGTACTAGAAAAATCACTTTTCCCATGTAACCATTTTTTTTTAAATATTTTGCCTAGTTCTCTTCGAAAAAGCTTCACCAATTTGATTAAACAATGTGTGTCTTCCTTTATTTCATGTCAAATATTTATTTCTTATGCACTCTATATTTTCCACATATTATTTTCACTGTTGGTCGCCGTCCAATAACCAATTGTCCTTCTTTCCGTATTTGATTTGAAGTAGCCGATCTCTCCACCCCGTGGTCGCAATGCGGCAAGCCTACAAAGTTCATCGGTTTTTTATAAGTCATAGAAAACAGAAGAACTTTCTGAGCATTCTCCAACGTGTAGCTGACTCTGGAGAAGTCGCAATAGCCACACGAAAGTCGACAGGCTCGGAACGCGATTTGAGGATTTTCCCCGTCACAAGACCAAGTACTGTGTGGCTCGAAGACATCAGTCGCGTTCACATATCTGAAAAATGGGAAACATTGAATAGTTTTTTTTTTCTCGCTGCAAACCTTCCGCAAAATTGAGATCCGTAACGATCAAAGCAGTGTTCCGAGACCAGAGATCTGGCTACAAGATCGTAGGCCATAGAAGTTCCGTTTGCGTTGCAAGTCGAACAACATTGAACTAATCTTAAACATCTGTTGGAAGAATTTCTTTCGGAGTAATTAACCTGAACTCTGCGTCGGTGTTGCAGCGACGGGAAAACTGTCGGGTGTTTTGTTTTTGCATGCGTTGACAGGCAGGACCGCCTAAATGATCTCGGCAACAAGGCGGCTGAGTAGTGTAAGAAACGACTGAAACTCAAAAAGGGTTGAAAGGGTTTTTTCCAGATATCTTCACAGGCCATTTTACTATTTTAAGCAATCCTTGGTTCAGGTTTTACAGCCTAATGGTTTCTACCTGAAAATAAAAGAAACCTTTAACTTGATTTAGGACTTTTCACTAAAGCATTTCATTTTTAGAATCAATCACAATCCTCCACTCCTGATTATTTGGAATCTCAAAAAAAAAAATCTCTTCCATTTTCATGATCGCCCTCTGACGTTTTTTTTCTAAAAAAATTTAGAGAGTTACTATTTTTCCACATAGTGTGTTGTTATTGTTCCAAGAAGAAGTTTTGAGCAAAAATATGTTGCTCCAGCAAGTTCGATAAATTCAAAGTAAATCAGGGTAAATCAAGTTTGATAAAATTCCGAAGTTCGGATTCCAATTACTATTTCTGAAAATTCAATAAAGTAACTTACCAATTGGAAAACAAACAATCAAGACAAAAAGCATGTTGAACAAGCGACGATTGGCAGGAAATAAGTGAGCCGTGAGCTCTTTTATAGCCGTCAGACGGTTTCCGCTCCACCGCCAGGTGCACCGATCTGCCCGCCACCTCCAAATCAAGACATGTGCGTTCGTTTTTGACAGCACGCGGGAAGAAAACCTGCGCGCCTGCACACAAAACACCACGGCTGGAAATCGCTCCCTTATTTGATTTTTCGATCCTTTTTCGCGTTTTACTCACATCTCTTCGAAGTCTGAAAAAAACTGGGAAGATTCTGCTTTTTGAAAAATCCATGGCGGAGTTAATTCATGGTTTTTAGAGGTTCCATTCTGTTTCCCAAACAAAATTATAAAGAAAAACAGCTTTTCCTCAGACCATTTTGATCCTTTGAAAACAATTAGTTTTTTTTTAACTTTTGAGTTATATTCTTGCATGGCATTGTCTTTAAATTTGATTGAAATCCAGAAAATTTGTTCCACGGTCTGAAAAACTTTATTTGGATAGCGATACTGTTGAGTTCAATACATTGCGTTTGTTATGATAACTATCATTTTCAATGCTTTATTAGACAATTTTTGAAAATATACCCATATATTTGTTTCTCTGGTGTCATCGAAGTAAATAAATATACATAAGAAATATTAGAAAATAAATATTACTTAAAAGGAAGTTGGCAATACCAATCGCAAGAGATCGAAAGACATCGACGCGCCGTAAGGTATGCTTGACTGAAAAAATGAAAAAAAAAAGCTTTCAGGATTTGAAGCTATAATTCTCACCTGATTATGCAGGAATTCACCTAAAAGGAACTTCAACTTATTTTGAATGCTTTCGATGAGCTGAAAAAAGAACGTTTAAAGCGCTACAGAAAAAAAAACCAACCGCAAAGTAGGAATTTTGAAGAGTTATTTGCTTCACATCACTGTAACAAGAAGCCACCATATCATTCACAATTATTCGGCCGTTCGCTGTCAATGGAGCAAAAATTCCTTTACGGTTTGTTATTTGGATCTGTTGGATTCTTTGCTGGCGGAACTTTCCCTGAAATTTTTTATTCACAGGATCAAAAAAAGTTAGGTAAACCTTATAAAGCAAGACGACGCAATCTCCAACTTTCAGCTCCTCGGCGAAGACAGCTTGCCTGTTTCGGGGGAGCGTTTTTACCCGTTCGTCATAATCATCTGAGAATAGATTAAAAATGGTTTTTTTTTTAAATATCATTATTATACCATTGCATTTATTGCGGAACATCAAATGTTTGGCAGTCAATGCAAGCATTTTTCCGTAGTCTGTCATGATCGTGACAAAGTTGTGACGAGTGTCTGGCTCTCTATGAATCCACATGGTAATCGGGGTGTAGAAAGTCTGAAATTCTCTATTCACAAAGAAAATGAACAAAATTTCGAAAAATTATATTCGTTTATACTTCTTGAAAAACTCTCGTCTCAGGAAAAAAAAAATAGTGTACTATGTATCGGAATTTTCTGAAACATAGAATCAAGGGTTCATAAACTTTGGTTTTTATTATGCAAAATTTTTTCTCTTATTTAGACATAATCTCAATTTTTTCAGAGATCAATGAGATTAAAATGATGAAAAGAATGAGTTATTGTCGGGAAAGGTTTGAAAAAAAAAACGATCTAAACTTTGAACCTTTGAACTGAACTAACCGCTGTGTGATTGGCGGTCAATACATAATCCCCAACAGAAACTTGGTCCATCCTCTTTTTTCCATGCGGAGTGGTAAGCCATGTGTCAGTTGAGAAACAGGCTCCTCCTCCGCCACCGCCGCCTCCGAGACCTCGAAAGCAAGTTGATAAAGACTTGGATACCTCCTTCTGTCTTACCTGTTCCTGTGTTCGGAGGATCCGCGGCTCGACCACCAGCAATTGGACGCGGCGCCACAACAGCCGACTGTTCTGCTCCTGCAGGTTGAGCTTGCGCTTGAACGGCCTGTTGTTGGAAGAATTGTTGCTGAACTACTTGCTGCTGGAACTGTTGGGGCTGTTGAATAATTTGCTGTTGGAACTGTTGAGGCTGTTGGATAATTTGTTGTTGGAATTGCTGAGGCTGTTGGAAGATCTGCTGTTGGACGACTTGTTGTTGAATGATTTGAGGCTGCTGGATGATCTGAGCTTGTTGGACGAGAGGCTGTTGGAAAGGAGCGTTGAAGGATTGTACAGGTGGTTGAGCAATTTGACTTGGCACCGGAGGTTGTTGCAGGAAAGGCGTTGGGTCGAAAGTCTTGAAATTTTCATTTTTTTTTAAAATGACATGAATCTGTGCGGTAAAGTTGTTTTAAATTGCACTGAGGAATTAACACAATTTTTTGGAAGATGGGTTTGAAAAGACTCGGAGGATCTCAACCGGTCAAATTTATCCTTTTTGTCTCGTTTTTTGAAAAAAAAAAATTAAAAGATCAACTCACGGTCAGTTGAAAATCGCTCAGAGGAGGCAACTGAAAATGAGAGAGAATTTTGATTTCATTCAATCTGACGGCTTACCAAAGGACTTGTTTGATAAGACAGCACTGAATAGCCTCGAACGTCCATTTTGCATGCTCGTTGATTGTATCGAGCTGTGGACAGAACGAAATTGCTGGGCGCTATTACGACGTCGAAAACTGTTCCGAAACGACGTTGTTGGTTCTCCATCAGAAGCTGAAAAGAAAAAATTACAACTATTAATGAGAAAAATGTTTAGAAAAAGCTACGATTTCATTCACTGACCTGAGCGAAACGTTGGTTTCCTCCACTGTTGAACCTGGTTTTGTTCATAGTATGTATCGTTTTCTCAATTTCATAGGCCACTCCTCCATCACAACAAGTATCTCCTAAATATCTTCTTAGATTCGAAAATTTCGAAAAAAGGAACCTTTCAAAACTCCAGGGTTTCCTGGACATGGGAAATCTTTGGCTTCACCCAAATCGACGTCATAGTCAGTAGAATGAATGGGATACTATAAAATAGAACGTGGAGGATTGCATGGTGAAAAACAAACCTTAACTGGCGATTGGTAGGCCAAAACTTGATATTCATCGATTCGGTACTTGCAAACATTATCGCCACCGAAAGTTGAAGAATGGACGAAATCGCGTGAGGAAACGATCACTTCTGTCGAATGGCCCAACACATCTTCGACCCCCCATTGAATTTTCTGAACGGCAATTTTTTTCTCATTAAATATTCCTAACGCACCTTGGACAAAGCGCGCAAATTATAAGGGTTGAAATCGGGGTCTTTTCTCGCCTTTTCGTAAGCCTCTTGCATCGCATTAAAAACTTCGACGCTGCAACATCGCGAACCTGAAGTCTAGCATGTTTTATTGGGGAAAAAACGAGATTTTGACAGCTGCGTCTGTGAAAGAAAATCATGTTTTTTGTTATCAAAGGATCATAAAACGAAAAAAGATTCTATTTTAAACAGATTACAGTGGACTTTGAACGAAATATTTAGAAAATCCAGTTTTTTTAACGATCTTGAAGCTGACCCAAATGCCTCTGAGTTGGTTATTCGAGATAAGTTTTTTGATTGTTGAAATCTACTTTCATCGATAGTTGGAAAAAAAAATTGACTACCGTTTTACATTCTTAATCAGAAAGTAGTTATCCGAAACCCTTTTTCTCTTTTTTAAAAGTAATAATTAAAAACCATTTCCGTTCATTTCATTAATTTCTACAGGAACACATGCCTGTTCTGACAGGAGAGCAATGAGAACCCATCGGCAATCCAGCCTTCGACTCTTCAGTATCTTCTCCGTTCAGTTTCAGAGGGACAGTGTCCGGCGCCTCTCCCTCAAGATGGGAATCATTGCGACCAAGTGGCTCATTTATCGAAACGTCAGCCAATTCTTGCTCCTTAGTTTCGTCTTCAATATCGTACTGTAAATAGCAACATTTCCTTCCGAATGTCAGAAATTAACTCACTTGAATGGGCGTAGCGTATGCAAATATCGTGAATTTTTTCAGTTTGAACTTGCAGATACGATCTCCCACTTGATGCGATTTGTACTCGAAATTTCCTTTGGAAGCGATAACTTCGAAAGATTTTCCATAGCGAAGTTGGACTCTTCTTTGAATAGCCTGAAAAATATTTTGAAATGCTCAAAGTGTTCTACTGACCCTTGCAAGAATGTCAGCTGCATCTTCATCGAATAGTGGAGATTGAGCGAGTTTGTTGTAGGCATCTCTCATTGTTGCTGCTAGTTGACCGTCACAGCAAACGTTACCTAAATTTATAAAAAAATTCAAAAAAATCATGGACGTATTATATATTGGATTTGAAACGAAGAAAAGAATCCCACCTCCAGCCTTTCCTCCGCAGTCCGTTCCAGGAGGTAGAGCTTCTACCTTTCTGTGGTTTCGCAAGTTTCTGATGCGAGGATGAGGTCCGACGTCAATTTGATAGCGGAGATCAGTAACATTGGCTGAAGCGGCGGCTGCGTCTTCGTCGCCCATTGCTGCGAGCATGGCTTCTGTTTCGTTTCTCATGCCAGCTTCTTCATCATCCAGCTTTTTGGCGCTAACAAAAGCGCTGGTGCTAACCTCATCATCTAAACATTCACATCTTCTCAGATAGATATGTGAAAAAAAAGCCAATCAAACCTGGATCATCCTCCGCAAACAAATTTGGAAACTTGTCGATCTCGTAGGTTGGAGGCTGGATTGATTTGTCTTCTGAAACAATAATCACACTTCATGGTTCAAAAGCGAATTAAATCAAACCTCCAGCGGTCGGGTCAGACCGAATATCTGGAAAAGCACCACGAACTCTTCTAACTTTAACACCACCGAGTGGTTCATCCGAGTCCACACTGGCAAACCAATTTTCGTTCGCAAGGTCGGTAACGTCATACTATAAAGTAGAAACTAATTAGAAAAATCTGTATAGAGATCTTTGATACTGATCAAGTCAGTTTCCATCCCAAAAATATTCGATCTTTCGCCTCTCGGACAAAGAGAACCGGAAAGGGAAGACAAAAGAAAGTGGAAATGTATCGGCGAACCTGTTGCGGAGTGGCGTAGATCAGAAAGACGCCGTGAGAAGTCTCTAGTTTGCACGAAGATGACCCATGATAGTGCGAGGCTATCGCGAAATTTTTCGTAGAAGCGATCACTTCGAAAGACTTTCCCAGCCGCTGTTGTAACCTTTTTTGAACTCTCTGGAAATATTTGTTAAGGAGAGCTACAAAATAAATGCCTTGGAAGTTGAAAAAGGAAATTTAATAGAAAAATTCAATAGTAGGGCACAATTAAACTTCCATATTCTTTTTTGAAATTCTCTCAACTGGTCTGAAAAAAACAAACTCTGGCCAAATCTCCCAAGTTCAAGTCTGTCGAGCCTTTTGGTAAAATATTCCTGGCGGAGTTGCCCAGAGAGATATCGCAACATGATATGTTTGAGCTTATGAAAGGATCCATAGGATCTGAATATGATTGTAAGTTTGAACAAAGCATTTTCAAAAAAAAAGAATACCTGAAGATCCCCAGTCACATTTTGCGTTGATCATTTGTAAAAAGTATAAAAATATTATTATGACGTTGTAAAAAGGGTCCATTCCTTTTTGAATCCTCAATAATTTCACGGGATCAGACCAGCTTTCAATGAAGATCTTTTTGTAAGGTTTATTTTTTTCCAGAAAGAATAACGAAAAAAAGAGAAAAAAACGTCTTGGACACGAATGAGTAAATGCCGTTCGGTGAGAGAATGTGCCAAGAAATTAGGTCACCAGTTTTTCGAGTGGCCAATGGCCTTAGCGGAAGAATCAAGACTCAAAAAATTTCCTTTTTTGAGATTTCCAGGCTCACTTGACTTTGAAAACAAGAGAGCAGGAGCTCAAAAAAAAGCAGCTGAAACCAAAACGAAGAAATTTTTAAAAAATTTCAAGCATTTCAACAGTGAGAGGTTGGAAAACACAGTTATTGGCGAAATATGAGGAATGAAAAAAAAAACCAAAGATAGGCAAGAAAAAAAAAACTTTCCAGGAGATTCAGGCAAACTGCACGATTCAAAAGAAGGAACGAAAGTAACAAACGAGGAAACAGTCACGGAGGAGATGAATCGGCTTGAGGCGGCTTGAAACCGGCCGTCCGTCGCTTACGTCAATTCAAGGCGGTTGCGCGGATTCCCGCCTTCTGCAAGTGACCATAAGCGAGATTCTCGGCTTTCCGAATCCCTTAACCTGCTCAGGTACACCAGGCGGAAAGTTTATGAATGTTCCACGCAGACATCTTTTTTCTCGCCGAAGATTTTTAAACAAGTCCTCTGGAAGAATGAAAGCTGGTCGCGGCAATATCACTATTGTTAAGACTAGAATGATGCCCGGATCGCTTTCGATTATCGCCATCCACATAAAATTGTGTCTTCTATTGTGTCGAAGATTTGTGACTAAACTAAAGACAATCAAGGCTTATTTGCATAGAACGTGAAGAAATTGAAATAAAGACAGTTTGAGAATATTATTTTCATAGAAGGAATCGTGTTTTTGGTGGAATCAGCACAATTTTTGAATTTTCTGAGATCATTTCGTTAAATATACCTTTTTCCAAATGGAAATCAATTTTTTTAAAATTCAAATACACTTTGATGATTTCGATTTAAGGAAATTTGGCTGTAGGTGCTCCACAAAAAAAAAAAGTAGATTTGCAGGAACTTAGTGAACTTTCAAGTGAAAGTCTCTAGAAAATTTTACCTAAAAATTTTTTTCAAGTTCGACAAGTTAAAGTTAGGCATCTATTTTACCTGCTTACTAAAGTTTTGGAGATTTTTGAAAGTGTTCTCTGTTAGGCGCTTCAGATCAAAGTATTGAGGAATAATACTCACTCGCGCGATACGATTCAATAATTGGGCGGTTCCATTATGGTTCTCAGTAGCCTTGAAAATAATCTCAGTAGGTCACAACAAGGAAATTGTTTTCGAAAGTCAGAAGGAAAACCAAAAAGGAAGCCGATATTACAGGAATTCATCGAAAAGTTTTTTTGTTTGAATTTGAACAGTTTTCAGACTTTTTCATCTTCAAGATAGTGCAACATATCGCTCCAGACAATAATAACTAATTATCAAGAGACAAACAATTTTCTGTAAAATTGAAGGTTATTATGAACTTTTTTCAAACTCATGAGACTATATAAGAGAAGAAAATGCATGAGAAACGAATTTTTTGGAACTCTTATTGTAATAAATTAAATTTTTTTATGGTTCTTTCATTTTAAAAAAAAATGTTGCAGGACTTGAATGTTTCCATTCGGCGGCATGGATGCTGCGGAGAAAAGTGCGAAAAATGAAGGTTTGTAAAAATGAGAGTTTGAAAAGTAAGCTTTTTAAACTCTGCTCCTTTTTATACTCTCAGCTGTCTGATTCTTTTGTTTTCATCAACATCATTCAAAAAAAAATTGGAAGCAGTTCTATAAGTGGTGTTCCTCAAAATGTCTCCATTATGAAAATTGGCCACGATTCAAATCTGTAATTTGGCCTATCGCAATCGTGACGAGTTCCATTGTCCACAATTGCAACAGACCAGCGATTTTCTTTTTTTAAACATTTATCTTTCTTTTGTTTTGTTAATTTTCTTCATTTTCAGACAAAATGAGTGTCTGTCTCGTGGGAACTTGGGCAAAAGTTTCCAAATGCGATGACAGCCTGGAAATGGCGCAGAATGTGTTTCTCAGTCGGTCAGTCAAAGTTCAAAAAAAAATGTTTTTTTTGACTTTTTATTCAATTTCTCATTTTAATGAGTATCTACTTATTCAAAAAATTCAAGGGACACAATAACGGCGCTACCCGAAGATAGAGAATATCTGAACGATTTTCGGATCCATCATCCGGATGTGAAAGCCGCCCTTGTCGATGATATTGACAAATTCGACGACGTCTACTTTGGGGTCAGCTTTTCAATTCGAGGAAATCCTCTAAAATTGATATCCTCAAGGTTGGCGAATCGGAAGCGATTTGTATGGATCCACAGCAAAGAATGCTTATGCAAGGAGTGATTCACGCTTTGGAGGACGCAGGTTTTACATTGAAAAGCATGAGAAAAAATAGCGAATACCCGAAAAATAATAACAGGGACTCTTTAGACTATTTTCTCACAAGACGTTTTCGTACTTAATCTGAATTAAAACCCCAGTTCGCATGCTTTTTCAAAGTTTTTCTTTTTTTTTTTTTTGATACTTTGTTGCGTGTTTTTTGTATTTCAATTTCAATGGTGATTTTGATTGATCTCGATTTTTTTCTGAATTTTTTTTTTTCGTAAAAACTGTAACCCTAAAAGGAGAGCCAGCTGTTGAATATTTGCTGATTTTTTTAAAGTTAGACCTCACAAAAATCTCTGATGATTCATCCAACTTATAAACAGTATCTCATTGTCAAGCTTACCAGGAATTCCACTGGAACTCGTGTCTTCTGCAAAGGCATCAGTGTACACGGCAGCATGGGCCTACGACTACAAAGATCTCCTTCCGCCAGATCAGTACATGGCGACAGGAAATTCAGCCAGCGTTATGTGTGGCAGGTGATCAAAATTCAAATTTTCATAACTCTGCTTTGAAACCTTATGAAAAGATTGTATTATACTTTTTTTCATTCAAATTAAATTTTTAAACTTATGGAAACCTTATTTTTGATATTTATATAATTATTCAGGTTTTGAACTTTTTAATTATGAAGAAATGAATAATTTAAGTTATATTCGAAATAGTGTGAGAATACTTAAAAATATGAATTTTCACTTCTAATACAAGAATCTTCAAAAAATGACAAAACATTGAAGTTTTTTTGCATTTGTTCAAGGAAGCCTTAGATGTGATTTTTTTAAATTTGTTACAAAATATATTTGAAAAACTGTTTTCATTTTGTCCTAATATAATCTGAAACCTCAGAATCACGTATTTCTTGAATTCACGCGGCGCCGCAGTCGGTATCGAGACGGCGTGTTCTTCTTCTCTCGTTGCCTTTCACTTGGCTCGTCAAGCCATTTTGACCGGCGAAACGGAGTTGGCTATCGTTTGTGGGGCAAACCACGTTGGATCGAGGTTAGATCATTGAAGAGAACAGTTATAATCGGCTAAAATTGATGAGAAAAGGTAAAACTAGTTACAAAAAAGGAAAAAATGTTATGAAAAACTTGATAAGGAGAAAAAATGTCAATAATTTTTGAATTTTTTGTTCTAACGGACCACTTGGTTTAAGGAAAAATATATTTCAAGAAGCTTGAGTAATTCGAAAAAACGTTTCAAATTGGACTTTTTTTGAAGATTTCATCACTAATCTCTGTTTTAAGGTCATTTCACTCACTGTACAACTCTCACATGGTATCGCCAAACGGACGGCTCGCCGCTTTCGATCGTTCAGCCAACGGATTTGTTCGCGCTGAATCGTTTGCAGTGGCCATCTTGGCGTCGCGTGAATTCGCCAAGAAACACGCTTTGCGCGTACTTTGCGAATGCGTGGGCTCGGCCTACAACAGCGACGGGAAAACGGCTTCGTTGACGGCTCCGAATCCGATAGCACAGCACGAAGTGAATTTTCCGCTCTGATTTCTGATTTCATTAGATATATAAAAAGTAATTTTAAACGCACAGAACAGTCTCGATAAAAAGCCGCTTCAAGGCTCACAAACTTTCGGCCTTCTTTAAGTTATAAACTGAATTAAACTATTAGGTTGGCATGAAAGAAATGCGGCTCGTTTTTGTCGGCTTATAATTCATCCAAGAAGCAATATTATTTGGAACGGTATTTTTTGTCGAAAAGGGCTTGTCCTTGGGCGTCATTGGATATATAGTTTGCTGACGTTCATTCCGCCTTTCTATGAGAAAAATAGCTCTGAAAACTTCCTTTCAAAAACTGTATTCGCGACCTAGTTTTCGCGTTATTTCAAAAAGTACAAATCGAATTCAGAAGCTTGGCAACTTTCAATATTATGATCACCATTGATGCTTTTTTCTGATAGTTAACATTTTGAATTGCTTTAGCGCTATTCACTGGGCGAAAAGACCTTTGAAATCAAAAAACACGAAAAAATCGACGATAAAGGCGATTTTAAAATGCCATCAGACTGAATCCACAACAGATACCTGTGAAACTGGCTCATCAGTTATTACACATCCATATCTGCAAAAGAAAACAGTTTTTCACGCAACGGAGTGCAAAAAAGGAAAAATGAAAAATGGCTTCACGATATCTCTTTTTCCTTTTTTTTTTGCGAAAATGTGTTAGCCCAAAATCAGAAAAATTGTTGTGCGAATTTCTTCTTTTCCGCTACAATGCTTAGACATGGCTCTTCGCATTTATCATCTGTCCGAATCATTGGATCGCTTAACAGCCAAAAAAAAAGTTGAAAAACTCCGATGAAGCCCAAATTTGGGGTGCAACTTCTTTGACTCGTAGGCGGCCCAGTTTGTCAGAGAGAGTATCCATTCTCTGCGTAAGCATTGTTGACAAGGTACTAATACAGATGGAAATCACATTTCGAATTAATTCGTGATAAACTTGTTTTTATGATAAAATTAAAGGACATCAAAAACACGCATTTCTTTCCTGCCGCCCTAATAGAAGAAATACAGCCAGAATAGCGACAGAGATTTATCAGAAAACCGGAGAGACGTTTTTCAAAACTTTCAGGTTCAACTGCAAGCTATGGGAAACTTGAATCCAAAAGACGTTCAAGCAGTAACGTGTCATGGAACTGGAACGAAACTTGGTGATCAGGTGCGTTTAATCCTTTCCATCCAATCGATCTCGTACACTTTAAGGTTGAACTGGCAGCGATTTCTAAGTCCTTCTCACCGGATATTCGAGTTGTCGGACCAAAAAGGTAAATTTTTACTTTTTTTTGAGAATTGAGAATGGGAAGTTTCAGTTCTCTTGGTCACGGAGAAGGAGCTGCCGGACTGGTTGGCGTTCTCCAGTCTCTGTTCATCATGCAACACAGCCTACTTCCTGCGCAACTGCATTTGGAAATGCCCTCAGAACACGTGGAAGAGAAGTCAATGGCATTCGTATCGGAAGACGTCGACATGAAAACTATTGCCATCAGTTCCTATGGATTTGGAGGAACCAATGCCTGCGCTGTTCTCCAAAAACCAACGACAGAATACACTCCCATCAAATGGAAAAACGATACAAAGGTCCTATTCCTCTCGGCTAAATGCGAAGAAGCGTTGGATTCATTGATTGAAAATTATTCTGATTTCATGGAAACAACTGACTCGACTCTAGATGACATCATTTATTCAACGAATGTCAGAAAGACCAAGTATGACGTCAGGGCGGCCGTTTTTGGATCTTCGCGAAAAGAAATCGCTCGAAAACTCTTTCAAAAAGACGTTCTGAAAGCAGCAGAAAACAACAGTGAGTAATAAATCAAAATTTTTTTAGAGCTTTTTTTTCTCCGGATCGAAGAAAAACTAGTTTTTTTTGTTGTTCTTGCTCCTTGAATAGTCTGTAAAATTGACTATAAAAAAATATTTAAATTATAAATTTTTTTAAGAGAAAAGACAAGCCTAATAAATTTGTTATAACTCCAACCAATGTACCGATTTGTACCTTAGTTTCTTCAAATCAAAAAATTGTGGTTTTCGTCTTTTTTTTTGCGAATCTTCAGACATTTTTTGAGGCTAAGTGAAACCAACGTTTCCATAAGAATTTGTGCATAAAAGTAAAAAGTATTCTAATTACAGACGGAACTTTTGAAATCGAGTTCGGTGAAGGAAACGAAAAGCTTTGGCTTCTGAGAATGCTCTACGAGGCTAACTCAACTTTTCGCAAATCTCTGGACAAGTTCTGTCGGATCGCTGAAGAGCAGGGATTCGCAGAAGCTCGCTCGACGCTTTTCTTCCCGTTCAAACTCACATTGACACCACTGACCAACAATGTTTCACGCCTCATTACCGCTCTGTCTACATACGATGTTCTGAGAAGCTATGAAGCAGAGCCGACAAGTGTGCATGGCTCGGGAATCGGCCACGTCTTCTGTTTGGCTGCAACTGGCGTTGTGACTTTCCAGGAAGCAGTCACTCTTATGAAATGCATCATTGCTAACGGCGACATTGCGAGCGTTTTGAATGACATTTCTCTGAACGCTGCCGAAGTTCCAGTCAGAACAGGGGCAGAAACATCGAATAGACCGCTTGCTGAAGACATTATTGCTCAAATCAGCTTGCCCGCCACCACTAGCAATTTGATGAACTTCCGTATAAATCAAAAAATGATTTCGGAAACTGATCCCATCCGGAAACTTCAAGAAATTATTTGCAACTTGTTTGTTGCTGGTTATGACGTTGCTCCCAAGTCGGAAGGAAACCTCGTAAAAACGCCATCATACCCATTTTTGAAGAGAAGATTTTGGCCTGAGCATAAGACGCAAGCTGTCGTGGAGGCTGAGGTTGAGAAGGAAAGCGGTCTTTCTTTGAGTCCGGAAGAAGTTCTTGTTCTTGTGAGAGAAGTTTGTAGCAAGTTTGTAACACTTAAAGACAATGACAGCAACCTCCTGGAAAATGGGGAAATGGACTCACTGACTTCAATAGAGATGATAGAAGCGATCGGCTCAGCTTCCGACCTTCAAATGCCCTTTGATATCCTGGACACATGTTCTACTGTATCCCAATTGAGCGAATTCGTTTTCGACAAACTTTCTCGAGGTGAAGGAGGAAAGAGAAAGACGGGAAAAATAAGCGCACAAAGAGAAGTTGAAGACGTCAAAGCATCAGTTATCAGTGCCGATTTCAAATTTGCTGGTGTCGACGATTTCGAAGAGTTCTGGGATACTCTTTTAACCTCAAGAACTGTAACTGCTGAAATGAAAGCTTTGAGAAAGAAACAAAGTGGCGGTGCTCCAATTCTGCCGGTAGGCCTCCTGAAGCATGATATCTCGCTCTTTGACAACGGCTTTTTTTCAATTCCAAAAGACGACGCTCTTTTCATGGATCCTCAACACCGACTTTTACTCCACGCTGGATACAACGCGTTGGAAAAAAGTGGAATGACTGCAATTCCAGATGCTGATTTGTTCCTGGCCATCAGCGCTCATTCAGAATACCGAGCAATTGCAGAAGCTCACGTCGAAAAGCTTGACGAACGTCTTTGGATGGGAACCGTGCACAGTATGGCCGCCGGCAGACTGGCCGCTTTGATGGGAGTTCGAGGAAAAGCCCTCGTCGTCGACACGACCTGTTCTTCTGTGGCTTCTGCCTTGGAGATGGCGATGCAGTCGCTGAAAAGAGGAAGAAAGTACGCGGTGGTTGCTACGAGCCAGCTGATCCAGTCTTCGAAATGGCTCCAGTCGCTGAACTCTTTGCTTCCGAAAAATTCAACAAACTCATTTTCCGTGGAAGCTTCCGGTTTTTGTCGTTCCGATGGCGTCGGAGTGATTATTTTGAAGGTGAGTGAAACAGTAAAGGTTGTGTTTTTTTTTATTGATCTTTTTGGTTTCATGTGAATTATGAGAATGAACTCATAAGAAAGAAAAATTTAGGCTTTCGAAGAAACAGACGTTTCCTACCTCACCATCACTTCCGCAAAAAGTGTGCATAGTGGAGCAGTAGTAACACCGGTTGTTGGAGCGATATCGCAACTTTTCGAGAATATTCCAGAAATTGATTACATTGAAGGTGTGTTTTTTTTTACCAAAATTGATCTTTTATCAAACTTTTGAAAAAAAGGTAGTAGAGTTTTCAAAGTTTGAAACATCTTTTTCAAAAAATGTTTTTGAAGTTTCAATATGTAATCTCCAATTTGAGGCCATGGTACGGCAACCATTTCTGGGGATAGCGCTGAAACAATGGCCTATCAGAACGTCTCCAAAGAAGTTGTCATGTCATCAACGAAAGTGATTCTTCATCTGTCGATTCTTTTTCTCAAGTTATTCAGGCTCAATTCGGACACTGTGAAGTCGCTTCTGGACTGATGCAGTTGATGAAAGTTGCCGCCTTGTTCAACAAACAGGAAATCCCGTCAATCGTTCATAATTATCTTCCCAATGAGCATTTGAGGTAAACCATTGCGAATTTCTCCTTTTCACTGAAAAATATTTCAGGTCAAATAACACGGTCCGTCTGCCGTTTGTTGGAGAAGAATCGGAAATCAACAGTTCTGCAATCGTGTCGTTTGGAATAACGGGAACCAAAACTGTAGTCACGGCAGAAAAAGCTCAAAAGTTTGATGCGAACTCGCAGTCAAGCTGTCAATTATTGCTCTTCTCAGCCAAAACACGCGATGCAGTGAGAATGTTAGCCTCGAAAATCAGTGAAATGCTGTCTACCAGCAGTGAAAACTTGGGAGATATTGCATTGGCTCTTCAAAAACAGAAGACTCAACACAAATGGAGGATGGCAATCGTTGCTCGGAATCATGAAGAAGCCATCGATAAAATTCGTCGCAAGCTTGTTGAAGAAGCCGATGTCCGTGAAAAGAAGTGGCTCATCCTCACAAAAGGATATGACATCAATTATCCTTCCTTCGCTTTGAATGCACCATCTTTCGAAAAGTATTATGAAGACTGCTGCACAAGACTTCGCTTCACTCCTCTTTCGGATTTGAACTCTTTTTATCATTCGTTTGCTGTCACTTATTCACTCATCAAATTGTTTTTGGAGCACAAGATCTCAACAAGTTTTGCTGTCACTGCGAAAAGCTGTTTGGCTGTTATTGCAGCAACAGAAGCAACTCAACCACATTATCTGAATGATATGATCCACGCTCTGGCCAAAAACGATGTCAGGCAACTGAAAAGGACAGCTCGGGATGTCGTTCTTCAAATTGAAGATATCGAAATTTTCGACGGAAAAGGAAAGAAAATAACCAACTCGAAAGAAATGGTGGAGGCTGTCTTGCTCAAAGAATTCGAAGCTGTTTCTTTCCCAAGTGGAACCATTCTCTTGTGCGAAGAGCCTTTGGAAAATTCTTCCGATTATGAGTCTATTCAAAACTACATAGATTACTTGGAATATTTTGCGAAAGCATACATCAACGGCTCTCATTTGACGTTCTCAGAAATTTTCGGCGAATCAAGGAAGTACGTCGCTCTGCCAGAATATCCATTCAATATGAAGTCTTTTTGGCTTCCAATGACTGAAATTCCATTCAATCCAACTCCTCAAACAACTTCACCCGTTTCAAACGAGTACAAGTTTGATGTGAACAAAGAAAAATGGCAGCATGTGAGAAATCACGTGATCAATTCGCAAGTCATTCTTCCAGGTGCGACGTCTCTGAGATTGATACACGAGATGCATGGAAAACAGCCGTTGACCGTTGCAAGTGTCGACTTTCTCTCAAAAGTTGTTCCGAAAGAAACGGAAATGGTATTCACGGAGAAAAAAGATGAAGATTTTTTGACGTTAAAATGCGACGACTTGGACGCCGTTTCATACAGAATCCTACCGAAAGAAGATTTTCCGGCTTTGCCGATCGCTCAAATATCTGCCAAAGCTCATGACATTGAAGAAATCTATCATCGTTTCTCTTTGAGTCAGTTAACATATCGCAAAGAGTTCCAAATGATTGACTGTGTTTGGTGTTCCGTGGGAAAAGGTGTCGCTAATTTCAAGGAAATCGAGAAACTTGATGTTCTCATCGACGGAGCTTTGCAAGCCATGGTCCTCGGATATTTGATAGAAAATTCGGATGACAGAAGTCCTTTTGTTCCTTTGAGCATAGACAAAATCACAATCGTCAATGACGACCTCAAAGGGAAGGAACTCAAAAGTTCGTTCAACTTCTCATTTACTGAGTTGATCATCAATGGGACAACAACTGTGTACGACGAGACAAACAAGGTTTCTCCAATTCTCAGTTCAATACAGAAGATTATTAATTTTCAGCCAATTCTTCACATCGAAAACGTGAGCTTCAAAAAATTGGTGGCCAGCGCTGCAGTTGGTTCGCTTACTAACAGAAGTACTACAAGCGCCAAGAGAAGAAGCACAAAAGTGAATGAAGCTGCGAAGTGAGTTAAAATCTCTTAAAACTCCTTTTTCTTATAAGAGCAAGAAAAGTATGATTTGATTATTTGAGGAACATCGCCAAAAAGTTATTGGTCGACTGGTTTGAAGACAACTACAGTTGGACAGATATTGACGTCACCGCGGGTCTTTTCGATCTCGGTCTGACATCATTGCACGCTATCAAACTGAGAAACATCATCAAGGAAAATTATCCCAATGCGTCATCCACCTGCATCTTCGATTATCCATCAATCAACGAACTATCTGAATATTTGGCCTCATTGAGTGGTTCTGCTGGAACCGAAATTCCTAACGATGAATCTCACGAAGAAGAGGTGGAAGACCTTCAGCCGCCAACTCGAATCAGCACTCAACCGATTGGCGTGATGGCCGCGTCGTGCCGTCTTCCTGGAGGCATCTCAGATCCTGCAGAGCTTTGGGAGCTTCTCAAAATCGGCAAAAACACCTCTTCTAGAATACCAGCTACCAGAGTTCGATCGCGAGACGTCTTGATCAAAGGTGACTGAACAATAAATTCCAGTGAAAAGTTGAATTTTCAGGGCACAAATATGGAAACCCAGTAGAAGGAGGCAACTTTATCACTCAAGATGTTTCTCTTTTCGATGCTGCTTTCTTCAAAATTTCTCGCAGTGAAGCCGAACTGATTGATCCACAGCAACGGATGCTGTTGGAATGCGTTCAGGTGACTATAAATACGGACTGCAGACCGAATATTCAAAATCAAAAAAGTAGCCGCAAATGAATTTTGATCTGGCTCAAAAAAGTAAATAGACAAAATAAAAAATAAAAAATGAGCACATAAAAAAAGAAACAAGAAAAGTGGGTATGAATTTTTTTTTTCCAATGAATTCTTTTCTACATTTGTCTTTATAGGAATGCTTGGAAAACAGCGGCGTCACCGATGCAAGCGACGTTGGCGTTTTCGTTGGACTCATGGAAAAAGAATATCAAGATATGGCAGAATCTTCTTCGATACTTTCCATGCTTGGTTCCATGGCTGCTGTGATTGCGGGGCGTGTGAACTATGTTTTTGGATGCCATGGTTTGTTTCCTTTAATTCACTTTCTAGATTGAAGTGAATGCGCCCTTTCAGGCCCATCCGTGACTCTCGACACGGCCTGCAGCTCCTCTCTGGTCGCTCTGGAAATGGCCGTCAACGCCTTGCTGGATCAGCGCTGCTCTCGAGTTATTGTGGCTGGAGTTAATTTGATCTTGAACGAAAAAGGTGAGAAAAAAGGATGAAATTTGACCCTTCAAACATGTTTCATCATTTCAGGACAAGGTCTTCGAACAAACGGAAAAATGCTGTCTCACCACGGAATGTCTCTGAGCTTTGACTCTCGAGCGTCTGGTTACGGTCGCTCTGACGGCTGCGTCGTTCTAATGTTAGAAATCGCCAAACCTGAATTCCGCTACATGTCCACGATACAAGCGGTGAATGTTAATCATGGCGGGAGAAGTGTATCTTTGACAGCTCCAAACGGAGTCGCTCATCGGATGCTGCTGAACACGATTCTAGCCAACTCTCCGTCCCTTTCCGTCAATTATTGGGAAGCCCATGGAACTGGAACACCTCTGGGTGATCCTATCGAGCTAAACACCTTGTCTGCTATTTTTGACAACATTCTTATCGGTTCGGTGAAAGCTTCGCTGGGACATGGAGAAGCGTCAGCGGGAACCTGTGGCCTTCTGAAGATTTTCATGATGCTAACCAACCAATACGTACCGTCTCTCATTCATTTCCATGTACTCAACAAGGACATTGCCATTGGAACTATTCGATTGCCTGTAGTCGGAGAAGAAGCTGACCTTACAAATGCTGGTATCAGTTCATTCGGTGTGAGCGGAACGAATGCTGCGGCTATCGCTTTTTCTGAGAACTCCAAGGCAGATCCTTCATTCTCCATCACAAGATTATATCTTTTGCCTCTCTCGGCTAAGAATCCGAAGTCTTTACAAGAGCTGGAAGAGAAAATGATTGAAGCGTTGCCGCTCTCTTGCAAATCCGTGAATGAAATAGCAGGAGCTCTTGCTAACAATCGCGTTCACCAAGCAATAAGATCTTCTCTCTTGGTGGACCGATGGGGTAATGTCCTACAAAGAACGATCGGAAGACCCCAACGTGCAGTTCGAAAAGACAAAATACGACTGAAGTTGACAAGTCCTGAGTTATCATTCGATATTTTGCAAATAAGCGTTCTTTCGGACTATTTCGAAGCTGCAGAAGGCTTACTGACCTACAATCAAGCTCTGTTATTTGCTTCGCTGAAGTTTTTCAACAAAATATCGGCGCACATCGAAATTGTACCTCAAACTGTAGAAGCTTTGGCGATGTGCTTGTTAGCTGATGGAACACTCGATCTGACGGAGCATAATGTTGAAAGGGCAAGTGCAAGTGAAAAAGAGTTCAGAGACTTGTTGAACAGCATGAACGTGATTGAGAAGTCTTGCCGAAGTCTTTCCAATTTCAGCAACAGAGAAAAAACTGACACCAAGTTGGAAATCGGCACCGATATATTTGACGCTGCCACTTTGTTGAAATTCGTGGGTGACTTCTACATCAATGGCTACGAAATCAAATGGTCGGAAGTTTACCAGCCTCCTAAAACCTACATTCCTCTACCTAATTACTGCTTTTTCCGACAATCGCTTTGGTTCGAAGAACGTGCCGAAGTCGTTGATCACTATTTGGTCGGGACCATTCATGAGAACAACGAAAACGAGACGATTATGATGAACTACATTACTGAACTGCGTCATCCTCAACTTTTCGAAGGACCTATCGACGTTGGTACAATCATGGAAATTGCCATTGAAACTTTAAGAACCCAGAGTAGTTCGCCGCTTTCTTTGCAGAACATGTCGACTAACCAAATCGTTTTGACCAAACCTGCTTGGCTGAAGATTTCTGTGAAAAAACTGCATGAAATGGGCGCTTTTGAAGTAGTAGCTCATATAGATGAACAACAACTATTCCAACTGACGGCATCGGTGTTCGAAGACGTTGATGAAGATGATACCAAAGTAGGAAAGTTCGAAGAGCCATGCGCCATCGTACATCTACCGGAAAGTCCAAATGCTATTGTAAAAGCTAACAATTTTGTCGCGTCTGTTGACTCTCAAGCTGAAACTTCCTCCTATCGCACGGCTGCCATCGTCTTGCACCGGCTTCTGGGATTCGTTCCGAACCCTGGAGACGTTTTCACAGAAATTTTGACTTCAATGAGCAAACAGTTCTACATTTCGAAAATTGACGATGGCGCTCTATGGCAGTTCCAGGTTAATGAATTCTCTACAGATCCGAGTCAAAACAAAATAATATATTTACAGGTTGTTGACAAAAGCCGTGCCGTCATCATGAACGTTTACGTTGTCAAAAAAACGCACAAGAAGTTCAAATTCAGCCCCTTCGTGGTCACAAAAAATCCACTTTGTTGTCATCTCAAGAAGCGAGTACTCTGGCGGTCAGAACTCTTCATGCGGACGTCCTTGAAAAAGTTTGTGGAATAAAAAAACTTTTTAGAATGTTTTTCCTTTAGGTGAAAAAGGCTTTCAACGATGTGATGGACAGTGGAATTGATCTTGAAGAAGAACAAATGGACACTGGATTTTTGGAACTCGGCTTGGACTCTCTCAGCGTGGTTGATTTGCTGAATAGGTTGAATCAGAAGTATTTTAAAGGTTTGCTTTTTTTTTGACTTTTGTATTTCAGCAGCCACAACTTGAAAGTTTTGAAGTGCTGGTGCACTTTTTTAAATAGTAACAAAACGAAAAAAAGCCCTTCAAAATGCTGAAGTCGTGAGAAATAGTCTACTATGACTTCTTCTGAATTTCACGTTTGTTTTCCAGAAATTGAACTGACTACAAGCGACTTGTTTGACAATCCAAACATAACCGATCTGTCGATTCGGATCGAGGCAATGCTGAAAGAAGTTGGGATAACCGAGCCAGAACAAAAAGAAGCACCGCGAACGCCTTTAACACCTCTTGGCAACCGTCGCTTTTCCTTGTCATACTCAAAAAGCTTCGAGTTGGATAAGTCAGTCAGTGAACGTCAGTCTACCATTCAACAAGAACCACTAGAGGCTTTTGCTCAAAAAGTAACGATTGCGCCAATTCCAACGGAAACGACTGAAGAAAACAACGAAGTGGATCACAAAGAAATATTGAGAAAGATATCATCGGCAGTCATGGATTTGATACCAGAACCACTGACCGAAAAGGACATTGAGAACGAAGGTTTCGCAGAATTGGGAATGGACTCACTGTCTCTCGTTGATTTCGTCAATCGGCTCAACGAAAAGTATTTCCCTGGAGAAGAAATCAGCACCAGCGACATTTTCGATTATCCAACTGTTTCTGAACTTGCCGGGCACATCACAAGAAAGAAAAGCATGGCTATTATCAATGCGCCGGTTTTTGAAGAAGAAGCCTTGGAAGACGAACAAATGGATAATGCGTATGTACTTGTAGAGAAACCGGTAGATTCTTGGAGGCCAGATGGCGTCTTTTCTTCTTTGAACTTCAATCAGTTTGTTCTGAAGTCTACAACAGGCCAAGTTTTGATAAATATGGCTGAAAAAATCGATGCTTCTAAGCTTGAAAAAGCTTTTCAGAAAGACGCAAAAATAATGGTGAACTTGGAAAGCAAAGTTTCCATTGAAGAGCTTCACATGAAGCTTCTGGAACTTATCCAAGCTTTCTCCAAGTCAACAATAAGATTAGAAATAGCCGTGAGCAATACTCCAACGGCTGGGAATGCAGTTTCCAAAGCTTTTCTGAAGACAGTCGCTTCAGAAAAGTACCCGAAAATCGCTTACATTTGGGAGCAGAGAATACAAAGAGTGAGAGTGACAATGAAAGAACTCAAGATCGCTGGAAATTGGTTGATAACTGGCGGCCTGAGCGGCATCGGATATGTGATTGCGAAGTTTTTGTCAGAAAACGGAGTTTCAAACTTGGTGCTGGTCGCCCGCAGAAAGCCGGAAGATCAACAAACCAAAGAGTTCCAGTCATGGAAAGCCAAGGTAACTTTTTTCAGCTTATACCAAGTTTTTAAAAATTAGATAATTATATCTTTCGTAAGTTTTTTTGTGAAGAAAAAAAGTAGAGCAAAAAAACATTTTTTTGCAAGATAAACTACGGAATTTTCATAAAAAAAGTATTTCAGGTACAAGTGGTGAGCGTTGATGTGACGAAAGCTACTGATCTCAAAGCAGCGCTGAAAAATCTGAATATCCCCATTACTGGAATAATTCATTCTGCCGGTGTCCTTAAGGACGCCAAGATCGAAAGACAAACTCGAGAATCTTTCAATGCCGTTTTCGCTCCAAAATGTGCAGGATTTCATGCTTTGGAAGACGTCTGTGACGCTCTTGAATTCAAGGTGAATCAGCATTTTGATCAGCATTTCAAAAGAATAATTTTTCCAGCTTCAACATTTTATTGTCATGTCATCCTTCACGGCGGCCTGTGGTAATCAAGGACAACTCAATTATGCAGTTGCAAACGCCTATTTGGAAAATGAGGTTTTTCATTCTGGATTTTTGAGTATCCAATTTTTTCTTGAATTGTTTCGTTAAGCTTCGAAATTCAAGACAGACAAATTTTTCCTTTATTCCATCAAAGCCGATTTTTTTAAAAAGTAAGGAAGAAATTTCTATTTTTTTCTTTTTCACTAGCTGCTGCAATTCAGCTTCTGGAAGGAAGTTTATTTGAAAATTAAGTAACATTGTTTTTCAAATCATTCAAAGCCATTTTCAAAGGCTCTGAAGGAAATAATTCGAGCACTAAATAGTATTAATAAGAAAGCACATGCCTGAAATTTTAAATCAGAGTTTATTTCAGATTTCCCGCCGTCGTAGAGAAGGAAAACCAGGATGTGCAATACAATGGGGCAACTGGCTCGACACCGGAATGGCGACAAACGCTCACGTTCAAAAGTTCTTGTCGGACCTCGGATTCCTTGGCCAACACAACGAAGAAGCGCTCAAGTATCTTCAATTCTGCATAGGGAATAGTCCAGAAGCCTTGCTTGTCGCTAATGTCAACTGGGAGAGAATACTCAAAAATCGGTCAGATTTGCCGAGAGACTTGATTTTGCCAAGTACGATGGACTTTTCTGAACTACCCATACTTTCAAAGGACACTCAGCTTGAAACACCTGACCAAAGTTTCGCGATCGCTCAAAAAACTTCATCAACACAAATGCCAGAAAGTCTAGAAGAATTTTCTCGACAATTGAAACAATCTCTCTCGGCGACACTCAAAATACCAATAATTAAGCTGAAACCGACTCAAAATATCATGAATTTGGGTTTCACTTCTCTCAGTCTGTCCGCTTTTCTGGCCCAACTCAGTGAGAATTACAACATCATTATTAATATTGCTGACGTTTATGAGAACTCAACTGTTGAGTTGTTCATCCAGCACATCTGGAAACTTCATCAAAATGCGAAACCGAAAAAAGCTGCAGTGCAAGAAGTAAATCGAGGGTTTTGTGACATTCTGGCCATCAATATTTTCTTTGACAATGCGGAAGATTTGGAAAAAATCAAAAAAGAAGAGTTGAATTTTTCTCAAATGAGAAAATCTGGAAAAAAGGTTCTTAGCCTCACTGGCAAATCGAAAACGGAACTGGAAGAGAAACTGAGAAAAGCGGACGAAAAATTGGCCAAGTTGAATGAGCAAGATTCAAAGTGTGTACTGATGTTCACAGGTCAAGGCGCTCAATATGTGATGATGGGCAGACAACTTTGCGAACATTTCCCTCTCTTCCGAAAGATTCTGTCGGAGACGCTCAAAAACGCGGATGAAAAGCTGGGAGGACCCGTTCCGTTATGGGATATTCTCTACAACCCCGATAACTATCAAATTTTACAAAAAACTTCTCACATGCAGCCAATCATGTTCTGTTTTGGCTACGCAGCAGCTCAGCTCTGGCTATGTTTTGGCGTGAAGCCAGACTTTTACTTGGGCCACAGCGTTGGAGAGCTTGTCGCAGGAGTTTTGGCCGGAATAATGACGCTCGAGGAAGGAATCGAATTGATTGTTGAAAGAGGCAAGGCGATGGAGAACATTGCCGGGAAAGGAGCTATGTTGGCCGTACAAAGGGAAGCAGCTGACGACGTCCTTCGCAAGTTCAAGGTTTCCATAGCCAGCGTCAACAGTCCCAAGCAAATTGTTGTGGCTGGCAGTAAAGCGGAGCTCGATAAGGCTTTAGCCTTTGTGAAAAGCACCGGTTAGTTTTTTTCATTACAAGTGTTTTGATTAAAAACGAAAAAAGCTTTTCGAAATTTTTTTTTCTTTCAGGAAAACAGGCAACATACGTGAATCAGAGTTATCCGTTCCACTCCAACGTCATAACTGAAAAAGACCTGATCGGACTGCGAAAGTGCTTGAAAAGGACAAAATTCCGGAAAGCCGAAATTCCAATCATCAGCAATGTGACGGGAGGATTCATCGACACTTTCACTGAGGATTATCTGGTGAAACACACTGTCTCAGCTGTCAAGTGAGTTTATATTCAAAAATTCGGAAAACATTTATGTTTCAGGTTTGTTGACTGCGTGGAAACTCTGGAGAAGCAAGGAGTCAAATGTTGGCTAGAGGCAGGACCTTCTTCCACTCTCATCACGTTCGTGAAACGAATCTTTTCTCCGGAAGTTTTGCCGCATCATTCAACTCTTCAAACATGTAAGGAAAAAGACTCTGACGTCGAATGCGTCATTCAATCCGCTTTGGAGCTGGAGAGAAACGGACAAGTTATCGATTGGACGAAGATTTATGGCTGTCCGGATTTTTCCACCAATCTCAAACCATCTGAAAGCAAAGAAATTGAAGTCATCGATTTTCCGATTGTGAGGAATTTTACAATCACGCCGGACGAAGAAGAGATTCTGAAGGATCATGAGATCAACGGAAAAGTGGTCGTTGCTGGTGCTTATCAGCTTTTCAAAATGAACGAGTTCATGAGCTCTTATCAGCTCAAAGATCAGTTTTATACTTTTTCTAATGCGAAGTTCCTAACGCCTTGGCTATTATCGTCTGGCAAAAGTTTCGAAATCCGTTGGCTCCATGACATGACGGTTGAACTCGTAGTTGGAAAAGTTGTCACTTGCTCGGCAAAACTGACAGTCGGTGTCACGGAACACAAACCACGAGAAGTTCCGGAGGTAGTAGAACCTAACATAACAACTGATGTTCCGGCATTGTACGACCATCTGTACACCCAAGGACTTCAGTACAAAAACGCGTTCCGAGTAATTGAAAAAATGAAGAAAACTGATAAAATGTTCTGGTCAACTCTGACCGCGTCTTCCGAGCACCTTTGGCCGTTGATTGATGGATCTCTCCACGCCATGTGCTCCGGGGTGATTGCCAAATGGCCTGACGTCTATTTTGTTCCAGTCTCAATGTCAAATGTCTACATAATCGCCAGCTTCAGTCCTGCTGACTTGGTAGACTGTCGAGCTTTCACAGTTATTCTATCTGAAAATGAGAAATTCGTGCAAGCGAATTCTTCTGTGATATGCAATGGACGCGTTGTTTTCGAAATGAAAAACATGACAAGCGTGGTGATAAAATCAACTCCGAGCGAAACTTCTGAAGAAGCCGACGAAGTCGATCTATGTAACACAGAAACATCTTCCGAGACAACTACGGCTACGACTCCAGAAAAGTCTACTATTCAAATCGTGGGTTTTGATCTTGTTCTCCCGTTTGGAAGTTTCAATTCAACAGCCGAAGTTTGGGAATCGCTCAAGTCGAATTCTTTTCCAAAAAGTTTCTCGCATAGAAAAAATACATTTGAAAATGTTTCTCACGTTGATGTAGATATCGAAAAGTGGGATCCAGAATTCTTCGGAATCAGACCTTCTGAGGCTCCTTATATCGATCCTCAACAACGCTTACTGCTGACAAGCTTTGCTAGATTGCTTCATGAAAAAAGAATAGGACCTTTACCAGCCGCCACTGGAGTTTTCATAGGAACTTCTACCCAAGAATTCGCTCACCTTGTCTTTGCTAAGAATATTTCTCCGGTCGGAGAACTTACCGCAGGAACAAGCATGTCAGCTCTGGCTGGGAGAGTTTCACACTGGCTTCGAATTTCTGGACCTACCATTGTGGTCGACACCGCTTGCTCTTCTTCTTTCTCAGCTTTGGCTTTGGCATGTGACGCTATTATTCAAGGAAAATGTGACGCTGCTTTGGTCGGAACAATCAATCTGGTTTTGCACGAAATGACTACAAAAGTCTTGAAAAGCGCTGGAATGATTGTTCAAAACCACTGCAGTGTTTTTGATGCTTCTGCTAACGGCTATCATCGATCCGAAGCTATTTGCACAATCCTGATTACAAAAGACTTGCTTTTCAATTCTTCGATTGCTCAGATTCTTAGCTGGAACACTGGCCACAATGGCGTAAGTAGCTCTCTCTACACTCCTAATGGAATTTCTCAGTCAAACTTGATGAACCTGGCCACAAACGCTGTAGAAGTCACCGATGTGGAAGCGCATTGTACTGGAACAGCTCTTGGAGATCCAATCGAGGTCGCAGCTATCCAACGCGTTCTGTTTTCAAACGATTTGCGGCTCTCTAGTTTGAAGTCTTTTGTGGGACATGCCGAAGGTTCCAGTGGGTTGGTATCTTTGTGCATCACTTTATTACAAGGAACGTCTGGCTATCGCCTCCCTCAACTCCATTACTGCTCTCCCAACCCCAAAATTGAGTTCAAAAGTCTTTATCTTCCTATCGTAGGCGAAGAAATCAACGATTCCTTTTTTCTAGTGAACAATTTTGGATTTACTGGCGCAAATTGCAGTCTTACCCTAAAGTTCAACAATCAAAAACATCTTCCAACGGACAAGGACGTTTTTTATCTCATACTTCACGCTGCTGACTCTTCAATGAAACTGGAGACTCTAAAAAGCAGTTTAGACGAGATTGTTCAAAATAGTTCATTCTCACTTTCTGCTATTTCAATTAGACGCCCTAAGAAGAGAAAGGAACGATACCGTTTTGCAACAATCTATAACTACAAAAGAAATATCGTTTGGTCTTATGGAGATGGAACTCCTAACCATCCGGAGCTCCAGCGACTTGTGAACAAAGGAAAGGCCTTTGTGGACGAGGGGATAGAAGCCGGGAGTTTTTTGCAGTCGTCAAACTTTTTCACACCAGTGCCACCACTCATTTTCGATAACAAACGCTATTGGCTCTTCAACCAAAAGAGTTATGGAAAAGAATTGACATTCGTTAATCGAAAAGACATTTACTTCGAAAAGCAGTGGATATTGAAAAGAAGATCCGGTGAGAGAACAGAGGAAAATTCTTATTGCATAGGCGAGCTCAACGGCTTCAACGCATTAACTATCGGCGAACTAGCAAAAGATGATCGTCACTTTCCCATTGTGATCTTCCCGATTCGCGAAACTACTAAAGCGTCTTTTCTCACTCTACTACAAGTATGGAATGCAGCAGATTCGAATCGTTTGAAAGTTTTACTGATTTGCTGTCAAACAAACGGCACAAGTCGAACTGAGTGGACCGGCGCCATTCGAAGTTTAGCCTCAGAAAAAATGATTCCTTACAAATTTATTTGCTATGAGAAGATCAAGCAAGTTTATGAAAACTTGAATTTTTCTGATATTTTCGAATGCATTTTTTATAAGGAAAACAAGCGGTTTGTCGAACGATTGGTTCCCGTGAAAAATATAGAATTTTCGAGACCACGCGACTCTATGAAGGCTTTGGTTTCTGGAGGTTCTAGTGGAATCGGACAGGCTATCATCAACCATTTGTCTCCGAGAGAAACAGAAGTCTTGTCAAGAAGAGAAGTCGCCAGTGATTCGAGCAGTATAAAATACAAATCAATCGACTTGAGTGTAGACGAAGGATCGAGTCTAGGCAAAGACTACGATTTAGTCGTTCATTGTGCTGGAGAAGTCGATAATGCTGTTCATTTCAAAATGACGGAAGAAAAGTTAAACCGAGTGTTTGACGTGAAAGTAAATGGCGCTAAAGCTCTTCTCAACTGTTGCAACTCGGAAACGGAAGCTTTTTTCGCTTCTTCGGCTGCTTGCATTCTCGGATCAGCAGGACAATCTAATTACGCTTTCTCGAACGGTACGATGACTTCAATGGCAGAGCTTGCAAGCTGTGATGCCACTATAGTTCATTGGGGACCTTGGAAAGAAGTGGGAATGCTGTCGAAACTGACTCATGCGCACATCTGCAAGCAACTTCGAATGCAAGGCTGGAACACGCTGTCTAATCAAGATGGATTATCCATTTTCAACATTGAAAAAAGATCGAATACACAAATAATGGTTTTTGATGGCGATTTCAAGCAGATCGTGCACTCTAACCAGCATTTGAAACCTTTTCTCTCAGAGATCGTGAGAAGCTCTTCATCACCTCGGATATCCGGCAAAAAGTCATTTGATGAAATTTTCGAAGAAATCACAGGCATACCTGATATGAAAAACAAAAAAGACGTTCCATTCATGGATCTCGGGCTTGATTCTCTTTGTCTCGAACGGCTGAGACAGCAGGTGAATGATGAATTCCGAATAGGGCTCACAGTGGCAGAAATTTTCAACAACTCGACATTCAACTCTCTAACCAAGCTCTTACAAAAAAGGAAAGATGACAGGAGCAAGAAAAGAAATGAAGATGATAAAATTTCCCCTAAAAAAGACAAAGTTGCTATCATAGGCTGCAGCGCTGCGTTTTCTGGATCTTCAAACGTCGAAGAATTTTGGAAAAAGTTATCTGAAGGTAAAAATTGTATCGACAAGGAAAAGAAAATTGGACTAATCAACGATGCAAATAGTTTTGACTACGAGTTTTTCAATATCAAAAAAGAAGACGCTAAAATCATGGACCCTCAACTGAGGACCTTCTTGCAGCATGCCTACAACGCAATCGAGTCTTCTGGGTACATATCACAGAAAAACCAACTGAAATGCGCAGTTTTTGCTGGAGCCGAGCCATCAAGCTATGGGAAAGACGATCAGAAGGATGACACAATGAATAGACTTTTCTCGATGAACATGAATAATTATTTGGCGAGTTATACAGCGTATTGTCTGAACCTGCGAGGAGAGGCAGTTTCTGTATACACGGCTTGTTCGACAGCTCTAGTCGCTATTGCACAAGCCTCACAATGTCTGCTTCAAAACCGAGCTGATTTAGCTCTTGCTGGAGCAGCCTCGCTTGCCTTCGAAGAATTTTCTGAGCTGAATGGTTTTTCAGACTCTAAAAAAACAGTTTTTTCGAAGACTAATGAATGCCGTCCTTTAGATGCAGAAGCGGATGGAATTATCAGAGGTTCTGGAGTTGGCTGTTTCGTTCTGAAAAAGCTGTCTCAAGCTATTGAAGACGGCGATAACATTTTATGTGTTATAGAAGCGGTAGGCATCAGTAATGACGGAAACTCAAAAGCAAGTTTTATGGCTCCTAATTCATCAGGTCAAGTGGAATGCATGAACGAGGCGTTGAAGCAGTTGAGCGAAAAAGATCAAAGTGCTATCAATTATTTTGAATGTCACGCAACTGGAACTTCTTTCGGTGATCAAATTGAACTCGCCAGTATTCGTGAAGCATATAATTTCAAAAAATCTCTCTTGATTGGGTCTTGTAAGGCCAATATAGGCCACACTTTCGCAGCAGCTGGACTTGCTTCTATTTTAAAAATCATTTACATTTTCAAAACTGAATTGATTCCTCCACAAATCAACTTCAATAAACTGGGATATCAAGAAGAAAACAGTTGGTTTTGTGTCAATAAAGAAGAGCTTCATTATCCCGGGGGTTCAGCAGCTTTGAACGCCTTCGGCATTGGCGGAACAAATGTTCACATGGTTTTATCTCCTTTCAAGAAAAAGTTGAAGTATTCCACTAAACAAAAAAGTCCAGCTTTGATTCTACTATCCGCCCCAACCGAAGAAGCATGTCTGGCCCAATGTCAGCAGTTGAGAAAGTATCTGGAGGATAATCAAGAAGTGGATATTCATCGAGTAGCAGCCACGCTACAATTCAAACGCGAACATTTCCAGTACAGAGCTTTTGTTTGTGCTACCTCAGTACCGCAAGCACTTGAACTTCTTCAAAAAGCAGACGTTAAAAAATGTTTCGAAGCTCCAAAAGTGTGTTTCTTCTTCTCTCCACAAGGAGCTCAATACTCGAACATGCTTTTTGAGGAGTTCATGATCAACCAAAAATCGGTATTCTCACAATCTGTTAATAACCTGATACAACAAGCCAATCAAAAATGCAGAGCAGACTTCACTCATATACTTTTTTCTCCAAACGCCGATATCCAAAAAACGGAATTTGCTCAAGTTGCAGTGTTCATCATCACTATTTCCATATTCCGACAATTGCAAAAATGGGGGATCAAAGCCGATTCTCTTGCTGGGCACAGCCTCGGAGAATACGGAGCCTGCGTGGCCTCTGGTTCAGCAGAAGAAAATTCTATTCTGGAGCTGCTTATCGAACGAGCTGCTCTTTGCTCTAAAACTGAACCAGCCAGTTTGATTATCGTATGGGGATATTTCTCTTCAGAAGAGTTCCAAGTTGAAGTTTCTGCAAATCTTTCTCCTGGAGCAAAATGTTATGTTGGAACTCCAAAAGAAATCGAGAGACTGTGCAGGTATCTCGAAATGAAAGGAATCCCATTCAAAGTCATCCCCACAAACCATGGGTATCACTCTAGCTTTATGGATTCGATTCTCAGCGACTTCAAATCATTAGTCTCACAAATTCGGTTCAAAACCGGAAAAACTCCTTGGATTTCTAGCAATGACGGTTCAATGCTGCACAAAATGGATGCTGAATACTGCGTAAAACAAATGCGAGATGCAGTGAATCTTGAGCTCTTGGTGAACACTCTGATTAAATCCGAAGCGAACGCTGTTGTCGAAATTGGGCCGCCTGGAATTCTTTCAAGTTTGTTGAAGGAACGGAACTCGAACATTCTTGTTGTTCAAACAATTGGCTCAATAAAGCGACCCTTAAAATGGCTCACAAACTGTGTAGGTGAGCTGTGGAAAAATGGCGTCAGTTTTGATTTTGGTCAATTCTCGCCCAAAGTGAGCTTTGATTATACTGTCCCTGGATATAAATTCAAAAATCAAAAAATTTGGATCGAAAGCGCGCTTCGAAATACAGATGCTCAATATTTTACTCCTTGCTGGGTGGAACTTAAATGGCAGCCGGACATTCGGAAGAATCTGGGGCCAATCATCGTTGTGACGCGAAAGACCCAAGTTGATGACTTCTCAACTTATTCTATTTATCAACCTAGAACTGATATTCCTCACGCCAATTATTTGTTTTACATACCGTCCTCAGACACTGATAATTTGCATCAAACTTTTTTCGACGTTCAAATGCTTTGTAAAAAAGCCAACTTCAAAAAATTGATCGTGCTTTCTCAAAATCAAACTTCCACGGATTATCTCGCTATGGGTTGCCTCAGAGATCTTGCTTTTACGAATCCTTTGACTCGTGGTTATTTTGTCGAAACGAAAGTTCTAAATTTGGAGCAACTTGCGAGCATCATAGAACAAAATCAAAAATTACATCATTTTCGTATTTTGGACAGCTGTATCTTTGGGTTGGACTACTGCCTAGCCACTTTGAACTTTACTCGCCCAATTACTCCCAATTCAACAGCTATCGTGTTTGGCGGCCATGGCTACATAGGAAAACTGTTTTGCACTCAACTTAAATCTTCTGGTTACGATGTCACAGCAGTTTCAAGATCAAAGGAAGGATGCGACATCACGAATTACAAAAAAGTGCGAGATTTGTTGAAGAAATACAGCAATATATCCGTTATTGTCAACTGCTGTGGGATTGAAACTACTCAAACGATTTATAAAAAAGATCAGGATATTTTGAATGTCTTGCAAGTCAAGACTGTTGGCAACTCAAATATTTTGAGAGCTCTTGAGGAGTGCCGAATTCATCTTAGCTCCTTCGTCATGCTTTCTTCTCTGAGTTCAATTGTGCCTCTACATGGAAACGAAGACTATTCCTCTGCCAATGCTTTCGTCAATGCTCTTGCTCTGAAAGGCCATGGAAATGTCCAAAGATTCGTCTCTCTAGCCTTACCAGCAATAACTAACAGTCCCATGGTCACAAAATCGAGCACGAGGGCAAGAAAAATGCTCGAAACGTGTTTTCTCACTGAGACTCAGCTCAATGATGTCCTCAAAAAAAGCCTTCATGCGGACGGGCTGTTGATCATCGCTCCAAAAAACCCATCTTTGATTGCGGAAAAGGCTTTGAAATTTCAAACAGAAACGTTGAGTTCAAGTTTAACTTTACCTCCTGAGAAGTTGACGCCTTACGACGTGGTCAGGCACATTTGGGCTGAAGCTCTTTCAGTGAAAATAGAAGAAATCCAACCAGAAAGCAATTTTTTTGGCCTCGGAGGAGATTCTTTGAACGTTCTCCAAGTTATTTGGAAAGTCGAACAATCCTTTGGCAAGTCCATCCTCATCGACACGCTTTTCAAGTATCCCGAATTGGAAAAATTTGTTAGCTCAATCGATAATTACTCTAAAAATGCTGTGAAAAGCGACTTTCCTGTTTCAGATATGAAGAAAGTTCCTCTGACAAACTCTCAAAATCACATGTTTCTTCTACGACAACTTCATCCAGGTTCTGACTACAACATCATGTTTCAACTCAATCTGACAGAAATATCTCCCGAATTCAGCTGGTGCGCTTTCAGAAAGGCGTTGAACTCTGTTTTCGCAGTTCAAGAAGTTTTCCGTACACGTTTTCCAGCTGATCCAGTGCCACGACAAGAAATCTTGTCTCTCACAGAAAGTTTCTTCGATACTAGTTTTCACGAAGCCATGGAGAATTGGAACGACCTTATAGACCGAGAGAAAAAATTCATATTCAATATTGAAAAAGAAGCATCCCTAAGATTGATCATTTGCAAAGTAGAAAATGAAATCAAATTGCTGTTCCACCAGCATCATATCATCACGGATGGCTGGTCTGTCACTGTTCTGTCCAATTTTTTAACATCTTACTATCAACTTTATCTAAATGGGGGAAACAGTGCGGAAAGGCTCTGCAATTCTTTCAGCTCCTATGCTTCACATGAAGCGGGACCAGATACCATCGACCTTTTGGAGGAATATGCTCAAGAGCATGGAAACTCGAATCGATCCTCGATTCCTCATGACAAGCAGGATGTTACGTCTCATACGAAAATTGTGAAAAATATTCCCGAGAAGTTGAAAACGAAAATAAGGGACCTCGCAAGACAGAACTCTACCACGAATTCGAATATAATGTTGGCTGCGTTCATGAGAGTAGTGAGGACCCATCAAGATGAAGACGAAGTCCTCATCGCCTACGCCAGTGCAGGGAGAAACGACAAAACTTCGAATTTGATAGGATATTGTATGAACAACGTTCTGCTTGCAGCAAAAATTGGTTTGAATGAAAACTTTTTGGGAGTAATCGAAAAAGTCCGACAAAGCATGGATTACTCAAGAAAATATGAAATGGTGCCCTACAGCGAACTCGTCAACAAATTGGCCGCAAGAACAGATTCTGCAAAAATTTCCATTTATTTTAATTACCGTCACAAACTGGACTTCCCAAAGGCTTATCTTTCCGGTGCCAATATCGCGATCAACCAAATTTCCGTTAATTCTGCGTTCGATTTTTCCTTCACTATAGATGAAACTCAAGACGGATTACAAGTGTCAATAGAGTTCAACAGCGGACTATACTTTCAAGAGACAATACATAATTTTGTTGAAGATTTTTTGAAACTCCTGAGCAAAAATCATATCGGGAATACCGAAATACGAGGTTTTGAAGCAGATTTTCCAAACGCTGTCATTGCAAAAGGTGTGCAACAAAAGTGGAGCCAAAACTGGAAGAAATCGGCTTTGGACGGGAGCAAGAAGATGAGTTTCGAAGAATTCCAAGAACAAGTGGAAAATTATAGCGTCGCTCTGCAGCTTGAAAGTTTGAAACGTCGAGGATCATTTCTGAAATCTGACGACATTGTAGCTATATCGATGGAGTCGGAGCGAGCAACGCTGCTGATTGCCGCATGCGCCATGATCGGCGTTCCGTACTCTCCTATCGATACAGACTGGCCTGAAGCCAAGAAACTGTTCGTAAGAAATATTTCTCAACTCGACGCTCCTCGAAAAGCAAGATCACAGCTTACCAAGTCGTACTGTATTTCTACCCCCACTGATTTAGCCTATGTGATTTTCACGAGTGGATCAACCGGATCACCAAAGGGAGTCTGTATTTCACGACAATCAGCCGCTTGTTTTGTTTCCAGCGCCACGAAACAGTGTTTATTCCGGCCTGGTTACGTTGTTCTAGATTCTGTGAAACGGGTATTCGATGTCAGTGTGCTCAACGTTTTTGGTTGCATGCTTAATTGTTCTACTCTCTATTGCTTTCCAAAAGGTGAGTTTGCGATCGATCACCTTCGTCACTGCAATTTCGCCTTCATTCCATCTGCCGTGTTCAACTCATCGAATTCGGAAACTTTCGTGAAATCGAAAAATCTTGAAATGATTTGCGTCGGGGGAGAAACGGTTTCGAGCGATATATTAGATGAAGTGTCAAAAAGGAAGAAGGTCGTTCAAATCTACGGACCAACAGAGACTTGCGTTTGGTCGACGACTAACTTATGTGGTTCACATCTTCGAGAAGGAGATATCATTGGGAAGCCGATGGAAAATGAAGTGTGCACAGTCCTCGGCGGCGGAAAACGAGGTGAACTGGCAATAAGTGGACCTAAAACAGCCAGAGGTTATTTGATGGCGGGAGCACGTGGGAAAAGTTTTTCGCAGTTTTACAAAACGGGAGATATTGTTAAAATAACAGATGGGAATCTGAAATACCTTGGAAGGACAGATGATCAACTGAAAATCAGGGGGAATCGAATCGGAAAGAAAGAAATTGAGAACGCCATTTCGAATCTGACAGGTACCAGCACAGTGACAATAATTGTGCACAGCAATCGCTTGACCGCTTTTTATGTTGCTAACAAACCTATAGAAGAATTGAAAAACAAGCTTCGCCACGCTTTGTCCCACTACGCTATTCCAGACAACTTCATCCATCTTGATGCGATACCTCTCAACTCGAGCGGAAAAATTGACAGGAGTAAATTGTTACAGATTCTGGAACAGATGGAAAAAACACCAGGACGTGCTTTCAAAGAGGTCATGATAAACTCAGTTGAGCAGAAAGTTGTCGACTTAGCTTCTGCGTTGATTGGAAGCCAGTTGAAGCTGGAAGACAACTTTTCAAACGCCGGAGGTCACTCCCTTCTGGCCATTAAGTTTGGTCATCAACTCTCTGAGCACTTCGGACTTGACATCAAAGTTCATGACGTCATACAGCAGCCAACTCTAAAAGGAGTTGCGGGAAAAATATCTAGCTCTCTGAAATCGGAGTTGACGACGACTGACACTTCCATCATCACAAAACTGAGAGAAGTATTTTTTTGATGCAAAAATTTCCATAAGTCTTTTCTTTCAGAGTCCCAACTCGAAATTTAACGTGTACCTGACACACGCGATCGGTGGGACAATCTATCCGTACTACAGTTTTCTACAAATTTTCCCAAAAAACGTTTCGGTTTATGGTATCGAATACCAAACTGACTATCCAGCAAAAAATGTCAAAGAACTCGCAGCATTCTATGCGAAATCAGTCAGTTTTTTTTTCTTTTCTCAACTTTCATAATAAGAAAAGTTTTAGATCGCCGCTCATGCTGGCGCAAGTCGCGTTTTCCTTGCTGGTCATTCGATGGGAGGAATTTTGAGCCGAGAAATGGTGCCCGACCTGCAAATGTGGGGGATATGAGGTAGAGAAGTATTTAAATATTTTTTTCATTTCGTTGAATCTTACAGATTCCGTTCGTGATGATGTTCGACTCCTGGGTTTTGCGTACCCACGAACTTGATGTCGAGAAAATACGGGAGTTCGTCACGGTGAGAATTTTTTCTGCACATGTTTCTTTGAACTTTTTTATTGTGGCTTGACGTTGTAGTCGATACTTCCCGGATAGAAAGATGATGAAGGGAGATTTGCAAAGGTGACGCGTTGCTTATGCGACGCGGCTTTTGGCGGAAATTCGAAATCGCATTTTCCTATGTTTTCCTACTTTTCTTCGATTTTTTTTTTGGTTGGGAATAATGAAATCGAACAATTATCATCAGAATAATTTGAAAATCTATACTTTTTACTTTATTGCGCGAGACCTTGAGTTCTCCGGCTGTAAGCCGCGTCGCGTACGCAACGCTTCAGGCTTGCCAATCTATTTATCTCGCTTTTCAAGTCGGTAAAAAACAACTATAGTGAAGAGTAGTACAAATGTCAATAGAAATATTGAAGGAAGCGTCCGAATCGAACAAATAATTTTTTTTGCAGCATGTGTTTGCAAGCTTACCGGACAGCGAGAAAAGGGTCGATCGAGCGGTTTGTGATTACCTTTGCCTTTTTAGCCTCGCACTCTTGACTGCACTTCAAATCTCTCGTACTAGCCTGCGCAAGACCACAACTTTTCGGCCTTTTTTGAAAAAAGAAGAAACATTTCAAATTGGGTTTTCAAAAAGGGAAAAAATTGAATTTTACACTCCAATGACTGAAATTTTGTGAGAAAAATGGAATATTGCGCTCTGAAGTTTGAATAAAAATAGACAATGAGTGAAAAAAAGTTTCTAAAAAAATTTGTGTTGAATTCATGAATGATATTGAAAACGAGTAGATCAAACTCGCCGGTTTCCTACGCGATTACTCGACCGCCATTTCCGATACAAAGCTCTACCTGTTCAAAAGCAAGTCTCTCGGAGAAGCGGCATTCAAAAAAGCTGTCAGGTACTCCCAGAACTCGTATTTCTTAATGAAGATCAATTTATTAGAAATAATCTGAGCGAAGGTGTTGGTCGCTCCATGGCTTTCAATGGATTCGATGCCGTTTCAACAAAACCGATCGACGTGTTTCTGGTATTAAAGTTTCTTTTTAAAAGGCGATTTCGATTTTCAGATTGATGGCGACCACGAAACCTGTCTCAAAGCAGAGAATCTCAAAAAAGTTCAAGAAGATATTTTGGCTCCTTTCCAGCCGTGGCTTTGAATTTTTTTTTTGCTGAATTAGTGCGTCGGAAATAAACTGCTTCTTGGGAGTTGTTAGTTTACGCAGTAAAATGTTGAATACCAGAAACACTTTTCATGCACCACTCCCTGTTTTACACATAAAAATATCTGAAAGTGCGTTCTTTTGCTCTTTCTGTCCAAATTGTATAGAAAGGTGTTATTTTGTTTGGTGCAGTCTGTGACGCCCTTATTCTTTGTTGTACCTCAGCCGCTTTACCAATAAGCCAATTTCGACTTCTTGCTTCCAATTTTCGAATATTTGTTCTTCAGAAAATACTTCTGGTCGCATTCGGCTTTTGAGGTTTTTAATCATAGTTCTATAAACTTTTTTGTGAAGACGGAGATTTTCAACCCCTACAAGCCTTTGTGATATATTTGAAACGGCTTTTTCAATTTCAAAGCCGCATTATCCGTTTCGAGTGGAAAAAATTTCATTTTTTCGAAAGTAAGCAGGAAAATACTTCGAAACTTTGATCAAAAGCCATTGAAAAAAGAAACAAAATTACTGCATTCATCCTGAACTACCATTTTCATCGTCAAAATCCCAACTACTTTGTAGTTGGAGACCATTGACAAGTCATCGGAGCAAAATTTGGCTTCGCACTTGTTCTACCAAAAAAGAGTCCAGTGCTTTTCTTTCTCGGAGCGGAGCATCGTTTGTGTTTATTCTCGTGACCACTCTGCCTCTGTCTGCGTCATCTAGGATCGGCACGCACTCGCGGTTTGAGCTGTTGAGGTTCTGTCCGAAACCCTCGCAGGATCCACTGCTTTTTTGGAACTGTAGCCTTTGTTGCTGTAGGGTGTACGGCCGGAAACGTACCTTTGTCCGGCAAGCTCTCTTTTCAATTTAATCTGTTGTGCTCATTGAAAAATCTTGTGATGGGTGGAAGCTTTGTTTCAAGTTTTTCGTTCTCTAGATGTTTTTTTGAACAAAAAGAAAGGATTCGATTTATTTTTTTGTTTAAAAAAATGTGCCTGGTGAATTTCGAATGCTTCTAGCTTACTTTTTGACGGAGTGGATACTACATGATATACTATTATTACCATCTAACAAGAGCCGTTCCAAAATAAAGTACATTTTGGAACAAACTGAGTCTTGGGAAAAATAAATTTATTATGATTTTTTTTAATTTTTGAGAGAAGTTGACCCTATTTGAAAAAAAATTATGAAAATAGTCTCAAAAAAAATTTACAACTTACAGCTTCTTTTGCACACATTTTACGAATGTCACAGTTTTTTCCTTCATTAAGGAAGAATAACTGAGTATTTTAGTTGCAACGCCTATGTGAAAGTCCTTTTTGCTCAGTTTTATTTTTCTGTAGTCTAAAAAATTGGTCCGCTGTAAAGCAGTTGAACGGTTTTGATTAATTGGTTGAGTTCTTGAGATTTTGGACTTCAATTCAGCAAGTTGACTTGACAAGGCTATACCATCTCAGTGATATCAATCAACCCGAGATTCGCGCCGAAGCGTTACTCAAAGCCTACCGGTCAGCAAACAAGATCAGGATTAACACCGTCTTTCCCAAGCTGCTGGCTTGTTTGGTCACGTCTGATAGGGATGATGTGGAGCGGTGAAAGTAGTTGAGAGTCGGGCGCAAAGCTGACCAGTGGCCAGCGCTGTATGCTTTGCTGATCAAGGAAGCGCACGGAGTTGATGAGTTGATCGGGCCGGTCTTAAACGGGCGGCCGCTCGGCTTGTTACCTGACGCGTGTCAATGGACAAACATGCTAACCGTCGCCCTCACTTCCGCACTTGGCCTGTCCACCTGACTGACTATCCGCCGCCTTCCTCGTCCCTTTTCGAGCATCATTTTGTATTTCCTCCCGTCTTTTTGTTCTCCGATCGGAAGTTTCCTGCTGCTTCATTCATTTTGACCATTATCAGCTCCTAGTTTGCACGCTATTTAATTCAAAGAGATTTTTTCAACTCTTGATAGAGTTTAATTTCATTTTTGTCGTTCGTTTCGTTTGAACGTATACGAATAACTTTTGGTTCAAATAATTGAAAGTTAACATTTTCTTTTTCAACATGATTCCGCAGGTCGCTCCAAGACTATAATTTGAAAACCATTCATCACTTAAGCATTACTGAAAATATAGTGTGAAAAGAAATGACTCCCACTAATTTCTAGTTCATCAATCTAATCAATCTTAGCTCTTTTTTTGTAAGGATTTCTATTTTTGAAATAGTTTTTGTAAAGCTGGTCCCAATTACTCAAACGGCCGAGATTGCTATTTTGAAGTTAAAAAGTTGAGACGGTAGTTTTCTTGCATTAAAATTCCAATCAAAAAATTTTTAGAGTTTGCGGTTTTTTTGAAAATCAGGTGCGCCCTTTCGAGCTCGCAAAAGTTGGCGATTTGTGAAGATTTCAAATAGTTTAAATATTGCTACGCCTGGATGTGCAATATGAGAGGAAAACTCATTACCTGATTCATAGAGACTCCAAAACGTATTCTGCAAAACGTTCGCTGATTTGTGATTACTATACTATTTTGTTTTTATTCTTTATTTTCTTGAAACTTTGAAAATCCAAAAATATATCTCCCCTCAGAAAAAAGAAACACGCTGTACTAACGAGCCAATTATCAGGGCATCGCTAAAAATAGTATTCAAATGGCGCTGCTGTTCTAATAAATCGGCTGGCCACTATATCCTGGCTTCGCATATGTATGCATTTCAAACAGCCGATGTATTGGCTCTCAGGTGAGCCTTTCGTCCTCCGAATGTCAACAATATTTGTAATACGTCCTCGTTTGGTTGTACTCAATTTTTTCTTCTACCCGCACTGCTATCGTTTTTCGCTGAAATTATGAGTTTTGAGGAGCGTTTAGAGCGAAATTTTAGTAAAGAAACCAATGAATAATCTGCTTTACGATACAATAAAAAAATTATTTTTTTTTAAAATTTCTCTAAGTACTTTCCAAATTGACAGTTTGAGAACGCAAAAATGAACTTGTCCTTGAAGCTATTTCGAACAGCCATCATCAGAAAATTTTCTTCTTCCTCTCAATGTGTTTTGCGTATTCCCATTTCTTCGTGGTTTTTGTAAACTTCCAAAACATTTTCAAATAATCCATTCCGCATCATTTGATTCAGATGACGATTTTCACTAAGACGGAGAATACCGAAGAGAAAAAGCCAGCCGGCGAGAACGAGAAGGAAGCCACGCCAAAGGTAATAGTTTTTTTTTTCTCTCAGTATGCTATTCCGCGAAATGATATTATCAATTTTTGAAAGAATAAGGCAAAAACTTCAGCAGGTTGTCGTTTGTGACGCCGAGGAAGAGCGACACATCAGCAACTGCGGCTGGATTCCGATGGAAGGTGGAAACTTCGACCGGTGAGTAGAAGACATTACTGTTTCAGTTCTTTTTTTTGAGGCTGATTCAAAAATATTTTCTATTTCGTTCAATAATAAAAAAAATAACGTAAACATTCAAAGCTAGTTGAACAATGGATCGTTTTCAAAATAATCGATCGTTTTGAATAATAGAAACGTTCGTTTTTAAGTAATACTGATACTCCGTTGATCAGCAGGATTTTTCCCACGATTTTTGTAAACATGAGCAATAACCGAGCAAATGTGAAAAACAAACATACTGCGACGTGAGGCAGTTGAACAGTGCAAACACTTGCGCCCCGGTCATTTTCTCGACTTTTTCGTGCTTTTGTGCTTGGCCTTCGGTCAACAGTCTCGTTTGTCGGTGCTGATCAAAAAGGATGCGAACGCCTTTCTATTTTTGGAAGTTTTTGTACACTGGGCTTGGAGTTTTGAGTAAGTCAAAACATTTATGTTTGAAAAAAAGGGAGAACAAAATGCCGATGGTGCAAGAAAAAGTAATCAGAAAAAGACCGAGTTTTGGACACATTGATGAAAACAAAAAAAAATTTCGAAAAAAACACAAAAAAATTCGAAGACTCGAATGACCTACCATTTTTTAATCTTCCGGCGTCAGGCTCGCTTTTTTTGCGTATAAATAGCATAATCAACGAAATTTTTTTCGTCACTCGATTCATTCTTTTTTTCTGATATACGACATAAACTGCATTTCTTACATGGCAGAAAATTGAAAAAAAACCTTTATAACAAAATGATTGACTCTTTGTTTTGAATTCTTAGTAAGCTTTGTCTGAACTTCTTGACACTTTTCAGGAACTTGAAAAGTGTTATTGATTTTCGATTTCGCTTTATTTTTTCACTTTCGCCCATTTACAGGCCAAAGGAGAAGAGAAGCTCATCATTCGGACCTCTTTCGATTATTCGTCTTTCGCCTTCTCCATTGGCGCGAACTCCGTCGCCGTCTCCACCAGACTATGAGAACGCAAAGAACGAGAGACGGTATCACAACGATAAATCGAAATTCTTTCATTTTTTTTCTCTTTCCAATATAAACATGGTGATTTTTAGCATTCGACGATGCACGAAAATCACTCTTTTCTTCATTGCTTTGTTCACGATGGGAATCGCAGTTTCTTTCTTCTTCTACCAGAGAGGCTTGATCAAGTTTGAAATTTTTTTTTGATATAGCTCTCGATTTTCACACTTCATGCATCGGTTTTCAGCGTCGCCTATCAGAAAGGAGTGTACCACGGCTGGAATGCAGCCACCTTCAGCAACCGAGGAATTGCCGAACGATTGGAACAAAACGTCGAAATCAACCCAACTGAGGTTAGCGGCTTTTTTTTCTTCCTATCTACATAAGTAATTTTTTCAGTCATACGAAAAAATCCAAGTGCCTCGGTTTGGCTCGAATCGACCGGCGGTTTTTCTTCATGACTTCAAAAAGGTTTTTATACTTGCTTTTGAGTAAGTCAAGTAATAAACTTTAGAATTTGACCGCCATCGTTGACGTTATGGGCAAAAGATGCTTCTTGAAGGATTTGGACAGGTCTACCGTTGCCTCGCCAAGAAATCTCATCGATATGCTTCGTGCTATGGATGTGAGCTTCTTTTTTTGATGTTTGCTGTTTCAAACTTTGCTTAGCTTTTTTCTATCTTCTGTAAATCAAATTTGCATGCTCTAATGAATCAAATTTCAACGAGAAAGTTATTTTAACCAATTTTCGCGCAAAGAATTTGTGCAGGTTTTGAATGTGATCTTCAGCTTTTAACAACTTTCAAGTAATTTTTCATTTTTCTGGATTCTCAAAGTCTGCCAACTAGTAATTTTTCTGCAGACTGCCCCCGCCATGTCAACCGGTGCGCAGCCGCGCGTCGTCCGAGAGACATTCCGTGTCGGTGCAGCCTTGACTGAAACCGAGATCTCATCTATCGCCAGTCCGATGCTTGCGCGTCACTGTGCTTACCGACCGACTTATATGCTCAAGAAGGCTTCTATTGAAGAAGGCTCACGAAGAGTTCGCCGAGGTGAGACTTCAAAGTCTTCCGAGAAATTTTTCCATCTATTTAATTTTTTAAGTAGGGTCATGATTCATGGATTTTTCAAGATTATTTTTCCAAATTACTTGAAATTCTCAACCACCAAAAAAAAGAAGATATTTAAGAAGGGTTTTTCGTTCCATTAGGGTGGAAAACTCAATCTTAATAGTCTTCATGGTTTTTTTGCTCATTCACATGTTGGCTTCATTCAAATGGAAAAATGCTGCAAAACTAGATCAATCACAAATAAAACGCATCTGTTTGGAAGAATATTTACATTAGAATTTTTACTTCATACGGAAAAAAGTGTATGTTTCAAAAAAAAAATGGCCCTCGTAAGTTTGCCTTAAACAAAAGTTTTTGGCTTTTCGGCTCCAAGAGATTGTTTTTGGATTTTTGGAGCTAATAGCGATCCAATGAAGTTTTTCAAAGAAACTTTGGGATTTTTTTTTCATACCGACCAATACTATTTACAGACGTCGACAGCGTAAACTCGCTCAGTTTCGCTTCCATGGGAGGTTCGAGCATCGAAGTGGACGAGATCCTTTTCTAAAGTAGCCCCCCGAAATCCCAGAAAGCTCCATTTGTACCTTCTGTTAACTTCAAATTGACACCTTGTTACCTGCAGCGTTGAACCGTAACTTGCTTCCATTGTTTGTATATAATTAAACTGAAATGGCCTTGAAAACCATTTTTGGTCCGAGAAATACGAATAGCTGCGACAATTGCGGGATAATCGTCCACAAACCTTGGCCTATGACGCTGCTCTTTCAATTTTTTTGAAATCTTTATTTTTATCCAATTTTCTATGATTTTTCACTTTTTTTGTCTTTTTTTATAATTTATTGATTTGAATATCGAAAATATATTTCACGGTATGTGCTCTATTTTTTGAAAATATGTAATCACAAAGTGATAAATGAATTAAAACCGAAGTTTGAAGTGAGAAAACAAAAGAGATATAAAAAAATGCAAATCAAAAAAATTTTATTTTTTTACATCTGGCATGAGAAAAGATACGTTTTTCAACAGAGAATAAATGATAATGTTTGAGGGTAATTATTTGAATGCTTGAATGCAGGAATGGTCGCTCTAGTAGTTGTCCCATGAGTACTCACGACGAGATCTTGAGTTCTGAATACGCTACGATTTACCATGAAATTGATACATTTGAAATTTTCTTCGTCGATGTTTAAAAAAAAAGATTGCATTGAGTATTTTTTGGGTCTCTTAGCTTCGAAACATTTTTACGTTCTAAGCCAGCTAGGAATTTAGACCAGACTGGTCGAAATGTGAAAGGAATTGATCATCGGTCATTCACCAATGACGAAAGGGACATTTAGTTTTTGAGGATGTTCATCTACCACAGAAAAAGTTGTTTAAAAATGAATTATAAGCATAATTCGTGACCTGAAGAGTCACAAAATCAAAACTGGTATCCTATAGTGCTATTACCGCCGACTTGAAGCCATATAAAACACTCATTTTTAGTGAAACAGAAAAAAAGACAGATTCAGTGTTCCTAGCCCTCCGCGGTAAGAGTTTTCGACTTTTCTTAGAGTTCATACCATCTCATATTTGCTCGGCTTGGTATCCAAAGGGATTTGGATTCCGTCGTTGATCTCTCCTCGTCGAATCGTTTCATGAACTTTGATAGGATCATTACGACGCAGACGACGGCCGTGGTGCTGAATTCTTCATGTAGCTGTGAAATAAATAATCAAAAACCATTTGTGTGTGGTAAGGCTTAGCGACGAGAGGTACTTGATCCCCATCGTTGATTTCCACTCGGCGACGCGTTTCGTGCATTTTTATTGGGTCTTCGCGACGGTGGCGGAAATTTTGATGCTGAAAATAATCTGGTCAGAAAGTAACATCAGAAGTTTGTTTGTATTTCATTTCCTATGTATTGCCCTCCAATTTGAAAAACAGAAAAGCCTCGAAAAGTAAAAGTAAACTCCCAAAACCTGGATACTGTGAGGGTGACGATTTTCCAAATGAATTTCCGCGTCGTCGCCGTATCTCCTTCTGTGATGCGGCTCATTTTGATGATGTTGTTTTTGGTGACGTCTCATTCGACTCTTTTGCTGCTAGAAATTATTCTTTTTTCTTAAGTTCGAATTCTCGAGTTTTTTTTTGGGATTTGCAATAGATGAAACAATACTTCTTTATTTAAGACTGGTTTGTTCTCCAGGGGTAACTGAACTCCATCATTGAACTCAGTGGCGCGAACAGTTTGATGTATAATTCCAGTGTCTGGTTGTCGCGGAAATTCGCGTCGCATTCTTCTCTGTGTTCGAAATAAAGTTCGAAACTATTGCGCTATCTACAACTCTAATCTACCGTCTATGTTTTTCTATGTTACATGTGGTTTTTGCCTACACTAACCGTTTTTTCCGGACGTTTCAGGTCCAAAACCTGTCGTTTCTCACCGTCATGAAGTGTAATCGTCTTCCAACGTCTTTCCGCTCTACGGAACCGCTGAACTTTTGTTATTTATTCCATTCACTGAATTTTCAAGCCTTGGGAATCGAAATTTCAGTGTCGGTGCTGTTCTTGTCATCCTTGTCCTTGTCTTCCTCGCTGCTTTCTTTCTCGTTCTTCTCCTTTTGGCGCTCTCCTTGTCGGTCAACCAAAGCCACAACTGTTTTTTCGCAGAGCTTATTTTTGAATTGAAAACTTGGGAAAACCTCGTTCTTTGTTCTCCTTAGCTTTCTCGTCTCCTCCACTGAATCCAGACTTCAGCTCTGAAATATTTCCAACTTTCTTCGCCCATAATGTGGCGTGAATTTATATGTAACTTTGAAGGATGATTCAAAAAGGCAAATTTCTTTGATGAAGTTTCGCTGTGGCATGATAATTGTTTACGCACCTTTTTTATTGTCTTTCATTTGGACACTATCAAAACACTCACTCTGTTTCAAAATATTTGAGGAAATGAAAAATCTCCAGTCTTTCTCAACATATGAATAGCCTAGAAAAGTTTGAAAGAGCTTTCATTCGTGCAAAAATAATCTGTTTTTCATAGGTTTGAGGCGAAAAAATGAGAAACTAATCGATTTTTTTTTCACGAAATTTTGTTGATTTTTGAAAAAACTTGTCATAGTATCTAGACGCGCGGTGAACACAATTCAGTCTATCGTTAAATTATGTAGATAATTAGGAAAAGGTTTCGATATGAGGCCTAGTCGAAGAAAAAGTCCCATGGACAAAAATAGAAAATTCAAAATACCATCTATAAAAAACTTTGGAGAACCTCAAATTTTCGATTTTACAGTTTCACATCTACGAATTCAGCTCGCAAAAGTTCTATCAAAACTTTCAGAAAGCGCCTGAGGCACACCTTTCAGAAAAGTGCTGAACAAATCCGCGGCTAGAGAGCTACCTTGTTCCTCTTGTTGGGAGCTTTCTTCGAGTTTCTGTTGTTGCTTCTTTCTTTTTCGATCACGGGTCGATGTAACTTCCACCGTCAGACACACAATCAACGCGATTAGAAGAAAGAACTTGAACCGCATTTCTGAAAAACATTAGGTAACGAAGAACTTCAAACATGCCCGGAAAGATTTACTACGATTTTAAAAAAATAGTCGAAAGGAAAGAGCTCTCAAAAACAAAACTCTGGCGATTGTAAAAGCCCATCGATGGGCGAATGATAAGAAAATCACAGGAAAGTCGTATCATCAAGGGTTTGAACCGACATTTTTATGGATTCACGAGACAAAAACTGCTATCAACTCGCAAGAGACTTGTGCACTATCGAGGAAAACTGCCAAAACAACTTTGCTTTCATTGAACTTGTCAGAAACTTCAAAATTTTATCGAAAAGCTACCGGTCTGAAGGTCAGTTTGGTAATAAAATGACGAGTTTCTTGACAGTTTGGAGAATCTGCAAAGCTCTGAATATAGATTCTTTGAAAGTGGCTGTCTGTGAAAACTTCTTTTTTTGAAGAAATTATCACAATTTCATGCGATTCCTGGGAAGGTGTTAGGAAGACAAACAGCAGGAGGTTGGAAAATTTATGGAAACTAGGAGTTCTAAAGAACACCTTAGGACGGTGTACAGAAGCTCTTTGAAAGGCCTGAGATGAAAAATTCAAATAGAAACTTTAACGTTTTCCAATCTTTCTCTTGTATAAATCTTACGAATAGTGGCAAAAACTGTTTTGTTCCTCGTTGCCGTCTTCGCTTCATTCAAAGCCCTGCACGCACTGACCAACAACCGCTGTTATCAATCCATACATAATATTTTTTGGTGATAAAAACTAGCCCTTTCTTCGCTTTCGAATCGAAGCTTTCGTCTCAAAATCAGATCAAAAAATTTTGAGCTGAGATCTCGTGCAACCCTGAGCTAAATCCCGAACCATTTTTATCAATCAAAACATATACTCAGTGTTGTATTGGCTCTCTTCCAGCTTCTGAGCAAACTTTCAGCAAGATGAACTTTAAAAAAAATTTGCTTGTCTCTACTTTATTCGAGCTTTGAAAACAAGCAATAAAACAAAACAAAAACAGGAAGAATGCACACGATAACAACAATGACGAGAGCTTCGGAGGTATTCTTCTCGAAAGAATCATTATGAGAAAGGCACGGAATAAGTGAAAAAGTACAAAAATCAATGTCAAAATTATCAACAACTAAAAAAGAAATTTTCGTCAAATGAACAATTTTTGAAAGCAATCAATGATCAGTGGCAGATGATCATTAATTGGGGATGTAAAAAAAAATGAAGACACGGGAAATGAGTATTTTTGAAAAAATTTAAGGTTAAGACACTTTGATCATAACCGCAAAATAAAAAAAAAATATTCAGGTAGAGATATATAAAGCTTCCAGTGGAGATACCTTGTTTATAACGGCAAGACGTTAAGAGCTAGAACACCGTTTCAGTCTTGAACAGGGACGTCTAAACAGTTCGAAGAGACTTCTAGAATAAAACTAAGCGTCTGACTGATAAGAGAAAAGTTTTACATTAATTTCTATAAACCGAGAAGATAATTTTTAAAAAAGTGAAGAATATACAGACAATCGAAAGCGCTTATCTCGGAGTTTCTCAGGCCCAGAACATGTGGTTCATCGACAAGGCAGATAACTTGTTGGCCAGCTCGTCAAAAACGTTTCCGCTTCGCGAGTCCTGAGGCATTTCAGTGCTGTTCAATTCATCGTACGGGAGCTCGAACTGGCTGAAAATATACTCAATTAGAATAATCAACCGACAGCATCAGGAATTTGGTATAGAGAATTTTCAGTAGAAATTGAATATCGCATGAAGTTCGAATTAATTAATATTTGCAACTAATCTGCAGCTAATTTGTTTGAAAGTTAAGGTAGTATTTAATGAAATCAGAAGGGTCATACTGAGGAGATTAGCGCGCAAACTGTAGAAAAAGTCGATAAGGTTTTTTTGGACCTCTTTTTGGATGAAAATTTTCATAGTCAAATTGAAACTTTTCGTTGATTGGAAACTGTGGAAGTATTTACTTCAAGTATAATTCTTGTTTCGAAATGACATTTCAGGAAAATAGGAATTTTTTTTTCCTAACTCAAACCTTGAGTTCAAATTTTTCTTGCCTTTTAGTTTGAAAATAAGCGTTCCAGTAGCGTAGAAAATTTTGAAAAATTCCTTTCCTTAAGGTTCTTCGGGGTCCTTCAAAGCATCTTTTCTAATCATTCAACATGGTTTTTCTATATTCGTTCAAAATAGCCGTTTCCTGCTCTTAATCGTTTGTTGAGACTCATTGAACGTACCGCAAACCCATAAAATTGGAGCGGGCACGCTTGGCCATGTTTTCAGCTCCGAAAAGGGTGTCGGTGACACTCGCGACACCGCCGAAGTTGACTTGATGACCGTAGGCCAGTGCATACGTCAAGAAGACGATCTCGTCTTTATGCCAACGGACGTCGTTCTGGACGACAGTGTAGCGAGTTGGACGACAGGTGCCCTGAAGAGCCTCCCATCTTTATCAATCTCGATGCAAAACAAAGCATACCATCATGGACTTTTGCGAAACCAGGATAAAATCATCATAGCCAGAGGTCAGAATCGTGTGATCAATGTAAGTGCCGGACTTGACGTTTTGCTCATTTGCCTTGCGTCCTCGAATTTCAACAGGAACCATCCTAAAAATATGATATCAGGTTGTATTAAAGAAGGTATGAATTAACCGATAGTTGCTGTGTTTTTGAACAAGCAGAACCACGAAGGCTGGCTCGTAGGGCCGGCCATTGTTCATCTTTTTCAGCTCTTCATTGAGTCTGAGGGCATCCCTGACGTTTCGAGCTTCACGTTGAACCTTAATTTGTTCTTGGATTGTAAAGAAGATCTGAATATCGCTCACCATTATAACGCCGGTCTCGCCGACACCAGATCGGTAGATGACGATTTTTTCAGGGAGACGACCGTTCAGATTGGCGTTCCTCCGAACCGCCTGCAAGAGGTGACTTCCCAAATCGAGAATTTCATGTTCCCGCGGCTTCTGCGGCCAGAAATATCCTCCGAGTTCAGTGGGTTCACGCAACGAGAACGATACCTGTAAATTTGCTACTTTGGAAGTCACAAGGATGCTTTTAATACACTGCGGGTCAAAATCATAAAAGCTTTTTTTTTACAATTTTTCTGAAAATCAATCAGATTGGTGATAAGAACCCTACTACAACTCTTTTTGTCTGTTTCACTGATTCCAAAAATAGAGTTTTTCGACTTGGATTCTCAATTTTTTGTCATATGAAGATCATAAGTACTCACGCCAACGAAAGATGGTTCTTGAATGGGGGCTTTGGCCTGTCTGTCCCATTTTTGTTGAGCTGCCGCGTGTGAAAGATCGAGAGCAACGATCATGGTGTTTTTGAACAGCTTGTTTTGGAGTCTACAATAAATTTCAAATCATTTTTCCGAAAAAGGTCACTCACTCCTCGCTTTTGCTGATGTTTTCGCAGAGCTTCTGCGGAACTTTGAGCGTGAAGTTCAAACCTCCTGTTTTGAGGTTGAACTTTCGCATGATGTTCTTGAACAGAACATCGCGTTCAATAGCGAATGAAAGCTTCACGGCGTGCTTGTACGCGATATGTTGCGTTTGAACGCCAACCGTTGCTTCGAAAAGCTTCAAATATTCTGAAAAAAATGAATGTAAAATTTTTTCGTGAGAGGAACTTATATGACAAAATTTTTCATTCTAATCGGAAGTTCAGAATTTTGATAAGATATGGCACAGTTTAATTCAAATTCGATATGAACGAACTTAATTTCTCAGTTTCAACTTCTCCAAGTGAGCCTATTTTTGAGTCCAAGAAAGAAGCATTAATATTTGTAGAATTCGGCTACAATGGAATTTGCAAGAAAGAACTGCTAACCATGAACTCCGCGGCATGTTCCGTCGGATATAGCGAACAGAATATCGACTTTCCCCTTTATCTTTTCCATTGTTTCTTTCAGCAACTCCGGATTATCAGGCATCAAGCGGAAATATTTGCACTGGTCTTCACGTTGTAGAATCTTGATGCCCATTTTCCTGGCCCCGTTGAAAAACTTCGAAATGAAATCTCTGGAACTTTCCGATGCTTGAAAGATAGTTGGAGAATGCTCACTCTGGCAACGGAACTCCAAAAGTCGCAAATGCGATCGTCTTGACGGTGGCAGCACGGTAGAATCCCGCGAACGAAGGAACGTGTATGTTGCCTTCTTTCATTTCCACGGTCGTGCTGAAAAGTGAAATTTTTCTGACTTGTTAAAATTGTGCGGCAAAAGGAAGTTCAGGCTTTTCACTTTTTTTTTTATCCGTCCAGCTATAGACAATCCTTCCCAACTTGAAAGGCGAAGGAGGTCAGGATAAATTGACTATGTGGTCTAAAACTCACAAAAAATGTCTTTTCTTCCGCGGCAATGATAGATAGAGACTATGAATCATGAAGTAACTTTTTTCGCTTTTTCGCGTATGCAAGGTTCAAATTTTTGAACGACATAATTTTCTTGAAAGGTGGAGGGAGCAGTTTCTCTGACTGACTCAGAATTCCCCTCTCCGCTGATTCCAGCAAGATCTCAGATACTTTCACGTTGAAGTGCCCACTTACTTCAGAACTGTCGTAAAAAATTTAAGGTTGGTTTTAGGTTTTCATTTTGAATGTCATCAAGATACTCGGTAAATGAAGGCCTAAACATACTTTTTGAAGACGACTTGTGGTCCCGGAATCATCTTGGCTTTCACGGTCATCCTTTGCGTGTTCAGAGAAATCTGAAAAGAGAAAACTTTCGGATGGTTAAATAATGTTTCAAAAAAACTGACATTAAACGCTCGAAAATAGCGATTTCCTTTTTGGCCGATATTCATGTCGACGAGGGCTCCATCGAGCACTTCCGTCAACTCCTCCGGCAGCATTTGCGACATGGTTGTCACAATATCTTGCTGAAACATTGTTTTATATTGAAGCATTTAAAATTTGAAATTAATTATTTGTTGATCAAGAAATATTGTGAAAACAATATTTTGGACAATTGAAATTAACTCACGACGGAAGCGTTGATTTTATTCTGTTTCATCTTTTGACCGGCCTCCACTTCCAGAAACTGAACTTCAAAATTTTATGCAAAAAATGAGAATAATTCAACCTCGAGTGGATACAAGTTCAAATATCTCGCTGTCCTTTGAATCAAAAGAGGTAAATTGGGATGAGCGAGAGTGCGAAAGTATTTCTCTTGATAGTACTGGAACGCAGTTACCTCTCTATCTTCTTGTTCGAACGTGTACCTGAAAACATTTGCTATGGAGCTTTGATTGAACACAGTTCAAAATAAATCTCACTCTTTGGAAGATAATTCGCTCACGCCATGAACAAAAAAGGGACAGTTCTTGTCAAAATCGTCTGTTTTTATCAGATGAGTCGTTCTCACCGCAAGGTCTAGAAATTTATTTGATATTGAGAAACTTGTGGAAAAATCACCCTTCATTTCTTTCAGCGCTGTGACCACTTTTCCTTTTGCTTCACGACAAACCTGATCAATATCTCTGGAAATGCGCATTTCCTAAATGTAACTCTCCAATAAAACTCACTCAGGGCGACACTTGAGCAGCTCGGCCAGAAATTCCATAACCGAAAGTTTTTTGTAGAAAGGAGCACATTTGACTGAAAACTCAAGCGCTTCGTAACAACTTGTAAATCTCTCTTGCACAAACCATCCACAACCAAAATAGGCGTCGCCTGATTGTCATTGTCGATGAAACGGACACTTCTTTCATATCCCAACTTGACAACTCTGCCCGGCAACTGATCACCCAGGTCCAAATCGTTGTCATTACTAGCCCGATAGAATCGAGTGCCGTAGAGAAAATATCTTCTGAAGGGTTGAAAAATCTGTTTAGTGAATCGGAATCCGAAAGAAACCCATCAAAAATGTATTGAGATGAAAGAATCTCGAAGAACCGAGCCGCTTCTACCAGAATCTCTGGATTAGCTGTACTGTCAAAACCTTTGATTGAAACCTGTAACTTTAGTTTCATATTTTGTCTTGATTATATACTCACCTTCCTCGTTTTTTTCAAGTTCACGCTAATGGAGATCAGTTTGTGAGCGAAGATGGATCTATGAAACTGAAGAAGCTGAAAAAAGTCAAACTAAGCTACTTCAACCTCACGTTTTGATTAAACTTTTTTTTTCAAACTTTTCATGCCTTATCATCAAAACCGAACCTCATCACTTTGAAACTCCAGTTCCAAGACTTCGTCCATGGCTCCTTGGAACAGACCGGGGAGCCCATAAAGGACACAAAATCCATCGTAAACGTAATTGTACTGGTTTTTCTTCTTTTGTTCGTTAGTTTCAGCTTGGGGGTCAAGGAAAACGCCAGCTTCTTGCACAAGCTGACGCAAGAATGCGAAATTCGCTTTGCGCCGCTTTTGGTCCCAGATGCTGTAATGCTGTTGATTTTTTAATCTTCAAATAAAAACTTACTCGTTTTTCATGTTTTTGTCGGTACATGGAAGTTCCTTCCCACTTTCCTTTTTCACGAAAATTTGAACGTGAATTTGGTCAACGAACTCAGGACCTTTACTGATATCGAATTGCCACAGGTTCATTTTAACTGGGACTTCCGCGCCGAGTTTGATAGCGGCTGAAAATAATCCGAAGTTATTATAAGTTTAGCTCCTCTCTCAAGCATTTATGGCTACATAATGGGATTTCATCAATTTCGTTATATCGGGTTTTGCTTTTTGCGACTCACAGGAATCTTCTGCTCTGGGACGCTTGTTGGTGACGTCAGAAATTTGAGGTGGGGCAGTTCTTTCCTGGCCTGCAGTGCGTTTGGGGATCCGATACCTGGTGGAGCTGGAAGACGTTGGGGCCTGGAATCACGATCCCAGTGACTTTGAAAGCGGTTCTCTTACGGTTAAAGTTTGCGGCTTAACGTCCGGAGCTTGATTTTCAGTCTTCACTTCCGCGCGTGTTGTTTTCGGGCGAGGTGCAGCAGGTTTGTTGTTTTTGAATTTCCCACCGTCGGCGTCCATTGTCGCGAATATTCCGCCAAGGAGGTCCTGAATTTGGAAAATTCATTACGTCCTTAAAATCATATGATCCAATGAAAAACTTTAAATTTCCGGCAGGGGCTGAAAAGCTGCCAGCCTTTCTGAAAGTGTCACACTTTGCCTCTCCCAAATTCTCATCTTTTAGCAAGTTGGCCATTTGCCCCGTTGCATAAAATGAGGTTTTTTTTCAAAGATTTTTTCAGTTTCTAACATTACTCTATAAGCAATCTCGACAGGAATACTATACAGCCATTACACATTTGTAGAAAAATTACGCACATTAGTTGCACAAACTTAGATGAGGACAATTTTCGGTAAGATTTAAGATACTATCTTTAAAGCATTAATGAACTCACAACAGCTTTATCTCTGGGCTTCTTTTTTGCAGTTTTATCTGCTTGTTTTTTGCTGGAGGATGGGACCTGGTCGCCCATTTGTCTGAAATACATATAAGTTCAGAAGAAAAACTTCAAGAGGTGACAAAAATAACGATGTCTCGAGCAACCTCTTAAAACATGTAGCGAACGCAAGAATGAAGAAAATTACAAGGGATGGAGTGGTAAAGAAGATCACAAAAGAAACACCCTCGCCGAAACATTACTGACCGTAATTAGATACCGCGCTGGCGATGAATGGCTGTTGAATGCGGGTCCGCTGCGTAATTATTGCGACTGCCACAATTCTTTGATACTCGATACTCACAGTATCGGTCAAAATTTTTTACTCTATCCATCCATCCATCAATCATTTATTTTGTTTTTTAGTCATCAATGTTACTGATTAGGAGGTGGGAAAAAGCTTTTAAAGTCATATCGAACATGCGTCCTTAAAGAACGGAAAGTTCTGACGTGCAGCTGAAACAGTTGGAAAAATTACTACGGTTTTAAAAGCTTTCGTTCACTGTTTGGTCATCTATGATTCAATCAGAAAATACATGATTGATTGATTGATGATTTTACAGTTTTTCGCCTCGTTCTTCTGCGCAATTTTCATCCAATCGCGCCTTGGCCAGCTCAGCATGCAAGGAATTTGGTAACTGGAGCCCGGAAACCGTGCTCTAGGTGGAAGTATCGCAGTAAAAATAACTATAAAAGGCTGAAGACCTTACACGGACACGACTAATTTTTGACAATAATTCAGTTCAAAATTATCGATAGAGATTGATATGTTTTTGATGCAACAGGGTTACTGACCGTATGTTTTGAAATCGCGGATCAAGAAATCCCGCCGAAATGCGAAAACTTGAAATTTATTGCTCATTTTTGGTTACAGTTACGAAACTCTCCGCATTCTGAGCAGGCCAAAGCGCGATCAGATGAAAAAAGCGCAGAAGAACGAGGCGTCATCAATAAATCAATCAATCAATCATTTATTTTTTGATGGATTCATAGATGACTAAGCTGTGAACAAGAGTTCTAAAAGCCATGGTCATGTTTTCAACTCTTTCGGCTGCACGTCAGAGCTTTTAGTTCGCAAAAAGCGCTTTTTCGATATGGCTTTAAAAGCTCTCGCCCAGCGCGTAGTCGATAACATTGATGACTAAAACTCAAAAAAAAAACGTTCATTTGTGATGTATGGATAAGTGTGATGACCTCTGTGTGTCAATGGCGACTCACATGAACCCTTTAAGGTTGCCGTGGAGAGGATATCCGCTTCATATTAAGTAAAACTGAAAGTAAGAGTTCCGAAATTTTTTTGCAAAGATTCACATGTCGGGATGCTCTATTTCTTTTAAACATAAAAAAACAATAGTGTTAATTCAAAATGCAAGTGCTTCAATAGTAACATGAAAAAAATTTTTTTAAAAAAAGCGATCTTATGCGGATCTAACACAGAAGTTTGAACCAGACCTGCGATGTTCACCTCTTACACTTTATTTGTAAGTTGATAGTGAAAAAGGGGAACCGAATTACAGTCTTTTTAGAATTATAACTTGATTAGACAGTCCAACAAAAAACTTCATCTTAAACTTGAGTAATAAGGCCTAGTTAAAGTGGAAAGAAAACGAAATTTCGAATACCTGAAGAAAGTAGAACACTGGGACAAAAAGAAAGAAAAAGTTGACCGGCGATGGCGACGACGCGCTGCTCTGTTTCTTATACGCTGAACATTGTCCAGCCGATGGCTAGCTTGGGACGCTAGGAGGCGTGGCCTATCTGCGCTCTCTCGCTACCGGGCACTGTTTCTTTTTTTCATCGGGCTAGGACCTTTTTTCTCGAAGGCTCCTGCCAGTCGTGAAGGCACGCTAGCCAGAGGAAGGAGCAGAAAAGGTTTGAAACAGGCGAGAGACGCCGAGAAACGGACCATGCACACCACCTGAGGGCGCACCAGGCTCCTTTTAGTTGGCGTCGCTAGCCTGTAATTGTATTTGGTTTTGAGTGTGGGAAACCACAACGTTCACGCGCCAGATGCCTTGTTGATAGACCGGTATTCATTTTTTCCTCTGTTCGATGGCTTTCGAATAGAAAGGATTATGAAATAATTCGAATATAAGCGATGACAAAAAAAGTATATTAAGAATCTGTTCACAAAGAAGTTGGCAGCTTCGGAAAATAAAAAAATTGGTTGAAAAATAAAGAAGCAATAGTTTTGTACAGTGTAAAATTCTCATATTCTCCATCGACATTCTTATGATATTTTATTGGAAACAGTTGTTCACAGAAATCAGATTTAGGAAAAAAAAAGGCGCTCTACAGATTCACGATACTCACTGAAGACCTGAATTATTTGAGAAGTGCTAAAATTGATGCGAGAAAAAAGGGAAGAAGTACCTTATTCTATTACATCAGGTTGCCAAGAAAGGGTTTCGGTTCAACTCAAACAGTCGCAACTCATTAGAAAAAATAATTTTTTGACTGTTCTAACTTATATAAAATATTTCAAACATCTGACCGTACGAAAATTCATATTTCGAGAGGATTGATTGATTTTTCGTGGATATCTGAAATTTTTTTGAATTTGACAGGGGCACTTTTGCTTGAAAAATTTCTTGTCAAAATAGTTCAAGGTTTTAAAATTTTTAATGATTTTTTTCCTTGGCCTTTTGGTTTCCATCAGCCTTCGTACATTTTAAAACTGGAAAAGAGCAAGTTTTTCATCAGTATTATTTCGGATGCCTCAGAGCTTTAGCAGAATTTTAAAATTTTGTTTTTGATTCCGAGTGCTTTTCCTCCCGCTTACCAACCAAGGTTACAAGAGAAGTGGTTTTTTGAGACCAAGACGAAAAAAATTTTTTTCCAAAAAAATTCAGAGACGAGTTCGAGAAACTAAATAAAAAAACTCTATGTGTACAAAAAAACTTAAACACGATCAGAAAAAGCTAAAAATTTTTGTGAAATCATTTCCTGGATATAAACAAAAAAAGATAAAAACTCGAAACTCAACAAAATAAAAAAAAAATTTCGGCATCAAAAAAGGAAGTCCGTTTTTTGAAAACTTCACATTTTCATCTTTTTTTCTGACTCGTTTTCAAGTTTGGGTTGAGTAAAACTAGAACGAATCTCCAAATTTCAGGACTTTTGCGAAAATCTCCACTAGTGAAGATAAATATTTCAAGATATGCGTCCAATGAATTTGCGTTATTAATTTGAAACTTGAAAGAAAAAGTGAAAAAAACGAATATATTTCATGGAACTCGAAAATGTAGCAATATACATGCGTATCCTGGTACTTGCAACTCACGAAAAAGCTAAAAAAAAAAAGCAAAATCAAAAAAAAATTTACGCGCGGCTAAGAGAAGAGAACGAGAAAAGGAGGAGGGTTTGAGAAAGGTCACCCATCGATCCACAACAACAGCTGTAACCGTCGTAGTGCTCCCCTGCCGATGCTCCTTTTTTCGAGTCAGCTGTTGGGCGATGGGTAATCGAAACATTATACTACAACAGTAACACTAATCTTTCTCACACGCACTAGACCCCGTAAGTCTTGTCTTCCAGAATACCATAATACAGAGTGAGCCTAATTTACGTGATTAACAAGCAACGTGAAATCATACTGCGTCAACTTCAGTTTGATTTTAGCATTTAAGGTCTCTAGTGGACCATCGTGCTTCCCAGCGCTTTTTTTTTGTTTCACAAATCTACTATCAAAATATGGCCAAAAAAATCGTTTGGAAATGTTCCCACACTCTACAAAACTATCCATCATCTTTTTTTAACACAAAAGTTCTCACCCCAGGTGATCTTATCTTGATGGGAAATTTAGCCAACTGTGACCCTCTGTTGGCACTCTTCCTATTGTTCTATTTCTGAGTAAGAGATTTGAAAGATTAGATACGAACAACCGTTTCAAAAATTTCTGATGTGATATAGGCGTCGAAAAAATTTTTTCTTATCGTTTCGAGCCTGATTGACTAATAGAAAAAAATCCGCGTGAATATTCCCTAATTTTATTTTTCTTCCCTGCTTTTGATTTTTTTCAAAAGGTTTTAGGTAGTCTTGAAAACAAAAGGCTTTGGTAGACAAGAAAGTTTTTGGTTTATACCCGTTTCCTTTTCATACCACTTTGAAAATCTAAATCTATATAGGAGCAACGTTATTTTAAGCCATCTAAATTTTTTTCACAGCTTCAAATGTAACCTAGTTCGCATATAGACGATTCAGCTTGGGACGCAAAAAGGCGTAGCCTGTCTGCACTCTCCACTAACCAGGGCACTGTCTCGTCTCTTTTCGTGGCAGGACTCTTTTCTCGATGGCTCAAGCCAGCCGTGAATCAGCTTTAAAACTGTCTTTTTTGTGTGCTTTAAACGGAAAAAGATTATTGCATTCAAATCATTGCACTAGATTAAAAGTTTTGGACCTCTATGTCTTGTGATCTAATGAGAGCTTCTCCGAATATCCGACAGAAGTGCTGCTTGTTTGTCGCTGTAAACTACTCAGAAAACAAGAAAAGACGTCGATTAAAAATCAATACAGAAAAGTTTCTGAGAAAAAAACGAGAAAGAGATAATGAAAAAAGAGAACAACTCGAAGAAGGCAGCCAACCGTTCAGACATTCAAAACAAACTTTCAAACCGTTCAAACATTCTTTGAAAAACTCAATGGAGACGGCGTTTTGCATGGCATCCAAGTATCAATATTTTGCGGAAATGTTTTAAAAGTTGGTCAGGCGAAATGTGCACCCGGAATCGTTTCTTTTTTTGAACAAGAGAACACCTTTTTTCGTACTCTATGAATATTGGCCAGAGATATGGCAGGTATCCGATATGGGTAGACTGGAGGTATATTACAGTATTACCGCATGTTGGATGTCGCCCCGCCGCGACCTGTTCGAACAAGCTTCTCGCAACTATCCAATATAGCCTCCCCCATAAAAATATAGGTCTTACAACGATTCTGAACAGCAAGTCTGAGAACTTAAATTTTTTTATTTTTTCTTTTTTTCGTTGTTATTATTTTTGTGTTTTCTGCTGTGAATACGTGTTCACTTTGTAAAT